TTACTTAAATTAGCCTAGGTTAATATAATATACCTCTCCTAGTCTTTATGCATAAATTTCGCGTCTATCTTTTAGCTTAAAGTGCTTAGCCTTTGCTAGTTCGTAAGGGGTGCAAACTAGCTTAGTGTTTTCTATAACGTTTTCTTATAAGCCCTCCTTCTACCTGCTTTAACGTCTCTTTAAGCGCCCTCTAAGACGGGTAACCTATCTTTTAATAAATAAGGCGTAGTTTCTAGCGCTTGCTTAGAGACTATGTATAGCTTTTAAGTTAAATTCGTTAAATTTAGGATTAGTCTTAGCATCCTAAACAAAGTCTTAGTAAAATTCCTAAGCTGCGCAATTTATCTCCTTTTAACTCTCCCCTTGCACAGAAGAAGGCTTGTTCTAAATTAGCACGAAAAAGCTAGTCTTTTCAATGTTAAATTAGCAAAAGGCTGCCCTATCTACGGCCACTAGCTTAGTGCCGTTAATGTAATTGCCCGCCTTATAGAAGCGCAGGCTAGACATAATGTTTAAGGGGAAGCCTAGTACTAAGAAAACGTAGTTTAAGGTTGCTCTGTATGCCGTGCCGTCTAGTCCTATCATCTAGAGCACCACTTGGCCCGCAAACTTAGTAATAACAAGGCCACCACTAGTGTAAATCGTAATCGTAGCGGTATGCTTTATACTAGGTTTAAACTAACCAAGGTTGTTAGTAATATAAATATCACCTCCTATGTTAAACAGCCAGTCGTCTATATAGCTACTATAAAAGTTGTAGAAAGGGGCATAGTAGGCATAACCCTCCGTTAGTTAAGGGCACAGATCTAGGCCTTCGCAATTCGTTCGCGCATCTAGCGCGCAGCTATCGTTATCCGTGGTAACAATGCTGTTGTGTAACCTATAATAGGGGTCTACGTTTACCGCTTTCTACAGGTCATCGGTGATCGTAACTGCACCGAAATCGGGTGCTAGCATAAACGCGAGCACCTTGTCCGTAGGTCTAAACCGGACGGTAGTTATAAAGCTAACTGCTTTGCTAAAGGGTTCTTTCTCTAACATGTTGCTGGTTTTGCCTCTAGAGGCCCACTCAGGGCGAAGCTCTAGGTTCTTCTTCTAGCATTTAGTGATTGTATGCCTAGTGCGATCGCAGTGCGTGCATTTCGCGCCCTCTTAGCGTTTGCTAGGAGCCTTAGTTTTCGGGTTTTTAGTGCCACGACTGCCGTCTTTTTCCTTAGTCGTCTTGTTTTCGGTTTTAATCTTGTTAGTGCTAGTGCTGCTGCTGTTGCCGCTTTTAGCGTTTGGTGTAGCAAACGTCCGCTCCTTGCAGCGGTTGGTAACGAAAAGCTTTACCGCTGCGTAGACTTTGTTGTTGGCTATAGTGGTCTATCTGCTTCGCTAAAGGTTAAGCACTTCTGCGTTTAGGGCAGGGAACTTTCTGCAAATGCAGCTAATCAGATTTACGGCCTTTTGCTTGCCTATAAGCAGCTCGACATAGGTATTGTAGCCGCGAATAATTTCTTCAATTCTAGTAAAGAAGTCCTTTATCTTTTCGCTATCGTACTAGCGCATTGTTGTCTAAAATTTAGTGCTATAATTAATAGCTAGATTAGCTTCCTATAGTTTTAAGAGCTGTTTAAGCGTTTTGTAAATAATCTTAATGTTATTTCCTTTAGTCTGCTTAAGCAAGCCGTCGTTAACCTGTAGGGTTACGGCGTATTTAATCGATTAACGGTTGTTGGTAGCTATCTGCCTAACAGTAGTAAAATCGTAAATGCTTAGCAGGCTAAGGCCTTTAAATACGTTCTTCTCCCATTCATTCTAGTCTGCGCCGCTAGTAAGCGTTAGCACTTGCTTCGAGCAGTAGCTTATAAACAGCTTAATGCATGTCGGGTCGACCTAAATCGGATTAGGCGCCGCTGCACTGGCTTGTAACATGGTAGAAGATTCGGGTTTTGGTTCTAGATCGTAAAAAGATTTAGAGGTTCGTGACTGCTGATTAGGTTCTTTACCACCAGCGTCGTTTTCGTTGTTTAGAGTGTCTTCGTTAAGCTTAGCCCCGTGAATGCTATTTTCGTTAGCCACGTGAATGCTGCTTTCGATGCTTAATTCAGACTTAGCGTCTGATTCTAATTCAACGATTAGAGGTCTGCTGCTTAGTCTGCCACTGGGAGTTCTGTTCCAGCCAGGCGAGGTCATGAATATGACCTTAGTAATCTTGACAAGGTTCTTTTCGTCCGTCAGATCAGTGCCCAAAGCACTAGGTGCTTTACGAAGCGTATTGTAAAGGCTTTTTGGTTTATTTGTTTAGCTTCTCCCGGTCCTCTTGGGCCGGGCTTATAACCTGTGAAGGTTAAAGGAGGCTATACGTAGCGGTCATATAACGTGATGCACTGTGAGGAGCAGGAGGCTGAATAGGGTCTAGTGTGGGCGAAAGAGTGTTGTGTACTAAGGAAGAAATAGATACATCGCGACCCTTCTGGGGATCCGTATTAATACTAGTGTCAGGCCCCGCTTTTGTGCCTTCTGACCAATTACAGGCCAGTACGGCCAAGTGGGGCGGAAGGGCCACAGTGTGGCGGATTCCAATGCTTGACACTAGTCTACGTTAATAACTTACTTATCGCCGGCCCTTTGCTTACTAAGACGCGCGCCGTAAGCACGCAATTAAGTAACATCTATTTACTTTGTTATCTAAGCGCTACAACGTCTTTTCTAAGGCTAAAAATCTTTTATAACCGCCTTAACCGCCGCATCTTTATTAATTAGGCCACTTATATTAATAAGATCCTTAATTATTTTAGTTATTAACATCTTAACAAAGTAACTACCCCTTAGCCTTTAGGTTTTAAGCTTTCTCTATTAGGCAAAAACACGGTCGCTAGCACTAATAATAGCAATAAGACGCTAGCTAAGGCGCCTTCTATCTTTATAAAGTATCTTTAAAACACTAGCTTAATCAACTACCTTGCTATTAGCACGCGCCTTAATATCGCGTACACTATTAGCCGCCTTTCTAAAGGCAATTGCAGCCCCTCCTCTTATTACTAGGCTTTGCTTAAGCACCTTTACTAGTATATCTCTAGCTTAAAGCAATACTCTCTCTACTTTAGTAGCCTAGAATACATTAACAACCTAGGCCTTTTAAGCTTTAGTAACGCCTCTTTTGCAGACAATCTGCCGTCGCGCCGCTCTACCGGTAGCATCGTCGTCCTTGTTGCCGGCAGTCTTGTGTTCTAGAAGTCTAAGCGCCAGCCTTTCGTCACCCTGTCTATGACAAAAGCCGAGTTCATCAACCTAACGCCCTCTAGCCGTGCTTTGCAGCACGTTAATTCGATTTTAACTAACCTTGGCGCTCCCGTCTCCGCGCCTTTGCTCCTATTCATAGACAGTCTTAACGCACTGGCTGCGGTCTTAAACCCTAATAAGCAGGGATGCACTCGTCACATTAATATTCGCTTCAAATAGATTATCGAACAAGTCGCGGCCCAGGCTTTTCGCCTTCAGCACGTCGGTACAGACGAAATGATCGCAGACGGGCTTACAAAGGCTTTGCGCAAGGACAAGCACCACGATTTCATTCAGCTTCTGCGCCTTGATTTGCGCTGATACCTGCTTTATTTGCTCTTTCATAATACCCTTTTGGCTTCAAAACAGACGGATGATTACCTTCAAAGGTTTCCCGTGCGCACTATCTGCGCCCTGTTTCTCATTATTGCTCCACATACGTCTAATGTGCTGATACCGCACACTACCTCCTGTAAGGCCTTGTTTAGGCCGATTTTCATGTATCTTTTCGTTCTTCTGCACTGCGGCAGTGAGAGGCTGTGTTGCACGTGACCTTGTTGGTCACGGTGCAGACTTTTCACTGCCGCAGTGCATCCACTAGCTTTAGCTTCCTTTTAAAAAAAAAATCCCATGCTTTTTTTCCTAGATTAACGTAATTTAACCTACATGCTTTATTGTCCGGTTTTGATGCTGCGGACCAGATTCAGGATCTTCATGATTACCTAGCGTGACTCTAGGCAACAGAGTCTTACATTGTGAGTGGATGGTCAGCCTGCTGGTATTATGAATCCCCCACCCTTTTGAAATGTACCTAGATGGGCAGAGAGACTTCTGCGATAGCGAACTGTATCGATTGTGTTTGGCGGATTCGGGCAAGTCTTGAGCCGCAAACGAGGCGGCATAATTTAGCACATCCGAGCGGCAAGGTATCTAATAGGCAGAAATCTATGCTTTTCATGTCGCTAACAACAGCCATTCTGCCTTGTCTCGCACAACTGATCATTTGGATATCTCGTAAGTGGCTCAACTCGTCTGGCGTTCGAAAGAATGCTCCTGGTCCCCCACTGTTCCTCCACGCCAACGACCAAGTGCAAGTTTTGTTGTAACTGGATGATGGTATTATTAAAGCAGCAAGCAGCATCACTAGTAACGCACAAAGCAGGTGTTGGACTTGCAGAGCAATACATGCAACTAGTTGTATCGGTGAGAGACGTATTTTGTGTTAGTAATCCCCGATATTTGTATATTGCGTGCACGTCATCTTGCACGTGACCTTTATTGAACTGCAAAAGCCCGGAATAGTGTTTGCTTCAACATTTTAACGAGTCTCCTACAAATCGAGCTTTACCGTGTGGTACTGGGTCATTATCTATGTCCCCTGTTGGTTTTTGGTCATTAATGTGCACCCTTTTCGACCATCGACGTTACAAAAGTAGACGTAGGTAGTAGTATGTTGTCAGAACGTCTCCTCAACTTCACGGAACCACCACGTTTTCCTTCCCACGCCAATATGTTTAATCTCTTCTTTGACCTGCTCGTCACTATTTTCTACTATCTCATCTGGCGCAAAGGAAGGCGGATCCTACGGCTTTTCTGCGTTGGCCTGCGGTTCAAGCCATTCCGGCGCTCACAGCCCCCCACCGGCTGACTGCCCTTTCCTCCGGCTGCCTGGTGAACTCATCGTCTGCATATCCAATGCGCTGCCGCCGGAAAGCCAGTTATTTCTGGCCCAGTCATGCCACCAATTCCACTTGCTCCTCGGGACAAATACGGCTGCTGCACTGCGGACAATATCCCAGCTGTCGCGGATAGAGCGCATCGTCTTCTTGTGGAGAGTAGTGCACGACAAGACCGACCTCTGGTGCTGCGAGGTATGCGCAGCTCTGCACCCTGCTTTCGCCCACGATCAGATCTGTGGATGGCTGGACGGCGTGGAGGACATTACGATGGCGATGGCATACATGTCGAGTGGACACAACGGCAAGTGCCGTGTTTGGTTTTCTAAGAATATGAGCAATAGCACATGGCAGTTGGGTGTGAAACACCGGCACATTCAGCTTGCCTTGAAGTATGACCGCATGCAGCACTGCAGCGGCGATGTTGGGTTTTACCAGCGCTACTATCTAAAGCGTCTGCTTCGTCCAAGGTCGACCACATTGCTCGCTGGCTACACACATCTACCGAGGTTTGGATATTCCAACATCCGGTGCTTGCTCTATCCTAAAATTGTCACGTGCCCAATGGATGGACGCCGGCACTTTCTTTTGTTGTCCTTTTTCCCCTTTGAGACGAGTACTGGACCTTCAGATCCAATATTTGATGGCAAAAGGATTCCGGTCTGCCCGCACATTTTGATCGACTATGACCCTAAGCGAGTGTGGCGGCCTGATCCCTCATTGAAGCGCAGCGAAGATTGTTTCTCGCCATATTACTCTGGCCGTGTTGTGATGCGCCAGAACCAGGATGGCGTCATTGTTGAAGAGAATGTGTACCATACCAGCTGTTCCCGCTGTCCCACAGACTTAACCAGGAACACTGATGGATGGTACACGTATCGTGATTTGGGCTCGGAGATCCCTCCAACCGACTTGGCTTGGCAAGTCCATCTGTGCTTCTTGCAAGCCTTCAGTACGGCGATCCCAAAAGAATACAATTTTGAGTCGCAAGGGCCAGTTTTGCACCACGAGGCAGGCAGTGTCCGGGGATTGTATGAGAGCGAGGACAGTGAGTTTGAAGACGATATTATTCTTGGATTGAGTGCAGACCAGCTGGGCGCTTATATTTTTGTTTCAGTCTTCTATTTTATTTTGCTGTTATCTCTCTACTAAAAGACTGGCACTGCAGTCTTCTGAATTTATCGTTTGTCATATTTTCCACAAACCAACACATTGAAAAACGGCATCTTTAGTACACGTAGGAAACCATGATCGTAGGAAAAGTATCAGTGTAATCGTGTCAGACAAGGACAACGAAGAAGACATATTTTCCATGATCGCCGTATCGGTGTTGACCCCAATTGTCCAAGTAATGGAAGCTGTGATCGTCCTGGTCAGACCATAATATGAACAATAGGGACGCCCTTATCTCGAATCGCTTGTGACTGAGGAACAGAAGATTATGCCAACTCCATATACACAAAAGATGATTATGTCATCAAGACCCGGATAAAGTGCAATGATTGGAACGAGTCATTTTGTATCGTTAGCAGAAATTTAGACCAAGACAGCACACAATTGGAAAATATGGAGAAATAGGGAAGCAGCGCCAAGGAAGGGAAGGAAGATATAGTGAATCCACAGACCATTTTACGAGTCTTTTCAAGTCTGGTGCTCGTGTTGGCTTCACCTCGAAGAGGCTACTGGACCCAGCAACCACGTTAAGGTACGAGCGCTGCTGGGACCTATCCCAACCCACCCCTGATAGTTTAACGCCGTGTCAGAAAGGCGGGCTGCAAGAAGCAATAGTTAGCGGTTTCACGCAGGTGTGTGGTTCCGCGGCGAGCGGCGCAACGGACGAGGTGCCAGAGAGTTGGCACCAGAGGCCGCAGCATTGGCGGCGGCGTTGGCCTCGCCACCCAGTTGCCCGGGAAGTACAAGGCCTAGGTTGTGCCGGCTGCGTTCTAGGCGATCTTGCTCGGCTTGGCGCTAGTCACCGAATCTTTGGACGAAGCCGTAGGCTTCGAGAAGCAAGACGACAGCTGCCGTCATGGCGATGCTAGCAACTGCCACTGCAATCTAGGCGACGTCAGACATGCTGACAGGCCACGTGAGGCCGGTGGTAGAAGGAGGGGAGGAGGTGACGAGAGTAAAGAGAGGTGAAGAGTGGTGGTTGGTGGTGGTGGCTGTGTCGTAAACGAGACAGCAGCGTCAGTGATGGAAAATGTGGTTTGTAAAAAAGAGAGATCTGGAGACGGAAGACGAGAGAACAAGGGATTAAAAGGAGTGAAAGAAAGACCGAATCAGCAATCTAGTCCTGCTTAGTATGACGGAAAGGGCAGGTACGGCCTTTGGATACAGTGCGAAAACATCGTGAGACGTGCTCTTTCTCTATCGAGGCACCGATAGTCGGAGCACCGTCTTCGTTATCATGATTTCAGGCGCGTGTCCCCCAGGTCGCAGCGATAAACGGAACATGGACTACAAATTGGAACTCGGTGAATCACTAAGGCAATGGTCCCATGTTCAGGAGAATGGATGCTCGATTTGATCGACTGGCAAGGTACCGTCCGTCATACCTTCGCGAAAAATGATCTCTCTTTTTTAATCTTCAATTTGGATTAGATCGAATTATCACCAAGTTTCGTAAACACCAATCGCCTGCAAATCGACATCCAGAGCCATCATCCCGTACCGCTAGATAACGACACCAAAGCAAATAAATAAACCGATGGCATAATGGTGTGTATTTGTATATTGTATAACACGTCTAAAACGGCGCCCAAAATTCACTGCAGTTGCATCTGATCATCAAGCTGCCCACCATCGTACAGTCCTCTAGTGTACTGCGTCGTATTCGATGGGAAACCTATCGCACCCATTAAGGTATCTGTTTGTGCAGCCGGCGGTAAAGCCGCATATCCATTTGGATCTAGCTGCGCATCGAGATTGCCACCATTGACCCCCCAGGGACCATTAGAATAGGGATAACTTGCATCGTAGTCTTGGCTGCTGCTGATAGTATAAGAAGGACCAGATACAACACTGAGCTCCTCAAAGCTCGCAACCGGTTGAGGCGGTGCAATTAGGTTTTGGCTGGCCTCCGTGTCTCCCAATCCGCAAGTACTTCCAAAAGATGTATATCTAGAGAAAACTATCTCCATCCCATCGCGGGTAGCAGACTCCAGTAATGATTCGAATCCGTCAGGGAGGACCCCCCCGAATCTTTGCATCACAAAGTCTGTTAGATCCCGAATCCCGTGGCTCATGATGAAATCCTGGTAAGTCAGAGCATTTCGGAGTAGCTCGCTGTTGATATACGGCGAACTCGGCCTGGGATGGGCGGGAAACAGTATCTCGAAAACTCCATACCATTGCTGCTCTTGGGTTTGGCTAGCAGGAACCCTTCTCGCCAACTGTCTGCGCTGTATGGCGTTGATGCCGTCCGGTGGCGAATTCGCATTTCTGGAGCAGGATCTTTCCCTTATATGAAGATCTCTCCGGCTCTCATCTCTGAATGTTTCGTAACATATGGAGCAGTATATTGGCATGTCATGGTATCGCCTCAGGTGCTGCTTGACGTCTCGGATTCTTGAGATGATGTACCTAGTGCAATTCCGGTGTTTTATGTGGTCTTTTTTGTAGTACGGGCAGGCAAATGTTTCTTCATTGCTATTCGTTTGTGGTCTCCTCCGTGTACTTGCTGGTAATCTTCGGTTGGTCTGCGTGTTGCCGACGGCTTGGCTCATCGTCTCCTTGCTGCCATTCACCCCTCCAATACTCGGAGTGGGGACTAAGGATATAGCGTCGCCACCTACACTGGATTCGCCAGCGCACATCCTCAGGTGTTGTTCGTATTTTTTCAGGATGAGCTCAACCGCCTCTTCCTTGATGGGAAACAATGGATGATTCGACGGTAAGGGAGCTGGTGGGTCGGACATATCGGAGGTCAGTGAGAAGGCCGAGTCTAGGTCAGTTGAGGCATTGAAAGACCACAGAGAATCCATATCAATCGAACGGGGATATCTAGTCTCAATTTGCGTTTCTCTCGGAATCAAATGCACCGCGCTTCGACTGCTATGCTCTATGACGACCGGCTCTTCTGGAGCTTTGTCTGCTAGTCGGTTCGAGCTTTGCATCATTGCAGATAGCTTCTCGGAGCTCATGCTGAAATCGGAATCTTCAGAACGTGCAGGAGGTGGTTCATTTGATCGCCCACAGCTCGAGGGAATGGGCCGAGTACAGTCGATGTTGATTGCTTCGTTTCCAGAAGCAGTTACTGGAACAGGACAACAGGCTTCGTTTGCTATTGAGTCGTCCCGCCGCTCTGTTTTGTTGCTAGTATCGACAGATTCTTCGTAATCCGAGTGAGCGTCAGCGTTCCACACTTCATGTACCGTTCGGATTTCTGGGTTGCCTGTAATATCTCCAGGACCGAGCGTATCAAAGTGGTTTCCATCGCACTCGTGCCTGCAAAAAGTCATTAGCTTGGGCATCGGAGATGCGACATAAGGATGGGAGGTCCTGCTGCAATCTCACTTACTGAGAATATTTGATAATTTCTCGGTACAATGGTGCCAAAATAGCATATTTTGCATCTTCCAGGAAGGATTCCTGCGCCATGTTGAGCTCCTTAATGGCCAGGCTGCGGAACTCTTGAAATTGTCGATAGACGCAGGCACCGACTGCATCTTCAAAACCAACGCCGATTTCATCTCGAATGCGGCGGGAAGAGAGTAGCTGCTTAGCAGTAAGAATATCCAGCAGGTGCTTGTCCACTGCTTGGAAATTCTCTTGCAAATCTTTCTCAACGAGAAGTCCTGGGGTACTCTGTCGAATCTCTCCGAGAGACTGGCCGAAGGCTAGCTCTATCAAGCTTATGCCAATCTTAGTCAGCATTGGCTGCTGAGACTGGGTTTTCTTAGATGACATCGAATCGGTGGATTTGTCAACAGAGACCTGGAGTGAATAAAAGTCTCGGCCAGGATGTTGACCGCAGTGTGCCTCGCCATCCAAGTGGCCGAAATTAATGTCCCAATTGACCCATTCCCGGAAATCGTCGGCCCACGGAGTAGTCGATAACCGCAAAACGAATGCACAGAACCGAAAAGCGAGATCCAACCGCCTCCCCCGGGTTAGTTTTCTCCTACCGGGTCGTATCAGGTCTTGAAGTGAAGTTAGAGGCACCTTCGACTTTATGTCGTCCAAAAGTTGAAGAAATGATCTGTTTTCCGTCTCCGAAGTACCTGGACGGCGATGGGTCTTCAGCTCACGAGTATCAATCATTTCTGATACGGAAGTCTGATCCTGTGTGGGTGGGCAGCCATGCATATCTCCCTCCGCTCCTTCGGCCGATGGGTTCGAAGCAGCTATGGACGTTTCTGGTGTACGCACGTTGGGCTTCGGAGTCGGTTTCGTCTTCCTTTGTTCTGCACCTAGCTGCTGGTTTCTGAGATTGTCAGCTTCGATTTCCGTGTCGATGTTCAATAGTGTCTGATATATCCACTAACCTGTAGCCTTGCACCGGCATACCAGCCTCACGAGCTTTTATCTTCGAATCGGACATCAAAGAATGTGATAGTGACGATCTTGGTGCGAACAAATAATCGCAGGTCCAGCCATCTTTCCAAGACTCAGACTCCGAGAACCGAACGTTGCAGGCTGAGCAATGACAGTCGTAGCTTGCGACATGGAACCCTTTACAGCTGCAAGCGTAGCCTTCGCTCATGACGTAAAGTGTTTCCATCGATAGGCTTCTTTCGCGGTGAAAGAACAATCGAAAGTTTGGTGGGTTGCAGTGTCTTACAAGATGTGGCAGTGGTATCCACGGGTTGGCCATATAAGATGCAAAGTTCTTGTTGATTGTAGACAGTTTGTCCAAGCGCTTCTGGATTGTTGTCCGTGAAGTTCCAGTACCCTTCCGAGTGTCGGCGACACTTGGTCCCAGCTTGTTCAAAACTGCCTGTAATTGAGTCAGAATTCTGTTGGTCGAGAACTATGACGAGTATGGCTCACAGTTTCGAGATTGGTACTCGTGATATCGTTCTTGAGCTTACTCAGTGTCTTTTGCATAGACTGGAAGTTGGATGCGAGAAGACGGGCGGTCTTGTCTCCCAATCGAGCCTCAATGTTTTTCCATAGACATTCGTCACTGGATGAGGAGTTTGAAACTAGAGTGAGCTTGCAAAAGAACTGGCCATACATGGTGACCTCGTTGGAGACTCGTCTGGCGAGGCTGCGCGACGCACTGTCGAGCTTCTTGAGCCCTTCGACATTCTCGGTCACCTCGGCAATAAGCTGCCAGATGGAGACAATGGTCTGAAGTTCGGACATTCTGAGGAAAGTTATACTAGAGGAAACCAATAGCGGCGATGAAAACGGTCGTTATGTGGAGAGAAGCGAAGACAAAATCGAAAATAATGGTTGGAAAATGGCGATGGCAGGCCCGGTTTATTTTCAATTTGCGAAAAGATGGTGAGGCAGAAACGCTCGCCTCACCCCCACTCCAGAAAGGAGTATTGAGGCGGGTGGCTGACATGCATGATAAGAGTGCCCGTAGGATTCGTCAGAATGTGCAGATTCGAAAAGAAGTTGTTCTTATCCGACCATTCAGCGTGTGCATGAAAGTGTGCTTCGTGATTGCACAAAGTATCTTTCTCTGCAGGATACTTTGTGGCCTCCGCATGACCATAAGCCGCATGAGCGCGGGGGATATTACCGACCATCAGCTTTCTTCGCTTGTATACTAAGTTCATGGCTAATTTTGATTTCGAGCTCTGAATTATTTCTACGCAGACTTTCACCCAAAGCCTCCATACATCCCAACATCCAAACATCAACTCATTCTCGCAATGACTCCAGCAATAAACAATACAGCCAGAAAACTTCAGGAGAGCCGCGGGCTGAGAGCCAGAGCTCCAGTTGCCGCTCAGTTTGAAGACTGTTTTCAGGCCTTCGTTCAGCTTTACGATTCTCTGCAAGCCAACTCCTGCAACTTCGATTCCACACCCAGTCTCCCTCCCGAGAACGGCGCCGACGAAATCCCCCTTCATGAACGTGCCGAGTATTGCAGAAGAACTTTCAGCGCATGGGGTAACGACAGCGGGGCGTCATCGCGCGCGTTGGACCATGCATTGAAGGAATCCCCGTCGTTGATGCAGCAGACGTTGTACCTCCTCGGCGAGCTGTCAACAACTTTGGAACGAAGTATGTCAAAAGTGTCGTGCCGGTCATGCATTGATGCTGTATCTGTATCCAGCTAACGATGACCAGCAAAAGCGAGAGTTCTGCAGATTGAGAACGACAGGATCCTCAGTGGCAGAGTCGTGGCAGACGACCAAGACGCAGAAACCAGCACTGAAGCGTACCTTGATGAGATTCAAGATATTCTCACATGTCTGCTCGAGCTTCTCCCGGTCCTGCGATATCCAATGGTGGAAGAAACCGGCCAGGAACTTCTTCAAATTTACGATCCAGCACTTTACCCTGAAAGAATGTATCGAGACGTCGCAAGGACGATGTTCCCTCATGCGCCTGATTATTTGTGGAATCGTCTCGCCCAGAACAATATACGGGCAAGAAAGAGGCTAGGGAAGTTGCGGTGCAGAAGCAAGGGCCTGATGACGCATGCAGACCATAAACAGCAGACCAACAGTCTCATGTTATCACGGGCTGAGTATCCTCTCTATCCACGGGGTACCTTTAGATCGCCTTACTCATTCTCGTCATCTTCGAACTTTGCTGCAACCGAATCCGATGGTGAGCTGACCGTGAAGGGGCCGCATGCCTATTATGAGAATTCAGGTGCCTCTGATATGGATGCGTCGTCTATGACCTCCACCATGGAATCGCAGCCACATGTGCTGCAACAGCAAATTCTCAACCATAGGCTCCCAGACAATCCGTCTCGCCATGGGGACTACGGAAAAGCCGAATGTCCTCTTTGCCATTTTGACTTGCCAATGGCAGATATTTCTGGAGACCTGAACGACAAGGAATGGGCCGCTCATGCATATCTCGATCTGAGACCATACGTGTGCACCTCTGATCAGTGTGCACTCGATAACATACCCTTCGGCGACAAGGATATGTGGTTCCAGCACGAGATGGACTTCCATCGTTCTAAGATGGAATGGTCTTGTGTCTACTGTTCTGTTGCTTTTAGAGACGAAAAAGAATTCGAGGATCACCTTCTTTCAGCCCACGGCGGTCATGCAGCTTTGAACAACACTTCTCTCCTGATCGATAGTTGCAAACGCTATTCGGCCATTCTCGCCTCCGTTCACATTTGTGATATTTGTCTTGGGCAATATAACAACATCAATTCTCTGAAAAATTGTCTTGCCGGCCACTTGGAGACGTTTGCGCGCGCTACCACACTTGGTATAGACCAGATTGGGGCTGAGCAAAACGACTATGTAAAGAGATTTATCGCAGAACAGCGCAAGATCCATGAAAGCAGCGATTTGGGAATCGATAATGCTCTCTTCAATTCCAGCTTGTCTGCAGACGACAATGAAAGCAAAGTGGCATTGTTCGTCAAAAATCAGCAGCACAACGCCGCGATGCTACGCTGTAACGTCCCCAATCGTGACCACCAGTTCTTTGGCAGACATGACAGCTTGTCGTCTGCACATCTCACTTTGTCAACACTAAACAGGATGTGTACAATCACTGGCCGTCCTGGTATAGGAAAGACGGCCGCTGCTATTGAGTACTCATACAAGTACGAGTCTGCATACTCATACACCTTCTGGGTTGAGGCTGAAAATGAGGGCCGGCGTGCCGAAACATACGGAATGATTGCTGCAAGCCTCAAGTTGGACAAGAATGCAATTCCGGACGAGAACTCCCGGACGTATATCATCAGAGACGCTTTGACAAATACGGACAAAGAATGGCTACTCATCTTCGACAATGCTACCAGTTGGAATGACATAGCTCGATATATTCCACCAAACCTGGCAGCCACAAAGGGTTCTGTACTCATTACTACCCGCGACGATAATGCGCTATCTATTCCGGTCCGGTTTCATCACAAGTCTGTAAGCCTAGACGCCTTGCCGTTGGAAGATGCATGCAGGTGCCTTCTTTCTGCCCTTCGTCCGGGACTGGGTGGAGAAATGTTGGAGTACCATCCAAACTACCAGCTAGCAACAAAAGTAGTTGAAGTCGTAAAAAGGCTCCCACTGGCAATCACCATTGTTGTGGGCTATGTCAACATGTCACGATGTACGCTGGATGAGTTCCTTGAGATGTGGGAGGAAAATGATTCCCGGATGAGGAAGAAAAGAGAGGCGCCAAAGTTGTTCGATGAAACTGTAGAGGTTTACGGCACAATCGATGCTCTGTGGGAGATCGGAATTCGAGAAGTCGACAGGAACAGCAGGCGCCTCCTGGACATCATGTCGTTTCTAGATTCAGAAGGCACGCCGAAAACCCTTCTGATTGGTGATCACAAAGAAGAGTTTCTCGAATTTTTGCATGAGTCCGAAACCATAAGGTGGGCATCGCATTCCTTCCATCTATTCGGTGTGCATGCAGCTAACCTTCACCCTCGTAGTTTCAAAAGAATGATCAAACAGCTGAGCGGCCGTCGGCTGATTCACGTGAAACGGTCTGGGGATGATGAACCGAGCTACGGTATACACAGGCTTCTCCAAAAGCAAATCCACCTTGATATGAATGATTACAGCTTCGCCGACTCTTTCCGGAAAGCTTTTCATCTGTTGCGCAAGCGGTTTCCCCGGGCAGACCCAGCCCAAATCCCTCGACCAGCAACCTGGGTCATCTGCGAGCAGTACATGCGCCATGTGTCGAGCTTTCATCGCACATTCATGAAGAACTCCCACAGAACTACAATCGATAAGCTCAAGACATTAGAACTAGCTGAGCTATTCTATGATGCCGGGTTTTATGTCTGGTCTCGCCAAACTACTGGCTACAACGGCCTGGATTTTTTGGCGAGCGCGGAAGCCATTCTCAATGACAACAACTTTGAGGCCGACGAAATGCTCCGTGCAAACATCCACTGCATGACGGGACTCCTACTCCTGAATATCGGGGTCATGGGTCGTAGGAAGGGTACCGAGCGCCTCCAAGAGGCCAGAAGAATTCGCAGAATCATCTTCAAGAAAGACCCCACCCGGCAAAAAGATGTCATGTACAGAAATGCGACGAATGACTACGCTCTCTGTCTTCTCAACAAGCACCAGTTCGACGAGGCAGGAAGACTTTTCAGAGCGTGCTTCGAGAGATACCAAGTTTGGGGTAGTGAGAAGGACAACCCTTTTGAGTATTCAAAATACTACGGCAACTACAGTGTGATTCTCATGTGGCAGGGAAAGACTCAGGAAGCGATCGATTCTATGAAGAGATGCATGGAGTACACTGAAAAGTTCAGCGGTAGGAAGGCGCAATATTACCGCCGCCAGTTCATGCTTGCCTGCCTTCTACTCCAGCATGGAGATGAGCAAGGCGCACTTGACATGCATCTTACAACTCTCAAGGCTCGGCTTGAGTTGCACGGAAAACTTCATGAATTCACCATGGATAGCACGTATGCGGTCGGTCGTACGTACTACCATATGAGTGATTATCCCAATGCTATGTAAGCCTGAAGTCCTCGCTGTCTGAAGTCAATTTAAAGCTAACGTCCTTTCACAGAAAATATATAGACACTTGTATTGAATGCGCAAAGAATTCCAAATGGCCCGAAGAAGCCCTTGGCAGGGCAAAGCTTAACCTGGCCGAGCTGTACGAAAAGGAGGGAATTGGAGGAGCAAATCAAATACAGGCGTTGCGAGTGGAAGCAAAGGTGGTCTCGGACAAATACTCGCAGTACACTGCGAGGTGTGTTCGTGAGGGTGACAGTGATTTGGCTCTTTTCGACGATTTGCAACCGACGTTCTTAGGGCGATACCTAGGGCGGATGCTTTTGACTACTCTTCAAAACGATTACAGACAAACTGGTACAAACGACGAGTAGTCTGTTTTGGTTTACTTCTGTGGCTCGTTCCATTTTTTTTCTTCCAATCGGAAAGGAAACAATATCGCGGCGATGACATTCGTTGGTATACAATAGTAACAAAATCTTGTGTGCCTTGTTCTTCAACACATTTCTGCTTTATTGTCTACTTTCCCATAAATTATAAACTTATAGTTGAACAGTCCAAATCTTAATAACCCCTTGATCATTTGTATATTCGTATCCCGATTTATAACCCATCGATTACCAAAATCTGTGTTCGATACTGTATCAAACGTAATGTCTTTTGGGGGACTTCTTCGTGAACACTCGAGCGAATCTGAATTCGGCGAGTCAGTTACAGTTGGCTACAATTGGACCAAGAAGAAAATTGGGACGTACTGGTTTGGTTGAATCTTTCTGGTGATGGATGCCAGCCTGTGTTATGCCGCAATTGAGCCCTCTCCGTAGCATACCATGAGCTTCTTGTCGTAAAATACAAGAGAGTCCTTTTCTTGACCGAAATTCGGATCGTCCGTCTGCGTCACATGGGATTTCTTCCAAGGCTGTTCTAATGTTTCCTCTTCCGAGGCGACCTGAACCCATCTTGGCAATATTCTGTTAATACCAGAAGTCACTACGTTCTGGGTTTCCGCTATTGAGCTGGTAGAAGATTCCATGCTGGGTGATAAAAGCGACTGGCGGTTGGAAGTTGAGGCTCATTGGTTGTAATATCGTAATGTTTTCCTTTGCAAATACGGGCTTTAGTCTTGCATTTATATTCATATTGTCAAGCATTGGAATCCGCCACACTGTGGCCCTTCCGCCCCACTTGGCCGTACGGGCCTGTAATTGGTCAGAAGGCACAAAAGCGGGTCCTGACACTAGTATTAATACGGATCCCCAGAAGGGTCGCGATGTATCTATTTCTTCCTTAGTACACAACACTCTTTCGCCCACACTAGACCCTATTCAGCCTCCTGCTCCTCACAGTGCATCACGTTATATGACCGCTACGTATAGCCTCCTTTAACCTTCACACATATTTACCCGCCGTGCTAGGAAGTACTCAAAGGTACATTCCGATAGCACTCCACATTTGTCACACTAAGCAAATTACTTTGGCTGGGGGCTCCAGCTCCTGATTCGTTTTAGTGCCATCGTCTTACATACGTCTATAAACATATAATATACTGCCAGCATCCTCATTTATCAGTTTCTATCATCAGCCGTGGCATTATGCCGAAGTCCCGAAGATGGCTGGCACGGTAACAGCTAAAGTTAACTACTTGAAAAAGTTGCCTCTATATGAAAGGGAAAAACCGTTTCAATTGTTCATTCCTGTCGACAAGAACTCGGCCGATCCCAGGACCTCGAATCTAGAGTTCGAATCGAAAGAACAAACGTTCGTCGACATTAGGAACAGCAGCTCCGTGTTTTCGCTCGATTCTCACGGAGTCCGGATAAAACAGCACCCAACCTCGTTAGGCCCCACAGCATTTGCAGATCGAGCCGTGGTAGAGTCCGACTACCTTCCGGAAGTTGAGCAGATATTAAAAACCATAGAAGGTGGCTACGATAAGATATTCTTTTTTGACTGGAGGGTAAGTGGTTGCTACAATGTACTTCCTATGGGAAACGAAGCTTATATGAAATCCATAGGTCCGCAATTCTGCGATACCCAGGGAAGAAGTTGAATTCGACATGAATGACCTTACAACTTGGCTCCGCCCTTCTCCAACTGTACATGTGGGTAGGTACAACTCGTTGTTCCAATAGTTTTTTTTTTTTCTTTAAATTATTGTCTTGTGCCGTCCCCATTCAAAGGGCAGATACGGATTCTTACCCATAACAGATCAGAGCCCACGCGCCGTGCTCCATCGTGTTCAACTGCACCTACCCGATGAAGCTGACTACCTATTGCAAGGGAGGGTTCGCGTGATAAAGTAAGTTACCACACCCCTTCCCTTTTTCCGTGTTGAAAAGGACCCCCATATTAAATTGGCCATAACAGCGTTTGGCGTCCAATCGAGAACGTTGTCGAGGACTATCCTCTAGCGTTTTGCGACCCAGCGTCTATAGCTGAGAAAGAGCTTGTCGAATGCGACCACGTTAGGCGGAAATTTAGGGGTTCCACCCTCTACTCATACTACAGCCCACTACATTCTTGGTTTTACTTGGGAGAGCAACGACCAGATGAGGTTCTATTGCTCAAGATGTTTGACTCGGATACCACGGTCAACGCAACACGTAAGAGCAATGCATCGTATCTAGCAAGCACAGACAAGCTAACAAGAGTAGGGTGTCTGCATGCTTCGTTTCGCCATCCCGGCTCAACAGAGACTTCTAAACCGCGTAAAAGCATTGAGGTTCGGGCCTTGGTTTTCAATTATCCCAGCCACTAAATATCAACCAGTCCATATAACATACAGTACCTCCAACAATTGTCTTATCAATTTTTCTGTCATAGTTTCAGAGAAGTGACGTTATCCTCATAGAGTAGTATGGCCCACTTTTATGTTCTCCATAAGATCCCGCATCCCCTCCATGGAAGACACCAGCTTTGCGGCTTCGGACGGTTGTCCCGTCGCAATTCTCTCGATGATGGATGGCGGGGCATCCAGGTAATTGATAAGGCGATCAGACAACCCTGTGCTATCCGGAGTAAGACGGCTGTCAGTGTTCTAAATGAAACTCCGATTGTGGACACGACATGAAGCAAGGGCTGATTGGAACTAGTTGGGAATGGTGAACATACTTTGGTAGGTTGGAAGCATTACTTGCATTCACATATTGGCACAAGCAAGTTTTGGCCGGTAAGCCGGGTGGTTTAACGAGCATGCTCCGTATTTAATATGGAATCCTTGATGCAGGCGCTGTGGAACGCTCTACTCAAATAGCTTGTGGCTCCTCTTATACTTTTTATACTTTACGCAAATGCCTACTGATCACATGAACTTCGCCTTTTTTTCCAGAGCACGCCAACTTTCCATCGGCCACGTCGACAAGATGTCTGTTTTCAAGGCGGATCTATCAATCGTTAAAGCAGCTTCCAGGAACTTCGCAGCATATGGCCGAGACAAGATGTGCGCGATGCAAATAAGAGCACACCTGCGGACTTCGCACTCAGTTATATAACTAGCTGTTCATTAGTAAACAGCCCTGTTGTTCTCCGTATCTACAGAGTAACGCGGGACTACGGGACTGGCTTAGCCTAAGTGGGTCTTTAACTGATTATGCGTGTCCAGTGAGCGTGTACGGAGTACTTCCGAGATATGCCGACGTACTGATGTCAGGGCATTCTGCGCCACACGGTACATGATTTTTTCCACCACACGGCACAAGCCCTCAAAACAGCTCAATTTGTCTAGTTCGTACGACAGGTCTCAAAGGCGGATCGACATACCTAGTAACATATATAAAAGAGCACAGCTGTGCTGATGCAGACCACATTTGCGGGTATGTGGTTTTGATCCGGAAGTTTGGATACTTCGAGGTACTTCGTGCTTTGCCAATAACGATTCAGCTGGCAGTAATTTGGTTTCATCGTAATTACCGAAGTGGTCTCAGAAAATAAATTACTGCCATTCATTTACTATGTACGAAGGGAGAGGCCTGTACCACTATTTGCATCGCCCTTGGTGAAACCTAGGTCTATGTCACGAAAAATGGTTTCGTTGCAGCCTGAAGTAAGTCCAGCATCGTCTAACAAGCAGCAATGCACCAATCGCTTTGCACTGCATCGATCCAGGTACGGGCTAGCAGGGCAATGGAGTAATTGGCTTGTTATCAATAGCCTATGTGAAACATTTGATATTGCGACCAGGAAGTTTGTTTTTCTTGGTAACCTGGGCATCGGCTCGAATAAAATTGCGTATGTTCCTACGGAGTAGTGCCTTTACCTTGGCGGTACCTATCGTAGCAAGCTATGGAAAGACAAATGTGTAAGTGTTCTAGCCCTCTCGGGCTAATGCATCTTTGTGCAATAGAGTCTGCCAAATCACAGAATTGGTGGCATATATGGGGCTGTGCAGCCTCTTGACGTGTTCAGATGCACGAGCTTGAGGGCAATCTAAATAGTTTGTTTTAGAGATATCTGCTTATTTAGAGGATGAGCTCTTCGAAATTAGTGTAGCAGCCGGCATGTTATTGTATTGGCTGAATATAGACTGCCGTGATCCTCGAAATCGAAATTGTGCTCCGCAAGGAATCAAAACACTACTTATAGCTGTTTTGGTGTGCTAGATACGAACTTGGTTTGTTCAACAAGTGCTTTTTTGGCCAACTTCATTTCTGTTTCGACGCAAACCCCGAGCCATAAATTGAATCATGATTACAAAAATGACAAGCTGCTTTTTGTAGTCTTGACCAAGTCAAACGCCGTGGATGTTGAAACCGTACCCAAGGCACCCATGGTAATGGTCGAGCACGGCGCGTCGTAGACAGAGGGGCTTGTGAAAAGAGCCTTGGGAACGTTGTTCAGACCCAGCTGAACGAGGGTTTCGCTGCCGGGATCAAACAAGGGCCAGCCAACTCGGGCGAGGCCGTGGTGTGGATCGCTGCAGAAGGCAAACCATGCTTGTTGCATCACAGTGGTGAGCTGACGCTGGTCAGCCGAGGTAGGCAGACCGCTGACATCGGCGGAAGCGCCAAAGATCATGTGCAGATCAACGCCGTGGTAGGCGCCTGAGGTCGGGTACAGACGGGTGTTATTCCAGTTGGCAAAGTAGCGGTAGGCATATGAGGGGATGCCATGCTTCCGTCGAGCGGTCACCTGGTACGAAACGGGACAAGTAAACGACTCGAGGAGAAAAGTGGTGACCTGAGAGGTTGTGGGAATGATGCCTTGGGCATAAGCCGGAATTTGATAGTAGCCATTCTCATTGTCGTTATTTCCATAGAGGATGGGCAGTTTGGAGAAGCTGCCCTTGACGGTCAAATTAACGTAGTCTGAAAACACGAGCTCGTTGTCTGGCTTGGGCCAGAAAGCCGGGATGGAACGAAGAACACTGGTACTCGAAGCTGGCTTTATGGATGCGGCAGCAGACTCGATTGCCGGCCATTCCACCTCACGTATGCATGCCATAGTGTCGACAGCACTAGAACAATTGACTGCTGCCACGACCTTGTTCCAATTTGCCTCTTGGACAGCCTGGGTGTTAACAGGGAAGCTGAAGACATTTCCGGAGTGTGCGATGATACCCTGGGCAATAGGGTCATCCCGATATGCATAGGCCCAGTAGTCCACGCTGACACCACCAGACGACTGACCGTCAATGGTTATCCGAGAGGCATTGCCACCGAATCCGGCAATGTTGTCCCGGACCCACTCCACGGCAGCGCGTTGGTCGCGAAGGCCGAGATTTTGAGTCCCGTTTGGATAACCTGGGAAGCCGAAGATGTTGAGGCGATAGTTGACGGTCACGACAACAATGTCTTCGGCTTCGGCAAAGTAGCGGCCGTTGTAGAAAGGCGTGTCTGTGTTTCCAATGGTGAAGCCTGTAGACATCAGAGCCTCATCAGCATGCGGGCGTAGAAATGTGGCATATCTTGCCATGGAGACTCACGTCCACCGTAAAAAAAGACAAAGACCGGTTTTTTGGCCTTGTTCGCATTAGCTGTCGGCTTGGACCAGACATTGAGCGTAAGGCAGTCCTCGCTCTGTGAGGTGCCGGCTGCCGAAGCAAAGTAGTTGACAATCCTCTGGGCCTGGGGTGTGAAGTCCGGGTAGTCAACTGATTTTGATGCTTTGAGAGGGCAGTCGTCACCAAATGCGGCGGCCTCGTAAGGTTCCGTGGAGACAAACCGCTCTGGAGCTGCGAACCTCAACTTTCCTACAGGGGGTTTCACGTATGGAATGCCGAGATATTCGACGACACACGAAACGTTGGCTGCTCTATGTCCGGTGATAGGCCCGTTGCTTGAGTCGACTATGAGGTATTTTTCTATCCCATATTGACAAGGATTTCGATACGCGGACACGAAGCCTGAGAATAGGGCAATGGCCCTAAATGGGACGGCGGAATGCATGATGAGATTTTTGAATACTCGTGCCCCGATATGGTCTTTGTGCTGGAATTAAGGCGCCTTATATGCAATATGACGGCACATACACAATTTTTTTGCATTGAACTGGTAAGCTGCAATTAGGCGAATCTTCGGAATTTGTATCCCGGCTTTGAGGAGTGGGGTTATACATAAGTGCCGGTTGTTGTATCGCTGCATGAAGTCGGAAGTGAAGGATTCAGACTTCTCCAATTCTAGTGCAGCACACCGATATTGGGCCATTGCCAGCCGGCGCAATACCTGGAGTAGGGAGAGAAACCACATAGTCTAGTTGCAAGATTCTTGTGTCTTATTAGTAGCCTAGGCCGTTCATACTTTCACAGAAGCGCCTAAGTTGAGAACTAGTGCCCCGTCTTTGCAACGGTAGAAGACGAACGGAGAAGGCCGTCGTTGCAAGTGAAAGCTTCAAAGATATCTGAAGGATGTGTCAAACAGAATTTATTTGATTGTGTTTGTTTACTTTCAAGGACAGGATGCTTGTAAATCCCCACTATATAGGCAGGTCCAGGTACTTGCTCCACGTAGTAAGATGCGTACATCTTCGTACATCTACTAGTTCTTAGTACTTCCTTTCTTCGGGCTCAGTTGAGCGTCTTGGCTGCCCATCCGATTGTCGGTACGGTTGCGCCATTGAAGACGACAAATGCGCTCTTCAGAGCGACGTCGCCGAAAATGTTGATACCAAGATCGGAGCTGTCCTGCAGGCCACCGAAGCAGGTGGTGCCTTCGGTATCGACAGGGCCATAGTTCATGTACTTGGCCGGAATGGTAATCTTCAAGGACCCGACGCCGAACGTGAAGGTAGGCAGAGTGGCGCTGCAGCTGAACACGTAGCCGCCGTAGTTGCTGTTATCAGCAGCTCCGCTGACCTTGGCGTAGTATGCCTCGACAATGCTGAGGGGCAGGTACAGCAGAGTGGTGCCGGTGTCAGCAATGCCGACAAGGGCGGTGGTCTTGAAGGTGGTCGAGCCAATGGAGTAGCCAGACGAGGTAAATCTCCAGTAGCCGGGGTAGGTGTCGACGTTGACATAGGAGATGGAACCGGTGTAGAGAGACGAGTCAATATAGCCGAAGTTGTAGGTTCCGGCTGCAAGATTGGTCAGTTTTTTTCCCTTTTCCATTTCCCCTACTCCTTTGTCAGACTTACGGGCTTCATGCTTAAGGTCGGCCGTGAACAGCGGCTTGCTGAGCGAGCTCTTGGCATTGTCGAAAAAGGTCGGCACAGCATCGGGATAGACCGAGTTCAGGGTGTCAAAGCCCAGGCCAAGGAGGCCGTCAACAGCGCTGTCGTTTGTGAAAGCGGACGACACCTTCTGTGCCACCTCGACGTCCTGATTCACAGTGATGCCGGCAATGGTGACGGTGTCAGAGTACACGATGCCGCTGGAGGAGCTCGGGTCATCCACGCTGCCGTAGTTGATGCTCCAGCTGGAGCCGTCCTCGAGCTTGGCCGTGGAGCTCTTGCTGGGGTAGTAGAGCGTCTGGCCGTTGACCTCGGACGTGTCAGTCTCGCTGCTGAAGACCCACATGTCGGACGAGCCGGTATCGAGGTCGAGCTGCAGGACCTGCGGCGGCGTACCGATGCTGACAGGAATGGTGTAGGCATCGTCATAGCTGTCGACGGGCGTGGCCACAGAGCTGCCCTGAGAGCGCTTCTTGACCAGTCCGGTCCGGTCGACGGCAGCCTGCAGGTAGTCCGGGATGGGCTTGCCGAACTTGAGGTACGTCTTGTAGATGGAGACGGCACCGTTGAACTTGTAGTTCTCGTTGCGCACCTGCATCAACGAGGCGGTGCCGTCTTCTCCCGCGAGGGAGGCGGCGCCGATTCTTGTCGGCACGGCGGCGGCCATGCTGGCCAGGCCGGCCAGCGTGGCGGCCGCGAGAGTCTGTGTGAAGGGTGCCATTGCGGTGACGTGGACTCGATCTGGGGGACTTGGAAGATGTGCGACTGTCTGAAGCTCAGGACTACTGATGGAGAAGCGAAAGCATCGCGTCCTTTAAGTAGCTGCGCCATAAGCCATGACGACTGAGCAGTCATATGGACTATTGCATAGACGATGCCAGGAAGGGAAGTCGGCACTCGTCTGCCCATCGTGATCATCCCCATGCTGTTAGGCCAGCTATCACGGGCACTCGTAATGCCATTATAGGCAGCTGGACGGCGACAACGGAATGAGGAAGCCGGCACTTTTGATACTACCTTCCCCGAAATTGGAAAGGCCTGGCCCGCAATGTTTTGCCGACGTGATCAGTCGTGTGCCGATGGGACGACGGCGACAAGCCAATGCACAGACCAAAACGAAGGCCATAGTCTAGACGAAGATCAATTGGCGGTTATAGCGCTGTGATTGGCACGTCCCTTGTACGCTGTAGCGGCTTTAGGGACCTACCGAATCGGCATTAGGCAATCTTGATTCGGTGTCTGTCCACCAATCAGCGATCAGACGGCTTCTTGGCTCGCGATAAGTGACGCTGCCGTGCATAATTGCATCGTCGAGATCAGTTCGTTGCAGGGATTGGCACACGCAACGACGGGACTCTTAGTCACGAGGCTGAGGGGGCCCGGGACTTTTTTGACAGACCACGGTTCGCCAGCCATCCGTTATCGGGCTCATAATCAAGGTTAGAGGTTGGGTTGGAGGTCAGGTTGGAAGCTGTAACTTCCAGATGCGGAAGTTGTTCGTCGCATCAGCATTCCACTCACGCATCTAAAAGGGGCAATGAGCCGGACGGAATCTATTTTGTGGGCTCTGGCAAAGTGTTTTATACGATACAAAAGGACTGTCTGATGTAAGGGTTCTTAGCTTCTCCGGACCCCGTTTTGCACCAGTGGCTTCATGCTCGAGAATGCGTATCTTGCAATCTTCCACTGTCCACCCTCTACCTTCATGAGGAAGAGCTCCTGGTTGGAGTGTGACTCTGTTTCCTGCGTCTTCAGCATCGTCTTGGAACCCTCGGCGGTGGTCCGTGCGAACGCCCATTCGTCCGACTGCACCACAATTTCCTCGATATGGAACGAGATATTGAGCTGAACGCTGGAGAAGATCCGCGTGTACGAGTCGTGCAGGGCCTGTGCACCCACGCTTGCTGGGAAGTGCGGTGCCAGGATCACACCATCGCTGGTGTAGAGCGAGACTGCTTCCCCCACGTTGCGACTTTTCAGAGCCGCCCCATAGGCGTGGAGCGTGGCCGTGATTTGTTCAGTTGCGGTTGCCGTCACTACGACCAGTCAGTCTCTAATTGGTCCGTTGCATGCATAACGACACGTACTTGTCAATGGTTGTGGCTGTTGTCTTTTTGCTGAAGGTGTGATCGTCACGGCGCAATGTCGTAACTATTGGGAAAGACGAGGCTCACAATTTATCATGAATCCTGTCCAAGGAAGAGTGGGGGTCTCCGCCTTCAATGGCTGCTAATGAAGAGAAGGAAGAGCTAAAGACTTGCAAGCAAATGCAGATGTGGATGTGCGAGCAACATGGCTCGTGCCCAAATGAAGACAGGGGCTCGATGCCGTAAATCATAATCTTGTGCCACTACGGTGTTTAAGAATCTTACAACTAAACGATGGAAGGCTATAATCATTGGCCTATCATCCCCAAAGAAAAGAAAAAGAATTTGTAATGCATATATCATCCATCCCGTTGCGTTTTATGCAGACGCGATTCAGAGGCCGCCATTTTCCGAATGCTCCGCCTTAAACGTTTAGCGGCGAAAGCTAGTTCTCCACTCCGTTCCCATTCTCCCACTTTTGTCATTGCAAAGAGAATGGTGCAATGTTCGGACGCTCGGAATATTGCCAGCTACGGAGTACAGCTTGCTCAGAATACCGTTTTCATCCAAGATCGACAAGTGGCTTTCACTGATATCGGCATTTTCAGCAACGATCATCATGCCCCCGCCATAGCATTAGCCATGGCAATTCGTGCAGCAGCAGCCAGAGAGCCAACTCTACGTCTTCGGATCCATGGTAGATACTTTGCGTCGAGCGACATCCAGTGTTTTGCAATAATATCGCGCATATGTGACATAAGGCAATGGCCTTGAAGATGTCTGTTCCCCGGCGAATACCACCGTCGTAGCCACACTCATATTCTCAGCCGCCTGTGAGATGCTTTTCTCGGCGTAGGAATGCGCTAGGGCGTGCATGGCCGTTGGAGAAAATCCCAAGGGGGAAGCCGTCGTTCTCCCCGTGATTGTGGTGCGTATCAATGTCTGGGTCAGAACTGACTAGTGCATGTGGCCGTATCTTGTATCGGTCGAATTCTTTTGTGTCGTTCAGTATGTTGCATCGAAGATCGGATGAGAAAGAGAAAGCCAGAAAGATATGGGACAGCGTATGCTTACATAAGCATGTTCATGGCAGCTTTTTGGAGGCCTCTTCTCAAAGTCCTTGATACTACGTAAAGAAAATGCGTATCGTAGTTAGGCTCGCTATTCGCGATGGTGTCAGTGATATGTCCAATTCGTCTTGGTTCGAGTTAAAAAGCGGCCTGGAGAAAGAACGGAGTAATAAAGAATGGATTGCTGGGTGGTGTAGTCTACGTCTGCGGATACGTGTATATAGCATACGATCCTTAGGTAATCTTGGCCTGTCTTTAATAGCTGCTATCTACCTGGTTATTACTGGCCTGTACTGTTGACCTAAGAAAGAATGACAAACGCATTGATGCCCGATATATGATCAAGGAACATATCAGTGAGCTACGGTAACATCCCTTACTAGTTTTTTTATCACCCTTTTTTTTGATTGAAAGCTACGGCGATCCTGCCAGATATGGAAATGACTGCTTGAGAAAGCTATGGAAGGCTTGGTAGAGACACAATATATTCCACAAGCAGAGCTGCAGATGAGGAGCTACTTCAAACTATAAGGAGTACGGAGTACCGGCGGTATGTTCCGGCATGCGCAGGGGTGTAATTATAGTTTTGTTCTTTGTCTCCGAGTGCTACTAATGCGAGTTCGACCTTTCAGATAGGTCAGCCAGCAGCAAGAGTTCGATCCATTAATCGGAATTGGAAGTCACGCCCTTGAGGATGAGCAGCCGTCCTCCCTCAACACGGACGACCTTTCCGTCCATGAAAGCGCCCGCTTTACTGGTCAGCCACAGCGCCGTGCCGACCATGTCCTCTTCGGTGCCGGCCCTTTTTGCCGGCGTCTCGCCTGCCAGATGAAGGTTCGAATTTGCGTCGGTGGTCGTCATGCCCGACGGGACGATACCTGGCGAGATGGCGTTCACGCGAACTGAAGTTGGTCAGCATGTCACGCGCTCGATCGAATGTCTGTTGTCTTGACGTACTGTAATATTCAGCAAACTCCATGGCCATGATACGGACCAGGTGATCGACTGCCGCCTTGGATGTCTGGTAGCACGGCACAAACTGGTTGTTGTGCACGCTGGCCGGGCTCGAGAACATGATGACACAGCCACGGCCGTCTCCCTTGGCAGCAGCTGCGCCGAGGAGGCCGACCAGACCAGCCGTGAGGTAGTAGGGTGCCAGCACGTTGACGCGGAAGGTGTGCTCCCAGCCCTTGTACGGTGCCGACAGCGTGGCCGCCTCCAGCTTGTCGAGGCCCTCACCCGGGCTGTAGGTGATCTCGTTCATGTACCGGATGGCGGCACAATGGATCAGTGCGTCGAGCGAGCTCCCAGTCGCCTTGATGCGGTCAACCACCTGCTGAACTCCTTCCTCGGTTGCTAGGTCGCCGTGGATACTGTCTGCGGGTCAGCATCGTGCACCAACGGGACAGATGGGCAGAGGGAACAACGTACGTGATGGTGTCGGCCGGTGCCAGGCCGGACGAAGAGCACAGCTCTTGCAGCTCTGCTTTGGCTTCCTCTAGCGCCTTTCCGTTCACGTCCACCAGTATGGTCTTTGCTCCGTTAGCCGTGAAGCCACGGGCCAGCATGCGACCAATGCCACTGGCTGACTCATGGTGTAAGTTTCTTGGCTTTCTCCCATGTATTGTCTTGTTCATATCTGTCGGCTGCTCTTACCTCCACCAGTAATGGTGACTGTGCGTCCAGCGACGTCAAAGAGCTCGCCCGAGAGAAGGTTTCTTGCTGCCATGGTTTTGTCTGCTGCCAGTCGTGATGTTTGACTGAAGAAACCAGCATCACGATTGCGTGACTTGCAAGCTAAGCCAGGTCATAACCGAGTATCCACGATCGGAGTTTCTCGAGCTTTTAAAGTCCTACTCGGTCATTCCCGATCAAGACCAAAGCTGCTTATCGGATTATAACGTTTACATTACAATTTCTACCGACTCCGACAGAGATGTCCGTACACAGAGCACAACAGTGTTATCGCAGAGGCTTGATTTGTACATAACGTCTGATTGACTAGAGATCCAACCAGCTCAATACGCAAACTTTGCCTGTCCATCGGCCTTCCAGACCTTTGCGTCCTTCATGACGAAGCTGACATTGCGAAGTGCGCCGGCTGTAGTTTCCGGATTTTCGTCGACGGCAATGATGTCGGCCTGTAGTCCGGCGTCGAACCAGCCGAACCGGCGGCCGCACCGGTTGCCGCCACAGGCCTCCCAGCCGCCGATGGTGCAGGCCTCGAGCACGTCGGCAAAGGCGACGCCGGCCTCGAGCATGAGCTCCAGCTCGCGCACGTTGTCGCCGTGGGCATACGTCCCAGTGTCGCCGCCGCAGGCCACACGCACGCCCAGGTCAAAGGCGCGCTTGACCTGCGGCAGGATCTCGTGGAAGCGCTTTGCGTGCAGCTTCTCGGCGACGGCCAGCGTCGGCACCAGAATGACGCCCTTGTCGGCCATGCGCCGATACATGTCGTCGGTGGCAAAGTAGGCGTGCTCGATGGAGTCGACGCCGGCTTCGATGGCCGCCAGCGCGCCCTCGAGCGTGCAGCAGTGCGCTGAGACCGGACAGCGGGCCAGCTGTGCCTCGGCCACGATCATGCGCATCTCCTCGGCCGAGAAGACCATGTAGTCCGGGTTCGGCTCCTCGGGTGGGTGCAGCACGCCCACAATGTACGGGTGCTGCTGGGCCGGAGGACAGCGCATGATCCGACGCCGGTAGTCGGCAAAGAACTTGATGATGTCGGCACCGGCGGCAATGCGTCGTCGTACAGCCTGGCGGCACTGCTCCGGACCGTCCACGGCGTCTGCGCTTGACGGCAGACAGTGGCCGTTGCCGCTGTTCTCCGTCCGGCACTCAAACGAACCTGTGCTGGCTAGCACCTTGGTCGCTACAAACAGCCGTGGCCCCGGTGTCAGTCCCCGTGCGATGGCGTCCCGCAGATTGGCGTCACATTCTTGCATGCCCTCCGAGCCGAGATCGCGATACGTCGTATAGCCGGCCAGAAGTGCCGTTCGGCAGTGGTTGACGCCGCGGACGACCCTCTCCGTCATGCTCTCGTCGCGCTTCTGCTTCAGCGCCCCGGCCTCGCTGCAGTCCATTAGCAGGTCCATGCGGCCAATTCTGCTCGGGCTGCCGTCTTACTCGTATGCGTGTAGGAACACGTGCGTGTGTGCATCCACCAGTCCTGGCAGCACAAACTTGCCGCGAAGATCGACATCGCTGGCATTGCATGTCTCTGAGAACGGGACGGCCTCGTCGTCCCGCTCAAACACCCGCACCATCAGACCGCTCTCCACGTCCACTGTGACAGACACATTGTGCCGCACCTGCTTGATCTTGGGGTCAAACAGCCAAGACGTGTGCACAGTGTATTGCGCCATGGTAGTGACGAGCATGTGATGTTACCAAGTCAGCTTTCACAGACCACTTCCATCTCCGTCCCGATGCTTAAGGTCTTCGTCCTTGCAGATAAACCTGAGAAGCTCTCGGCAGATTCCGTTGTCGGTCGCCATTTCCACGCCATTCCCCGGTGGCTTCGTTAGGCTAGGGTGTTAGGCCACTTTTAAAGCCGACGGACGTCTGTTTCCACTCTCTAACCCGCCGTGACTGAATCGTGCTGACACTCTTCACGGATATCTGTACTGTGTGATACGTCCCGAATCAAGGAGAGAAAAGATATTTTCGCCTGCCGCCAGTTTGACCAAGGTCGGAAACAGGCGTAGATAGAAGTGCTATCAGTCATAATGTGTCGAAATAACAAGTTGGCACTGCATATGCTAGCTGCCTCGCAGAAATACAGCCGTACGGAAGTTCTTTGCCCGAATCGAACCGCGTTGGTCTTTTGTTAGCCTTTTACTGCACCAACTTCACTAATGGCTCCCTGCCCATGATGTTTGCCCTCACAACTAGCAATATTGCCAGCCACACGAAGCGGGCTACTCGGCCGCCTTTATCATTGGACCACACTTCTTCATTTCGCACGGGGCCCCCCGTTGTAAAACTGGGTTCAAAGCTTTGATTGTCATGTTCAACATCTCCGCTCTTATGTCGGGTATCTACTACCTGTACATGGGTTTTCTGAACAGGTACAAGGCTGCTGTTCTGGCAAACAGCGAAAGTGGAAACGAACAAGTGGACAACGAAGAGTTCTTCAGTCTAACTGACAAAATCCTGCCGCGCTTTGTGTATTTGATGCGAGATACGCTGTATGTACAGCTTCGAGTTTTCTTCTATCCAGGGGCATATTTGCATATTTAACTTGATGTCTGACCGCCCCGTGCTCTCTCTTAAATCCCACCAAACTGATACTGCGCCCAGCTCAAACTTCCTTCAGGAAGCGTCCAGCGTTGCATTCCCCTATCCTTGCCAGCTGCACCGGCAGCGACAAAGACGGGCAGTAGATGTTCCACACTAGGGTGTGCTTTCCTTGCATCAGTACGCTTCATCAAAGCCACCATAGCTTCCCGTCGATCTTCTGGGCTTGCTGTCGCAGCCTCCTTCAAGGCTTCGTCAAAGCTAGTACAATATCTACGGAGAGTTGTCAGACAAAACTGAGACGGCGGACATTTTCGGGCGTTGACGAGGTTGCTTACGGCATGTTTCTCCCAGTTCCTATTGTTGATCGGAAGTCGTACAAGTTATGAACTGCCATCCCAGCGCCTATTATCATGATGCCTTCGTCACGAAGACTTTCCAGTGCTTCGCCTATACGATAGTGCTGTTCCACGTCGTCATTGGCGAGGAGTGACACTTGTACAATGGGCACATTTAGTGGGTTTTTCGTCGGATGAAAAGCTGTGGATTGAAACCTGTTAAAAACCAATAAAGTGTAAAACTTGGTTTGGCATACATACCGGCCATGAAGCCAACCCATATGCCATGGTCCAAACCTCTTTTAGTTTTTTCGACCCTCATCCCAGCAGCATTCAGTTTCTGGACAACTTTTTCAGCAATCTCAGGACTTCCCTTGTTGGGATAGTCAATTTGGTAGTATTCAGGTGGAAACCCGTAAAAGTCGTAAATCAGATCCGTGTGCTCGGCTGCGTTAATCTTGATCCCCGGAGATTCCTGCCAATGCGCAGAGAATACAACCACTGCTTTCGGCTTGATTTTAGTGGTGATGTCTTTCCCAATCTCTTCTAGCTTGACGTTTGCTGGGTGGGAAGCATTGTCTGTAAATCCTGGCCCGCCAATACCAAGAAAGAACACGGGCATCCTGCGGCCGCCGGTGGAAGTCATGGCGCTCGTTTTGGTGTGGTGAAGGAGATCAGGCACTTCAAGATGCTACAACGTCCTTTCACAGATACAGGGAGCAGTAGTTGTCGATAATGTTCAAATATATACAGTATCGTTTCTCAATAACACGGCTTGGTTTGCAAGACACGTCGCTGATTTGTAAGTTCAGAATCGGAAGCCGTTCGGCGGGTGAATGAGGAGGGTCAAAAGGTCCCCACTTCTGTCTCTCATCCAATGCAATGTGCTGACTGGACCGCTTTCCCTATTACCTAAGCGGCGTACCTGACGTTGGTTTGATTGGACGGTGAGGGCGGATGCAAATCGCCAAGAGAAATCGAAAAGCCATTGCGAAGCTATTAATTCAGTGGCAACCCCATGAACCAACCCTTTGACCTGTTCGCAAAGAGGGGAATAGCGTACGATGTCGCAAGGCACCAATACGAGACATCATGTGCTACTTCACGTGATTTACCTGCAGTTCTTGGCTTGAAAGCTGTAACTTAGGATACGAGAAATTTAGCGGTCGCAACTTCCGCCGTTTAGCGGCTGAGCTTCCCAGAATGCACGCGTCTGGGCCACAAGCAGAGAGCCATTTAAACCACGCGTTTGGCAGATGCATCTCTCCCACGATCAACTAGCACAGGCTCAACAATCCATGCCCTTCCAAACGGACACCGGTCGATAGGAGAACAACAGAAGAAATCCTGGGCCTACCGAAGCTATGGACGAGTCCAGACAGGGCCTCCTCCAACCCGAGAGAGAGGCCCGGAGCTCTTCTGAGGGCAGCGAAAACGATCACGAATCCGATCTCGACGTCACCGAATACCTGAGCTCCGATGCAGAACTCCAGCGCAATTCATTCTTTCTGCTTCGATGGCGCCAAGCCTGCCTTCCTCGACGATGGGTCCGATCCCGACACTGTCTCGTCGCTCTGATCTCGTCTACGGTCTTGATTGCCGTCTTCGCTATTGTCGGTGGATTCGCATACAAAAAGGTTGCGGTAGAGCCAGAGTACGGACTGTCGCCACCTTGGTACCCCAGCCCCAAAGGAGGAACGGCCAGGTCGTGGGCAGCGAGCTACCAAAAGGCATCCGAAATGGTCCGCCGTATGACGCTTGCCGAGAAGGTCAACATCACAACCGGCACCGGCTGGGAGATGGGCCTGGCCGTCGGTACAAATGGCCCTGCGGTCAACGTTGGCTTTCCCCAGTTGAATCTTCAAGACGGGCCTCTCGGCCTCCGGTTCGCAGACAATGCGACGGCACTGCCGGCCGGCATCGCGGTGGGGGCCACATGGAACAAGCAGCTCATGTACTTGCACGGCAAGGTCCATGCTGAAGAGGCCCGCGGAAAGGGCATCAATGCCATCCTGGGTCCGTGTGTCGGCCCGCTGGGTCGATTGCCAGCCGGTGGCCGGAACTGGGAAGGCTTTGGCTCCGATCCCTACCTGCAGGGCGTGGCTGGTGCCCAGACGATCCTCGGCATCCAGAGTCAGGGCATCATGGCCACGATCAAGCACTTTATCGCCAACGAGCAGGAACACTTTCGGCAACCGTGGGAATGGGGCCTGCCTAACGCTCTGAGCTCCAACATTGATGACCGGGACTTGCATGAGGTGTATGCTTGGCCTTTTGGCGATGCCGTCAAAGCCGGAGTTGTCAGTGTCATGTGCAGCTACAACATGGTCAATAACAGCTACGCATGTGGAAACTCGAAGCTGCTGAATGGCATCCTAAAAGACGAGATGGGCTTCCAAGGGTTCGTCATGTCTGACTGGTAAGCTCGCCGTGCGGTGGATCTGCCGATTTGCACGCTGACCTGACACCTCTCCTCTCTCAGGCTTGCCCAACGTTCTGGCGTCTCGACCGCTTTGGCTGGCCTCGACATGACCATGCCTGGCGACGGTCTCGGCTGGCAGAATGGCCAGTCTTTGTGGGGCCCAGAACTGACGCGATCTGTTCTGAACGAGTCTGTCCCGGTCGACCGTCTCAACGACATGGTCACCCGCATTGTTGCGGCATGGTACCAGATGGGCCAGGATGCACCGTCTTTTTTCGATGGCGAGGGGCCCAACTTCTCATCCTGGACAGACAAACAAATGGACAAGCCGTTTCCGGGCAGTCCGTCGCCTCAGACGCTGGTCGAGGTCAACAAGTTTGTCAATGTCCAGGGCAACCATTCCATCGTCGCTCGCCGCGTTGCCGCAGAAGGCATCGTGTTGCTGAAAAACACAGACGGCTACCTACCTCTGGGTGTCGACGGTGTTTCGTCTTCCCAGCACCACGTGGTCAAAACGAAGCATAGATCAAACTCCACAGCTGCCGGCGCAGCCAAGGTGAAAATTGGCATATTCGGCGAAGACGCCGGGAGTGGTCAAGGACCCAATGCCTGCGTTGACCGTGGCTGCAACCAGGGAACGCTTGGGTCTGGCTGGGGCTCTGGTGCTGTCAACTTCCCGTTTTTGGTCCCTCCTGTCGACGCTCTTCATGCGGCCTTTGACAAGGAAAAGGTTGACCTTCAACAGCACCTGATCAACAAACCCAAACCCGAGACATACGCCGATATGGACGTGTGTATCGTCTTTGCCAACGCCGATGCAGGCGAGGGCTACATCTCCTCGGGAGGTATTGCTGGCGACCGCAACGACCTCCTCCTGCAAAACGGAGGTGACGACTTGGTTTATGCCGTGGCAAACGGCTGTGGCCATGGAAGTGGGAAAGTTGTCGTCGTTATCCATGCCGTTGGGCCGGTGCTGGTCGAGCGGTGGATTGACCTGCCCAACGTCAAGGCCGTGCTGCACGCCCACCTACCCGGCCAAGAAAGCGGAAACGCCATTGCAGACGTGTTGTTTGGGCTCGTCAACCCCAGCGGCAAGCTTCCCTACACCATCGGCCGGTCCTTCGATGATTACGGGGCAGGCTCCAAACTCATGTACACGCCAAACGGAGTGTTGCCACAGCAAAAGCTGGACGGAGACATTGACTACCGCTATTTCGACAAAAATAACATCAGCCCACGATTTGAGTTCGGGTTCGGTCTTTCGTATACGACGTTCGAAGTCGGCAACTTGACTGTGCACGGGCTGAAGCCAAAGAGCCCTCTTCCAGCTCCTCGGCCGTCCTCGGCCGTGTCGGTACCAGAATACGACAACAGCCTTCCTGACAAAAAGGAAGCCCTTTTCCCATCTGGGTTTCGGAAGCTGGCAAAGTATGTCTATCCTTACTTGGACTCTGTAGACGACATTGTGGTTCAGCCATACCCATACCCCAAGGGCTACCACGATACCCAGCTCCTATCAGGTGCCGGTGGTGACGAGGGTGGAAACCCTGATTTATGGGAAACGTATGTCACGGTCACCGTTGATGTGCATAACACCGGTCCTCTCTCTGGACAAGCCGTGGTGCAACTGTACCTGGCTTATCCGCAAAACGCTGCCTATGCTGCCGGTGTTGCATTTCCCGTGAAGGTATTACGCGGCTTTGAAAAAGTGCAGCTTGATGGATCCACAACGCAGTCGGTGGCCTTCAATTTGACCAGACGTGACCTCAGCTACTGGGATATACATCGACAAAATTGGGCCATGTTGACTGATGGCCAATATGGGTTTTTAGTTGGACAAAGCTCTCGGGATCTTCCTCTGAAGGGCAGTTGGTAAGGTGTATTCATCAGTCTTTTCGATAAACGCTACAGACGTAACTTTGTAAAAATCGAAGTGTGCATACTCATACAAACTGTCGCTTGAGGCTCCGACCCGCCTCGAAGAATCGTTGGTCTATTCGATCTCTGTGCTTGGTCTGCCCGATGTTTATCTTACGATACAACAGATTCAAGGCCCAATCACCAATTTGTTTTCAAAAGGTTATGGGTATATTGTCTAAGATAATCATATCAAGCGCCTCCACCACAAATCACTGAAAACATTTTCCTTCCTAACACCTCTCGCTCTCCCTGGGTGAAATCTCAAAACCTGGAAAGTGCTGCATTATTACATCACAACAGTCTCTTCCTTGGAAGAATCCTTTTTCTCTGTAGGCGTGACGTCGCCCGTAACAGCAACAGCAGCAGTTTCGCGTTCGGCCTGAATTGCTTTTCCCCGGCCCTTTCCGGTGAGGTCCAAAGCGATGCACTTGAAGGTGTAGGCCAGTGTGCGCCGTCCTTCAAAGACAGGGAAGATGCCCACCGCAGCCAGGGAGCAGAAAATCCAGATAATGCCGACCGTCACCCAGCCGGTAAAGAAGGGCTTTGAGAAGATGTAGCCGGAGCCATACATGGGCATAGGCCAGAGAACGAGGAAGGCGATACTGTGACATGAATTAGTCAGAGGCCAAACAATCAAAGGTTTTCCAACTTCGAGATACGTACGTCAAGAATGCGGTGGAACACCTGCTAATTTTGCTAGCCCGTCGCAGTTTCACCAGCTCTTGCGCAAATTCCGTGTCGGTTTCTTCTTGACCTCCCAGCGTGTTCTCCAAGTCGACACCAGCCGATGCAGCAAGATCGTGGTCGTCGCCTCTGCGAATCGCGAGCATAGACTGCCAGTCATAATGGTCCTGTAAATGTACGCATCAGCACAAGATCTGACAAGTAGTCAATTGGTGGGGCACTTACGACTCCGAAAATCAGAGTGAAAATGGGCACCAAAATCAAGGGCGAAAGCAGAGCAACGACGTTGCCTGCAAGCATGGGGTTGTTTGAGCCGGTGCAGTCCACATCAAGAGACCCGCACTCTTGCTTGGCAGTGACAAGCCATGCTATCAAGGCAAAAGCCAGCCCGAAAATCGGGGTCAGAGAAGCCTAAGACGTATTAGTCAGCAGATGCAATACGGTGTAAGTACCCGATATAGAAATTCTGAATTCAAGTAGAACTCACAGCCCATTTGTTCTGGCCCGACCAGGTGAGGGTCAAGGTGAGGGGCAGGACGGCCGAAGAGACCACGACGCCCATCATGAGGTACAGATAGCCCATGCTGATGCCCGCATACCAAAGGCCAACAGAGAAGCTGGCGATAAAGAGTGCGTACGCGCAGACGATGCAGTGGCTCATCCAAACAAGACTGCGGCCGCTCGCAGCGGGGTTGATGTACGTCCGGTACAGATCGTATGTGCAGATGGACGAGACGGCAATGAGCTCAGACGAGGTAGCCGACGTCACGGCCATGAAGACGATGAGCAGAGTTGCCGCCGCGCCGCCCTTGCCTAGAAGAGCGACGGCGGCGTAGGGAAGAACCAGACCGCTAGACACCTCGGCCTCCGACATGCGCAGAGGGAACGTGGGGAAGTTCGGGTTCGACTCCAGCGCAAGAGCCGCAAGACCCATCGTTGTTGCGGCCAGCCAGGGGATGGCAAACCAACTGAGGCCGCCGATGAGGTAACCAGGCAACGCATGGACCGGAGAGGCAGCAATGGCCTTGTTCCAGTATCCGTTGTCATTGAAGACTGTAGCAAAGTTTCTATGGCAGATGTCAGCACGTACAAAGTCGAAAGTCGATCTAAGATGACTAAGCATACCCAGCGATGTTGATCACGAAGAAGATGCCTCCCTCGCGGGACCGCATGGTGAGGTAGCTGCCGTCCTTGTTGCCGGAGACAGGGTGGGAGGCGGCAGCCTCGACAAGGAGGTCATAGACCTTTGACGGCGAGCCCAGCATGTCGGACGAGGCATAGGTCGTGAGGGCAAAGACGATGATGATGATGAGAAGGATGACGGTGTGGACCCAGTCAGTCAAAATGGTAGCCTTGAGGCCACCGACCAGGGTGTAGGCCACGACGCCGACGGGCAACAGGTAGATGGCCGCGATGGTGTGCATGCCGGTGAGAGCATTGATGGTGGCCGAGCCGCCGATGATGAGCATGAGAGAGACGAGAATGTTTGTGGCGAGGCCGAAGACGAGAAAGACCATGTGGGCGATGGAGCCGTAGCGAGCGCGGATGATCTCGAGGAAGGTGTGAGCGTTGGGCGCGCGGCGCTTGAGCTCGATGGCGAGGGTCGCGAAGAGGAGGATCTGCACGGTGGCGCCGGAGGCATACCAGAACGGACCCGAGACGCCGTAGCGATAGCAGACGGCCGTGCTCTGCAGCAGCGTTGCCGCCCAGGTCCATGAGGAGACGACGGCGGAGCCGACGAGACCGGACTTGACCGTGCGGCCCGCCGTGGTGAACATCTCGGACGTCTGCAGCTCCGAGTTGTAGCGACGCAGGATGAACGTCACGAGAATCATGCCTGTCCCATCGAGACGCACGTATCAGCCTCCGAGACACGATGGAATCACGCACAATGGCAAGACGAGAACATACCCAGCGCAAAGGCTATGCCAAGGCCCAGCACGACGCCATAGCCGACGCCCTGGTCCAGAGAAGGAACCACCATTGTGACCGGCCAGAGAACAATGCAGAGATGTGCCGTATTCAGTTTCAGGAGAACAGAGGCCAACGACTAGTCACAGCTGCGAGACAGCCACCAAAAAAATAGTATATGCAGACGTCTCAGCTTCAGGTACAGCCACGAGGGTGTACCTGGTATGGATATATACGTTTATCCATTATGCCATCCCAAGGGTTGTCAGGCTAACAGCCAGGTTGGATTACTGTTTCGGTCCCATCTGATCTGCTCGTGCACAGTTGAACAACTGATAACAGGATATTGGATCGTGTATGGCTCGATTTGCAATGCAATCTCTGGCAAATCACAGCTTGTCCTTGAAGCTTCATGCAAAGTGGAGAAGGATCTGTACTCCGGCGTAGTTCGGGCGAGAACGGCGAGGAAATCCTAACGCGAAGGCCCCCCCCCACATAGAAGGGTACATTACAATACTCTGTGCTGTATCGGAAGACGGAAGAAAAAAATCTGCCCCTCCGCATCCCCTCTATAAAGTACCGTGGGAGCAAATCTGCTATGTCCGAGCAGATTTACCTTTGTAACAACGTACTATCGCCAAAAGGGGAAATGAGCTAAATAGCGCAATCGGTCGTCAGCAGGAAGAGCTATCTAAGCCAATCAGGACGCAGAATGACACGATGTAATAACGGCAGTCATTGATAAGCCACCGGAGGTACTGTTTTCGAGCAACGAAAAGAGCCCCCCAACCCGATCAACGGCTAATGGGACATGCTAGATAAGACAGCCAGGGTTTTTCCAGCTTTTCCAGCGCTTCAGCAGGCGTGATCGGTAAGATGGGGCGGCCGAGACGACGGGACGGTGGTTAGGCTCCTAGATGCGTTTTCGCTTGTCCATTCTTGGCTTGGCAAATGAGCATAAACTTATTTGCTTAAATTATTCTGCTAATATAAATCTGCACAGCAAAAAACGGCTTTCAGGTTTATTTTAAAAAAAATCTGCACTTCTGAAACACCGTAAGAAATCGTATCCAAAAGTGCATTTCCTGCGTTCTCTACCTGTACTCGAATCTACTCCGTACAGTTGTTTCCCAAAGGGAGATGTGCTGTTTCCGGCAATTACACGCTAGAAAAGCGAGACAGCCTAATGCAACGTAAGATTCACTTGGTGTAGGTTGTAGGTTACATGGCATCTTACGAGCAAACTTCTCATCGGAGAGCTCCGCTCAAGGTGTGTGAGATGAGCATTTCCGGGGTTAGAAGTGGAGAAAGCACGGGCTTTGATGCTCCAGCAGATTGGCCGTGTATCCTTGTACCTTTGGTTGCAAAGACTAACATCCAGACTTTGTCCTGTTACTGTTTTTACTGCCGTAGTAGATACACTGCTAGGATGGCTTTTTCTATTTATCGTCGTGCGAACTTTTCCAAGTGCAAAGAGTTTGATCTATTTACTCGCAAATTTTTTATCGCCTCGTGTCAAACAGTGTTTTATATCACGCATCAAGTGCTGCCATAGCCACACCCAGTCCACCGGGTCGAACCTTTTGTCCCGTAAGCTCACGAACGACAATACGCTTAATTAACGCAGTCCCATACTGAAGGTCATTGCTGCACCTCATATTTCTATTGGCTGGGTCGGAGCAGATGTCTAGCTGTATTATGTATAGGCAATTGTTTCAAAGCTATATAGGTATCACCTTATCTTTGTCTCTTGTAGAAGTGCATCAGCATCTCTACCTGGCTGAAAAAGCTTTCAGAAGCTTCCATGTTTTAGCTTCCGTAGCACGTGCCCAGGTGGTCCGAGAAGGCGTCCAGGACTCTGCTCCATAGCGCTGCCGCGATCATGGCGCGATATAAAACGTGCAGGATCGGCAGGTCGTTATGGAACTTGTGCGGCTCCGCAACATTTCAAACTCTATGCCATTGCTGTAGTCTGCCAAGATGGGCTGCGATGAGCGAGGCTGACCGAGTGGGTGATGCAAGGACTGAGTGGTAATAATAGTCAATGGATGTACAGGGGCTCGCCATAGCTATGCCGTAAACCTCCTGCAAGGCATTTAAGTGTTTGTAAGCCTCAATAGGAACTGTGCTGATATACACTGTTGCCTTTTAGCCATCTCAAGATAAAGAAAGTAAAGCTATTAGAGATACTTTATGCAGGCACATTTAATGACGTGTATGTAGGGAGCAGTCGAGGCAAAGCAAGGTTCTTACTAAGACTTGTGATTGGTTTGTTGGAAGGAAGGAACGAGGGTTGAAGGGGAATTTGACTGAGAGCTGGAATGACCAGTATTAAGCTAAAGTTTAGGAGATTCTGGCTCGTTGCTTCTTGTGCCGAACACTTGATTCTGCTTGCCGCTCAGACAAAACGAAAACGAAAAGAGACGAGACAATAGACCGAACAAAAAAGAGACAAAAGCAAAGAGACGGTATATCCCCCATACCCTTTCAGATCCTGTCCGACCTCCACCTCGAGACGCAGGCGGCTGGCGAGACGTTTGTTCCGAAGTAGACGGCCCCGAACCTGGCCCTGCTGGGTGACATCGGCCAGGTGGCCGACATGAACGGCCGGCTCTTCACCTTTCTCGAAGAGCAGCTGCGCCGCTACTGGAACGTCTTCTTTCTGCTGGGCAACCACGAGCCGACCGGGACGAGCTGGCCGGCTGCCAAGGCGACTGTGCGCAGCTTCGTCACGAGGCCGCCGACACGCACGTCATCGCCAACCAGCGCGGCTATTCTCGGACCCCCGCGGCTGGCTTCGATGCCAAGAAGATTATCTACGTCGGCGAGAGACTGTGCGCAGATGGGGATGAGCTAGGCAGAGCCTGTTCTGAATAAATGAAGATCTGGAAGTCTCTGCCCCCTACGAAGAACAAGAATGGCGATGATGTGAACGAGCCCTACGATACTGAGGAATTGATCAAATTTGATCAATGATATTAAAGGTCAGTGTTTGCCAAAAGCTGTGACTAAACAGCATGATTCGACAGTCTCAAAATAAGTCACCACTTGGACGATCACTGTTATACCATAATGACCTCCACTTCCTTTTACATGGAGCAATGCCGACCAGATATTAATACAGTCCCAAATTGACAGAAAGCTTGCGCAGTGCTGAGTGGCAAAATATTGTCCAAAGGGCCTCAGTAAACTCACAATTGCCACTGTTGAGTTGCGAGGGATCACACTCAGCCTCATCTCGACACTGAAATTTGAAAGCAAAAACCTACCGCATAGTTTCTTAGAATATTGTATCTTCTTTGCATCTGAATTAAAAAAATTGTAAAAATTCACAATACGCTTTCTCCAACTATGGCTGCCTCCATCGTGTCCGTAGCAACGAGTATTAGCTCTGCTGTCTCGTCCCCGACTGGATTTTGGGCTTCCATGGCTACACCTCTGGCCTCTGGGACCCCAGGCATTACAGCGAGCGCACACAACATCTGGCTTGGAGACAACCAAGGTAAGAACTTGCTTGGATCTATTACTCTCAGCTGCTAACTATCATCATTCCTTGTAGGCTGGAAAACGTTCTTCCCTTGCTTCTCTGAGTTAGCCGATACTACGGACAGGCTACGTAGTCTCGTCACGGTCACCGTTACAACATCTCTTGCACCCAGCACCACCGTCACAGCCGAAGTACTTGCAGATATCCCACAAGCAACGCAGGCTGGCACGGCAGAGGAGGCTGAAGAGGCTGATGAGGCTCATGCGCGTGCCCCTTTTCGTGGGGACTGGACAAAGATCAGAAGAATGTGTCGCTACCTTTGTGAGGAAGGCTGGGTGGACGCAGTTCCCGTCTATCAATTTGAGCAGGAGACGGACGGGGGAAGCACCGTCACTGTTATCTACTGCCAGAACTGCGAGGCGTATGGACGCGTCCTAAATGTCACCAGCAGCGACGCCTTGGATGCTGCCATTGTATCTCTTCCATTGGAATCGAGGTAGCCAGATAGCTCTTTTTCCTCTCCCCGATTATCGTAGTGCTCCAAGACGCAACAAGCTCGACCCATTGTCTGAAATCGCTATGTACCGTTTCAACTATAGCACACCACCTGTATATAGTAACAGTAAATACTGCTGAGCCTGGCTATGATTCCCCTTCCATCTTCCGTGTCGCCAGAATCACAGACACGGGCCACTCGATCGCGATCGTGCCGTTGGGCTGCGCATGGACAATCGCCTCCAGCTCCTGCCATTCGTCCACAGCCCAGGTAGTGTCGTCAAAGCCCAGATGGCAGCTCGCCAAGAAGCCGCGAAGCCAGGCCGTGTCCGCCTGGCGGCCCCACGATCGGTCGCACATGTACTCGCGCGCATCCTCAGGCGCCACCTGGCTTGGTGCCTCTTGCCACAGGGCCGCGTCCGGATCGACAAAGCAGAACGGCCGCGGCTCGTCTGGCGATACATTGATGTAGACCCGGCGAGCACCTGGTTCAAACAGGTCCCCCGGCAAGGGCACAAAGTCGAGGCCGGTCATGGACTTGGCCAGGCCCTGTACAGCAGCCGGGAAGATCCGGCCTTCACGTAGGAGCCGCAGCGTCTCGCGGCTCGCGGCGCCGTACCACAGCGTCTCGGCACGCGGGTTTCCCGGGAACAGCAGGCGGAAGCCGTACGTCACGGCAACCAGGCTGCCACCGGGCTTCAGCGTTGCCGCGACCGAGCGGACGGTGGCCTCGCCGTCCATATAGTGAAAGGCCATGCAGACGGACGACAGGTCCACTGATCGGGGAGGCAGCCAGGCGCTGGCCTGCTCGGCGGGACCTTGGTGGAAGGCAAAGCGCTCGGACGGCACCAGGTTGGCTCTGGCCGTCGCCAGGTTGGCCGCACCGGCATCGGACACGACCACCTTGGCGAAGTGGTGGGCGATCACCGCGGCTGCAGTCCCAGGACCTGTTGCAGCAGAAAAAATGACGTTACTCAGCATCTCTCTGATCCTCAGCCCAAACTATGAGGTGCTACATACCCGATCCGAGATCGTGGGCCGTGTTAAGGCTGCCACCGTGACTCTTGTGATGCGCCAGCCACATCGAGAAGAGAGACGCGGGATAGACGGGCCGGAACTGGTGGTAGACGTCCCAGTCAAGGCTCTTGAAGGCAAACGGATACAGCACTTCCCGCTTCCCGTCCGCTGTTACCTCCGTCTCATGCCGCCCTTCTAGGGCTCCTGCTGGATGCGATACCGGGCAGACTTGTTTTATGCTTGCCGCCATGTTCTCGTGTGTTAGTGGTAGTGTAATTTCGAACCCACAATTGCTCTCAGCTTTTGGAGAGACACATACGACGTAGAAGAGGACCAAGAGGGAAGACAAAGAGACCGATGCAACAAAGACGCAACATTCTACGAGGAAGCGCGGCTGCCTTGAAAAGTACCGATCAAGAACGCCTCTAGCTTCCGGACACATCTCCGGCCGAGGAAGGGATGGCACAGCCATAGAGCAACCACCAGCCAGCCATGAGGAGAAGAGGCTAATATAGTAGTGAAACCATGTCAGCAGCCACCCGCCCGGCTCTTCAAATGGCAAGGACAGCGGAACAGGAAGCATCTTGCTCACCGTATTCGGAGAATGATAAGCCAGGAGGCGCCTATTTGTGGCGGAAATAAGCCGCAGATGTGTGGAAGCTGGTAATAGTTCACACTCCCTTGGCACTCAACATTACTGAGCACGAATGCAGTTGCGAAGAACAAACATCCGAGTGGAATGAAATCGAATCTGCTTCGAGCGAGGTCTCGTTTCGACACATGCATATGCACTTGAAGAACCATGGGCGAGTTTGAAAGAAAATGGGGGCCAACGAGAGGAATGCCGATGACAATTGACAACAATTGCCAGGCCTGTTTGGGCAACGCTGCCGCGGAAATGTTCCGCTCTGTCTTCGCTACGCCTCCACCGGTGGCACTGATGTTGCACGCGTCTGCAGCTCGTGCCATGCTTCACCGACGAGACTTCCGAATGACGTGGCAATCCTTTTGCGGTGGAAAACAAGCCCAGCTGAACGTCTCTAGCAGAAATCTTGGCAAAATAACTGTGTATGCAATGTCTATTTCTCCATGCATTTGTCTCCAATCTGCTGGCCGTTGTTGTCACCGGTCCAGTCTTTTAAACATTGCTCGTTCCCGGCATTCCCCTCTAAACCGTCTCGATATAACGCTTTACCTCCCTGAGAATTAAATTCCCGGATTAGCATCAGCGCGTCTTACAGTGGAAAGGGGGAAAGCTTACCAGTCTGTCACGGCTTCGTCCCATTGGCGGATTTCGTGTTCTCTCGTTCCGCCAAAGTGGTCGACAAACTCGTTGCCAAACACCTCCCGGGCAATGCTTGTCGGGGCCATGAAGCGGTTGGTGGCCTCCCGCAGACTGCGGGCCAACCGCTCGCCACCGTCGTTCGTCGTGCCTGCGCCGTCTTGCTTGCCCAGGGGCGGGCACGGTATCGGCAGCTTCTTCTCGACGCCGCGCCAGCCCAGAGCGAGGATGGCAGCAAGAACAAAGTGCGGGTTCGCGTCGGCACCAGCCACGCGCACCTCGAAGCGCGTGGCGCCCGGCTTGGACGTGGGTGGCGAGATCAGCCGGACAGACGCTTGCCGGTGCTCCAGCCCCCAGGACACGGTAACGGGGGCCCAGAAGTTCTCGACCAGGCGCTTGTAGCTGTTGATTTTTGGGGTGCTAGCAGCGGCATGATGTCCGGCAATCCCTCGAGGATACCGGCCAGGAAATACCGTCCCATCTCGGACAAATGCGCAATGTCGGACCATGGCGCATCAGCGTCAGGTGTGTCCCGAGCCAGCAGGTTCTTGCCCGTCTTCTCATCCACCAGGGAAATGTGCACGTGGCCGCTGTTGCCCGGAAGACCTTGGCGCGGCTTGGCCATGAAGCATGGCGTGATGCCGTACTTGACAGCCACCGACTTGACGGCAAACTTGAACAGGCTTGACCGGTCGGCCATTTCCTGAATCTTGCCAAACTCCAGCGCCGCCTCGTACACGCCTGGGCCGCTCTCCGTGTGCCAGCCCTCGATGTCACACTTGAACTTGTTGCACGTCTCGAAGATGTCGTAGTAAAAGTCTTTGTTGACCACCGGTCGCGTCAGACTGTAGCCGAACATGCCTTGTGTCAGTGGTGGCAGGGACTGCACCGGGTTGTTGGCCAGGTACGTGGCTGTGGATGGCTTCCTGTCTGCGCCCGGAGTGTCGGATGGCGTCAGGAAGTTGAAGAACTCGTATTCGACTGTGCGGCTTAGCGAAGAACTGCAAGACAAAAGGATGCGCTGCCAGCAGAGACGGCTGGTGACCCGGGACTGTGCCTACCTCCGGCCATGGCGCCGAAACCCCGTTCTTTGAGCTTGTCGAGCTGGCTGGTGAGCAGGCCGCGTGAGCAGACGCTCAATGGCGCCATTGTGTCCGGGTCGAAGAAGCGAAGCAGAAAGAACGGCACGTTGTCCTCCCACGGGATGCGGCGGAACGTCTGCAGGTCTGGGACGGCCAGGATATCCCGGTACCCGTTCTCCTTGTTGCTGATCCGGAGCTCGCGGAAATACGTCATGTCGTGCATGTCCCAGCCAAAGATGACGGAGCAGAAGCCGAAGCCGCTGCTGACGATCGAGAGGAACTTCTTCTTGGACATGAGCTTGCCCCGCAGCATGCCGTCGACGTCCACGCCGGCCACCTTGACCTTGACATCGCTGCTGAGGATTTGGGGCAGCTTCTCCGCCGTGATGGAACCGTCGTTGGATGATTCCTCGGCCATGGTTTCGTAGCTCTGTTTCCGGTCGATGGCGTGAGATATGATACTCTTTTTTCAATTCTAGCTGCAGGAGGGGACGATATCGGACATTTGAGACGAACAGAGCAAAGTGATATAATGAGTACAGCGGGCTGTCCCCTCCACGGCTGGACGCAGAGATTGTCCTGAAACCGGTCGTATCTGACGAGTAATAACGCATTCACATATTGTAACAGCTATCTTTGGGGGAGGGGCAGGCGATAAGGCCGAAAGGACGGCAAAAGAGACTAGTCGCAAGCTCTTGCAGCTTTTACGTCACGGTTTCACTGAGCGCGATTCTGGCTGGTGGTTGCAAGACGGCAGCCGTCCTGTCCGGAAACGGAAGGTGCTTACGGGTCACACGCCACATTCCCCGAAACGACCGACATCTGCCTCGAGCACGCTGCGCCCAGCGGCCGGGACTCGCACTTGATCGTCGGTAGGAGAGACTGGACATCCAGGTACGGATGGCCTGTTACTTGTCCACCGTGTCGCTCGCGGGCCGACCTCGCCCTGTCAAGCAAGATATATGTCGCGTAATGCGATGCTTTTGGCGGGGCAGCCAGATTAGCTCTATCATCGCAGTGGACCCGTCCAGCCAATAGCCATCCAGAATGGGCGATGTCGGCTAAGCTGCCTGAATCGAGAAACGGACCCCTCTGGGTAATGTAATCTTTTGCGACGCCGACACCGCGCGAGTCTGGTCTATCTTCCTTTTCCACCAAGTAGACATCTTCCATCTCCTGTGTGCCTCCCGGGTCCTTCAAATTGACACTGAAATCCGCCTTTTCCGTCCAGAAAGTCGACTACCAGCACAGCACAACCAGACCAGACCAGTCACATCAAAAACGGACAAAATGGCATCTCCCGTTGGGCGTCTGCAGGGCAAGAATGCCATCGTGACGGGCGCCGCCGGGTGAGTTGTTTCCAGGCGCATGGGGGGATTGGGGGCGAATGAGCTGACAGTGGCGCGAAGTGGCATCGGTCTCGAGACCTCGATCCTGTTTGCAAAGGAGGGCGCAAAGGTGTTGATGGCCGACATCTCGGCGCCGGCGCTGGAAAAGGCGCTGCTGAAGGTCAAGGAGCTCGTTCCTGGGGCGGCACGGGTCGAGACCACGGTCAGTCCTGTTCTTGTTTTGTCCCGGCTCTGTTCCGGTTCCGGGCGCTGACGCTGACGGGATGCCAGACTTGTGACGTGTCCAAAGAGGCACAGGTGCAGGCCATGGTCGAGAGCCTGGACAGCTGGGGCGGTGTGGACGTGATCTTCAACAACGCGGGCATCATGCACGCCAACGACGACGACGCGGTCAACACGCCGGACGCGATCTGGGACCTGACACAGAACATCAACGTCAAGGGTGTCTGGTACGGCAGCAAGCACGCGGTGCTGTCGCTGCGCCGCCACAAGAAGACGCGTGGTTCCATCATCAACACGGCCTCGGTCGTCGCCCTCGTCGGCTCGGCCACCCCTCAGCTAGCCTACACCGCCAGCAAGGGTGCCGTGCTGGCCATGACGCGCGAGTTGGCTATCGTCCACGCTCGCGAGGGCTTCCGCTTCAACTCGCTCTGCCCGGCCCCCCTCAACACTCCGCTGCTGCAGGACTGGCTTGGCGACGACAAGGCTAAGCGCGCCCGCCGTGAGATCCACTTCCCCGTCGGCCGCTTCGGCGAGGCCGTCGAGCAGGCCCAGGCCGTCGTCTTCCTCGCCTCCGATGAGGCCAGTTTCGTCAACGGCCACGACATGGTCGTCGACGGCGGCATGACCAAGGCCTATGTCACCCCCGAGGGCCCCGCCCCGGAGGCACCCCTTAACAACGCGCTCAAGAACACGCTCAGTTAAGCGGTTTTGTTCTCTGTCGGGTTGGCTGTTTGTTTAAGGAAAAAATTAATCTGCATGACTTATCACATTCTGCTTCTGTGCTGAGTCATCCTGCTGTGTTCCTGGACGGACGCCAGACTAAGTCCGGCTTCTCCAGCCCATTAGGCTACCCCAAACTCGGTAAGCATGTGCGCGGCCATGTGCGGCAACAGCGCATTGCCGAGGGTTCGATCGGTTCTTTTAGTGAGGCAGCAACCCGCTGTAACAGGGCGGGGTATTGGGGTACAGGGGTCATCCGTCGTAGCTGTCGACTTCTGCTTTGCCGCCTACCCGTTACCGAATGATAACCCGCCCATAAGCGAGAGCCCTCGGTTCTTTCCCTGGTATTCTGGGCCATGAGCTGCACCGGAGGGGAAGGTACCGCATGTCAGACCGTACCTTCCAAGACAGCGTAAAACAAGCAGCTCGCGCTCGCCTACTCTGTACTGCCTGCTTCTCTTTCGTACTTCCCAGGAAGAGCCCTGAAGATCGAGCATTAAGCACCGCATACCGTATACCGAAACGCGTTCTTTATTTCGCCATGTCTGCCCGTCGTCCTGCGTCGAGGACGCTCAGCGCGCTCTGTGCCGGAGCCCGTCCTGCAGCACGCCGCCCCAGCACGCTGCCGTCCTGTCGGGTTCGCTGCTATTCGGCCTCGACCGAGCCGGACCTCAAGGCCACGCTGCAGGAAGTCATCCCGGCCAAGCGCGAGCTGCTCAAGAAGATCAAGGCGCAGGGGTCCAAGGTGATTGGCGAGCTCAAGGTGGAGCATACGATCGGTGGCATGCGTGGACTCAAGGCGATGCTCTGGGAAGCCAGCGTGGTCGATCCGGACGAAGGCATCCGCTTCCACGGCCGCACCATCAAGGACTGCCAGCGCGAGCTGCCCAAGGGCCGCACCGGCACCGAGATGCTGCCCGAGTCCATGTTCTGGCTGCTGCTGACGGGCCGCGTGCCATCGACGGCCCAGGTGCGCGCCCTCTCGCGCGAGCTCGCCGAGAAGGCCGCCCTTCCGACCTTTGTCAACGAGCTGCTCGACCGTCTGCCGGCCGATGTCCACCCAATGACCCAGTTCGCCATCGCCGTGTCAGCCCTCAGCCACACATCCTCGTTTGCCACCGCCTATGCTGCCGGCCTCGCCAAGGCCGACTACTGGGAACCTACCTTTGACGACGCCATCAGCCTGCTGGCCAAGCTGCCCACCATCGCCGCCAAGATCTACCAGAACGCTTACCACGGCGGCGGCGCCCTGCCGGCCCAGATCGACCTCGACCAGGACTGGTCCTACAACTTCGCCGCCATGCTCGGCAAGGGCGGTGAGGAACACGCGAACTTCCAGGACCTCCTGCGCCTCTACCTCGCATTGCACGGCGACCACGAGGGCGGCAACGTGTCTGCCCATGCCACCCATCTCGTCGGAAGCGCCCTTAGCGATCCCTTCCTTAGCTACAGCGCCGGCCTGCAGGGTCTCGCCGGGCCCCTACACGGGTGAGTCTTTTGCCCCTTCTGCGTCCTCTGCTTCTTGTCTCCTTCCCTCGACACCGTCTGACAGAACCCTACAGCCTCGCCGCCCAGGAGGTTCTCCGCTGGATCGTCCAGATGAAAGACTCTATTCCCGAAAACTACACGACCGAAGACGTCCGCACATACCTCTGGTCCACGCTCAAATCAGGTCGCGTTGTCCCTGGCTACGGCCACGGCGTGCTGCGCAAGCCCGACCCACGATTCGAGGCCCTAATGGACTACGCAGCGTCACGTCCGGCCATTTCCGCCGATTCCGTCTTCCGCATCGTCAAGGCCAACAGCGAGATCGCCCCGGCTGTACTCAAGGAGCACGGCAAGACCAAGAACCCGTACCCCAACGTCGACTCCGCCTCGGGCGTGCTCTTCCACCACTACGGCTTCCACGAGACACTCTACTACACCGCCACTTTTGGCGTGTCGCGCGGCCTCGGCCCGCTCGCTCAGCTGATCTGGGACCGCGTTCTTGGCTTGCCAATCGAGCGGCCCAAGAGCATCGACCTCGCCGGCATCCAAAAGCTGATTGAGAACTCGTAAAAGCCGTTGTTGTGAGCTCTTGGGTGTTCCTCGCAATACATCCGGCTCTGTTGCAATCAGAATCAGCTTTGCTCAGCAATAGCAAAGGCAACCTCATTTCCTCTGAGAGCCCTCGCACATCTTCAAGTAAAGTGGCCTGCACAAAAGAGGGCAGTATGGCCCAATAGCAATAACTTGGTTGGCGAGTTCCCCACTAATAAATGTCTCCTAAATAAGACGGCAAATAAGCTTATATTCACACATTAAAAGAAAGCCAACGCTAGCAAAGTATCGTGTCATAAGATACGAGTGCCGGTGACGAGTTAAAGAAATTGAAAGAAAATTGAAAGAATTCACAGTCTGTTTAGTATGATATCCTTACCATGAAGGGTGACAAGTTTTGGTGGCTATTAATGATGTTTACTTCTTTTGGTACTCCATATTAGCTAGAAGTAACTCTTGCTGTTTACACGTGCGTCTCAATGTATGTCAACAAAAACACATCCACTAAGATCACTAATCTAGGCAGCGAGTATTATCATTGAAAGATGCCTATCGTGAAACTGATATGCAGTGCTTTTGTAAGAGGCCATTCGTAATACGGAGTAGAAGGGAACAGGGTTTTGAAATAGGCTTGGAAAGGCGTTACAAGAGGTGTACTCTGTTCAATAAATTACAAAAAAAGGGCTTTGAATGCAATAGTAGGACGCACGTGATGCCGCGTGGAAGATGTCCTCGAACAACTCTTCTGATAAGACTTGGAAAGTCACAAACTAACGAATAACAAAGTCCGTGTAAGTTCACAAAAGCTAAGTAAGTTCCCCATTTCATAGCCGAGAATGAAGACAACCTCAACATGCTTCTCCTTCCACAAAGACTGGTCAAGACCGTCTGCAGCCTTGAAAAAAGCACCAACGTGTGCTCTAAGGTGATCACACCGGCTGTGACTTGTTGAACTCGTCGGAAAAAACATCAGTCAGGAAAAAAGTCGCGTTATTGTGACAAATGAAGGTAACATGTTCTCGGCCTGCACTGTCGGTCAAAATGTTCTTGTTGTTGAAAGTATCGACACAAAGATCTTCTTTGCACATGCGGCTCGCCGAGATAAGGTTGCAAGGGACAGTTTGGCGAGGGGAGAGAATTCGGAACTATGAACGTAGTTAGAGTACCATCACGTTTCTTTGCTTCGAAGACAGCGGTGCCAGTTAGTGTCATGCGGTCTATACGGCCGTTAGCAGCAACGCCCTGAACTGGAGCTTCCAGCTTGTGAACATCTGCAAACCACTTGGGGGAGTTGAAAACATGATAGGATGAACCACCGGATAGCAAGACTGCGTCTGTGACTTGAATACCACCAGGGATCGCTACTTGCACCGATACAACGTTGAGGCCGAAACTTTCCACACTGCAACTAGGCAGGATAATGACAGTCAACTGTGACTGCTGGGTCTGGCACTGTTCGTTGCCTCGGCGACGTAATACTTGGCGATCAGCTCCAGCGTTTCCCCTCAGCTCAGGGTGTAGTTTAAAACAGCGCGCCTCATCACCAGGATGACAAAATTGGCAATTACTACAGTAACCCCAGTTGGGAGGATGCTGATTACGGCATCCGAAGCAAACAGGCTGATCGGGATGACGTTCCTTGAAATAACCTTTTCTCTCCTCCACACTCATATTGGACACCGCTTTCTTCTTCTGTAGTCTGTTCTTGCGATTGGCACTAGCCGGGAGATTGGTCGTGGAGGTTGGTCTTCTAGCAATTGCTTGATGGAGTGACATTTCCAAAAGCACTTGGAGCAAGGTGGTGCACTGAAAAGTCCCTTTGTAACGGGCAATAATTGCTGGAAAAGCTGGCTCGAATCTGAAGCAGAGAATGCTGCACTTCATCGCGTCAGGGAAATCATAATCGGTTCCTTCCAGCTTCTGTGCAAGTTGCTGAAAGCGTAGCAAAAAGGCGCTGTGAGTAGTGAAAGAGGATAGCTTCAGCCCTGCTAACTCAACACAGGCATCAGACAGGCATCCGCTCCCCAGCAGCAGGCAGGCGCAGATGGCTTCATAATTTCGATGGGGCTCTTTACAGCTGTAGGAGAATCCATGCCGAAGCAAACGCTGATGCATGCCGCTTGTTGTGTTGAAGATGATGTTGGATACTGTAGATCGTGAAAGCTCCCACTTGCGAAATTTTTCAATGCATACAGCCGTGGGTTCGCCTTGCGCATCAAACACCTCCTCTGGAGGGGCAACTGCCTCTGTGTTATGAGCTTCATTGTCTCTATCATAGAGAATAGTGCGAAGGCCGTGGTCCCAGGTGTCGAAGTTATCTTCAGTCAGGTTGGGAATCCGTATGACCAGCCCGATGGTAGTGACCTGATTCATGGTGAAAAGCTTGGAAGCCCCTGAAACTTTCCGCGGCGGGCGAGCTGAGAAAGAAACGGCAGACTGCTTCCCAGTTGTCGAAATAGACGAAGAAGACTACTGGAAAAAGGCTTTTCACCTTACGGTACAGATGAAGCAACGGAAGACAAGCTTCACATCGATAAGCCGAAAGGCCCAGGTGAAGATGCTAGATTGGCTAAAATATCAAAGTCTAACCATTCAAGTATAGATAACGATAAATTATCGTTACTTTGATAAATTCGATGCTTCTTACAAGCCAGGCTGACCTGCAAGTGATGAGCATGTAATATGTACGGAGTACTCTGGTAGATTGTCGATCATCAACTATTAGAGCGAAACTAATAGAGCACAACTTTTGTGAGTACATGACCGGGATGCCTTACTAATCGAATTGCAGCCTGTGATTGGCTAAGTCCCCCCACCAGTCTTCATGCATCCCTATGCCCGTCTCTATGCCAGTTCGTGGGCCAGTCTCAAACGCTGTGTAAATTGTACAGGGAAGAAAAACGTAAAGGGGCACACGCGCGGTGAATGTAAACAACTCAGAGGACAATTGCGGCAGCGTCAGCCTAATACGGAGTCCCCATCTGCCATTAGATAAGCCGGGTGGCGGCCTCGTAAGCCAATCTTGAGGGAGCCAAGTCAGCCGTAAGCATTAGGCGGCAAAATCAGGCTTGCCAGTCTTGACATAAGCACTTCGGCTCGTGTCCGGGGGCCAATAGATAAGGCAATATGTATGTACTTTCGTAGGGGATAAGGCAAAGTAAGATAGAATTTTTTTTTGGCGGGGTACAGATTTTTTTTTGCCGTATTTATTTTCAGTAGTTTGGGCTCTTTCTTTGCAGCCCCCTCTTTTTACATCCTTTATCGTCAACTCTGCGTGCAGTCTATGTGCACTTTCAGAGGCGGCGGCCAACTTTCACCACTCCGAATCATCCATCGGCATTCCAGATCATATTACAATGCCGCATCCGGTTCTGCCTTCCATGAATAAGTCGCTCCCAATCCTCACCAAAGCCGACGGCGATGGGCCTTCGCAAGCAGACATCACTGCAACCCTGAACGAGATTTTCACCGCTACCACGTCAAATGCATCCGTCGAGGCTGCGTATCGCCTTTGCGATGCCCTCCTGAGCAGCCCGGCTGCCGGCTTTCGTGGCCTCACCAAATACGGTGTCGTTGCCGAACTGAAGAAGGCGGCGGGTGATAAGAAGAGCGGTCTTCGCCGGGAAAGTGCACAGAACCTTCTCGGTGCCTTGTTCGAGCGTTTTCCTTCTCGCCAGCCGATCAGCGAGGTCATCTTCCTGATTCAGGATGGCGGCCTAGTTGCTTGTGCGCTTGATGCGCTCGCTGACAAGGGCAGCGTTGTCCGTGATGCCGCCCAATACGGACTCGATGCTCTGTTCACCCAGCTGCATGCTGAGGCTCTGGTCTCCGGCCTCCTGCCTGCGCTCATCACCTATCTGCACAAGAAGACGGGCAAGTGGCAGGGCACAGTCGGTGCTCTGAAGCTGATTCAGCGCATGGCAGACAAAGCCCAGATCGATATCAGTACGACAAAGGCCGAGGCCATCGAGAAGGAGGCCCTGAGAGACATCATGGGTTCCCGGCTGGCCTCGCTCATCCCCATTGTTGAGGCTGGTATGCACGATCTCAAGACTGAGGTCGAGAAGCAGTCGGTGCAGACCATGACGTCGGTCACAGCGCTTCTCTCCAACGACGACGTCGCCCCTCGCCTGCCGCTTCTCATTGACACCATGCAGCACCCGTCGGCCCAGACTCTGCAGAAGGCCATCCATGCTCTTGCTCACACCACGTTTGTCGCCATTGTCACGTCGCCAGTTCTGGCTCTCCTCACTCCTTTCCTCGAGCGGTCGCTTAACACCCCGACTACGGCCCAGGAGGTGCTGCGCCAGACGGTGGTCATTGTCGAGAACCTGACGAGACTGGTTCACGACCCCATCGAGGCACGTACGTTCCTTCCCAAGCTTCAGCCTGGCGTGAAGAGCGTCATGCAGCGCGCTTCGCTCCCGGAAGTGCGTGACCTGGCGACTCGGGCTCTCAACGTCATGGACGTGGCCATGACGGCTGACGAAGCTGCTGTTGTGGAGCGGACCACTGCCGATGACGTGGCCAAGGTCCTGGACGCAGAGATTGCCAAGAAGGGCGGTCTTGCGGCCGACCGTGCCGCATACGACGTTCTTCGCCCGTACATCGGCTCCATGGTGGCAGAGGACGTGAACTTCCGTTATGTCACCCGGGTTTCAACTCAGATCGCCCCATACATTGCCCCAGTGCTGAAGGACTCTTCCGCTCACCAGGCCATTGCCGATGCGGTGCAGGAGTTCTATGTCAGCGAGGATCACCGCAAGTATGGCGAGCCGGAGAAGGATGACGATGGCGAGACCGAAATTGTCAACGCAGACTTTTCACTGGGCTACGGCGGTATGCTTCTGCTTTCGCACACCAACATGCGCCTCCTGAAGGGCCATCGGTACGGCCTTGTCGGCCGGAACGGTGCCGGAAAGTCGACTCTCATGAAGAGCATTGCCGGCGGAAAGCTGGAGGGATTTCCGCCGCAGGACGTGCTTCGGACCTGCTACGTCGAGCACAACCAGGGCGAGGATGCCGAGATTAGCATTCTCGACTTCGTTTCCAAGGACCCAGAGATTGCGAAAGCAGGCCGGGCGCGCATCATTGAGGTGCTCGACGAGTTTGGTTTCACATCTGGTCCTGACGGCCGGCAAGCACAGAAGGTCGGCTCTCTGTCTGGTGGATGGAAGATGAAGCTGGCTCTGGCCCGTGCCATGCTGCAAAAGGCAGACGTCCTCCTGCTGGACGAGCCGACGAATCACCTGGATGTTGCGAACATCAGATGGCTCGAGAACTACCTCAAGACACACCTGGACGTGACCAGCCTGATCGTTTCTCACGACTCTGGCTTCCTGGACGAGGTCACCACGGACATCTACCACTACGAGCCTGGCAAGAAGCTGGCCCACTATAAGGGCAACCTTGCCACCTTTGTCAGCCACCACCCCGAGGCGAAGAGCTACTACACCCTGACGGCCAGTCAGGTGCAGTTCAAGTTCCCACCGCCCGGTCTTCTGTCCGGTATCAAGTCGCAGACTCGGGCTATCATCCGTATGACCAACGTGTCGTATGCGTACCCCGGCGCCACAAAGCCGCAGCTGTCGGATGTGTCTTGCCAGCTGAGCTTGTCGTCGCGGGTGGCGATCATTGGTCCCAACGGTGCCGGAAAGTCTACCCTCATCAAGCTGCTTACTGGCGAGACGATTCCGTCGACTGGAAAGGTTGAGAAGCACCCCAACTTGCGTATCGGCTACATCAAGCAACACGCTCTGGAGCACGTCGAAATGCACCTGGAGAAGACCCCCAACCAGTACCTCCAGTGGCGTTACGCACACGGTGATGACCGGGAGGTGCACATGAAGCAGACGCGTATCGTGTCCGAGATGGACCGTCTGCAGATGGAGAAGTTCATCGAGCCGGCCGCAGGCATGGGCCAACGGCAGATTGAGACTCTCGTGGGTCGGCAGAAGTACAAGAAGACGTTCCAATACGAAGTGTGAGTACAGCCCAACGGCGTCAATCCAACAACACCCGCAAAGCACTCCCATACTGACTGGCAACTTTAGGAAATGGAAGAACATGCTGCCCAAGCACAACACGCAAGTGACGCGTGAGAAGCTGCTCGAGTGGGGCTACGACAAGCTGATCCAGGAGTTTGACGATCATGAGTCGTCACGCGAGGGCCTGAGCTTCCGTGAGCTGCAGCCGGCGACCATCTCGAAGCATTTCGAGGATCTCGGCCTCGACCCCGAGATTGCCAACCACAACGAGATCGGCTCTCTGTCTGGTGGACAGAAGGTGAAGGTCGTCATTGCCGGAGCGATGTGGAACAACCCGCATTTGCTGGTGCTGGACGAGCCGACGAATTTCTTGGACCGTGACTCGCTCGGCGGTCTGGCAGTGGCCATCCGCGACTTCAAGGGCGGTGTCGTCATGATCTCTCACAACGAAGAGTTTGTCGGTGCACTGTCGTCGGAGCAGTGGCACGTGGCAGACGGTCGTGTGACGCACAAGGGTCGTGAGGCCGTGTCGACGGACCGGTTTGAGGACAGCCGCCCGGGCAGCGGGCTCACAACGCCGGGTGTGGCCACGCCGGCGATGTCGAGCGCCATCTCGAGCGCAGTCAACAGCGGCCTGGAGGACAACGCGGTGGGAGACCTCAAGTTCAAGGCGAAGAAGAAGCGCAAGAAGACCAAGAAGGACATGAAGGAGCAGGAGAACCGGCGGCGCCAGCGGGAGATTGTCTGGTTGAACTCGCCCAAGGGCACGCCGAAGCCGCTCGATACGGACGACGAGGAAGATTAGTGTCGGGGCCGAGAGCGTTTGGGGGGGAGAGAGGGGGGAAAGGGATTTGCTATTTTCATGTTGTCATGTCGTGCTCTTGTATGCTCCTTTTTGGCTTGTTTGTTCTTCATTGTTCCCCCCTGTCCCCCCTTCCACACACACATCCACGCAGCCTGTTCAGCAAAAGGTCATAGTTCTATATAGATTGGTTATGCGAGGTTAGACGTTAGAGGGAAACGGAATGCAATTGCAGGTTCTTTGATTCTTCAGGATGTGTTGGCCAGATCATGTGACATGGGTTTGATGAATCACGTGTTAAACTTATGGGCTAATGGGAGCCCAGACGGGCATCCGGTTGACATGAATCTCAACGCTGCTTGCGTGCTCCGTACTCCGTACAACAATTACGCTGTAATAATTAAACCAAATTAATCTATGAGCTGAACATCAATAGTGGCGACAATAGACAAGAAAAAGAACACGCCGATGAATCATGACTGTCATACCCCGAATAGTATCCTAATCACCAAGAAACCTAATCACCAAGAGAATGTCATCAACGCGGGATTGAGGGCGAATGGCAACAACAGATGCGATGCGGAAACAGTTGCCATAGGCAATATGGCAACAAAGTCTTTGATCCTCCAGTCGTATGGCACGAAGGATGCCTCGGCCAGGATAATCATGGCGACAATGGACACCAATGAAAACAGGATTGAAAATTTGAACTGTGGCAGTTAGTAGGCTGATCATGATCAAACAGGTAGCGGAAAGTTTTCAGAAAGGGGTACATACCCTCTTCAGCACTCGTGGGATCTCGATAAAGAAATTAGAGAACTCGACCTCTTTCGATGTGGCACCCCAGGTCATGTTTATCTCAAACATGTGTGACAGCAAGGCCTGAGAGACGTGCAAGGACAGGCCGCCAAGGAAGATGGCAAGGAGAAGGGTCCACTTGAAGTTTTCGTACAGAGAGTAAAGGAGACTCCGCTCGCCGACGCGATACCGCATGATTGCGAGGGAGATGTTGCCCAGGCCGTTGAACACAATGATGATGGAGAACCAAACCTGCCACGAGTCGACGTAGTATTTGTCCAGGTATCCGTTGAACCACCCCATGAGGAAGTAGTTGATCGTCGTCATGACCCACGCTGCACCGATCGCGTAATACGTGCCGATGTACGAGATGATGGTGACTTTAGATGTGAACCGGATGTTAGACCCCAGGAACCTACGGAAGAGAGGGGTGAACGGGCCCTTCCAGATCCATTTGCGAATCGGATTGAAGAGCAGCTCGTTGCAGCCGTAAGCGTATTTTTCCCAGCGAGCGAGCTCATCGTACACGGTGAGCGAGACGCCCTCTTTGAAGCCATCTCCAGCCCAGGCAGCCAGGCGGATGATATAGCCGTCGCACTGCAGACGTAGAGACATGTCGAAATCCTCAGACACATGGCTCTCGGACCAGAACTTTTCGTAGCCGTCTTCGTCAACATATGACACCTGCTGGATGGCGGCCCATCGCAGGACAGCATTGTGTCCAACAAAGGGGGCGACATCGCCGTTGGAAACCGTGTATCGAATGGCCGTGTAGATGAGATTGGTAAAGAAGGTGATGCCGTTTTCAAAGTAGTTGTGGACAACCTGCATGACGCCGGACGAAAACTGCATGATACCGACATCAGGCGACTGCTCCATTTCCGAAACAGCATCCAGAAGACAGTCGGACGGCACACGCGTGTCGGAATCAATCAGCAGGATGTAGTCACCGATGCGGACGTTGCCATCCGCCCAGGCGCGGCCATCTTCCTCGAGCACCTCCTTAAGCGCCTGCTCGTAAGCCTGAGCTTCGTCGTTCTGGGTCCAGTCATGGCCACGGTTGTACAGACTGAGCTTTTCCTCCACCTTGCAAGAGATCATGAGTGCAAAGTTCATATTCGAGGCTTTTTTGAACTTGCCGCGACGCTTGAATCCAGCTTCGCCGTCCTTTGGCCGCGCGACCCAGCCGATGTTATGGTCGGCGTAGAAGTCGATGCGCGCCCGCCGATCTTCGTCCGAGAGAAGTTGCAGGCCGTCGTCATTGACAAACATGTTGGCGGAGCCACCCTGCAGTTCGTAGGTTGATATTGCCTGCTTGATCGACTTGACCGTCGGCTCGATGACAGCAGCGAGACCCTCCTTGTACACCGGGCACTGAACCGTGACATGTGGAAGCATGGATGACTGCAGCCGATGTGGCCGCTGGGCGGAGTAGAACTTGGAGTTGACGGTAAGCTGCCGGATGGGGCCGAAGATCTGGGCCAGACAGCCGATGATGACCTGTGCGAAGAAGAGCGTGAAGAAGATTTGGATGGGAAACAGGGCGACCAGGGCAAGCCGTATGTAATTGTTGTCAACGGAAACCTCAATAGCCAGCTGGCGCCACGCTGCGCCGAGAGAGAGGGTGACGAGGATGATGGTGAATGTGACCAGCCATGTGTTCATCAGATGGATGGGCCGCTTCTCCGCTTTCACTTCGCCGCTCTCTTCGTCGATCTCGTAGTCCGTCACCAAGCCTCCCTTCTCGTCCTCGTCATCGTTGCTGCCTGACCGCCACACCAGGCCCATGAGCTCGGTCTCAATGTCCTTGGCCCTGCTCACGATATGCATCGCATCGTCGTCCCACACGACCAGCAGTCCTTCCGAGGCGATGAAGGCAGCAAACTGGTGCTTCCGGGCCCGTGCCAAATCTTCCACTGTAGGGAGGATCTGGATGCGGAGTCCGTTTAACAGCGGCACATCAACGGCGTTAGGCGTCCATTGGAGAAACGTCTTGATGACTCTCGAGTTGACGGTCATGGCACACTATATCAATCAGTCAACAGAGGTTTTGAAACGGGGCGCCTTGAGGCGATATGTGATAGGCATACGCGAATATTGAGTGCGGCACAAGCAACAGCAAAAGGCGAATCCACCAACTGTGGTGGACATGCCATATACTGTCCCCGAGTCTTGCGAAGCAAAACACCCTCGATCTCACCGCTGCCGTCGGAAACCCAAAGGCGGGAGCATTGCTGCTGATACAGATAGTTCACCATGACCTCATGCTTGATCTCGTCTAAAAAGACGGAGCTGTTGGTTCGATATGAGCTGACCCGAGACTGCGCCGACAATGACATGGGCCTGGAACTTGGTCCAGACGGTGTAGGTGGTGCAGCCGACAGGCCGTACAAAGTCTGATCATGTCCTTGTCTCACGGGCCGAGTCGGAACCTTCTCTGAAGTGATGGGCGGCACGGCACTTCTCGTGCTCGGCGGCAGCTCTGTTTCGTCCTGTGCTGCCTTCTTCGACCCCTTCCTGATCTTGTAGAAATCAGGTAGCCCCATGGCTGCGTCGAGGTCTGTGATGCTGGAGATGCTGTCGAGAAGATATGCGGAATCTCACGACTTCCCCACACGTGAAACACCGGCAGTATGGCAGAACTGTCGCCTCCGTCGCCTCTGTCTAACAACAAGCGTGAGGCTGGGCTGCCAGCTTCTGGGCCGCACTGAGGCGTGCTGGTGTCAAGACAGGAGCTATTGGTGCATCGATTCAGAGAGATAAAGCATGCCCTGGGCTTATAGGCAAGATACGGTCCAGTACCAGAACGGTGTGTCGAGATGAGGCTAGACAGTATGTCCACCAGCGTCGGACTTAGCGCTCTTGCCTGAGTGCAAGTCGAGGACGTCGGAAGTGACGAGAAGTCAGACGAGTGGCTGGAGACGAGAGAGCTGCACTGGGAGGAGGAAAGAATGGGGAGGATTGAGGGGACCTAGGGCAAATATATCGGAAGGAGAGTGGGGTGTATGCTTGCAGGACACAAGGCATAGCGAAAAGAGAGACAATTAGGAAAACCAGAGGAGGAGAGAGGCGTAGGCAGCGAGCAATGGGACGGCCAGAATTGGGGACCACCTGATTGATTGGCAGCAGCCAAGGTATTCTGCTACCAACCGGCCGCCAAAAGTGTTGTCCGGATGGTGGCTGGAGCTATTGATTGCTGGTTCAGCACACAAAGTACCCGTGCTCCACGCCCCGGCTGGACGGGCAGAACGTGCTTCATTTTCAGACGAGTAGTCGGATGGAAAAGGACGGACGGATCCACCTAAAGGATGCTAACGCCTCCTTCAAGCCCAAGTCAAAGTGGGCTTGTGGTCGGGGACAGCGCTTTGAATATAGCACTCAAAACATGAGGCAGGCACCGAGACCAGAGGAAAAATAAAGAAAAACAACTCGAGCAGGGGGGTGCGTGTTGGCCTCGACATTGGCGATAATGGAAATTAGCAAAAGATCCTATAGCTCCCATTTTAGCTCATAGTCATACATACGACGTAGTAGTATGGAGTATCTTACCAAGGCCACACGGGATTTGGCCAGAAGCAACCATGCGCCATACCTTGATTACCCGGGCCCAGGCGCCACCAGAGGGCTGATCAGAGACTGTGGCCATTTCTTGGAGAGCTTTGTGCTCCTGCAAGCGTACTATGTAGGACGCTGTTCTGCGGGAGCAGTCATGAGGTCGAAAAGCTGCCTGCGTGGCCAAATGAAAGGGTGCGCCCAGCTAACCGCTCCGGCATTGCAACCGTATTCCCGTAATACTCTGTACGAGTTTTCGCATCGTGTCTTGCACGCTGTGACGGAACGAGTGGCTAGGCTCTCGCGGCCAAACAATTGAACAGGGGTGTTGGGATAGAAGCAGTTGAGCCAAGAGATGGAACACGAGCTTTTGGGGGAAAACTAGGCACTTGTCGCCTATTGGACTAGTCGAGGACAAAACCCCTGAAAAGGGCCCTGTGGGGAGAAAATAATGCAACCAGGAACGACGAGTACGGAGTAGGAAAGTGCGTTCTCGTTTTTTATTGCGCCTAGCACATGCGCCTTTCCTCTTTGGGTACCCGCCGTTGGCTGGACATTAGTGCTTTTTGTTATTTTTCTTTTATTGGGTTTTATCGTTCACGTTTTTACCTTTTTTTCTTTTTTTTTCGTTTCCCTTCAAGATCAGCGAACCTTACTTGAACTCCACTTCTGAGTCCGAATTACTCGTGCAGATATCGTCACTCTTTTTGTGCGGATAACGTGGTTACACGGATGGACGAGTCGCATTTTCCGCTGCAACATAGGTGGATGAATGTGCCTTGCCCCCCCAAATACTGTACTCTGTAGAAGCAAGTCGTCCGCCGATGAGAAACAGAGCCATCTCGCCCGCAGTATCATCAACCCCAGCTGTCCTATGCAGTCCTTCTCCAATTAATCCAGTTTAGCCGTATCGGAGACATTTCTCGCAAACTCCCGTCCCCAGCCGCTACAGGTCTCATCGTATACGGGTGCCTCGGTGCAGCCACTGTATTACAAGTGCAAGCTGCAGCCGAAATACGACGACATGCAGACCGGGAGCACATTGGCAACCACCCCAATAGTTTGACGTGTACCACCTCGTATCCTTTCCTTGCCTATACGTATACGAGTACGAACAAGCGCAGCCATTTATTCGCCAGCCCCCGATTAGACTTGCATATCACTTGCTGCACCCATCTTTGAATGAATGGCTGGTCGGGATCTGACGATCTTCGATAAGTCCATCTTACTATCTGGAAATGTCGCAGAAATAAAAGAAAAGGCCGAAAAAAGGAATTCTCCGGTCGTCTGTTATCAATGCAGCTTGTCGACCGAAGTACGTAGGCGGTGACAGCGCATCGCCATCCCTGCAGATGTATCGACATGCAGCATTAGCGGCTTTGCCAGCGTAGTTTCGAGATACATAGTACGAAGCTGTATGCAGATCCTACAAAACATGTTTCGTATCTAGAGCAGAGTCTGGCCCAGACTCGTCGAATCAGGATGTCGCCACGCTGTGACATCACTTATTGGATGTTGTTGGCCCTACAGTATCTTCGGTGTTCCTCTGTATCGCAGGTTCACTCGTTCAGCTCGTCCATGACAGATGACAGCCAAGACAATCCACCTGTCTTTCCGAACGGGTCAAATTTCCGAACAATAATCCGCACATGGCGATCGTGACGTTGGTATTTTCATAAGAGATGGCAAGACATTAATGGAATCGCCGCTACCAATCGAATTATGCAGTACCCAAAAAATGGTCGCACCTCGTAGCCCACAACTGCGGCCGTTATCGTACGGTATCGCGCATCTGCAACAAACAAAGTCTAGGCGGGTGATGGGGTCACAGATCTTCGCTCCCGTCACACTGTTGCCACATCTCGACTTTGCTAACCTCCATCTGGGGTTGTTTCCAGGTGGGATACCATTTGGAGCGGGCATTCCAAAAGTCCTTCGGCGCATTCGTGCTGGCGTCCAACCACGGCTTACCATCCTTGTTATCTTTGAACCATCCATTGGTACCTCCCACTGCAACGTTGAGAATCAAGTAAAACTTTTGGTCGAAAGGCGTATTTTTCCGGCCGGTCTCTGCCCATACAGTGTCCACTTCGGTGTAGGTTTCCGATGTTGACTGTGCGGCGAAGTTTCCACGCTCCCACAACGGCGTCTCGAAGTTGGTATACAGCACCTGCAGCAGGCGAGAGTTGACATAGGTAAAAATGTACTTTTCTGACCACTCGATGCCAAATGTGTTGAAGCCTTCCGAAAATGTCGTATGGTGCGCCGAGTGCTTGACATTAGTGCGCCACCAAGCATCGTCAGCCACCGAGGGGCCCCAATGCAGCGTCGATGCCATGACGTTGTTGCCGCCAAGAGTATACGTGTGGTTGTTGCCGCGAGACTCCATGATGTCCATCTCGCCGGACGCCGGCCAGGTCCCGTACGTGTCCTTGACGGGCATCATCCAGATAGCAGGCCACAGCCAGTCGCCCGCAGGCAACTTAGCAGTCACTTCAACGCGACCGTACTTGATGGAGACGCTGCCCTTAGTGGTGATCCGTCCGGACCGCGTGGGCGGCACGACGCTGCTGTTGCCGGCGGTCGTGTTGGTGGCGGCGACACAGTCCTTGAACACAGTGGATGTGCAAGAGCCGTTTGCCAGGAGATCGATGAGAGTGTCCTTCTCCATGAGAGTCGCATCTTGGAGAGTGGGCATGATCCAAAGATTGCCGTCACGGACGAAAACATTCTCGTCGTCCGCCGTTGTCTCTTCAAACTCGCCGTTGCTGCACGCGTGACACGTATTAGTCAGTGATGCAGAAGCACGAGAAGAGCGTGGCATATAGAAGCCTACCCAAATCCACCCACCTGGACCTCTTTGGTCCAGATGTCCTTTCGAAAGCCTTGCGTGAAATCGTCGACGAGCACCATGCAGTACTTGTGCTTGACCACACTCTTGAGGCCGTCCCAGATGAGAATACCCGAGAGGGCCAGTCCGACGGCGATGCCGATGAGTGGCAGATAGGTCACCCATTTCTCCCTGGGCACTTTTTTCCCCAGCCACGGCTTCTCGATGTCGCCCTTCTGGATGCGGCGGCTGTAAAAGTAGCGATGGGACTGCTCATCCAAATGAGCATCGAGCGCACTGGTGCCGCCGGATGACCCAGGCCGAGAAACACCTGGGGTGGCGAACGGGTCGAGAGTGGCGCCATGGCTAGCAACAGCGGATCTGTAATCGTTGCCATCGTTGAATGGGCTTTGCCCAGGGCTGTCGACAGAGTCGCTGAGCGAGGCTGGCGCCTGGGTGGAGGGATGCAGTGATGCTGGTGCTGATGGGCCTGTCGCAGATCGGCCATGATCACGTGGGGCGTTACTGGTTTGCTCCATCTCTGAGAATGCAAAATACAGGCAGTGTGTTTTCCTTGCAATTGTCGAGAAAACTGCCAACAGGCTGCAAGCAGCCAGCAAGGGAACAATGGAGGAGACAATGAAACAAATTGGCCCAGATCGCAGGAAGAAAAAGGGGAGATAACGAAGACGCTCAGAGGTTTTGGATACTGAGGAGAAGCTGGGCTGGACAGCAAACGGGGCAAACTCGTCACGCTGCGCTTCCCTTGGCCACAGCGGTCGCTAACAGAGAGGGTCGTAGGTGCATTCCCTGTTATATTATAGCGAGTCGGTAAACCTGCCTGCCGCTAAAGCCCCAAATATTGGTCGGTGTATACTCCATGCCGGATAGTGTCTCTCGGGGCTTCAGCACACCCCAATCTAGGCCTTGGCTCGGATGTCTCTCAGCCAGGGTGCGCCACTTGTACACCGTACCTGACCAACGTCAGCAAAAGAAAACTTTCCGAATATCGCTGACAGAGATAGTATTGGTAAGATACAAAGTATGCAGGTGGCTATAGCCTTCCGTCGATCAAGCCCGGGTCACAAACCAAGAGGTAGCAAAAAAGGCTAGCTATTCCGGGAAGCATAGGTTGTCCCGTTTAGGCTAGTCATATCTTAACGCTTCACCCCAAAAATGTGCCAGACGGGCTCCACTCCGCCCTCACTTGCGGTACGGAAGGATCGCAGCCTCCCAAATAAGACCAGAAATACAGATACGGCTACCAGAAGCGGACGCCCAACAAGGAAGGAGTCAGCCAACATCTTACGCGAAAGCTGCTTGTGAGAAGCGCCGAGATTACGGAGGACTCGCGGTCTCCTTTAGACTCCGGGTGCCCTTTAGAACAAAATAGCATGTATCCCCGCCGCCTTGATCGATAATTGGGTGCGCCATCTCTTACATATTCGTAATCCGTACAGAGTACTCCGTACGCGCCCAGGCTTTGGTCAAAAAGTACGCCACGCAGCTGGACGATGCGAGCAAGTCCAGCTGGCAACTCCGACTTGTGGAGCTCTTCTGCATATTCGTACATGCAACAAAGCATCATTCAGCTACCCGCTAACGCATGTGTGTGGTGCCAAATCTCACTTTATTGAGCAGGCTTCATGCGTACTCCATGCGGTCTTTTAGCCTGGTAAAAGACTGCTCCACAACAAGAAGGACCGCTTCCCAAGGTCGTTTACCCATTCCATCTACGGATACACGTGCGCAAACGTATATATGAGAGCGCGGTCTTTTTAGGAGATTTAGCCTCAAACTTTACTTGTGGAGACTGCGCACTTCCCTGCAAAAGCCCGATCGACAAACCATTGCCGACAGCCTGTTCTTTTTTTTTAGTAGATATTGAGGACAAGTTGAACGAACCGTTCGTCGGTGCCAAGCTGGCGGCGAGCAATATCTGCACTGTTGGCGACTAGCTGTAAATAGCCTAAAAAATATCTTTCTTTCAACTCCGCCAACAAAAAGGATGCCAATGCCCTAAAGCAAGCTTCAGCACTAAGACAAAATACCAACAGCTGTGTTAATCGACGCTCGAAGGGCGACGGCAACTTCTACTTATGTGCTGATGTGCTTTGTTAGGAAAGACGTACAACCCTTTCCAAAAATAGAAACAGTTTGCTCGGCTATCCAGTACGCCTTACCGGCCAGTATTGAGGCCCATGGCTTTCGTCATGGCTGTGCAAGGCTGTATCCTTTCAACTCAGCGGCCGTTGTCATTGGAGCAATCTCTACTCCGTACAACAGCCTAGCTTCCGATCAAAATTGATTTATCACTAATGTGTGCTTTCAATTGCAAATATAGAGAGTTCGTTGTAGTATTCTAAGGCGACTGTCTTCTAACTCCCAAGTCGTCCAGTCTTGTGTCTAATGAATTATGCAATCTTGTCCGTTGCGCAATTTGATATGAACGACTTACAATCAAACACCAGGTGAAATATATGCATAGCGCAATATAATAATTGTTACAGACAATCCCGCCAAAAACCAAGTTCTATGCAGTTTACAACGGCCTGCGTCGTAAAGGGTCTCCATCCAGTGTAGACGATGATCGGGTTGGTGATGATGCAATCTCTTGGCGATGTTATTCCGCACTGCTTACCCACATGCTGATAGGTATTTCACTCAAACCCTGCTGCGCTCTAGGAGTCTGATAGAAGTGCGCGGAGATAGGTTTAGACGGGTACGATTGTCTGGGAAGATGCATGCTTGTCCATTGTCGTATCTGCGCGGAGTAGGCGGAGGCGTCGGCCCTCCCGAACCGCCACCTCCTGGGTAGATGGGACCCGGACGCGGCCTCGGGGCGGGTGATGGCGGAGGGTTGGGAATCGGGAAATAAGATATTCTTGTGGCCGGCCATACAGGAAGAGCAGCAGCTGATTTAGCCGTTTCCCGAGCGTGGCCTAAATCTTTATGGTTGTGATACTGCTTCTTCATCTGCGTGGATAGAAAGGCAGAAGTGCTGTTCCGCAAACCATGGCGAGTTCGAACGTTTGGGAGGCACGTCGAGGTCCACAACACGACCAAAACTGGAGTGTAGCTGGCAAGCATTGTCGAGGTGAATTTATAAAGAAACCCGGCGATTTGTGTTGTGATGAGACGAGTTGAGAACGGATATTGGCGTAGAATGGCTCAGATTGTGTGGGAATAGGTGTAAGGGAATGTCTTAAAAAGCCGATTGCAAACAAAAACAGAAGCTTCTCGTGAAATCAAGGACCACGAAAAGGTTTGGAAACAAGCTCTGATGCCAAGAAAAACAAGCTGGCATCGAAGTTGAGAATGCTGTGCCCTTTTATATCGCGGCATGTTGAGCTGCTACGCAGAAGAGACCGGCCCGTGAAGACTAGTAAAACTAGAGCAATTGTAAAAAAAACACAGAGGCCCGTCAATGAAGCCATGTTAGACATGCTGATATTTAGTTCGTCAGTCATGCGCAAGTTGAAGAAAATGTCTTGATAATAGGCGCGCCAGAGTTTGGCCGGATCTGAGGCCCAAGGTGGCGAAGTAGCAGGCGCCACACCTTTTGCTGCAGGGACGCAAGTCCTGGGGATTCTGGGGTTGCCTTTCTATTTTAGACATTGCGCTCGTCTGAATGGTCAATTCGTAACGCTCAACGGCAATAATTCAAGAAGAGAGATTCCTGACAGATGGCAAATTGTCGCAAAGTGTTTTGGTGGCCATGAAAGCCTACAAACACATAGCTAGCCTAAGAAGTCTGTAGCTATATATGAGACCATGACGACAAAAAGGGACCCTAATAAATTAACCAGCTGACATTGGAAGTGCTATGCAGCATGCTTCATGAGAGCTTGAAAGCACTCAACCGGTATCACATGCATACCATGCAGCATTGACAGGATGATCGATCAGCCTTACGTGCGGGCCGTTGCCAATCTATGCAGGCGCGAGAAGAAGGCCGTTGATAGTTTGCTAACACAAGCAGTGAATTTAAAAATAGAACCTGTTAACCGATAGAGAACACGACACGCTCCTTTTCTGCCTATTGCGGCACTTTGAGTGGCTGGTCATTGGCCTTTCCATAATATATCGTACCATATTACACTTTCCCACATCAGCTCCTGCTCCTGCTGCGTGATATTGACCGATTCCGCTGTCCGTAGCCATCTCGGCCACGACCCCGTGGGGCCTCGTTTTCATAGCTCCTTCGGCCATTAAAGCCGCCATAATCACCTCCAGCGCCTGGACGAGAGTCCCGGAAGCCGGCACTGCCACCCCCATTTCTGCCCCGTCCGCCAAAGCCGCCTCTTCCTTGTCCTTGCCGTCTGTTCCACCCGCCTTGACGGTACCGCTGAGGCGGAGACTGTGATCGCGACCGGCTAGAGTGGGCAGACCGACTGCGGTATCGGCGGTGGCCATCATCGGGGGATCTGGAACGGCTTCGAGACATAGACGGCGGCCTGTATGTATCAAAGTTACGGGAGTTGCCAAAACGACCGGGCGATCTCCGCCCGCGACCTCCTCGTGGAGCTGCGTTGGGAGCGTTCCGGTTATTGAAACCACCGCCACGTCTTGCAGCAAGCGGCGGTGGGGGAGAGAACTTCTGGCGTGGAAGAACAATAGAGACGTTGATGGTGGCGCCATCGAGCTGTGCCTCGTGCATGTGTGCAATCGCAGCTTCGGCGTCCAGCTCCTCCACATAAAGGATGTAAGCAGTTCCGCGGTTTGTACCAGCTGCATGAAAGCGAGAGTCAGCCCCGAGCAGAAGATGGAGATGAACAACAGGAGTGCATCGCAATAACGGGTTTCCTTGAGCCGTTGCGCTTACATATGCGACTAATAGGTAGATCAAGGTCGCGAATGTGTCCGAACTGGCCGAATATTTCGTACAAATGGTCCTCATTAACGTTCTTTGTGAGTCGCTCTACAACAATCTGTGCATACATGTCCAAATTAGCGGCGGCCTCGTGACGCATCACCAAGCGAGCGTTTGCTGCTAACTTTTGTGCTTCGGACAGGCGTAGCGCTTCTGCTCCGGCCGCCGACCTTGCTGTGCCGGTTAGAATCCCGGCCGGCGACAAGGCTATCATGCCGATGTTCAGTTCCACGTCCTGGTGGAGAAGCAGAGCCTCCACCGTATCTAGAGGGCGAGCGAGAATATCGTTGTTGCAGCGGCGAGTTTGAACGAGAATGACCGGGTTTGGGAGAGAAAGAATGCGGCCGACTGCGACCTCGCGACGCTGACCGAGACGGAGAACGAATGTCGTATTGCGGGAGTGGGGATCGCCCTCGAGAAGTCATTGTGAAAGATGGTTGTTAGAGATATAAATGAAGACAGGGAATTGTCCGACATACTGAGAAGGTAAGAACGCGAACGTAAACGCGACTGCAAGTGATCTAGAGTCACGTGACATTACCTCACTGGTGTGGGGCACTTCACAGTAATAGGCAGAGGTGTGTTGCGTGGGCTCAGCCGTCTTCTAGCCTCCAAGCACTAGCCACGATATTGCTTCTGACTGTTCTTGCAACCCACACTGAAAAGCCGTGTTCGCTACAGACACGCATAAGGCTGCCCTCATCCTCACCCTCGCCTCTACCGCTCGCCTCATACTGTGCCCCGAAACACGATCTTCCACCATGTCGGAAGCTGCGTTGAAGCCGGAGAAGGACTTCTCCAAGGAAGCCGCCAAGCAGATTGCTGAGTGCACGGAGCTTGCAAAGGTTCGTAATGCCGGCCACAGCCTACTTGGGACCTGCGCATGATGTTTGCTAATGCGCCATCTGACAGACCGACATCCACGCTGCGGTTGAAAAACTGGGCCTGCTGGAGAAACAGACTCGCCAGGTAAGCATACGAGTTGCCTGCGAGTGCCTTACTTTGAGTCTGCATCGAGGGCTGGCGGCGAGCTGACGACGGCGAAACGACGATAGGCATCGGATCTGGCTTCTACGGCAAACATATTGGTTGCCATCGTTACGATTTGCAAGGATGCCGGCGACTGGAGCTTTCTCAACGACCAGGTCCTGATTCTGTCGAAGAAGCATGGCCAGCTCAAGCAGGCCATCACACGGATGGTGCAGACCGTGATGGGCTTTCTCGAAGATACACCAAACCCGGCCACGAAGCTGTCTGTGATCGAGATACTGCGGACGGTGACGGAGGGAAAGATCTTTGTGGAAGTTGAGCGCGCTCGCGTGACCAAGATCTTGTCGGACATCAAGAAGAAGCAGGGCGACTTGAAAGCGGCAACAGACGTGCTGTGTGAGCTGCAGGTCGAGACGTTTGGGTCGATGAGCCGCAGAGAGAAGACAGAGTTTATTTTGGCGCAAGTCGGTCTGTGCATCGAAATTGAAGACTGGACGCAAGCGGCAATCCTCAGTCGGAAGATCAGCACAAAGTACTTGTCCAGGAAACCGAAGAAGACGGCCGAACAGCTGGAAAAAGAGAAGAAGGAGCGAGAGAAGAAGATCGAGCGGGGCGACGAGGTGGAGGAGGAGAAGGAAGATGATGTGACAGACCTGAAGCTGCGTTACTACGAGCAGCAGGTCATCCTGGCCAAGCACGAGGACAAGTACCTCGATGTCTGCAAGCACTTCAGACAGGTTTTGGACACGGAGGCGGTTGAGACGGACCCCGCAAAGCTCCACGCGGTATGCTGCCCCTCTTTCCAGGCTATGGTCCTGGACGTTTACAAAACGAGTTGGTTGCTGACTATTCTTGTCATTAGGTATTGCAACGCATCATTTACTTTGTCATTCTCGCCCCGTACGACAACGAGCAAAACGACCTGCTGGAGAGAATCGCCAGGGATGCGCGAAACAGCCAGATCCCAAAGGACGCCGAACTGCTCAAGTTGTTTACGGTACAGGAGCTGATGCGGTGGCCGGAGGTGGCCAAGGTGTTTGGACCGTATCTTACGGAGACGGACGTGTTCGATGCAGCCGAGGGCGACTCAGACGACTCGAAGGCGTTCAAGCGCTGGCAGGATCTGCGCAAGCGGGTCATTGAGCACAACGTCCGCGTGGTGTCCAAGTACTACACGCGCATACGGATGGGCCGGCTGACCCAGCTGCTGGACCTGACGGAGGACGAGACGGAGAAGTACATCAGCGACCTGGTGACGTCCAAGACGATCTACGCCAAGATCGATCGGCCGGCTCGCATTGTGAGCTTTGCCAAGCCAAGAGATGCAGACGACATCCTTAATGACTGGAGCTACGACATGAAGAGCCTGCTGGGTCTGTTGGAGAGAATCGACCACCTCATCACTAAGGAAGAGATGATGGCGCGTATCCAGACAGGGGCATCTGGGAAGGCAGAGAAGAAAAAGGCGGCTGTGGTGAAATAGAAGAGGTTTCTTAGTCAAGCCGCAATGTACTTTTGTCCCCCCTCTTGTGTTCAGCGAGATAGAACGACCTCATGTGTAAGGGCAAGGAGGAAGGGTCGGTCGTTCTCGTGTGGTTTACAATGGAGTTGTTGCCAGTGAACGCCCTGATTGTATGTCTATGTGTCTAATTTGTAATCGTAAAATGTATTGCAGCCGGATGCAAAGCAGTCTATGCTTTCGCCTTAATGGGTTCAACCTCAGCCTCGGGCCCAGGTTCTTGGACGTGATCCTTGATGAAGCCGACCAGCGGCATGATCCACTGCTTGCTGACAGGCACAAAGTGGCCGCCAGGGTGGATGACGACGGCGGCATCGACGCACCGGTCGATCAGGGCCTGGCTGCGGCTCTCGTCGACGACGGTGTCGAGGCTGCCGATGTACTGCAGCGTGGGCGTGCGGATGGCGGGCTCGAGCAGCCAGGCGACATCTTCGGGCGGGGTGTAGAAGCCGCTGTAGATGACGGCGAACTGGAGGCCGCTCTGGTTGTTGGCCGCGCGCACGGCATCAACCCAGGGCGAGTTGGCAGGTGTGTCGTTGGACGATGACGACGATGACGACGACCGCTGAGTCCGCGGCGGCTGTTCGAGGGCGGCCGCGAGAAGGGCAGCGAGCGCGCCGCCCTGGCTGAAGCCGAGGACACCGTCGATGCCACCGGCCGCGGCGATGGGACCGGCCAGCGACATCATGCCCTCGTCGAAGAAGCGATACGTGCCCGAAGCCTCGTCAAAGCGCCACCAGGCCCACGCGTCTGCCTCTTCGGGCGTCGTGTCGTCGTCGCCGGCACCCTCTCGCGTCTGCGGCTGGTAGCCGGGGATGTCCCGGGGCTGCAGCCGGATCGGCGCCGTCGGGTAGATCAGCACCGGCATCAGGTTGTGGGGCGCCAGCTGCTTCTGCAGCAGCTTCTCGAGCGCGCGCGTCTTGCTGCGAAACGACGGTCCCGACTGGGTGTATCCTTGACGGCGGGCCACGTCAGCGGGCGGCCTGACGCCACAGTCGACAATATTGACACGGCAGCCGCTCACCGTGCAGCATCAAAATCTTGACGTCCTTCTTCGGCACCGCCGGCTTCGGCGCGCCTGGCTTCTTCCCCATCGTCGCCATCGTCGCCATCGTCGCTATTGTGCGGCTGTACAGCGGCAGGGCGTTTCGCGCACGGAATCGGCAGAATAGGACCGCACAGGATGTCATGTAGTGAAAGACGCCGTCGATGGTTGTGCGGGGGAAAATCAAGACTCGTCTCCTGCGGTGGTTGTGTTCGGCTGCGACAGTTCACGTTGCCCTCGGGCCGAGAAATCAATCGCCGCTCGCTAATGAGTCACCCGTCGGCCAAAGACCGAATCGGCTTGTCCGGCGTCCGCTCAAGCCTCTACTGCAAGACACGTGCATTCTACACTCTCATTCTCACGGCTTCTTCTGACTGTCAAGCACACATGATTTGTACCTTGCAGAGTTTTAATTTACATTTTTAACCTTGCCGCTTTGCACGGCCAAGCAGAGCAAGGCGTCTGATGCCGTACACCGGACTCATAGCAGCCCCCCAATCCTTGCTCCAGGCCGTGTTTAGTGCTTGTCCGCCTTTGCGTACACGTTTCTCGGGTCGTTCTTCCACTCGGCCGCTGTTGGAAGGGAAAAAGGAAAGTCAGCAAGACTGTCTCCGGAGGAGGAATTGGCCGTCACACGTACTCTGCGAAAGGGCGTTCTGTGCCGAATTCACGCCATAGGCGATGACAATGCCGGCGGCGAAGAACGGCCCGTACGGCCGCACTGAGGACTTGTTAGCAGGCAGCTCGGACTGCTGGAAGGCAAATGGGGAGCCATTGACGTACGGAAAGGCGCCGGGAACTTTTTCAGCGGGGCAACACCGAACCAAGACATCGCTATAGATTGAAACGGCTTGTTTGAGTCTGTGGAGGGAGGTCGAGAACGGTCGCGGTGGTTGCAGCGGTCGGGGGCGTTGATTTGATGGTGAAGGTGCAGGCTTCCTGTTTTTTTCCCCCCCAAAACACCTCAATTGCTTAGATCCCGCGACAGCCCGAGCCGGAACTGCCTGCCTTAGGCAAGAATGGAAGGTCACGTGCTTACTACGCTAGTCCAAAACTGACAGCTATTGGTGACATCACAGTCAGCTGCCAGTACTACCCCAGCTTCCGAGACACAGCTTCCAGCGTGCGGGGAGGGAGGGAAGGTGCTATTTGCCGCGCTTCTTACCGTAGCATCTCCTCTTCACTCTGAAAGAAGCTTGCAGGCCTTGGAGAGCTTTCATCCAATTACCCCGCGACTTTGTCCTCCTGACACTTGCTCAGATTCCAACATCGACGTTTCTACGTATTAGGTGCAGCTTATTGGCCCGATCGTCTTGCTGCTTCTGTTGCTCGTCTGCCTACCCAACATATCTGCTGAGCTGAGCCTGAATATTGAGAAAAGCTGCTTATTTTACATATTTCATCGACCTGCATCTTTCAGCGTCCCTTCAATAGCCATTCTTACCACATTGCCACTACCAACGGCACAACATGTTTACGACGAAGCCTTTTCTTCGGGCCACGGCCTGTTCCGTGCCGTTTCGCAGTGTGCGGGCGTTTGGCAGCACGGGCATAGTCCTTGACAAGAAGCTAGTGCCAGTTCCATCTCTGGCAGACATCGAGCCTGAGAACACGGCTCAGTTTAACAGCAAGCAAAGGGCCTTCCGAGAGCATCTTATGCAGGCTCAGAAGGCCAGCGATGCGAGTGCGTTGTCCTCTGCATCTTCTTCTGCTACGGAGACAAACGGTTCTGCCGCTTCTGCAAAGGGCTTAGGCTCACTGAGTACTGCTAAAGGAAGCGCCACCGGGGCCTCTGACACGGCCTCCGGCCGCAAACAGGGCCCAATCTCCAACTTGATCTACGGCACCAAAGAGGGACGCGAGCTTGACGCGCAGATTGAGGCTAGCTTCAGTCAGCTACTGGCGCGAGGAAAGTATATGCACTCCATCATACTCCATTTCCTGGTGAAGCCAGACAAGGTGGAAGAGTATGTGCAATTGATCGGAAAGTGGTATCCCAAGATCGCCAGCATACCAGAAAATAAGGTGCATCTGGTTGGAAGCTGGCGCACTGAAGTTGGCGATTGCGACACGTTTGGTAAGCCGCCTTTCCCTTAGTCTAAATAAGCACGCTCGTATGTTTGCAACATCTGACCGGTTCAGTACACGTCTGGGAATACCAGAAATACGAGGGCTACCATTCGTCGATCAAGTCGGTGTCTCGCCATCCTGACTTCCCCGAATTCGACCGTACACTCAGGACGCTCATCAACTCGGAGAAGACCTCTCTGATGCAGGAATTTTCCTTCTGGCCCACGACGCCGCCGCGACAGCTGGGCGGTATCTTTGAGCTTCGATCCTACACGCTCCACCCGGGCAACCTGTTGGAGTGGGAGACGCACTGGCGGCGTGGACTCACGGCCAGGCGGGAAGTCATGGAGGGCGTGGGAGCTTGGTTTGTCCAGATCGGGGAGCTCAATACCGTCCATCATCTCTGGCAGTTTGCCAATCTAGAAGAGCGCAAGAAGCGACGGGAGCAAAGCTGGGAAATTGAGGGATGGAGCAATACGGTGCACAAGACCGTGCCTCTTATACAGTCGATGAAGTCACGCATCTTGGTCCCAATGCCCTGGTCGCCCGTGTCTTGATGACATTCGGCGTGCCACAGCGTGACATCTGTTTCCTGTCTTTCGCCATGGTCGCATATTCACAGCTTTGTGCGGTGGCCTTCTTATGGTCCTATTTCAGTTTGAAAACCAGCAGCATAATGAATGTTAGAACTCAGATGCATTGCATAAAGATAACCCCTGTGACAAAGTGCTAGATAATGGTAGAGCCCGTGACGGCATAAAGACAAATCAATCCTCCAGCTCCTCGCCCATGACGGCCGCAAGATTTCGGCGTACCAGAAGTAGGGCATGATTCAAAGCACCGAGCTTGGCGCTCAAGCTCATCAAGCTAGGGTCTGCACTTTCTATTCGAACCTTTTCCCGGACATAGACCTCAGCCGGCCCCTCGGGTCTTGGCTCATCCACGTCGGACGTGGCACTTCCAGCCGGCTGTGGTGAGTGCAGGCCCTTGGCCGTGCCATCCTCACAGCTGTACGTGAACACCTTGTCGGCCTCGTCATGCTCGATACGGCGAGCAGTTCCAAGAGCCAGGGCAAACTTCATCCCGAAATTGAGAGGGACGCCGACGGGCTCGACGGCACGCAGCCAGAGGACCAGCTGGCTGTCCTGAAGGCCGATGTAGAAGCTGACGGCAGACGGCAGCGCCGGCGAGAAGTGGGACAACGACACCGACCGCGTAGACCATGCGGGATCGCCTGGCGTGGGGGCTGGGCCCTTGAGGAGAGCCAGAGCATCGGTGAGAGCCTGTGCGAGCACCCGGAGCTGTGTGGAAATAAAGGTATCGTTTCTTCCATGCAGTGGTAATGTTCCTGGCTCTCCAGGCGGCGACCGTGGCGGCGGATAGGAGTACGCCAGGGTCAGGGCCAGGAGGTCAATGGAGCGGGTGAGAAGCGTGTGCAGAGCAGCGAGAGGGCCGATGGTGATGGGTTGCCGAGGATCAATGGTCAGGGTCTGGTGGGGAAGCGTCCGGAGGCGGATGTGCATGCTCTGGGACTGGGTCAGCGACAGGAGGAGGCGCAATGAGAGACACGAGTAAGAGTCTTGCCTACCCCTCTAACAATCTGGGTGCCGAGCCGTGTGATGTGGCCCTTGACAGCCTCGTTTCGAGGCGTGCTCACGACAAGCGTGTTTCCGTTACCATCGGGGCCGAGCAGCTTGTAGCAGTCTTCAAGGCTCTGCTTCAGGTTCGTGAGAGTTTCCCTCAGTTCGTCGAGCTGCCAGTCCAACTCTCGCTTCTGCAAGCCGGCACCCACTCTGGTCAGCATCTCATATTTCCCACCATCGCACAAGCTCTCATTGCGGAGGCAATACGGTGCTTTGGCACACAAGCCAGTCCCTGGAAAGACAACCACGAGAAGCCAGGACGTAGCTTCTGGAAGAATTGACATTGTTGCGCATAGAAGAACAAAGACTGCATACCTCGGTCGCCTGAAGCTCCTTTTGTAGTTCCGCAAAGGGGAGATGTGGCCAAACTTCCAGCGACATGATGCCGACCGTGTCCTCATTCAGAGTTGGCCGTTGCCTACGTTAAGCGATCACCGATGGCTAAAGTGATGGAGACAGGCTAACATAATACCTCTCGTCTCTCCCTGCGGCAGTACGTGTGGCGTGAGCAAGAACCAGCTGTGGTCTATTCGCCTTTCTTTCGTCGGGATGGGAATGATGTCTCCTGTGTTAGCAAAAAGGGCAACCTCTCCGCCTGGAACTCGGTATTGGATGCTCCAAGTCGGCGACGATATGAGGCTGATCTGCCAAGTGGGCAGCTTGGTTCTACAACTAGAAGGCGGTGAGACCATGCAATAAATTGCCCCACAAATTCCTACGTCAAAGCTCGAAATCGCGATTACTTCTTTTCAGCACGGCTTCCGCGTCTACCAATGGCGATTATGCAGCAATGGGGGAGAAAGTCGCTCCGATGGTAGCTGAGAATCAGCAAAAGAAGATGGGCCACCTGCAACCTGGTGCGTGTCTCTCACCTGGCCTCAGAGGCGGCGGCTCTGATGTGTCACTGGCTCGTGAAATTGGTTGCTAACTTTTTTGCAGGCGTTATTGCTCGCCGGAGGCCCATAATTGGGCGTGGCCATCCGGCATCAGCGTTTGGCAAGCCGCTTGGAGTGATTTATGTCTCGCGCCAGGCGGCCTTCATGTCTCTCGTCAACCGTGCGATCAAGCTGCTGGACGAGGGGCCTGGCGGCGCCAAGTGGTCCGCGACGAGAGTTTTGCCGCTGAACGAGCGCGCCAAGGCAAACCGACAGGCGATAACAGGCCCGCCTGCTTCGGCGAAACGGTCAGACCTGCGGGCGGTGCGCCAGCGCGAGGTCCATCTTCTTGCCACAGGCCATGCGATCAGCAAACTCACCCTAGTGGCGGCCTGGTTTCAGCGCCAACAGGGTTATGTGGTGGAAGTACGGACGCGCTGGTCAGCCACGGTGGACGATCTCTTAATACCTGTGGGCGGGGACAGCAGCGACGGCAGTGGCAAGGGAGAGACCGGTGGCTTGGAACACCCACAATCAGACGAACAGGATAGAGAGCAGGACAAGACGGGCGATACTGCGTCCCAATGGCCAAGACACGAGACCCGGCTGAGAAATGTCAGCTGTCTGGAGGTGGCCATCCGGCTGGCATAGCTGCCCGGCCGTACACTTTTCGAAGTATCCAGAGAGACTGACGGGAAGTATTGCGATACTGACCCGACTTCGCACAATTGTGTCTGGTGTGCGACGAGGCTTGCCTTCTTGTCGGACTCTATATGGAGAGAAACGCGGGCAAATCCCGTTCAGGACTAGCGCAGAGCCAGCTTCAAGCACTATCCAGTTCTGTTTCCCTTGGAGACGTTCCTGCATAAGTTGTCTGCAACAATTCAACGATGCAGGTTTTTACCCGATTCTAGATGCAAAAGCAGAGACATCAAAATGACGTCAGAGTCCCCGTCATCTACTGTAAGTAAAGGATACATAGCCGTTGCTCCGCCGAAATGCAAAAAAACCTGCCGGCTGAGAGCATAAGCTCACAACAAAAGCTCGCTGCAACGTGTTGCAACTCCCGAATAACAGCGGCGGAACATTCTCGGAGCTAAAAATTTACCTCCGGCTACCGCGAACTGGTCTGTATATATCATGCGCTTATGGCTGTGCAAGTCCGCGAGCCCGGACAAACGTTGGATTTCCCCATCCAGAGTCCGGCGGCAAGCAACCACACCTGAAAGCGGAAATACGGCCCAGAATACGGAGTACACTGTACGCCTTCCATATGCAGCATGCTCGTTCTGAGCTGAGGGGTTGGGGGTGTAGACTCACGAGCCGAGATTTGCCAGGCGCATGGAAGTTGCATTTGCAAACCGCGGCAGAATCGTGGACTCTGAATAAAACGGATCACAACCGGAGCACCGAATAGCCGACTGATGTCCGACATCTGAGCAACCAGAGGAGCACCCCGTTCAGCTGGAAGGGGGAAGGGAAAGCACGTATTGACAGGCCAACTAAGCTGATGTAAGCACACTGATTTCTGGCACTATGAAATGGCGCCCAGGAGCTTGGAGACGGCCACGCCGCCGCCATCCGAGCGCTGTCATATCCATGCCCCCGGGCTGGCCTGCCGACGGCACCAGCAGCAGGTCAACACGACGACGGGGCAAGCCAGGAAATGTCCGGTCCTTCTGTGCTGGGCTTCTCCAACATCGTCCGGCGGGCCCAACGCTCCGCCCAGCAGAAGAGAATATATATCTGCATCTTAACAGCCAGGTGGAAGGCCCAATTCAATTTACCATCACATCGCAGACCCAAGAGCCTCGGTTCAGCACCATCTCATCACCACTCCCTTGTTATATATTTCCTCCTATCCGCTTCTCCTCTCAGACCAGCTGTTCATCCTGGCCAACTTGATCACATACATCATTCAAGCCATTATTCGTCTCTACCGCGCAATCTTCCGTCCCAAACGCCAGAAAGAGAGCGTGCTGCCCATCTCGTCCTCAGCCATCTCGACCGAAGCATTCAGCAACCACTACAACAGCACATCCGCTAAGATGCCTGCCACCACGACCCCGGCCGAGAACGGCAACGGCAGCACCAGCAGCAAGTACGATGCCATCCCGGGTCCGCTCGGTCTGGGTGCGGCCTCGCTAGCCGGCAAGGTCGCGCTGGTCACGGGTGCCGGCCGCGGCATCGGCCGTGAGATGGCGCTGGAGCTGGGCCGCCGCGGCGCAAAGGTCGTGGTCAACTACGCCAACAGCGACTCGTCCGCACAGGAGGTCGTGGCAGCCATCAAGAAGTCGGGGTCCGACGCCGTTGCCGTCAAGGCCAACGTGTCCGACGTCGACCAGATCGTCTTCCTCTTCGCCGAGGCCATCAAGGCCTTTGGCAAGCTCAACATTGTCTGCTCTAACTCGGGTGTCGTCAGCTTCGGCCACGTCAAGGACGTCACCCCCGAGGAGTTTGACCGTGTCTTCAGTGTCAACACCCGCGGCCAGTTCTTCGTTGCCCGCGAGGCCTACAAGAATCTCGAGGTCGGTGGCCGCCTCATCCTCATGGGCTCCATCACCGGCCAGGCCAAGGCCGTCCCCAGACACGCCGTCTACTCTGCCAGCAAGGGCGCTATCGAGACCTTTGTCCGCTGCATGGCCATCGGTACGCAGACTGCCCTCTCTGTCCTCTCCACGTCACATCTGTGCTCCTGCTGACAAGCTAGACTTTGGCGACAAGAAGATCACCGTCAACGCAGTGGCCCCCGGTGGGATCAAGAGTAAGTCTGACCCCAAGACGGACAGCTCTCTGAAGGCGAAAACCTGCTGACACTCTAACTACAGCCGACATGTACCACAAGGTCTGCCGTGAGTACATCCCCGGCGGCCTGGGCTTTACGGATGAGGAGACAGACGAGGTAAACAGTGCCATTGTTAGAGAAGATTCGCAAGAGGCTTGGCTAACAACATGCTACAGTATGCTGCCGGCTGGTCACCGATACACCGTGTCGGCCTCCCGATCGATGTAGCTCGTGTTGTGGCCTTCCTGGCCTCCCAAGATGGAGAATGGATCAACGGAAAGGTCCTTGGCGTGGATGGCGGTGCTTGCATGTGAAAGTGGGCTCGATCAATACACATAGAGCGCTCGATTGCACAAGGTGAATTCCAATTCAGCATCAGCGCAAGCTACAAGGGGGTTGACAGTTGCGGAATGATGAGAGGCGACGCAATCCTTCATAGCTTAAACTTCGTAGAAACCTGTATATTTCTTGTACCCTTTGCAGTTTATTTCCATGTGAAGTCTTGGAATAAAAAATCATGTGCGTGTACCTGTGGTTGGAGCTTGGGACGCTGCTCCAAAAAGAGGTTAGCAGCGCACTTTCAAATAGCCGGAAGCCGGACGACATATCTTACGATTGTTTGTGCTATACTTATCACGAGGTTCGTACGTCGTAAAGCGGTTTTTATCACCGCCTCGGAACCCCATAATGCACTTGTGGATATTGTTCCCGGTGGTTCCGGAGCTCTCCGTTTTCCCCACTGCCGAGGAACGGTGGAGTATGTGTACACTTCTTTACAGAGTACCTCGTACCAGTACGGAGTAGCCGTGGCCTTACTCTTGTGGCTAGATCTACAAGATCTATCCTGACTTTAGACCTTGGCAACATGGAGACTGAACTGTACGGAGTATAAGCCCCTCTTTAGCGCTTACGCTAGAAAGCCCCAGATGCGTCTTTTCGGCTTCTGCAGGAATCCCATGCGTGTCAATGGATTGATTTATTATAGATGACAACAGATACTCGTGTTCCGACCCGCTCCTATGTGTTGTTCTTTTTTACCCGGAACAACGGCCTATTATGGGAGAATAGCTGAAATTACGTTTAAACCTACCTAATCCGTACTTGGAAAACGGAGTAGGCCCCATCTACATAGCAGATGACTGCAATCATACGGCCATTCTGCTTTTGAATTTGGTACTTTGTCCCTGTAAACGTCTTGACTGATCAGATCGCAGGGGGTCAAAAAAGTTCTCAGACGGGTCCAGCATTCCATAAAGCAGACGTGTTAAAAAGAGGGGTGCACTGTACAGAGTACGAAGTACGAGCACCTATCGCATACACATATTCAACGTGTTCTCATTGCATCAAATAACATTTAGAATCCCCTTCATCATTCATCGCATACAGCACATATTCAGTTTCAAGCGCATTTACAAACAAAAGTAACGGCTTATCTATTTGTAACTATGTATTCTGAAAACTACAGTGTCATTATTACATAATATACTGTGATAGACCTCCAGACCTGTCACCTTCAACGTCTTACCGCTCCACAACCTACGGCATCAGAACAAACGGGGTGAAAGGCCCGTCATGCACGACTCTGTCTCGTGATTTCTAGGCACATGCATGATTTTGTGGGCTCGGCGATCCAAGACAGGCCCAATTCTGGTTCGTGCGCGCGAGTACTCCGTATATACGATAAGAAAACAGTTTGAATGAATGTATCCCCATGATCCCAATTAGCTCCAGGACTATACCCTCAAGCAAAGCTCCGCCTAAATATTCCACCCAACGTAATGACCAAGAAACAAATTTATTCAAGATACAAAGGAAATCCCCGGGTCGTAGCCCCAATGCTTGTGTAGACTGATACAACAGAACAAAAGATTGTACAAGATACCCAATATACAAATGTCGATACATTGATCCAAAAACCCTTTTGCTTACCGTCCTTACATACCAAACAACAATACATTTACATCAACAATATTCGGACACATTATCAAGAATCCTCGTCCGACTTGCGTGAGTTGCGAGACGAGCTTCGAGAAGAGTATAAATCAGACTTTTTGACAACCTGGCTATTGAAGTGAGGAACTCATGTCAGCAATGGAAGTAAACAATCTGGGTCGGGAATAGCACTTACAATAATCTTCGGTCTGACGAGTTTCGTACGATTACAAGTTCATCCTTTGATGACTTTCCCTTTTTCTTGCCGGACGATCCTCCCGACTTTTCGGACGTAGACCGGGCACGCAATGTCGCCAGCTGTCCTTGCAGGGTAGCTATTTCATCCTGAGACGTGGCATATGCTGCACTGATCTGCCCCAGCTGACCGCTTGTACCAGCAAGCTGACCAGCCAGGATGTCGTGCTGATGCTGCAGTGGTTCTAATCTTTGGACTTCTTGCTGCAGGCGCGCCACCTGATCCGAATTGCTGTCGGCTAGTTGTTGTAGCTTATCTCGCTCATCTAGGATTTCGTGGTTGCTCTTCTCCAGAGCATCTTTCTTGGCACTGAGCTCAGTCCACTTCTTGCACAGTTCTTCGTGCTTCTTTTCTAGTGCGGCAAGATTCTCAGCCAATTCTTTGTCTGTCTTGGCCGGCAATTCGTCCTTTAACTTATCAAGCTCTGAAACGAGAGCTGCCTTTTCTGCAACGAGTGTAGTGTTTTCCGTAATGAGCGTAGTACTTTCCGTAGTGAGTGTTGCGGTTTTCGTTTCGAGTGCCGAGCACTCCGTTGTTAGTGTTGCAATCTGCTCCGTGAGAGCTGCGATTTCCAGTGTGAGGGTAGCATTATTTTCAGCCAGAGAAGCATTCTCTGTAGTGAGAGATGTGACTTTTGTACTGAGACGTCCGTTGTCTGAAGTGAGAGTTGCGTTTTCGGAAGACATGGTGTCTTTGTCCGAGCTGAGGGCTGCCTTATCCTCTTCGAGTTGGCTTATGGTGCTGTTTAGCGATGATATGGTCGCCTCTGATTCCTGGCGTTCAGCATTCAGACTGTTTTCCATTTCGTTCTCCTTGTTTGATAGCTGGGATTTTAAAGCTCCGGTTTCGTCTTGAAGCCGAGTTCTGTCTCGGAATAGCGAATCGATCTCCTTTTGCTTCGATTCAACTTCAGCTTTAAGGCCACTGACTTGGTTTTCGATCTCGGAAATGTGCTCCTGGAGGATTTCCCGCTCTGCAATCCATTCGGCCCTTTCCGCTTCGAGTCTCTTCAATGATTCGGCGATGAATTGCTTCTCGGTTTCCAGAGACAAAACGTTGGACTGCAACTCATGTTTTGCTGCCTTTAGCTCTTCAAGCGACTCCTCGAGCCGCTGAAAGCTCTCATCGCGCTGCAATTTTTCTTCTTCAAAAGCCTCGAGCTCAAGGCCTTTCTTCTCTGCCTCCTCTTTATATTCGTCACGGGAAGCAGTGCAGCTTTCGAGCTCGGCCCCCCTGTCGGCCAGGTTTTGCTCCAAGATATCGAGACGCGTCTTCAGAGCATCCCGAGTCGATTCCAAATTGGAAATCTGCATCAGAAGAACACTCTGGAGCTCTTTTCGGGTGTCACGAGCGGAAGACACTTGACCTTCCAAATCTGCGTACCTTACTTCCAGCGTGGAACGCGTTGCGTAAAGGGATTGCATCTCAGACTTTTCCTTCACTAGAAGCTCCTGCGTCTTCTCCAGCTCTGTGCACCTCTCCTCCAATGCCACCTTTAGCCCGTTCAGTGCCTCTTTCGACTCCTCCAGTGCCTCCTTGGACGCCTGCAGTGCATTCCTTTCCGTTTTCTCTCGAGCCAGGGCGTCTTCGACAGCCAGTAGATCGTCCTGTAGTGTCGTACTTTCCATTTTCTCTTGGCCTAGAGCTTCTTCCAACGCTCTCAAATCCTTTTGCAAAGTCCTATTAGCCAACTTCTCCTGGGCCAGAAGCTTTTCTACAGCTTTCAAATCGTCGTGAAGTTCGGCGTTCTCCCGCTTCTTCTGAGTCAAAAGTTCCTCTACAGAATGCAAATCTCCTTGAAGCTGGGTGGCCCTGTTCGCATGCTGCTTAGAGTCCTGACGATAGGATTCTTCGATTTGGCGATGGTTCTCGAGCTCCTCATGAAAGGTTTTGTTTTTCTTCTGAAGAGCTTCAACCTTGTCGGCAAATTTAGAACGCTCCTTCTCGATGTCCGCTTTTTCCAGCTTCGTAGCCAGAAGTTTGCTCATCGTATCTTTGAGTTCCGCTGAAAGAATGCTATGTTGTTCTTCCAGGTAGTTTGTCTTTTTCTCAAGCTTTGCCATCTCCTTGGCATGTCGTTCATTGGCAATAGCGTTTCTACCAGACGAGGAGTTGGTTTCAACCTGGATGTCGGTGTTTGGGTTTTCGTCAATGTAGCGATTGGTTGGGGTCCGGGACAGAGCTCGCCGAGATAAGGGTGAAGTCATGGTGTACAGTTCTTGGCCTGTCCCAGAGAAAGATCGCCGTCTCGAGGATCGTGCTTCGTAGCAATATTCCGTACTCACCGTCGTAGCTTGTGAGCTGTCCGAAACGAAAGATGAGGCATCCTCATACTCGGACGCAGAAAAGACGGCAGAGCTTTTGCTATCGGCCACAGATTCGACTGGATCCGGATCTCTGAACCGGATGGTAGGCCGGCTCCGCAAAGGAGCATAATTGATGGCAAGCGTCTGAGGCTTTGGTGGAGGAGGCGCAAGATAGGTCGAATCGTCTGATGCTTCGGAATTCGCGTAACCAGGCTCTACCCGGATCATGTTCGAAGTAGGCGTCTTCAAGGGGACCGGGAAAGTGGGGGGCTGGAACAGAACCTCGGGGCGTATATTGAAATGGACTCTGGGTCGAGGGATTCGAGACAGCTGAGTTGATGGCTGGCGGCCAGGTAGAGCCATAGGAGACAGGCGTGCCAGAGCTCCATCCTGATCAGATTCGACGCCGACAGTTGATTTGTTTGAAGTCAATGATGACGTTGACGTCACCGAGCCACTGGACTGTCGCCTCTGCAGCTTGAGTTGTGGCTTGGGAAAGCCGAATTGGGACTCTCCCTGCCGCTGCTGGGGACGGAATGTGGTGGCCCTCGCGGTCCGGCTTCGTACATCTGTGTCGCGGTTCATTGGTGATTGCGGTAACAGTTCTCAGTCCGGTGTGTTTGGAACAAGTTCGTAAGCAGCGCTTAAAATGGGCAGTCTGCTGGTATGATTGGGAAGCTTAGTTGGGGTGCCTTGAGCGATAATTGGTGCAATGTAGATGTGTGCAAATGGGAGAAAATGCTGCTCATCACGCACAGGAAATTAGGGCAGGTGAGATTGACGCAGTCGGAAGCGGTTGTATTGAAAGATACGAGGCCTTGAGCGGTGTCAATCGTGCAGGCAGCGGAAATCGGCAAGCATATAAGTGAACTGGATTTTGTGAAGTACAAGTGACATGCATACACGGGGGTGTGAGGAGGTCAACGGTCAACACGTGTTTTCGCTGAGGCTGATTTAATCATATTGATGACTGGACAGGGCATTGCTGCTGTTCTGGCCCTTGCCCGTCTGTTGGGTTTGATTCATGCGATTTTATTGCTGCCACGAATTCGAAGGACGCCGCACTGAAAAGAAACGGTGACGCTGGCAGCCTAAGATGGTGTGAGGCCCGAACTTGCGGGTTGGGCCGCAATGCCCTGTCTGACCGGTGGCGAGGTTGGCCGAAAGTACCCAACATCCTTGTACCGCGAGACGCCCGTTCCTGGAGAAGAGGTTTTCAAGGGCCCAGGAGGCACGGCCGAAAAGCCGCAACTAACCACTGCAGCGGCTTGTTGCAACCAAAGAGGACATGTGGCAGGTGTTGTTGGGCTCGGGGTAGAGGCGCAAATGGGGTTGAGTCATATGTCTCTGCCACTCGGAAGAAGGCCTGACTGTCGTGGCTACCTCCATTCGCTGGCATGAGGTTTTAAGCCGGGGCGTTGCAGCTTTCGCATGCAGCAGCCACAGGCCGCAAGAAGTACCGACCGGGGTTGCGGACATGGTGCCTAACTTTGATCTTCCTCGCTGCAGATCAGCTGATTCCGCACCGCAGTTGTGCACATAAATAAGGAGGCTGTGGCAGGTTGAAAAAACCCCGGGCCCGGATATTCAGGGTTCAGACAAGGCAAAATGACGCGTTGCAGCATTTGTAGCGGCCTTCTTTGCTTTTTCTCCCAACGGGCGTCAACTGGGCTGCTAACAGGGCTCGACCCACAACGGCGTGGGCGACAGCAAGAGGTCGACGACGAGTAGGTCAATAGGAGCCGCAAGACCCAGACTGGAGCCACAAGGTTTGAAACAAAAAAAAATATCCGCCTAATTGCCGTTTCCCTCAGTCTGTCTCGAAATTTCCAAATTGCTTGTTTCCGCCAGATATCGCCAGAAGGGAAGGATGTGGCCTGCCGGACGGAAAAATAAAACTCCGTGCATGGGGCTTCCCCGCAAAACCTGCACGATTTGTCATCAGCTGGAGACCAAGCGCCACTCCTCGGTTAGTTCAGCAAAAGGGCAACGAGCCGGCAGCCGTCGGTAAACGATGGCCCAGAACGAAGTACCGAAGATGTCGGCCGTTGACAGCTGACTGAGCCGATCGCATATGTGCTGCGAAGCACCTGCTACATGACCTCGCCCAAATGTACGGGCAAACAGAACCTCTACGCACCAGACAACGACGAAAAAGGCACCGAAAGACCCACTGAACAGAAGAACAGAAGAACAGAAGATGCTGAGACGCCCTGTGCTGTTTGCGGCCGCCCGACGGACGACCTCATCGCTCGTGCCGCGGAATCCAAAGACGTTCAATTTCGTTGCTGCACGACTGCTGTCGACAACCATGGCCCGCCGAGGGGCTTCTCTACCTGTGGTGCAGCCACCGCTGACATCCACACATGCGGCTGACGCCTTCCAGTTGCTGCCCGAGGCAGAAAAGGCGGGCGCAGCAGAAGACTTGCTGTACGAGCAGCAGATCAAAGATGTGGAGGCATGGTGGGCAACACCACGCTATGCTGGCATCCGGCGGCCCTATTCGGCCGCAGACGTGGTCTCCAAGCGCGGTTCGCAGATGCAGACGTATCCCAGTTCTGCAATGGCACGCAAGCTCTGGAATCTCGTCCGCGAACGCGAAGCCAAGGGCGAGCCCATCCACACGCGTAAGTGCAACCGCGATGATGCATGCTATTGCACATCGAGCCTGCTGACCGTGCCCTCGTCTCTCTTTCAGTGGGCGCCATCGATCCTGTCCAGATGACACAGCAAGCCCCCCACCAAGAGGTGCTGTACATTTCCGGCTGGGCCTGCTCGTCGACCCTCACGACGACAAACGAGGTGTCGCCCGACTTTGGCGACTACCCGTATAACACAGTGCCCAACCAGGTACAGCGCATGGCCAAGGCCCAAAGCATGCATGACCGCAAGCAGTGGGACGCACGGCGGAAGCTGACGGCGGCGGAGCGAGCCAAGACGCCATACACCGACTACCTGCGGCCGATTGTGGCGGACGGCGATACGGGCCACGGAGGCCTCTCGGCGGTGCTGAAGCTGGCCAAGCTGTTTGCCGAGAATGGGGCGGCGGCGGTGCACTTTGAGGACCAGCTGCACGGCGGCAAGAAGTGTGGCCATCTGGCCGGCAAGGTGCTGGTGCCGATGGGTGAACACATCAACCGTCTGGTGGCGGCACGCTTCCAGTGGGATGTCATGGGCACCGAGAACCTGGTGATAGCCCGGACGGACTCGGAGTCGGGCCGGCTGATCAGCTCGGCCATTGATGTGCGCGACCACGAGTTCGTCCTCGGTGTGGCGGACCCGTCAGTCCAGCCGTTGGCCGAGACGCTGCAGGCCATGGAAGCCCGCGGCGCCTCGAGCGAGGAGATCGACATCTTCGAGGCTGAATGGGTCAAGAAGAGCACGCTAGTCACCTTTGACGAGGCTGCGGTGGCGCACCTGCGGGCCGAGGGCGTGGCCGAAGCGGACGTGGCCTCGTACGAGGCGGCCGTGGCAGCCAACCGCGACATGGGCATCTCGGAGCACCGGGCTCTGGCTAACAGCCGCGCGCCGGCCGGCCGCCCAGTCTACTTCAGCTGGGACGTGCCGCGCACGCGCGAGGGCTTCTACCACTACCGCGCCGGCATGGCAGCAGCGACCAAGCGGGCCCTCGCCTTTGGCCCGTACGCAGACCTGCTCTGGGTCGAGACCGGTGACCCGTCCGTGGAGGTGGCGCGCGATCTCGGCCGGCAGGTCCGGGCGGCGTATCCGGGCAAGGGCCTGGTGTACAACCTCTCGCCGTCGTTCAACTGGATGGCCCACGGCTTCTCCGAGGAGACGCTGCGCTCGTTCGTCTGGGATATTGCCCGCGAGGGCTTCGTCCTGCAGCTTGTCTCGCTGGCCGGCCTTCACACCACGGCCACGGCGACGTGTGCTCTGGCGCGCAGCTTCCGCAGCGATGGCATGCTGGCCTATGTCAACCTGGTGCAGCGCCCCGAGAAGGAGCTTGGATGCGACGTGCTCACGCACCAGAAGTGGAGTGGCGCCAGCTACATGGACGGCATCATGGGCGCCATCCAGAGCGGAAGCTCGGGGAGCAAGAGCATGGGCGAGGGCGGCACAGAGTCGCAGTTTGAGTAGTCGCCGCGAGCATAGTACGAGTAGCCGGAGATGCACGAATAGAATCAGACTTATGACGTACAAGCTTAACGGGCCTCCACTGTCTCCTGCAGCTTTTTTTTTTTTTTCTTTTTTTGGCGTTGCTTATTGGCCTGATGCTTGGTATACGCTCTTCCGAGTTCGGCCCTGTCCGGCAGTTTTATCACGAGCTCCTCTGGCGGCGTTAACCACCGGACATTGCCCGGCATCAGAATCACGTCCTGTCGGTGAGGGTCCGCTGTCGCTGCAGGAGACCAGGCTGGGGTCTTTCTTTGTCTTTGGCTTCCTGTTATTGCCCGTCGTTCGCAAGCTGTTTCAGGCCTCTCCACCTGTGCGCCCCATTGCGACGTTTCGTGCTCGTTGAAACAAAAAGTAGTCGACAACCCTGAAATGCTGGTCTTGCGTATAGTAGGGGCATACACCAGCAAAGTCTGGCCAGCTGCCTTCAGCACAATGCTTGGTGTGGTGGCATGCCTATTTTTTTGTGCATTGCGGGGTGGCATCTTGCAGATCAGTATGTCCCTCTGATTGGTCAGTGGAGACCCACCCCTCCATCAGTGGGAAAAAAAACTTTGCCCACCCAAACCCCGATGTCAGGAAAAATCTGATTGACCAATAATGAGTCACTCACTTTTTTTGCTGCGTATATCGGCAGGCACAAAACCCCTCCACAAATCTGTTCCACCGCCTTCAGACTTCCTCCTCTCCCCTTAACGAAACATATACCACGATCGAACACACCGTCTCGCTGATTGAAGGATCTGTAACATCTGTATTTTCAGGCCATTCGAACCACACCATTTCCTCACCACAATACTACAAACATGTCTCCGTCAGCAGACCCCACGGTTCGTCTCTCCTCTCGAATGGTTACCTTCCGTTCCCGCCTTCTCCAGCGTGCAGCCGTGGCCAATTGCATGCCTCCCTTCCCCAGAAGCGCTCAATCTAATCGTTTCAATGATACAGAGCGCAAGTTTGCCCAACACCTCAGGCCAGCATCAGCAGCCGTCCACACAAGGCAGCAACCCGTACCAGCCGGTTGGCGACTTTTTGTCCAATGTTTCCCGCTTCAAGCTCATCGAGTCTACTCTGCGTGAGGGCGAGCAGTTCGCCAACGCCTTTTTCGATACTGGTGAGTCATACTGCTCCCGGGACAGTGGCCGTCTGGAAGGAGCGATACTAATGTAGCATTCCCGAGTACAGAGACCAAGATCAAGATGTACGTCCCGTAGCGGACCTCACACCTCTCACTGACTGGCATCGGAATGACTGACACGTGCGACTTGTAGTGCCAAGGCTCTGGATGACTTTGGTGTCGACTACATTGAGCTTACCTCTCCCGCTGCTTCTGAGCAGTCTCGCCTGGACTGCGTGGCTATCTGCAATCTCGGACTCAAGGCCAAGATTTTGACCCGTACGCTTGACTTTTCCCAGACAGTTGGTGTGACTGGGGGGCTAGGTCGTTCTGTCTACTAACCGCTTACGCAGACGTCCGGTGCACAATGGAGGATGCTCGCATCGCGGTCGAGACCGGTGTTGACGGCCTGTAGGACACACCCTCCTCACTCAAACTCCTGACCCCTTGTCTGCTCAAGTCTGACATGATTTTTCCAGTGACGTCGTCATCGGCACTTCTCACTTCCTGCGCGAGTTCTCGCACGGCAAGGACATGGCCTACATCACCAAGAGCGCCATTGAGGTCATCAACTTCATCAAGTCGAAGGGTCTGGAGGTCCGCTTCTCGTCAGAGGACTCTTTCCGGTCCGATCTCGTCGACCTTCTCTCCCTCTACCGCACAGTCGACAAGGTTGGCGTCAACCGTGTTGGTATCGCAGACACCGTCGGTTGCGCTACTCCCCGCCAGGTTTACGACCTTGTACGGACACTTCGTGGTGTTGTCTGTATGTTTTACTCCGCCCACCCCCTCTGTTCTTTTTTTCTTTCTTGTGCTGCATCGTTTCTGACTCGCACAGCTTGCGATATTGAGTGCCACATGCACAACGATACTGGCTGTGCCATTTCGAATGCTTTCTGCGCTCTGGAGGCCGGTGCGACACACGTGGACGTGTCTGTTCTTGGCATTGGTGAGCGGAACGGCATTACAGTAAGTTTACCATCCCATTGCAGCATCGCACAAGAAAAACATCTGCTAACAGCGTTGATAGCCTCTTGGAGGGTAAGTGATAACTGAAAGACCGGGTCCTTCTGTGTTCCAACCCCCGTTAGCACGTCATTTGTCCAAGACGAGTGCCGAGCTGGTAAAACGCGGGGTGCTTTGCGTATCAGTCAGTTCGGCGGCGATCTGTGTGACAAGTGCTAACATATCACCATCTAGTTTCCTGGCGCGCATGATCGTGTCGGACCGTGAGTACGTTACCAAGAAGTACAACCTTCACAAGCTCAAGGAGCTGGAGGATATGGTTGCCGAGGCTGTGCAGGTCAACACGCCGTTCAATAACTACATCACCGGGTTCTGTGCCTTCACGCACAAGGCTGGCATCCACGCCAAGGCGATCCTGAACAACCCCAGCACCTACGAGATCATCGACCCTGCCGACTTCGGCATGACCCGCTACGTGCACTTTGCTTCGCGTCTGACGGGCTGGAACGCGGTGAAGACTCGTGTGGGCCAGCTGGGTCTGACCATGACTGACGAACAAGTCAAGCTTGTGTACGTTGTGCCTGCACCACGCACCCTCGTTGGCGTCCCTATGTTCCACATAATTGGCTTCTGGAGGCTAACTTACAATTTAATACTTTGTACAGCACGAGCAAGATCAAGGACCTCGCAGACGTTCGGCCCATTGCCATCGACGATGCGGACTCGATCATCCGGAGCTTCCACCTCGGTCTCGAGGCCAAGACCGCCCCCGCACCAGCGAACTAAAATGGACTGGGATTGGTTACAGGGAGTTTTTACGGGACTGTCCAATTTTTTCGTCATTTGGAAGGCGTCTAGGGAACACGACAAAAAAAATTACATGGCTGAGCATTGGGAAACGTTTGTTTTTGTATATTTGCAAGCTTTTTGCGCTTTTTTGGCTTTAAAAAAAGCATTGGCAGTTTGTGGGTCAAGAAAATTCAATTTGCATGCTGTTTATTCCGATACCTTTGATTTGGTCAGACATTGCCGCTTGGAAGGGATTTGCAGTATCTACGTACGACGTTGTCGTGGTTGGGTGAAACACTGGAAACTATTGATGTCCGTCAGAGGAGGGACTAAAACAATGTAAACACAGTAGGCCGAGACTACGAAACACGTGTTACTGTAGCCAGTCAGACACGAGGCGAATAAGATGTGTGTGACAAGAATTTGTGTGCAACGAATCGGGATGCTTATGCATGCCACCATCCGGTACTCCCATTAGAATTTGAACGACACTGCAATATTGACACCGGCTTACATTTACATCTCGGCACTTGCGGAATGTCTGTTACCCAAGTCGGATATTCGGCTTCGACCGAGAGGCGGAGGGAGAGGGAAAACACAAAGAGTCGAAGCCGAATATTCGACTTGGGTAACAAAGACCGACGTGATCGACGGCTGGAGCGGGTGGCGCAAAGTAATTTTTGAAGATCGTGAAGATCGTCGCAGCACGGCCAGCGAGCGATCTGTGTTGAGATCCGCGGGGTGTGTTCCAAAACGAACAAAGAGAAGAATGTTTCGCGTGCAGTTCGGCCGACCCACAGTGAGAACTAGACGCAAGCGGCTCTTGTATTTCTTGTAGCCAATGTTTGCTTGTCTCTGGAGCGATCGATCTTGCTAATGGCTGTACTCCGTACACAGTAACATCAATCAATGCCGATCCCAAATCTGAGCCCAGAGTGCGCCATAGCGATACTATGTAGCTAATAGCAGGGGACAACAGCAGCGATAGGCTAGACAGGGGCGGCCTGCTAAGGATCCACTGGGCGGCAGATATGCTAGTGGGTGAAGACGGAGAGGGCGGGTGGCTCTGTAAGTGCTAGCGTGGCCTGGGAACGCCACGTAACCGGTGTAAAAAAAACTCACAGTGAGCAGAGTAAAGGGGGTAAAAATACAGCCTCTGCTGAAGAAGAAAAGTCTGCTCACGACAGAACGTGTTTTGTCTGATTAGCGGGCAGGCACGCCCTGCCGTTGGAAGCTCAAGCGTGATTGTCGCCAGTCGCGACGTGCTTTCCGCATGAAGAAATGGACAATCAGCTCCTGCATTGTGAAATTTGCTGCTGATCCGGGTAGCATTCCTTTCCTTGCTCTCTCGTACGACAAGATCGGATCCAATTGTAAGGAAATCCGTCCTTTTTCATGCACACCGTGCAACCATTCTTCGCAGCTACAGGACAACGAGGACGTGCGGTCGCCTTTGTAAGATACATTCCAGTCGGCTTTGAGCGAATACGAAAGCGGCTCTCTGCTAATAGGATGACGAAGACGAAAAACACGATGAAAAAAAATAAAAATAAAGCCCTGGGGCAAAAAAAGCCAGCCGCGGCAGTGTGGCAAGAAAGACGCCAGGTCGAGTTCACGAGCGAACCGTCCAGGCCGCTAGGAGGAGCCATGACATGTCATAAATACCAATGCTTGCCGTATGGGCCTCTGAACAAAGAAGGGCCCTTCCGGTGCTAGCAGAGCGTGGAGCCGGGTCCCCTCGAGGGAGGATCTGATACAACCCAGAGTGCTGGCCTCAGCTGTTGGTTTGCTGACCAGCGCAGCCGGCCACCCGCAATGCAACCACCAGCAGGGATAAGGGAGCTGAACGCAGGCTCCACGGGCAACCTCTACGTCGTACGCATGGCTCCGTATCTGGCGGTGATGCCCTTTGCCCTCAATTATTGGATGGTAATATTGCCGTTCATGCTCGTCTTCTTTATTGCTTCCTTTTTCGTCTGCACTTCACCGACGCCTTGCTCCGTCCTCGTGATGGGAAACAGGAGAGGAATCGAAAAGTACATGACCGGTCGCCATGGCTTTAACACCCCTCCCCTTGCTCTCCGTAACACTAAGCACAGTCAACAACACACATACACACACCCCTCAAACTCTGTCGTTCACACCAAGCAGCTGGTCATGATGCCCACTAGCTCCACACAAAACAGCACGACTACTGTCCTAGGGCAGGTCCATCAGCTGGCCCATCCATCCATCGGCCAAGTGCAGTAGTGCTGTCTGCAACACTGTGCATGAGTCCACGCAACCTCACTACTCCCGTAGTGTGAATTTTTTTTCCGTCTTTTGTCTGTTGGCCCCCCCTTGCTCGTGGCCGTGGATGTCTATATATACTTGTAGTGGCTAATGCCCATGCCATGCTCATTCCCAACCGTCTTCCTTTGTCCTTGACAGCATCATCCCCTGCGTCTCCTTGCACCATCATCCGGGATACCTTCTCTTCTTCAACTGCCCAACCCTCTCACATCCTCATCCGTCAAGATGGCTCAAGGCAGCTCATTCGCCCAGCGGCTGCCGCAGACGGTCAAGAACCACTTCGTTGCTGGTATGGCCGAGTTTGTCGGCACCTTTCTTTTCCTCTTCTTCGCCCTCGGTGGCACCAATGCCGTCAACTCGGCTGGTTCCCAGGAAAAGACGTTTGTTCTTGCATCCGACCCCGCCGAGCTTCTGTACATCTGCATCTGCTTCGGCTTCTCTTTGGCTGTTACTGTCTGGCTGTTCTTCCGTGTCTCTGGCGGCCAGTTTAACCCTGCTGTCACCCTGAGCCTGGTCCTGGTCGGTGCCGTTGGCCCCGTCCGTGGCTTCGTCGTCTTTATCGCTCAGCTCCTCGGAGGAATGTCTGCTGCCGGCGTGCTGTCCGCTCTCTTCCCCGGCGCGCTCCAGGCCAGCACCACGCTGCGCTCCGACACCAGCATTGCACGGGGCCTCTTCATTGAGGTCTTTGCTACCTCCATTCTCGTCCTGGCCGTCCTCATGATGGCTGTTGAGAAGCACCGGGCCACGAGCTGTGCTCCTCTGGTCATTGGTCTGGCTCTCTTTATTGCCGAGCTTGTGTAAGTTGCTGTCCCCTTACCCGCTTCCCATGGTTGTATATGCGAACAACTGCTTATCAGCATCGTGCTACAGGAGCATTCCATACACCGGCGGCAGCGTCAACCCTGCCCGTTCGCTTGGCCCTTGCGTTGCTACGCGCAACTTCACCCACTACCACTGGATCTACTGGATCGGTCCGTTTCTGGGTGGTCTTCTCGCCACGCTTTACTACAAGATCATCAAGGTTCTTGAGTACGAGACTGTCAACCCGGGCCAGGATGATGACGGTCTTCCTCGCTACATGCCCAAGGAGCACAACAACGGCCTGTTCCACCCCGAGGAGAAGCGTAACGGCACTGCTGAGCGCAAGCTGAGCGGCGACACTCGTTTCGGTGAGGGTTTCCGGACTGCCCCCGGTCTGGAGGCAGGTCAGAACGTTGCCAACGCATAAACACCATGATGTGCTGCGATCCGAGCACGACAATGATTGTTTTCAAACACGGACGCGGCGCCAAGTCCTTGCAGACAGCGAGAGGGATTTTAGCCGTTTCTCTCGAATAAAGACCGTTGATTCCGGCCCCTATTTTCCATCTCTAATTTCTTTTCTTTTCGCTTGTCTTACTACACGGAGGATTAGCAGGCAGCTTCGGGTGCATAACTGCTTCACGGCCTACATAGAATGAACTAATATGTATAATGTAAGGGGTACGGGGGTAGGATGGGATAGGATACGGAGGGAGCATCAAAAAAAATCAAACATCCAATCAAACAAAGAATTACAAGTTACAAACTCGCGTTGCTTATAACAGTTGTCAAAAAGGCTGTAAGCGCAGAAGGCGGGATCTTCCCCGAAGAGGTTAAAGAAGTAGCTATCGTCGTAATGCGAGGGGACTATCTACTAGCATAGATTGATCCGACTTGTCCGTGCATACATCGTGCTGTTCTCCACGGACTCTAGCCATCCTCCCAGTGTCCGGCACTAAATTGCGGCTTGCATGGGTTTCGTCCAATACGAGCCTTCAAGCGCTTCCCTCTTGCTGCGGGCCCGCTTCGGTAGCCAATGTGTGTCGCGGTACCCCTGGAAGGCAAAATAACAGGACTCATCGGTTAGTAGTCGATTAGCTATGGGGGGGGGCACAGCCGTGTGCACGGGGCAGTGAACCCCGGCTAGACGGTGCAGACATTTCGTCATGCAGGACGCGCAAGGAAGTTCAGGCAATGGAGGCTTCAGCTTGGGTGGTCAACTGAAAACATCGCGTTGCCCCCACATGATTTCGGTGTGGCATTCGACCTTGCCTGCTGGAATTGCTAGGTGCAGACAGCTGTACTAGATATGAGAAGCCGGGGGGCCGAGGAAGTGGAAGGATGGAAGGGCGAAATTAGGAGAGTGCGGCTGCACAAACGACTCTGGAACCGTTGAATTGACTGGCAACTGGCCACGCAAAAGCTTCCACGGTAAACGACAATAGCGTTAGGAAGGCAGAGGAAGCCATAAACCTTAAAATCGACACCAAGTAGCACAAGTTTTGGCCTTAGCCATCTTCTGATCCGTGTTGCACAATCTTGCTGTACGGTCTCTGTAGCGAAAGACAAGAAAATGGCGGGATAAGAATCCTTCCATAACAAAAAGAAAACAAAATACCCTTGTGGAGTACTACTAGAAACAGCTCATTATATTTGCTTTTTTCTCAGTACGTTTCGATCTTGTGTTCTTGTCTCGTCTTGCCGAATACTACCCTACCAATTTACAGTCCGATGAACACGTAGGAGCGCCATTCTCCATCTTCAAGGAGAGCTATAGGCAATACGGCTAGACTGGATGGACCGAAAATCAAGACAAAAAGTTTGGGGGTTCTCCGAGGATCGAACTCGGGACCTCTCGCACCCTAAGCGAGAATCATACCACTAGACCAAGAACCCGTTGTTGTCCGCGTTGAACAGGGGATGTCGGGTGGGTAGCAGAAATTACGCTCATGTAAGATGCGCCCGAGCCACGGCAGAATATCCCGCACGTGCTACTGATTTAAGCTTTGCTGCAGTTGTTCGTGCGACGTAAGACATCATTTCACGTGACCGTCAGATTAATTTGCGCTCGATGACGAGCTTACTTTTTGCTTTTCTTACCCAGTAACCATTTCCAAAGGCTCATCTTGCGACGGGCGGGCTTTACGCGCAGTAGAAACACATTCAGTGAGAGCCATGGCCGACGGAGCAACGGACGAGCTGCCGCCGCCGGCAGCATCACAAAAACCGGCGCTGAAAGGAAGCTGGACACAGGCCCTGCGCGACGATGTGGATGTGTCTTTTACCTACTTCCACCTGCTCGCGTGCTGCATCATCTCTGGGCTATCGGATAGCGTGGCGTTCAATGCGGCTGGTGTCTTTGTCAGCATGCAAACCGGTAAGGCTATGTGGTCGGCAATACATTGTCATCGCGACGTTTCCGAACGCGTCTAGTGTGTATCTGGACTCACCGTGTTTTTTTTCTCCCGCCTACCAGGAAACACCATCTTCTTGGCCTTGGGCGCGTCCCACCTTCCGGCTGGCCAGTCCAAGCTCTGGCTGAAGGCCATCGTGTCGATCGCCTTCTTCCAGGCCGGCTGCTTCTGCTTTTCCAAGTTCCGCTACTTTGGCGCCCAGCGCAAGGCAGTCATGTTCGCGTCGACCTTTCTGCAGACCGTCTTCGTGGTCGTGGCCGCGGCCCTGGCGCAGTCCAAGGTCGTCGCGGCCTTTGGTGACACGCGGCTGAGCACCGTCTCGACAAACCCGACCCGGCAGAAGCAGGAGGACGACATGATCATCCTGGTGCCGATCGCCCTGCTCGCCTTCCAGTTTGGCGGCCAGATCGTCATGAGCCGGGTCTTGGGCTTCAACGAGATTCCAACAAACGTCCTGACGTCGCTCTACTGCGATCTGCTCTCGGACCCGAAGCTGTTTACAGCCGTCGGGGCTAATGGGAAGCGCAACCGCCGCGTCTCAGCCGCCGTGTTGACACTGTGTGGCGGCATCATCGGCGGCTGGCTGCAGCGGAGTCGAGGAGGCATGAGCTCGGCGCTGTGGGTCGGCGCGTTTATCAAGCTCTGCCTCGCACTCTCTTGGCTGGTCTGGCCCAGCAAGAAGAATTTCAAATAAGGGCAGAAGTGTTGATTATGTGGTTTTTAGACTTAGTTCTCATATGTGCTCATGGCACTTTCATTCGTTAAACTAGATTGACATCATCGAGTGTTGTAACCTATATTTTAGAAATACTCTAGATAGAGCCTCCGCCGAGAGAGGATACAAAGACTTGGGCCGTGCATCACATCTGGTGACTAGCAGCTATCGTGCCCACCACAAGTCTAAATTCTGCCTCGGACAGAATATTTATAAGAATCCTGACAACTTCGTGCATCCTTCTACTCGCAGACCGGCAAAGCGAGTTTAGGTACTCGATATAGTAAGATACTTGATATTCGTTTTTCGTCCTGGTATCCACCTCCTGATGTAGTCTCTGTTAGTTCCGGCTTATTAAAGCAAGCTATTTTCTCTGTCCAGAGGCTGCTGCGTGATTTGACAGGTTAAGAAGATAGTGCCTCTCTGTGGTGATAAAATCTACTAGTAGGGCTATACGATGCCTCGCGTCAATGGTCAAGGTCTTTCGCCAACAAGTCTTTCATCAAAGTCAGAGATGTGGCAGACGGTAACTGGATCGGAGCTTTGGTAGCAGCTGTGCGGGCTCAATTTCCTTCTGTTTGAACCACCATTACTTTAACTGATTCGTAGTCAAAATCCGAGTTGGGTTATATATATAGCCATAGAGTTGTTTCGTGCTGACCCTTTTTCTTGTATCATACAGTTTTGGACTCAATAAATGCCTTGCAAACTTTTAAGGAGCATTCTAACCCGACTTTGTTTCTCGGAGTGTCCAGCAGTAGAAAAACAGCACCACTCCTTCTCTCTATCTTTAATTTTTTTTGAAGTTTATATAAACGTCTGTATCTCCATAAATATTTGTTGGCCATTCAAAGATAGAGCCGTGTACCAACTCGGCTATGACGAAGCTCGAAAGACGGAGACCTTCCACCTCCGAAACTGGGAAGCGCCTTGACAGCGACAGATGGTTATGTTTACTGACGAGATACGAGGACCTGTTTATCGCCTTCCACCGAAGACAACACACACAACGTAGAAAAGAAAAACTCGACATGTAGCAACTAAGCTTGTTTGGCACTGCAAAGCTACAAGAACGTGAGCGAGTCCTTCTTTTGCTCGACAACGACCCAGCCGCGCTCATCTGTCGACGGCCTGCCGTCGTCCTTGCTGCCATCCTGGCTGCCCTTCCGGTCTCCTAGCGGATACTTGCGGATATTCTCAATGGCCCAGCGTGTCTTGGCATCGAGGATTGGCGGAATCCTGCCCTTGCCGTCGAGCTGTGGGAGACCGGCCAGACGGAAGAGGAAGTCGAGGTAGGCGGCGGTCTCGCCAGAGTCCCACTCGACGTCGTGAAAGTTCTTGTCCTCCTTCTTCCGCAGCGCCACGCGCTCGCTCTCCCAGCGGCGCTGCTCGTCCTCAGGCGGCAGCCGCGCACGGCCGGCCCAGACGCGCGCAATGGCAATGGCCTGGTACTCGAACGAGCGGAAGGTCAGGGTGCGCGGCAGGCCGATGACGGCGAGCGTGGCCAAGTCGTGCACAAAGGTGTGCTGGAAGGTGCCGACGAAGCGGTTCGCGTCGTAGTCGTACAGCGGCCGGCCGTTGGCCTCGACGTTCCAAAAGGGATACGAGGCCTTGTAACCGGTGGCGTAGACGATGACGTCGATGTCCTTGGGGCCGAGAGTCGATCCGTCGGCAAAGATGATGGTCCCGTCCGACGTGTACTCGGTGATGATGGGCTTCCAGACGAGGCCGGCCGGCGGCTCATCGCCGTCCCAGCGCGAGGTTGAGCGGCGCGACTGGTAGAGTGGGCTCCTCACTAGGCCGGAGCGGAGCAGCTGGTCTGTCACGTCGTGGCCGGACGCCGAGTTGCCGATCACCAGGACGCGCTTCCCAGCAAACGGCTTCGGCGAGCGGTACGTCTTGGAGTGCACCACCCGGCCGGGAAATCGCTCGAGATAGTCGGCGAGGCCGGGCACAAACGGGACATACGGAACAGAGTAGTGTCCGTTGGCCAGGATGACGGCGTCAAACTCCTCCTCCCACCACTCGTCCACGTTGCGGGTGAGGTCATGGCGCCGCAGGGTCAGGCGCCATCGGTCGTGCTTTTCACTGCTCGCATTCGGCAGTCGTGTGATGTCTTCGACGGTCGTGTTGAGGACCAGACGCCCGTCCTGGCCGTGGGTCGAGATGTACTGGCGAATGTAGTTTTTCGGAATCCAGTGTGGGACAAAGGGGCCGTATGGAAACCGCTGGTCCGAGAGGGACATGGCGATCTCGGGTACGTTGGTGGTCAGATCGTCGTATATGGGCGTGATCGCATAGCGCTCCTGCATCGAATGCGTCGTCGTCCTCGGCAAAGCTGATGGGATGGCCAACGGCTTGTCGATGACAGGAGGTAGAGCTCCCGGAGTGAGGCCGAAGCTGGGAGGCACTGCGTCGTAGATCCTGCAATATTTCGTCTCCGTCAGACCGGGTCGCATATTTTCCAAGAACCGGTACGATGATGCACTGACCATGTTCCACCGGGATCTTCTCGCCTCTCAAACACCTTGATCACGTCGAAGTGCTCCTCTGCGGCCAATGCCGTCACAGCTGCCGCCCCTATAATCTCAATCAACACCGTGACGAACAATCGGAGAGGCCAACTTCCATACCGGCGGCACCAGCACCCACAATGGCAACTGATTTGATCACAGACATGAAATAGAACCTCGTCTCCCTGTAGACAGAGAACGGTACTTGTATGAAGCAAGACTGCTCGATATGGGTCGGGATGGGTCTAATATAATGCAGACGAATGATCCGCCAACGGCGACCGTTTGCCGGCTCGGGTACGCCAACTGGAGCAATGCGCCATGGCAAAGTGGCCGACAGCCGGCTTGTCTCAGACCATGAATGCATTTCGTATGGCGCGTGGGGTTGCATCGTACTTTCGTCAATGGCCATGCATATTCGCAATCGACGTGGATGACGTGCTGGGTGTTGCAGCTGTTGCTGAGGTTCACCGTACGGGAAGCGCTAAAAGCACTGTGACTGGGTGAAACACAAGATAAGCCAGCACCTTTATAGCGTGGTGATCACCAACCGCTAGGGCTATTAGACGCTAAGCGGTCTTTCCATTTGTAATCAGACCACTTTTGAACCCCCTTCCTCCGGTATCAAAGGCTGGCTCTCGATGCTCGTCTCCTCTATGGCTGCCTTTATCAAGCTATGCCTGTGACTAAATTGGTGTTAGCGAGTGTCCGTGGAAGAGATAGCGTAGTTCACGCAGCTTACTTGGCGATGTAAGCCATGCCGAGCATGGCGACAGCGGTGATGAAGAAGAGCGCGATGTAGCCCTTTGACGTGAAGCGCCTGTACAGTGGTGGCGGCGGCGGCTTGTTCTGGCCATGGGGATTGAGCACATCGTGCGTGTTTCCGGCGGCGTTTCCAGCCGTGGGCGTTCCGGCGGCGGCACAGGCGGCGAGGTGGTCGGGCGGGATCGAGAGGCCCTGCAAGGCTTCTGGTGCCTCAACAAAGGTGGCGATGAGGCCCTGTTCCATGTGCCACTCGATATGGCAGTGAAACAGCCAGACACCGGGGTTGTCGGCGCGGAACCGGACGACCACGTTGCCGTTGGGGCACACAGAGACAGTGTCGCGACGCATCGGAATGGCAGGAAGGGCAGGCGAGTTGCTGTTGTAGTCGCCGGCGTCGTCTGCAGACCGCGAGACGACCTGGAAATTGTGACCGTGCAGGTGGAAGGGGTGCATGCCGTCGTCGCCGTTGTTGACGACAACCTCGACGACGGCGAGATGTGGCAGCACCTGTGGGATGGCGTACGTGCCGTAGACCCGCGAATTGGTCGCGTTGGCTGCGCCGACCGTCAGGGCAGAATAGAGCGAGGGCACCTTGGGGGCGACGTAGGTCAGATCGTTGAAAAAGGCGCTGGCAGGTGTCAGCACTAGGAAGAAAACAAAAAGTTTCAGCTGGCAGAATCTCATACTAATTTGCCCCGTCGCGGAGGTTGTCCATCTTGACAGCCAGCGTGATGGTCAGGTCAACGTGGTCTAGCAGCGCCTGGCGATCGTAGGGAACGAGGCCAAAGTCGTCGAGGTCGTCGAAGCTGGCCAGAGGCGTTGGTTCAGGCAGCGGCTTCGCCCTGTCATAGACCAACCAGCCGCTGACGTTGGCAGCGAGGCCGTCGGGGATGTCGTCAAACAGGTCGCAGTCCATGGCGGCAACCATGGCAAAGTTGGCCGCAGCGTCGCTGCGCATCGTTAGCAGGACGCTGTAGCGCTGGGCGGCCGCGATGTAGAGCACGGAAGCATCGGCCGGCTCGGTCCAGACGCCGTCCACCTCGACGACGCGCATCGAATGTCCCTCGAACCAGAGGCGGAATGCGGCAAAGCCGGCCACGTTGGCGATGTGAACAAGATACGTCTTTCCCGGCTCGACCGGCACCTGCAGGTTCTGTGTGTCGTTCAGCAGCGCTGCTTGAGGCACCGGCTCAGCCCCGGTCGGGTTCCCCGGACTGATCAGATCGCCCAGCAGCTCCGAGCTGAGCCGATGATACCAATCTGACAGGCTCAACACAATCTCGGCGTCATACTGGTCCTCGTGGGGCCCGACCGGGTCGTGCACCACAATCGTTCCTCGCAAGCCGTCCAGGTACTGGCCGTTGTTGTGTGCATGATACCAGTATGTGCCTGGCTGCGTAAAGTAGAGGCGAGTCAGCTTTATCAGCTCTCAGCGAGCTCCCAACAGAGCTCCGGTTAGCTCTCGACGTCTTGCGTGACATACCTCAATATCATAGGTAAAGGACTCATCCGGTGGAATGCCACACTGGGTCACACCAACAGCCCCGTCCATGTGGTTGGTGCCGTTTTGAAAGAAGCCGTGGAAGTGGATGCTGGTGCTCGCGTTTCCCAGCTCGTTGTAAACGTTGAGGACGAGCCGATCACCGACCGAGGCTGTGATCAGCGGCGGCGGTCACTCGCCGTTGATCGCAATCACCGGCCGGTTGCACGCATCATCTGGATTCGCATACGCCCAACCGATATGAAAGTCACGCTCCGCCGTCTCCGACCGGACGCCCGAACTGAGCAGACCGAAACAGACCGCAGCCAGAGCCGCTGGCCCACCATTGCCGAGAAATGATGATGTCTTCATAGGGTGGACTGACTCCCGTGTGTGTGCGCATAACGAGACAGCTGCCGAGGGCCACAAATGGGGTTTTGATAGGCGGAAAATATCGTCGTATTCGGGAGAAGACAGGGCGGTACGGAGTACGGAGTACGCTGTATATAAAACGTCCAGAACAGATCCACCTTATGTAAGCGAAAAAGGCCTTGATAGCGCCCCACTTTCATCTCCTGTGCGAGTCCGCCTTTCGATTCTTTACAGTATGAGGTGCAGGGACATGCGCCTGCTGTCGGTGCCGCGCACAGGGATGGTCCTTTGCGGTAAAGCCAGACGGCAGAAAAGCAACACCCCGCGTCAGTAGGCTGCTTCCAGGTCCGCCAGTGTTAGCTATGCCGGCGTGAGAGCACAATGGTTGAAAAGACGTGCCCATGGGCGAGATTATGACTGGTGAAGCCTATGTGGAGGTACGGCAGCTCTTCCCACACAGCGGTGCCAAAAAGGGCAGTTAACACGTCATGCAAGAGGACGGAATAAGGGAGGCTTTCTAGGGGACGTGCCACATAGTCAAAAGCAAACGGTAGAACCAGCGAGACGACCTGTTCTCCCAGGTCGCAGGGATTGGATCATGCCTACGTGCAGCCCCTACATCCATGCCCTGGTACACGCGAGACGCGTGGCTGGATTCTGTAGTAGCCGCGGCCGGCACTGGTTCGCTGGGCTATGTCGCGATGATGATGATGTAGCACATCGTAGACGTAGCCATTTCTTCGGCCAAGGCAGGCAAAGAAACACTATATTTCATCCGATAAGACAGAAGGACAAGACCATAGTCTTCTTTCGTCGAAAACGACAACAGGTCGCCAGGCTCGTACTCGAGCCGTAAGAACGCTCCTAGAGTGGCCGGCCGTACGAGAAGAGATTACGCACGGCTCCTGACGAACCCGTTAGATCACCGAGGTTCGAAGTAGCAAACACGTCTAGCGTGTTCAGCTTGTGGATGGGGAGGTACAGGTTCTGCTCAGTAGACTTGGCGCTAGAATCATAGTGCTAGTTCAGCGTGAAGTTGCCTATCTTTGAAGTTGTGTAGAGGAAAAATGGAGAGTCGCGGTCGACCGTCCCTTTTAAGCTCGCTGTCCTTCAACGACGGCTTCACCTGATCCACCACGCTGACGATATCCTCGATGGCGGCCGGGTACTCGCTCTGAAAATCAGTCTCTGGCTCCGTTCGCATCTCGATAAGCTCGGGGTGTTGTACGTGAGCATTTAAACGAGGCCGGGGCTGTCAGCTCTGCAGGTCTGCAGTAATCGGCTATGCGGATCTGGTTCTTGACGTTGGTGCTCCAAGCGTCGACCACGATGTTTTCGGCATGCCCTACGGAGGGGAGTCTACCCATGCGCGTCAGCCGTGTATATGCCCAGCCAGTGACGGGTGACAGGTTTGTTTAGACTACGTAGATTCCGTGGCCGATGACAAGCTATATGATAGCAAACGACTTGCCAATCCCCGAAGGGCCGACGATCACTGTATAAGGAGATAGGTGCCTTGCTCGATTTGACTCCATCAATGGCGATAGTGCTGCTAAGGTCGACTTAAATAGAATTGGAAAGTATTCCATAAGACCCCGTTGTATAGAAAGAGGGCTGGTACTGTCGGAGTTTTGGATAGGGCGACCACGTATGTACGCGGAAGACGGAAGCATTGAGGATGAAAAGTACTGTCTATAGGTATAACTTACATACTATAGCTGTGTATCGGATCGCAACACTTTCATTAACAGAAACACGGCAGAGTCTTCTATAATTCTATCTGATCGTGATAGTATATGATCATTCAAGATAAGAAGTCTACTTATACAAGGTATATCGGCGCGGTATAATATACTGTAGTTTCCTGCGGTTATTGCCACCGTCTGCACCCAAAGGCGCATGGATATCAGTTTAGGCACCGGCTAAAAGTTCCACACGAATTGTACAATTACCAGGCGGAGCGGGGAGCTTGGACGGGAACCACACGGTGAGGCTCGGGTGGATGGATCGCGGACGCAACCCAAAAGAGGAAAGAGACTGACTACATCGTACGTTTCCGAATGGTCTAGCCCTGGGAGGAGTCTTGCTAATTTCCTATAAGCCGCGCTATTCAGTCGTCTTGTCACTCATGAGCATGTGTTCGAATAGTGGCCGTCTTTGGTTAGGTTGCTCGTAACAAGTGGATAGAGATTTATTGGTGTTGATACGGAGTCATAAAGTGCAAACCCTCATTTTTCGTACGGAAATCTTGCGTGTTTGCGTTTACAAGGTTGTGGTCGATACAGAAGGATTGACGGCTGTGTCAGAGTGGTCTGGTATTGACAAACAAGGATGGGAGTAAGAAACAAAAGAGACGAGTGAGCCATATTTGAAGTTTACGTAATTGCTATATACAAATGTGCTTTTGAGTCTACGACTTACTTGGAAGTTCGATTGTACGCTTCCCGCTCGCCTTTGCAAGTTTGTTCGTAAGACTTTTTATATTTTAAGAGGCAAGTACTCCGTATAAGCGGCAGCTAATCACTAATACGGCTAGGGCAGAGTATATAGCCAAGAGGGGTTCCACTGGGCAGTTAACAACTGACGGTCTGTAGGAACAGAATCCTCACCGTTTGTTACGGTCGAGGCCATAGTTGTCTGGGCCAACAGTCATTGTCGTGAATGAACAGTGCAACTTACCACCTCGCCCAAGCTCAGAGCCAGCTTTCAGACGCAACTTGATGCTTTTTTGATAATTAGCACTATCTGTACAGCTTATGCTATACCGAATTTCCGTGCTTCTCCTCGACGTGATACTAGCAATAAGCCAAGGCGATAAAAGTTTGGTTCACAACTAACCGATTGCAACATGGGCGTTAACGATTGGTTGGGCCAATTAAAAAGAGGTGGAAACTTCTGTCGGATCCGTATCCGATCGATCTAGACTTTCAGACTGAGGGCGACACCCGAGCGCTAAAAGATCGGCTCATGTGTTGCGAGTGTCGTGCTATTGACACCCTGTCCCTACAGCGAAATACGAAAGAGGTCATGGGGCGCACTTCAGGGGGATCGCGAATCAGGTCGATTATTAGGGTGCGAATAAAACCCGATTCAATTCACGCATGCCACAGCATCTGTCCAAAGACGGCTCTGCAGTTATGCCCGTGCCGATCCGGTTACTCCCCGGAAAGTGATGCGCTGGTGGCACAACAAAGGGAGTAAGTGAAAAGATACGGGCCTCCGTTAATAAAGCGCGACGTGTTTCGACAGAGATACATAAGTGGATTGAAAAGGGTACTCCGTACTCCGTACATGTGTCTTGCATACTCCGTAGTACGATACTAACGCGCGATTACTTATGCCTAAGTATTGAAACGCTTTGCCCCTTGTGCAAAGCATTTGGAAGATCAACATGACCACTAGAATTGATTTTATTGTGACTATCGTAGCCGGATCTGTGTTAATCGAATTTTTGTGGTCTAGGGCCTAGACTCTAGGCTACGGGAGCTCTAGAGCGACCTTTTCTCGGGTGATCGCTTTCAGGAACCGCCGTCTCCGCTACGGGTAGAGTGTGTTTTGCTATGTAACGCTGCTAACCGGTGTTGCAATTTGCGGGGTGCAAGATAGAGACAACAGTTCGTTTCTCGTCTCATAGTCTTTGCTGTCGAACGTTTCATCTCATGTCTGGATTTAGGCATGAAATATAGATGGCGCACATGGCGGTACCTTAATATCCTCCTGTTTGGCTCCATTTTTTTCTGTATGCTTTTTGTATCAAATAGGCAATGATTGCCGTGGCTCGATATCAAGTACTCGGCTTGTTGGGGGGGCACAACCCCATTTTATCAATTATCGTGCGGTTCTCATCAATAGCTGTGGATGCAACGGAAACGGCCTTCATCGCCACAATCACAATGCAAGCATCCGCCCACTTCTTTCCAGGCCAAAGGCCGACATGTGACTGGAGGCATCAACGGAGACCTGAGTGTGGAAACAATTCCCGAAAGACTTTAGAGGATACGACGCTTCACTTTGTATAAGAAGTGAGCATGTCTCCCATACAGTCCGGTCATCTATTCTTTATCCTCTGCACTCTTCAACAAATCGGGGCTGGACCTGTCATACCTTTCCAATTGAACCTGCAGTTGTTCAATTTCAAAACTATTCTCACTCTTACATTGTACGCCATTGATCACGATGCATTCCAACTTGGTTGCCCTCTCTACCTTTGCCGCTCTGGCAGCTGGACAGCAGGTAGGGACTCAACAGACCGAGACGCACCCTACGATGACATGGAAGAAATGCACGAGCGCGGGCCAATGCGCTGCAGTCAACGGCGAAGTCGTGGTCGATGCCAATTGGCGCTGGCTGCATAAAACCGGCAGCTCGACCAACTGCTATACCGGGAACACATGGGACAAGTCGATTTGTCCGGATTCTAAGACTTGCACAAGCAACTGTGCAGTTGATGGTAAGATACCGGGACTCTAAATCTTTGTCTCTTATATGTTGGTCCTAACGCTCTTTGTAGGTGCCAATTACGAGTCTACGTACGGGATTACGACGAACTCGGATGCTTTGTCAATCAGCTTTCTCACAAAGGGACAGTATGGTACGTTACCAATTCTTACAACCACCAAAGGGTAAGAAAATGAGGCTGACAATCGTCGCAGCCACCAACATTGGCGCTCGCCTCTACTTGATGGCCAGTGAGACCAAGTACCAGATGTTTACCCTGCTGGGTAATGAGTTCACCTTTGACGTGGACGCGTCAAAGCTGGGCTGTGGTCTGAACGGTGCTCTCTATTTCGTGTCCATGGATGAGGACGGTGGCATGAGCAAGTACCCGGATAACAAGGCCGGTGCCAAGTATGGCACAGGCTACTGCGACTCGCAGTGCCCGCGTGATCTCAAGTTCATCAACGGCGTGGCCAATTCGGATAACTGGACGGCATCGACTACTGACTCCAACTCGGGTGTTGGCGGCTACGGCTCGTGCTGCTCGGAGATGGACATCTGGGAGGCCAACTCCATGTCGACAGCCTACACGGCGCACCCGTGCAAGACCGTCGGCCAGGTGCGCTGCGAGGGCGACAACTGTGGCGGCACATACTCGTCCTCGCGGTATGCCGGAACGTGCGATCCGGACGGTTGTGATTTCAACTCGTACCGCCAGGGCAACACCAAGTTCTATGGGCCCGGCATGACCGTAGACACGAAGTCGGTGGTGACAGTGGTGACGCAGTTCATCAAAGACAGCAGCAACGGCCTGTCGGCGATCCGGCGCTTCTACGTGCAGAACGGCAAGGTGATTCCCAACTCGGTGTCGACCCTCAAGGGCGCGGGAGGCAACGAGATCAACGCGAAATTCTGCAAGGCCCAGAAGGCTGCCTTTGGCGACAAGGACATATTCAACGCAAAGGGCGGCATGGCCCAGATGGGCGCTGCAGTTGCAAAGCCCATGGTTCTGGTCATGTCTCTTTGGGACGATGTAAGTTGGGGGGAAAGAAGAAAGAAAGAAAAGGGATAAAACGAAAAAGGTCCAAACTAACACTATATAGCACTACTCCGACATGCTTTGGCTCGAATCGACCTACGCAGGAACCGCTCGTGGCTCATGCAGCACCTCCTCTGGCGTGCCTGCCACCGTTGAGTCTGAGCAGGCCAGTGCCAAGGTCATCTTCTGTAAGTTTGAGTCTTTCCGCTTCGGCCATCCATATGCTAACGATTATACCGCTCCAGCCAACATCAAGTTTGGCCCCATCAACTCGACCTTCACGTCCAGCTAAGCGACTAGAACCGCTGAACAGACCAGAACAACAGGCCAAACAGCATGCCTAAATCTCTCTTCTCTTCGCTGTTGTACATGTCTTCCTGTCCGTCGGTTTTGTCGTCTCCTTTTCTCCGGTGTGCATTTGAAAGTTGGATTAGGTTTTCTGTATATGTTCTTCCATATGCTTAAAAAATGGATTCATTCCCTCCGTTCGTGTCCGAACTCTCGGCTGATTTGGCCCCGGCGTGATGATATTTGTACTTCGTAGTTGAATCTCCAAAATGCCAATTCATCCCTACAGCACGCGTGCGAAACCCTTGGTCGTAAATACATCGTGGCCTCAACGTTCAGGCATTCAAGAGCACTCATGCCGCGATGATCAAGTACATTTGCTTTGCATTGTAATGTCTATAGTAAGAGGAATTCCCGAAATGGACATCGGTGGTTTGCACGCAATCATCATACAAGTAACGCCACATTTCCACGATACTTTCTCGTCAAGACATGGCCGTCAATAGCACGTCGGAGGTACCGACCAGTGGCGCAGCATAGTTGTAACTGCCTGTGTCCACTCGTACTCGAAGCACTGGGCCAGCTGTGCGCACTCCTCCGGTGTGGGCTCATAACCCGCCCACATCTCTGGCTTGCTCGCCTCAGACGTTGCGTAGTAGGAGATGAGGCCACTGCGAGCAGGTTTAAATGTTTAGCAACCCCACCACCAACTGCCAATAAGCAGAACAAGAAGAAGGAAACGGGCCGTGCTCACTCGTTGAAGATCTTGGAGAGACACAGCCAGGCCATGTTCCAGCTCCGGTTGGAGTCTGGGTCATTCCGAACCCGACGCTGGGCCTCGGCCAACACATCGCCACTAAAGGGGTAGCTAGGTGTAAGGCCGCGCAGCTCCGACAGGAACTGGTTGCTCTCGACGTAGTAGACCCAGGCAGCCGTCATCGGCTCCTGAAATGCACGAGCGTCTTCCTCATGCTCACACGCAGCGGCCGCTCCTTCGATACGGCACAGCTCCGTCAGCGTGTTGACGCGGTGGGTCTCGAGGGACTCAATGAGCTGCTTGATGGACTTCTGTATGAGGCAGAAAAACATGTAAGTAAATGAGGGGGATCAGATAAGTTATGTATTGCTTGCACGCACTTGCGAGGACCGTGCCTTCTTTCCTCCCGAATGCGAGCTGCTGCTGGAGCCCTTCTGACTCGAGCGTGAAGACATGTCTGCTGTTTGTCTGAAAAGTGTTTTTGTTTTAACTGTGACGATGAGTTCTGTGGGATGTTGAAAGTAAAATGGACGGTGGCCTCCTCTGATAGATATAGAAGGACGAGCCGTATCCGCTTCGCAGTACACGTCCCAATGACTCCCCGTGAGTATATTGGTGGTTTTCGCGACGTCATTCGTTGACACGTTGATGACAGCAGCAACAGACTGAGCAGGCTCCAGGCATCTGCGCCCTCGGAAAGACGACCGCCGAAGCCAATCATATTTCGGAATGGCCCGTGGAGAGACGGAGCCTAAGGAGGCGGAGGTCCTCTACGCTGACGGACTAGGCACGGGGGCTCGTGAATACTAAGGATGTATAATCAAGATAGAACTGCTTAGAAGAGACTCGGCCATGGAACCGAATGCGAGAATCAGCTACATTCTCCGTCACCCAAGAGCCAGCGGCTACAGGCAGATAACGTGGTATGAGTGACAGACAAGTCATCGCGGTCGGAATTCGTCATGAGCTGCTGAAGCTGTGGGCCGGTCAGATCGAGCCACCTTGTCGTCGGGATCCGTGGGTGGCGATTCGGCTGCACGCAATAGAACCTTTCTCGGACATGACGGACCAGCCGGAAGGCTCCGCCGACAGAAATGCTGACAGGCGCTCTGCAGTATCAGGCAGTCTGGGAGGCCACCACCGACAAATTGCTGATGGAAAAGAGATGTCAAGAAGGCCGGGCAGGACCGGTGGTGCAACGGCAGCTCGTGTCTCTCGCCGTTCCAAGCTGTTGGGACAGAAGACTTGTCCGGATGGGACGGGTAGGACAAGACAGTTAATGCCGAAAGCCGAAGTAAGGCAGCTTTCGTGATCTGGTTAGGAACATGACACGAACATCGCATGCATGTCAGATTGGTCGTATAGAGCGTCTGCTGCCTCCAATCAGCGCCTGGCGATGCCGATGCCGATGGAGTGAGATTTCAGCGTGAGCCACCACTGACTGCTGCAGTGCTTACAGGGCGCATCCTGGTAAAAGCCAGGCAGGTCAGCCTTAAGTAGGGCTTAGCTTAGCTAGACTCGGACTGGGTGGGCCGCCCGTTAGCCGCTGGAGCTGATTGGCCAGTGTCCGTCAGTTGAGCAGGCTGCTATGCCGGCTAAGAAGAACAGTCATGCTGTCTGCAGATGCCATTGTCCCCTGCTGATTCGTGCTTCTGCAATATCTATCCAAGAAAGAAGAAAATACATTGGAAAAGAAAAGAGAGAATCCGAGAATCCTTCCTCGCCACCATCAAATGTCGTTACATCGTAAAACAGCCAGATGACTTCCCAGTTGCCACTCAGTCTATCCAAACAGTATCCAAACGGTTCCACGTCTAGTTTATTTCTTCGTCTATTGGCTCGTCATCTTCGTCATCTTCCTGCCAATCCGCACTCTCGAGGCCACGGCCCGAGACCATCAGACCGCCGAGCCAGCCGAACACCGCGACGCCCCCAAAGATCCACCAGGCCAGTAGTTCTCCTTTCGGACGAAGCCGAGTCGACAGCGTGAAAAGTGCGCCAGACACAAACGGTCCGACACTGCGGCCGGCAGCAGAAAGCGTCTGCGCAATGCCGTTCAGCGTTCCAAGTGTTTCATTAGAAGGGGCCGAGTTGGTGATCTGTGCACGCGGGCGACGTGTTAGAGTATGCCTACAAGAGAGGGTAGTATGTAAGAACAACGAACCAAGAGCATCACGCTGGATAATCCACCGACGGCGCAGATGTTCTTGACCACCAAGACGGCAGCCATCTCGCCGTACAACCACCACTCGCCGCTGGCGATGCCGAACAATGGCCGGTCGTACTTGTGCCCAACCCACGGCATCACCAGTCCGGATACTGCCAGGCCAAAGAATGCGACCCGGTAGGTGCCGAGATTGCCCATCTTCGTGCGTAAGGACTGGAAGACGAGAATCTGAAAAAAGATGGTGGCAAGTCCGGCAAAGGACAGGAGAAGACCGATCTCTTCAGGAGGCAGATTGCGGCCCGTCGGCTCTGCGGCAGAGGCAAAGATGGGATACAGGCTGTTGAAGCTGATGTTGGAGAGCTGAAAGACGAGATAGGTGAGTAGCAGGAGGACGGTCTTGTAGTTGAGAAGCTGGCGGAAGACGGACACCTGCTTGGAGCTCTTAAGACCACCGTTGCTGGCCCTGTCGCCGCTGCTGCTCACAGGATCGTCGCCTTGTTGGGGACTAGAGAGCAGGCTTTCGGTCTCGGGATACTCTCCTGTCGCGCTCTTTGCCGGGGAGAGCTCAGAGAAGAAGCGGCTCAGGCTGGCCGAGATGGATTGGTTCTGCCCGACGCCGACGCTTTCCAGCGTCTCGTCGAACCATATGGCCAGCACTGTGACGGCAAGACCAAGTAGCACGGCGCCGGCAATATTGGGGCCGAGGAAGGGATATTTCGCCCCAGGGCTGGCGACGAGCAGGCCGCCAAGCGCCGGCCCCGTGATGGAGCCAAGGGAATATATGACGGGGAGCCAGGCAAAGACGCTGCTCTGGTTTGTGCGGTCGGTGACCTCGCCGAGGCAGGTGGGCACGACAGCAGCATTGCCGTTGAGCAGGCCCATGGCGATGTGGATGACGACGACCTGCCAGTAGCGGGTGCAAAAGCCAAAGAGGCCGAAGCAGAGCATGAGCAAGGAGGAGCCGGTCAGAATGACGGGCTTGCGGCCGACAATGTCGGAAAGGTAGCCCCAGAACAGGTTGGTCGTCAGCTGCGCCATAGCAAAGGCCGAAGCCAAGAGACCGACATAAAGGCCCATTTGCTCCTTGGGGATCTCGGGAAAGGACGACACCATGGTGGGTAGGTAGGGCCCAATGGAGTTGAGGGCAGTCTGCTCTGCCAAGCTCAGGATCGCCAGCAGGCCGACCTGTCTCAGCGGCAAGGGCGTGACCTCTCCCGGGCTGCTGTGGCCACTGTTCCGGCCGTGGCCATGACCCCGGCGGCGTGTGTCTCGACGACCGAGCTGGCCTGTTCCCGAAGACGCCTCTTCGCCATCGTCCAGCGTCGTGTTTTCGGACGGAGCTTTGGGAGGGGAGGTAGGGAAGGTGTGGTATCTGCTGATGGAAGGTCGGTGCACTGACGCGGCAGATCGTTGTCTGCTCGAGGGATCGGCGCGCTCGTAGGGATCAAAAGTAGGGGTGATGTCGCCAGACTGAAATGAGCCTGTCGAAGCGACCCGAGGACGGAAGGGCCAATTGGAAGAAGCTGCGGACACCGCTGCGCTGACGAGATTGGTGTGTACCATGGCAAGTCGCCCGCCGGCGGTCGGGGCAGATAAGACAGGTCTTGGTTGGCGGCTCGACCGGAATGGTAGAGGGTGGGAAGCGCAAAAGACGTAAACGAGAACCAGCGATGGTCTGTTCGTCTGTTGCCGTTTGGGAAGCCCGTCTGCGGCCGTCCCAGGCTCGCCGTTCCAAGGCCCTTCCAAAAAGAAGAGGAGGAAGTCCAAAAGGTTCAGAAGTTGGCCGTTGCAAGGGAGAAGTCGATAGATTTGGCCGTCATTCTTAGAAGAAGAAAAGTTCCGTTGCGATATCTCGTCTGGAAGTGGGGGCCAGGAAGGAAAGGCATAAAAAAAAACGATGAAAAAAGAGGACTGGTCAAGAATACAGCGGGTTCTGCGCTATTTCAGCGGCGAGCAGTCGAGCAACGCACTACGCAATTGTGGACCTTGGCGGACGATAGCTGGCGCAAGGGGCGGCTTGCGTGCCTTGTTGTGTCCTAGGAGAACTGATCGCGGGATTCGTCTGGAGGGGAACTGGAGATAGCAGATCAAGCTTGGATAGCGGCATTTCTTTAGGGAGGAACCAGCCCGCAAAAAAATCAAATCGCTTCCTGCTGTTGGCCAACGACCTGCAGGTTTCATGCAAGCTGGCGGCATTAGCATGCGGTGGGCGGTGGACACTGTACTCCGTACATCTTATCCAACATCGCCTTAGTCACTGTCGACGACGTTCCTCTGGCAAAGCGAGTGCATATTGGGATAGTGATAGTACGGAGCATACAAAGGCATTTTGGAAGACAGCTGCGTGCCAACCATCCTCGCTGGTCATTGCCCTTTGTGCTTTAGCCTGAAATGGCTCCACTGCGAACTCGCCTATTAGGTCACCGTCTGCAAATCCACCGTTCGAGCTGGGAAATCGGTCTGTTTTCTTAATTGCCTAATTAGGAAGCAGCGACACGATGCCGCAACAGACGACCACAGCCACCTCGACAAGAACGACAGGAGCGACAGGAACGACAAGAACAATCTCCGGCTCATTGGCAAACGGTGCCATGGAAAATAAAAAATCCGCGGCCAAACAGCTTCGGCCCTGTCTCCTTCTCAGTCACGGGATCTTCTTCCCTCTCCGCATCTTCTGCTTCTCTTCTCTCTGCTCTCTCCCCAGAATCCTCTCTTCTCCCCACATTTCCCCATCGAACTTCGTTTTTTCATTTTCTCTCCCAACCTCCGTTGCAGCCAACTCATTACTCTCACGCCAACATAAACATCCTATCCGTGTCTGGTAGGTCAGAAAAGCTTGGTCCCTCCACTTACATCAACATTCGCTGCTGCTATTCCCCATTTCCCTTTTCGGAAACCCCATATTACCGGCTGTCAATCCTTTCTGTTTGTTCATCTACTTGTTTTCTTGCTCGTTTCTCCTCCTGTCTCTGGGCCTGTCTCTCGCTTTGTTTCTCTTCTCTGTCTCACCTGGACCTCCATCCCCCTTTTTCTTCTTGTTCCTTCATGTCTCTCTCATGTCTCTCCAGTCCATCTAGTTACAGCGTTTTTTTCGCTGACGTCTTATTGAGCTCCTGGTGAAGATCACCAGCAGCAGTCATTGAAAGGTATAAGATATATCCATGGGGGAAAGCACATTTTCCCCCTACATGTCTACAGAGTCTGACCTTAGCAGCACACTTCACTTTCGACAGAAACTTCTTTGCTCAGTGCATCACCATGTCAGTCACACTATTCAGAGCCATCTGGCAGGCTATAGTCTTCCTGCTTCTTGTGACACTCTCTCAAGCCCAAAACCTGAGGCGTGCAGAGTCTGCATGTCATTCAACACTAGTCTGCATCGACGAGCCGGACATCCTTGAGCCACATGGCTCTGGCGTCCTCGACTGTTACGACATTTCTGGAAAGACGCCAGCAAAGAAAGACTCAACCTGGTCGTATGAGGTGCACTCATCGCTCAATGACACTACAAGCGTCACAAGCACTGCAAGCACCACGAACAAGGATGACCATCTAGTCGTCCCTTCCGGGTAAGATGCTCACGGCTTAGATTTTGCTTTAATAATTTTATTAAATGTCCATGCTCCTCTGCAGATGCCATTTTGGAAACACCGACACCTGCTCAGATATCGAATGGTTTCACCGGTCTCGTGGCTTTGTATGGGTCGGTCTGCTTTCCGTGGAATGACACAAACAGGTCTATCCCAGGGCAGCACGCAGACAGGGTCTCCTTTTTTCGTCGCCACATGAGAAACGACATGATTTGACAGGTCCAAGGCTGTTTGTCTGTTTTTGAACGCGAAGTACCCATGTCACTGAGAGCTACAATTTGAGGCCTGAAACCAGTACATAAACGCTGTGTGGTTCGTTCTCGTCTACTGCAGGCACGTTACAGCTGAATTTAAAAATTATCACAAACCAAAGTCCCTCACACCTCTGTGGGTGCTGGTTTTCTTCCCTGCGTTCAGAGCTCCAAGGGGTTGATTTTTGCCTCGTCACTCACAGGGATCAGTAGTGTGGTTGCGGGTGGCAAGAGGAGGCACAAGTACGAGTCATAGAATTTGCACCGAATCCATATCACACAACTAGCAGGACAAACCTGTATCGAAGAGGCCTTTCGCGAATGCCGTATCTCGGCGAACGACCAAGAAGAACTGGAGTCAGCTGTCAAACACACAGTACGGAAAGGAAGAAAACAGTAGGTTCAGGGGACTTTGACGTATATCGGCCGCATTTCCGTATCTTGCTTGCCTTGTCAAAAATGCCAAGAGAATATGGATTCCATGTGTCATCTCGGTAAGCACGTGGGTAGGCCCGGTTGTCTTGGCAAACTTCCTTTCGACTTCTGGCCAAAGGACAGAACAGAGTTTTTCTTAGCGGTTAGTATCATGTACTCCGTACGATAGAAATAATGCTGGTGGAAGTAAAATGTGCGGGGAACAATGCTGCCTTCAGGCACAACAGCACGCTAAACCCAGTCTTCGCACCATGCCTTCACGGGCCGACTCTTTCCTCAGTGAGCATCGTGTTGGCTGTCACATTTTCCCTTTCAGGCGCTCTCTGCGAGTGCTCCTGCTTACCATTCTCATGGCGTCATTTGGACAAATTGAAGCAGCCTCGCTTTGTCTGTGTATATGGCTATTAACAGATAGGGTAAAATCAGATCGGAGTTGACTTCCATCTTCCTCCAAGTACGATATGGAGGCCATCGACGCCAAGACGCTCCTGGTGCAGGAGCTCGATATGGACAGGGATGGCCAAGTCTAGCAGCTGCATGCGTTTGTGCGGGCAGCATCGTCGAGCTCGTCGGGCGACCGGCTGACGATCGAAGCTCTGCCGGTCGTCCTGTTTGGCGGCCTTACTCACCAGATCATCCGGCCGAGAAATGCGTCACGTGATCGAAGCCATCATGGGCCCCGGCGCCGCAGCCATCGTCACCCGGCCGACCGTCAACGTCGGACCCATCCGCAGCGGCCCCGAGGTCAACGTGATCTCCGACGCGTGCATCTTTGTGCTCGACATGCGCCTATCCGCCGGCCTCGTCCGCGACTGGGTCCTCGCCCTCATCTACGCCCTCATCCTGCAATACGACGACGCCTGGGTCAAGCTCGTCGTTCAAGAGGCCTCCAGCAACTCGGCCAGCTACTCCACCCTTGACTATCCCATGGCTGCCCTACTGCCAGATAATTCCAAGCTGGTCGCCCCTGGCGCCGACAAGCCGCTGGCTGTCCCGTCAATGAGGACCGTCGACTATAAACACCATCGATACACAGACATCTCTGCATATGTATATGGCTGCAGCCCCCATACAAGTAAGGACGACTGTAGCGTCATTGAACAAAGGAGATCGCAAGAAGGCTGACTGTTTTATAGCACTACAGTGGCTCAAGTTAACGAGTCTGCTTCCATACGCGAGTTCCCCCATGTGACCAAGGATCATGCCTGTGCCACAATAAATTTCCTTTGCAGTGACTAGGCAGTATTTATCAGGGGCTGATGGCAGACAACATCATATACAACACAGTATGCTAAGCAAGTACCGTGTGTGTTGACGCCAGAAGAGCCCTCATCACGTCGCCAAGGCTCTCAAAGTATCGGCTTTGGAGTCTCGCATCCGCTCTTGCAGCCAAAAGGGAAAGGACCGGATCATAGACACCCAAGAGATAGCCCGGGGCAGGACAATCTGGCCGCTGCAGCCGCTGAGCACCTGTTTGACCACGGCGAGGGCAACAGTCTCTGGTTTCAAGACATGATCGTTAAAGTCCCTTGTCTCTGTCAGGCCCCCAAGCAGCGGTGTCTGTGTCCAGAGGGGATGGACGATTCTGACCTGTTAGCAACACACCACACAAAAGTACAAAGCACCGACAGAACATACGTCGTCCGCACGCTCCTCGCATTGTAGCGGTGCCGGAGGTCCTGCGTGAGGCCCTCGTGTAGTGCCATCACGGACGCCTTGGTGCAGCTGTAGTCGACGTTGCCGGCGATGACGACGAAACTGGCCATGCTGGCCATCGTCACGACATGGCCGTGGTCGCGCGCTGCCATAGCTGGCACGAACTCGCGCACCATCGTCATCGGCGCAATCGCGTTGACGCCAAACACTCGCCGCACCTCGTCGGCTGTCAGCTCGAACAGCGACTTCCCCCCATTCGTGATGCCCGCGTTGTTGATCAGCACCGTCGGGTCGCCGACGTCGTGCCGCACCCACTCGGCAACCGTGTGCACATGCTCCTCTGCCGTCAGGTCGACCGCGTAGAACGTCACGCCCTCGGGAAAGGGCCTCTTCGCGTCCGGCAGATGCTGGTCCAGCACGACCACTCGGACATTGTACTGCACAAACGCGTCCACCATCGCCCGCCCGATGCCGCTGCTGCCGCCCGTAATTAGCACAATCTCCTTGGTCCAGTCCCACGACCGGCCAGCCGACACCAGCGGGTTGCCGAGCACCAGGCTGTTCAACAGCTTGCTCGCACCGTACGCGGCCACCGTGCCGGCAACGGCGGTCCATGCCGCACTGCCCAGGCTGGCAAGAGGCTGCCGTAACACCGCCGGAAGGGTCGGCAGCATCATCGTGATTAGAAGGGCTGATACAAATACGCTGATGTGTCTGTGTGTCTGAGTATCTGTGTGCAAAAATCGATATGAGGGGAAACATAGCTTCTGATACCGAAGGTTGGGCTTTATATGCGGGGAAGGCAGTCGCATTCGGGCTTGTCGCTCCTACCATGTACGGAACTAGGCTCCTTTCTACTAAGTAGCCTGCTGATGACGGCATGGTTGGCTTCAGTCCCATCTGTCTCTTTGCTAGGTATTTTCTTACATATGCATATCGAACGTGTCTAGGCATCGGCATCGACTACATCTAAGATGACCTCACTAGTCATGCTCCCTTGCGTCGGCATCTTCACCCTTTGAGTTTTCGGGTTTCTAAAACTCAAGGTCGTCTCTGCCTCTGCACCTCGCCCGAGTTCCGCATGCTGTCCGTCCCAGTGCTAGCCTCGTTGCATTGTAGTTATACCTGCAACTGCAGACGCTATGTCACTACCCCACAAACGGTTCAACCCGTAGCGCTGCAACATGGAATCCATGTACCCACCCACTCGCACAATTGCCCAGAGAACAAACAACGGTGCCCGCATAGAACTTTGCCCGGGTATCGATGCCAGGTGTTCTTTCCACATAGGCTAATGCACATTCGCCAGGTTCGATGTGCGAATGGGAGATATGTAAGATGTGTGGGCTAATCAATACCAGCGATATGCTCGGTCTCTAGATGCATAGGCCTGCTTGACGAAGTCGGGCTTGTGTTGTACAAATATATCTGCCTTCTCACTACGAGTCAACTAACTGTATAGTGTCTCGAGGAAGTGATGCAAGTGGGCAATGCGGAAAGTGCTACAAACTAGATAATCGATTTAGAATATAGTACCTCCCGACCACCATACATGCACCACAACTACTCTTCGCCCATCCTTTACAACTTGTTTGTTCACTACAAAACACATTTATGCTCGAAAACAAGCCTGCTTTCTCTATGATGTCTCGGGTGCTGGCCAGCATAGTGGTGCTGGCTCTCGGTGGCGCTGTTGTTCTAGGTGCTGTCGCTCTTCAAAACTCACAGACAGCTAATACAATCATTCCTGTCGATGTCATGACGACCACAGAGACTATCGAAGTTCATCTTACCTTAAGTAGCTCCTATACAGACACGGAGACCGTCACAGACACGGTAACAGCAGAGCCACAGTTTTCAAAGCTTACAGTTACCAGGATGGAGAAAAGCACTGTATACATGGTCATCACGGAGACAGTCCTATACGCTTGCACAATTACCTCTTTTCTGCCCTGCACGGACACGGAAATGCAATATTCGTCTCCGCCGTCGATACTCCAGCCAAGCCAGGTATTTCTTCACAATCTCGTCTATTTCTTGACAACTGACAATGCATATATGAGCCATTAGCTGGGAATTTGTCCTATTCGTTCTTCAACAAAAGTTGACGCTGATTCCTGTGTGGAACTCCTATACGCTATTGCTTCGAATACCGGCGTTGTTTCGACGGACAAATTGGAGGTCGATTACACCGTGGATAGCAGCACCTCGAGCAGTCCAGGCAAGGAGGGCGGTAAAGCAGGAGACAGATCGTGATATGTCACGTGCGGTTGTTCCCTAGGCTCATAGCAAGGCGAACAGGTATGGATTTACCTGCAGTCTGTTGCTACAGCTTCTTTGGCTGTGGGCATGAGTCGTCTCCGTTACCACGGCACAGGGGCTGTCTGCCAGATAGAGATTATCGCATGCATGTTTCGCAGCTGCGTCGATCGCACATCAGCATGAATAGATGTTCATTTATCTGAAACTGTTTTGGATTGACATTGCGGAGCCACGAATCCTGTAACGAGTACTCCGTACGGAGCAAAACAGAGGTTGCAAGAAGATGAGCCCCAGAAGAGTCCTGTCGCCACAATCGAATTTGCGTTTTGGGTGTGCAAATCCATAAATTTGGCGGATCTGAAGCGGCAGATGGACTCTTGGCAGCATGCATGCTCGATAAGATTGCAAAATACAACAGCCGATCAGCGAGAGAACAGTCCGAAATTTAGGGCTTGCGATTAGCATTTCTGGGCCGGGGGCCAAAATGCTACTATGTAATACGTACCAAGACCTGGAAAGATGCTGGAGACAGCGCACCGACATTCCAGCACATGACCGTTTCTTGTTATTGTCTCACTTCCCAAAGCTTAATCGCAGCTCTGAACGAAAATCGCACAATTGATTTTTCGCGTCCAAATGCCAATTCCAAGTCGACAGGCTTCGGCATTCAAAGGCACACGTCTCACTGAAAAATACTGAAAAACTTCTTGGAAATGTGACCGAGAAGCACGTATACCGCAAGCTGCACGAGAACGGCACTCGTATGCAGGCCAACGCAACTAAGCATGGCCGAAGTGGCAATCTGCGAGGGCCTTTTCCCTCGAGAGCCATTTCATCAACGGCCCATGCGTCAAATCCGTTTTTTTCCGGTCCTCATTTCCCGTTGGTGCCAGTGCGCCTTACCCCGCGCACCGGCCATCCGTGAGATTCTGCATTTTGTCTAGCCATCACGCCACTCGATGAAATCATTAATGTCGCTGCTAGCGACGACAGTACACAAGCCAGGAACAGCGCAATTGGCCCGGTGGCTCATCCTAAGCATACTCGTATTACTCCGTACTCAAGGGAAAGAAAAAGAAAAGTCGCAGCGCGCTACGAGTGCAATCATTACAGGAAAGCGCGACAGGCGGTACACCATAACGGGAAGTTGCCCAACGTAATATTCGCTACGCAAGGGCGACTATCCGTATTCGGAGAAGCGTAAGGTACAGAGCTCAATCGCGCTAAGATGTCCATAACTCCAATGTAGTCGTACATAAAATGGCACATATTCAAGCGTGCTTTACAAGTACTCTGGACTTGGGGGCGCAAGACATTATTTGACCTTAAATTGCCCCGGTCAACCCCCAGTTGCCATCGAGCCGCTTTCCTCCAGTGAAGTGAATGAAACTGGTCACGTTCGACCACGCGACCCCTTGGGGGGAAATTACGAGTACGTGCCCGGCGCTCTTTCCCTCCAGAGGCCTCACCGATGAGATTGGCGCGCTGTTAATTTGATGAGCGCCCAGATAAGAGCAGTACGTTGTCAATGATCGGCCAGTTTCGAAATGTGAATGGCCGAGCGCCGAGTCCGACATCCTCACGTATACTAGCGAAGAATGACAACTATGTACGTCAGAGAGGCCAGACAGAGAGACAGCCCCTGACCTTTGTCCTTGGCTACAACATCCCCGTCGGGGAGCACAGCGCTGAAAGTAAAAATAAATCCGACGAGTTTCATGATGCATCCCAAATCCTTCCCGATTGCGATAGGCTGGCCTGGTGGCTGAGAAGAGGCCGTCCAAAGGGCGGCCAGGGCCTGTGTGAAGAAGGACAGGTGCGACCACAGCACGGGCCGTTCAGGAACCAGCAATCTCATCTCCTACAGATGTGTGAATAGGGTAAAACGAAACATGGGCGAAAGAGGGGCAGAAAGCAACGTTCTCCTCAGTAAAACCACCTTACTTCGTAGGGAGGCCGCAAATCGCAGTGGGGATTTGTGCGAAATGAGCTCTGCGGTACATTTCGCTCTCTGGGCAAGTACGAGTACTATGTAAGATATGACACGCGCGCATACGTATCTTACGAGTTCTCGTAGGCGGCAAGGCCTTACCCTTTCCTCCAGCTTAACGTGCGCTAGCGCTAATTGCCCCGTTGCATAATGTCGTTCGACAGGGTAAAAGGACAAGTGCGACCCACTACGCGTAGTCTGTTCCCCCCCCAGAGGCTTACTTACTTTTTGGCTCCTCTCCGTAGAGGGGGGTGTGGGTCCGTCGCCATCGTGGGCTTTCCTTCACGTCTCTTACACCGTTATTATCACGTCTCGTCCTGTTTTATTCCTCGCTCGTCTCAAACTCCGTTCCTGCCACTGCTTTCCCTGCTTTTCCCCCTATCCTTCGTCACCGTACATCACAAGGCTTCGTTGGCAAAGTCTGGTATTTGCTCACTCGCGAACCGTTTAAAGTTACGACTGCTTTCTTTGCTAGATCAAAGTACACAAATCGCTTCGCTTCTTTCGCTTTTGCAAAACAAAAACCCATCCGCTCCACGCTGCCCAACACTGGAAATCCCAAATCCTCAGGCACCCCTTTACAAACCGCAATAATGCACATCACTACCATCGCGTCCGCGCTTCTTCTGCCGCTCCTCGCCGTCGTCGACGCGCAGGCGGCCACCACCCAGACTGCCGTGAGCACGCTGACTCAGACCGTCACGCTCAAGCGCATCGTTGCGACGACGACCGCCATCTGGACGCAGTCGGCCAACAGCACCAGCTCATACGTCGCCTCCACTATCAGCACTAGCACCGGCACCGGCACCGCCATCGTCAGCAGCGCCGCCAACGGCACCGCCAACGGCACCGCCAGCTTCTACGCCTCTTCGGCAACCCCAACTGTCAACCTTGCATCCAGCTCCACCTCTGGTGCTGCGGCAGTCGCTACGACCTCAATCAAGAGCGGTGCTGCTTCTGCACATAACGCTGCCTCCATCATGGGTGCCGCCTTCGTTGGTGTTGCAGGTATGGCCGTGGCTGCTTTGCTATAGGCCAGCTTGCTATACTTGACAATTCGAAACGTTACACGTCTTTACGCCGAGATCGTCGATGCGGAACATCAGCTCACCATTTTCCTTTGTCCTTCATGTTCAAAACTCTTCCCGCAAACGAATCTGTCAGCACGCATAACGTCCTGGGCGTGCTGGCCCCTACGTCTGTGTTTTACTCTCCACGCTTCCTTCCTTCAAGTCGACACAAGCGCGAGCGCGGCCTCGCCACCATCTCAACAAGAGGCGGTCAACTAGAGTATGGTGCAACCTACATCTCCGACCAGAGAAGCCAGGTGTTGATCCGTTGTCTTTGCTCTCCTACCACAAATCGAGGCAAATCAATGTCGTTGCATGCATCGTCCCTCTATCACCCGCTGGCTCGGCAGCCATCGACCACTTCTGACCGAAGCTTATCTTTAGGTCCTATGGACCCGGTCTGTAGTTTTGTTCTCTTCGCAATCAAAACCTCTCTCAGATCTCCATCCGATGAACAGTACTAGGATACCTCTCCTATTTCAACCACTCTCGCACGCCCAGCCCCTTGCATGTCCGTCCTTCTTGCCATTTCTCTATCTTGCTTCCTCTTCTTCTCTCAATCAGCTTTTTTTTTACTTTCATCGACCTGGTTCAACCAGGTATTCCGATACCCCGTGCCCTACTTTTGGTCACTTCTCTTCACTTTTTATCATTTTCTATTCCCCATATCACCCGCCCGGGCGAGCGGGCGAAAAGACGGACGTCTGTAAAGTAAAATTCGGGGGCGGAGGAGATTTATATTTCAAAACGATGAGCGGCTTTACTATTTATTTGATGATTGATTCCCAAATTTACGTTCCTATGCTTCTTTGTGCCTTCACCAAGTCTCAGCGTTGCGCTTTTGTGATTTCGCGTTTTCATGGTCTCTGTTGATGAATGTGTGACTGCGTGTTCTGTGGGTTTGATTTGGCTGGCTAATTCCCATGTATGTGTATTTGCTACGAACTTTAGGTAATGATCGAGGCAGCGGAATGGCACTGTAATAACTATTTGAATCTGAAATTATCAACAGACTGTCTGAAAGTCGAGCCGAGTACCGACAGTTTCTTCCCCAGGTGACAAATGATAGCGTGATTGCGAAGTATCATCGTTATTCTCGCCCCATTAGTTCTCCCTGTCCGTCTTGCACGAAGATCGAGCGACGATTTTGGACCAATAACAAAACAGGTTCCAAACGCGACACATATCAAGTCTGCGTTATGAACGGCTACATGTTGCCTACTGTTCTCTTCAGCACGATCGCAGCATAGCCACCGCGCGATCACCTCGTCCCCATTGAAAAACCAATCTTCACCAGGCGTAGTCAAAGTCGCAATCTGTCTGTGAAGGTAGAGGAGCAGGAAAATGTGCGCTAAGCGTTGGTGAGAGCGTAAGGATTGAAGTACCCATTTCAGAACTTCCAGAAGTGGACGCGTCGGTAGTCAATTGCAGCACACTGTCACGGGCAACGTTGGCATGTTCGTGAACCGTCGCATTGCTCGTGTTGTTACCTTCGCTGGTCTTAAAAGGTCTAGGAACTCCGTCCAAGACAGGCAGAATGCTTCGGGCCACCTCATCCGGCTTCGGCGCATGCAGTACCCGATATGGCAGCTTATGTGACTTTTTCTCACTACAGAGCTGGTTCGGGTCTTCGTTGCATGCAAAATTCGTAGAGAAATTGGTTGCGACCACCGCCAGTCGTAGAGATGCTGAATTTGCGGCTCTGTGTGAAACTGGCATGGCCTCGCTTGAGGTCTCGTTCTGCCAAAATTTGAATAGTACTACACATGACGTGTAGCCAGCGATGTTCTCGTGGTACAACGCCACATCTGCACCTTGGCGGTTTATCATGCTGACTGTGCCGAGTGTGTTGAGGTTGTATATCTCGATACCTGCCATATTCCAAGTAGCTGAATCAGATGTGTCGTTCAGCAGCACAACAGCGCCATCGACATTTCCTGTACTAGCACTCCCTGAATCGAACTTGGCCTGTTTTTTCGTTGCAATACCGTTGGTTCTATTTTCGGACACGCCAACATATACCATGCGCGCTTGGCAGTGCTCTCCATTTCCTGGAGCACTACACGAGGTGTCGTAGTTGTTAAAGAATGAGTAAAGGCCAGCCCCATAGATACTGATGTTTTGAGAATCGACAATCCGCAAGCCCCACGCCATGGCACATGGTGGGCTTCCGGGCAATTGTGCAGTAGCACTGCTTTCAGCTGCACAGTCAGAGACAAAATCGGGGTCGTGAAGATTCGAGTCAACCAAATCGAATGGTGCTGGTGCAGTTGGGTTGGGTTGAAAGTATGGTGCTTCAGTCTGTATCAACCCCATCCAAATATCGTGTGTTTTGACCAATTGGTATTGGTACTTGACATGATGTTCAGCGGCTGTACCGACAAGCCAAATATGACCCTTCTGTGATTCGATCAACAGGCCGCGACCACCGAAAACTGAAATCTGGGCACCTTGAGGGTCTTCAATATCGTGATCGGCAACCCAGAACCAATTATTTTCAAGGTATAGGTTGGTTGCGAAAGGGGTGATATGCATACTCAGGTATGCTGCCACGCAAGCTGGGTTGACATAATTTGCTAGCTGGGGAGTTTTGCCGCATTGTGATACCTGCAACTGGGACCCAGCAAAACCGCCAACTCGCACATGAACATCCCACATTCCGGACGGCGGGTAAATAGCTGCACATGGCCCAGTCTGTGTCTCCAAGTTGTACTCGATGAGCACAGCTCCGGCGGTTGGGCCTTGCGTCGAGACAATCATGTCCGACCATTCGACGTAACCCTTCTCTCCGGGCCTCCCAACTTGAACAACTGGATAAGGTGCGCTCATTTTTTCGAATTTGGCCCCAGAGCCCATGATGACAGCAGCCAGTGCTTCCCCAACGATGCGAACGTTTGGTGGAATACGCACAGTGTCGGTAACCAAATAGTAACCAGCATCAACAAATGCAATACTATGAGAGAATGCAGCCGAAGCGTTGAGGAACAAAGCATTTAGTGCTGCTGTGTCATCCGTGACCCCGTCTCCTTTTGCACCAAATGCCCGTGCAGTCAAGAAATTGCTGGATGCAACATTTTCATACTGGGGCTTCGACCTCTCTAAGTACTTGCCGCCCATTTTAAGGCTTCTCAACTCTGGAAAGTATGCTTCATCAAAAGATTGGTAAACACTCGGCCCTGTTGGTGCGTATAAATTTCCCTGGTACGTGTGTTAGCCACTATTTGGTTGCCTTAGTTGAGAGCAGTATGCTCTTCGGCTACGTCGGAAAATGGATATACGGACAAATGCAAATCCTTTCTGCACAATAGAACCTGAAGGGTTCCCGTTAACCACTGTTCCTTGTGGTGCGACGACGGCAGTATCGACATTGCGAAAGACAACATTTTCTAAAACAAGCGAGCCGGCGCCGGGATTTTCCTGGGTTGATGGCGAGCGCCCGGAGATGATTCCCGTAGGTGTATTGTAAAAGCCAGAATCGAGTATCGCCACAGAGCCAACGACGGGTCCACTCATGTTGAGTCCAATTTGGCAGTTATACACGTAAATTGACTTGTACGTCCATGACCAGTTCCATATCTGGAAAATAGCTGTCTGTGCGTTGAAGAATGTCAGATTGCGCATAGTAAACTGCTGGCTGCCCAGCTGACAACCATATTCACCACCATAGAAGACCAAGTCGTTGAGGAATCCCCCACTTCCTTCTTCCATGAATATTCCGGTGTGGTGTTTGCTCGGATCTGGAGAGAGGACGAAGACGCAATTTTGAATTGACGTGGCTTGAGCTGAGGGCCAGTGAACGGCAGTCACAGAACCAGGGACAGAAGTTGTGTCGAAGCGAATGTTGCGTAACTGCCGGAAGAAGACATTGGTCGAGGTATATTTGAGTTTTCCGCTCACATAAAGGTCCCCATCTAGCATTCCAATGATGTTTGCAATGAACCCAGCTGTAGCTTTAATGGTTGGCATATCTCTGGGGTCACCAATAATCTGCGTGTAGTAGTAATCTATGATGGAGGATGAAATCATGTATGTCCTTTTTTCCTGTCAGTATTCACGGCCTTGCTGATATGGAAATTTGGGTTTCTAACCCTGGTGGAAAATAGACCACGGCTGGAGTGGTCGTCGATCCAACACAATCTGTTGGCCCTCCACATCTGCCGCCCGAGCTAATAGCCAGGTTGATGGCAGCAGTATCATCCGTCACTAATTTACACACGAGCTTTCAGTACTAGCTTTCATGCCTGCTTGCTAATGTTTCCTGTATACTCTGCACTTACCTCCGTCGCCTTTCGCGCCGTAGTCTTTCACATTTCGGAATACGACATAGCTCTTATCTGGGTTGAAAGCTGCTACTCCACTGTGAGCAATACTCTCCATCCAGAATGGGGCCGCATCCTGAGAAATGACTCCTATAGCCAATGCTGCAAGGAGACCCAGGGAGGCCAGGATATGCATCTTGTCGTCTATCTCCACGGGCCGGCCTGTCTGGCTGATATTATCTTGTGAAATATGGCAATGCCCGGTTTAGGAACAAATGAAAGAAAACAAGTGTGAGATTCAAACTGCTCTCTAGATGTAGCCACAAAATGAGAGATAATGCCAGAAGCTATTCAATGTGACGGAGAAGTTTATTGACGTAATCTTGAGGTGTAGTCAAAGAAAGATGGGGGTCTATTTGGTAAAGCGGAAGAAGAGATGGGCTGCTGGCGGGTCTGCCCTTGTGTTTTGTTTGTTTTCTTGTTTTTTTTTTAAAATTTCTCGTCCTTTTTGGCTTTTGACAACCGAATTGTTTTCCGAAACTGAAAAAGGAAGGAACGATGGCGAAGGCGGCACAAAACAAGGGCTTAGGCAACGAAGACTGCTTGGCTTAGCGGTCATGCTGCGTAGTGCAAATCCTGCCTAACAAGGTGAAAGAGACTGTGACAAGGTGATTGCATGCAAAGCCAGACATTTACAAAACACAGTTACATCTCGTGTGTAATGATGCCGTGTCCCTGGGGGGACAGGTGAACTCCCAAAGTCGATATAGGAAACCTGCTGATGTGTCTTGAACCTTGACAGAGTTGTGTTCCAATGCAGACATTTCCATGATAGTTGCGTGTGAAAAAGCAACATATCAGGTTGAATATATCTCCATACGCGTGGTGCAGCCATGGTGAGCGAAAATAAGCTTCCATTTGAACATGTTCGCCGAACAGAACGGTATTAAATAGATCTACCATTATAGAGCTTCAAATACAAACCCGCATGTAAACAGCGACGTGCCAGGCAAATCTGGAAAAGTTCATCGTTGCGGCGATTAAGACACTCCGAGCACCTCTTAAATACTTACACAGGCAATTGCCATAATGAGTTTACCGAGTTCATGTCTAACGGTGATGAATGTCGTCTAACCACCGGAAGAACGGCATCGTCGGAAGCAAAGCCGAAATCGTCCTACCGCAGCCTCGACGCTACAATGCAGTGGGGACTATTAAAAAGGTGCGAAACGCATACCCTGAAAGGTAAGACGGGATGTGTAATGAGCTAATGGGAAGGTGTCCGTCATAAGCACCAGATTTCGTATTCCCCAAGCCACAGAATCCGTTGCTGCTGCAGGGGCATTGTGAGCCCTGCCGTGTTCCCGTTGGTGAAACCCCCTCAAAATCGGAAGAGCCACAAGCACAAGTATCGATAACGCCTGTAGCCATCAAGATCCTGAGATATGAAACCCGCTCAAGAGATGACCCAAAAAGGCAAAATGATTCAAGAACAGTTGCCTTTTAGGCTAGTGGGACGCGCCAAAGAAGGTGTTCAAGACGAGACACACAATCATCACAAGGAAGCCGTAAATAGCGATGCCGAGAGCCATCTTTCGGAGCAGGCCGTGCTCCAGGTGCTCCAGATCCCAGCGCCACTTCTTCCGGTTACGCAGGCGCCGGGACGGAAAGCCGCCTACATTGTCGCTGCCACGGGGCACGCCTGAGAGGAGGGAAGCCTCGTCTGGGTTGATCTCGGTGTCTTCGTCGCTGGAATCATATTCAGCTTCGGCGTCATCGTCCTCCTTCATGAGGCGCTGGTGGTGCATGCTGTCTGGGTCGCTGATCTTGTAAAAGAAAAGGCCGGGCAAGATAAAGGAGATGGAAGTAGAGCCTGTGCTGCCGATGTAAGCAAGCACGCGGTCCAGGCTAGACATGCTCAGAGCGGTGAGGTAACTGAAGATGATGATGACTGTGGTGAGAGCCGCAAAGCGCAGATCCGACATTGGCACCACGGGCGATCCGTGACTGTCAGTGGGGGCCACAGTGGGCAACATAACGCTGCTGCTAGCAGACGAAGCTAGGCTGCGTTTCGCCTTGTTCGGTCGCCACTTGAGAATGGCGTCTAGAGAGGCACGGCAGGGATGCACCTGGAGAGGAACACTAAAGGTGACGAGGACAACTATGGCAGCCTTGCCAATCGTCGATGCGATATTAGGGGGGTCTGAACCGAGGATTAGCAAAACGATATAAACCAAAACAGAGAGGGCGGACTGTCAAGCACTAGCAACGTACACATGGCGACAATGTTTCCAATGACGTGGCTTCCAAAGGTCAGGTAGCCCGTGATAGCAACGAGGATATAAACCGAGGCAGCTGAGCCGATGCTGGTGGTAATGACGCCCGCGACACTAGCAGGCGAGGTATCCTTGATCTCGTTAAGGATGGAAAACATCTGCAGAACGTTAGATTGCATTCGTATCAGGTTGCCGGCAGGTTGTCGGTGGGAGAACGTACGTTCTGGTGGCATGTGTAAGCAAACACCACAACGGGCAAGCTGCGCAGCATGGCGACCGGGCCTTCCCACGTAATGATACGGACTTCACCACGGTCGGTAGGAATGTCAGACGCAAAGTGGTAGACGACCAGGACGACGAGGTAGCCGATGGCGACGAGGGCGATAATACTCGTGTACTTGAGTGAGTCGAGGCGGCGCAGGTAAGCGAGAGGGATGATGAATAGGATGAAGACAGTGATCCAGAAGTTGCGGTCAACGAGGTAGGGCACATCGGCAGCGTGGCTGCTGAACCCAAGAGTCACACCCGGCATCAGGTCGCCGATGATGATCAAGTATGAGACGCCAACGCCAAAGCACTTTATCGCAATCGCCGTATCAAAAACGATAGCGGCATTGGGATACGTTATCTGCGACAGGGCGAAGAAGGATGCCTGTCCACGGTCGAGGTAGCGAGCACAGCGAGACTGAAGATAGAGGCCAAAGGCGGATGTAATGCCGGCCCATATGATGACGACGGTGCCGAGGACAACGCCCATGTGTGACATGGCTGCCGGCATTGCCAAGGTTCCTGCGCCAACGACTACATCCCACCAGCCGTCAGCATTTGGAGTTTTGGAGTTTTGGAGCGGCATGGGTTGGCGCACTTGTGTTCAAGAGGTTGATGATGCTGCTGAGCATCGAGGCCTCCCCGCCTCCGCCCTTGGGGCTTCGGCCTCTTCGTCGTCTGCTACGCATAGTCAGCCATCGATCTAGACGTTATGCTCCAGCTGAACGAGAGAGACGAGAGCGGACATACCTTCTTGACATGTCGCCAGGACTTGATCTCCCCGAGTCAGCCGAGATGGTAGAGTAATTCGTCATCGCTCGCAAAGCAGAAATATGGTCCGCAGTGTCTGTTTGCGGGAAGGTCGGTGGAGGCTTGTCCACAGAGAGACGGCGCAGGTGTCTTGTGCCTAGGCGATGTTCCGGCAGAAACAGTATTGTCTCAACCTACAGCCTCTCGGTTAGAAATCGCCCGCTGCCTAGACGAAGTGGTGCAGAGCTCGGGCTGGGGCAATCGGCGGAAGTGCAGCAGAATAGCCTTTGTCTCTACAGCAGCCGCTGTGGCCGTCCGGTAAGGCGTCGTCGAACGACGGGATGACGAGTCTTATGCTAGAATTGGCATCCACTTTCGTATTTTATGTGCCTAAGGCATTGCCTTAGCAAGCTAGGGGCAAAGCAACGCGGCCCTTCTTGAAGATTAGTCAGACAGTGCGCCTATTGCATCTTTGAACAAATCTCTAACAACTGTATACTCTGGGCCTACTGCAATGCAGTGTCTAATATACGTTAGATCTACTCCGTAGCTCTGGCCTCTACGAGCCTTCCTGCTGTCTTTCTCACCGCACTGTCTTGTTGCTGTTGACTTTGCAGTATGAGTACGAGTACTCCGTACATAGTAAGTAGGCTTGCACGGAGCGCGTTAGTGGGTAATTAAGCTCGTATCCCGCTTGCAATCAAGTAACTGCAACCAAATTGGCCGATCCCCTGGAGACTCTTGGAAAACAACATGGGGGGTCCCATGATCTTCTCCTTGCCCGCAATAGCCTCCTTCCTGTCTTGATCCTAGTTGCTTGCGCCGGCAAAAGTCTCGCCGAAACTGTTTAGGCGTGTTCGTGGTTACGCATCGAATGAAAAAGAAGAACCCCGGGACAGAAGCTGCCAGCGGCCTGACCAAAAACGATGGAGAACAGCCCGGAGGAGACGAGCGTGGCCACGATCGCGTTGCTCGAAGCGCGGCTCCGCCGAGTCGAGCACGTCCTGTACGGCCCGCCCAAGAACGCCGACTTGTGGGCACGGCCGGCCGTTGAGTCGCTGGCCGAGTTGGAACGCCAGTTCGCCTCCCTCATATCGGGCGTCCGCGTGTATGCAGAGCTACTGAAGATCTGTACGTCCCGGACTGCTGCTGGCCTCCCCTTCTCCCCCCCTAGCTAACCGGCTCTGGTAGACAGGGCATATCCGTCGTTCTTCCAGCCTCCGCATCCCGGTTTGCCCCCGACACAGCTCGACTCGGATGCCATCCGAGCGACCGTCTTGAGTTATGCGAGCGCATTTCCTGCCACAGCGTCCGCCCTGAGCGCCGCCCTGAACGATACGCCCGTCCCCGAGGCCGCCTTGAGTGCCCAGCTCGTGGGGCTCGTGCCGCGCATGGAGACAATCGACGCATCGCAGCGGGCGCTTGAAGCCGAGATCGCCCAGCTCCGAAGCCGCAGCGAGCGCCTTGTCCGGCAACACTACGAGCGGCGGGCCCTGGCCTCGTCCAAGCAGGTGGCCAACGTCGAGGCACGCTTCCAGCGCATGGAGGGACGCGTACGTCGGCTGGAAAAGGAGCAGAGGGCAACGGCAGAGGAATGAAGAAGAAAGCATATGGCACTCGGCACTCGGCAGTTACTCGCACAAAAGTTGTCGCGCGACATGCCCAGCGGTTCGTGCCGGATACATTATCGCCCAGGTCGTGCCCTCGCCGATGGTTAGTTTCAAAAACACTGAGTCGATTTTGTATTGCCTCTTTGACTAGCTTCCAAAGCGCGGCTTCCTCCCCTCTTTGGTAACAAAAGCTGCCAGATACAGTACGGAGCAAAAGCCGGCAGAAATTTGGGCGCGCATGGATATCTGGGGCTTAGAAAGATGTAAATGCGGCAAGATATATAGAGGAACAGCCTGATGATGTAAGCTACCCGTACTCCGTATCTTACATCTCCATGTCTGGCTGCCTGAAAATGGCGACTGTGGGTGCTGGAGGGATGCAGTATCTGTATTGAGCGAAATCGGCATCCCACGAGAACCCGTAGGGTTGTTCCAAGAAGCTCGGCATTTGTTGGTTTGCTTGTTGCGGAGACCAACTCTCGGATAGGGGCGCAATTGTTACAATGGTTTGCAGTGACAGCCAATCTGTTGTGCATAGTGTGTCATTGGAGACGGCAATGTGTTTCAGGTGCTCAGCCAAACAAGTGTGATTACTCTGTACATGTAGACCACATGCACGAGGAACGGGCGAAAGACATCCAAAGTGTTATCGGTGGGCTTCTGTCGGCAGATGGAGAACTAACAGTGGAGTCCTGGCGGCTTTGGTGCGTCACGACGAGTCGCACATCATGACGTGGATTGGCGATCGCAAACCCGCGGCTCGCAGGCTGAGCGCGACCAAGCTGAAGATCACTACGTCGTATGTCAGATACGGAGTACAGGAGGCCAGAACGGGCTCCGTGACCAAGGAGGGGAACCGAAGTCAGAGTTGACTGGTCATGGGACAACGGCTCTTTATTTTCGGGGTCCTTTTCTCTCCCGTTATATTGGTCTTGCCAATTTCCGTTGTCCGGCTGCAGGCGTATTTTACGTTGGCTTATGAAAACAAAATGCACAAGAATCGCTAATCGGAAGGTGGATTGTCCAAACCAAAGCAGCCGTGCTTCAGCTTCCGTTCCGTTTCTCGACAAGTTCCACAACTCCGGGATACGAGTATTCATCATATCACTTATTGTCCGGCGTTTAGAGTTTATATCAAGGGGCGCTTCGTTATTGCAACTGATTGTTATCAGACCTCGTTTACATAAGTTGATCTTTACGGAGTGCAGTATTGTAGATTTACAAGTAGATAGTATCTTATCTTACGGAACACGTATCTTACATAGTAAGAACATCCCATCTCTAACACCAGCTGATAATAAGGGCACTCCGGAAAGCACTCACAAAGCGGACGCGTAAAAATGTAATAAAATGGGACGAACGGCATTATTCCCGAGGCAGGCATTTACCTATATAGTACGTTGCTCGTACACGTAAGTTATCATAGCCTGTACGGAGGTCCCTACCAAAAGTCATGCCCACCCTGTTTCACCGCTTTTCCTAATAAAGACATAAAGTTACAGTATATAAAGTATTACGTGCACTGTACATTCTCGCTAAGCTATCAGCACGTATTATGCTGTAATTTCCTTATATGCAGTAATTCTTAGTGGGACTCTAAGCTAACTGTTATCAGTCTATCGCTAAGTTTGTTCTCCGTGCACACAGCAAATCAGACTGTATACTGCCGATGTCACATCGAAGGGGGTGGGCACGAGTTTAGGTAGGGACCTCCGTATGCCGGACTACGTGGCCATGCCTACTCCCGCATTTGAAGCGAGGGATCCGTGTGCGAGCCGCACATCTCCCGTCATTTGCCTGTTCGACAATTGGCCGAACCACGGCGGAGAGAGAGCTCTAATGCAGGGAGAAGGGAGCGTGCGGCTGATATTGTAAGATACGAGTAAGATACGAGCATCGCCTGTTGAATCTGATTTGGCATACTATGTAAAAGCGTGACCAAGGCGGCTAACGGGGACAGATGAGGCATGATACATACATACACGTGCGAAATGAAGAAAGAAGTAAGATACGATACGTGAGAGACCAAACTTATGTCAGCCAGATTAATAGAGCAAGGCGGTAAAGGAATTTCTCGCCTTCCGCAGGTCCGCCCTGAAACCAGCGGCTGCATCCTTGCATATCTGGGTCTCTTCTGTGCCACGCGTGTTTTTCCAATTTGATCGCCCCTGGCTGTCCGTCAGGAACGCGTCGTGTCCAAGACGACGCTCTCGCACGGTGGATAGACTTGTCGACGCCCGTGGCTAGTGCCCCACGCCCATCGAACCCCAGACACGCAGGAGCCCCTTACTACGACGTACAGAGAGGCCGCCACTACGGAGTGCGTCGTATGTAATTGCACGCTATGACGGACAGGGATCTGCCAGCTGGTCGGTAGATTCTACTGTCTGTCCACTAAAGTCGAAAGACAGCTATTTGGAACGATGGCAGAAGTTCCGCAACAGTGCGTGTACAGTATATAAAAATAAAATAAAATAAAAACGTAAAACCGGAGAAAATGGGGCTTCTCTGCACAAAAGCAAGATAGCGTGTCTGCTCAGGCACAATCACACGAAAACGGACCCTCACAGTCGTCCATCGTTCCTGCGTTCTTCTCGCCCTACCATGATTGTTCCCCTTGCAGCTAGCTCATCTTGCCCGTTTTCTTCCTAGCCTCTGCTCGCATCTTACGGAGTACACCTGCCTCTCCGTCCTCTCGTACTGTTGACTCCATAATACACATCCCTCCTTTTATGTGACACCCCCCGGCTCTCCTGCTGTTATTTCCAAGCCCTTCCGTCTTCAAGCTTCTTTTCTTTCTGTATTCCGCACTCGGTGTCCCTTTGAACCGTCAATACTCAGGAACGGCAAGCGTTCTGGTAAAGCGACATTGCCACGACTCTTTATTCCCCGACTTCATCGTTTTCGATCACGAACAAAGGCGGACCTGCTGGCAGACGCTTCTTGACCCCCCCGACGAGAGATCACCTCTTTACCGACTGCCTGTGTCCTGCGAGCAAGGTGCACAAGGAACGCATTGCGCAGGCGACACCACTCACTTCGTTCTTGCCCTTTCAACTCAGTCAGTCCATCAACACTCCGGACAGGAAACGCGACCGGGCTCCCCACTAATTCCCTCAACCATCTGGCCATTCACTTGTTCGTTCTCGGCCTACCCACCTGCAGGGTCTTTGTCCATCCTTCGTCGCTGCTTCTCTCTCGCTCTGGGATCCTTCCTGCGCCGCCTCCTATCCTTGTCACCTGCTCTCGCTGTACGGACAGAAAGCCCGGCGTGCACTCGCTCAGCCAGCATTGACATCCTCCCCAACCGAGCTCTAGTATTTCAGCCCTTGTTTGCCGTTCCGACACGCCCGGACAGCCTCGATCATCTTCCCACCCAAATAGCCAACCCCTTCTTTGCTCGGTCCACTTTTCCGCATCTACTAAAATACATTCTTTACGGGGGGCACTATCCACTAGTTTAGCTACCACCGCCCTTCTGGAGGAAAAAACGGCACTGCCACTCTCACTCGACCATCAGCCGCGTTGCCCATTCAGTGCTGCCCGCTTGCGCCAGCCTCCACACAGCCCGTTTCTCACCTTGTCTCCCCCTTCCTCCTCGTCTTGACTGTGCCTGCAACCGTTCCTTATGCTCCCTTACGGCTCGCCATACTCACCATCACTGCGCAAAATGGAGAACTCTCGCGCCCAGTACAACAGCCGGAAGGGTGTCAGTCTAGGCAACATCATCGGCGACCCCTTTGCGCTGGCCACCATTTCCATCTCAACCGTGAGCACAACCAGCCTGGATCTGACCTCCTCTTGTCGTCTTGCTAACCGCCGTGTTCGTTCTAGCTGGCATGGATCATCTCTTTCATTTCCTCTATCATTGCGCAAATCCAAACATCAAATGACTTCAAGACCTTCACGTGGTGGGCCGTCGTCTTCTATTTCTTCCTCATTCCCGGTATCTTCGTTGTCGTCGCTTCGGATACGACGCAGACGTACAGTGTGGCCATCGTTGGCTATCTGGCTTGCGGCCTAGTCCTGGCCACGTCCTCCGTCAACAACTTGGTGTACTCTTCGAACGGTGCCAGCGAGGCCGCTGCCGCTGGCTTCATTCTCTTATCGATGGTTACGGTGCGCTACGATTTTTCTCAATCGCTGGTCTAAACGCTTGCGTTCCTCTGCTAATTCTCGTCCTTCACAGATTGTCTGGATCTTCTACTTTGGCTCAGCGCCGTCCGCCGTTCCACGCGCCTACCTCGACTCCTTCTCCTTGGCTAAGGAGTCGACCATGAACAGACAAGTCATGACCGGCGCCTACGGCATTAATGGTCGTCCCGAGACATCCACCTCCGTCCAGCCCCCTCAGATGTACACGTCCGCCCAGCTTAATGGCTTCGAGAACCCATCACCTGTCGCTGGAATCTCAAGTGGCGGCAACCGGAACTCGGCTCTCAATGGTGGAGCATTTGCATCACAAGCCAAGACCAATTCTGTTGCTCTGGGCGGTACAGACGGAGAGATAGTACCTCCCACGGAGTACCCATACCGGGCAAAGGCCATCTACAGCTACGAGGCGAACCCCGAGGACGCAAACGAGATCAGCTTTTCCAAGCACGAGATTCTCGAAGTCTCTGATGTCAGCGGAAGATGGTGGCAAGCTCGCAAGGAGACTGGTGAGACGGGTATCGCGCCAAGCAACTATCTCATCTTGTTATAAGCCGTCCCGATCGCTTCTAGCATCGCTCTGGGTGGTGCATGCCGAAAACCTCGTTTGCTTTACCGGAAAGCTGGGCTGGAAGACGGACGCATGCAGCACCAAGGCTCAGGATGAGGAGCCAGCAACTGACGACAACAACGGTGACGACGAATGCCCAAGAGCGGGAGAGTTGAACTCTCTCTTTTTCTTTTTGTTAATTATATATATATACCCCCCTTCTCACGATACCTCTTGAGGTTCCCGGGCTCCCCTCTCGCATCGTCCCATCGAACTCTCGGATCGGATCCTGACGGCTCTGCAGTGGTGGTTCGAGATGACTTTCACAACGAAAAGAACCGTCAGGCAGCCAGTGTCATGAATGGTATCAGGGTTTAAAAAGCGGGAATGGGGTGTAGTGTTATTTTCGTTGGCTTGAATAGTCCCCGTCTTTTTTTTGTCTACCTTCTTCCTTCTTTTTCGTCGGCTGGTCTCTGGTCCGGCACGGAGCTTCGCCTTATTTCTTTTGTTTATGATATTCCCAGCTCTGGCCTTGGGTTTTTGCTTCCTATTGTTTGGCCCTGCCCAAACCAGGTAGACGAATCATGCCCGCTGCCGGCTTGTATTTGTTCATTTTTACTTTCCTCTTTTGACAGCCTTTACTATCACTATCCCCCCGCGTTCGTATTTGTTTACAGCTCTTGTTGCAGTGGGGCACGAGACGAGTTTATGGCTATGGGTTTACAGACAATCACGGGTCTGGTAGTTTGAATTGAGGTGCTTAAAACTCCGAACAGCAGTGCTTTACTAAGGAAGTGATGTAATTGCTCTCCTAATATAATTACAGTGACAAGTGTTGGGAGTCTCCCTTGCTACCAAGAACTTACGTCCAAGCATGAGATTGTCCACACAAGTTTACCCAACGTGCCGCGCCAAGCTTCATTCTATTGGATGAAGAGCCGCGGGTGCTACCAAGTGACGAAACCGTTCTCGACGCGGATGCAGCGGAACGTCCACATTGAATTGAAAAGGTGTGTCCCAGTACTTCGCATTCGTCAGCCTCATCGCCCTCCTCTCTTTTCGCAGGGCTTTCTTAAGCTTGGCACGTGCAAGTGCTGATTTGGGTTGGAAGTCTCTTTCGCAGAGTCAGGCTGATGCTGTGATCGACAAACTTTGGTGGGGAGGTGAAGCACACGGGGAAGCTGGACGTCAAAGGCCCGTTTCCAGCTGCAGCTCTTATCCAGCTGTCTCTCCCGCTTCGTTTCTACCCCATTTTTCTCTCATCTCTCTCAAGATGCAGACAGGCGGCCTCTTCAGGCCAGGGCCGACGTTGACTGCAGGCGCTGCCGCAGCTCGCGTTCCTTCTGGGCCACCTCACGCTCCAGCCGCTGGATGCTGTACTTGAGCTGTTCGCGGCGCTGGCGGGTCATGCGGGCCCGCAAGGCATCGGCGCCCATGGACTGCTTGGCCGTCCGGGCCGTCTTGGCCGTAGGCTTGGCTGTCGTCGTTGCTGATTTTGTCGCCGCCTGTCCCTCGAGCCGGCCGGCCTGCAGCGCGGCGCGCGCCTGCAGCGTGTCGATGCGGCGCGCCTGGCGTGCCAGCTGGGTCTCAGCGCGGTCGAGGAGGGCGGCCACGGAGGGACCGATCTCGCTTTGGAGAGAGGCCTCGGCTGCCGCGAGCGTGGGCTGTGGGACGAGCTCGTAGTGCTGGCACAGGTCAGAGCGGGAGAGCGACGAGCGAAGAGCAAGAAACTCAAGACTTTACGCCTCTTCACATACCCGCACGGTCTTCAGCACGCTCTCGAGGCGAGGAAAGTCGGCAACGCCAGCGTCCAACGTCGCCACCGAGGACTCGAGAAAGGACAGCGACGCGCGCAGCGAGTCAACGCAGTCGCCGTAGAGGCTGAGAGTGGACTGTTGCATGGCGGACATGACGTGCGGTCTGTGCGGTGCAGAGAGCGTTGGTGATCGTCTCGCGTGCGGAGTCTTCCGGTTATATTCAGACTTTTGTGTTGTCCTTTTCCCAGTGCAGCAACGCGTGCGGGGCTTCTTTGCCGTTTTGACGGATGCCGGTCCCGGTGTTGTGCACGGACCACTAGTTGCCCTTACATAAACAATCAATGGGACACGGCAAATTCCGTATAGAAAAGGCAAGGCCGCAACAGAAAGAGACGTGGAGCCTCATACATTCAAGAAGAAGCTCTCCGATCGTCCAGGACGCTGAAAACCGTTAGAGAGTACAAAGTGCCAGCGGCCCGACAATCGGACTGCTCTAATTCTGCCTACGCATATACGATTTGCAGTGGGCTATCGTATAATACTATTGTAGCAGAGCAGATGTAAGATAGTAGCGTAAATGAAACTCAGCTGCACTCAATGACGTGGCATAGCTTTGAAGACGAGCAAGACACCAGTCTGTACTCGATACGCCATATTCTTTTTGTCACGTAATGCGGGAAAGCGGGCCCCTCGCCTATCCTATTTCACAAAGTAAGGTGGACATTCAGTGGTACGGCCTGGATCACCATTGCACGCAACAGCATGGAGTAACCGCATTCTCGAGTGTCCTAATATGTATCCGAACCGCTACTGAATATAGGGCCCATTTCCGCTCGTCCATAGGAGCAATGATTGTGGGGCCGACCGATGTTTTCCCCTTTGCAATATACGAATTCTCTTTAAAAGCCATGTTTCGGGGTATGGCTTTTTGCATAGTACGGTCCCTTTCCCTTTCCTCCATCGATTTTCTCGCTCTGCATCGAACCTATTTCTTCCATCGTCACGAGTATGGCAACCCAACTTCTGGTTGAAAGCGTCCGGCCTATGTATTGTATGTGCAGGAGTCCGTGTTCGTGTTGTATAGTAGAGCCTTAACTCATCCAACTACCCCTGTTCTGGGTTGGCGCCGTGAGTTGCGAGCAGTCTTAATCGATTGACAGTCGGGAAAGCTGTAGGATTCGTTTCGTTCCGTCTCGCCCGCCTTGACGCTCGCGACGTGACAACGCCTAGCGATTCGGAAGAAGTGGACAAAGGACGCTGCATGAGCTATGTGAATGCAGTGTAGTTCGCCTGCCACCTGAAGCCGGAGCATGCAACCGAATCAATCGCGGTTGCAGAGATATGTGCAAAGGCCGCTTTAAATCGGCTTCTTTACGGCTAGACGCTGTGATGTCTCTACAAAAACATCATTAGACGTGCCACTATAGACGTGTGGGACACAAAGTTCTACTGCTCTACACCTGCTGTCTCTCTGTTCACCTCTCGACATTGCACGATAATGATAAGATAAGATACGCGTCAGACCACCAATTCTTGGGTCATTACTCGTATTTGCCACGATTCCTCTCGCCCCGTGCAGGCCTCACAGCTACCGAGGGTAGATACCGCACTAGTCCCCGTCGCCCGATGACCAGGCGATTGTCGATTCAGGCTGCTCTAGCAAAGATGCCGTCAAGGTATCGCCATTGAATGCTCGTAGCGCTGATTTGATTGCCTTGGCTGGTCCTTCCGTTATTATGTGTCGCTCAAAACGAACGAGTCCCCGCGAATAGACGGGAACCAATCAGATGGCAGCAGAGCCACCCAGCCCGTTTTAAACGTTGCACCGTCTTTCGCCGCCATCGGTCATTTGCCTTTTCTTTTCCCAAATCACGAGCTTCACTACCTCCCTCCCTCCTCCATCTCTTAAAAAAGCTTTGTCGTTTTCAAAAAGGGTCGCCTGCGACCTGCTACATTGGCTCTGATCTTCTCTCCGCTCGCCACCGTTCACACGCAGATCACACAAGCTAAGCTCAGACATGACCATGGCTTTCAAGGTATACAGAGTTGTGTTCGCCCCAGCTGGCTTACCTTGCACTCCTCCCTCTTTCCGCTCAGGCTATACAGAAACAAACGGCCAGGCTACGCGCTGCGACCTGCCTGAATTAAAAGGCTAACGGGTATCTGGGATGTGCTCTCTTGGCTTCTCGGTCTAGACTATCTCTGCAAAGGCCGCAATTGCTCTAGACAAAGAGCTGATGTCCAGTGGTGCCTTTTCTATTGATCAGCTCATGGAACTGGCCGGGCTGTCTGTCTCGCAAGCTGGTGCGTGCTCGCTGTATCTGCTTCTGCCTGGTGCTGGCTTATAGACTCATGTGATGAGCTTCTTAGTGTATCGCGTCCACCCTCTCAGCAAAGGCCGCCGGATTTTGGTGGCCTGTGGCCCTGGCAACAACGGTGAGCTTGCTGGACCGCCCAGCCCTTCGGCCATACTCTGACATGGAGCTAATCAAGACCAGGCGGAGACGGACTCGTTGCTGCCAGACACCTGAGACATTATGGCTATGAGCCTTCCGTCTTCTACCCCAAGCGTAGTAAAACCGATCTGTATCAGGTAAGATACATCCTGGTTCCTTGTCCTCTTTCCTCGACCCGTACCTCCTCGTCCTCGTTCGTGTGCATTTACGTTTATTCACGCTGCCCAATGCTGCCAAAACTTGTATAAGAAAGTGAAAATTGCGACCCAATGCAACCCCCTAATGCAAAGCTTTCCATTATACGATGCTTTCGCCGTCAGCATGCCTCTATGTTATCCCCTGATGCACAGTATCCCCAAATGCTCATGTTTTCGTAGCGCCTGTCCAAACAGCTGGAGGACTTGGATGTTCTGTTCGTCGATGACTTCCCGACGGCCCTCGGATCGGCCGATCATGTCGTGGATGCTATATTTGGTTCGGACGTCCTCTCCCCGTTGTCGTCGAGTCGCTGATAGCTAATCTCCCGCATAGGTTTCAGCTTCTCGGGTGAGGTGCGGGAACCATTCCGGGCCGTTATTAAAGCCCTCGAGGAGACCGACCTCCCTGTGACATCGGTAGATGCTCCGTCATCGTGGGATATTGAAACCGGTCCGCCAACATCCGGTGTCGGGTGCAACTTTCATCCAGCTGTTCTTGTCAGCCTCACAGCTCCCAAGCCACTTTTGAACCATTTCAGGGGTCGCCATTTTATTGGAGGAAGGTATGCCAAGACTCGCCTCATTCTCTCCAACACCGCCAGCTTGTCTTCCATCCACTGCGCGTCGCTTTATAATAGCATACCTCTGCTCACAGCATGGTCCCAGATTTGTCGCTCCGTCAATCGCGCAAAAGTATGATTTCGATGTGCCGGAATATTCAGGGCTCGATCAGGTGGTAGAGGTGGGAAGCACTGAGGTGAAGCTGTAATTCTGACCCCAGGTTGCCAGAGAGATGATGACTGCGAGAGTGAGAAAGCAGCCCTGGGCGTCGTGAATGGTGGCCTCATATGACCTGACAGCCTCCAGTGCGGCTGTTTGGACATGTGGGACTCGGGCATTGCCCATCTACCATATCGTCGACGCTGACCAGCATACCGATTGGACATGTCAAGAGCGGAGGATGGTAAGCACCACAGAACTCGACAAAAATCAAGTACAGTTTCCCACAGACTGTGCAGTCAGCACGGTTCTCAGTGCACATTTAAGAAAGCTTCTGGTTCCGGAAGAGCTTCTGCCAGTCTGAATTGGTTCGCGAAGAAATAGTGCTGATGGTGATGATAGTTCCAGACAGGCTAGGATCTGTCCGTATGGCACTTGATCTTCCTGGAGTTGACTGCCGCTACCGGTCATCACCCGGTCAAAGAGGTGGTCACGCTTTGCCACGGACTGAGGTCGTTTCAGGGAGCAGGGCGTCGATCCTATCTGGTACTTAATTCTGGCTAGCTCACAGCGTCTCAGAGCGTGTCGGGGGGGGGAGAACCAGAGGCGAGAAGACGTCTAGCAGCCGATGGCGAACGAGGTGACGGAGGTAAGAGGGGAAGAAGGGGGCAACAACCGGAGAGTTGGCTCCGTCTAGGGCTTCAGCTGCGATTATAGAAGGCCTGGTGTCCGTTGAAGAAGGGACATCTGGCACGATCGTAGTAGTCTCCTTCTTTCTGCGCCTGGGCGCCCGGCCCTTCCTTGTCCGAGTTTTATGGCGATGGCCCAACCTACTGGCACGTAATAATAGAGGCGAATATTTTCCCAGTCTCAGCAACACGTGATGCGCCAGATCGACAGGAGCTGGGCTGCGAGTCGGTATGTTCCGGCTTTCTTTTTGCCTCTTTCCTTTGTTTTCTATGTCTATTATTATGTTATTTTGTTATTTTAGACCTTGGGTTAGCCTCTGGTCGGGGCCTAGGCCTGGGGTTGTCTAGGTTTTGGTTTGCGGTGACTAGTGTTTTAGTGTTTTGTTTTGGCTTTCTCCATGGTCGACCAGTCTGTCCGGCTGCCTTATTTGTCTTGTGCGTATGGCTGGCTGGCTGACTGGTTGGCTGGATGGCCGTCTGTCTTTATTCTCTCTACCTGTTGCGTACTGCTGTCCATCTACCACATGCCGGCTGTCAGGAAGTGTAACAAAGGGACCATCAGTCTATTTTCCCTCAAGGGAGCCTGTCAACCGGCCCTGGCTTCTGGAAGTGTTCTGCTGGCTACAAGCGCGTGGATCTCAGCTGTCATGGCCGCCTAATCAAGATCGTAGACGGTAACCGACGAAGGGAGGGAGGGGGGTGGGGGGGCGGTAGAGGGGAAAGACAAAGTGCGGGATCTGTGTTTTGCGGAATACAAGGACATATATGGTGTGGCAGATGCATCGGCCAGGGCCAGACTGGGCTGAAGGGCAGGATAATAGTGCCCATGCCGGTCCACTCGTACTGCCAGGCCCAGTATATTCGTACAGACTACAGATGCTATGTAAGATACGTAGCAGCAGTACCATGCATCTTAGCGTACAGAACGCGTAGTATGTAGCAGCACCCACGTGCCGACTGGCTCCAGCTGTCGGGTTCCAGCGTGAGGCACATGCTGCGTAGGCTCTCTTGTCGGCCGGCGTACATCGTACTGGTGTTGCGCCTGGGTCGGTGCCAGTCGCAGAGACAGGCTTGCTGCGAGCAGCCGGAACAAAAGCTCCAGCCATCCTTGTCAGATAGGTCAGTGCTGGCTGCTGACAGCACCAGTCGTGCGGACAGGCGTGCTGCAAGTGTGCATAATAGTACGGATAGGAACAGCAGTTGTATGTAGATCTATGTATCCTACCAGACGGACAGCAGAAACGGGTGAATTGTGGCCCGGTTTTTTTCTCCCTGGTTTTTCTGCACCGAGTATTTCTGCCTGCTCTGCATCATGTACTCCGTACTCCCCGTATACATACTCCGTCTTTGTTCGATTTGTCTGCTCCATTGTTCCATCTGCTCACCTGCTCGTCCGCTCATCTGCTCCATTGCTCCATCTTGCTCCATCGGGCTCCTTCTCGATCCACCGGCCCTGTCTTCTTTCCGCGCATCGAACCGCACAGCTGGATCTGCGCCAAGCGCCAGTGGCTAGGTGTCTAGCAGCCGGAATTTTGCCCGTTTCACGATGCTCCCTAATTCCTTTTTGCCGTTTTGTCCTGGGCAGCAGCCACGTTTTTGGGCCGATTTTCTGGCGGTGTGTCTGCGGGCCGAAGTAGCGGATGGGATAGTTTCTTTTCTTTTTTTTCTTTTTTTTTTTATTAAAAGAAAAAAACCTTTTTTTTTCTGCTTTCACCTCCCTGGCGGGTTTTTCGTCTTTCTTCGTCCAGGGCTCCTGGCGGCGAACAAGGGCCTTGTTAGCCTGCAAACCCACCGACTTGCATAGCGACTAATACCCCCCATTACCCCCATTACCCCTTCCTCCCCATTATGCCGGCGCATCTCTCGGCTATTTATCGCTGCCAGGCGCTTCAAAAGAAAGCGATCCGAAGCGGACGCGGCCGCAAACGCACACAATTAGCCTCTGACAATGGAGAGAAATTAGCACGGCCGTGCAAAAATGCAAGCAGGCAAAATACACCGTTCAGGAGTGTCGGTACCTGACGGCCGATGCGCCGTTTATTCGTCGCGCTTTAGCGGGCTGTCCCCTTCCAACCTCTTCATAGGCTAAACTAGCGACCCCCTGCAGAATGTACTCCGTACGGAGTACTCCGTGCCCGTTTCTTATATTGCGTGCACGCGCAGGTAGCCCGGAGCACGGTCGCGTGGCATGCATACACGACAGGACACAGGCCGGGGCTGTCGTCATCGTCAAATCACTTACATGGCTTCGACTCGACGGCCGGCAGCACGCAGAGTCTGCCACTCGCCCGCAGACAGGCCCTGTACTACAAGGCACGCGCGCAGTGAGTACACCGCTCTTGCGCTGTATTTCAGTGGTCGTGTGCGCTAAGCGTCCCAGAGCCTGGGTCCCACTTTCGCGCGCATTAGCGACCACCAGCAAAACGGTCGTATGTAGACAGTAGCCACGTCGCAGTCGCAGGCCTCGGCCGCTTCGCAAGCGCGCGCTCAGCTTCTTCACCGGATGGCGGTATGGCGGCATATGTATGATACGAGTAACAAAAGCTAAAAAGAACCAGCGGGTGCTGGCAATCTCGACTGCCAGCCCGACAGGACACATTGCAGTCCCGCTCCCGTTCTATGTCACGGCCAGATAGTCGCGCTGCATGTGTAAAAAATGCCGTATCGGATCATTCTCTGCCACGAGTCTTTTTCTGCTCCAAATCAAGCAGCTCTTTCCAGCCGCGATGCCTGGTCACGCCGCCTTGTACTATGTATGTATGGCCTAATTCGACGCGCCAGTATTTTCGCGGGCTATATTCCTAGGCTGTCTCCACACTCTCTCGCCTCGGAACCGAGCAGCTGGGCAGCATTCGCCACCGACCAAATGCTGTCCCTGGTCCTTGGGCTCTCTCTTGGGGGGTGCCTGGTCTGGCCTGGACATGCCGGGATGAGCCTGGAGCTGGGGTGGTGCTGAGAGGGAAGCAGATGAGTGCCGTACTCCGTGCTTCTCCTGTGCAGTTGTCATGCTCCCGTCTTGCGTGCGTTTCCTCTCTTGACAGCCGACCACCTTTAACGGGAGTCCTGGGATGGGCTGGCTGCAGTAGCTGCAGCGCCCCGGTCTGCCATGTGTCTCGCCGAGTTTCAGCTACCTAGGTTCGAATGGTGGTTGCATGCGCGGCCAATGGCTAGCTGCCAGATCTCTGGCATCCACCCTGGTGGGCTGACATGACGGCATAAGCTGCCCAAATAGAGGCAGGGCCCCTACATTTCCGGCAGTCCCGACCACTGCTGCGCCCCGTCGCTGTGGCAGAAGAAAGCTGTTCATCATCACGAGTCCGGCTAGAGGAGTCGTCCGGGTTGACATTCTCTTCAGACTGTCTCCCGACAGCGCAGAAATCCTAGAGCAGACTCCGTACTTGCGTTTTCTGGTATCCTACCTTCCAGGTCGCAGTGCTTGGCTGCGTTGTCGGATAGCAAGGCTGAATGAAGCTCGTTCGCTGAGGTAATGCAAGTCGCGTGACCTGACTCCGCCAACAAGGCTTCTGCGATTTTGCGATTTTGCGATAAGCTTGTTATCGGCCTGTGGGGCAACCCTGGTTTTGGACTTTGCCCCGCGATGAAGAAAAAAGATGCTTAGAAAGCACGTTCAGCACCGCCAGCTTGAAAGCATCTTTGCCCGGCAGAGCACGCTGAGACGGCGCTTGCACTTATCGTGAACGAACGCCAGCCGGATCAACATGGCACCACCACGCGACCACCACGAGGACGAGGACGACTCGGAGCCGGAGCTGCTGGCGGCCGAGGATGCGATGGAGGAGATTGGCGACGATGACGGCGACGATGTGGCGATGGACAGCGGAGCCGACGACGACGACGACGAGATGGAGGAGCTGCTGCTGGTGAACGACTCGATTGCGTACTTTGATGCGCACCGGGACTCAGTTTTTGCCATCGCGCAGCATCCACGCTACCCTTCGCTGGTGGCCACAGGCGGCAGCGAGGGTGACGGCGATGACGCGCCTGGCAAAGGATACGTCGTCGACACGTCGGCTGCTGTCTCGCGCCCGGTGCTGCCGCCCAGTTTCAGCAGCGACCCGGCCGCCATGGCCCATCGCAGCGTCCAGCTGGAGCCTGTCTTCGCCATCGACGGTCACACTGATTCCATCAACACGCTAGCCTTCACTCAACCCAACGGTGACTTTCTCGTCTCGGGCGGTCTCGACGGTCGCATGCGCGTCTATTCTGTAGCCGTGCGCCCGAGCCCAGACGCCAATGTCGCCTTCCGCTTCGTTGCCGAGGCCCAGGAGGTGCCCGAGATCAACTGGCTGGCCGCCTGTCCGGCGCCGGCCCACCCCAACACCATCGCCCTTGGCGCCTCCGACGGCTCCGTCTGGGTCTACACTATCGACAACAGTGCTGCCGATCCGGCCGCTGCCCTGCAGATCGTCCAGTCATACTTTTTGCACACGGCCTCCTGCACGGCTGGTGTCTGGTCGCCTGATGGCCAGCTGCTCGCCACCGTGTCCGAAGACAGCAGCCTGCACGTTTGGGACGTCTGGGGTGCCGCTTCTGCCAAGGGAATCACCAGCAGCAGCAGCAGCACCGGTGGCCAGACCGTCGTCTCGTTGACTGCCACCGACCAGCGCTTTGAGGTTGATGGTGGCCTCTTCTCCGTGGCTATCTCGCCTGGTGGCGGCGTCGTCGCTGTCGGTGGTGCCGGCGGCCTCATCAAGATTGTCGGCCTCCCACGGCTGTCCGGTGTCGGTTCTTCTGTTGCTGGCGGTGGTGCAGGCGGAAAGACCGCACGCAGTGCTGCTGCTGGCCGCCAGAGCGCTGCTGCTGCTCAGGCCGGCACCATTTTGGCGTCGCTGCAGGTCCAGTCTGACGGCGTCGAGACGCTCGCCTTTGCGCCGCCTCCGCTGACTCTGCTGGCTGCTGGCTCTGTCGATGGAAGCGTCACCGTCTATGATGCCAGCCGCTCCTTTGCCGTCCGCCGTCACATCGCTGCCGCTCATGACGAATTCTCGGTCGTCAAAGTCGAGTGGGTGCGCTCGCCCCCCATTGCCTCCGCCTCCGCTTCCGCCTCTGCTGCTGCTGCTGCTGCCGGTCCCGCCCAGTGGCTGCTCACCAGCTGTGGTATGGACGGTGTAGTCCGTCGCTGGGACCTGCGTGCCAATGCGGCCGCCTCGGTCGCCCCCAGAAATCCGGCTGCTGCTGCTGCTGCCACCGCTGCTCAGCCTGGCAGCGGCGCTACACCCGCCGGTCTCGTGCGGGAGTGGCGTGGCCATCGTGGTGATGGAGAGGGTGGTGGCGTTCTTGGCTTTGTGCAGGGCGAGACTGGAGAGCGCGTCATCACCGCCGGCGACGACGGCGTCGTGCTGGTGTTTGAGGCGTAAGCCCTGCTGCATGTGCCTTACCCGGTTCCGGATGTTATCACCATCATAACCACTCGTCCTACGGGCACGGGACAGACGCGATCATGTTCGCTTCCATGGTAGCTTGTGTTTTGAGGCTTGCTGGGCGACCGTGTCTCGAAGACCATCGCGAATGCTCGACAGCAATTCTTAGATGGTGACGGGAACCAGCCAGCCCACTCGTAAAGAAACCGACATGATGAGAACAAATCGTTTCAGATTGCAGATCGCAGATAGGACGGAAGACAGAAGATAACAAAAAATGAAGACAATGTTGCAGCTGGTTCACGCATGCAGGAGCGATGATCTGTGGTTGGAGAAGACCCACTATACATGACTAATACTAGATGACTAAGCACATTGGCCAGTCCCGCGCTTGAGGCTATTCGAGATTTTCGCCGGCACAACGAGCAAGCGACCGCAGAGGAGAAGCAGCTGCGATCGCCCCTCGAGCGTATACAAGTCGCCGCATCTCTGCCCACCAGCCTCTTCCACCAGAAAAGTCCGGAATGGTTGTCAAGATCCGGCTCGCGCGCTTCGGCCGCACCAACTCGCCGTTTTTCAACATTGTCGTAGCCCAGGCGAGGTGCGTTTTCCGTTCCTCTCTTCCTCCCCTTACTGACCATCCAGGTCTGCACAGCGCGGACGGCCGATGGAGGTGCTCGGCACGTACAACTCGCGGCCGGAGCGGGACCCGTACGAGGAGGCGTCTGGACGGCGCGGCACAGCCGGCAAGGCACACAAGGACGTGCAGCTGGACGTGACGCGGACAAAGTACTGGATCGGCGTCGGGGCGCAGCCAACCGACACCGTCTGGCGCATACTGTCTATGGTGAGTTGGGAGACGGGGGAGAAAACGACAAAAACAGCCAGCTGACAGAACAGGTCGGCATCCTGGAACCGAAGCAGCGGGCAAATGCCGACAAAACCGGCACGACTGCGCAAAAGGCATAGTGGTGAAGGACGGCAGCGTGGGATAGAAGCGGGAGCGCAAACGAGGCCGACGATCGCCGGCTGCATGTGGAACGTATACCCACGAATGTGTAACAACAGGACAATGCATGATTTAAAAGAGCGGTTACATTGTACAAGTTGGATTTTTTGAATTGACACAGTCTTGACCAGAGACGGTCTCGTGGACGGAAACAGGACTTTAAATCCATCTAGGTTATACGGCCTTATATAAGAACAGATCACATGCTTGGTACATGGCTCTCCTGTTGTTGAGAACGGCCAGGCTGTGCTGATCTTCGTTTTCATCTATTCCTTGGGTGTTGTTGAAACCCATTATCCAAACGCCAGTCGTATTCAAAGTCTTCTCATTCCTGGCCGGTCGTGTCCACGACGGGAGGACAGGTGCAGAAGAGGTTGAGGTCACCGTAGGCTGCTTTGTTAGTGGGAGGAAGAAAAAGAAAAAAAGAAAGAAAAAGAAGGGAAAAAAAAAAAAGACTCACTATCATCCACCCGGGCCACCGACGGCCAGAACTTCTTCTCGCGCAGATACGGCAGCGGGTACACGGCCGTCTCGGCCGAGTAGGGGCGGTCCCAGGCGGCGCCGACGACGTCGTGAATGGGATGGGGTGCCATCTTGAGGACGTTGCCGACGCGCGGCGCACGGCCTTCCTCGACGTCACGGATCTCGGCGCGGATGCTGACGAGGGCGTCGACAAAGCGGTCTAGCTCGGCCTTGCTCTCGCTCTCGGTCGGCTCGATCATCAGAGTGTTGGCCACAGGCCAGCTCATCGTCGGCGCGTGGAAGCCGTAGTCCTGCAGCCGCTTGGCTACGTCGATGGCCTCGATGCCGGCCGAGTCGTGAAAGGGTCGCAGGTCGAGGATGAACTCGTGCGCGCAGCGGCCGCGCGCGTTCGTGTACACGATCGGGTAGTGCGGCTGCAGCCGGCTAAGCAGGTAGTTGGCGTTGAGCAGCGTCAGCTTGGTCGCCTTCTTGAGACCAGCGCCGCCCATCAGCAGATTGTAGGCCCAGCTGATCGGCAGGATGCTGGCACTGCCAAAGGGCGCGCTGCTAACGGCCGGCAGCGCCGTTCCCGTTCCCTCGCTGTCGGCAATAAAGTAGTCCGTCTCAGGCGGCAGGGTCACGGCCAGGTGCTCCTTGACGCAAATGGGCCCTGAACCCGGCCCGCCGCCACCGTGAGGAATGCAAAAGGTCTTGTGCAGGTTCAGATGGCACACGTCGGCGCCAATGTCGCCCGGCGAGCAGAGCCCAATCTGTGCGTTCATGTTGGCACCGTCCATGTAAACCTGGCCGCCGTGAGCATGCACGAGGTCGCAAGCCTGCCGCACGCCCGGCTCAAACACGCCAAACGTGCTCGGGTACGTGATCATGATGGCCGCCAGCCGGTCGGCGTACTTGGCGCACTTGGCTTCCAGGTCGTCCAGGTCCAGGTTGCCCGTCTTGGCATCGCAGCGCACCGGCACTACGGCCAGGCCGGCCATCGCGGCCGATGCTGGGTTGGTGCCGTGGGCTGACACCGGGATCAGACACACATCACGTGACTTGTCGCCGCGCAGCTCGTGGAACCGCCGGATGGCCCGCAGACCCGCAAATTCGCCTTGAGCTCCCGAGTTCGGCTGCAGCGACACCGCGTCCATGCCGGTGATGTCGCGCAGCTGGTCCTTGAGGCAGCCCAGCAGCCGTCCATAGCCGGTTGCCTGGTCCCGCGGCACGAACGGGTGTAGCTGAGCGAAGCCGGGCATCTGCAGCGTCGCCATCTCGACTGACCCGTTCAGCTTCATTGTGCACGACCCCAGCGGAATCATCGAGTGCACCAGCGACAGATCCTTGGACTGCAAATGGTGAATGTACCGCAGCATCTCCGTCTCCGAGTGATGCGAGTTGAACACGGGGTGTGTCAGGTAGGCCGACGTGCGCCGGAACGGCTCGGGGATGAGAGGCACCTCGTCCATTTCGTCCAAGTCGTCCATGTCGTCCGCCTCGACCAGCAAGTGATGCACAAACGTCTCCAGTCCGGTCTTGATGCCCGCAAACGCGTGAAAGGCCCCGATCAGTGCCAGCAGGTCGTCGTGGCTCTTGGCTTCGTCCACGCTGACACCCACCTCGTCCGCACTCAGCTTGCGCAGATTGCACCCGTGAGCTTCGGCCACCGCCAGCAGCTGGTCGGCCTGACCGTTCGCACAGCGGATCACAAACGTGTCAAACACCGGCGCTGCCTTGACCTTCAGTCCCAGCTTCTCCGCTGCCAGCTGCAGGATCCGCGCTCCGCGCACCGCCCGTTCAGCTATCGCCTTCAACCCACCCGGCCCGTGGTACACGGCATATAGCGCGTTCATGTTGGCCAGAAGCGCCTGGGCCGTGCACACATTGCTCGTCGCCTTCTCGCGTCGGATGTGCTGCTCGCGTGTCTGCAGCGCCAGCCGCAACGCCCGGCCTCCCAGCCGGTCCTTCGACACTCCAATCAGCCGCCCTGGCATCTTGCGCTTATACTTGTCTGCCACCGCAAAAAAAGCTGCATGCGGCCCGCCAAAGCCCATCGGCACGCCCAATCGCTGTGCACTGCCAAACGCAATGTCCGCCCCCCATTCGCCCGGTGGCGTCAGCAATGTCAGTGCCAGCAGGTCCGTCGCGCAGCTCAGCAGTCCGCCGTGTGCGTGCACCCCCTCGGCCAGCGCCCGGAAGTCCACCACGCCGCCCTCTGTGTCCGGGTATTGCACCAGCACGCCCACCAAGTCCTCGCCGATCTCTGCCAAGCCTGAGCTCACAAAGTCTGCCGCCCCGACGTCCCGGACGTCCACCTTGATGCCGAATCCGTCTGCTCGCCCGCGCAGCACCGCCAACGTCTGCGGGTGCACCAGGTGCGACACCACAAACGTCTTGCCCGCTCGCCGTGACCGTGCTGTCGACAGCACGTTCAGAGACAGCGTCACCGCCTCGGCAGCTGCTGTGCCCTCGTCCAGCAGGCTCGCGTTTGCCACCGGCAGCGCCGTCATGTCCGTCACCAGCGTCTGGAAGTTCAGCAGCGACTCCAGCCGTCCCTGGCTGATCTCCGGCTGGTACGGCGTGTAGCTCGTGTACCACGCCGGGTTGTCCAGCACGTTGAGCTTGATCACCTCTGGTACTAGCGTGTCGTAGTAGCCCGCCCCAATGAAGCTCCTCGCCAGCACGTTCTCCGCTGCCACCGCCTGCGCCTCTGCTAGTACCTTGTGTTCCGGCAGCGCCTCCGTGATCGCCCGCGTCACCGCATCGCCCGGCCCTGACTGTGCCTTCGGGAAGAGTGGCCGCTCTGTCAGGATGTCCGCCGGCACCACCTGTGCCACAAACTCGTCTAGGCTCGCTACCGGGGGCGACAGCGCCTTCAGCATCGCCTCCGTCTCCGACTCGTCCGGCCCGATGTGGCGCCGCTCAAACGTGTCCAGAGCCGGATATGATTTGGCAAACGCGCTGGCCGTCGTCCAAGACACTGCTGCTGCGCTTCCAGCACTCGTCGATACACCCCGCGGTGAGCACCGCCGACATGTCCACGGAATTGCTGGCAGCCTGCTCGTCGTCCGCCGACCCGACAGCCTCGCCACGGCAGCAGCTCCAGGAAGCCGGCCGGGAAGCCGTGATGCCGCCAGTCCCCGCTTCAACATTGTAGTCGGGTAGGATAGCAAGCAGTAAAGGTAAAAGACGAAAGAGGGGCAGGGTGAAGATGTGCAGAAGTAAAGAGGTGAGAGCTCGGCCACACGATACGAATTGACCAAAAAACACAAGCTGGGGAAGAGTGGCAAAACTTGCAAATCTCAACTCATCACCGTCTCGACATGTGATCTGAGAGAAGAAGAACGGTGAAATAGGAAGGAATGACACGCCACTCCAGGGGAAAGAACGACACTGCACCTGCAGACAAACTGTCGAATAACAGCCCATTTAGCCCGCCAGCTTTGGGAAATATTACCGCATTCAGCAATAAATCCTAGCAAAGGGCTTTACTGGTCGGCCTTGCGTCGACGCCCCGCCAGCGGCAAAGTAGACTATCTTATCTTAGGGGCGTGTAAAGGCGTCTGTGACACTGTATGCGCATACTGTAGTCCGTCCTCAGTCCACCTCCAGTTTGGCCTCCTTCTTTGTGGATCTGTTCTGAGAACTTCCAGAAGAGGAAGTTTATAGGTATATTTCTCGGGAAAGCACGCAGGAAGTTGCAGTGATCACCGTGTGATTGGCTGCCCGTAAAAATCGGTTAGTCAGCTCCGACATCAGTCTTTACGCCGTATATGTCGTTGATGACTAAGCATCAAGCCGGGCAGGCGCACTACTCCGCACATCAAGAGATACGAAGCGACGAGATCACTATAACAACTTTAGGTAACCCCGAAACGCTACTAGTAGATGGTGGCTGCTGGATTGACCTCAGCTTTCCAGCGCGCCGACGTGCTCGTCCAGCGCAACTCGGAGCTGCTTGACTGACGTAGTCGGAATTAGGCGGCCCACATCAATGGGGCAATCGACAAAAAATCTACAATTAATTTAGTAAACGTGAACAACACTCAAAACAAGCCACTGTCGTACTCAGCAACACCCTCTCGCGCGCGTCTTTCTCGTCGACCCTCATAATGTTTGCAGGCCGTATGTCATTGCCGCCTGTTTTTATGTACCCTTTTGTCTGCCAGCGCAAGCTAACCGGATCTCTCATTGTGTCGCAATAGCCCCCAAGTTCTCGGAGGAAGATCTCCGCATCGGCGAGCTCGAGGCCGGCTACACTGTCCAGCAGTTCCTGACGACGGCGATCGTGCTGTACCTCTGTATGCATCCCCATTGACTACTACATATACGCAAGGGCCGCCTGCTGACTCTACCCGCGCAGCTCCTTTCATTGTCGAGGCCACCTGGAAGCTTTTTTGAGGCCCTCGAGCTGACACCGCTCGGGAAGAAACGGCTTCTGCTATTGCGGCATCATGGCGTGCCGAGTGTAAGATACGGACTAGACAATTCGGTGCACAGGACGGAGGACGGACAAGCCACCGCTGTTCTTCTGTGACGAGGCGCAGGATCGGATCAAAAATACAGAGGCAGCGATTATATCAGATACGGTTCGAGCTAGTAGGGCCGCGAGAAGCAAACGAATTCAACTGCAACGAACAGCGTCTTTCTCTTTCAAATACGGCCTGTTTTTGTACTTCCTAGCACCCCAAATGCCTACATTTCCTCTCTCTGCACTTGCACCCGGCCTGCGTCCCTCTTTGCAGCCGACATCTCGCATCCATCAGTCATGAGGCACGTGCCCTCGTAAGGCCGGCACGCATTCCTTTACCGAGCTGCCGCAAACCCGGCCTGTGGGTTGTCTTTCTGCCACGTCTCAAAGTCTACCTTGATCTGCTCCACCTCCTTCTTGAGGTGCTGCAGTTGCTTCTCATAGTCCTCGACGATCTGTCGACGGTTAGCTTGGCACGATGCCAACACAAGGAACAGGGCTTGCCAACCTTCTTTGCCTTTGCCTCGACGTCCTCGCCTAGACCCTCCTCCTCGCGCACGCCGCGCTTGTTCACCTCCACCCGCAGCGCATCAGCATAGTTGCGCAGCACGATCAGCCGGCTCCACAGCTCCTCCATGCGCGCGCTCAGTGCCGGGTCTTGCATCGTCTTCTCGATCGCCTGCAGCTTCTGCTTCAGGTCATCCTCGTCACCCGACAGGGCGTAGCCCCGGTTGCGCAGCACCTGCGTCTTGGCGGCCAGCGCCAGCACCCGCCGGCTCAGCTCGGCGTGTCGCCGCCGCGCCGCCAGCGCCCGCACACTCGTCTGCAGGTCGTGTTGCGACAAGATGGAGTCTAGCTTCGTGTTGATCTCGTGCAGGCCTGCGTTGAACGCCGCCACCGTGCGCCGCTGCAGCTGCAGCCGCGTCGCCAGACCCTCAAAGCCCGTGCACAGCACCGGCAAGTAGCCCGGCGCCGGCTTGTTCTGCAGCGCCTCCTCCCAATCGCGTGGGTTCTCAAACGCCTGCGGCTGAAAAAACGGCACCCGGCTCTCGTCCACCTTGTTGTAAAAGTACTCCTTGAAAACCGTCGTCGGCACGTCCGGCCGCCACTTACCCATGAGCGTGGCAATCTGATCCGGGATCGGCTTCTCCACTGTCCATCGCTGTCGTCAGCCCGTGTCCCACATAGGATACATACATAGAAGAGATGGGGACGGTACGTACGAGGCGCGGCAGGCTGCCCTGGCTGCCATAGCGAGCTTCCCCATAAGCTAGACTGGCTTGCTGCAAACTGCTGCTGTTGTTGCTGCTGTTGTTGCTGTTGTTGCATTTGCTGCATTTGCTGCAGCTGTTGTTGCTGCTGTTGCTGTTGTTGCTGTTGTTGCTGTTGCTGCTGCTGCTGTTGGAGTTGCTGCTGCTGTCCCTGTTGTGTCGAGCCAAAGAGGCTGGACCCCAAAGCTGGCTGTGCTGTCTGTATCGGTCCATCAAAAAGACCTCCCGAAGGCTGCGTAGCCTGTGTAGAAGCGCCAAACAAGCCGCCGGCTGGCTTTGTTGCTGTCGAGCTTCCAAAAAGGCCTCCGGTCGGTGCTGTAGCTGCCGTCGCCGTGCCGAAAAGGCCACCCGTTGGTTGGGCGTTGGTTGCTGGCTGTCCAAAGGGCGATGCTGCCGTCGTGCTGCTGCCGAACAGTCCAGTCGTGGGCTTTGCCCCAAACAAGGACATGGCTGATATGCTCACTCGGCTGGTACTGAGAGAAGGGGATGCAAATGACGCGAAGATAAGCTGTTTCCCGAGAAACAAAACAAGGGCCGCGTTGTTCCTGAAGCTATATCCCCGACCACGAAAATTTGAAAAGAATCACCGCGCTGTTCGACGCCGGAAATTCTGCTCAAGATGTCCTCCGCTCCTGTGTCCTGGATATCAAGGTGCCGAAAGCGCCAGCACAAGGAAGTTAGAGCAGGACCTTCAGACGCGCCTCAACAAGCAAGAAGCAGTGGAAAGAATTAAAAAGTGGGTACGAGGACGTTCACCTGGGCTACAGCCTAGTGCTCTGTGATTGGCTGGCCACCTTTCCTCGCATCGGTGTGGGCCTGGCCAATAAAATCCCGGAATTGCCTGCTGACCCGGTCGGTTCACCTTGGCTTTTCCGGACCAGAAAATTGCCGGAGCTCAAAATCGAAAGACCTCACAATCATCACGTCCGTCCGCCCACTTCCGCCGTCCCCAGTCCCACCCAAACTACTCGTCCACCCCCCGACTGTCGCTGCTCAGCGCTGAAAATCAGAAATCATGTCGACCCGCAAGCCCTTGTATGTCCCTTTGCTCCGCGGAAAGCCGGGATCGCTTCCTTCTGCCCAAACCGAGGGAGAGAGGGCTGTCCCGGCGGGCCTCGAAGTCAGAGCCGATCCACTGATGCGTGACTTCCGATTTGTAGGTTCAGCCAGCAGCTTCTGCTCGACACCACCCCGCTGCCCGAATCGATCCCTAAGGTCAAGGAGATTGGAGCGAGCTCAGGCCCCCTCCTCTCGGCATCCTTCTTCATTGGCGCCCGCTGCCGGCCATACAATGACGACTACATGCAGTGCAAGGCTGAGAACCCCGGCAATGGCGAGGTCGAGTGTCTGAAGGAAGGCCGGAGGGTGACCCGGTGTGCACGGAGCGTGTGAGTCGGTCCAATTGGCCTGTCATGGGCCGGATGGCGGATGGATGGAAGCATGCTGACCTGGTGGAATTGCGCAGCATCGATGACATCAACAAGAGCTGCCTGGAGTCTTTCCACTCGCATTGGCAGTGCCTCGACAACAACAACCAGCAGCTGTGGCAGTGCCGGCCAGAAGAGTGGAAGCTGAACAAATGCGTCTTTGAGAACCTGGTGCGTGTTTGTCTTTCCAGGACGCACCTTTGGGACCGTCGTCTGTCTAACTGCCGCAACAGAATCTGGAGAAGGTCATCCCGGACGCGTCCAAGGGCACGCCCATACATCTCCGCAGCAAGCAGATCTACGCGCACTACAACAGAGGCCTTGTCGAGAAGCCCTTTGTGCCGGCAAAGGCACCGGCGACAGAGGCCGCTGCACCGGCGTCGTAAGAGTCGAGGCGCTGTTGGCGAGACCAGCTGACCGGACGGCTGGGCGTCAATGCTGTTTGGAAACGAGAACAACACATGCATTGGCTTGAGGGGAGATGCGAGCGCCTCTCGCAGGCAGCACCATGTGTACATATGTAGCGGTTATCAAGCAACCTGAATGAGACAAGCATTGAAAAGAATATCCAATGTCACCACTTCACGGCAGTGTCTGTTCCATGCTGAAGGCTTGGTCGGACCCTCTTGCTTTTTTTAGCATGCATCGGCTACTTGACAAACTTGCGCGCAATGTGATGGTGCGGCCTCAGGGGAAGGACAAAAAACTCTCGCCATGGTAGGAAACCACAACACGTAAATCCAAGCTCTACGCCATCTGGCGCTTCCAGTACTCTAAAACACTGGCAGTTGATAGACATAATGCAAGTTCCTAATCCACAAACTGTACAGAGTACAGTGTGTCCTATACCGCGTTCTGAGTTTGACACGTTGTATCTTACCAGCTCTGGCCTTGTGCTCTCCTTGGATTGTGTATCAATTTTGGTCTATGGTTACTGCATCAACAGGCACACGTCTGCAGTGCTCCGATTTTTCCGTTTAATGTCACAATTATCATCAGGTTTGGTTACCCAAACACCTTTCAAAGTCGTCTGATTGGAATTCTCTGGCCCACTATCCTATATATTGGCACATTCTTCCTACCTGCTTATCCAGAGGATCAGAGACAGAACTACGCATCCGAGATGAACACAGATATATTACTGTACAAACAAATGCTTCATCTCCTACAGGATCCTACAGGATACGGTAGTCAGACTCGAATACTGTGCAGTCAATCTGCAGAAATCATCCACTCGCCTCGAAACGCATTCTTTGTGACGTAGTCCAATTTATAGACTCGTACAATAAACACGATTCTCGGAATCTTAGTGAACTCAATGAATCGAAGCAGAAAGGGCCGACATACCTGTACAAGCTACGAGTGCTTCGTGGATATCTTATATCACGACTAGCGATCGTAGCTTACCACTAACGACCTGGTAAAACAGGACTTGAAGTTTCGAATATCGAATGCCACACTGAGAGCTGTCGGCCATACTTGCCTTGTGTAATTATTTAGTGACTGTGTTTGACAAAAAGCATTGAAGGCGTAACCTGCTGAAGCGGGACAGAATACATATACTTAGAGCTTTGGTCAGTAGTTCAGACTGGTTTTTTTTTTCAACCGAAAGGGTGACGTTGCCAATTACTTTCCACAAGAATCAGGGGGCACAAAGTAGGACATACACACGAAGCATCAGAGGCCTGTGGCATATATTGAGTAATAGGAGTTATCCACCGAAGTCTGCTCTCCATCTGCCACCTGACCCTTCATACGAGTAGTCGTAGTCGTAGTCGTAGTCTAGTGAATAGGCCTACAAGTCAGTTATCACATAGGGGAAAGAGACCAGAGATGGTAAGATAATTCCATTTTCCCGATTTCCAGTACCTCCCGGATTTCGGCATACCCATGACCACTTGCCTGCTCACTACGAAATAGCTTCCTGGGATGGCTTTGCCGCCTATTTGATTGTTGTTTCAGGAAGCCGTTCGCCACTGATTACTGGGCGGTTGTTGGACTAGTCCTTCCAACAGAGCATGTACGGAGCATGAACGTATCCAGTCTGTAAAAATCCCGGTCATTTCGACGGAAGATGTAAGAGGCGGTCACCAGTAGCGTCGCTGAGTGAATATGTGCGTTATTCCATCTCGTTTAGTTGTTGCCGGCCAGCCCAGGGCCCTTGTCTAGGTTCCACCTATTACTCCGTACCCGGCCTGCTTTTCTCGCTTCGCCAATTTCATTTTAGCTGGCATCGATACAACACATTTTTGTGTTGTACCGTACGTACGAGTGCGCCATGTTGGGAGCCTTGAAAGGGCACGGAGAGATACGCTGACCCATGGGTTGCCCTCGATCGGAAGGGCGCCTTGTAATTGTGGCTAGTTGCATTCCTGACTGTGGCGAGGGATGCATTTTGCCAAGAGCAGCCCGATACCCGCCACCTTGCCTCTCGCACACACGGACCAGAAATGTGATCCATGAAGCCATCCCCGGGGTTTGGCGCCGTTGCAAATTGTGATTGCTAGATTCGAAGGTCGAGACCCGGGATGATTGCGGCTCCTTGGCAATCAACGGAGTGGGTTCGGAGCACGTCCGTTCTTCCCCCTTTTCGACCTAGTGATGACAGCGGCGTGCAAATCTTTCTGCTGTTTAATATGGGGCACGCCAAACACGCAAGATGCAAGGGCAGTGCTTTTTCGTTCGCTCCCTTCCCGGCGCACATGCTCTAGATCTCCACGACGTACCTATGGCAAACCGGTGTCAAAGTGTGGGCCGGCGCAGAAATGTAGCTGCCATGTCCTGACTTTGGGCACCGGTTGAAAGGGCCGCCCTTGCCGAGTTGGTTCAGGAGCAGGTTCGTATGTGCGGGATACGACGTACCCTACAGCTGTTGAGCCGCCATGGCCAAGCCATCCGTCGGGCTGCAGGCCAACTCGGCCTACCAAAGACATGTCGTGTCATCGAAAGAGTCGGAGATTGAACGCATCTCACAGGGTTGTCACAGGCAAATTGCTGCACGGACGTTGTACCTCCACCAAGTCCTCCCCATCTCAGATGTCAATTGACCATGTCTGAGTCCGGTCTTTCTCGTTCTTTGTTTCCCGCTGTGGTGGTAGAAATTAACTACGTTTCAGGCCGCCGGTGCAGGGGTTCGTAGTAGCTGCTTGGCTGGCTGGATGGTCGAATATGTGGGGCCGCTTGTTTCGGAATCCTTGTAACAAATCACTGGGGTTAATCGTGCCACCACGTCGATGCTGAAGGCACCACTTGCAGTTGGGGCCAGGGGGAAAATGCCGCTAACAAAATAATGACTAAAGGTAGGGGCAACAACAGTCGTGCCGAACACACAATTTCCCGTAACAAGACGGCGTGTTCGAGGAACATTGAACACTTCTTAGTGCACAATGCCTCGTTGTGGCGGGCAAAATCTGTTAGCAGACGACACATGGCGGCACGATGACTGGACAAAAAGGGGCACCGTCTCGAGCCAGGAAGCCGCTCTTTGTTGCTGAAGTTGCCAAAAGAAAGCCGAGCTTGCAAATGTTTGTGGCGTTTCCGCCAGACGCCACGTAAACACAACGCCCATCCGATTCCATGACTGCAAGCCGAGTCTCGTACATTTGGTGGGAGGGGTGCAACTCGGCGCTCCCATCTCCTTACGAGTATTCGTATCCCCTAATCTGCGTCGTCAGTTACAGCCGGCGAAGGAATTAGTGGGTCTCGTCCCAGCTCCTGCTGCAAAGCCCTGCCGGCACCGAGAATTCAGGGATTCTGTGATCTAGGGAAACAGTACTTCACGAGTAATACGGATACTCCGTAATCGTACATAGTAGTACAGGCCAGCTTTCTGTGTCTATACGCGTAAATACGCACACTCGTAAGACGCTGGCCGTACCTACCTCCTCCCAGGGACGTGTGCCTTCCCCTACGGAGTAGCGCTCTGCTCACAAACAGCACCCCTGTGCTACCAGTGGAGCTACGTTACGCTTCCCCAGTTTCCTCAAAGTAAAGTGCTTCTGGATCGCTCCTTCCCTATGGGCCTCGCCAAAACCCTTCCTGATTTTTCTGCTTCTGCTGCTCTCCGTATATCTCCCGGCAGGGCTACCCTGGTCTTTCCTCTCCACTCTTTACGACGCTCCGTGCCCTTGCTTCCGTCAGTCGCTGGTCAACTGCACGGCAATCCCCCTCACTCTCTTAGCCTCGCCGGATTCTTCTTAAAGTTCATGCCTCTCCCCTCTTTCATTCCTCTCTTTTTCCCTTCTTCTTACCATCAACTTCTTTGATTCGCTCCTTTTCAAGGCCGTGCATAGGTCAGTGTCTGTTCAGATACGTTCCATTCCTTTCAAAATATACTTTTCCCCCTGAAATCGCCCTTCTCCATCAGTGTTGTGCTCAGTCACCACTTCGATTTCAATCCACACCTCCGCCACTCAGTATTTGAGCTTCCCATCCCTCAGAGGGCCAGATACATCAACCAACACAAGCAGCTTACAGCATCCCCTGACGGCTCCAAGATACAGCAGTGCTGCATCTCCACTCTCCAAAGCGAACCAGGCTCATATCTGCTCCATCCCCTTTTCATCTACTCGCCTTAGACGACAAAATCCCTGGATAGGATCTCTCGTGACTTTAAGTCAAGATGTAAGTTTATCATGATGCGTTCCATATTGCGTTATAAATGCCGTTGTTAGTCTCGTGTCTGCCTACGGGACACCAGCAATCATCGTGTCCATCACCAGTGGTGATAGAAGACAACAAAGGATGAACTTGCCCTGGATTTCACTCTTTATATCGGCATTCAGTTTCCATTTCTGGAACAATGCATAGTTACAATGACAACTATGCTTTGTGTTTGCACTATATCTGACCTATGCCTCCCCTCTATCACTTACTGCATATCAAGCATCTGCTAACTCTTCAAAGATACCAAATCGTTCGCTCTTACTCTTCTAGTCTGACTACAAACATCCACAATGAAGACTTCTGCCATTCTCGCTCTCTCGGGCTCGCTTCTGGCCATGGCCAGCCCCATCAACAAGCGCGTCTACGAGACCGAATATGTCACCGACTTGATCTATGTTACCGTGACTGTCGATCCCTGGACAACCACAACAGTCTATCCCCTGGAACACGAAACTCCTGAGGTAAAGCACACCACTCTCACTACCGCTGCCCCAGTGACGATTATCACGACAACGAGGGCGCTGCCGCCTCCGACGACGACATCGACGACTTCTATTGTTGCACCTCCGCCAACAACTTCTTCGACGTCGACTTCCACAACGTTACCTCTGCCTGTTCCAACAACCTCGACCACAAAATCACCCTTGCCTGTGCCAACTACTTCCACTTCCAAAATTGCAGTCCCAGCTGTCACCATTGCCGCTGAGGTGACTGTTGCCGCTAAGGTGACTGTTGCAGCCACGCCCTCGACTTCGTCTAAGACCTCAACGTCGTCTACCTCATCGACAACGGCTGCTGCCGCCACTGCTTCCTCCGATGATTTCCAGACAACTGCTGTCTACCACCACAACATTCACCGTGCCAACCACTCTGCTCCTGACTTGAGCTGGAACAGTGACCTGGCCAGCTATGCTGCCACGGTCGCAGCGACGTGTGTCTTTGCTCACGATCTGTAAGTTCATGCAACTCGGTTTCAGTTCTAACACCTAATACATGCAATCGCTAACCCAATATTCAGGACCCCTGGTGCTTCTACCGGCGCGTACGGCCAGAACATCGCAATGTACGGCTCATCTGATGCTACCGAGAGCACCTCGTCTTCTTCCGTCATTGCCCAGGCCGTCACCGACATGTGGTACAACGGCGAGGTCTGGCAGTTTCCCGAGGCCGGCTATGGCGAGGACACCCCCGACATGACCGACTTCGAAGCCTGGGGTCACTTCTCCCAGCTTGTCTGGGTTGCGTCGACTGAAGTTGGCTGTGCCGTTCAGTATTGTGCTGCTGGCACTTTGGTCTCCGACATGGCTTCCTTCTTCTCAGTCTGCAACTACCGCTCAGAAGGTAACGTTGGAGGTAGTTACGGCACCAACGTGCTGAAGTCCCTGGGCAAGGCCTCCGTCACTATCTAAACTGATAAATGGCATCGACTGCGTTTTTGTTCACCCCTTGGTGAAGCTCCAGACATTGCTTGAACGGCCGTTTTTCAGTCGGATGAAGTCGGAATCCATGCACGTGGGGAGTTCTTTATTATTCTTTGTATCATAGTTCGGTCCTGACGTTTCGATTTTTTTGGTTTCTCTTCGTTTGGCTTTGGCCATATTTTTTTTTTCACGGCGCTGTTCGCCATTTTCATTTATCTTTGCGCACAGTACGCTAGGATCTGGTTTCTTTTCTCCCACGAATGTATCTTCAAATCTAGCAAGTCTTCACCTTGGGCTCTTGCTACATTTTGTCGATGCTTTCTTCATTCCGAAGATACACGAAAGTTCTGGTAAATAAGTGGAATCATGAGAACGAATTTTTCACGAAGCGTTTGATGGGATCTTGCAAAACAAAATATATATGTGTTAACACCTTATCTATTGCAACTTCGTGCGTTGTATTGATTGTTTACTGTCTACGGAGTACACCTACTTATACTGCCTCGGCGAAATGCTGCGGCCCAAGATTAGCCAGCACATCATGCGGAGAGTAATGGGGCTATGCTGAGACGAAGACTCGCATGAGCAAATGCTGTTAACTGGTGGCCGCCATACTGGCTTGCTTTGGAAAGCTGAGAGTAGTTTTTGCGCTCCTTTGCTATCGCTATCCTTCAAAGGAACCGTGGAGACAAAAACTGTCCTAGCCATCCTTCTTTCATGCAGTTGTTAGCCTTTTCATGTAGGAAGATTTCACAGATAAAGTGCAAAAGGTGAAAGACTATGTAAGATAGATTTAAAGTGACAAAAGCGACACGTAAAATCTGTTAAAGCACACGTGACACCAGAAACCAGACACGCTATTTGGCACATATTTAACTGCCAGTGTCGTACAGCAAGGCAGGATCAGCCGTACTGTATCACCACACACTTGATCAAGTGTAAGCCCAACAAAAGAAATCGATCATGACTCAATGACAAAAGCAAAAAGAAACAGATAAAAGCGTGTGCGTGCGAGAAGAGGGCAAAAAAAAAAAAAAAAAGACAAACACTGTATATATCCCATTCATTCCCCGTCTCGTACTTTGGCCAGAGATCTTCCCGTCGTTGCTGTTTCCATTTTCACCGTCCCTGATCATCAAAAGCACTAACTCTTTCGCCACCAAAGCCCAACGCAACAGCGAGATGCAGACATCCTAGTCCACCTGTTTCTCGCACCCAATGCGCCCCAGCAGTTCCTTTCGATCACTGTGACCGGGCAGGCTGACGCCCGATGTTGACGATACCGGCCGTTTGAGGCCAGACCGCCGCTCCCAGCCCTTGAAGTCAATGTCCTCAACGCCAACCTCCTCCTCGAGTGCTTGAGCCTCCTCGTACACAAACTCGTCTTCTTCGTCTTCTTCGTCCTCCTCAACCTCGTCCGACTCGTCGTCGCTACGCGAATCTTCTGCGCCGGCACCCTTCACGACGCGGATGGCGACCTGAACGATCATGACGAACCAGACGCTGATCAGAGTCTGAAGGAGGAGAAGCATCGACAAAAAGCACCATTTGACCACCGTGGTGTAGCATATAGCACCGTCCGAATCAAATATGGCCTCGAGCATGTAAGCAAGCTTGTTGCTTGTGGTGGGGCTGAAAGGAGTAAATGCCGAGATGGTGGGTGTGAGTGGTGAGATATCATCTGGGCTGACCAGGATGCTCGAGCCGCCCGGACCGCCCCGAAAGCAGCCTGGTGGCATGATTTCTTGGCTCTGGGCCCATACAGAGTAGCAGATCATGGAGAAGAAAATGTGGCGGGGAATAAACCAGCTCAGCATGAAGCAACCGAAGAAGACATCGCAAAGGGTGGTGTGGCCCAAGTACTTGAGACATTTGGCCAGCTGCGGTTTGTGTCAGTGAAATGCATCAGCAAAAAGAAAGCTGTACTCGGGCGTCCTACCGGAAGGAAGAAGTCGCTGACGTCCATGAGGATAAGGATCACATTGGCAACGCGGGTGAAGCGGTAACGGTACGAAATCAAAATCAGCGAAACCGTGATAAAGTGATGGCTCAACATCTGCCAGTGGTCCTTGCGACGCTCCTCGATATTGACCACAAGTATCTGTTGGAACCAGAAGGCGAGCTGCATCAAGATGTAGCCCTTCATAAGGCCATCCATCTCACGGTTTGGCCAGTCTGACCAGATGTGCTCCATGTTCATGAAGCAGGGCGAATGCTGGTAAAGATACTAGAACAAGACTGCCTGTTAGCCGCTGGGAAATCAGGCTTGGTCTCCCAAGTGCGCAGGGTGGCAACTCACGAAGCCCAACGGGAACATTATGCCATAGTATATGAGCATCCAGGCCTGTTCACTGAAGCGAGTGATCGTTTTCCTCTTGGAAAGGCCGCGGCTTTTGGCGAAAGGTGCTAGGATGTACTCCATGGAGCTGGCACGCAGGCCGGTCAGGAGGGTGACGCCGAAGAGGATAAAGAGCGTGTCATCCTTGCCCAGGTTGTATCGGCCAGTTGAGGGGTTGTAGTAGGAAAGTGTGAATAGCTTGGTCGTATGGGTGCGCAGCATGGGAAAGAAGATATGGGTAAGGAAGAGGAGTGCGAGCAGATTGAAGGAGAGGCCTGGCGGCGCGGTTAGCAAGGAGGAGAAGAGCAAGAGGATACATGCAAAAAGTACCAGTTTGGTTGTCGACCAGCCATCGGGTGAATTGCTTCGTGGGCGTCTCGTTCTTTCTCTTGATCCGCCGTACGATCACGACATTTCCAGAGGTCTGCATATAGAGCGGGCCGCTGTTGCTGTTGCCGCTGCCGCTTTTGGTGCTTTTTGCGAACGCAACTCGCTTGACAGACCGTCTCGGCGACGGCGCCGCAGCCTGCTGAGCTTCCGAAATTTCGGCCATGCCGGTCGGAGGTGTGGGAGATGCCATGCTGTCAATTGGCGAGAGAAGCAGACGAGAAAGGCTTCAATGTGTACGCGGCGAGTTTGGAGGCGGGGAGAGAATCCAAGCTCCGCTCGCAATGCACGATAAAGGTAGTCGACCAATGTGTTCCCAGCCTCCTCAATTGGGTGTTTCCTGACTGCCGGCGGGGAGAAGAGGGAGGGACGGTTTCTTTTTCTCCAAGGCTGTTGGCTTCTGGGGCTTTGGATTCTGCAGTCCCCCTCTTTCTGCCTTTGGTGGAACGAGCGGATAGCACCGATAAATGCGTGGCCGGACTTGTTTGATTGTGACTGTAAGTCGTCTCGCCGCGTACTTTTTTCCGCGCTCGTCCCGGTTTTTGTGTCCTTTCCACCACGATTGCTTTTTCCACCTGGGCATCCAACAAGTCCAGTCACGGATTGAGGGTGGGTCTCCGGCCGCTGTCCCTCTTCCTTTCACAGATCGGCCAAGGCGGTGAGGCAAGGACGGAGTTTGCACCGCTGCAATTGGTGAAACGGCCGAGGGGGTTGGCGGGGGAGCTTTGCTATACAGGGGAGGGTTGGTGGCGAAGGGCTAAAGGCACGTTCCAGCAGCGGCTGGCTCCTTTTGTTGAGTAGCTCCTTTTCTGTCCATGACACCACCATGCTCTCAGAGAAGCACACTTGCACCTTTCGCATATTCAAGACTGCTCTCAAATGCGGGGACAGGACAACCATACTGTGTATGCTTGATGCCCGACTTGATGGCTTCAGCCGGAAACAGCCCGCAAGGCCTTGAGAACACGTACTCTCGTCAATAGGATGTGCGGAGCTGCCTTTTCCCCATAGAGTATCGCTTTTGCCGTAATTCGCGCTGCCGAGCTTCCGCGCTCGTCCACCGATCACAGTTACATTCTGCGCAACATTCTGCAGCTAGGAAGGCTTTACAGGGAAAAAACCTGCAGACAATTGACTGTTTCAGAAGATTTTCGCGAGTCTGTATATTAAGAAACGCAGGTAAGCGCCAACAAAACGTTGTCACCCCACTGTATCTCCAATCAGAGCACGTTTCGTTTGCACGTCTTGTCTCACCGTCCTGGACCCCAACAATTTTTTCTACTATCGCGATAAGCACAAGCAGATGCTTGCATATTGACGGATGTTTCTTCTGTCATTCTCTCAGTTCATAACTGTCTGTGGCAATGTTGTTCTTCTCAAAATTTATGATAATTCACATTATTCTTCCGAAAACATTGACATGTCTACTCGTACGGTGGACAGCATTCTCCTCGGGCCATGCCCTTCATGTGATCTCTGTCACACACATCATGTGATACAGCACGTGCCTTTGCACGTGCATCGCTTGCACTGCCCCCCTCGCTGACGCCACTGGGCCACTAGGCCCCGTGATCATTAAGCGAACCTTCTCGACTGAGCGTCATCCGTCTTCTTTCATTCCGACATATCCTACTCATACTTGTATTCTCTTTCTCGCCCCCTCGCCACTTTGCACGAATCAAAGAAATCAAATCGTTGTGACTGTGCTCGCATCGTGCGAAACTCCTTTACCCAACGCATTCGGCGCTGCCCGACAGCAACAGACGGCAAAAAAGATGGCGAGCAAGGCTCAATACACCCAGGCCGCATCGGTCGACCCGGACGAGCATCTCGAGTATACGCAGCCGCCGCCTTCGTACCAGGCCGAGGCCAGCGCGAGCGCGAGCGCGGCGGCCGACGATGACCAAGAGCGGCTGTTCAGCGGCGCGCCGCGCGACAGCGAGGACAACATGCCCGACGACTTCAAATTTGGCGGCTCCGTGGCCGAGGCGACAATCGACATCCGCAACCAGTTCGTGCGCAAGGTGTATGCCATCCTGACGGTGCAGCTGCTGGCAACCATGGCCCTGAGTGCCGTGAGCTTCTTCAGCGACGGCTATCGGACCTGGATCCAGAGCCATCCCGGCCTCGTCTTCGTCTCGGTAGGTTCTCTTTCTGTGCATTCGTAATCTTGAGCTTTACCGGCGCCATTCTGCTAACACTGAGGCAGCTGTTTGGTGCTATGGGCTTCCTGGGCCTCACCTACTGGAAGCGCAAGTCGTATCCCACCAACCTGTTGTTCCTCGCCGGCTTCACCTTTCTCGAAGCCTACAGCGTCTCCGTGATCGTGTCGTTTTACAACGCCTCCATAGTCCTCAACGCTGTCGTCCTGACGGCTGGCATCTTTGTCTTCCTGACCCTCTTCGCCTGCCAGACCAAATACGACTTCACCTCGTGGATGCCGTACCTCTTCGGCGGCCTCTGGGGACTCATCCTGTTCGGCTTCATGGCCATGTTCTTCCCGTACAACTCCACTGCCGAGCTCATCTACGGCGGCCTGACCGCCCTCATCTTCAGCGGCTACATTCTCGTCGATACCCAGCTTGTTTTGCGCAAGCACCACATCGAGGAGGAGATTGCGGCTGCTATCAGCCTGTACCTCGACATCATCAATTTGTTCCTCGCCATTCTGCGCATCCTCAACAGCCAGCAGAACAACTAAGCTGTCATTGGCAAAGATATGGCAGTAGCGAGGGCAACCAAGTGAACTCCTACCTAGGGCTGTTGGACCTCGTGCAGTCAAGACTGGAGACTCCCGGTGATGTATGAATATAGGTCTTTTAATATTAACTTTGCTTGTTTTTCCCCCTTTGTTGTATTACACCTTCCAAGGACCTTGTGTCCTTTTTTTAAATCTTCAGTTTTGTTCTTGATCGTCGCGGGCCAGAGTGCCTCTTTTAGTTTCACTCTTATGCACTGTATTTAGCTTTGGTTTTATAGATAGGCTTATGCATAAGCTTTCTATTGTGATTGGGAAACGATTTTGGCCCTGTATGACACTACTACGGACATCAACACCCATAAAGACGTGCTCGATGAAGCTATAAGAAGTATTGAATTGGGGATATCTGCATTAGAAATCTCATACGGAGTAGGAAGTAACAAGACAGACGCACTGTACTAAAGTAAGAATAACGAGACAAAACAACGCAAGAGGTAAGACACGGCCTTGCAGAAACTCAAAATCAACAGGAAAAGACAGGGCAACAGAAGGGCAAATAAGAATGATGACTACCCACTACCTCGAGCGAACGCTGGTACCACTGCTTCTTAGAGGTGTCTCGTCGTCTATATTGCGCTGAATCCATTTTGTTCTTCTTTTTGCACCCCCTTTTCATGACGTTCGTATGGGCTCCAACCGTTCAAAGACATGCCAAGAAAGAGAGTGTTAACAGGGAGAATGATCAAAGTGTGATATATCCATCCCGTCTGACTGAGTGTCAAACAAGTCGTAGAAGAATCTGGTCCTTCATCCTGCAATGAGACTCCCAAGTAGTGGCATGGGGAATTACTGAACCGAGATTTCCATAGTGGAGTTGGCAGGAGCTTCGGGCAAGTTCTAGTTGCCTTCGTGATCGCCATTGGAGTCCATCTGACCGCCGGACTCCCGCTGCATGCGGGCCTCGATCTCGCGAAGCTGGGACTCGCGAGCCAGAAGCTCTTGGCGCTTCTCGTTGATTTCGCGTTGCACCTTCACCTCGATCTCGCGCAGCTTCTCCTCCTCGCGGCGCAGCTGCTCCTCCTTTAAGCGGACAGACTGCGATGCAAGATCCTCGGGGTTCATGGACGAATCGCTGCAAAGAATGTTAGCAGAGCACAATACCACGGCCAGCGGGAAACACGTACGCTGCACCACCACCCTCGACGCTCTTGCTGAGCTTCTCGGTACGGTAGTTCTCGTAGAGGAAGTCGTGTGTGATTTCCTTCAGGTCCGCCAGATGGCTGTGCAGCAGAGCCGAGCGGATGGCCAGGAAGTCCGAGTGGCGCGGGTTGTCGACCTCCACGACGCCCCATGGGTACTGACGAGCACGAACCTTGCGGCCGCCAATTTCGATGATGTCCTCTGATCCGACGATAGCGAACGGCATGAGGCCTCTCAGCTCGGCGTTCTCCTCGACCGTATCCTCATCATCCTCCTCAATATCGTAGGGGAAGTTGTAGACGGGGATGCGGTAGTGCTCAATGTCCTCCATGACTAGCTTCTTTGACTCGGCAAGCTCAGCCGGTGTAAGCGAATCCGCGCGACCAATAACGGGAATGACATTGACGCGGGGAGCAAGGCGCTTCATGAGCTCGATGTCAAGCTCACGCAGACTAAGACAGGGGTCAGCGAAGCTCAAGGCATCAGGCGACGGGACGCCGTTTGTTGGGCATGCACCTACCCGTGACCGGTCGGCGTGATAAAGTAGAGGAGCGCGTGGACACGGTTGTCTCTGAAACGCGGGTTACGCTTGATTCGGGACTCCTCTGCAAGAATGTCATCGTATTGCCTCTCGAGATAGCCGACGATTTCAGAAAAGCTGCATGAAAGGTGGTCAGGTTAGAATGCAGCCTCCCTGAGTTGCGGTCAAAGGTGGTATCACGTACCTGGCCTCGTTGTCGATTTGGTCGCCAAAACCGGGTGTGTCAACAATGGTGAGGGAGATCCGGGTACCCTCCTCGTCCAGCTCTAGTTCTAGAGGTAATCAGCATGTGCGTTTCGAAGTTGCCGAAATGGATCGGTGGACGGTGAGTGTTGTAATACATACCGACAGTGATGGGCTTGATCTTGACGCCCTCCTCCACGTGAGCAGTGTTGGGGTCGTCAGACTCCTTGTGCGAAAGCACGCCCTTGCTGCAAAGGGTGTTGACGAATGTGGTCCGGCCTATCGTATGTCGAACACATGTCAGCTTTCGTTCGAGAAGACAGGATCGACAGCAAGTGTGAACGGGGCAGACGCACCAGTTCCGGAAGCGCCGCAGACCATCAGACAGAACTGGATTCCCTTCTTCACGTTCTTCTTGCGACGGATCATCTTCTACACATGGGGTTGTGGTTAGCGACACATAGTACCAGGGCGGTGACGAGTTGGGCCACAAGGCATTCTCTTCTCCTGTCCCAAGTACGGGATAGGGATAGTTGTTTCACCGGAGCTAGATTGATTGGAGTCATGGACGTAGGACGTACGGCAGGCGAAGACATGGCTACTGATTCAATAGGGGGGTTGAGATAGATGGACGGATCTGGGTATCGTCTCGCGTTGGTGAGCTGCTAGCGATGAAGCGGAAGGATTGCCGGATCGGACGATGCGTCGAGCAGGAGCTGTTTCGTTTCAAGTCCGGAGGCGGTGGGGGGGGTGAAGAGATGTTATGCTTGTTTATTTGAGTGAAGGAACCTCAGACGAAGGAGAGAGGTTTGGATTGGAATATGTTTTGGTTTTCAGGAGGCGGTGGCAGTAGAGAAGGGGGGGAAGGAACCGGCCACAGTACAAGTACGGAGTGCGAGTATAAAAAAATAAAATGGGTAATTTCAAGCACGACCTTCCATAGGCAAGGCACCTGCTGGGGATCGCAATTGGAGAAGGCACGCCCAACCGTTGCACATACGGGATCAAAATGGCAGTAAACTGGTCCAGTGCTTGCGCTAACCGGATTACGGTGGACCGTGCACGGTGCGTAAGGTGAGCTTGGCAGAGCTTTGGCAGAGCTTTGGCAGGTAAATTCAGGGGGAGACGAACCGGTCGGCTTGTTCTTCACGCCATGGCTGAAAGTGGAAAGGTGCCTAGAACATGAAAAGGGGGAAATACCCATCTGGTCACTGCATCTTGCTGTGAGTATTAGCCTTTACAGCGCATCTTTAGTACGAGTGTCCAATTCTTGTGCTGTGTTAGCACTTATAAAGCGTCGTTGTCACTTTGGGCCTGCTGTTTAGGACACTTAACCCCTTTTCTTTCGAGTCATCTATTACTCCGTAACCAACCTGGGATATCGTATCTACTCGCCGGCAGTAGAACGCAGGATCAGGTCTGTGCTGCAGCTGCAGCCAGCTGGCAAACAGATAGCCCGGCTACGGTGCTTACTAACATATGAGTCATCAATCGCTGGACACGTCGTAGGCTAGTTATTACGGGTACTTGCATTATTACGATGTACTGCATTTGACTGCAGCGAGGCGGTATACTTTGCCTCATCATGTTCGTGCGTGCAAGCCGCTGGACTGGATGTGGACACGCCCGGCTTTCATGTGCCGCACTCTAATCTCACCTGATGAGATCTGTTTGCCACCACTTCTGGCTGGTCAAAGCTTAAAGCAAGACGCCATAGCCGCCACAGGGCCTTTCAGTAAACTAATTCCCGGGCGTTACTGAGCTGCCTATTTCCCAAAAGGATATCTGTGGGACGAGATCCCATTCCGTCCAGCCTTGCTCTGACTGCTGTATACTGAGCGCCGGCTTGAACGGGAGCGTCTGGCGAGCACCATGGACGTCCGATCGCCGATCGAGAACTCCAGCAGTTCTGTGGCGCTGTCGGCTTCGTTTAACCTCAATTGTGACTGCTTTGTCGTAGCCACTAACAATGGCTTCCGAGGTGAGCACAAGTTCACTAGTCGCGGCAGATTACGAGAGCAGGTGCTGATGCAGTCCAGTCTTTGATGCGGCCACGTGCAAGCAGCTGGCAAAACGAGTCCTGAAAGAAGGCGGTGTTGGCATGATTCAGATCTTTGGCCGGTCGAATATCATTCCGCTGGTTGGTGGCAGCAAGCGGCCTGCCAGCGGCCCAACAAAGGCATGGGGTGTCCCTACTGGTCGAGATGCATCTACACGAGACTGTGCATTGCTAACGATGACCACAGGTGGTCATCTGGGACGAGAAAAAGGTAGAGTTTACGCGGGAGATTGCCTGCTCGTCTCGCGTGCGCGGCATCCGCGTGCTGGACCGCAAGGTCGTCGTCCTGCTGCAGGACGAGGTGCGTACCTACAGCATTGACGGCGTACCCAAGCTGGATGCCCGGTTCCCGACGACGTCCAATCCAGCCGGCCTCTGCAGCATCTCGGGGACACATCTGGCCTTTCCCGGCCGGACGGCCGGCCAGGTGCAGCTGGTGCAGAACCAGACGCAGGCTGTCAGCATCATCCCGGCGCACGCATCGGCGCTGGGTGCCATCGCCCTGAGCCGCGACGGCTCGCTCCTGGCCACGGCCAGCGAGAAGGGCACGCTCGTCCGCGTGTGGTCGACGGCCAATAACGCCCGCGTGGCCGAGCTGCGGCGGGGCGTCGATCACGTGACCATTTTCTCGCTGGGCTTCAACCCGTCCGGCACGCTGCTGGCCTGCACGTCTGACAAGGGCACGCTGCACGTCTTTGACGTCCCGCACGCGGGCGGCGGTGTCCTGGACCATCTCCACGGCGGCCCGGCACAGGTGGAGGCGTCGGACGCCGGCGGCGCGTGGAGCTACGAAGACTCGGACGTGGCCTCGTACGCGAGCGACCCCCGGACGGACGGTGGTCGAGGAGGCGACGGGTCTGGCCGCTGGGGCGTGCTCGGCAAGCTGCCGTTCATGCCCAGGTACTTTCGCGACACGGTGTCGTTTGCCAGCGCCGAGTTCGCCCTGGACGACGGGCCTGGCCCGAATCGGCAGCGCGAGGCCGAAGAGGCAGCCACCATGCGCTGGACCCGTCTGCCCCGAGGGACTCTCGGCTGGACGAGCGACGACACCGTGGCCGTGCTGGGAGCCGGCATCGATGCCAAGTACGAGCGGTTCGTGGTGTCGGTCGGTAACGATGGCCGGCGCGTGTGTGTACGACAGGCGTGGGCCAACTACATGGGAATCGACTAGGCCAAGGGGGGAGAAGAGTTCTCGAAAGGCCACGAGGGCAGTGCCCTGCATAGACAGAGCCTTGGCGTTCTAGGGTGTTTTCACTTTCGGTTTTGTATTACCCGGCAGGGTCCATTGGGCGTTTCCGGGTCGAGGATGCTTACAGCAGCAGAATGTCGATAGCAGCTGAGCAAGACGTCCTGTTTTTAATTAGAAATTGCAACTGTGCAAATACAGAGCAGATCGTCTCTGGTTACTCTCCATGCCGCCGCGTTCTAGGCTATCTTCCCTTTCCATCGTCATCCCACTCCCGCTGTCGACTGTGTCTATCCCTATGCTCTCGTCTGCCGTCACGAGCTGCAGTTTCGTCGCGGTCGTCGCGTCTCCGTTCTCGGCCTGTGTCACGGTCGCTGTCCCGGTGCCTTTCCCGATCACGGTCTCTATCTCTGTGGCTGCGTTCTCGACCATCTCTCTCCTCGCGCCTGTGATGTCGCTCTCGCTGGTCGTCCGCTTCACCCTCGTGTCGCGCTGGCTTCCGGGTAGAGTGTTCTTTGTCGTCTGAGTCAACATCCATGATGTCTCCGTCTTTGTGCGACCTGTGGGATCTGTGGGATCTGTGCGACTTGTGTGATCTGTGTCGGTGGTGACGATCCTTGCCTTCATCGCCGTGGCCGTCCTCGATTCTCCGTAGTGCAGCTTCGATCTCCTTCTTCTTCTCGTCGATGAGATACTCCTTCATGGGATCTTCGTCGTCATGATCCCGGATCAGCTGCTCGAGCTCGCGCTCTTCTGGCAGCATCGGCCGTTCTCCTTTTCCCACCCGCCGTCGATGGTGTTGCCGTCGCTTTTCAGTGTCGCTTTCTGTCTCGTACTTTCCATCGCCGTCCGTTTCGCTGTTCCCGCCTGCCGTGGCGTCCACGATGCCTTCTCGCCGCCGGATGTCCTCCCACCCAACCTTATACTCGTCGAGGTCCTCGTCATCACGCGCCTTGTAGCGGGCGTGATCCACGTGTATCAAGCGACCAGATATAGAAGCACCGCCAAGGTTGTCTACAGCTAAATCGGTGCTGCGCTGGTCCTCGTACTTGAGCCAGCCAAACCCCTTGCTTTTTCCCGTTTCGCGATCGCGCGCAAGCTTGAGGAACACGGGCTCGCCGTACTGTGAGAATATAGTGATCACGTCACCCTCCGAGAGCTCGAATGGGAGGCCGCCAAAGTATACAAAGGCAGTGTCGCGATAGTCGGTATGCCAGGAGGCCTGTGGAGAGCTGGAAGCACATGTCAGCAGAGGGCGAGACTTCCTGGGACCTCCCGCTGTACAGAAAGCCGGAACTTACATTCCCTGCTCAAGCTCCTTTTTGTTGAGCTCTTGGATCTGCCGTATTTTATTCATCGTGCCGGTGTATTCGTCAAATCGCACCTTTGTCTGCAGTCAAATTTTCGTGAAGCTCTTCGTTTGAGGCCCTAAGGCTATCTCGCATAAGGCACGTGACTGGAACCATAACCATCCTTGTTTCGGAGTCCGGGGTAATTACATATAGCCTCAGCAGATAAGATACATAGGAGGTGCCTCGTGCTCGTTCTCTCTCTCTGGTGTTCACATGCAAAACACACGAACCTGTGTCCTTTAAAGCTGTTGCACCAGGCAAATGACATGCACGTCTATTCATATATGCAGGTGTATCTTAGTCCACCAGGGTAAAGTTGAGATATTCCTGCACTATAGCTTTAGCGCCTTCACACCGGCGCCAGCCTGCTTTGTTCTCTGAAGCGATCGCATTAGCTTATTTAAAGAGCCAACGATTGGGCGCTCGGCAGGTGGGGGTTCTGGGCCATGACTTCCATCTTCAGTCTGCCCCTCCAGTAGCTGCTGTTCTTTGCCCAATAGTTCCTTGCAGCTCTCAACCCTTGGTCGTCTCCAGTCTTTTCCTACAGTAAGGCTCTTTCTCTATGCTCTGCAGTGAACCGGCTCTCGCATCGCTTGTTCTTGCGACTACGTGGTCTTGCGTCATAGTCACAGCTATCCTGCTGAGTCTGTCATAGTAGCTTGCAGGAGGGGCAAATCCACAGCGCGCCTTTATTACGCAATCTCCCTGGCGCATAAAACGAATCACAGCTGTTTTGAAAACAAAGAACCGGAGCTTCTGCTCTTGTCGAGCGACTCTGGCCCCTGGCCTTACTCACACACTCCCAAGACACTTCTTTCCAGATGATGGCAGCACAGCTACAGCGGGCCGGCGGGGCTGCGTCTTCTGGTGCTTCTGGGGTGGCATCCGGCTTGGCCGGGGCTGCTGCCACAGCTGCTGCAGCAACCGACATGCCGATGCCTGCGACGTCAGAAGAGCCGCCTCTGTGCAGCCGTGTCAGTGAGAGCAGCAGCCCCTATGTGCGCGCACAAGCGAACACGCCAGTGAACTGGCAGCTTCTCGACCAAGAGGCCATAGACCGTGCAAAGAGAGAGAACAAGCTGATCTTCCTCAACATCGGCTTCCTTGCCTGTCATTGTGCGTCCCTCACGATCATGTCTGCATCCGTGGGTGAAGACGGCCGCTAACTGCCACTTCGTAACACAGACTGCCACACGACGACGCAAGACTCCTTCTCGAGCCCTGCCGTTGCAGAGATTCTCAACACGTCGTTCATCCCTATTGTCGTCGACCGAGAAGAGCGGCCCGACATCGATGCCATCTACTGGAACTATCTGCAGCTAGTTAACAGCAGCGCTGGATGGCCCATCAACGTCTTCCTTACCCCCGAACTGGAGCCGGTATTTGGTGGGACTTACTGGCCTGGACCGGGGTCCGAGGGCAGCGTCCGGGATGGGCAAGAAGACGGCGGCGAGGACGAGATGATCGGCTTTCTCGGTATCTTGAAGAAGCTCCGCCAGTCGTGGACAGACCGCGAGGCGCAGTGTAGAGAAGAGGCCAGAGAGACTGTGGTACAGTTGCGGAAATTTGCAGCGGAGGGAACACTCGGACCCAGAGGACTGCTCAGGCCGACCGTTGCCGAAGGAGCACCATACCTCTCACGCGACCTAGACCTCGACATTGACCAGCTCGACGATGCGTATACCCAGCTGAAGAAGACTTTCGACCCCGTGAACGGTGGTTTTGGTGTCGTCCCCAAGTTTGTCACGCCAGCAAAGTACAGTTTCCTTCTGAAGCTCGGCAGCTTTCCCAACGTCGTGCAAGGAATCATTGGCGATGCCGAGGCCAAAAACGCCGTGCAGATGGCCCTTTTCACCCTTCGAAAGCTCCAGGACAGTGGCTTGCATGACCATCTCCGCGGCGGCTTCTCGCGTGCCAGCCATACAATTAACTGGACATTGCCACACTTTGAGAAGCTCGTCCCTGATAATGCGCTGCTCTTGAGTCTCTACCTGGACGCCTGGCTGTATGGACTGCGCACTTCTGGAACGGGGGCAAAGGGTACCGATGCTGAGTTTGCAGATGTAGTGTACGCCCTTGCCGACTACCTCTCGAGCTCGCCGATCCGGCTGGAAGGCGGCGGCTTTGCAAGCAGCGAGGCTGCCGATTCATACTACCGGAGAGGCGACAATCACACGCGCGAGGGAGCCTACTACGTGTGGACGAGGCGGGAGTTCGATGCCGTCGTGGGCGGACAGAGGAGCGAGAACGACCTCGACACGCGCGCGGCAGCAGCATATTGGAATGTGCTAGAGCACGGGAACGTCGACCGAGAAGACGACCCCAACGACGAGTTTATCAACCAAAACGTGCTTTACGTGAACAAAGACGCGTCAGAGGTGGCGAGACAGTTTGGCATCTCACGCAGCGACGTGTTGCGGGTTGTCAAGACATCCAAGAAGAAGCTTGCAGCACATCGGGAAAAGGAGAGGGTGCGACCGGCTGCAGATAGAAAGGTGACTGTGGCCAACAACGGCGTCGTGATCGCGGCACTTGCACGAGTCGGAGCTGTGCTCGTGCACGGCGGCTTTGACCCGGCGAATGGCGAAAAGTACATCAGTGCAGCACGGTCAGCGGCCAGATTTATCAAAGCAAACCTATGGGACGTTCAGGACAAATGCCTCTTCAGAACGTACAGCTACGGGCAGAAGGGAACGAACTGCGGATTTGCCGAGGACTATGCTGTATTGATCGAGGGTCTGCTGGAACTCTACGAAGCGACGGGCGAGCTAGAGTGGCTGCAATGGGCAGATCAGCTGCAACGTGAGCATTTCTTCCCTCATGACAGGCTCGGGCTCGTGGATGCTGACAGACGGCTTTACAGAGAGGCAGATTGAGCAGTTCTACGATGGCGTGGATATGCCACCCACCAGCAGCCACTCGGCCAGCGGAGGCTTCTACCGCACCAGCGAGCACGAGCCGTTCAACATTCTGCGCATTAAGGACGGCATGGATACCACGCTTCCTGCGACGAACGGCGTGGCTGCATCCAACCTTTTCCGGCTCGGCAGCCTGCTCGGAGACGAGGAGTACTCACATCTGGCCCGCGAAACGATCCACTCGTTCGAGGTCGAAATGCTGCAGCACTCGTGGCTCTTCCCGACGCTGCTCTCCCAGATCGTGTCTGCTCGACTGGGCGGACTCCAGTTTGCTTCTGTGGCAGCTGCACCGTCAGCAGCGGATCCAGTAGTAGCAGAGTACTTCCGGCGGCCTCGTGCGGGACTGTGCAGCTTGCTTTACGTCGCCCCTGTGGAAGCAAACGGCACGGACGACGCGATGTCTTGGCTGCGGGCCCGAAACCCTGCTCTGGCTGCTTTGCCGACACATTTGGGTGGAGGAAGTTATGTATTGCAGAATGGCACTTGGCGAAAGGCAACACTGATCGATCTGACGCAAACAGACGAGGCCAACGAATCAACATAGAGAATGGAGATGGATGCAGGGGAGAAGAGCAGAGGAGATGGATATGGCTTGACATTTTCAGAGGACTTGTAGGTAGGAGTGCGTGCGTGAAGGAAGCGCGTTCTGTATGTTCTTTTGGTATATTTGATCCGCCCCGGAGAGAAGCAAGTGAAAGAGAAAGACAGAAAAAAGACAAAAAAGAAGATAAGAAACAGAGCAACACACGCTCGTCCCTCCGATCCTGGTCCAACCATGCACAAACTGCTGCTGCCCGCTGCTACTATGACAACATGAGGGGGAAAGGAGGGACTGTAATGTATTTAGTATTCAGAAGAAGGGGTCCGACGAGAGTTCAAGTCTTGCCAGCCTGGCTCTGCCGGCTCATCAGGCCGGCAAAGAAGGCCGACATCTTCTCGGTGTCGACATTCTCGGATGCTCGCGGAGCCTCGCTGCCGATGGTGACCGTCTCGACATCTGCTGCATCGTCGTTGGAGCCAAATCCGTGACGGTTCTGTGCGGCGGTCAGCAGGAGAGACTGCGAGTACGAAGACGACAGAGGAAAAAATAAAGACGGAAACACAAAACACACCTTGATGCGCTCCAGCATGTCGTCGGCGTCGACCTGGATGCCGCCAATGTTGAACTGCACGGGCCCGATGTGGCTGCTGATGACCTCGGCCGGGTCGCCGCCGGCACCGCCGTCCGAGCCGAGCGAGGAAGACGAGAGCAGGCCCATGGGGGCAGCCGATCCAGAGAGCGAGGAAGAGGGGCCCCGTGCACCCTTGACAGCTTCCTTGGCCTCTTTTTCGCGCTTGGCATCGTCCTTTTGGCGCAGCTGGTCCAGCAGTTTGAGCTGCTCGGCCAGGAAGCCCTGGACGTCCTCGGTCTCGACCTCGAGGTGGGTAGTCGGGTGGGCAGCCTGGCCGGCGAGCGAGAGGGCATCCAGGCCGGGATCACGAATGGTGCGCTCGTACTGGGCCACGGCCGAGTCTGGCGAGTCTTGGAAGTCGTCGCCGTCGTCGCCGTCCTGTAGCCCGGTGTTGTTGTCGTAGTAGTACTCGCTCGCGTCGCCGGAAGACGGCTCGTTTGCGGCCGGGTCGCCGTCGTGGCGTGCACCTTCGCCTGCTATCCTCGTCCGCTCGTCCTTGCCGTTGGTCCGCCTTGGTGGAACGGGAAAGGGCCGCTGCAGGTCCTTGGACCAGCCCTCGCTCACCTTCTCGACGTCGAAGCCCTCGCGCACGACCAGGATCTTGGTCCACGAGTCCCAGTTCGACGGCACGATCACTTCTGTCCGCTTGATCACCTCAGGCTTGAGCGGCTGCCGCTTGAGCAGCGACGTCACGCCGAGACAGGCATGGACGAGCGTCGGCAGCTCGGACGGCACGTCGGGCGTGGTGTAGATGAGCGAGGCACCGTCTGCATCCGAGGTCAGCATCGCTACCACCATCTACCCTCTGCAGGACAAGAGGACAACGCACGTTTGACCAAGACAGTCCGCAGATACTGAAGCACCAGATCGAATTCGTCGTCCTTCCAACCTTGTGTCTTTTCGAGTATATCGGTCTTCTCGGACTATTCCGGCGGATTAGCGGCGAGCAAAGGGCCAAGGGCAAACGAGCGACCATCGAACAAGGCCCCGGAAGCTTCTCACGTTCTGACACACGACACACAGCGGCAGTCCCAGCGCGTCCTCCCACTCGCCCGGCCCAGGCGGCAGGACGTCAGCATCGACCGTGGCAGTGGTGCCGTCCAGGTTGACGGGCCCTCCGCGACCACGCTCACGCCACCGCATCATGGCGTCTTCCATGACGCCCTTGCACTCGGCGCTCAGCGAGACCAGCACGGTGCGCAGCAGCAAAATCCACTCGCGCAGCTGGCGCAGCCACAACCACGGCTGCGACCAGTCGAGCAGGATGACGATCAGCGTGTTGGATATGGACTCGGGCGTGAGGAGCGGCTGGATGAGAGAGCCAAACGACGGCGACGGCTTCGAGAGGAGATAGAGGGAGATGCGGGCAAGGATATCTGCAAAAGCATGAGCATGGGCGCAGAACAGGTCAGCAAGAAGCCCGGCAGCAACGACATACCTTCCTGGTCGGCATCCAAGACATCATAGTATGTGTAGCCCAGTGCGAGACTGTTGGCAACAGGCGGAAACTTTTGCTGGCGGTCCAGATTGCGCCGCAGCTGGTTGTGCGAAAGCGACTCGAGGAACTCGCGTTGCGAATCGACCGTTCCGCCTGGCAGAGCAGCAAAGATTAGCCTTCGTTTCCGGGAGACGGAGAGCGAAGCAGTCCACTCACCCAATACTAGCAGATTCCGCTCCGGCAGCCGACGGGCGCTGGCCACCGACTCCAGCAGGGATCCCCAGAGGTCCTCCTTCTTCTTGTCGGTGTCGGATCCAACCGACACAGACGTGTATGACGAGAACCGGTTCGTGTTTGTCATGATGGCTGGGGTCGCGTCAATGCGCAGGCGAGCAACTGCAAGCGCATAAAGAGCGGGGCTTCTTGTGGTGCTGTCACCGTCTGGATGCCGTCTATCGGGACAGCCGGAGTCTGGGGACAATCAGAGAGACACAAGATCACAAGAGGCCGGAAGCAGAAGCTGATCCCTGCGCTGCAAAGGTGGGGGCGGCTGGAGTGCCTCGGACAGCGCGGCAGGAGCGCCGAAGTGTTTTTCTCTAGCAGTGCAGTCGATCCCTGGACAACCGCGCGGCGTCGGCCGTGCTGGTCGTGATATCTCGGTCGGGAGAGACGACGGGTGCGGCGGCTGCAGCAGTTCTGGCAGAGAGCAGGCCGGTCAACGGAGTCGATGCGCACAGGGAGGAGGGGGACAGGCCAGAGGTGCAGGTGGAGAGCCCGACGATCTGCTGTGTCGGCACGACAGAGTGAGAGTGCAGGTGGGTGGAGAATGGCGGCGTGAATTGTGTGAGTGTGTATCGGGCTATGCAACCGAATGAAGCTTTTCATGTCTCTTTCGGCCCTGAAATTCCCCTAACAGGCCCAAACGTGCAGCAGGACCAAGTGGGTCGAGCAGGTTGCCTTTCTGAGCACTGCTCCCTCGTAGGTCGGCCCGCGTTGGCTCCGTGCCCCACCAAAGGAGAAAAAGGAGCTGTAAGAGGCGACGACGGCGTCTCGTTCGAGATGGCCTCCTTTCTGTGGTGTCCGTTATCCGCAGTGCGAAATCGGTCCTGTTTTGCACGTGTCTACAATTCGCTCCTCCCTGTTCTGGCTTGATGGTTCCTGCCCTCCGTTCTTTCCTAGCCAGCTCTCCATACGGCTGTCTATCTGTCCTTCCACTTCTTATCGTAGCATCGAGACGATGTTTGACCAGTGCTCATTTCGTGCATGGATGGATCCGGTGATAAAGACATGTCGGGTGTCTGCAAGCCATTACCACAATTGCTGCTGCCAAAATGCCGCCAGTCTGACAGAAAGCACACCATCTCACCAAATCCGGCTGGCTTGACCTGCTGCGGCAAAACGCCGGCACCGGGATTATCAGCGATCAATCCATTCATACAGAAGCACCGGCCCTCGGCAGAAACTCGAGCCTGGAGAGCAGAGCGAACAGAACGGTAAAGTTGCACAACCGTCGACATGGCAGCGACAGCAGCAACAACGCAGCCGAAGACGGCCTTGAAGATCGTCTTCGGGGCCATGACTCTAGGCCGAGAGGGTAATCACTAGTCGAACAAGGAAGCCATGCCCGCCGGCCGTCCAGCGCGATGCTAACCGACCGTGTAGGTGTCGAGCAGACGCGCGTGCACAGCTTGCAGGGCGCCGCCGCCATCCTGGACACGTTCCAGAAGCACGGGTACAACGAGGTCGACACGGCGCGGGTGTACGGCGACGGCAGTTCGGAAGAGTACCTCGGCCAGCTAGACCTGGCAAAACGCGGCATCGTGCTGGCCACCAAACTGGCGCCGGGCACGATCGCCAGCATGGCGCACGCGTACACGCACCGGCCAGCCGAGCTGCGGGCGGCGCTGCTGGACAGCCTCCGGGCGCTGCAGACGGACCGGGTCGACATGTGGTATCTGCACATGCCTGATCACAGCGTGCCATACGAGGACACGCTGCGTGAGGTGGACAGTCTGCACCGGCAGGGTTACTTCCGCCGCTTTGGGCTCAGCAACTACGCCGCCTGGGAGGTTGCTCAGATCGCCGAGACGGCCATCCGCCACGGCTGGAAGCGTCCGGACGTCTACCAGGGCGTCTACAACGGCCCGCACCGTGCTGTCGAGCCCGAACTGCTGCCGGCTCTGCGCCACTACGGCATCGCCTTTTATCTGTACAATCCGCTGGCCGGTGGCCTGCTGACGGACCGCTACCGGCGTGAGCAGCCTGGCAGCAGCAGCGACGCCGCCATCGATCCCGGCAGCCGCTTCGACCCGACCAAAAATCAGGGCGCCAGCTACCGTGATCGCTACTGGAATGACGCTTACTTTGACGCCCTGGATGTCGTCCGCCCCGTGGCCGCCCGTCTTGGCATTCCCACCGCCGAGGCCGCTCTGCGCTGGGCCAGCCACCACAGCCTGCTGGCCCGCGAACACGGCGACGCCATCATCATCGGCGCCAGCAGCCAGGCCCAGCTGGAGCAGAATCTCACCGCGCTGGAACAGGGCCCGCTACCCGTCGAGCTGGTCGAGGCTTTTGACAAGGCCTGGCTGCTGGTCAAGGCCGTCGCCCGGCCCTACTTCCGTTGAGAAGAGGAGAATAATGGTCAGGAACGTTTCAAACGAGCAAGGAAGACCAGAGAACTTTAGCACAAACCGTTGCCACAGGAAAGCTTCATGACCAGAGAATTTAAAGTTGTGTATTTTCTCCTAGAAGTCACAGCCAACGCCAGCTGCCTAAAGTGTCACGTGTATTCAACACACACCAAATTAACCTCTCACTCCAGCCAAAGCTAACGTTCTCCCGACACTTGCTAACCGAACAGTCCCAGAGGCCAGTCTCCTGGGCTGCCTCGCTTCCACCTGCTTTCCCTCGTTTCGACATTCCTATTCCGACACGGATGCCAAGGTCCTCTACACCCCCACCTCTTCTGTGCTCGTCTCATTGTGCGCTTATGCTGTATCACCATAAACATCCAAATTAACTCCTCACCGCCAGAATAAAACCAAATTATTGTAGGCAACACAATCGCTCTGTACGGAGACGATCATGCAGAGCCAAGAGGACAAGAAAATTGCCGTGGCACACTGTTATCTGTCCAGTAATACTGTATCACCCCCATTCCCCCCACAGAGGCAGGCTTGGCGCTTATATATTCATCACACCGCAACTACTCTTAAGGTGCGTCTCACGTCTCACGACTTCTTCAGGGACAATCATGAGACCATTGTTACCTGGGCTATCTGCATGGCCATGTAGCGCTGCATAGGTTTTGATTACTCTCAGCTGTTTACGTACTCGGGGCAAATCCTCCAGACTGCATGGCACTCAATAGTCTCTCAGATCGATCAGAAAATCGTCTTCAAGAGGGTAGGGTGGCAAATGTTTGCCGTCCCCATCGGCATCTCCGGATTCCTTATCCGTTCCAGGCGTCTGGGCAACTGCAGAGGAGGAGGACCTGGACCGCATCCACTCAGCAACTTCCCAGCCGTCCCCATACACATCCACTGGTCGTTCTACAGGGACAGCTCCAGCTTGGCCACCACGCTGGTTCCAGTCATGTACGCGATGCAGACTGCGCTCAATCTGGCCCGCCGAAGGCTGGCCTGCATGTATAGGATAGCCCTTGAGAGCATTGAGCTGTTCCTCCATCTCTGCCTTGCGCGGGCAGTCCAGCTTCCTATGTCCGTCCATCTTCGGATCGCCACAAAGCGGGCACAGATTGTCGCGAAGCCGTCGTGTGAGCTCGCCCTTGGATACCCTGCGCATGAGGCGGCCAAGAGCACAGGAGCTTCGGACGTGGCCGACGCCGCTGCAGTACGTACAGCGGCCTGACTGCTGCCGCCGCCGAAGCTCTTCTCTGGACAGTCTCGTGCAGACACATTCTCCAGCGCTGGATGCCACGTTGCTGCCCACCTTGTCACCCACCTGTTCGGCCGTCTTCCTCGTTGTCACCCTGGCCTCCTGCACGTCTGCTGGGGCTCTCTCCAAGCATTGGCCAAGCTGGGCCACCACTTCTTTGGACCTGGGAAAACGCACCGCTTCACTCCGCGGGCGCAGCTTCAGGAGGTCCGTTTCCCTGCGGCCATGGAGGTTGGTCTTGGAACTGTCCTGGGTGTGCCGAGCCATTGTTGTCGATTTCGTCAGGTGGAAGTGTTGTTTGCTGACTATGGGTAGACCAGGGTAAACGGGGACATACCGGTATCTTTATGCTGTAGATTTGAAGAGTCAATGGTGTCATTGAAAGGTTGTGCTACGGTGAGAAGGGTCGAGGTGACGAGTTGCCAACGCAATCCTTTGCAGAAAATGTTGAGCGGATAGCAGGACGCATACGCATCGCTTGTGAACAAGCACAATGTCCAGAAGCTTAGCCATGGTCGTCTGTTTTCTCTCCTCTGAACAATAAAGGTGACAAGTAGGCCCCCTTTGGAGGTGCGGAATAACCAGGCTTGCTCGCAGTGCCCGTTCCCGTTCGCCTTCATTTCCTCAGACACACAATTGTCCGAGAGCTTGGCCTTCTGACCTACCGCCTTCCCACGTTCTTCTTCTGCTCCGGGGTCTCGCCTTGTGCTATCCACGGGATATTCTAGATACTTCTGGCGTTGCAACCTTCCCCCTTGTTCAGGCGTCATGGGTGCTTCATAGCCCCTCTTTCGACACGGAACCACAGTCGAGCACTATCGACAACAACGAGAGGAAGGTGGATTCTACCCCTACCGAAATTGAGTCTTTTTACACACACACTTTCCGCGGCTTATGCGGATATGAAGCCGTGAGGTCTAAGCACGGATGAGAGCCATATGCTTCGTACCTATATCGGCTGTGATATTGTTTCTCAAGCATATGGTTGAAGAATCCTACTTTCCAGTCCGCCTCGTATGCAGAGACACATCTACACGGAAAGCCACATAGCGGCCAGTCAGAGAACGCGTAATGCTGACGAAGAGACAAGATTGCCGAACCCGATTTGCAAATAAGGGCGGATGGCTGTCTGACCGGAGATAGAGCGGCCTCGAAACAGAAGCTGGACCACCCTCATTTCTGCAAATCCTACCATGTATGAAGCCCATTTCTTTTTCTTTATCTTTATGTTTTTCGTTTCCAATTTACTGTTTTTCTTTTATTTTTCCAAAGCACCGCAAATTTGTCCGATAACAGCGTTAACGTTGTGCCGGTGAGTCCTAGAGCCTAGTAGGTGGCACCTTACGAAAAGGAAGGCGCGACCCCACACAATTTCGTATGTTACAGAAGGATCAAGATTTGGATCTCAATGTGTTTGACGATCTATGATCATCCTTTCTCTCCAGCAAACTTTCTGCTTTCGCAGACACCCATTTCTTCTCGTGGGTCGCTCCAGAGGCATAATGCATGCCACATCGCCTCCAACCACTCATCCTCACGCCATGCCATGCCTGTCACACGTCTAGCTTCTGTCTAATATGCACACCTATAATTTCGTCACCGCTACTGCTTGGAAGATTCTGCACAATGTAAGATAGTAGACGGAAAGGCGCGTCAAGCACATCTTCCGCGACACCAGTTATATACCCGTTGCCGCCGTCGTCGTTGTTATCGTTACAGCAGTGCCCCCTTCCCTTCTCTTTTAGGCTAGCTTCCACGGCTCTCTTTCTTTTTCCCTTCGGCTTCTTCTATTACAGGTCGAAGAATAATGTATCCCGTCGCACAACGTATATTGCGTTATGCGAATGACCCTCTGAGAGCAGATCCTTGCGACATTGAATTCGTCACCATATTCTCGACATATTGACACCCCTGCAGACGGCCACCATATTTATCCGCTCTTTTTATATATCGTTGCTCCCTTGATTCCAGTTAACAACCTTTAGTGGCTGGAAACATGCTTTCCCGCATTGCTTTTGTGTCGTTTCTGTGGTTCGGCTGTTACGAGTGCCAAAAAACGGGCCGGTCAATGTTGAATAAATCAGTCGATCCGACAGGTCCAGTTGTTCAAAACTATCAAGGCACACCGCAGCGTGCAAACAACCTGCCCAACCGAGGCTTTCAGCCAAGCATCACCATGTTGCATTGGGCGAGCAGAGGGGTCTGGATGAACAGAAAGTATGGGAGAGGCTAGATTGTGCAGAAACCAAGCGGCGCAGACGCAGCATCGCCTTCGCCCTTGTTCTCGCTTTCGATGTCTCTCTGTGAGAGCGCTTGGTCTATGCTTATAACTTTCTTTCAAGGCCTGCGAGGATAGGTGAAATGCTGTAAGTCAACAGATACCCATTCGACGGCATCGGAAAGCAGTCTATCCGTCTCGGGGAGTACAAATGAGTCACTGAACGATAGCAATGCCAGGGTAGTCAAGTCAGCTGGTCCTGAGACGGGAAGATGCAGAACAAGGGCGTAGCTGAGGATGCATATGAGCCCGTCGTGTGGCCCTCTGTGCCACACGTTCAGTATTCTGCTGGTTATAGATTTACGACTCTCTCGCTGTTGGTCTTTGTGCCTAGATTGATATCTCAGGCAAGCAGAGCACTCTCACCATTTCCCCTCGTCTGAGCACATCAGGATTTCACCATTCTTTGCAGAAGTAACCTCCATATCTTGCCCATATTTCCTCTAAGTCATCCCTTCACACCTTTCTCTCATCTTACACTGAGGTACAAACGCCGAGGCTTAAACTCGGAACATTCCGCACATCAGCCATACACAACCAAACAGGACTGGGAAACTACCGTCCTTGCCTTTGTCAAAAGCAGTTAGTCTAACGTCCTTCTACATGCTGTTTGCTGTTATCTAACTGTATATACTTATAAGTCAATACCCCGTGATATTCGGAAAGCCAAGGCTACATCTGCGACTCCTACAGGGGTGTAAAAGGTTCTTGTCCCAAATATCACCCATCCTGCCTAGTTTGCAATACCAGCATATCAGCAGTGAGGTTAAGACGGCACTTACAACCTCTACCAGCTATGCTCATCCGCGATTTATGCCTCCCTGAGTCTGCTGACTCGCCGACATCTTCAGAGAGCACTTGTGAAAGCATTGCTACTACCCCCGTGGAGGAGATAGCTACATCAGAGCAGCGCACGAGCAAAAATGGGTTTATTGCCCCGTTCCCCGCCGGCCAATACTTCCGTCCACCAGAGATGGCTTATAGTTTTGGATACGGCGGCGATGGTCGCTTCCTTCCTGCGATTTCAGACTTGCCGCGCCGTCTTGGCCCGGCCGATAATAACTTCAACATAAGGACGTCCCAAGTCTCCCAGATGCATGGCATTCAAAGTACGCCTGTATTTGGATACACAGCTTTCGGTGCCCTGCCTGATTATGAGCGCAAATGGCCGCCGGGGGGACCACCTCATAGGATGCCAGAGCAAGAGAGACAGCAATATCCTAAAGACCCTTTTGACATTGCACTGCAAATGGCTTCCCAGCGCTGTATCATGGGAAGACAGAATCCGTTTGGCTGGCCGCCAACTGATTCCCAGCAGCATGTTTTCCAGCAACTGCTTCCCAAGAACCCCGGTACACCGAAGCCAGCAGAAAGAAAACAGGCACCGCCTCGGAAACAACCTTCCAAACAGAAGGCTCCCCGGAAGACCACCCCCAAGAAGGCACCCTCCGAAAAATCGAAACCTCCTAAGAAACAGGTACAGAAGGGAAAAGCCAAAGAGCAGTCGTCCGAAGTTTCACCTCGCCTTGAAAAACGTCCCCAGGAGATATTGCAGGAGGGAAGCCCCCATGAGCTTGTTTGTCTATCCCAGAGGCCGTTGGGCCGACTTAGTATCAATCAGGAACTTCTTCCAGAGGAAGCTCCCCCTCAGAGATCCGCTTCTACAGAGCCAAGCCCCTGGAATGTAAACCCTCAGGGGTCTCGTCCCCCAAACCAGCGGTCTCTTTCCGAAGGAATGCAGCCTATAAACCCTCTTTCTCGAACCACTTCCAAACAGCACATCTTACACCCGCCTGCGCATGAACTGAGCCCACCTGATGCTGACCAAGTACATTATGATGAAGATATAGATGCAGCTGATTATGTAATCGATCTGACCCAACAGTCTGAAACTGAAGATGCGCCCAGTGGGCAGCGTATGAGCGACGAGGAGTTAGTGGAACGTTACCGGCAAGAGGCATCCAAGAAGAGGCCAGCAGATGACGACAGCGAGGACGATGAAGAGGAAGACGACGAGTCTAGACGCCTTCCAGCCAATTGCGGGATCGGGTACGCTTGTCCATTCTACAAGCGCAATCGTCCTAAGTATTTCCCCAAGCGTGCCTGCCGGTCAGCAGGATGGCCTAGTGTCCATCGAGTGAAGTAGGTTGAAGCTGCGAGCGAGCTTCGTGCGACAAACAGGCAGAAAGCTGACACGTGATCAGGGAGCATCTGTATCGTCACCACATACATATCGCCTGTGACCGATGTGCGTCGACGTTTCCGAACCGAGACGAGCTGCGGGACCATCTTCGACAGCAGACTCCATGCAAGGTTTCCGTCCGCAAAGTGGCAGAGGATGCAGGGTTTGGCATTGAAACCGAGAAGAGGCTTCGCTCGCGGAAAAAGTTGGAGGGCGACAGCGAGAGCGACAAATGGGCGCATATGTTTCGCATACTCTTCCCAAGCTACGAAGGCAAGCCAACGCCATCGCCAAGTAAGTATCCAGCTCGACCGTCTCTTCAACCGAAGCTGCCATCATGCCGGTTCCTAACCAGTCCAGTTGTCGTCGATGTAGAAGCAGCGATGTTTGCCCGTGATCTTGTTGCTGCGAAGCTGCAGGAAGCGGGGGATTCTTGTACCTCACTCTTTGCGACGGTCCACGAGAGCATTATCAATGCCTTGAACATGGTGACGGCGGTCGCCGAACAGCAACTGCGACTAAGTGAAGGGTCAGCGGATGTAGATTCGGGCGAGGCGCTGGTTTCTGATGAAACGCAGGCTTTGTACGAGTCATCCATGACGAAGCTGGCGGCGTTGGCAGAGGAGTTCGAGGCCGCCATGGTCTCTCTTCCGTCTTCTGCTGGCGAAGGCCGCTCAAAGAAGCGTCTCAGGAAGGAAGAGTAACGGAAAGCGGAATGAAATGGAAGCCAAAGGCCAGGAAGGAGGATAGGATGAGATGTCACAGCAGTTGACCAACGATGTTCATGCGGCAAATTGTTTTCTCTTTCCTTGAGTCGTATATTTCCTTAGTCTTGAATATTGAATATAGCTAAACAGAATGCACCAAGGGGATGCTTAAAGATGCAAGCGAGCTTATACAGACAGCCTTGGCAGGAGGCGCTTGGACATCTCCAGGGCCTCGGCGGCGAGGTTCTGGCAGACGTCGTGCAGTCGGTCGAGCGGCACACAGAAGACATCCTGGACGAGCTCACCGTCTTCTAGAGCGGGATGGGGATTTCGGTTCTCGGGAAGACGGCTGTCGACAGCCAGATGGACGATGCGCAAATCGTTATTTCCAAAGCCGGGGTCGGCAAACATGGTGAAGACAGCGGCATTGGCGGCAATGGGGACACCGACAAGGCCAGTCTCTTCTCGCAGCTCACGCACAGCAGCCTCTTCAGCCGTCTCGCCCTCGTCAACGAAGCCGGCCGGCAGCTCGATGACGGTGCGGCCGACGGGAGGGCGGAACTGCTTCTCGAGGACGATGAGCGACTCGTCGGCGTCAGTGCCACCCTTTACGATGGCGATGATGTCGACACCGTCAATGTCGCTGCCTAGAGGCCGAGTGGTGCGTTCGGCAGATTCCCAGACGCGTCTGGTTCTTAGGCCGTCCTCATAGGTCACCCTAAAGAGCGATGTGGGGGGCCAATGTAAGCTTATGGCTGGGCTGGGTGATGTGCGGAGGTCGTCTTACTTGACTAGCTTGGTCCATTTTGCCTCACTGGCCGGCTGTGGGGATGTGTTAGCGGAAAGCGATTGTGAAATGAGGCGGAAGAGGCAGACATACCAATGGTTCCCTTATCAGGACTCGCGGCTCTGCAGCAGACATGGTTGTCGCCCTGGCGAGAAAGTGCGAATGGGGACAGGATGGAGCTGCTATGTACCCCACTTCAGGCCGAGCAGTTGCCTAATCGGTCGTGAGGCAGGGGCGTTGGCCAACGGCCTGCAGCGGGCTTGCTATCAGCCCGTCCAGGCAGCCGCGTTTCGAGGGCTTGGAGTACTCGTATTCAGCTGTCTGCCCGTTTCGCGAAATGTCGATTGATGAGTTCATCTTCTCGCAATCTCTCCGTGATTCCCTCACTTCCCTCACAAAGCCCGTGGAGATCGGCTCGCCCGATTGCGTATAATCATTGGTCCTTACGCACACCTCTTTCGGACGTGTCTTTCTCCCTTGGCTCTATACCCTTTTTTGTATCTCGCCTTCACTATGCTGTCCACAGACGAGACGGCACCGCTGCTGGGAACGGCAGAAGATGCTCGGGCAACTGCAGCGATTCCGTCGGACAAGGACGACGACAAGGGCTGTCGCCTGCCACGCCTCACCACGCGCCAGCTCGCCACCTTGCTGACGGCGCTGGCGATCTTCCTGGCCGAGCTGACCTTCAACACAATGATGCCGGCCATCAACAGCATGATCGAGGAAATTCTCTGCCGGCAGCTCTACGGCGACAGCAACACGACAGGTGACTGCAAGGGCGACGATGTGCAGCGCCGTCTGGCCGCCATGCGCGGCTGGCAGACTGCAGGCGAGTGCATTCCAGGTATGGTTTCTGTCTGTCTCTGACTTCTGTCCATCTGTGTGACTCCCTGTCCCTGACTGACGGACCAGCCATCCTCTTTACGGTCCCTTACGGCATCATGGCCGACAAGATCGGGCGCAGGCCCGTCGTCCTGCTTGCCTTCAGTGGCCTGCTTCTCCAGCAGGGCTGGTACCCGATTGTCTGTGCGTCTTCTCCGGCCTGTCCTGTAGCCTCTGTCCCCACTCCCATTCACACGTCCAAGACTTCTTCCAAGACACGATGCCGCCCTGGACGATCTACCTCTCTTCCCTCTTCGCCTGCGTCGGCAGCTTCTCGTCCGTCGGTCCCGCTATGATCCACACCATCCTGGCCGACGTCACACCACAGGCCGAACGGGCGTCCGCTTACTTTATCATCGTGGCCACCTTCCTCGTCTCCGACATGATCAGCAGCCCACTTGGTGGCACCTTGCTGCTGTTCGGCAACTGGGCCCCGCTTCTCGTTGGTGTCGCCGCCGCCGTCCTCGCCGTCCTCGTGCTGCTGCCACTGCCGGAGACGCTCGGCTTTGATCAGACCACAGGCACTGTTCAGACGGCTGCAAACAGCACCGACACCGACAGCACAGACGGGTCCTCAGCCAAACAGCCGCTGACCGTGTGGCAGCAGACCGTCCACGTGCTGCGCACCGACGCCCTGGAGACCTGGCGCTTCATCTTCTCCAACCGGCACATCATGCTGCTCACGTCGTCCTTTGTCTTCTTCGTCATCGGCCGCTTCGTGCAGGAGCTGCTGCTGCAGTACGCGACGAAGCGTTACAACTGGTCCTGGAGCCGGGTAAGCCTTCTCTGTTCTTCCCCTTGCTCTATGCCGCTCATCTAACCTCCCTCTCTCGGACAGGCGGCCTTCCTCCTCACCATCCGCAGCATGTCCAACCTGGTGCTCTTCATCGTCATCCTGCCGGCAGCCAGCATCTTTTGCTTGCACCGCCTCGGCATGTCGCCCTTGACCAAGGACCTGGTGCTGGCGCGCATCAGCGGCGTGTTCGCCGTGCTTGGTTCCCTGATGATCGCATTCGCTGTCACGCCTTGGATGCTGTCAATTGGTAGGCGTTTCCCCCGACCTCTTGTTCAAGGACTTACCGGTGGCCGTTAACACTCCGCCCAGCTCTCATCGTGTTCTCCTTGGGCGGCGGCTTCACCTCGGTGTTGCGAAGTCTGCTTAGTGCCTTTGTCGAGTCTCATCACCAGGCCATGCTCAACTCGATTATTGGTCTTTTCGAGTTTTCCGGCCTGATGGTCACCAGCCCCCTACTCTACGGCGCCATGCAACATGGTCTGGAGCTAGGCGGTCTCTGGATAGGCCTGCCCTTTATGTACGCTGCTGGCATCACCAGCCTGGCCGCTGGCATTGCGTTTGCCTTCCAGATCCCCCCGGTGATGTTAGCGCCGGCCAGCGAAGCCTCTGGGGCCGAGGAGGAAGGTGTTGGGGACAACTCTACATGAGAAAATCTGCGGCTGGGAGGATGTATATCACGATTTGGGCTGCTTTTTTAATTTCAGAAAGACATCCGTTATACGACATGGCTACACTACAGCGTCGATAGACTTGCTTTTCTATCGGGCCTGCCCTTGGACAGATATTTCAATGTAGGGCCTTGTTTGAGTTTGGATTTCCGGCTTCCACGAGCCGTATTATACTAGATAAACACATTGGATAAGTATCACGCATTCTGTCATCGACATGGAGCAAGACATCTGCACAAGCAAATGTACAGGACAAGGCACAGAGCGGGTCTTGACGAATCACGTGTTGATCCGTTAAGTGGGGCATCTCTGCCCTTTCTCTAGCTTCCTGCAATTATTAGCAGAAAGGAGGACTCTCTGAAAATACAAGACTATTTTACACTTCGTCGTTCGTCAGGTCTCAGCCCTACTTTAGCGCCACTTCGTACGAAGTACTCCGTACATATGCAAGATACCATTCCAATCAGTACAGGCCTTTTCAATGACTCTTTAATCATAATTTCCCAAATTACGCATATCATGGGCGCGTCATGGCGCTAGGGAAGTGTGCGAGTACAACGAGAGGACGAGTGCTTAGAGGACAATAAAGGGGCTGCATATACTTTCTTTTTGGCCTTTTTGTCTTCTGTTGTTTCCTGGTGTTCGGGGCGGTGAGATGTTGTCTCCCTACGCTGGCATTTCTGCTATGTATGTAAAATACAACCGGGGAGCGATCGCGCCTTCTCTATTGAGATCGTGGGCCATAATATCTTACATACCCCATAGCAATAAAGGCCTTCTTTTGTTGTGGCGGCGGAAGGAGGCAGAAATAAGCTAGCCGAGCGAAAGGCTGCCTGGTAAGAAGAAGAGACTCTCGGTTAACGAGGAAGGTGCTAGGCTGAGATCGCCCGTTGCCTCTTAGCCACGTTGCCTGCGCGGAATTTCCATCTGTGCTAAGTCCTATTGCTTCATGTTTAATTTCCCAAAGGTGCGTGCCAGCCGCAACCATCGCGCCTCTTCGCACCATTCCTGGCACGAACGCTTGGGCCAGGAACGACAGCAGCTGTGACGGCATCGCCAGACCCTAGCTTAGCTCACAGCACAGTGGGCTGAGAGGGGCAGCCAGACTTCAGCTGGCCTGTACGAACTTTTTACTCCAGTACTCCGTACTCCAGTGTCGTTAGAGCGATAACTCTTTACCAGGATCCCGGGTCCGTCTATGCGCCCTTGCTTGGATGAAGCGAAACACCTGTCACCTCCCACATGCTCGTACGGCAGCCGAAGCCGTCTGCGTGACGGAGCATCCGAGCCCACACAGAAAGTCGCCTGACGCCAACAGCGTGACGCGCAAAGTATGCCGCTAGTGGCGCTTGTCAGACCTCTATGGATGCATACGACTGCATATACGGCCCCACGCTTGACCCGGCGCTCAACTGTCTCCTCCTTCGGCTTCCGTCACGCCAACGGGTAACCGGGCTCTAGTCAGGTCCTCCCGAGCAAAGGGAGGCCAGGGGTCACCTATTTTTTTCTTCCTTCCTTTTTTTCTTTTTCTTTCGGGGGGAAGGTTTCTTCTGTCTATCCCTCGCCAGTCTTTACCTCTTCTTACTCGTCCTTCTTCTCGCCAGCCTCTCGCCTTCCTTTAAACCCTGGACCGTTTAGGTTCTGGTTCACATTCCTGAAAGAGGCAGTGGATGTGTCTCAGAGGTCGCAGTATTAGCCTCGACGCGAACCTGGCTGATCGTCACATGCCGATCTCACAACGCCGTCCCTGGCGCATTTCTCCTGCTTTTCATTTTTGCTTCGCTCTCCGCATCTCGTCCCCACTGCTTCACTCGCTTCTGTCCGGCTATTATTGACTCGCCCTGTCTTTCTTTCAGCTGAGCACAATTACAGGCTGCGGACTGCTTCTCACAAGCCCCGTAATTCTTCGGCCAATCTTCCGCATTTTACTTTCCTTTCCACCTTTTTTGTCCTGCCTCCTTCAGCTCCCAACTATAACGGACTATGAATTGACTCTATCCAAACACGTTTTCGCCCAGACGCTTACAACTTACGCCCGGCCAACATCGACGAGCGTGGAACACTATGGGTATCTTTAGTTTTAAGCGTGGAGGCGACAAGAAGAAGTATGTTGGCCCTTGTTTCCGTTATCAGAGGGCTGCACGTTGCTAAACATATACCTTGGATGTGCAGAAAATTGGAAAAAGCTGAGGCACAAAAGTCTCCACTACCGAAACCACCGATTGACCAGAATACTTCCGCCGAAGGCCAGTCCCCCGGCATCCACACCGGTCAAGCCAACAATGGCAACGGCAGCGTCTCCTCGGGGTCGCCCCGGCTGGGCACCACTGTGCGCGGAACAGAATGGACGGACTCCCCAAAGGTGCCTGCACTAGGATCAACACTCGGCAATGCCAGCCTCAGCAGGCTAGATCTGCCGTCGCAGCCTTGGGCTGCTGGCGATGAGCTCGCTCGTCCACGGACAAGCCACGGGTCCGGTCCAAGCGCGAAGCATAATCTCATCGACGACACCTTTGTCAAAGGCAGCGTTAGCCCACGGTCACGGTTACGCAGTGCACGCTCGCAACCCAAACTGAACCAAAAGGAAGCTCAACTTAGTATCGACCAGTCTCCCAGTATACCCAAGTCGCCCTGGTCACCCGTGACTCCTAGCTTTCCAACAGCCAATCCACTAAGCATGCACATCGCCCAGAGCTTGAGTGACAACAATCTCTCTGCCATGTCGTCCTCCACCGCAGATGTGTCGGGGCTTTTCGACGTCTCGTCTCTCAGTGCGAATGACTGCAACGGGTCTCCCGAATCTGTGTCCAGCTTTGCGTCTCCCTCTACGGCCTCTGGAAAAGCAAGGAGACATGGCGCCGACCCAGCATCTCCACTAGCAGCCAAGTCGGCTGCTGTAGTTGCCACGATAGAGTCTGTTGTGGATGAGCGCAGCCCAGAATCCTCCGGATGCCGGGCTGAAGACCAAGCGCCCGGCAGTTTTCAGTTGCAGTTCAGAGCGACAGCAGCAGCAGCAGCAAGGCCACCGGCAGACATGAGGGCGAGAGATATTGCGAAGCAAAAAGACCTCAGCATCAAGGTACCGCGCCGTAAAAGCTGGTCCACAGAGATCAACCAGCTTGAAAAGGCATGGTTAGAGGAACAGCTATCGCCGCGGCTAGCCGCCGAGAAACCGCAACAGCCAGAGCTACAGCAGCAACGGCAGCAACGCCAACCCTTTGTCGGTACAAACGGAAAAGGTCCATCTCCGCATCAGGAAAACCAGGCGCGCAATCCCAAGGAGAAGAGCCAGAACATTGGAAAGATGGGCAGTGTTCCTCCAATGCCGCGAACGGACGGCATGACACCCTCTCTAGCTCTAAGAGACAACGGCAGGAACAACAGAAACGATTCCGCAGCATGCGGGAATATGCCCCATCACGGCTTACGAAGCACTTCGTCTCGGACAAACTTGGCCCGAGGCAGTCCTCGGAGCCCACACGATCAGTACTTTCAACACGATCCCAGGGCTCTTCAGCCCCGACGGGGAAATCCAACACAGCCGCCTCCTCAGCAAGGCCGTCCGCCAGCGAGGGGCCAGTATCCGCCTCCCCCCGGCCAAGTTGATCCTCGTCTACGTCCGAGAAATCAGGGCCCTAGACCAAGGGTGCCTCCGATACCACGGCAAAACCCGTTGGGACATCACGATCTGAATTATCATGGCCCTTTTGGGCAAAATGCGCCAAGGACAAGAGGTCTAGCCAGTCCGCACAGTCCAAACATTCCTTACGGGCCACCCAATTTCCTAAGTGCCCCTGGCACCCATGGGCCTCGTTCTTATGGTCCGCAGCCTCATGGCCCTCCTCGCCACTTCAACGGTCGCCATCCAAACGAAAATCCTGCCGTGCCAGCAAACTATCACATGGGCCCGACTGGTTACCGCTTGATGCCGCATCCGTCCGACAGGAAACAGCCCCCGGCCACAGCCCCAGGCTATATCAACACCTCTTCCCCGCGGAGTCCAGTAGAACCTAGGCAGCCAGGCTTCCACAATGTCAGTGGACCGATGCGTACCTTACAAACGGGACAAGCCGGACCAGCACGCAATGCCCTTCCTCCCCGGGACGCATCTCTTGCGCTAGCCAGGTCCCCTCCGATCCTAGTTCAGGTGCAATCAAACTTTCAAGCAAGCAAGCAAGCAGCTTCTCGGCTACCAACGTCACCAGACGGAGACACTGCCTGTGCACTACCACCTGCAAATCTACCTCCAACGCCGGTTTCCCGCAAGAACAGCTTAGAGACCTCCACAGAAGCAACGGATGATACACATCAAAGCTCGTCATCGCCTAGTTCACAATCCGAAAAGTCGATTCTGACGGAAGACACAATTGGAAATGACACACTAGTTGCACAGAGTGAAGCTGTTAATTCTGAGGCGGCCTCCAGCGTTGAGTCTGCCGGGCAAAATAACGACGACAAAGAGCCATTTTTCGGTCACCACTTCCGTTCTTTCAACGACACTGACTTGGAGGCAACTGTCGAGAAGTATAGAGAAACCAGGTCAGAGGTAGAACCTCAAACTGTGCTTAAGCCCGAAATGGAGCCCGAAGTGGAGACTCAAGAAGAGCCTGAGATTGAGCCCGAAGTACAGCCAAAGACCAAACTTGAATCGGAGCAAGGCAGAGAATTCGGGGCAAAGCTTGAAGAAGGATATGGATTAGAACTTGAAGCTGAACCCGTGGCAAAATCCGAGGCTGAGTCAGAGACAGAGCCCGAGGTGCAGCTTGAATCGGGTCATGGAATGGTAGTTGAGATAAAACCAGAACCAACTCCTCAGCTGCGTATCAGCTTGCCATCTCCAACGGCAAACTGGCCGCTCCCCTCATTAGGCGCACAAATGGTCGCCGAGTCACCTACGAAGTTTTCTCGGCCAGCTACACCATTGGCTCTTACGCCGGTCAAGTCAACATTTGCGAGCAGCAGCTCGACTGACAATACGATCAGCGAAGAAGGGGACGGTGAGAACGATATGAGTCCCGCAAGCAGCGAAATGGGGCTGCCGCCGCCGAGGTCGAAAGCGTTCACTGCCAGCATGTATGCACGAGAGATCGGTGCTGGTCCGTACGCCTTCGACACCGGCGACAACAACACGGCGCTCAGCGCGTACGATCTGGAAACAGCCGGAAGCACTCCATGGCTGCCACCGTTGCGGGAGGACCCAAACGGGGTTTTCCCAGATCCGGTGGCCACGAAGCCAGAAACGATCAGTACGCCGGATATGAGTGCTAGACATGCTGGTGCCTGGGGTGCAGAGACACCAGAAGATGCTCTCTCGCCCGAATCGATCGGGTTGGCAAGAGGGCTATCAATTTGCGCCCCAGGAACCTCGCCGCAGGTGATAATACAGAAGCAGGGGGGACCATCACTGGTCACCGTCGGTCAGGGTGGCCTAAGTCATGGAAACGGGATGGGACTGAGAACGGCTAATATCGGCTTGGCGATTGGGGGACCAGGACGGGGTCAGGCAGGTCAGCACACACATACGGGGTTGGTGGACAGTTTTGGGACCGGGTTTATTTGAAGATAGATTGGCGAATCAAAGAAAGGAAGGTGACGGATGGATGACAGCCTAATGTATATTATTGTGTTCCTGCAACGCCCCGTTACACGGCCAGGCTATCGGATTTTACATGTAAGACGAAGTAAATGGTATTGAAGCTTGATATAATTGAAGATGATGCGGCAGAGGCCGCGCAGTAACATCTCTTGTCCGATATCCTGAGTTGGGTTAAAATTAGGTAATGCCCAGTGATAGATATTGTTGCGGAGAACTGTCTCGTTACACTCTGTAGTGGGGGGACAGGCAAGCCTGGCCTCCAGGCCAATATAGGCCCCACAACTATCTGTTATGTGATTGGCCACTCCTCTCTTTTTTTTTTTTTTCTAGGGGGATTTTTTCGACGTCTATCTCGTCTACAGCGGCAGCTTATATGCTGGACAACGCCTGCCTTTCTGGGTTCTCTTTTCGCCCATCCATCATCTGCTTTTTTGGCTGACAGCATATACCGACGGAAGCAAGTTTTCACGCAGAACGCCACCAGCCTGTGCTCAGCCCTCCGAGCCTTTGGTCAAGCTCGTCTGGACATTACCCTTCCAATTCAATCAGTTAGCGCAAGGCTCATGTTCAGCCTGCACCACGCCGCCGCCTCGACTTCATTCGCATCGTCGCTTCTTGCCCCGTCGATGCACCACAACGAGCCAGATATATTCCATATACCGACGTTTCGCTACTTCTAGGGCGAACGGCGAGCGACTTGAAGTCTTTGCGCTCGCTGCCCCCATCGGCAGAAAGACTACCTCTGGGAGAATTTTCTCAAAATCTATTATTTTTACTTATAGCGAACCGTGATACCATTGTTTAGAACAGCAAAATGGCGAGCCAGGTGGAGACATACAACAAGGGTCTCGAGGAGTACGGAGTGGTCTCGGACACGACGGCGGCCGGCCCGGACAGAGACCTCGAGGGCACGGCGACGACGGACAGCCCGACGGCTCAGCAGGATGCCGTGGTGAGTATCGGGCTGCAGACGCTGGAGTCAAAGCCGGTGCATTGGTACAGCTACCTGAAGACGTGGGACTTTTGGGTCGTGGTGCTGCTGGGGCAGGTGCTGTCGCTGTGCATCACAGGGACCAACACGTTCTCGACGTTCCTGTCGAACGAGGGGACCAACATCCCGGCGTTCCAGTCGCTGTTCAACTACGTGCTGCTGGCGCTGGTGTATGTGCCTATCCTGTTCTACCAGAAGGGATGGCGGTACGTGGTGCACGGGACGCTGTTGCGGGACGGGTGGAAGTTTGTGTGTCTCTCGTTCCTGGACGTGCAGGGCAACTACTTCACGGTGTTGGCATACCGCTACACCAACATCTTGAGTGCGCAGCTGCTCAACTTCTGGTCGATCGTGTGCGTGGTGATCATCTCGTTTGTGCTGCTGCACGTGCGGTACCGGCCCTTCCAGATCGCCGGCATCCTGGTGGCCTGCGGCGGCATGGGCCTACTGCTGGCGTCGGACCACATCACGCACTCGAACGGCGGCCCGACAGCGGACAAGGTCAAGGGTGACCTCTTCGGCCTGCTGGGCGCGAGTCTGTACGGCATCAGCAATGTGTTTGAGGAGTGGTTCGTCAGCAAGCGGCCGGCCTACGAGGTGCTTGCCTGTCTCGGCTTCTGGGGCGTCATCATCAACGGCGTGACCGCGGCCATCTTTGACCGGCACTCGTTTGCGCACGCGACCTGGAACGGCAAGGTGGGCGGCTACCTGACCGGCTACACGCTCATCCTCTTCATCTTCTACACGCTGGCGCCACTGATCCTGCGCATGGGCAGCGCCGCCTTCTTCGACATCTCCCTGCTGACGGGCAACTTCTGGGGCGTCATCATCGGCATCCACGTCTTTGGCGAGACCATTCATTACCTGTACCCGATCGCGTTTGTGCTCATCGTCATCGGTTTGTTTGTCTACTTTCTGTCCGGCAGCCTGCTGGGTGACGCGCGGAAGCCCTGGCTGGGCACGAACCAGGAGGACGGCGTGGCCGGCTGGGGGACGGCGAAGCTGAAGGCGCTGAACGAGGCGCGGAAGCAGGATCTGGAGGATGGCGAGACACCGGTGGCGGATTGATGGGGGCTTTGAGAAGGACAAAACAGAAGCAAGGACAGGAGCTGAATATGGAGACAACGACATATTCGCTGCGTATTGCCGAGACTCAATGCAATGGCTGAGCCAATGAGGGCGTAAGATGTAATATATGAGCATATCTAACACGTGCACTTGATCGCTACTGGCTGGTCGCATCGGCAGGTCGCATACCGCGGCCAAACTAAAAACCCAAGAGGGGGAGGAGGGGAGGGGCAGCGTGGTCGATGCCCCTCTGCAAGGTGTGATAAGGTGGGGGAGGTGAGTTATTTCACGACGGCACTGCAGGCAGCTTCTTGTACTCGTAGAGACCATCTGAACCCATCCGTCTTATGGTCAGTGGTCAGTATTCGTGTCCGTGTTGGCGATCGTGCCTCGGCCATGTCGTCTGGGCTCCCTGCTCGTACTCGTATCCAGCGAGCAATTGACTGCTTCCTGGAGAGCGGACTGTTCCGTGGGGGGGAAGGAAGCCGGTGTTCTGCTCGTATCTCGAGATGCTGACAGGTTGTGGGAACATCGAATAAGCCGTATTGGGCCGAGCTGCGGATGGACTACCAGCGGGTAATATAGGCAGTGACAGGACCAAAAGCGGGGGACAGGCGGGCGGAATTAGGGGAGTGAGGGGTAGCTAAAGGTCTGAGAGGCCTGAGGCGTGCAGTAGAGAGACGCCTGGAGTCTGCAAATCTGTTAGCGGCCACATACAGCGAGGCTGCCTGGTCAGGCTCTCCTTCCTGCGTGCTTGTGCAAAACTGCATTCTGAGCTGCCCCGCTTCAGCTATGTGACGGAGTGAGGGCTTCCTACAATTTCCGCCATAGGGCGCTGCCCCACAATGGCGTCTTTCCTCACACGTCAGAGTACGTCGTATCTTGCGAGAGAAGCAGCGGAGAGAGAAAAAGACGGGGGTTTCGCCGGACGCGCTAATAGCCGGGATGGACGGGTAAGATGCAACGGCAATGGCCCCTCCTCGCTCGCCGTGCTCCGTGCCGGTGGTGCGATGATCCCTTCTTCGCGCGCTGCCCGTCAGGCGCAACATGTCTGTCAGTAGGCCTTGGTCCTCGGGCGAGCGATTGACGCTGGCGGATATTGGAAAGGGGGGCGGCGCCTCGGAGCACGGCCGTAATTAGAGAGAGCCCTTAGGCCCATCCACAATTGTCGCGAAAAACTGCCAGAACAGCTAGCCTTGCTTTAAGTGTCATATACGTGGTACAAACGGAGTAGTAAGATATGAGTACGTTAGATAGTGTCTTACTCGCACTATACAGGCTTACAGGCAATTGTCGGTAACTTCCTATTCCGTCGCTGCGGGTGGACGCACTTTCCGCGTCTTCAGTCGGCGCGCTAGTCCACGATATGTCGCATGCACTCCGTCTCGGACAGCTGCTGGACCTGTCTCTTTCTGGGACCTCTCTCGCTTGCCGGCCGACCGTTCTACTATGCACTTTATAGTATGTAGCAAACCACAGGGCGGCACCTTGCTCGGCTGTGTGATACTCCTTCCTGTACGGGCGAGACATCATGTAACTTGCTTTGTGAGATACATCTGCTGGCTTCTGATATCTGTCGACTATCTGGGAAAGAGCATCCATGAGAGCCCGTGCTCGAAAAGCTGCTAGTCCACAAGACTTGCCTAGAACAGGCCTTGTGCCGGCTTTGCCTTCCCAATCGCGCCCCTCATCTACACACCCACGAACGTTTCGCGCCTTCCTCCCCCATCCTTCCTCCCCATCCTAGCTACCCGCCGACCCGCCCCTATCCCACCTTCCCCCTCCTCTGTATCTTATATAGGTACTTCGTACTCGTACTTGTGTGAGTGCGCAGAACCACCATCTCGCCACCGCACTCGGGCGGCGAACGCGCTCTATGAACGCATTGTGGCTCGGAGGATTTTATGAATGAGGTCCAACGGATATGCACCAGACCGAAGAGACCCACATATCATGTGGCTGCTAGTTTTTTTTGCCAACTGCAGGATATCTTATCTCACTGTATGTGTACATATGTATGTTTATACAGTACGTGCCGAGTAAATATACGCACTAACAGTGCTGTAAATCTGGCGCACTGGCGGCCTTATTGTTCCAAGTTTATTCTGCCGGTAATTATGGAGTATACTCTGTACCTCTGCTTATTTTGCTTCACTTCCTTGCTTTTTCTCCCCTGCTGACACGTTCCCATAATACATGATTTCTCCATCACGATCTATGTTCTGCTTTGCTCGTTGCTTTCTTTTGACTTTTATCGCAAGATTCCATCTCCGAGGGAAGCCAGCCACTTTCCCCCTAATAGCTCCTGTCCCCATTTTTATCCTTCTTCGTTTTCTTCGGCCACCCTCTAGGAGAACGGGTCGAAGCTTTCGCGAAATTACATCTCTTCAACTACTACGGCTTAGAAGCGAGTCACGTTTTTATTTGGAGACACCCTAGTCGCCTCCTTTTCCTTTTCATGTTTCTTCATTGCTAGGTAAGTGCGTTCTGGTACACTTTTTGATCCTTTTCCCCCTATCCTTCCGGCGTCTACATCGAGGTCCAACAACCACAAAAAAAAGCACAACTCTTCAATGGCGGACAGCGACATGTCAGCCGTGTCTCAATAACTCGACTTTTATTTGTCCCGCCGCCTGTCCTCTCCCGCTGCGGCACCGACCGCCTCAATAGGATTGTGAGCGACTCAGTTGAGACCCCATCCCCCCTTTCAGTCAAAAGGCACTTTCCATCCCACTGTATTGCAACGCTTTTCGTGGGGATTCATTTCTTGCTCTTGCGGCTTCGTCGGCCTTCCCGTTGCATGGGCTCCGTCCAGATTCCTGTGCCTGTCACGCTTTGCATCACGCACTTTGCTTGACGACGGCTGTCGCACTTCTCTCTGCCACCGCCCCTCCTTTACCGCAATTTCAGTTTCTTCCACGTCGTCACTCTTCACGAGCGCTGCTCCCCAGCTTTTCTCTGTTTTATGCATCTCTAATAATCCCAGACACACCCTCGACGACAGCTTTTAGGCATATCGCGACCACCACCGGCCAGAGAGTCGTTGCTTTACAATCCCCAACCTGCTCCGTGAAGGTCTTGGCTTGCCACCGACCCTCTCGCCTGCTTATCAACATTCCGCTTCGGCTACTTCTTCTGGCATCGAACAGCCATGTCGTACTATGAGAATTCGCGGCCGTGGCCTGCAGTCGGCCAGAATGCTTGGAACGATCTCGACATCGACAGCCAGACAGTCCGCTCGGGTTCGTCACGCCATCCCAATGCAGGCTTCTTCAGACCGAGGCTGGCTGGACACTGCAGTGCTGACTAATTCATGCAGGTTCGAGCTCTACTGTCCCGACGCAGGGTCTGCCTCCGCCTTCCCAGGGACCGGAGTCGGCCGCCTTTTCACACCAGCTGGAGGGTACGTTATCACGATATTCCGAGCAAGAGGGTCGCATTTGATTTTTGCAAGAGGTGGACGCAGTTCGCAGCAGCCCTTTGGCAGTCACACCGCAACTATGCAGAAACCGTGATTGAACGCAATGGGAATGCTGACATTTGGATCCCCGCGCGTCTACAGAGGTTGACAGAGCCATCGACAATCTCGTGAAAAGCGGCAAGATGTTTGGGGTGCCTGGCCGACGTAAGTGGTTCTCCTTTGTCCAGTTCTGATATCAAGCACCCGAGCGCTTGGTATCGGAACGCTGGCCAGCTGTTTTGCTGCCTGCTCCACACCTTCAGCATTGTCGTCGGTTGGCATATTGACCCGACTTTTGCACGCAGACGGCCGACAGGCTCACGGCTCAGGTCCTCGTCCCCACTCGATGGCGGAATTCGGTGACGCGCGCGGCGCGCACCAGTCGAACCTGCAAAACTTCTATGCCAGCCAGAGGCATCAGTCGTCACGCGGCTCGAGCGACGCAGAACAAATGATTCAGGCCAAGCGAAGGATGGCGGCCCAGCGGGAACGAGAACTACGCAACTACCACCAAGAACAGCAATACAATCGAAGTAGGCCGCCCTCCGCTATATAGCGTCACAGTTCCCTTCATTTTCCTGTTTTCTTATGGCACACGGCACACAAAGGGAGCAAAAACAATGCTCAGGACAAAATCCGGGGAAGGAGGCAAAATTCGGCCATCACAAGCGATGGCTACGGCCTCGCCGAAGAAAAGAATACTGTTTTTTTTTGTCCAATGCAACTCCTTCCACTTTTCTGTAGATGTCGAAAGCGCTGTTCTCATTGCTATCTGGAAGTCATCGGATGTGTCGCGTCTCCTTCTCTTGTCACCTTCCAAACCTTCGCCCCTTGATGAAAATGAGTTTGCTAACCTTCGTTCTGTTGTCTGAATCACAGCCGTTCTCGCTGAGCTTTCTTCGTATGGTGGGAAGCCCGATCGTACTCTGAGCCCCGGCAGCATGTCGGAAGCTGATCGTCGTGACCTGATTGCCCGCCAGCGGAGCGCTTTGTATGGCGAGGGCTCGTTTGCAGAGACCGGAGGCTACGTCGACGAGACGGGCACTTCTCGGCCAGGTGTGCCTGCAGCTCACCATGGGTCGACGTCGTCTCTTCGCGGCCACTCGCCCCTTGCATATGACTACGGCCGTGTTCCTCCGGCCGCCGAAGGAGCGGGCGCTCAGGACCCGACGACCGGCTCTCCGTCTGCTGGTGCCAACCAGCGATCTCGTGCGAACAGCGTGGCAAGCCCTCGGTCGAACACGGGGGAGCAGCAGCAGCAGACGTCGGTGTCGCAGCAGGTGAATCACACGAGCACGTCGTCTCCAGGAGCCTCACCGATCAACGGCAAGTCGGGCTCGGGCGGTGCAAGCGGCACAGTTGCGCCCATTGGTACGCGTCCCTCGACCACAGCGACCTCGGCAGGCGGTGTGGGGACTCCCGGACCAGCGGCTATGAACAAGCGGGCGTCAACCCCGCTAGCCTCGCCTCTGGGCTATGGCAGCTCGGGCACGGGCGAGAGTGGCCCAACGACTGGTGGTGGCGTGTCGTCGAACACGGGTTCGAGCGGCGCAGACGGCCCGATGGGCGTGTCCGGCTGGGGCGGACGCAGTGGAAGCGTATGGGGCAACGGCAGCAAGCCGGGGATGGGCGTTCAGGCAAGTGTCTGGGGCTAGGAAGAGCCGTATTTGCATCTGCTGCCATGGTGGGCGGGCAGGGCCCGGGGATCTTCTAGGGCCAGTTCCAAGCGTGGGATTTCATGAACGGTGTTTTTTGGGAGCTAGGGAGGGAGGAAGGGGGGCATGGGCATGGGTTCCGTTTTGATTTCGCGCTTGTGCTTGGTGTCTCCGGAGAGTGTCTGCTATAATGGAGGATGTTTGTTTTGTTCGGTTTCTTCGAGGGCAAGGCGTCTAAGCAACAGCACAAAAAGTCGGACAAGGGAACAGACAGGTAGTTTTTGTTTGATATTGGGCGAGACTCAGGGGACTAGCGAGAACACATGGGAGGTGGGAAGGCAAGGACGCGACACGAAAGAAAACCCTGCATTAGCATCGGCGTCAGGTCCCCCCGCGGGGATGGCTTGGCCACGGAAACGACTCAGGAGTTTGTTCAGCTTTCTTTTCTCTTATTTGATTACCAAGGAGGCAAAGGTAGGCGAAGCAGATACTATGTATGGCTGGGGTTGGGGGGTGGCGAGCTGGGTTTCTGGTTTGTCGGTTGTGTCTCTCATTTATGCGCGGAGGGTTTAAAACGGATGGATGTGCTTCTTGTGACATGTTTGCTACATTTTCAAAATATCAGTCTGTTGGACGCCGGCAGAGGCACAGACTACAACAGCGACTGTTGGTCAGCCTCGTCTGGGCCGAAACGGGTGGCAACCTGGGAATTGGCCACTGCCAGGGGCTGACGGACCAGACTCTGAACCACTGGGACGAAACGCACGTCATAATCAATACACGATGCTTTAGACAGAGGGCTTGAGAGCCCAACCGACAGCCCCATCTTGACACAGCCGACGTCACAGCCCCAAAGTGCTTATGGGCACCCCTAATACCATGTAGATAGATAAATTAGAGTCGAAAGGCTGCACCTAGAAATTGGGCAATTAGGGTCCGCCCACACTCCACGCCTCCACGGCGCTCTGTCCACTTCTGATCGGTCGGTGCCCAGGGACCCCTTTCCTTCCAGAGCGGGTATGGGAATCTTAACATGCAGCCTAGAGACCGAAGAATCCCGCGAAGCTCGAGCGCCACGGGGCCATTTCGGCGGGCCAATGTGCAGGGCTTTCTCTCTGTTCGGCTGGCTCGCCGCCTTGTCGCTGGCGGTCTGGCGTTGCCTGCTAGGCCAATATAGGAGATTACCTGATCGGGCAAGCTCTTGGCACCCGCAACTGCTGATCGCCGCTTTGACGTATTTATGGGCTTCCCCTTTCGTATAAGAACGAGGGATCGGCAAGAGCCAGAACCAGAAGCTCAGAACACGTATCTGTTGAAAAGTCCCAATCTGCATTTGATTATGGACAGTTACGACGTACGGCTTCGGCGGCCATTGTAGTCACGTTGATATGCGATGTGGCATCTTGGAGTTTAATTCTGTAGCAGTTATATAGCAGATATGTACATATTAGCAGTGTAGCACTCTACAGCACTCTTACGACCCCGGAATAAATGCTACCTCTGATGTCTGTTTCCAGAAGCCTTCATCCCCCTTTGGCCCCCTGTCTCCAGCCCCCAGAGTATTGTTTTAAACCGGGTTCCCGGCCTACACTAAACAAGATACTTTTTTTCCAGCTACTAGGCTCTCCTACTACATAGTATGTACCGAGGCCCTGGACACACCTTGTGTAAGAGACGGCATGAGACTTCCCCCTTGTAAGTTACGGCACATATTTGTCCGTCCCAGGACTGTTGTTTGCCTTCTTCCGTCTTGCGTCCACGGAGTGCTCCGTTCGAGCGTGCAGCGGATACAGAATCGGATGGGATCTATGTTCCCGCGTCCGGGCCCTTTGTCCCGCAACGGGAGGGCGGGTCTGACCACTCTTATGCCTGGCTCCGTGCAGATTACAATCCCGACAAGTACTCAAATGCAAAGGATGCCAATGCAGTTTCCGTACCGAGGGTGAATGTGGCTGGTGTGATATCTCACTACGGAGTACTGACGTGAGATCAGAACGAATGGAGGGGAAGGTGAGCGAGGTGAGAGGAGGCGGAGGAAGAAGGATGCAACGAGCATGTCCAGCCTTACGTCTGCTCGACGAAAGCAAGGGTCACTCACAGCCTGGCGTTGGGTCTAGCTAGTCGTATTGTTCAGACGTTTCCGTCTTGGTGACGTTTAGCAGAAATGTCTTGGCCAACGAGCCACAAAGACGGCGAGAAAGACGGGAAAAAGGGGATCGACAACGCAAAGAACACCTTGTGATACTGTGTACCCCGTACTCGTACTCGTACAAGCGTTGCAGCTCACGATACTGCTCGTGCCCCGTATGTATGTATCTAACATAGGCAGTGTTCTACTCCGTACATGACGTAAGAGTCCTTGCTAGACATATGCCTTGTCTCTCGCTTCGAGTCGAGTGAGTTTGGCAGAGTGTTCGATCAGGCCAGCCTGTGCGTACGGGAGCACTCGTGCTGGGTCGTCTCGTGTTCGCCCTTTGTGCACAGGGATTGATCTTTTTCCGTCTGAAGCCGGGGGGGGGAGGGGGGGTGCACCTCGAGACCCGTACTAGGAGACGCCCCCTTTTCCAGGGCGTTGTGCTGCGAGTTTGACTTTGGGTTTGGGGGTGAGGGCGAGCTGTGTACGGTACTTGCATAGTACAACGTACGCGCACACTCGCGCCGAGGACTCGCACATGGTGGCATTAGTAGCATCAGTAGTTCGTATGCGCCGTTGTATCCATTAAACCGTAAAACGTGCGGATAATTATTTCATTTCGCAGCGTTTGTTGCCCGTTCGGCAGGGTAGCGCACTATCTAGCCGCAACGGTCGCGCCACCCAGGCCTGATAGAAGGCTACCAGCCGACAGTGAGGAGGGGCACCCTGGCGTTTATTGGCACATTTTGGCTCGGCTTGGTGCCTTGAATCTGCCAACCCCAAACCGGCCGTTGCCCTGCAATTCTACGAGGAGGAGCATGGCTTTGGAGCCGCCGGCTCGCCCTGGTCTCGCCCTGTCTCTGCTGTCTCGCAGACAGCCCCACGGACTGTGCCGGACACACAGTGCGAGCACGGCCACCGCTCCAACGCGGTGCATACATTGCATGTCACCGCTGCCCTGCACAAGGCCGTCCAGCGCTACAGGTACAGCGGCCTGTGCACTGGGCTGTACTCGTATCTTACTATGTATGCCAGCCTGCCCCTTTCATGCAGCCGCCACCAAGGCGCTCGCTTGCGGCAATTGCCCCTAATGGCTGCCCTGGCGCCATGAACTGCCCTAGCCTCTATGCAGCTGAGCCCGCCCTGATGCCCTCCCTGATCATTACGACCACTCTCGCCCAATCTTCAACGCCACCCTATTAAGTGCATATTGGCTGCCCTCCTTCCCCACATGTAGGGAGCAGCCAACAACGCCCCCCCGGTGCAACGTGCGAGCCACACGGTCTAAAGGGGAAGGAAATACGGGCAACAAGCCTAAACCCAATCCGCATCTACTTTGCTGCCACTATCCCATCCTCTCCTTCACCCTCCGTCCTTTCGCCTCTTCATCCTTTCTTCCCCCAACCCGTCGTCTCCTGCCACCGTCGAGCCGCAACCACAAGGGGTCAGGATCCTCGAGCAGCGATCTGGTCTTCTCGACTTGTCTTCTTGACGGATTTCTGACTCGTGCATCCATTGGCGGCACCCCGCGGCCCTGATTTCCGAGTCCACTGTCTTCTAGGATCGCCAGCGTTTTTTCTTGGCCATCGCGCCTCCACCACCGCCTTCTCTGTCTCTTTCTGCCTGCCACGCCTGGGAAGAACGCTCTGTCTTGGTGTCCTTGCACAGCGCCGGTCTCATCGCTCTTCAATCGGCCTCGCTTGCTTCCTGTTCCTCCACCATCTTCTCCTGCTCTTCGCCAACTTCTCAGACCGTTTATCATCTACACCCCCTCTCCCCTCCCCCATTCCTCTCTGTCCTGCCACATTCCTCCAAGAGCTGTCTGAGCATCAGGACTATCAAGGGACGGACACGCCCTGCCATCCCATTTCTTCGTCTCGGCCGCCTCTTCCGCGACTCTGACCGCCACCTCGCATCTGCTCCGACGTATGCAACCGGCTTCTCCCTGAGACTTCCAATCGGCTGTTCTTCGACGCGACCTGTGGCCTCTTCTGTCCGCTCCACGCTCATACTCAATCCTCCCGCGTCTCGGCACGGTCAGGAATCCGCACTGCCGCGGCCCCCCTCGTATTCATGGACAGTCGGACAACTGCAGCTGAACCCCAACAACATACTTACCAGCCAGCTTCCTGGTCTCGAATCCCGACCTCCGTGTCGACACCGCTCCTCTCCTCTGCCGCATTGCCTCTTTCGGACTCGCCGATCGCCGTTCTCTACCCTCCACACACCGCCATCTACCACGCCCAGCTGCTGAATTACAACAAGCTGATCTCGCCAAGCCGTGGCGGTGGCGTTGGCCTTCAGACGCAACCGCTTCCGCCCGTCCTCTCGGCCCCTTACGTCCAGGCATCGGGGCCACGGTCGCGCTCGGCTTCCAAGTCACGCTCGCAGCAGCAGCAGTCACAGCAGCAGCAGCAGACCCAGCAGAACAGCCATCAACAGCAGTCTTCACTGACCCACACCCATCAGAACTGCCATGGGAACAGAGGCAATAAAAACGCTGACAAGTCGGACCGCTCGGTAACAAAGATGGGGAAAGAAACGGCCCAGAAGGCGGTTGCCGCAGCCAAGCAGAACCAGCACGGCCAAAACGGTCAACACGGCCAGCACGGCCAGCACGGCCAGCACGGCCAGCAGAATGGTGCTGCTGACCACCAGCCCCGTGCTGCTGCTGCCTTACGCTCGCAGCAACAACATCGGCCGTCAAAGTCCCCCAAGCCCCATACCAAAGCCCCGCTGACCCAGGCGAGCTCCGTCCCATCCACGCCGCACCAGCACGCCCGGAACTTCTCCTTTGAGTCTCGCGAGCCCTCGCCGAATGCAACGCAAAACCACTCGCCGCGGTCTGCCTACTCCGAGACGAACGTGGCCGTGCCCTCGCTGCGTCCACTGCCTCCACGCTACGGCGGCTGCATCTACGAGACCGCCCTGGTTCGTGGGCGCCGTCGTATGGCCTACAGCCTCGGCACCGATCGTCTCGAGAACGTCAGCCTTGACAAGATCAAGAGTCAGCTGTCTGAGGATGAGGAGCAGACGCTGACCAAGGAGATGGGCGAGCTGTATGCCCGGCTAAGACCGAGCGATGAGAAACAGGAGCACCGCGAGCGGTTTGTTCAGAAGCTGGAGACGATTTTCAACGAAGAGTGGCCGGGCCACGACATTCGTGTTCACATCTTCGGCTCGTCAGGCAACCGGTTATGCTCTGACGACTCTGACGGTAGGTAGCCCCCTTTCCTGATTTTCGTTTCCGCAACTTTTCCTCGGAACAATCACTAATCTTTCTGTGTGGCAGTGGACATTTGCATTACGACGAAATGGAAGGAGTTGGAGAATGTGTGCATGATTGCCGAGCTCTTGGCAAAACGTAAGTGCACCCCTTGAGCAGCCTGCTGTTACATGAACCCGGACAATATCTCTGACCTACATCAACAGGTGGTATGGAAAAGGTTGTGTGTGTGTCGTCTGCCAAGGTTCCGATCGTCAAGATCTGGGACCCGGAGCTCAGCCTCGCCTGCGACATGAACGTCAACAACACCCTTGCTCTGGAGAACACACGCATGGTTCTGACCTATGTCGGAATTGACGAACGCGTACGGCCGCTGGCCATGATCATCAAGTATTGGACGCGACAAAGGATCATTAATGATGCTGGTACGCTCGGTTTCCTCCCCTCTCCGGCTTCACCGGCAGCCTAGACTAACAAGCGACTAGCTTTCGGAGGAACACTCAGCTCATACACATGGATATGTATGGTGATCTGCTTCCTTCAGCTTCGAAAAGTCCCCATCCTGCCCTCGCTGCACCAGCGACAAGAAGACAAGCTTCCACGACCAGACGGCCAGCTCTCGGACTTTGCCGATAACCTCGGCAAACTACAAGGATTCGGTCGTGGGAACACGGAGACTTGGGGGCAGCTACTCTTTCACTTTTTCCGCTTCTACGCCTACGAGTTCGACTACGACAAGAACGTGTTGTCTGTCCGGCAAGGGAAGTTGATGACTAAGACGGAGAAGAAGTGGCACACGGCTCTGAACAACATGCTCTGTGTTGAGGAGCCCTTCAACACGGTACGCAACCTGGGCAACACGTCGGACGACACGTCATTTCGAGGGTTGCACCAGGAACTGCGGAGAGCGTTCGGCCTGATTTCGGAGGCCAAGCTCGGCGAGTGCTGCGAGGCGTATGTGTTTCCGAAAGAGGAGGAGAGGGTTTTCCAGAAGCCATCACAGGCACCACGCCCGGTGATGCTGCGCAGCTCGTCGCAGCAGCATGGCGGCCGGGGTGGACGTGGCGGTAGCTTCCGGGGTAACAGACAGTACCGCAACGGGAACAACAGCCGGAGGGCCTCTTCAGGCGTGACGTACGACAACAGCGCTATGTATATTCAGCAGCCAGCGGCCATGCTGCCGATGCAGTGGTTCCAGCAGCAGCAGGTTGCACAGCAGCAGGTGCACCAGCAGCAGCAGCAGCAGCAGCAGCAGCAGCAGCAGCAGTCGGGAAACCAGGCACAGCAGCAACAGCAAGCTCAGCCACAGTACCTCTACCATCCGGACATGTTGGCGGCCCCTCTGAGTGCGCTGCAGCTGCAGCAAGGCTACTCGTTCTACACGCAAGCCTTTGTGCAGCAACAGCACGCCCTGGCCCACGCGCAGAGGATACAGCAGCAAGGAGGCTCGCCTTCGGCTACGGATCGATCGCGAACAAACTCGTTTGACAACCCGCCTCTGACAACGCCGGTTCGGCAGGACTTGTACATGTATCCGGTGCCGTTCCAGCAGTCGTTCTTTGCCATGCACCCGGCAGGCTTCACCACGCTGCCGTCGTCGCCGAGCGCCGGAGCACCGGCCGAGTACCGCAGGAGCTATCGGACGGGGCAGGCGTCTGATGCAGCATCACCCACAGGCACTCTGCGGTCGCAGTCCCAACCAGCGTCTAGAACACCAATGCCAGGAAGCCAGTCGCACGGAAGCCCGGTGGTTGCTACTCAGCTCAACGGAATCGCGCAGCCCAACGGCAGCCGAGTGCCAATCAACTTCTTTCCGGACGAAAGTGCGGACTCGGAGGTCGACGATGCAGCCAGCAAGCACGTGTCAGACTGCCACTCGTCGGAAGAGGAGAACGGGCAGTACGTTGGCTACTACGTCAAGGAGAGCAGCAGCCCGGTGAAGACCAGCGCGGCCAACTTGTCGGTCGATATAGCGTTTGGCGACATGGGCCAGTCTGGCGGCAATGGCGGCCATGGGCGCCGCCGACTGTCAACTGACCTGCCACAGACGGTCCTGGACAGGCGGATGCGACGGGCATCATCGCGGTCACCGTCTCCACTAGGCCACGGCCGGGCCTTCTCCGTCGGCAACAGCACGATACCACTGCAGGCGGGGCAGTTTCTGCCAGTGATGGGTGCGCGTACCAGCAAGGACAGCCGGTCTCCGTTGGTGGTGGACGGGTCGATCAACAAGCCGACGTCGTTGAATCTGTCGAGCCTGCTGGCCGGCTCCAGCGGACAGAGCACGCAGAGCGGACCTAGTGCGTCGTCGCGCCAGCCGTCGACCAGCGAGAGCGTGATATCGGAGGAGGCAGCGTCGAGCTCTTTTGCAGGATCGGACATGCTCAGCATGTCGTACACCTCTCACGGACTGGGGATCAGCGGCCAGGGAATATACTCAGACCAGCCGCTGACGGCAAGCCCGGGACCGCAGCGACAGGCAACGCCGCCGCTGGTCGACACTCCTCTGCATCTGCCTGTGCCTGGGCGGTCACCTCTGGTGGTGGACGGATCGATATCAGCCGTATCCTCGCCGCGGTCGCAGCAGACAGCACCGGACACGCAGTCGTTCCACCAGCGCATTGTGGCGATGAACGGATTCAGCTCGGCGCAGTACGCAGCTATTGCGGGTTACAGCAACGCCAATGCGGCAGCACAGCTAGCATCATCGACACGGGCGAGGACCATGACGCGGCAGCAGCCGAAAGGCATCGCGCCCCTGGATCTGGCGCTGCCAGACCACTCGCTGAACGCAGAGATGCAACACCTGTCTCCGGTGTACGAGCATCGGACGCCGTCGCCGACGGCCGTGCGCCGATTCGACAGTCAGTTCAATCGGATAGCGCAGAGCACAGACGCATTTCCGGCGGCAGCCGGTGCGTACACAGCGTCCTTTGCTTCGCATGCGAAGAACGTCAAGCACGGGCGAAAAGACACGGCGGTCAAGGGTGCCGTGAAGGGGGTTCCTGAGGGCAGCACAGGGGTGGCGCAGCCACCGAATCAGCAGCAGACGCAGCCACGGGTCAACGGGACGAGCGGCGGGGGACAGAACGGCCATGTGCGGTCTGCCAAGAGCGAGAGCGGCGACATGGTGGGTGGCGGGGCGTGGCAGAAGCCGAAGACGCGGAAGAAGACGGGCGACCTTAAGGCGATGGCGAACGGGCAAGTTTCTGGCGAGCAGCTGCCAAAGAGCGAGTCGGAACGCAAGGGAGGCTGAATGCGGTGACAGAAACAGAGGATTGCGGTGCTGCTTTACTGTGCTCCCGTCGCAATAGGCCTCGAGGCCGGGAGTTGAGCGGACAGACGGAACAGGCCGGTTTATCAGGGATGACGGGGCTCGGAGCATATTCTGCGTCATATGCTGCTTCTGCCGCTGCCTCTGTTGGATACCCAAGCGGGAATGCTGAGAAGCCCCAACATTGGTACACGGGCTGTCGTTTTGGAATACATGTTTAGAGTCTCGCGTGGGAGGACGGGATTTGCATTGGGCTGCCGACAGCCTTTCAACATGGATGGACGGTTTGGGGACGTTGACGGGGTGCAACACACAAACGGCATAGCGGGATTGCGAGAGCACAGCACACACACACACGTCGACTATTGCGCAGGCAGGCGACACACAACCGCACGACCGGAGGCAAGATGAGTGTCTCGCCACCATGACGGCGAGTTTGGCCCGAACTGGAGCTCGGAGGAGCGGACCAGGCATAAGGAGGGCGATGGGGAAAGACGGCACAGCCAGAAGTGTCGCGACCCAAAAACAACGCGAGAGAGGGGACAGAAGACGCGGATTCGGCTACAGCCTTCGGCCCCTTTGTTTTTCATTTTTGCGAATTATTGTGTCTACTCCTTGCAATAGCGAGCGTCTGGTCTGAAATGGCGGGTAACAGGCATTCAGGTTAGGGGATTTCTCTGTGGTCGGTAAAACATCTCTGCGTGCGTTTGATCCCTTTTGCGAGTGGGTGCTTTTTTTTTTTTAATTTTGATTTTCCTACTGCTTGTGTCGCTGCCAGGGCGATGTGAACAGTGAACAGAGGTGTATGCTGTTGTGTGTTTGCTATGTAATGCATGCTGGCGAGGAGAGGCTGTGGCCACAGCTGCTGGGCTGGCAGACAAGCACGAGCAGCAAGACAGGCACTTATATAAAAGCGGCAACGGGTTAGAAGGACTTCATACGTTTACATGGGGGAGCGGAGTTTTATTGTGTGATTTTATTTTCGTTCAGCGTGTATACAGAAAGATGGAAAACACAAAATAAAATGAGAAATAGGACAGGCTGCAAGCTCAGGCGAGGAAGTTGCTGACGTTGCCGCCGATGTTTTCGAGATCGAGGAGGAAGGTATCGTGGCCGAAGATGCTCTGCTGCTCACTGAGCTCGATGTGGCTAACGTTGCGATTGCCGGCAGCCTTGAGGGCCTCGGCGACCTCGTACTGCTGCCAGGCAGGGAAGAGGATGTCGCTGGCGACGCCCATGACGAGAGTAGGGTGGTTGCGCAGGGGGGCGAGACCATGAACGAGATCCTCGGGAGGAGACCAGACAGGCGAAGAGGAGGTCTCTGCAGCAGAGCTGCCGTAGTCGTTGAGAGCAGCGGCGACTTCTTCCGGCTGTTCCTCGTAGGGCTGATCGGGCAGGGTGAGACTGCAGGCGGGAGCGACGGGGTCGACGAGCGAAGAAGCAGGATCTACGGCAGCAGCAGCACGAGCATTCCGACGAGCAGCAGCAGCGTCCTGGGCATGGCGACCTAGATCGAAGAGGTCCATAGCCTTGCTGACGTAAAGCAAGCTATTGGGGTCGTAAGTGAGGCAGAACTTTTCGCCAGCATGATCGAGGTAGGTCTCGATGAGGAAGTCGGGACAGAGAGCCGGGGGTTTGCGAGAATCAGCACGACGACGGCCGAAGCGAAGCTCCCACTCAGGACCCGAGCGATAGGTGACGGTGGCGATCTGGCGGGCGAGCTTCATGCCGGCATGAGGAGGAACGCGATCGTAGCCGTAGTAGAAGCCGCGATTCCAGTGGGGGTCCATCATGAGGACCTGGCGCTGGGTGTGGCGCATCGCGATGCTGTACGGATGGCTGCGAGCGCAGCCGCTGATGGAGACGATGCGACCGACACGATCGGGGAAGAGCACGCCGGCTGCGAGCGACTGCATGCCGCCCATGGATGCGCCGACGCTGGCGTGCAGCCGATCGATGCCGAGGCCGTCGAGCAGCCGGAACTGGGCGCGGACCATATCCTCGAGCGTGAGGATGGGAAAACGGGTTGCATAGCGCTGTCCGTCGGCCGGATCGATGCTGCTCGGACCCGTCGATCCATAGCAGCCGCCGAGAACGTTGGTGCAGATGACAAAGAAGCGTGTCGTGTCGAGTGCGAAGCCCGGTCCGGGTCCGATGAACCGCTCCCACCAGCCAGGCGCCGGGTTGAGCTCGCTCGACCGTGCGTGTGATGATGCCGACAGTCCCGTGTGCAGCAGCACCGCGTTGCTCCGGTCGGCCGCCAGCCGGCCCCAGGTCTCGTACGCGATGTCAAACTCGCGCAGCACTCCGCCCCAGTCGAGCGCCAGCGGCTCGCGGCAGTGGTACCGCAGCGTCGCCCCGGACGTGTATGATGGCTCCGGACCGCTCTCGGTCGAGGGCCGAGCTGCTGCTGAGGAGCCAGATGCTCCCGATCCTGCCTGCCGCAACTTGGCCGATCGGTCCTCGATCGCGTCCAGACACGGAAACGCCATCGCCGGATTCGATGCCCCGCTCCGACGTGCTGCCGTCACATGCAGACATCGTCGCGATTGCACGGCTGTTGCCTGTCGCCTAGACAGAAATCCAATGCTCGCCAGCCGTGCACCGACTCGCAGGCCAGACAGCCTGCCCGCACTCATCATGTCGGACGCGCTGTCTTCTCGGAGGGCGGAACGACAATGGGCACGTGCTGCCCCGGTGGAGACATGCTAAAGTGAAAAAGAAGAGAAGAAGCGAGAGGAGGAAGACGGGATGGGAGGCTCTACAGCTGCATTACACTGTTGAATTGGGAAATTTACTCTGAGCTAAGATTTAGTCGATCATGCCATTTCACGTGACTGGGATGGAGCTCGATGAGTAGTAAGCAAATACACTGACTAAGATCCTCCATGGGTGACGTCACTCGCGAGTACAATAGGAAGGTGATCAGACTGGGCGGGTCCAGGCTCCAGCAATACGGGGCCTGGTGATAACCAAAAGACTTCATGTTCACTTCCTCGCATTCCTCTTTGTCAAGGCCATCACCACCATACAACATGCTCACGTCACTACGCAAGCGGCTCAACGGGATGACACTCCCGATTCTGTCCGGGAATAACGGCACAAAGCACGACGCCACCGAGGCTACAGACGGGGATGGGCCCAGCTTTGCCGACGTCCTTGTGGTGAAGGCTATGATGGGCCAGGCCTTTCATCTGCCGCTGGAGCTGGTGGACGAGATCGTTGACCTGGCCGAGTACTGGCCACACACCACGACCTGCATCGACTACCGCCAGACGGAATTGACAGAGAAGCGGATTGGATCACAGAATCAAAACGTCATGTTGGTGCGTGGAGAGAAGACGAAAGAGAGATTGGAATGAATGACTGACCAAGACAGTTCCGCACCCCGCCACTGGGCTTCGAGCGCCCGCCGCACGCAGACGAGGCGTCCTACACGACGGAGCCACTCGAGCCCGCACAGCTGCAGCAGGAGTACGGCCGCGACGAGCTGGTCCACTGGCTGGGCCGACGAGCCCCAGCCCTGGAGCATCCATGCCGCAAGATCCGCTTCCGCCTGATCAGCCACGACCAAGGCTGGGGCGGCGGCGGGCCCAAGAAGGACGAACCCTACAAGGCGTCCTACTCCTGGTTTGACGTCGGTCTGGAGCGGTACGACGCCGTCGATGTGGCTGGCACGTCTGTCTTGGGCTCCGACACGCCGCCACGCCATCATGCCCTCCGGTCTGTCCAGCCGGCTGTCCGGCCGGCCGAAGACGATCCCGTCCAGCTCACCCTCCACCACCCGATGCTGCCGAGCAGCCAGAGGCTGCAGTCGAATCGCACGGCCGTCCGCACCGCCACCACACACGACATCACCTGGTCCTGGTTAGACCGGCTGGCCGACGATCCCGCCGCCCGCGACGACCTCGAACGCCTCGGCCGCGGTCCCGACACCGCCGACGGTGCCTTTGTCCGCGATCTGCGCGTCGGCGACGTCGTCACCCTGTGGGCCAAGGCCCGCTTCCCCGGCTGGGCCAACGTGGTCGAGCTCGCTCAGGTGGACGTGTACTGGGCCGTATAGGGAGCGGACGAAGTGTGTTCAGAGGTTGATCAGGAATCGGCGATTTTTAGCACAAAGCGCTACAAACCGTTTGGTGGGTCCTGTTCGATTATGTAATCACAGGTTCTTGCAACAGGCCCTGCAGGCAAGGAAGCTCCTAAAAGTTACGACGTAAGCATGCCCTCTGCATCCTGCCGTCCCGTCTCGGATCCGCGTTTCCCCTTTCAATCTAGTGCCTCATGTCGACCCTTTCCTACTTAACGAGCGCTCGCGGCTGCTGGCGCCGGCTTGTCCTGTTGGCACTGCCTGCTGGACAAGAAACCAGAACGGCAGAGCAATAGTGACACGCATGGATCCCGAGACCGACTCCATCCCGAGCACTCGTGAGCTGGCCGCCCAGGCAGAGCCCATTGTCCACATCCGCACTGCCCAACGGCTGTCCCTGATCTCGTGGAGCACCGGCAGCGATGATATCGATTCCGTAAGATACGTAGAGGGCAGCAGACACTCCTGCTCTTCGGGGATCCACACGGACTTTTCCTTCTGCTCTTCCTATGCAGGAGTCAGACCAAAACGTCTAGCTCACGCCGTATGGCCGGCCCCATTCCCGAGACGTGTCCTCCTGCTGACCAGACCGGCAAATGGACAGAACCACGATCACGTCTCTCCGCTCGATCGGCGCGTACCAGTTTGTCCAGGAGAACGGCCAGACGTACCATGGGTACAAGGCTGGAAGTCGGTCGTCCGCTCCTTTGCCTGATTTCCTGCTGACTAATACGAGTGGGCTTCACAGAATACCCTCTTCCCAACGATGCGCAAGAGCAGTCAAGGCTGGGTAGATCGAGCAGGAAGAAGATAAAAGAAGAAGGAAAGAAAGAAGGTAAATAAAAGGAAAGAAAGAAAGAAAAGACAAAAAAAGACCCACTGACATGCAGCAGATCTGCAGCACACCCATTCCCTGCTGATGACCCACGGAAAGCTATTTCTGGCTCCGTTGGAGAAGCCCAGGCGGGCACTCGACATCGCCACCGGAACTGGAATCTGGGCTATCGAGTTTGGTAAATCTCCATCTCTCTCGCTCTCTCGCTCTCTCGCCCGAACTACTCTGACTACCGCCAGCCCTCCAGTTTCCGGATGCCCAGATACTAGGCACCGATCTCAGTCCTATCCAGCCAGACTTGTGCGTCTGCCCCGACCCTGGCCTCTGCGATGTAGAAGCGTTTCCTTTGTTAGGTCTTCTTCGCTTCCTAGGTATCGCGTCGGGTAATCCGACTTTATCGGCGCCATTCTTGTTACCAAGGCGGGTTTCCTTGTCAACGGCGGAACCATATGGTCATGTTCATCTGTCTTTGCACTCCAAGACGCATTTCTGCCCTGAAACGCCTGGAAATCATTCGTGATACTGCCGTACATGTTGACTCGTACAGAATAAAATGCATCGAGGCAACTGTGCCGCTTAGACATCCTGACTGCCTCAACCACATCTCCAAAGTGAGAAACTACCTCCGAGCTATGCCGACATACTTGGTCCCTATAGGATGTATCCTTTGGCCGGATGTCTTGCATGATGTACTCCGTACTAGGTCCATGGCGCACCTTCTGGGGTATAGAGATTTCATTGGAGCTGGCTCCCAATTTAATTCATTCTGACCAATCAGAGCGCACAATGTGCTCCATTCTCAAGCTTGCAATACAGTCTGTGGGGAAGTGGCTTGCATCTACGGAGTACACAATTTGATATGGATCTTGGATGCCTCACCTGGACCATTCTCTGGGCAGCTCGTGGTCACGTTCGTGATCATTGTTTTTTTAGGACACGCACCGTACAAAAGAGCAACGAAATGACACGGAGGAAGCTTACTTCAACTTGCGGCTCTGGTCAAACGTACCGCCACACTCGTTCTAAGCAATTGAAAGTGGCGAAGATGCTGCTTGTGCGTTATCGGTATGTTGACTTTGTCTTCGCCTTCTTCCTCGTCCTTACTACCGCCCTCGCCTCCGTCATATTGGAGATGCAATATTTGTCATTTTATAGTACTAGTAGGGCTCTTTATGGCGCCCGGTGTTAGCCTCGATTCTAGATACCTTATAGCTTAGTATACGGAGTACAAAACTAAAATATGTTACTACTATTTAGCTGCCTACTATCAGGATACTAGAAGCTACTCCCATTAATATAAACTATAACGTTATCGATGACATATTAGTTGACCTTGGTAGTATCCTAACAGTGCCTATTTGTCGTTAGTCGACCTCTCGGTTGACCTCTCGGTTGACCCAAAATAAGGATGCCTTCTCGGTTAACTTACTGGTGTCGTATAGGGCGGATGTCACGGTTCAAGGCACCGCTGCTGGCCGCCTTCACAGACTGTACTCCGCACTGCGGTCAACGTAACAGCCTACCGTTGAATACGAATACCGCTTCTGGGACGTGGCCTAGGGCGGCACGTAGTACCTTACTAGACAGCTGTGTGTAGGCTGTGTTATGAAAAGCAGAGAAAATTGGTCAATGATACAAAATGGCTAGCTCGATAGCTGGGGTGAGAGGCTGTACATTGGTAATGTCGCCTTGGCCACCGTTGGCGAGTCAGTGACACCGCTGAGACCGAAGCGGCCGTATGAATGGAAGACATATATGCTTATTCTATCCTTGCCTGAGGCGAATCACGTCCAACAAATTCTTTGGTGCTATGAAAACGAATCGTGCATGGAAAGATCCGCCAGTGGCTTAATGGGAGATATGGTGTTGCAACGACGGGTCTTCTCTGACGTTATACTTCTATAGGATCCTCTGAGATCCTTTCCTGTATTATTCTATTTATACGTTAAAGGGGGCTGTGAGAAAATAAATATGCTATATACAGAAAGTATAATATATGTCACGGTAACGCCCATCTCGTTGACTGCGGTCCGTTCAATGTTTGTTCGATAGGCAATCAGAACGCGGTTTTTGCAAGCCAGTCGTGAACATACTTGAAGACGTCACGTGCCTTGTAGTGCAAGTTGAGATCGTGTCCCATTTGCTCCGGGACATAATAAGCGAAAGACGAAGCGTTCGGGAAAAGAGTCTGTGCCTGAGCAGGCAAAGATGAGTCTCCCTGGCCACAGTCTCCCAAAATGGTCGAGTTTCCGTAACAGAACGCTACATCCTGCTGGCCGGTCACGACAGTGACAGCTCCGGTGAAATTCGAAGCTACCGGGAACGTAATTGTTGCTAGTTCAGCAATGGCAGTGACACCCTGTTGGTTGTAATCACGACCAGTGATTGCAAGGTCGTATGTATCATTTGTGCCATACATAAAGTTTCGCCGGCCCTCTTCGCTGGAGGTAACAATGTAGCCAGTGCTGCGGTCTGCAAATTTGGAATTGAACGTAGCAGCCGGTACTGTTATCCCCATGCTGACGAGAACTGAAGCGACTTCTTTGGAAAATCCCGTCAGAACCATGGCGTCATAACTGTCGGGATATGTTACCGCGATGGCGTTGCCAATCACTGAGCCTAATGAATGGCCAACATATATGAGTTTGTCGAAGGAATGAGAAAGCCACTTCTCTGATCTTAGTCCATCTGCAATGTCTCGAAGCATAGAAGCGAAGAAGGGAATCTGAGCCTCTGTAAACGGGTTTGGGGTACTAGAGTTTCCATTTCCAGGTCTGTCGATGGCCAGGGTAGCATATCCGTTCTTGGAGGCGAAGTCTACCCATGAATAGTTCTGCGGCTGGTAGCCAGGAAAACCAAGTGCGGACCAATAAACTTTGCTGTAAGTGATGCCGTGAACGAGGACCTGGATGGAATTCTCGCGGCCGGGAACCTCGACTTCAGGCTCGCAATACCGAGCACTGACGTTGACATTCTGAGTGACGGTGACGAAAGGTGCGGTCGACGACTTCAGAGCAGCTAATTCCCTCCCAACGGAGCTTACACTGTCGAGAGTGGTTTCACTGAACTGGCGATTCCGGCTTGTGACCTCCAACGGAATGAACAAATCATAGCAAGTTGGACCCGAGTTTGGGATAGTGATCTCCTTGTGGGTTGGTGTGGAGGAAGAAGGCAATACCAAAGCTGCAATCGAGGCAAGCAAGGAAGCCCTGCTCTTGGAGAACATTGTCGTTATCGTTGTCGCGGTATGAAACTGACAGGAGCGAAAGGAGTGTAGTCGTTATCAGTGCTCAACTTGACACCTCTCGGTTTGTTACTGGTTTATATAACCCGCCTTTCGGAGTGGGATTCCTTGCTTTACGAATAAATATTGGGCGTGCCTTACCGTGATCTTCGCGTACGCGTACACCATCCCCAGTTATAAATTGCTTGTACGTCGTAATGAATGATTGCCGAGACAATGCGGCCGTCGGTGGTATTCGGAACTATGAGTAAATGAATAATATATTACTACGTACTCCGTACTCCGCACAAAAGCTGGGCACGTTGTAGTCTATCTGGAGCTAATAGTTCCTCCGCCTAGAGTTACGGGGCATCTACAACCGGCGTTCGCCTTAGTCGGGACTGTTTACATCCGAGCTCCGCCATTCTCTCACTCCTCTTTTACAATCTGAAAATACGGAGTACGAGTACATCGTTTCAGGCGAGTTGTCGGTGGTCGCTACTAAATAGTCCTTCTGACCGCCGAGAAGTTCGCCATCCCATGACCTATGAAGGGGACGTTTCTGACTAAAATATGTTTGTTTACTTTCACTCCGTCGCGCTCCCGCGCCTGCTGTTTATCTCCATTGCCTTCTGTCTACCAACTGTTTCAGGGACTGATAGAGACTGGCACAGAGAGATTTGGTAAGTTTTGAGTTTTCTTTGCTTGATTAACACATCTTCAGGTCATGTGATCGAAAATTATATCATAAGATACTATGTTCTAAACTTAGCACAAACGAGTGGCTCAAAACGCTCTAACCATGTTATTGTCAGGACTCCGAAATAAAGAGGTGGCACAAACAAATGCAAGCAAGGTTGCTGAATCGGCTGTACCTTTTTTCATGTGAACATTCGTTAAAGCAAGGGCTCGGTCCACATGTACAGTTGTCCAATGGTAAATGACATCGGTTGAGCAAGTTTGCGCAAGTTTGAATCGATACATCCTTCATCTATTATCGAACGACATCGATTCTAATCCTTAGCACATGCCTCAACGAGGCGATTCTGCGCGAATACGTTCTAGTTTTCGCTAAAAAGCCTCTTTACTTGCCTGTGCATACAAAGCCTACCCACACATTTGTATTTGTCCTATATATCATGAATATAATATACATGAGTTAAGACCCGGAGTTAGAAGGTATAACACTCGCAAGCAGCTACTCTTCCATGGCCACGCATACATACAGGAAAAGTGTTTTTTTGCTATTAGCCACAGCACACGGTGGCTTCTGATGCAGCACTAGTGGCCCCCAATTTTGATCTTTCGTTTGTCACGTTAGCTTTTGTGTGCCGCCCATCTCGAGATATTATTGACACTCACCCGCCAAGGACTTCCCACTGGAAGATAAAACTACCGAGGTAGGAGCCGATGAAGATACATATGATAACGTAGCCATTGTAGTACATGGCAAGCCTGTAAGATGGTACCGATTAGGATCGGCTGCTGTTATGAATGGCATGGCTGTATAGCAGGGAAAAACACGGACAGCATGACAAAATATGCCACTGCAAATTGGAGCATATGCAAGAGCGCACGCACGGCCTGCTCAAAGATGGTGGGCCGGAAGCCGGAAGCGAGGACGGGATCGCAAGCCGGTCTTCCATGCTTGGGGCTGGCGGCCGTTAGGGCAGCATGGTGACGCCTCACGATGAAGCGGTCGAACTCCTTGACAGCCCGACGCAGCATCTCCAGGCTCATGACGAGACAGATGACGCCGATGCAGGAGCCGGCAAACATGCCACGCGAGGTGATATGCCAGGACTCGGAGACGAAGCAGGCGTCGATAGTGTGCCAGTTCCACAGCATCTGCGAGAGAAAGAGGCGGTGAGTTTTCATCTTCTTGGAGGAGACTGACATGGAACGGGAGAGAGCCCACAGAGATCTGGCAGCTGTTGCTGCCCATGCTCATAGATGCAGCACTGCTGGTAGCAGCTGCAGCTGCAGCAGTGGTGGTGGCGGACATATCCATGGCGAGCAAACGAGCAGACGATTAGAGGATGTGAAGATAGAAGCTTGATTGAAGAAAAATAGGCACGGCTACACGCTGTAATTAGCATATTATCAAGCAAGTTCCTACGAATTGGGTCCTGACAAGGAGCGGCCATGAAACCCATATAAGCGTCTCCTCTGTGCCTAGGACATCTGCATCCAGCCACCAATATGTCTCCCCATATATCACCAAACCTGTACTGGTCGTCCCCATCGAGCCAAGACCGTTAAGACCTGCCGACGCCAAGCCTTTTCGTGGCCGCAATTTCTTCCATGGCCTGACTTTCAGAAGTAATATGGGCCTATGTGGTACTTTTCCTCGAACCTAAGAGTAAAGAGCTTTTCTATCTTGCGCACCTCAACACTTCGTGTGCAGAGCTTGTCTCGATACAGAAGAAGCATGATTTGAGTTGCCAGCAGTGCCAACAGTGCCTGCAAACTCTCACTCCATCAATGCTCCAAGTCGACCTGGTATAATCAGCATCTGTGCTATTACTAATTAGTGATATTTGTGTGCTTTCATGCGTGCTTGCCAAAAAAGGAAATCGTGGCGGCGCCTGCCTCGGGAAGGAACAACCCTGTTTAACTGTGCTATGCAGCTCACAGTCCACCGTCTCAACTTTACCTCGGTTATTTTCAATCGTTCTTGCGTCCTTATTTCTCCCGTCTTTGCAACCTTCTTGGCCTTCTCTATACTCCCTCATCCCAACATATCTGCTGCGTGCTATATATGTACCCTGTTTACGCCTTTTCTGCATCTTCTCTCCTGTCTGTGCTGCTCAAAGGCCCCCACCTAAATTGCTCTCGCATGGATTCTCATTGTGCAACAGCTTGCGGCTGATGGCAGGCTGCATCTTCATCGTTGCCGTTCTCCATGTCTGACACACCCGGACGCCAAGCCTGGTGGGGGAAGAGCCTCTGCAGAGTTATACGAACAGCCCTGGCGGAGCAAGCCGGAAGAGCACGAAACTCAAGACAAAGGTAGGATTGATCGGAACCGCACGACAAGACATGTGGCCCAGCCCAACCCATCGGGCAGCCCAAAGAAGTATTTAATACCTTTTAGCCTGTCAGAGTGGATACAAAGAGGTGCGATTGGATAGAGCTAATCATGCCGTGCAACAGCCAACCATCACAGTGCTACACCCACAACCGGAGGTGGGGAAAGATCATCATGGGGTTTCTTATTTTAGAACGGCGGGCGCCATTAGCTCAAACAGATCTCGTCGGGTTAGGAGTGACCAAGGGCTCTTGATACCATCGGGATATTCAAAGGAACCGAAAGACTGGAACCGAAAGATCACAAACAACGATCCGGCAAGAGCGAGAACACTATAATCGCCCAGAGAAAGTCGGTGGGAAACTCCGGCTGACTGCAAATTTGTTGCACTTTCGCTGCGCCTTTGTCTTGCTTTTGTTGTCTGCTCTAGTCTCGTCAAAAGCCACAGCTTTCAGCTTTGTCTAGCGGCACACCTGACCACTATGGCACGTTAGAAAGAATTACGGAGAATGGCAAGGCAAAGGATTCAGAGAGGGAAAAAGAACAATTACGCCAAATATTTGTGGATGTCTGTCTAACCGTCAGCGCGGCGGGGCTAACTTGACAGCCATGTCAGATGCTTGGTACCCAAGTGGACAGAGGACAGACAAGCGACTAATATTGCATTGCCTGGTCTGACGGCAGACTGCTGACGGAGGAGCAGGTCGATGATCGGGCCCTGCGCCCTCGCTCGCCTCCCTGCCATCCAACGGCAGCCCTTTCGCTCTACACCCATTTTTCTCTTGTATTTTTTCTCTATTTCTTTATGCATATAATTCTATATCTGGATCCCACTGCTGCTGCAGGATTCTCTTGGCGTTTCTTGACCACTCCCCTCACTGCATCGCCTTTGTCGGTTTGCACCACGAGCGACATGATATAAGCCGCTTGTTGGCCTTGCTCTGCGATCGGTTCTTTTATTTTTCTCCCTCACCCTCAACCTCTTGCTCAGTGTGCTCCTCAATCATCTGAGACGTAACGAGATACCCTTTTGCCTGTCCATACAGTCGTCAGAAGCAATGGCAACTCCAACAACTTTCCTTGCCATTGCGCTTGGACTCCTGGCCATCGACGCCGCCATCGAGCTTGGCTTTGTCACCAGCATGGTAGCTTTCCTTCATAGCGGAGCTCCCAGCGGTGTCTACGAGGTGCGCTCGTCGTCATCGACCTCAACTTACAACATCTCCGGCGTCCCGTTGCGTCTCCTCGTCAACCAGGGCCACACCAGCAACGGTGCTGCTGGAACCGCGTTGGTTCTGATCTGCATCGTCGGTGTCATCGCATTAACCGGTCGCCGGCTTCTGCTGTCCCCTAGCAGCCGCAAAGGCGGTGTTAGTGCTACGCTGGCAGCTGTGCTCTACTACGTCTGGGTCGCCCTTCAAATCCCGGCGCTGCTATTGACTGTTGGTGCTCTTGGCTACGTCTTTACGGTCACACACCGCCACAGCGGCCAGACCATCGACCAGAACGTTGCAGCCCAGATCCATGATGCCGCCACTCAAAAGTATCCACTCGACTCCTGGACACCACAGAGCTGGTTTTCTGCTGTTACCGAACAGCTAACATTCGTCGACCCCGGCCTGCGTGCCAATCTCATCCGCCACCTTCGCATCATGCGCGGGTGGCAGTACAACCTGATCCCGTTGTTTCTCCTGCAGCTGGCCGAGACCATTGCCGCGATTCTCGATTTCCGTCACTGGCGCAACGGCTCGTATAACCACTCGTACAACCGTAAGCAGAGTGGCAGCTACGACGGACCCCAGACGTCCCAGGTCTGAGAAAGAGGAGTCGACAGGCTTACGCCGGCCTCTGACAGAGGTCGTTAGCATTGTGTGTATATCGTTGACATAATATCTACTTGTTAGCAATTTGCTGCGGATCTATGTAGCAGGGTAAAAATATATTGGCAGTGGCAAGTCAGCCACTGGAAACTACAACTAATGATTAGCAACAAAATATTAACACATCCGTTTCGCTGTTCCTGTCAGCTGTTATAGTGACTCGCTGGTCCTCGAAATAAACAATACATATTCTTTGCACACGATTGGCTCCTTCCGTCAAGGTCTATTGACTGGTGTGAAGCCTCTGACTCGCGGAGGTATGCCTCCCTTTTCAGCCCGTAGTAGCTCAGTAGCCAAGCAGACGGTCGCCGCTGATAAGGCCCTTGATGCTGGACTGAACATTGGAGAAGCGCATGAAGCCGCACGCCTCGCTCTCCAAATGGTTGATGAAAGCGGCCAGTGTCTTGAAGTCCTGACGACAGCTCGTATGCGGACAATGATACAGCGCCCGTTGGTCTGGCTGGTGTTAGCGAGAACATGGACAAGAGGGAAGGTCGTGGACGTACGAGCACCCGAGCCGAGATGCTGGTTCAGAGATTGCAGCGAGCGGAACTCGCGGTTGCACAGGAAGCATTCGTAGCCTCTACCGTTCCAGGCTTTCGCGGTGGCCTCCACTTGGGATGATCCCTTCTAGCCGATCAGCTTCTTTGAGATGCGCCCGCCCGTATCCTTGGACCGCATGAAGCGATACAGCTCGTCGCGATTGAGCTGGGTCGCATTGGGACAGGCTCCCCGCTCGAGATGATGGGTCACGCCGGTGGCTGTCGTGAGGCGGGTGGCACAAAAGGGGCACGCCATGTTTTGGCCCAGGTGGATGCGCGAACGGAGGTGCTGTGCGAGGCATTATGTGTCAGCAGTAGGCCAGAGAGGAGAATACGAGGGACGAGACGACAGCAATCAATGGAATGGTGGGACACACAGCTCGAAGATTGGCTTCGGTCTGGAAAGAACGGTTGCAGTCTTGGCAATAGGGTTTCTCGTCCTCAATCGACTCAACTGACTCGACCGAGCCATCAACCGAGCCATCAACCGAGCCATCGACCGAACCATCGACCCCTTCGTAATGGTCTTTGGCATTCTGATGCTGGCTGAGCGCGTGCCCGCTGTTGAAGCTGCGCTCGCAGACAGGACAGTCGTAATACATGACGTAGTTCTGGGGCACAGATGGCGATTGATGAGCGATAAGTGGAAGGGTAAAGCTATGGAATGGAGAGAGCTCAGGAGAAAGCGTTGTAGGTTGCTGCTAAAAGTCTGGGCAATTAGTGCCAAACGGCCGTATTAGAGAAGGAGAAGCAATCTCCAGCTCTTCCGATATAAACGGCGAACAGGAGACCGTCTTGATGTGATAAGTAAAGGAAAGGAAAGAGCGACCCACTCGGACAATCTGCAATGATAGCTCTTACTTCTTCGCCTTGGTACTCCGTACAATACATAGTACGGACTACGGAGTACTCCGTGCTGCAAAATAAGACGACAATGAGTAGCTGTGGGGGGTCCCTTACTAAACACAGCTCGCGCAAATCGCAAGGCAGGGGCAACCAGCGCACATGGGATCAAAGAAGGTGGAGAGCGATTTGCTACATATGCGTTTAAACGAGCGAGCTTTTCGTACTTGGTCATCTACGTATATCCACGTCTGTTCTCGTCCTCAGTCTTCGAGCAAGTCCGCCAGCAGGTCGCGCCGCTCCTGCAGCCTCCTGCTCTTCTTGGACCGCCGCTCGCCGGAGCGACGCTCTCGCTCGGCCGCGCCGACAATCCCTGTCGCGTTGACGCTGACGTCAATGACCCGCGGCTTGTCCGGCTTTCCGCTGCCGCCAGCTCCTGCGCGGCCGACGCGCGCCGCCCGCACGACACGCGTCTTGGCCCCGAGCGCCCACAGGTCGCCCCAGCGCGCCTTGCGCGCGTCGTGGTAGGCCTGTCGGCTCAGCGACCGCGGCACCGTCCAGCGCTCGAGCTGACCGGCAGGCGTGCAGACGTCCAGGATCACGTGACCGTGGCGTTTCAGCGGCGCCAGAATCGTGCGCGGAAGCGAGAGAGGATGGGGGGCTACGGCTGCGGCTTCGCCATCACCACCGCCCTCCACCTGCTCGTAGCCGGCAAAGGCCGCGTCGGCTGCCTCGCGGCCCTGCAGCAGCGGCTGCAGCGCGATAGCATCGTTCAGACCCGCACTTGCGTTCTGCTTGCCTCGCTGCACGGCCACGTAGCTGAAGTCAACGTCCTCGTGGTTCCGGTGCGACCGGCCCAAGATCTTCTGCAGGAACGGCGGCCGGATGAAGCGCTGGCTGAAGTGGCAAAAGTCCTTGCGGCCCGCCGCGATGCCCGGCGTCAGGTACATCGGGCACTTGCCGTGGGTCGTGCACGGCGCAATGATCATCCCCGGCTCGCGCAGCCGTTGGCGTGGCGACGACACGGCTTCGTCTTCGTCCTCGGCCGTGTCCTGCGTCTCGGCTGCCTCCTCTTGGCCCGGCCCCAGGATGTAGTCGTCCAGCAGACGTTGACGGGCGTCGGCCACCGCCTCAAAGCCGCGCGGATGGCCCTTTTCCAGAATGATCAGCACGCCGCCCTCTGGGTTCAGCTGTGCCCACAGATTCGCCACGAGTGACCGCCGCTGGTATGCCTTGTATAGCGGCATGAGCATGTGGCTGGCCACGATCACGTCGTACGTCTTGCGTGGCTGTAAGCTGGCCGGCGCGTCCAGGTGTCGCTCCACGTTGGCTGCCGAGTGCAACAGATCTGGCAGTCGTGGTAGAAAAGTCGTGTTGTGCAGGAAACGCGAGATTCGGTGCCGCAGCGCGTCTGAGCCCACAACCACCATCTTCTCCGACGATCTGCGCTCTCGCTCGCCCTCGCCTTCAGCAAAGCCTGTCCGGTCAAACGGCGCTGCACCACGCTCCCGCAGCGCTGCCACCTCTGACCGCAGCACCTCGTTCCACGCCGCCAGCGCTGCACCGCCGCCGCCGACATCAAGCACCCGCAGGCTGCTGCCGTTGCTCTTAGTCAGCAGGCCCTGGATCCAGCCTGATCCCAGCCGCCGCCGCACCTCCACCAGCGCACTCATCGCTGTCGCGTACACCCCTGGCATCACCGTCGAGATAAACGTGTCCGCCTCAATCTCCGACATCCGCCGGTGACCTGCCTCCATTGGGATCGCTTTCTGTCCTGCTCCGATCTTGCCCCGTGGCGATGCTGGTGAGTGCGGCAGCCCTCGCCCGCCAAAGACCTTCTCGGCTGCCTCGCGGATGTGCTTCGAGTCTGTCCGTCGCAGCAGCTCACTTATAGGCTCAACAAAGGCCGCCTTCGGCAGCTGCAGCGTCGTCGGGTTCGTCCGCGACCGGTTCTGCACTGTGAACGGGTGCAACCGCCCGAGAGCGCCACCACCTGCTCCAAATATCGCCCCTGGCTCCTCGTCCTCTTCCTCTTCTTCCTCTCTGTCCTCTTCCTCGTCCTCTTCTTCTTCTTCTTCCTCGGCAGGTTCCTCTTCTCCATTTTCTTCTTCTTTCGCCACTCGTGCCGCCTCTAGAGTGGCTGCTTCAAAGTCGCGCTGCAGCTTCTGCAAAGCGTTGAACTCCCTCTGATTCCGTACGACGGCACTGATATATTCCACCTCTGTGTTCTCCAGCGGCTGTCCGACGGCCTCTGTGTCGACATCCTGTCGTAGCTGCAATCCTTCAACAGCATAATCCACAACCTCTAGCTCCCCTCCATCGGTCTCTCTCAGCAACGTGTGCTTCCCCTCATCCAGCTGGTGCTGCAGCGTGATGCGTACATCCTCTGGACGGGTGTCATGCAGAGGCGAACCATAGAGCCGTTCATACAGCTTGTATTCCTGGCTGGTGAGGTAGTCTTTGGGTAATGTGTCGCCAAATGTAGCTCTAGCCTGTCGCACGACAGCTTCAATCTCTTCCGCGTCAGACACACCACCGTCTGAGGCTTGTTGACGTATAGCGCCACGTGACGTCGAGAAGGAGCGAAGTTGAGCGACCTGGCGACCGAATGAGGCTCTGGAGCGCCCTGAAGCTGCTGCCGCAGAGAAGCGTCGCTGCATACCATCTCTCTTCGCCGCAGCCGTGACGCCGCTCTCAAAGACCTGCCGCAGCCATGTCTGGTACCGCGGACATGCTCGCTGAAGCTCCTTTCCGCTGAACATGGCGAGTTGTGCGAATTGTTCAGTCCAATGCCACGAGCTCAGACTTGCAAATCACAGTGCAGAGATTGAAAATTCCGGTAGCAGACGGATTTGTAAAGCACGTGACCATTATATAATCGCTGATAACACTAACCATATCAAGAAGCACGCAACAAGCATACATTACAGCATGACAACATGACGTCCAGCGCTGCCACTCACAGGTCGGCCAGCGTCTTGAAAGTAGGCCGGGGCTGAGCAGGGTTGCGAGCCGGGCCGCTTGCCTTGCCACTGGAAGTGCCAGCCGAGCTGCCGCCGCCAGAGCCAGCTGTACGTATCGGAGCAAAAGCAGTATTGATCGGTACCGTCGGATTGTGGACATTGAACCGTGAGTTCTGAGCAGCCATGTAGCCATCAAACTGCATAAGACTGTTCAGCACATGTTCGGGGAATGCACCATGCACGAAGCTGAGAAGGCGAGAGGAGAGAAACATACAGAAAACAGGGAAGTAAAGTAAAGGCCGAAAAACGTGATCAGCGCATTCACCATTCCGTTCAGATCCCATCCAGCTCTTCCATGGATAGGGCCTGCTGATGGACGACGTGCCGCCGTGCCTCCGCTGCTTCTGCTGCTGCCGGTGTCGGCACCAAGGGTCCGCCCAGGCGAAGAGAAGACGGCGCCCATCGCGGCACCCGTGGCCAGCTTGACAGCCTTCTCGACTGCCGCCGTGAGCGCGGGCGGGTTGGCGCCCTGTATGGTGTCGACGACGGATCCGTTGTGGAGGATGAGGAAGGTCGGCATGGCGCGGACGCCGTACTGCTGGGCGACCTCGCGCTGGTTGTCGACATCAACCTTGGCAAAGGTGATCCGGTTGGGCTTGGAATACTTGGTGGCCAGCGACTCGAACGTCGGCGCAATCATCTTGCAGGGGCCGCACCAGTCGGCATAGACTGAAGACAAGCAAGCCATTTGTCAGCCTCGAGAGACTAGTAGAAGAGAGAGAGAGCAGGGACAGGAGACTCACAGTCGGTCACGACGATGCTCGAGGAGCTGAGAATCTGGCGCCACTGGGCTGCAGAGCTAATGTGAACAGCCATGATTGCTTGTTGGAGGAAGAAGTGTACTGTTTGGTATGGTGCAAAGACGTCGTAATGTCGACAACGTGGAAATGCGCGGGATTGTGACGTGAGATAGACAAGGCCACTAAGGCGTCACCGGACGCTGAATAAGGAAGGCGGTGAATATTTTCAAAGTTTCTGCCGCCATTACTTCCTTGGACCCAGTTTTGCAGCGAATATTCGAAAAAAGAATGAAATCCGCCCAGACAACTGCAGACAATTGGCGGCTATACGAACAGCACACTCTGATTTTCTCGAGATGTCTTACGGAGACGGCTTCAAGGTGAGCCTGAGAATTGCTGTTTTTATTTTGGTCTCAGCGAATGGCTTCCAGTGTGCTCCCCATCACATGGAGCCCACCAGTAAGAGGCTTGCAGCAAAATGCACAACCATTCTGACTCGACGCAGAGGCGGAAGGTGGAGGCCAGTGAAAGCCAAGCCATGGCGTTTAACCCGTCCACACGATTCCAAGCGACAGGAGGGCGGGAATGGACCGTTTCAGTGGCCATCCCGACCAGCATCCTTTCAGAGTAGGTGTTCTGTCGGAGCTTTTCTTTTCTAGAGCTGTGTGGCTGACACGAAGTCCAAGCTGCACGACGTCGGAGCAGCGGATAAACGCACCGTCACGGGTGGCGCGGGCGCTGGCAGCCTTCTCGATCGACGAGCTGGTCATATACGATGACAGTCCGATGGAGTCGCGGCCCAAGGCAGTCGACCACGACGGCTACACGGGCGACACAGACCCGAGCCACTACCTGTTCCACCTGCTGTCGTACATTGAGGCGCCACCGTTCATGCGCAAGGCGCTCTTCCCGCTGCACCCGAACCTGCGGCTGCAGGGTCTGTTCCCGAACCTGGAGATGCCGCACCACCCACATCGCGACGAGCATCTGCCGTATATGGAGGGCCTCACAGTGGCCGGCAAGCCGGACGCAGGCCACAAGACGCTCGTCGAGCTCGGGTTGCGCAAGCCAGTGTCGATCAAGGAGGAGATTCCGGTCAAGACGCGGGTGACGCTCCGGTTTCCGCGCGAGTCGTTTGAGGACGGCGAGGCTGTCGATCCGGCCGCGCCACGCACCGAAGCCGGCTACTACTGGGGCTACCAGCTGCGGCAGTGCTCCTCGCTCTCGGCCGTCTTCACCGAGAGCGCGTACGAGAACGGCTATGATGTGAGCATCGGCACGTCTGAGCGCGGCTTGCCGACGTCGCAGGTGTTTCCGCGCGCCACCACCGGCACGCTCGACTTCCAGCACCTCATCGTCGTCTTGGGCGGCCCGCGTGGGCTCGAGTATGCGGCCATGAACGATCCCGACCTCGCCGGCGTCGGCATCACCAAGGCCAACGTGCGCGAGACCTTTGACCACTGGGTCAACGTGTTGCCAAACCAGGGCACGCGCAACATCCGCACCGACGAGGCCGTCTTCATCGCCCTCATGGACCTGCGTCGGCTATGGTCCGACGCCTGAGGTGTGGGATGGACATTGTGCTCGTGTATATATCGTAGCGCGGATTTACGTTGGATTTGTTGAGTTTTTGTGTTTTTGGACATTCTGGTTTTCGGCTCATGTCTTTTGCCTTTATTTTTGGCCCCTTTCTGGCAGTGCTGCCGACCGGTTCACACAGGGGCAAGGTGTACGAAAAGTGATTCCTGTTCTTCGTTCGTCTCATGAAAGTATCGGAATAGAGGTTAGGGTTCATGGTTTTTACCGTGTGTTATTTTCGACCAACTACTTGGATACAGATAACGAACATGTGTGTGCCTGTTTGTCTTTCTCGCCCTCCCTTCCTCACAGCCCACTGTCGATCTGATCAGGGATATGTGTCTTGGTCCAAGACGCCCAGTCGCGACAGGTCTGCGCCATGACGCTGGGGATCTGGAGGTCCTGGAGTTTGCTGGGCTGCACGATGAGCTGAGAAAGGAAGCCCCCCGAGGAATGCCAGGCGATGTGGCAATGGAACGGCCAGACGCCCGGGTTGTCGGCGTTCATCTGCAGCACCAGATGGCCATTTGGGCGGACGATCTGCACGTCCCGACGCATCGGGTTGGTTGATTCCACGATGGTGCCATCCCATTCGCCGGGGCCTTCGTGCAGGACGTAAAAGTCGCTTCCATGCAGGTGCATGGGATGTCTATCAGTCAGCACTTGTTGTTTCTCTGTCTGTCTGTCTATTTCCGCCACGTACTGGGATGGGCTATGGTTGTTGACAATCATCCGCACCGATGTGCTCGTGTACAGATTCCGGGCATTCCACTCTTCCGGCCAGCTGGTGTTGCCCAGACTAGCTAGCAGCAAAGTCGGTGCGTTGTAGTCGCCGCGGAAGCTGACGCTGTCAAACTTCCACAGCGTCACATTGGACCCGTTGACAAACAGCTCTACATCAAAGTCATGGGTCCAGCTGGCCGCCGGCAGCTGCTGTGCAAAGAGCGGACGCGTGAGCTGCAGGTCGTCATTAGCACAGACGCTGGGATCGGGCACATCAGGACCGCTCCAGGGCGAGCTCGACGGCACAGGGAGTGCGACAGCGGTGACAGAAGCTGCTGTCGTGTTCGACGGCTGGACATAGTGCACGGCCGCCAAGGCGCGTGGCTGCCTGGCCGTCGAGCAGGAGGCGATGCTGCTGCGCATCCAAAAGGACGAAGACGTATTGGCGGTGCCCTGGTCGGCCGTGACGAGCACGTCGGCGCGCTGACCAACGCCCAGGGTCACCAGCTTGGTCTCGTACGGCTCAATGGGCACGAAGTCATAGGCGATAACCTGGAGGGTGTGGCCGTCGATGGAAAACCGCTGGAGGCCCTCGGCACCGGTGTTGGCCAGACGCAGGCGGTGCACCCGGCCGGCCTCGAAGAAGAACTGGGCCTGGCTGGCATTGCTGGTGCAGGGCGTGTCGTCGCCAGCGGCCTTTGTCGCACAGTCGAATCTGTTCTTGCCGTTGATCAGGTTGTTGTCCGACGAGACCTCGGGTTGGCCGCCGGGCGCCAGCATCCTCGAGCACCGTGTAGTAGTCTGTGTGATACCAGTTTGGTCACGTGTTGGGGATGAGTCAGCTGGGCCTCCAGAACGTCTTGGGAGAGGAGAAGGCCATCATCACCACTTAGCAGGATTGGGCCCACGTCTACATCGTAGGGCTCCTCGGTGGGACCGTAGATAATAAGCGGCCCGAGGAGACCGGCACCGTACTGCGCCGAGTAGTGCGCGTGGTACCACGAGGTGCCGTACACGGTCACCTGGAACTGGTACGTAAAGGACGCGCCGGGTGCAATAGGGCACTGCGTCGCTGCCGGCACACCGTCCTCCCAGGGCGTTCCCTGCTGCGGCAGGCCGTGCCAGTGAATGGCAGTTCCCTCTTCGGGGCCTCGGATCTTGTTGTGCACAGTCACTTGGATGGTGTCGCCCCAGTTGGCTTCGATGGTTGGACCGGGAAACTGCCCGTTGACCAGGATCACCGGCATCTCGTAGCCATCTGGAGCGAGGGTCCCGCGGCTGACGGTCCACTCATACGACCGGATCACGCCAGTGGTCGGAAAGTTCGCATAGGCATCCGTCCCGTTGGCGATCAGGCTTCCCTAGGGAAAGCCCTGTGGCAGCGGGTTGTTCGTCAGAAAGTGCGGCAGCCTTGGAGCTGACCTGGTACCAAACACCGATCCTCTTGGCCACAGTCAGTCATTGGGGTAGAAAACTGCACTCAGCAGCGGACAGAGGGGATGTAACGACAACGCACCCGTTCGTCTGGGACTGCGAGAGTGCTGCTGTCAGGTGCGGCAGCAGACCCACGATGAGCCCATGTAACCAACCCATCTTGAGAGGCGTCGATTTGATATTGCGCCGGAAGAAGACAGAAGTTTTGGCTCAGACACTGCACACTTCAGGCTGCTAATACTCTATGGCACACATCTCGACAGGAGAAGAACTGCAGCCTCTGGCTTTATATAGCCAAAGGCACGTTCACTATCTCTTCATACATAGCTGTGATACATGCCGTCTGCCACTGATTTCGCTCAGCTCATAGCGGGAAGAAGTGTGTAAGAGTGAGTAGTACAAAGCACGGCCACATCCTGGAAAAATGGCTTCTGTAGGACGCCTAGCCTTGCACAAGCAAGCACCCAGCACCCGGCAAGGGCAAACTGGATTGTCGTCACCATGTCTCAGGCTCTGATACCAATTGCGTCGGGGCCTTCCTTTTCGACACGAGATCGCTGTTCCGACACTAATAAGACGGAGCTCTGGAGAGTCCGGACTCTGTGACGAGAACACAATGGACACAACACACATCGGCTGGCACAACATGCTTTTCGTCTGATAAAGGCATACAACATATACGTTGTATCGTTGTCGGTGGGTCGAGACAGGGGGGAAAAGGAGCCGAAAATGAAGATCGGCTTGGTGTGCCCAAGAAGATCGGGACGCATTCTCGCGGACAGTCCACAAGGCATGTGCAACTGAGAGCTCCAGCCCCTTCTGTGTCAACCAGATAGTCCTGTATCCACACGACGCAGGCACAGAAACGGGGGTGTGATTCGACCGAGTTCTAAACAACGAGAGTGATGGGCCAGGAAATGAGCCCCGGTCATTGAAATGGCAAATCATCACGGATTGTTGATGAAACCAATACGCCACAAATAAACCGAACACATATCCGGTCTATTGGCAGCTGTCTCTGAGATCTGTGGCAATCCGCTGCCAAGAGCGAGAGATGTTGGGGAAAGCAATGTCAACATACACCCACACCATCAAAAGACGTCAAACTTCAAAGAAGCCAACCCTTGGCTTATTTGACCTGAGGTCTGTGTGACTAGCGGCGCGGTTCTCCAGGAAGCGAGGCTTCCGAACGCACCTTCGAGTACTCTTCGAAGCTGTGAAAGCTGAAGTGGCCCAGCATATTCAGTGCCACCAGACTCACGCACTGCTACCCAACTCAGGGGAAGTCAGCTGCTGCAGTCTGCTTTGCGGAAAGCTTGTTTCGCTCGCTGTGTTCATGCTTGTGCGATTGTTGTACGGCAGAGCTCGTAAATTGCGACGTCGTCTCCAGACAAGCAGACTGCGCTGTCCTGCCTATTGTTTCCACAATGCTAAGCACGCTCCAACACGAAGATCTAAATAAGAATTCAGCAACACAATCCATGCTGCCAAAATTGAAGTTACATAGACTGTTCGGGGAGAGTGTCTAATGCGGACCCCCAGCACACGCCGGTCTTTCTCCTCTTCTCTGGAGCCCTTTCTGTTTAGTTTTTCTCTCGCAAGATTCTCGTATATACATCAGAGTAGAGGCTGTCGATCGATGCCCCTTTTGGCAAAAAAAATCAAACAGCAAGCACGGGTTTCGCTGGCACGACATGCCGGTCAGTGAATCAGAGCACCAAATTCGCAGCCTGTCGGTCGTCTAGTCCGTACGGTTTGGCCGTGGCCGATAGGCTGTCTCAGCAGCCATTATCCATGGCCGCCGACGAGCATTTGCGTAGGCTTCTTGCACAATCGGAGAGGAGTCGCTACGAATGACGCTGCCGATAGACATGAAGAATCTGCGAGAACATATCAGCACAGAACACAACGAGCCACGGTCAACACTGCCAGAGCCACACTCACCCAAAAGTCGCCCCGGACGCCGCCATATATTGGCCCAGAGTCCGCATTATGCCGTTTACGCCGGCGCCGTACCGGAAGATGTTGACGGTTCCTGTGTCGGTCAGCATTTCTCGCCATAGAGCACGTCGCAACCACCACCTCGCCGCTGCATACCGTAGATAAATCCAATGATTACACCCACAGCTGGTAAGAAATTAGCCAAGACACCCCCGCTCTTCACGTCGGGTTGCAAACGGGAGCAACATACTGCCACCCATCATGGCGCCCATCTTGACTGGAAAAGATCGTGTTAGCCAAGCCAGCCAGCCCAATGTACATCTCTCGCATCCTTTGGAGAAGCGGCTACTCACGCTTGTCGGAGGTTGAAGGGCCCACTGCATGGCCGGTGCTGACGGGAGGCATCTTGAATTGTGCTTGTAATAAATGAGCTCGACCGACGTCTGTCTGGCTTCTTTGGTAGCAAACAGAATGTATGGCGTCTACCGGTTAGCTAGAGCTGCGTGGTGACGGGGCGTTTTGCGCACCTGGTGGAACTGTCGTCGCAAGTTTTTTTAGGTTCCCATCCTCGCAATTCCATCTCCTCACTAATATTGCAGCTTCCGATTATCGTGACAAGTCATGCACGGACCATATCCACTAAACGCTTGGGCCAATGACAATCTGCAAATCAGGACAATGATATACATTAGTGAGATACGGCATCGTACACCCATCTGCCTAGCAAAACAATGTCCCTGGGTATCGCGGCTGTACGGAGTACATCACGTGTTTGGGCTCACCACTTAATCTTCGAGTACGATGGGAATGCGGCTGTTTGAAGCCCGCTGAAAATGCGAGGAAATGAGCCCAAAAGGCGGGCTTAAAAAATTGAAACGACGAGCGCCCAACCCTAGTGCCAACTCCCTTGCTTCCGCCTTGTTTTTGTTTATCTGTGCTCCTCTCCGTCCCCTGTGCGTTTTATTACTCCGCGCCTGGCAAAAGGAGAAGCGGCAGCTCCAAACGGGTGATGGCGCGTGTCTGATGCAGTGGCAGCCAATCTTATCACGCTAACCCTTTAGCTAAGCCTTTAGCGAGGGTGTGAAAGGTGGAGGGAGAAAGGAGGAAGGAGCGACAGCAACCCGGGACATGTTTCCCGCCAATTCCTCTCTTCAAGGTCTCCTCTTTACCAAAAAAGGTGCCAAAAAGCATCGAATCCAAAGAAATCATACTAAGCTGGACTGGGCTTCTATCAACAAGCCACGATTCCTGCACTTCTATCCCTTCCTTTTGGTGAGTTTCTGACTTTCCCACCTGCGGCCAAGCATTCTTTTCTTCTACGCCCGTCGCGCCTGCAGACGCCGTGCGCCCATCTGCTTTCAATTCGCCAACCGCCCAGAAAAAAAACCCCAGCGAAATCCCTGACACTCTTTCCCACTCCGACCGAAACACGTTTCTACTCCTTTTTTCTGCCTAGTTTCTCGCTGGCTAAACTGACGTTCTTCCCACTTTGTCTGCTCCAGGCGCACACCAACTGCTTTGCAATCATCGCCAGCCATCGGAATACCAACTCGACGCACATTACATGACCGCCTTATGCTAGCGCCAGTCTCGTGTTCGCTCCGTTCCTTACGTCAGTGGTACGTGAGTCGAGAGAGAGGGCACACGAGCAGACGCGACATCGACAGCATCGCCTAGGCTTGCCATTCTTCTCCCCGTCCCCGCCCTATTCTCCTATCGTCTCCGGTTCGACACATACTCCATGACTGTCGTTGCAACGCCACCCAGCTTCGCCAACATCAACCGGCCGGCATGGGGTAGTGGAAGCAACGGTCCCATCAACCACGACGAGGTCAGAGGCATGTTTGCTCCGCGCAAGACAATGCAGCGGACAAACTCGTCGTCCTCCATCGCCTCCAACTCGTCGACCTCGTCGACCTCGTCCACATCCACCCTCGTCTCGTCGAACGGCTCCATCAACGGCGGTCCTGTTGGTGGCGGCACGGCTACGCCCGTGGGCGACTCGAACGGCTTTCCCATCACCACCTTGCGCAAGAGGCCTCCGCAAAAATCATCATGGTCCACCAATAGGCCTGCAGAAGGGCCATCGGATTTTGTGCGAGGCGGCGGGGGTGGACAGATGCCGACCGCAGGGCTGAACGGCGCCTCCGCTATGCACCAGATGGCACCCTATGCCTCAGGCCAGATGCCCAATGGAGCCAACGGACTCATGGCCCGCTCTGCCGGCGAGTCGGCGCCTCCACAGAGCCAGCCGGTCCTGTACCTCATCTCATTGAACGGCACCTTTGACCGCAAGACCATCACCGTTCCCTACCATCCAGAGACGCTTCGCATCGGCCGGCAAACCAACAAGACCACCACTCCGACGACTGTCAATGGCTTCTTTGACAGCAAGGTGCTGTCGCGACAGCACGCCGAGATCTGGGCAGACCGCCAAAGCGGCAAGATCTGGATCCGCGACATCAAATCCTCCAATGGCACATTTGTCAATGGCACCCGCTTGTCTGCCGAGAACAGAGAGTCTGATCCGCACGAGCTACAGACAAACGACCAGCTGGAGCTGGGCATAGACATTGTAAGCGAGGACCAGAAGTCGGTTGTCCACCACAAGGTGTCTGCGAGGGTAGAACACGCGGGCTTCATCAGTCCATCGAGCAACCTGCTGGACATGAACTATGGCGACTTGGACCCTGCCAACAACTCCATGTTGGGGCCGCAGATTAACGGCATTCCGTACTACGGACGGCCGGGCAACCAATCGTCGCAGGGCACGGCAGGCCGAATGGCGCCGTCCACAAACATGGCCGTCCAGGCCAACGGGGCCGCTCTGTCACGTAACTTGTGGCTTACCGGTCCCTCAACGGAGGCGATTGTGAAGAAGATTCACGTAAGTCTGGCGTCTCGCCGCGGCTTCTCCATCAAGATTGGGACCCTCTAACAGCGAACAGCAAGAAATGCGTAACGCAAAGCAACAATCCAACGATCTCATACGCACACAGGAGTTCCTGAAAACCCTGCTATCGAAAGACGATCTTCGGAACGACCCCAAACGCGACGAGGCTAACGGCTCACGATCATCGCTAATGGTCAATGGCAACGGCCTGCCCTTCCGGACAGACGCGAAGGCACGCTTCTCCGACCCCCCGGCGCCTCCGCCGCAGCAGCCTCTGCCGGAAAAGCCAGATGTGCCATCGTTGAAGCGCGGCAGCACAGAGCGGCCGAAGTCTGGGTCTTATCCGAACTCATCCCCTGCCAAGCAAGATGCAGTGGGCCAGATGAACCAGCTGTCAGATGCATTGAAGACGGCCAAACTCGAGATCGACACTCAGCACTCTCGTGTGCGAGAGTTGGAGGATAAACTACAGAAAGAACAGGAGGCGAGAAAGTCGGCCGAGGAGCTGGCACGTCGACTTGAGGAAATGACGTCTGCTCGGCATATGAACGGGTCGGCATCGGGCCTGGCTGGTCAAGGCGCAATGCTTGAGGGAGCCTTTGAGCCACCGACCGCCGAGTCCGCTGCGGCGGCAGAAAGTAAAGCTGTGACAGGATTAACTGCCGAGAGCGGCCAAACAGCACGTGAGCTGCAAGCGCTCACCAACGGCGGGCTTGCTGGTGACAGCGTCATCCTCAGGAGTCATGTCGAGTCCATGGTGATGGAGATGGAGGGCATGAGGAAGCAGCTGGAAGAATTCCGGAAGCGAGCAGAGAAGGCAGAAGCCGAACGGGACGCCGACCGAGAGACGTTGGCGCAGATGGTGATGAGGATCCGCGAGCGAGACGAGCAAGACGCAAAGCTGGCCGCAGCTTCAGGAATAACCGGATCCACTGTAGCGACACAGTCGACACAGACGATCTCAAGATCACTGTCACGGGGACGGCAAGCATACAGCATCGGCCTCTTCAATCTGAGCAGTGTAGCAGATGCCGATAAGAAGGCAGCATCATCAGCAGCTGATGGGTCGAAGCACGGCGCAGAAGTAAAGGCGTTAGTGGCCAAGTCCCAGACGGAGTCGCAAAAGCAGGGCGAGAAGACTGCAGAGGAGCGTCCGACACTGTCGCGCATGAACACCATCACGCCGACGTCCAGCTCGCTCACCAAGACTAGCCGCGAACAGGCAGTCGCTCAAGCCATTCCATATGCATCCATGGTCGGCGTCGTCCTGTTGGGCGTGGGCTTGATGGCATACATCAACGGCTGGAAGCCGCAGGCTCCGCGTCTGGACTGCTGAACATGAACTTTTCTTTTTGGTGATGTTTAAGCTAGGCATCTTCAGAGTGTCATTTCCTTTGTCTCATTGGCGTCTTGAAGACTGCCACCCCCCATACAAACACACACATTTACGCACACGTACGCGACAAGAGAGAGAGCGAGAGAGCGAGAGAGCCAAGCCTGTTTCTGCCTGCGCAGCCATGAGACTTATATGGCACGGTTGACTGCACACGGCTTGGCCTTCTACGGTCCTTACCCGCCTGGATGTTTTCCATCCATTTTCCTTTGTCCGATGTCCTTTTCCTTTGTGGTTCACCTTTTTCTTTCGATTCTTAGAGACGATGGCTTTCCCCTGACCCTTCGCGGACTGTTCGTCATTTGCATTCGTATTCCCTCGTCCAGCGCATTGTATCATGGAAATCTGGTGGCAACCGCCTTGGTATATTGTTGGGGCCATTTTCTGTGTTTCCTCAGCTTATGCTGCTTGTCTGTTTGGGGAGTTGGGGGTAGGGTATTCCGGCGGGGAGGAAATCGGAAGATGAACGAGGCGTTCTTCTTTTTTGCGGGTTTCCACATGTATTCCTAAGCTTCATGTATTGTTCTCATCGCTTTGGCATGTTTCATTCGTGTGTTTATTTCCTATTGTGACGTCCAAGATATATGAGACGATGAAAGTTAGCTGCCGATGAAGATGGGCATGCAGGAACCAAACTGTAGGACAATCTTTGATGTGCTCAAGATGAAGGCTCGTTTGTTTGTTACTATCTCCTTTGCACGTTCGCCAGAGTACTGACCACGACCCTAGACAGCTCAATGATGGGTGGTATGCTGTAAGTATGAAAATCTCGGTATCTTGGTGCCATCCAGCTGGCCTGGCCGCGTTATCTTCTAGTCCTGTGGACGAATGGTGTGATACACTCGGTGGCATCTTGGCCTTGTCAGCAGCAGAGAGACGACAGAATCGTGGTTCGATTATTAAGGCACTATTACAGAGTTTCAAAGAACGGTTTAACGTGGCAGTTCTGCGATCCGGTAAAACATAACATGCATGTATGCAAAGTATAAAGACAGTCTACGAAACTAAGTACTGGGCTATACTCGTAAACATAGCAACAATCTGATCTACGCAATTTATGCAAGATATGTACGAGCGTTTACTTGACTGGGTCCTTGCCACCATACTATGTACGTGCTCTAACCCAGCCTTACGACGCCGTGATAAAAAACATGAGCTGACGTGCCAACTGTACATTGGACAACCGTAAAGCTCGTACGCCTCAAAGGATGCAGGCTGTCTACAGTCGTCGTGGTAATTGGCTCACGGTCGTGTCCGTACAAAGTACACGTAGCCACACCTATTTTTGTACGGTGGAGTAGTGGGTGTGTCCTTACTCTAGATCTCGGAAACAATAACACGCGTTCAGTCGCCTTGTCCAGGCGGTGCAAAATCCTGCCACCTCTTGGCACCTATTCCACACCAAAATAAAATAATAAATAATAACTGCAGCAGCAGGTGTTAAACTGGTGTTGCGTAGTTGCCCGTGCTAAAACGCCGTTTGAGGGAATATTGTTACCATAACCGAGAGTAAAAGGAGACCCAAAGAAAACAAACCAAAAAAAATCCAAATAAAAGCCGGAATGGATAAATAAATTGGATCTATAATACGGAGTAATCAAAATAAGAAAAACCCAAAAGTCCAGTGGCACCACAGAGGTCCGTGTACACCTTGACCGGCGTAAAGTGGAATACGATGCCGGCTATGCCGACGAGCTCACATCGGCCATTTGAAAATTTAGAGAAGACGCTTCATGCTTCAAGCCGAAGCCTGGATGGCTGACGTTGAGGCAAAGGAGAGCGAGAGTGATCATTCTGGAAGGCGATTAGCAAGTAGAAAAAGCGCAAAAATAAAATAAAAACTTACACGCTCTCAAGTCCGTAGAAAAGCCCCTCTTTGCGAATCATGGGACCGGTGTAGCCATCGCTCAGCTCGTCGATACGGTAGATGCAACGGACGAGGATGAAGATGACGGCAGCGGTCAGGAAGACAAGGAAGATGCGAAGCCGGGTGCGTGGAGCAGCGCGGATCTCAGCCTCTTTGCCATCATGGCTCGCGACGAAGTAGCGTACGAGGTAGTCGCCGGCAAAGCCGATGAAGATGGCCAGGGTGAAGACCTGGAAGGCCAGGCCGAAAAGTGACAGGTTGACGCCGGTCTGATTCCCGCCGCTGGTGATGGACGACAAGGCGCCGCCAGCAGCCTGAAAGACGAGCGAGACGATGTCGCAGGGAATGAAGAACCAGTAGAAGTACTTGGGGTGGAAGCGGGCCAAACCGGCATCCATGTACTCAATGCTATGGGAGCTCGTGTTAGCAGTGCATACTCCAGAACAAAGGCCAAGAGGGGGGGGCAGAGAAGCACTCACGTTCGAGCTAGCGTCACATAGATGGAGGCACAGATGAAAACGGGGGCCGTGGTGATGCAGACTGCAGCCGTGTGAGCAGGGAGACAGGAAAACGAGAGGTGGGAAATTCAGACGTACCGATCTGGATGATGAAGCCGTTAAAGCTGAATGGGTTGTTATAAAGGACGACGCGTCCGGCGTAGCCGATGATCTCGTCAATGCAGCCGATGATGATGGGTATGGCAAAGCTGCGCAATGTGTGGCGCCAAACGATGCCCTGGACAGCGTGGATAATCATGGACAGGCTGATGAAGGCGAGGAAGATGCCACTGGCCGCGGGAGCGGGCCGATATCCCAGGACACTGGCATCTAGGGGACATACTGCAAGGGTGCAGTTGGTGTCGGGGCCGTAGCTGACATAGTTGGCCGGATTGTACGTAGTAGAGGACATTTTGTTGAGGGCAAAGAGTGCGTAGGGCCGGAAGGGCCGGGAGAGGCAAGGCGAGCGGACCGAGATATACCGAAGAGAACTAGAAGCAAGCCGGAGAGGAGGAGGGGACAGGCAAGTTGAATCCGTCTGCAGCAGATCGCCACACGGGAAAAGAAGGGTGAGACAGGATGCAAGGATGGAGAAAGCAGACTGAACTAAGCACAGACGTGGATATCTGAGACGAAGAAAAAGACGAGGAGACAGCAGGATTCAGGAGACGGCCACCCGAAACAGATGCTCTTCGACAGAAACACGTTTGAAAGTCAAGACAGCGCTTTTTCAGACAGAGGATCGAGAAGTACGTCGGTCTTTATTACGGCGGTTTCCAATCCTGCGGACGAAGGAGCCTTGTCGTGGAGATGTTGTGGGGCGGCGTCGCGAGGATGGACCAAAGAAAAATTAGGGCCGGTAAGCGGAAGCATAAACGGGGGTGCGGCGGCACAAACAGCAAGACTGCGGCTAGCTACGATGCTAACATTGCCACTCTCGACGCCTGCTCCTTCTAGTGGTAGATGTCGTACTTTGCTGCTTATATTTCCGCATACCAGACGTAGGCGAGCGGGCTGGACAGTCAAGGTTTACCCGTGGGAAGGAGGACGTCATCCGCCTGGTGCTGCACTATGTAAGAGCCCAAAGGGCCAAAGGCAAAGCCAAGAACCCAAGCTTCGGACGCACATTGGCCCGGCTCTGCTGCTTGATGACCGTTGATCCTGTTCCTCCATTGCGTACTATTGAGGATGAGGGTTTCCAAAGGCAGCAGTCAAGGACCCAACAGCATCAGGCTGCCAACAGAGAAAATAAAGACATACGGAGTCGTAAGACTCCCCGGTCCGGCCGGCTGGTGAGCTTTTGTCGTGGTAGCGTATCCGATCCGGGGAAGTGGAAGCCTGTTTTTCTTGCAGTTTGCGCGAGTCACCCCGACGGAGGGTCGGCCTTATCTAAGCGCCTTATCTAGACGCGGACGAGAAAAGCGGGTCTGCGCGGCCCTTTGACGGGGGGTGAGGGAGGAGCGATCGAACGGGGGCGACTTGCAGGGCTTCAGATGACAAAGCTTCCACCGGCTGAATAAAATGTCCGCGGGACCTTCCCTCTCTCGCTCGCGTAAGCGAATACGAGTTGACCAGAGAGAGGGAGAAGAGTTGGTAAAGTGCATCCTTCCCGTGCCTGCATTGGACCCCGTCGACTTGCATGAACAGGACCAGTGAGCTCAACCCGAGGACGAGCATCCTTCTTCTTATGGAAGAGGAGACACATAACAGCAGCCGCCTACCAGAATTGTCTTCCCCAGCGAGCACCCTTTTTCTATTTGGACTTGACTAGGGACCCCCAAAAGGCAAAGGGCCGGCAACCCTGCTGGCCGGTTGGCCAATACAGCACCTTGGGGGGGGGCAAGCGGGGGGAGAAGCAAAGTTTCAGCGATAGAGGACTGCCAGAGAGATGCCTTTCAGCGCCGACGTCAGGACAGCCAAGTACCCGACAAAGCTGCGGAGGAACTACCCACGTTCCCGCAGCGGCTGTCTCACGTGTCGGCAGCGGAAGAAAAAGGCGAGTCAGTCAGTGACTTTAGGGGGGTTTGTTAGCTGACTTTGGGGCAATAGTGTGACGAGATCAGGCCGCATTGTGCTGGTTGTCAGCGAAACCAGCTGCCATGTGTGTGGCCGTCGACTGTGGCAGCAGTGACAGCAACAACGTCGTCATCGTCACTACAGGCTGCCGCCAAGACCAGAAGCGACAGCAGCAACAGCAGCAGCGAGACTAGCAACCATGAGAACAGCGAGCAAAACAGCAGCAACGTCATTAACAGCAGCGGGAACAGCAGCAGCGACATTGGCAATATTGCCAGACACCAGATCGACAGCGACGAGGCCACGGTGGCCGTGTTCCAGCGCAAGAACAGCTGGCACGACTGCCTGCCCATGTTGTCGGTGTGGCCCGGCCGAGATGGCCTGGAGGGCAGCAACAGCAACAGCAGCAGCGGCCTGGGAAAAGGAGCGGGCGCAAAGCGAGGAGCGGGAGTTATGAGCTCCGGTGTCTTGGGACAGGTCTCACCGCTCACTGAGAGCACAACGGCAGGCGATGAGAACGACAGCGGATGGGAGAACGCCGGGATAGATAGCGACAGCATGGGAGCAGCCGGCCCAGACAACAGACGGACCACCGATGCAGGCGTGGCAGCAGCTTGGTCAGCAGCGCTGGGCGTCTTCTCGGTGGCACCGCTGCCGGTGCAGTTTCGAAGGGTAGCCGCCATGACGCCCTTCTCGTCTGCGATGCTGCGGCGGTACATTGTCAGCACGGCGGCCGCGCTGGCAACGACGTGCGGAGCCGACAACCCGTTTTTAGCGGCGGTGCTTCCGCTGGCCTACACCGATGACCTGGTAATGCACTGCGTGATAGCACTGGGAGGAGCGGATCTGAGCAGCAGCAGCAGCAGCAGCAGCAGCAGCAACAGTAGCCGGGGCAAAGGGGGTGGTAAAGACAAGAGGCCTATGGGGCCATGTTCGGACAACGAGAACGCAGTGGCGATCTGTCGGCGCGCAGGAGCATCGCCATCGGCGCTGCACGAGGCGACAACTAGGCACTATGCCTGTGTGCTGCGCAGCCTGCGGGCAGCACTGCGCGACCTGCAGCCGACCGACACGGCGCGGGTGCTGCGGACGCTTCTGGTGCTGGTGCTGCTGGCCGTGTTTGAGGGCACGTCGTGGAACGTGCTGGATGGCGGTGTGTTTGCGCATCTGGGCGCGAGCCGACAGCTGATTGCGTGGCTGCGGCCGGAGCTGTCGGGGACGAGAACGACGACAACGACGGCAAGAGGAGCAACATCGACATCGGCAATACCAACGGCAGTGGCCGACGATGAGCGCAGCATGTTGGGCGCGCTGCTGGAAGTGTACGCCTACCTGGTGCTGGCCAACCGAGTGACACCGGACGGGACGATGGATAGCCGACGAGTGGTTGGGCCCGATGGCAGTACGGCCGACGAGGATTTTGTGCTAGACCCGTCGATGCTGGCGGACCAGCACTACTTTGGCGTGCTTTTTGCCGGCATGCACGACCTCTTTGGGCTGATCCCGCCGGTTAGCCGGCTGGCCGGCGACGCGGCTGCCGTGGCCTCAGCAGCGGCCGGTCGTCCGGAAGCCGTGCATGCCGACGCCGTGGCGCTGCGCAACCGTGCGCGTGCCTGGCAGCTGCCAGCAGCCTGTCTCGCCCAGGCAGCAGGCGACCAGGACCGCACGTGGTGGCGGGCCATCGGCGAGGTCTACCGCCACGCCCTGCTGGTGTACATCGAGACGGCCGAGCTGTGGGCCGGCAGCAGCTGCATGGGGCCAGCCGGCGGCGAGGACGAGGGCGAGGACGAGGGCGAGAGGAGCGGCGTCAGAAAACCCATCACCGGCGTTGCCTCGCTCATGGAGGCCACGATCCAGCGCCACATCCACGCCGTCGGCGAGGCCACGCTGGGCGATGACCTCGTCCACTCACGCTTCGTGCCCATTATCCTGTGGCCGCTCATGATCATCGGCTCGATCCTGGCCAGCACCAGCCAGCGCGCCTACCTGGTCGACGGCCTGCGCAACGCCCCCCCACCGTGGTCCCTGGGGCGGTTTGCGAGGAGCCGACGTGCTCGAGCTGCTGTGGCGCTGTCGCGATGCCGCCGTATCTAGTGCAGCCGCAGCGGCCAGCCAGCCGGCCGATCCTTGGAGTCTGCCGGTATACTACGGGCCATATGGGCTGGCACGGGTGATGCGGGAGTATAATATTAATTTATGTGTAATCTAAGTGTGTGAGGAGTGAGCGAGAAGAGTGAGCGAGAGGGGAGGGCGCACATGAGGAGAATGAGAGCGATGAAGAAGAGAGACACGGATCAGTAGCGACTGCTTTATTTGTGGCTCATTGGGCGTATGGAGATTGCAACATGACCAGCATTAGAGCATAATTGATTTGCATGAATTTTGCATTAAATAAACATAGTAAGCAATCATATCTGCACATGTATAATTCCAGAGCGATCCGTACAGAGAATGAAATGTGGTATCACATTTGGCCGAGAAACGTCAAGTCAATGGGAAGCATTATTAGAACGAGATAGAGGTGTAGGCGGTAGAGCCGAATCCAGAGGTTCGTTCAGGGTTTGGATCGGGTCGAGAGGACAGCTTGGACCTTTGCCCGTGGCCGCAGCAGCTAAGCGCACCTATACGCTGCTGCCGTCCAGCCGGCTGTCCTCATAGTTCGCCTTGGAGAAGCTGCCGTTGGTGCGGCCGGCCGATCGTTTGCTGCCACGACGGCCACGCCAACCACGGCGTGTCTTTGCGGGAGCACCGGCGTTGCCGTTGGGGCCAGTTGCCGGAGTGTCGCTGCGCTTGCGAGAGGCGGTGCCGATACACAGTAGCACGACCGAGATGAAAAGGGCGGCCAGAGCGGCCCAGCTGAAGCCAAAGGCATACTTGCCCAGGTGAGCTGAACGATTGTCGGCGTGAAAGACGTTGCGAGCCTTGACGAAAGTGGCACTGCTTTGTTAGACAAAACAAGAGAATAGGAAGAGGCAGAAGAGAGGCAATAAAAACAAAAAAACTTACGTCATCAGAGACACAGCAATGGTCAGGAAGAAGAGAGCAGTAATCGAGACCAACGAGCCGATCCCGGCTCCCAGACGGCCGCAGCAGGCCAGGAAGCTGGAGAAGAAGGCGACAATCTCGAAGAAGAGGGCGATGAGGTAAAATACCCAGCCGAAACGCCACATGTAAAAGTAAAAGTACGACGTCGTGTGGCCTCCATATTTTCCGTTCAGCCGCGACGGCGCATCGGTTGCGTGCGAAGCCCACGCCGCGCCAAACGGCATCGCCGGGTGTGCCTTGCCGCAGTTCTGGTTATGGGTGCCGCAGATGTGAAAGTACGTCCATTGGGAGAGGTCCTTGGCGCCGGCTATCCCTGATGTGTCCGCCTGCAGAAAATACGTGTGGTTGAGAGGTGTCCGGTCCTTGACGCCGCCTAGAATGACAAAGAAGAGCATCACGATCGAGCCGGCCAGGAAGATGGCGGACACCATTCCGAGTGAAGCATCTGATGGAATGTGTTAGCCTATATTCTTGTTTACTTTTTCGGTCCTTTTTTTCCGTAGGTATTCTTTTCCTTTTCTTCCGTTTTTTTTTTTTTTTTTTTTTTTTTTTTTTTTTGCATCCACCCTTTTCGACCTCCGGGTGCTCTCCTTGCACTCCTCCTCTTTCAATGCTTGACTTACGTCCAATCGCCATGGTGAGATTCGAGGCCCAACCAATTGCCCAAAAGGCGGTGGTATCGCGAGATGGATGTTTTGACGGTGATCCCTGGTCGAAAAGATCTCTAGAGTAGTGAGACAGCGGCAACTATATTTCTAGCCAAGAGAACGGAAATCGAAGATGAAAGATTAGAGTAGCGACAACCAGAACGGCAGCCTAACATGAATTATTATACGGGCACAGCTATTGGGATCACCTTGTTCAGTGACGACAGTGACCGAAGAACAGAGACCGGAAGAGTGGGGTCAATGACGACAAGCCTGTTCAGCGTTGTCCTAGCGCGGACCATTACAGCTGTGCATGCAAGGATGACGCGTGCGCCACTCCGATAGCAGGAGACTTGGGTGTCCGCATGCTCAGTAGCGCAGACTGATGTACACCGCTAACGCATCCGGCTCTTCGGCAGCCACTTTAGTCAGCCAACATCCACAAATTACCCGATGGGTTCTTAGCGAGCTGTAGCTTAAGCTTTCCCTTTGAGAAACAAGCGGGTCACGAGTACATCGACCGCCACTGAAGACTGGATAATATATGATGCATAGTTGCAAGTCCTAAAGGGGACAACCGGACAAAGAAAGCGATGACTTGTTTTTTTTCGCGTCTTCCACATTAAGTCTGTTTAGTTCCCTGTTCCCTTCAAAGCTGTTTGGAGAACTCGTCGGAGGCACGAGCAGGTCATCGACTGTTTAAACCGGCTGTCACGTGCTGCTCGAGCCCGCACGCCCCGGCTGGCTTCTTCGAGCACCAATGAGGGCCACTGCCACGTGAACACGCCGAGGCTGTGAAACAGGCCGATCACGGTTGCGACCAGGGCATCGGTACTGTAGCCAAGGGTTTTAGCCGCGCTGCTGATGCCATTGCTGCCATCGTAGCTGTCGTAGCTGGCATTGACGTCTTCTTGCACACCCACGTCGATCTGCATCAGGTACTTGACTCCCAGGTGCGTCACCTCCCAGCTGTCGGCGACCTGCAGTCGCGCACCGCCACCGGCCAGCCAAAAAAGCTTATCGACAACATCGCCCAACCGCTGGCGCATCACCGCCTCCGCCTCGTGGCAGCCGTCGGCGTTTTTGTATGGCCCGCCTGCAAGCAACAGGTCCTCCGGGATGCGGGTCAACCGGTGTACGTCGACGCGGGCGACGGGAAGGGCATCACTACTGCTTTCCGGTACCGACGGTGGCTGCCACTGCGACAACTTCGGGCAGATCCTGTGCATGAACACGGCCTGCTCGAGACAGAAGCAGGTGTGTATGTTGCGTGGCCAAAGCGCATCGGCAGTAGGGACAGGCTCTAGACAATCATCTGCGACCGGCTCGGCTCCTTGACAGCCGTTCCACACTGCGTGACTGCGCAGGAGAGCCTCCAGCCGGGCTTGACTCTGCGTGGCAGCCATGAGACAGGCCCACGCTTCTTGGTCGACCAGTACGTGACGGTACTTGGCCAAACCATGTCGATGGAGCCACAGCTGTTGCGCGTCGAGAAGCAGTGCCGTCTTGGCCCAGGGACAGGCAATCACAGCGGACTGCAGGGACTTGTTAGTCATAGAGGGGGCAAATAGCACAGATATCGTACTAGTAAACATACCTGGAATACAGGATCGCTGGCGTCGTCGGCGGTCTGCTGAGCAATGTGCTCCCACGTCGGTCCGAATGCAGCAACTACCAGCTCGGCGAGCGTACCCCGGCTGGAGAGCCGGAAGCCCAGAAGAGGGCTGGCCCGGGCCAGGTTGAGGTTCTCGGACAGCAGAAAAATGCGCTCGAGAATCTCGAATGGCAGACGGCTGTCAAATGGCGTCGACCGGCGCCTGACACGTCGCCGGGTCGGAGGGGGTGTCGGCGTTGCGGAGTGATTTATCTTGGAGGAGACTGTCCGCTTCCGCTTGCCGCGAACAAGGACCGGAGTCGGCGCCATGGAGGCGGAGATGAAGCTCAATCTCCAGGCGAGTATCTCAAGCCATCACCGATCATTGGGCAGTGGTGCTTTCAGGAGTCTGTCGGGATAGCCGAAAATAGTAAGCAAAAGCAGAGCCCAACAAGCAACACAGACACGCCCTCGTACGCCGTATTAAGGGTGATCAAGAGGTGGTTGCTGTGATCTGTTGTCGTTGAGTACTTCATAGCGAAGAAGGCTTTGGTGTCGATTGGACATGTCCTAAAGCGGCATAGCTAGCGCCCCTCACGGGCAAAAAAAAAAAAAACCTGCCAGCCGTCACCAGCCGCAACCGATAGATTGATAAAACTTCCCAGCCGGAAGAAAGAGCGACGTCAACTGCCACGGTCTCGGCGAAAAAGCGCATGTTCTCTTAGGAACAGAAATATCCGCTTACTGCACCGGCGACTGAGAGTCGCAGAGACGGACAGAGCCGATCGACACGATGTGTCGACCAGCTTCTCGGCTTCCGGTGCCGTCGTCCGGCCTCCTGCACTTTCTCCAGCAGCAGTCCGAACGGCTTTTTGCAGCCGAGAACATCGGGATATTCCAGCGGGAGAATATACAAGAGCGAAGACGGCACGTGGCAGCACCAGCACCAGCACCAGCATACGCTACTGCCGGGCCCAGGCGAGGCAGCCGGTGTTTCCGTGATATGGTGACCACGAGGGCAGCCGTCCCAGCGACACAGCCGCGATGGCCGGCTGCACGCATAATTTCACAGCCACTGCCGCTGTCGTCGACGTCCGGCCAGACGGTCTGCTTCTCGACCTCACGACCGGTCAGGTCATGGAGAAGCTGGAGGTCAGGCGAGAAGCAGCTGCAGCGGCGGCAGAGGGTGTTGCAGGACCTGAAGGCATGGCAGGAGCGGTTTTGGGGAGGGCATTGGGGCTGGAGCAGCAGCAGCAACGGCGGTGGTGGCGGCAGCAGCGACAGCCGAGTGGCAGCGATGCTGCTGCCGGGCGATCTGCCGGACCACAGAGCAGGAGCGGAGTTTGCGTCGGTCATGTTCAACGCGCGACGGTTGCAGACGGCCAAGGCGGCGCTGGAGCCGCGACTACGCTGTACGGAGGTGGACGAGAACGGCGAGGTGATCCTGGTGGACGGCGAGTTCAAGAAGACGGAGCTGATTGCCAAGTACGGGCTGCTGCCACGCGACTTGCGCAAGATCGACTCGTCCAACCTGCCGCACATCCTGGTGCGACCGGCGGCCATCTTGTTGAACCTGCTGCACCTCAAGGTGCTGATCAAGGCCGACCGCGTGCTGCTGTTTGACGTGTACGGGTCCAAGACGTCGTACCCGCAGTCGGCCTTTCTGTACGATCTGCAGGAGCGGTTGCAGCAGAGGCCAGCCGGGGCAAGCCAGACCACGGCCGAGACGGTGTCGAAGGTGACCTCGCGCCAAACCACAGGCCACAAAGGCCACAGAAAGACGCCGACGTCAGTGGCGCCCGGGCTCGGCGGGCTGCCGTACGAGTTCCGGGCACTGGAGGCGGTGCTGCTATCGGTAACGTCGGAGCTGGAGGCCGAGTTCGACACGGTGCGCGAGCCGGTGATCCGCATCCTCAGCGAGTTGGAGGAGGACATCACGCGCGACAAGCTGCGGCTGCTGCTGGTGCTGTCGAAAAAGGTCAACACGTTTGAGCAAAAGGCCAAGCTGGTGCGCGACGCCATCGAGGAGCTGCTCGAGGCCGACGACGACCTGGCGGCCATGTATCTGACCGAGAAGAAGCACGACCTCTTCCGCGGCGAGGACGACCACACCGAGGTCGAGATGCTGCTCGAGTCGTACCATAAGATCTGCGACGAGGTGGCCCAGGAGGCCGGCAGTCTGGTGTTGAGCATTCGCAACACGGAAGAGATGTGAGTTTTTGTTTCTATCTTCTCCTTTCTCCCCTTCTCTCTCTGACCCTACAGCATTCGCGCTATCCTGGACGCCAACCGCAACGCCCTTATGCTGCTCGAGCTCAAGTTCAGCATCGGCACGCTGGGCCTCGCCATGGGCACCTTTTTGGCCGGTCTGTACGGCATGAACCTGGAGAATTTTATCGAGGAGACCAACTGGGGCTTTGGCAGCGTCACCACCCTGTCCTTTGCCTTTTCCCTGCTGGTTTGCTGGTACGGCCTGGTGAAGCTGCGCAAGGTCCAGCGCGTCAAGATGCACGGCGGCGGCGGTGGAGGCGGTGGAGGCGGCGGAGGCTTCAACTTTGGGTCTGGCGGTGATTTTGGAGGCCTCGGCTACAGCGTCGGAAACGCGCCGCTGGACGCACATAGCCAGGAACGTCTGCGGCGACTAGGCATGCGCGGTTCCCTGATGCAAAAGAAGTACTACTAGAGGAAGTCCCACCTCCTGCATACGACTATTGGGAGATTAGGACGGGAATGCGCCTAATGTATTGCCACTCTTGGAAAAGGAGACGAAATACCTGAAGCGTGGCGATGATGGTGCCCAGTTTTCCGGTTTCAGGGCCGAAGCGGGCTAGCGGCCAGCGAGCTTACATCACTGTCGTCAGTGTGTGCAGATTCCTACCCCTGTAATTCGTGGGCGGCCGTTAGTGGAGGAACGCCCCCTGTCAACTGCCATAGCTGGCTATATGACATCATGCCTGACGAGTGACGTGAATGTTTTCATGACAGGACAAGAGGGTGGTATTCTGTTTATTTTTGCGTATATATATGGGGCAGGATGGAGATGTAAAGAAAACACTCTTGTTATGTATCTGACATCAGACTTCAACTTGTCTACACACCATCAGTAACCTACCTGTCAATAATCGCTTCCCACTGCACCAATCTGTCCATCCGATCGTCACCAACATGGGTGCCGTTCTGTCCTGTGTATGTCGCCGTCAACCGGTCTCTCCGTTCATCCTACAGCTTCACTGACTGCCTCTGCTAGATCCAAGGCGTCTTGCGTGCCATTGGCAATTGTCTCATGGCAATTGTCAACGCCATCGGCTCCATCTTAATGGCCATTGTTAATGGCGTTGTCACAGTTTTCGATGTGGTAAGAGCAACCATCATTACCGTGCTTTTATGTTGTCGATGCTGACATGCTCCACCTCTAGATCATCAGTTTCCTAACGTGCCAGACTTGTCGCGGCGGAGGAATGCGTCGTCGGAGAGGCCACACGAGTAGCAGAGGCCACATGGGTGGCAGGGTCGTCTAATAGGGTCGACAGGCTAGAGGATGAACAGAAAAACGGTGCTGTCTGTTGGGCTAGAGTTACCGATACCCGACAAGGCTCTTGCAGTCTTAGCACGTAGCTACTGGCGGCGGAAGGATGTGGTGTCAGACGTGGTTTCCTTGTAATGAGATATTCTGTTATGTAATTGATCCGACCGTGCCTTCCTGGATAAAACACGTGCTGTCTAAAATTTGCAGTGTGCTTGTGTTTCCTCCCTCTTTTCATTTGTTATTGTTCCTCATCCATTCGGTTCGACTTCTTTCCATCCACACGTCAGTCCCCGGCATCTTCGATAATGTCCTTTTTGAAGAAGCCTTCGATCTGCCGCGCCGACTCCGGGCCCACCAGCGGCGAGAGTGCAGCGGCGTCCATGACGGCAACGGCCTGGATGCTCTCGGTCTCGGCTACGAGGGTACGGATGTTCTGGGGGGTGACGCCAGGCACGGCAGCCAGCATCTCCTGAGGCTCCTGATTGAAGGGCTGGTCGTCGGCGCGGGCGTTGGGGTCGAGGCCGGCACGCACAGCGGCGACAGGGTCGGGCTCGGGCTCCTGGGCCTTGAGCCGCTCAAAGATCTCGGCAGTCTCGTAGGGCGACGAGGCCCAGACGATGCGCAGGCGCGGAAAGGCGAGGGTCAGCAGCACGATCTTGGACTGCAGGTCGGTGGCAGCAGCAGCAGCAGCGGGCGCGACAATCGAGGGCGGGCCGTGCTGCAAGTCGGCAAACGGCTCGAGCGTGAAGGACTTGTTCTGGTCAAACTCGATCAGCAGCATGGCGTCGCGGTAGTGCTGGAACATGGACTCGCACTGGCCAAAGAGACGGCCGTCTCGGAAGGACGAGATCAGGTCGCTGACCGACTTGCGCTCGACGCAGATGTGTGGCGACAACACATAGTCGCCGACCGTCAGCATGCACGGCACCACGACCATGCTGCGGCCATGCAGCAGAGACGGCAGCGACGAGCGAAACTCGCGTACATCGACGACAACCCGCGGCTGCTGGGCCGACGCTGATGCGGCCAGCCGTCCGCCGCCGGCAATGCGTGTGTTGACCGTCCGCAAAAACGACTCCTGCGCGTCCTCGCTACCGGCCGCCGAAACGTCTGTCGTCATCACCACGCTCATCGATGCTCGTTCCTGGATCAGCCTGGTGAAGGCGTCCTTCTCGCGCCGCACCGCCGACAGGTACTTCTGCTCCTCGACCGACCCGCCATAGTACATAAAGTACGTCCGCACGTTGCGGTCGTTGTGCGACGACCGGTACACCTCGATCCGCCGGATGAAAGCTGCATCTGGCTCGTACATGACAATGTACCGCGGCTTCACCTCCTCCAGCACGTGCTCGTCCTGGTCGCCGTCATACGCCTGGATCACCACCAGATCGCTCATCTCATACAGCTGGTAGTAGTCCTCCATGTTCTCCATCGGGTCTGCCATGGCTGCGAGGATCTCTGCTTTTTGCTGGGCTGCAGCTGCTTCGGCCGCGCGACTGCTGCCGTCCGGCCCACCGTCCTCGCCTGCCGTCACCGCTTCAGCCTCCTGGATCTCGGCCATTAGGTCAGCCACCTCGCTCGGCTTTTCAAAGTACTGCGCGATGCTGCCGTTGGCCGTCCGGGCTGCGTGGGTCACCGACGCAGTTGCAATGGCCGATGCTGCAGCCGCTGTGCCCATACCGCCGCCTCCTCGCACGCGGCGTCGCTTGTTCGGCGGCACACCGCCACGCTGGCCGGCTGGCCGACCTGTCCGCGGATCGACGGCCCCGCTCAGCGCCTTCTGGTTCTCGGCGAAGAGCGCCGCGTTCACGTGGGCGAACTCGCTCTTCCACTTAAGATAGTTGCGCAGCTTGCGCCGCATCATGAACGCACCCGACGGCCGGTCCTCGTCGGCGTCAAAGAACTCCTCGACACGCGATTCGGTGCGCGGTCGCACGTGCATGGTCTGCAGGAAGTCGCGCAGCTGTCGGCATGTGTCTGTGTCGCCGCACATGATCAGGATCGTCCCGTTGGAGTCATCGCGCGGCATCGGCTCCAGGTAGAGCGAGCGGTCGATCTCGGCCAGCACATCGGCGAGCACCGACCACTTGGGCTGCTCCTCCAGCACTGGGCGCAGTGTGGTGGTGACAGCAGCAGTACCAGTGCTAGAGGCACTACGAAAATCGTGCTTGCCTGTGTACACCCGTCGCTTGGCCGTGTCGAAGATGGTCTGGGCGGCATCGAGGAAGAGCCAGGGCGACTGGGTCTGGCGTGTCGAGCCCGGAGCCGGCGAGTGGGCGGCGTGGATGGTGTCGAGGCGCTGCAGGAAAGCGACGGCGTCGCAGGCCACAATGGAGTGCAGCATACCACGCAGCACGGTCAGATCGCCAACAATCTGCTTGGTTTTCCAGCTGACGCGATGCCAGTTGGGGTCGAGCTGGCGCCGCACCATAGTGTCAAAATTCTTAAGCAGGGCACTGTCGAGGTTCCAGTCGTCCATGTCCAGGCCCGGGTTGCTCTTCTTCAGCTCGTGGATGCTGACCTCGACGCACTCAAGGATGGCGTTCTGGATGTCCTTCATGTTCTCGGTCATGGGCACCTCGAACTCGACCACCTCGGCCCGCTTCCGGCCTTCAAGCCCGGCTGCCACGGTGACGTGGAAGCGTGGCCAGAGCGAGGCCTTGCGCAGGAAGAGGTTGCGCATCATGGTAGCCAGCGGTGCATAGCCGCTCGAGAAGGCCTCGGGACTGTCCGAAAATGCCTTGAGGAAGCCGTGCTTGTTCTTCTGGCGGTAGATGCGCAGGATGAAGGCCTCGAGCGATGTGGCCGCGACGCGGTCTGCGTGCAGCACCACCATGCCACTGACCGAGGCCGGGTCCAACAGCGACGTCAGCAGGTCGACGACGAGGATGCGCGACGTGATGCTGAACACGCCGCCAGCCGCGTACATTTTCTCGCGCGTGCCCACGGTGGTGAAATCGGTGTTGACTACCGTCAGTCCGCGGGCCCGCGGCGACATGCTGATGGCCGCATGTTCGGCTAGGGCCTCGCCGATCCAGCCGTTCTCACGTTCGGTTGCGTTGACCACGAGGATCAGGTTATTGCCAGCCGCATCGTACGAGTGCAGCAAGTTGGTGACCAGCCGCATGAGGCCGAGGCCGCGCGCAAGGACGACGAGCTCATCGGTAGCCCGCAGCTCCTGGAAGAGGCTCTGCTGGTATTCCTAACCTGTTAATGGGAGCAATGGGGGCAATGAAGCAACGAGTGCTGGATCCGAACGCACCAAAGGCAGAGAGAGCTTCACCGGCTGCGGTGCGCTGACCACCGAGGACGACATGTGGGGCGTCTCTGCATCTGAAAGACCATGGCGCAAAGTGCGGAAGGCTGGTGAACGGATGCTGCACGGATCCGTTGCGGGAAGCTTTTGGCCCCTCGCGAGGTCACGTGAGTCCCGCCTGTGACGTGTCTCCGTCGACGTCATCGGCTAAGAGCTTGTCTCGCCATAAAAGCGAGGCAGCAGCACAACTTTGTTCCCGAAACCAGAAACAGACATACCCAGGATACATAGTACAATATTCCGCACAACTACAGCACATTCATCATGGGTTCCGAGAACAAGCTCAGCACGCAGGTGGAGGACCCGACCAAGGTGAGCAGAGCTGTCGGTGCTGAAGAACATGTCACCGGTCTGACACATTCACCAGCCCGATGCTCCCAAGCACGAGCACGGAAACTTCGAAGCGGCCAAGACCAAGTTTCAGGCATACCAGGCCAATCCTGGACCGGCCGTACCGTCCGGCTTCAACGTAGCTCAAGAGGGCAGCAAGGAGGAGCGGCGGAAGCGAGCGCAGGAGCTGAACAAGGAGAATTAGAGGGCAATAGACAGTTTAGGCAACCATGAATAAGATCAGTTGAGATGGATTGAGTAGTCACGTGCGAGGCATCTTCAGCGGCTCTAGGGTGCTGTGGCTGTTGTATGTGTCGACTAGTGGGGCTTTCGAAAGAAGACTAGCGCTGGGTGGAGGGACCAGTTTTTGGCCAAGACCTGACCACTGGGACCTCTTTCTGACCTTGCATTCTTTCCCGCCTCTTTGGCTCAACGTCTCTCTCCGGCGACGCAGCGACACGTTTCATTGTCGGAGCCACTGCGGACTCGATCAAGCATCAGCCGTCATCGAACCTGTCCGCGATTGTGGTCTAGCTACAGCCAGGTCTAGACGAGCGACCGCGAAGGGCCGATTTCGCCCTGTGAATAGGGGTGCTCGACCTCGACGACCGGTCGATTTCTTTTGTTACTACCAGTACCAGAATCTCTGGACCACAGGCTGCGCATCGACGCATCGACGTATCGAGATCTACGGATCTGAGAGGCTGCCGCGATGCCGTCCATCCTGAGCGACGCTGACAAAGAGACGGTCAAGCGCTGTGTGCCGAAGCAGAGCAACAAGATCCAGGCGGTTGCTGTTGCGCGGTTGTACGTGGCGTATCCGAACCGATCGCGATGGAAGTACACGGGTCTGCAGGGGGCAGTGGTGCTGTGCAACGACCTTGTGGGCAACACGTTCTGGATCAAGATGGTAGACATATCGGTAAGTGACCGGATCCGACGGCAACCAAACAAACTAACGACTAACCAAATAGGCGGGCAGCCACGGGGTGATATGGGACCAGGAGATCTACGACTCGTGGCGGTACAACCAGGACCGCATGTTTTTCCACACGTTTGAGCTGGAGGACTGTCTGGCGGGCCTGTCCTTCTCGGACGAGAAGGAGGCCAAGCAGTTCAAGAAGAAGATGGACGACCGCGAGAAGAATGCGAGCAAGGCGACGCGGGCAACGCCGTTTGGCGGCACGGTGCAGAGTCATGGGGGTGGTGCAGCGGGCGGCGGAGCGGTCAAGCACTCGCTGCTGGGCGGGCTGTTCCACCGACACGCGACGACGCCGCCGGACTCGCCGCACGCGAGCGGAGCAGCAGCGAACCCTTACAGCACGAACGGAAACGGAAATGGAGCATCGGCACAGCAGACGACGCCATCCGAGTTTGCCACACTGGAGGCGTTTGACCAGAACTGGCGGGTCAACTTTGGCGACGACCTGCGGCACAAGGGGCTGACGGACGAGTTTATCCGCGAGAACCAGGATTTTATTGTCGATTTTCTGCGGCAGCAGCAGACAGCCAACGACGGATCAGCAGGCTCTGGAGGCTCTGCAGCGCCCAAGCAGGCTGCACCGCCGCCACCGCCGCCAGCGGCAGCGGCAAGTGGACCGGGCACACGGGCGCCGCCACCGCCTCCGCCTCCGGCAGCAGCAGCCGGAGGATCGCGCAGCAATGCAGACTCGGGAGGCTCGGCGAAGCGGCCAGGCGGACTGCCACCACCGCCACCGGCACCTCGGCGTATGGGCAAGGGCGAGACGGCGTCGACAGCGCAGACATTGGAGGCGGATCGAGATCGTGAGCCATCGCCACCGCCGCCACCACGGCCACGGTTTGCGGTACCGCCACCGCTTGCGGATGCCGGTAAGTACGCGCATTCGCAGCCGTCGCCCCGATCGCCGCGTCACGTGACCTCGGGACCAGGACCAGCACCGCCGCCACGACCACCCAAGACAGCGATGGATGGCGAGGACGCGGGCAACAACGGCAACGGTCCGCATCGCTTTGGTGTGCCACCGCCATTCCCAGGCCAGCGTCCAGTGCCGCCGCCGCCAGCCAGTCGAGGAGCAGCACCTGTGGTATCGTCACGTGACTCGGGGCCATCATCTCCACCACCACCGACGCCTCCTCGCGGGTCTGGTGGGCTCTCGCACAGCAACTCGCACGGCTCGTCATCGCGGCCAGTGCCGGTACCACCACCAGCACCGCCGACACGCAACAGCGGCCACTACCAGCCAGCAGCAGCAGCACCACCACCGCCACCACCGCCGCCACCGGCTCCGGCTCCTCCGGCACAGCCGATGTCGACGACGTCCTACGGTGCTCCGGCCCCCGTGGCGCCTCCTCCTCCACCGCCACCACCACCACCGCCAATGCCAAGTGCCGGAGTACCACCACCACCACCACCACCTCCTCCTATGCCCATGAGCAGCGCGGGAGGACCAGCGGCACCGCCACCAGCACCTCCTCCTCCTCCTCCTATGCCCATGGGCAGCAGCGCAGGAGGGCCATCGGCACCGCCACCACCACCGCCTCCACCACCACCTCCGGTTGGGGGCGGCGCATCGTCGCTGCCAGCGCCTAGCCAGGGCAAATCGGCGGTGCTGGCGAGCATCCAAATGGCAGGCGGGATTGGAGCGTTGCGTAAAGTGGACCGAAGCCAAATTCGGGACCGCAGTGCAGCAACAATGGGTGGCAGCACGGACACGGGGCCACACGGCAGCGGACTGCCGCCAAGCGGGGCAGCAGCAGGTGGCGGAGGCGGTGGCATGGCCGACGCACTCGCTCTTGCGCTGCAGAAGCGGAAGGAGAAAGTCAGCGCCAGTGGTAAGTTGTTTTGCTATGTACTTGTTCTTGTACATTATGTTTCGTGCTAACCAATCAGACGACGAGGCAGACGATGACGACTGGGACTAGATGTCCGGCAAAAGGGATAGCCGAGAGGAGACGGCTGGACGGATGGCCGTGGTGCAGTTGGGAAGCATGATTTCAATAGAGCAAGCATAAAATGAAGGTATTCTTTTAAGCAGTTCCCTAAAATGATACGAGTAGCCGCTAGGACCAGGCTATTATGAGCCCCACAATTGGGATATACGACGTATATTTTTTCGATTTCAGTACGGCGTACGGAGTACCTTGTGTACGTAGTCGGTACTCTGTATTGCAGCGCTCTACCGCCTTGCGCAAAGCGACGACGACTCTTGCCAGCTTGTGCGAACAGTCTCTGGAGTCGATTGGGTGTCTGGCCATGGGTCTGCCGAGCACAGGGACAGCGACGCGAGACGAAGACCGAGATGCTCTGTGTCGGCGGCAGCCGAGCTCTGTGGAGGATGTCGGTGGGGATGGTAGCGATGCGGGCAGCATCGACGAATGGTGGTGATCGATCGACGGGACGGTACGCCGGCCGTGCGTCGACGGTGTCGTCGTTGCGGCCAGGCCACGGTGACCGAGCGCACGACCTGGGCCGTTTGCAGGAGGAGAGGCCGCGACGACCGAAGAAGCCGCACTACGCGACGCCGCAGGGCCTGGCATCGGCGGTGCTTGCGGGAGTGATGGCCGACCCGGGGGGCCAGGGTCGACCGGAGGCTGTTTTGCTCGTGCCAGCACTGCCGCCAGCGACTGCGTATACGGCCATGGGCCGCGACGTGGTGCCGCCGCGCACGATGGCGATGCGGCCGCTGCCATCGGGTGTCAAGACGGCGATGACGACGGCCGACGGCAGGAAGCGTGTCGAGAGCAGCGCCGGGCTGCGCGTGCGCTACGGCCAGCAGCACGTGCTGCACCCGTGGTCGATGCGGTACCTAGAGGCGACGGAGGGCGGCGGCAGCAGCAGCAGCAGCAGCCACCAGCACCACCACCTGCCACACTGCCTGGCCGAGCTCACACGGCGGCGGTATGCGGCCAAGAACGCGGGCGAGACGCTGTGGTGGTTTGTGCTGGTGCACACGGACGGCGACCTGCCGATCAAGAGTGCGTTTGTGCGGCTGGCCATGCGGCGACGGGTGCAGCGGGCGTTCCGGGAGGCACTCCGACGGCGGGGATACGATCAGACGGGACGCAGACAGACTGGGACAGAAACGACGGAAAAGGCCACACATAGCCTCAACGGCACCGTCCGCATCGAGGGCATGGTGCGACCACTGCTCAAGACCGCGTTCGAGCCGCTAGTCACACACCTCGAACGGATCGTCGGCACGCTGGAACGGGTGCTCGGAGGGGCAAAGACAGGCAGCAAGGACTTCCGGGGCTTCAACGGTGGCCATAATGGCCATCATGGTGGTGGCTACAACAATACCTCCAGAAACAGCCCCATCATCGTCAGAAACACAAGACCTGTCCGCCAGCAGACACACATATGAAAGATACCATAAATAGCACTCCTGGAGCAAAACGTCGCTTGTGTATGTACAAGACCTTTCGACTCCGGCTCACATCCCATGGCATAGACTATGTAAGCTGAAGGCGGTCAAGGCCCGAGCTTAAAAGCGGGTCCACTGCCCCTGTGGCCTTTCAGCCAATGTGGCGACGGGAAACAAGACGACATCAACTCTGGCCCGAATCAACCACAATCCAGACGCGCAACCGACTTTGTGCTCTGCTGTCTGCTGTTTGCTGTCCCGTCCAGCCCCCACCGCCATCATGCTCGTCTCGCTCACGGTCGGCAAGGTCGACGCCGGCGTGACCGTGCTCCTGACCCAGGATAAGCGTTTGGTGAGTGTCTTTTGTTGTCTCTCATGTGGCTTCGGTCTCTCCTTCTCCTCGCCCTTCTTCTCTACCCCCCCCACTAACTTTTCAGATCGAATTCCCGTCCATCCTGCTGCCGCCCAACATCTCGTCCGGCTCCATTGTCGACATCGCTGTCAGCCGCAACCGCGCGTCCGAGACGACCGCCGAGGCCGCCTTTGCGAGCCTGCAGAAGCGCATACTCGACACGTTTGGCACCGAAGCCCCGGCTGCGCCCGTGCTGCGCTGCCGCAATGCCACCCAGACGAGCGTCGTGCTGGAGTGGGACCCCATCCGCATGGCCACGGCCGACCTGCTGGGCCTGGCGCTGTACCGCAACGGCCAAAAGGCTGGCAACATCCCGCGACCGCTGCAGATGCACTCGACCAAGATCTCCGGCCTCGCCGTCGACACCGCCTACACCTTCCACCTGGTCTTGCGCACCAGCGCTGGCACCCTGACCAGCGACCGTGTCGCCGTCCGCACCCACAAGATGACCGATCTCAGCGGCATCACCATCAGCACCGGCATCCTGCCCGTGCCCGCCCGCCAGCGTCTCGCCGCCGCTGTCGACCGCATCGGTGCCCGTCTCGTCACCGAATCCGGCCTCGTCCGCATTGACACTACCCACTTTGTCACCACCGAAGGCCGCGGCCTCGGCTGGGAAAAGGCCACCGAGGTCAACATCCCCGTCGTTCGCCCCGAGTGGGTTGAGGCCTGCGAGGCCAGCGGCCGCATCCTCGGCGTCACAAAGTTCTACCTCGACGCCGTCCGCCTGCCCAACGACTCGACTGACGAGAGTGCCGCTGCCGCTGCCGTCGCCGCCACTGCTGCTTCAGCTACCGCTGCTGCTGCCGCTGCTGCTGCCGCTGCCACATCCTCTCCCAAGTCACCGCCTGCACCACCGCGACAGCAACAACAGCCGCAGCAGAAGCAGCTGTCCACAAAGACTGTCGCTCCAGCTCCGGCCCCGCCCCCGCCTCCGGCCCCGATGACCCCGCCCAGAAGAGACGACACCGAGAGCAGCAGCAAACGTGGCAGTAGCAGTGCCAGCAGCAGCAGCAGTGTCGCAAAGACCCCGGCAGACGGAAAGCCGCCGGACAAGGCCACCGTGGAGCAGAATATGGCCCTGCGGCCAGCAGACAGCGCAAAGAGCAACAGCCAGGAGGCCCAGGACAAGGACGACGACGACGACGACGACGATGAAGAGGATGAAGACGCGGACGTGGACAAGGCCGAAAAGGAGGACACCACTCGTGGGAACGGCAAGAAGCCGCTGCATCTTCAATTGCAGACCGCACACAGCGTCGACAAGCTCGGCGAGCTGAAGCCATCGACACCAGGCGACGGCGGCTCGTTCCAAGATGTGGCCCTGTAGGCGGCGACGGTATCGGGATTCGGTGGCCAATGTAGAGTAATTGCTACGTATCTTTGTTTTGTCTCTTTTGTTTGGAGTCTGATATCACGTGTTGACGCAATAATACGTAAGAAGCGCAAGAGAGGAAGGCGCTGGTAACGACGGAAGGAGCGGGCGAGGAAAGTGCGACGAGATCGGCAGGAGTCATCAACATGAGGACAGCGAATAGTACAGAGGCTCCGTAGCCAAAACCGAGCCGTCTTTTTCATCCTCTTCTGTTCCCTCTCCAAAAGGCCGTATATGCAAGCAAGTCTACACTACATCCGCTTCGGCTTCTTCTTGATGAATGGATCGGCCGGTCCCTTTTTCTTGGGTCGCATCGGTGGCTATCCGGTCAGCTGCTCGTTCTTTGCTCGCTACAAAAAATCCGACAAGAAAACAAAAGAACGAAAGAGAAACTCACCCTCGGTCCTCGCGGCGCCTGTGGCGGCGGTCGTGCCTGCGATGGCTCGTCGATACCGAGCACCTGCATGGCCGATGGATCGGTGGGCCGTCGTGGCGGCGGTCTCGCCGGCAGCATTGCTTCGGGGGCCGTCTGCATGGTCAGCCAAGATTCGAACATGTGTGTGTGTGGTGTGCCGTGACCTACCCGCTTTGATGGCTGCGTCTCGGCCGCCTCTTCGTGCGGCCGTTTCTTGTTGGAGAGGGACACGGCTGGACCGCTTTGCACCACCGGCCGCTCCGTGTTGCGTGGTCCGGTCGGCAATGGCTCGCCGCGCTCGTTGATGCCGCCAATGCCGGCGATGTCGGACGGCGCCGGAGCTGGCCGTCCTGGTCGGTCGACTACCGTGTATGTGGTCGGCAGCATCGGCGGTGGCGGTCGCTGTTTGCGTGGCGGCTGGCTGGGCGGCGACATGGCTGGCGGAGGCGAATAGCTGTCGTCTTCATCGTCATCGTTGTTATTCTTGACTGCGGCTACTGGCCGCGAAGGGGTCGACCAGCTGGAACCGCTTGCTTTACGTGCAGTCTGCACGGGCTGCACGGGTCTCTGCCTTTCTTGTTTCGGCTTCTCCATTGCCGGCTTCGGCTTCTCAACCTGTCTGCCACCTCCACCACCATTTCGAAGCAAACCCATCACATCACCGCCAGTGTACTCGCCACGGCCCTTGGCATCCTCGATGAGGGCGTGCCAGAACTCGCCCTGGCGCAGAGCCCGCGAGTCGCCCAAGATCCACAGCGACGAGCGCGCTCGGGTCAGACCGACGTTCAAATGCGGCGGATGTCTGTCATGAAGCCGATGCCACCGGTCGGGCTGGCACGCACACACGAGAAGATGATAATGTCGCACTCGCGGCCCTGGAAGGCGTCGGTGGTGTTGAACTCGACCGCTTGCAGGATGTCGTCGCCAAACTGGGAGGAAAAGCGCGAGCGCAGGGCTTGCAGCTGAGCCTTGTACGGCGTGATGATGCCGATCTTGGGCCCGGCCTCGTCGTCGTCTCCTCGGCTCGTCTGCGGACCGCTGCCATAGACGGCACGGAAGCGGCGGTACAGCTGCAGAGCCACGCCGACCTCGTTCTCATTGACCAGCGATCGACCACGGTGGCCCTTTTCCTGAGCACCGCTGACGTCAAAGAAACGATACGGACCCAACAACGGATTGGCATGCCATGGCTGGGCACGCAAACGGGCCATGTCGGCGCCGTCGATCAGACGCCCCTCATAGAACTGCCGGCTCGGGAAGCGGCTGATGTCGGGATGCATGCGGTACTGGGTGTCGAGCAGGTGGACGTCCTGCGGGCGGTTGCGCTGCATGCGCACAAACAGGCTCTGGTCATAGCCATAGCGCGCAGCCGACTGTGACAACACCGTTGGCGGCAGCTGCTTCGGGTCACCGACCAGAATGCACTTGGCACAGCCGTATTTGAGCGGGATCAGAGCGCTCAGCTCGACGCATTGGGCCGCCTCATCGATGACGACCGTCTCGAACTCGACGTTGAGATTCTTGAAGATATCGTGGCCGCTACCACTCAGCGTTGCGCACAGTACGTGGGCCTCGTTGAGGATCTTCTGCTGGATTTGTCGCCGCTTGATCTCGGTCTCGCGTGCGTACGTGTTGCCCGACTCCTTGTCGCGCTCGATCTGCGCGCCGATCCGTCGCTGTTCCGACCGCAGCTCGTCGTGCTCGCGCTGCAGCCGGTTCATCACGTCGCGATCATCACTTCGTCGGGCTGCCTCCAACGCCGGCATCAGCTCCATCACCTTGGCCTTGATCTCGCCCGCACGCAGGTGCATCCGTTCCCGATCGCTGACGGGCTGCTCTTTAGCATCACTACCACCACCACCACCACCACCAGACGACGACGACACCTTTGTCTGCCGCGAGATCTCCGACTTGACCAGCTCTTCCAGCGTGACATCCTTGACACCCGAGTTGATCGCCTCCGACCGGCCCAGTCGCACGACGTTGATCTTGCGCAACGCCCCCGTTGTCTCTCGCACGCCCATCTTCAGCCGCAGCACCAGCTCGTCCACGGCCGCGTTGCTGGGCGCACACACCAGCAGCTTCTTCGTCGTGCTGTCACCGTGACCGTTGGCCCCCGGACGGCTGACCGCCACGGCTGCCGCGTTCGTCTTGATCGTTCCCGTCAGCAGCGCGCCCACCATGGCCACGATGGTCTTCGTCTTGCCCGTGCCCGGAGGCCCTTGCACGAGGGTGAAGCCGTCGTTGGCCTTGCCGTGCAGAATGGCCACGGCCTGGCCGCGGTTGAGCTCATACGTGCGCTGCACCTCGGCCACGGCGCCGTCGCCAAACGTCAGCATCGGCGACGGTGCCGCCTTGAGCACCTCGTCCATCAGGTCGTAGTACTGCAGGCTCTCCAGGGCCGCGTACTCGCGCTCGATCGTGGTCATGTTGGTGATCTTCACTGCCCGAAACTCGGCACCCGGCAGCAGCACCGGCAGGATCAGGTTGCGCCGGCTGTTGAGCCGATACGTCACCTCGCAGTTTTCCCGCTTCATTGCCAGCTTCCACACACGCGCCAGACAGTGTGGCTCACCACGGCTCGTCAGTGGGTCCGCTCCGCGTGACAGCAGCACGATGTCGCCCTCGCCCAGCAGCCGCTCGCGATTAGCTGCCGCCGGCATCAGCGTGCTGACCTCGAGGAAGTTGTCGACCGAGATGCGCGTCACCACCTTGACGCCAAACGCCTTGGCCGTGCTCTCCTCCTTGGCCGTGACAAACGACCGCCAGGCCTCGTTGATCAGCAGCGGGAAAAAGGTCTTCTTGTACTCAGCTGGCGACATGTAGTCGTCGGCCACGGCCACACACTGGAACCCGTCCGACGGCGGGTCGTTGCCCTCGTGGAAGATGTCCCACTCGAGGATCGCCTGGTGCAGCCGGTCCATGTTGGGGATGATGCGTGCCCGCATGTCCTTGGCCGATCGCTGCTGCTTGATCTTTTTGACCGGCATGCGTGCCATCATCTGCTTCATCGCCGCCCGCTTGCGCCGCTCTACTTCGTCCAGCAGCTGTTCGCCCTTGCGGCTCTGTCGGATCAGCGCGTCCGCTCCGTCGTCATCGTCGTCATCGTCCTCCTCCTCCTCGTCGGATGCGCTGTCCACCATGATGTCGCTCTTGACCGGTGCTGCTCGAAGCGCTCGCGCACGTGCAATCGCCTCGGCCTTGTGCTTTTCGATCTCGGCCTTGTCTCGCTGCCGAGCCTCTCGGATCGCCGCCCGGTTGGCCAGCAGCGCCTTTTGGTCCGGTTTGGCTGCCGCCGTCGCCTTCATCCGGTCCAGCAGCGCCTTGTGCTTGTTCAGGCCCGGCGTCAGCTGCGATGCCGCCTCTTTGCTAGAGACCGACGGCGCCGGCGACGGCGACGAGGAGGCTGTCTTGACTGTCCCGCTGCCACCACGAGACCAGGCCTCGATCGTGGTCTGCCGCTTCTTAGCCGACTTGCCCGCCACCGTCGCCGAGGACCAGGACACAATCTCCACATCTTCGTCGTCATCGTCATCGCCACCGTCGCCAATCGCCTTCATCAGCTCGGCCCGCTGCGTGTCGTTCATGTTGGTGTTCACCTTGAACTTGTTGCGGATCTGCGGGTGCGCCGTGTACGTGCTGCGGATCGCATTGACAAACCGGTCGGGGAAGCTGAGGTTGAACTCCTTGAGCCGCGTGAACAGCTTCACCAGGATGTCCACGATAATTCCCACCAAGTATTGGTCGCGAAGCTGGATCATCTCAAACAGGCCCATCGAGTGCTTCTGCGGCGCGTCGAGCACCTCACGCATAGCACTGTCGTTTTTCGTGGACGACGACGATGACGGTGGCGCTGCTATCGTCGAGCTGTGCGCAAACGGCTCCATCGAAGTCGAGCCGCCATTCTCGGCCAGGGCCGAGGCGATCAAGCCGTCCTGTGCCATCAGCAGCCGCGCAAACTCCATGACGTCGCGACAGTAGTTCTCCATGCCCGACTTTTCCACATCCTCGCTCCAGGCGCGCGCACGAAGAAAGGAGTGGTCGACAAACTGCCACTCCATCGTCCACCAGCGCTTGACGGCCTTGCGCTCCTCTGCCGTCAGCGTCCGCGACCGCAACAGGCCGGCAGACGAGTCACACAGGCCGTCCAGCACGTCCTTGCTGCAGCGGTAGATGTGGCGCATCGGCTCAAAGGGTGACGCGCTGCCCAGTCGGCCCTCACCACCGGTCAGGTGGTCGATGGCATCGGCAAACGACGTCAAGAACGGAACCGGAAGCTCGCTGACGACCTTGCCGATGATTTCGGACCGGCTGCCACCGTCGTCGTCGACAATGGCACCGACCAGCAGAAAGCCGGCCTCGCGGATGGCGTCTTCGGCGTGGATCAGGGTCGAGGCCACCGCATCCATGGAGCGGCTCTGCGTGTCGGAGCAGAGCGTCTTGAGGTCGGCACAGCTGAGGCTCTCGCCGACGCGCTCAATGGTCTGCGCAATGGCCTCGGCAGCCGGCTCGAGCTCGTCGTTAAACCGCCGTCGGGGTCCGTCCTCGACCTGGACCTGGCGCTTCTTGGGCGAGAAACGCTGGATTCCGCGCAGCGACAGCGTGGCCGTGAGCATGACGCGCGCCAGGTCGAGGCGACCGGGGCCCAGAGCTGTGCGGAAGCCGTGCCAGAGCTGGGCTGACCGGCGCTCGTTGCCCGGTGGCAGGCGGGCGTTTTGCTGCAGCGATCGCCACTCGTCCTGGATGGCGCGGGTATCGAGGGCCAGGGCTGACTCGACCACACCAACAGCCGCCTGCGACAAACCGATGTTATAGCGGTCGCTGGGGTGCAGATTCGCCGAGCGCACAACGTAGTCGTGGTGCTTGACCGCGCTGTTGATGACGGTGGTGACAAACAGAGCGCTCTCGGACGTCAGGCGGTAGCGGGCGTCCAGGTAGCCGTCCAGGGTCATCTGCAGGGCGGTCAGGCCGGCTACGATGCAGGTGGAGTGGCCCTCGCGCGTGGCCGTGACGGCCGGGTCAGCTGTGTTGGTGAGAAAGACGGACAGCAGGTAGTCGCACACGTCTGAGCGCTGATTTCGATTGAGCGAGCGCATCAGCGAGCGCACAAAGGCCACCAACAGCGGCATACGGGCGCGCGTGCTAGTGCTGTCGGGCACCAGCTGCATGGCCTCCTCAAAGGAGCGCGCCAGAAAGGGCGCAAAGGCTGGGCTACGGCACAGAAACATGGGCAGCTGCGGCGGGTTCATGCGCGAGAGCGCATCCCAAAACGCCTTGGCCGACTTGTCCATCAGGGCACAGAGCGCGCGCAAGCTGCCGGCCAGCACCCCGTCGGCCGGTCGGTCCAGATGCAGCACAGCCAGCTGGTAGACGTCCATGGGGATCTGCATGCCGCGCAGACAGTGCAGCACCACGTCCTCGCTCATGGCGTCGAGCAGCAGAAGGAAACCGTCCCAGAAGAGCTGCACGGCCGCGTCGGCCGCATCTGGCTTGCTGACCGCGTCAATGGCATCGGCCAGATGGTCACTGACGGCCCATTCGAACTGCTCCGGCGTGAGCGACTGAGCCGGCCGTCGTTCCCAGGCCGTGCGGGCAAACCGGTTGCGCAGCGGGTCGGCCTGGAACAGGAACACGGTCATGGTCGGGATCACGGCCGACGCGATCTTGAGTGGCTTCTTCTCTTGTGTCTTCTGGAACACAATGTTGAACAGGCGTCGGTTCTCGGGCAGGCTGAGGTACTCGACGCAGCAGAGGGCCTCGTAAAATGCCAGCACGGCCGTGGCGTCGATGGCTACCAGCTTGGCCGACGACATGGGCCCGTGCTGCTCGAGGATGGCGACGGCTTGGCGAAGGCCACGGTCGATGCGGGCCGTGTCATAGTCGTGCAGCCGGCCTTCCATGATGTTGGTTGTTTCTTCGTCAAACTCTCTGATTAGTCAGCGGGGAAGAGAGGAAAGTGGAAGGGACGAGTTAGCGAAAGAGACAAAGGGTAAACTTACTTCAGCAGACGACTTCGCAACGCCTTCCGACCCATGTGCCACGCCCGCACACAGCCGTCACACTTGACGAGGAAGGACTCAGTCCGCTGGATCCAGTCCGGGAGCCAGCGGTCGGCCTGGTCGCGGTTGATGCCCAGAATGAGCGATGCCCACGACGTGAGCTGCAGACGGCGCTGGCCATCCTCAATCTTCTTCAGCTTGTCCGCGTCTGAGCCAGCCACATCGTCGTAGTCCTCCTGATCGTCATCACTAAGACGGGGACAGAAGAGGTGCACGTCGGTCGGTATACGTTCCAGCTCCTGGTGAGAGGCAATGATTTCCGCGTACACTTCGTGGGTGGACTTCATTGTCGGGGAGGGAGGAAGGTCGGGGCGCCGGAGGGGCGCATGTCTGGCTGGCGAGGGGGCAGGCGAGCGATGCTTGGAAGCGAGAGCGGACTGGCTGAGATCTGAGAGATTAAGAGTCCAATAGTTCGTGCTGACGTCAGAAGATGAGAGGGCGAGAGAGCGTGAGGATGACCTCAGCAGGATCAAACAAAAATGATACACAAGACCACAGTGTCGACGTGACGGCCAGGTGCAGCTGGTCAGGACGTGCTGTCAGGACGCAGAAAACGGAGGCCGGTGAAGCGGTAGCAGGGCTAGAGTACGGATGTGGTATCTTCCTGGAGGTCAAAGGAGCCCGTCACTGCTGTTTATACAAAGAGCTTTGTGGTCGTGGGCAACATTTTTTTAGAAGCTCCTATCACGGATTTGGTCCCACCAGCGTGCCTTCCCCCATAGTGCGTAAATTAGTGGATCCAGATCACGTTCACGCGACGCGTATAATTAGCATTAGGAAAGCGTGAACGATGCACGTTCATTTAATACGGAGTAGGTGCGCTTGTCATTGTAGATGTCTGACATGGAGGAAATATAGAAAGATCTCATTATAAAAATAGCAAAGAAAAGTGACATTTCAAGAATAAACACCAGTTTCCTTCCACAACGCCAAACATGCAGACGCTCCCTCCACCTCAGGACTTCTCCGAGTGGCCATCATTCAGCAGCAGCTCCAGCACGATCTGCATGCCCGGCTGCTCCGGATGGGCCATGCAGATCTTGACGGAGCCGTTGGACATCTGGCCCTGGCTGCTCGACAGCGGTGCGGACAGTTGGGTCGTGGCCGACGCGTTGTCGCCGCCCGTCGGTCCTCTAAACCCATAGTCCAGACAGCGCACGTCGATGCCGGCAATGATCTGGCGCAGGCGGCCGTTCTCGGCATTGCGCACCTCCACATAGTCCTCGTTGAACAGCAACAGATACTGGCCGAACATGGTCGCGGCCTTGGCCTTTTTCTGGCGGCCTGAGTACTCCATGATCAGCGTGCGCGACACCTCGCCGTGCTTGTCGGCGTAGACGGCGCAATCCTCGTAAGCCAGCAAAAACTCCTGGTCGTTTAACCGGAACATGCCGAGTGGTCGCTGGTCGCGAAGCCGGGCGGCAATGTTGGCGATCGCCGGCAGCGCCAAGTCACACGGCACCGACATCGGCTGCTTGCGGTCCAGCGTCAGCAGCTCGATGCCCTTGGCCGTCGATACGGCCACATACGACTGGAACAGGTTGAGCGAGAAGCACTCGATCGGCAGGTAGAACTCGTCAAAGTCGCGGAATGTCTCTGTGGCGCCGGCTGCACCTCTGCGCGTCCCGAAGAACCGGCTCTTCTTCTCCGACGCCTTCTGGAAGACCGGCTCCAGCACCTTGAACGTGTTGTGCATGCCTTCCTTGCGCTTGTAGAAGAGCAGCATGCGCTCCTTCATGCGGGCCGTGGCGAAGAAGCTGACGTCTTTGGCCAGCCGCTGCGGCGCATGTCGCGGGCTGTCGTGATTCGAAGCCGGATAGTTACCCACCGGTGCCACCAGGTCCAGCGGGTATGAGATCAGCGACTTGTCGGCCAGGATCAGGCAGATCGAGAACTCCTCCAGCACCGTTATCTGCGTCACCTTGTTGAGCTGCACCGACTGCAGGGTGTTAGCGTAGGCCGAAGCAGCAGAAGCAGAAGCAAGCAAGAAAAAAAAAAGGCTCACCCTTAACCAGCCTCGCGGATTTCCGGCATCCGAAATATAGACGCCAAAGTCTGTGCCCACGGCAATGATCGACTTCTCAAACGCGGTGAAGCCGGTGGCACAGTTCACCGATGCCCGACATACCGGCGGAGGTGCCCGGCCGGTCCCAAACACCTTTCCCATCTCACGGATCGACCGGTCGAGCGGCGTGCCCGGAATCGAGACGCTCGGCAGCTTCGACGACGCCGTGATCGAGTCGTACGCGAACCCGCAGTCCGAGAGAACTCGCAGCCGGAACGGCTCGGCATTCTGCTCGGCCAGCGCGCGTGCGTGGCGCGTCTTGGCCTCCACGATCTTGGCACACCAGTCCTGTCGGCTCTGTGGCGTGGTCGCATAGAGCGTGTAGATCTCGTGGCCGAGATGCTTGACCCGGAAGGGATACAGCGTCTTGCCCTCCTCGCTCTGCGTGCCCGGCGCCAGGCGCGCGAGCGAGTTGATCGACGAGCTGGTGGCTGCGTGGTCCAACTCGGGCCGGCTTGGCGCAATGGACGACACCTTGTTCAGCATCGTGTCCGACACAGAGGCAACAGTCGACCTTGTCAGCGGCGTGGCAACAAGGCCCTTCTGCTTCGAGATCGGGTCGTCGTTCATGCTCTCCAGGAGAAGCAGAGGCATCGGGATGGGCTAACGGCGTCAGTACACTTCGGGCAGCTCCAAAAGAAGACTACCTCCACTCACCTCTTTGGATACGTCGTATTTCTTGTCGCCCCTCCCATCCTTTGGCCCGATCACCTTGGTCAGGATAAAGTAATGATCAAAGAGCAGCGCGTGTGTGTCCACCCAGCGCACGCCCTTCGATCCCATCCGCTGCAGATCGCCCTGCATCAGCAGCTCCCGCCCGAGATGGTCGAGATTGAGGACTGTCTGCGAGCCGGGCCGGAAGACGAGCTGGTTCTGCAGCTCCTGCAACGACACCTTCTTGCCCATCTCGTCCACCAGCCGGTCGCACTCCTTTGTCACTGCCCGGATCTCCTCAATCGCTCGCGCAAGGTTCACCTTCTCCTCGCTGTCCTGCAGCGTGTTCTTCAGCACCGTGCTCAGCAGCAACGAGTACCGCTGCAGCCGCGTGATCGGCGCCTTCAAGAACGTGTCCCAGCCCAGCCGGTCCGACCGCTTGTTGTTCCGGACATGTTCCAGGAACTGCCGGAACAGCATGTTGCGCGACGCCTCCTTGCGCACGGTGAAGGACGCGATCGGATACTGAGCCGAATAGGCAATGTACTCGTCCTTGGCCTTCCGGATCCATTCGCGGAAAATGTCGCTAAAGCCCATGATCCAGGGACCCTGCTCGTTCTGCCGGTACTTTAGCTGCGCCAGCAGATGGTCCTTGTTCACCCGCTGCATCGACTCCACCTTGCCGAAGACCGTGTCGACGAACTTCTCTAGCCGGTTCGGCGGAATGATGGGAGGCTTCCAGTGCAGCAGCTGGTCTTTGTACAGCACCCGCAGCACTTCCAGCTGGTTGCTAAAGTCCTCCTCGCTCGTCACGATCTCGTGCAGGTTGTTCTGCCGCTCCACTTCCTTGCGTGGCTTCCCTGCCCGCATCTCTTCGGTGATCTTGTAGAACGTCATCCAGTCCTCCTTCTTAGACGACTCTTCTGCCATCAGCCCGTTCAAGTCTGCCTTCCGCAGCGTCCGCGTGCAGTAGTGTGAGTAGCAGCGCCCGGCCGTCTCGTGCTCGTGGAGACGGGAAGCGTAGCAGCCCGAGCCGGTTAGCTGCCACAGCACGCCGCTGATCTCACCCGGCCCAAACCTGACCCATTCTTCTTCCGGTATCAAGATGCCAGCCCGAGACATCGAGTCAGCCACCATGTCCGCCAGCGTCTCGGCGTCGGCCACATTCATCGTAGGCACCTTTGTGATAAACAGCGCAACAAGGCCCTCCTCGATTGTCTTGCGCTTGAGGTCGGGCTCGCCATCCGCCATCTCGCGGATCCAACGAGCTATGCTGCTCAGCGCCCACGGTTCGAGACAGCGCCGGAAATCGACAGGGCTCAGCTTGGACGGCACAAATTTGCGCCGCCGGCCGCTAGGCAGCGTGATCACGTCGTACGTCATCGAGGTCGCGCTATTGCTCTCGTAGCTATCGTACGGCAGGCCCTGCTGTGCGGCCAACAGCCTTTGTGCCTTCTTCCGCTCTTCGGCAGCATCGGTGCGCGATCGTCCGGGCACTTGGACAACGGGCGTCGTGCTGTGACTCGACATGGACGTCGAGCGCTCCACCAGCAGCTGCTGTTGCAGCTGCAATTCCTGTTGCGCATGATACACAGACGACCGCGAGTTCGCGCCGTGAGAAAGCGTGTGCTGATGGTAGGACACTCTTGCAGCCGCGTGTCTTGCCTGAATCAGCTCGTTGCTGTTGCTCGTCTCTACAGGAGCGGAGGGGGGTGTTGGAAGCGGCCGGTTCGAAATGCCCGGGTGGTAGAACATGTCTGGATAGCCGTCATCCTTCTGTGGAGAGTCGCTCCCACTGAGGCCCGAGCCCAGAGACACACGCTCGTCGTCTTTATCAAAGCTAAGTCGATGTCCAATAGGATTCTGGAGCCCACCGGTGCCCCCATAGTCCATCTCAGCTTCTCTGAATGGGGCGTACTGAGTCCCATTGCCATGTGGGCGTGGTGTTGTTGACTGTGGAGGGTGGTCCAGATCGTCTGCGCCCTCCGATCCAAACTGGCCTCCATAAGTCAGGTTGCCGGGGTAGCCGCCTATAAATGAAGTGATGTCGGTGCCGATGTCAGAGTCGCTGGTATTCTGTTCGTCGGGTCGTTGCACCGGCGGGGGGCTTTGCATACCGTTATAGCCACTTGGTACACTTGTGCCGGAGCTGACGCTGAATCGCTGCGCATCCAGATCATCCTTCCACATCTCGTATACACCCAACGCTCCCTCAGGATCGCTGTCTTCTTCCCACGGGTTCGTGGAGGCGGACGGATAGGCGCTCGTTGCCGTAGACGCAGTAGACGGCGTTCGGCCAATGGTGGATGTTCCGGACGACCAATGGGTGCTCGGATGCGTTGACGCCTGAGAGCTGTGCCGGAACAGGAGATCCTCAGATGCCTCACCGTTTCGTCCATTTGAACCGTTACCGGGGCTGTCCAGACCCAAATCAGCTTCGATGTCGTGGAAGAGACTGTCCTGCGTGACATTCCCGTCGTCGATGTCGGACGCTCCTTGCTGCCATGCCGACTCTTCGAGGACATTATCCATCGGTGGGCGGCTTGGAAGTGGTGCGTTGGTAGGATGCCGCTGCAGTCCGAGCGGCGACGAGCTATGGCCGAGCGGAGATGACAACGGCGAGGTGGTGGAGTCTGATCGGCCCACACGGCCGGCAAAGGCAGCAGACTCGGTGCCACTAATAGAATGGCTTCCAGCAGAGTGCGAAGGCATATGTCCATATGTTGGATAAGGCGCCTGTGAGGTCATGGTACTCTGCATGGCATAAGGTGAGATTGATGCACCGCTCGAGACGGTGGCGGCTGGCGAGGTAATCGGGGCCGAGACGGACTCGATCGCCGAGTAGGCACTAGTCGAGGAGGAATACGAATTCGCTCCTGGGGGGTCCGCCGTGTACACCGACTCGTACGGCGCCATGGTTGTTGACGCTGTGTTGGCGTAGTGGGCCCCCGAGGCGTAATGCTGCTGCTGCTGCTGGATGTACGACTGAGGCGATGGTGGTAAGGCTGGCTGCTGGACCGCCGGCGCATTGTAGCTGTTCTGGTAGCTGCCGTGCCCAGAATGAGTGGCCGTTCGCTGTGGCACAGCCGCATTTGTGCCGGCATAGGCGGCCGGGTTGTAAGCGGCTGGGGTGTAGCTCTGCTGCGGCGACGGAAAGGGCGGTGCAGAGGACGTGGTCGGCGAGGCCAGGCGGGTGGAAGGGTGGGGATGGTAGGGGAGAGACTGCGACTGCGACCTCGGAAAGACCTGGGGGTTATAGGCAGACGGTGCCGGCTGCGTCTGCGTCTGGTACTGGTGTTGGTAGCCAGACATGGCTGAGTTCGTGGGGGAGCCACCATAAGCAGACGGCCTGGTCGAGACGACAGCCTGTGAGGGGGACACATCGGGGTTGCCGGAGAAGAACAGCTCGTCCTCGCTGCGGTGAGCCACACTCGGCTGATCACGGTCATCGTCAAAATAGGATCCGTTGTTGAGGATGCCAAAGGTTCCTTGGCTGGAAGTGGTCTGGTTGCGATCATACCCGTACTCGTATTGGGGCTGCTGGTATTGCTGGTGCTGCTGTTGGTATTGTTGCTGTTGCTGTTGTTGCTGCTGTTGCTGCTGTTGCTGCTGTTGCTGGTACTGTTGAGATCCAACGGGGTACTGCACCGGAGGCACATGGCCGTACCGGCGCTGGTCGTCGCCACGAAAGGACATCTTGAAGTGGCGCGCGCAAGCGAAACTGGATTTTCAGGCGGGCAGCTGCTCCAACATGTTAGTGCTGTCCAAGCCGACGAAGGCGGGTGTGAAGAAAGTGGCGGGCAAGAGAAGAGGAGACTCACGCTGGTACCCGCGAGAGCAACCTGTAATTAAATTGTCGACTCTAGATAGGTCGTCCCGGTCGACGGCAGTCGATCCCCAAAGTTCGTCGTCGCCAAGAATTACGGTCGCAGTCAGGATAGAGAAGGTGGGTGCAGAAGTAGAGAAAGTCGGCTCGGGAGAGGGAAAATTGGGCGGAGGTGGGAAGTGGGTAATGAAAAGGCAAGAGAGCCGGAAGGTTTTCTCGCTGACTTTCTAGCCGTTGAAAGTGGAATGTAACTATGCCACTGCTGATCGAAAGGCGTAGGTCACAGTTCGCAGAGAGGCTGAAGGCTGAGGTGACGCACTGCCGACAGGCTACTGAGATGTGCACACTCTCGTCGGCAGTCGTTGTCGACGCCTTGGCAGCTCTACCTCTTTCGTGAGGTTTCTGATTTATCTCACCTGTGTCGAGGGGCCGCAGCTCGTGGCTTGTGGCTCGTGGGTCCGTAATTCGACGGCGAAACGGAGCCGGGTCAAGATTTTGTCGGCGTGGGGTTTTCCTGTTGCCAGGTTGCCTTGGTCACGCTGACGCAGAGTGGTCGTGAAAAGGTTGGGAACAGCTGAAGGCAGTCCGGTTTGACAGCGACCGTCCAAGATGGTTTCGGCGTGTCGTCAGCTGTCGCGTGTGGGAAGAACTGCAGCGTTAAGGTTGAGGTTCAAGAGAGCATCCGAAACGAAATGGGTAATTGCGCAAGGACACGACCTCCAAGGCAACCCGGACTCGCCAACGGCTGGGCGGACCAATCGCAGCGCTCGCTGAATACTCGTATCTTACATATGTAGTAGGCAGGGATCCCCGCCCGACTCGTTGCTCTTTCCTGGGCGAGCTCGTTCGTACTCCGTACAGGGAAACCGCTAGGGGGGAGCATTACGAGTAAGAAACGCAAATTAGTATGTACTAAGTATGTACGGAGTACCCTTCTTTTCCTTCCAATCTGACCATAAATTTAGTGAACGGCCGTGCACAGGGGCAAGGCAACGTCTTTTGATTATCCAAGCGAGAGAAAGAGGCTTATGAGTACTCTGTACACCGCACGCACGACGCGACGTGCGCTACTCTATCCTGCAATAGCTCCGGCGCACAAGAAACGCATTGTGTCGCTGGCGGTCCCTACTATCGTATGTATCTTATGGCACATGCCATTTTTGTCGGCGCCGAGTTCGCGGTGTGGGCTGCCAGTGCCATGAATTTTCTTTCGGTAGCTTGAAAGCTGGGCCTGCAGGGCTGATCACAGCGTTGCAGCAGCCCAACCCAGGCCATTTTTTGTAAGAACCGTTTTGAAACGGGCGCCGTCATAAAGCCGACGCAAATCGTTGGGAGCCGACAGCCAAAACAAAAAAAACAACGGCTTAGAATCGAATCGAATTCTTGTCACCAACACCCAAACAATGCAGGGGGCTGTTTTGTGTCATAGAATCCCCCTTCCTTTTCGGAGCTTCAACCCAGAGGGAGTGCAAGATACGTCGTAGGCTTCAACGTGCCAGGCACACATTATATATTGATACCATCATAGTACGGAGTACGGAGTAGCCCTACGCCCGCTCGGTGTTTGCCCAAACTGCCCGCTAAACGACCGGGATCGGGATGAAGCTCTTCGCGTACGCCATCATTTGTCAGCCAGGAGGGGTCTGGCCGGCAATGACGCGACAGCCCCAGGCAGCTCCCAGCACTCGCGGATTTTTCGTGATGCGGGGCTGCCCCTGTTGGAGCTATTCTGTCAAGCAACTGTAAGCAGAACCGGGCCCTTTCCCCCACCTCCTCGCACGCAATGGCCATCTCATTGGCCGGCCTCGGATCTCCGATGTGTGCCGTTCTGCTACCCGGTGCCAATGTCTGCGTTTCCTCGGCGCCCGCCCTTCTAGTCCCTCCCCGCTGCTTCCGCTGTGAGCGTTCTATTTCTTCTTGATCCTCCCCTTCTTTTCCTTCTTTCTTTTTGCATCCTCACTGCCACTCCCGCAATTTATCCGTCTACATCCAAATCTATCAAAATGGTCAAAGCAGGTATGCATATCCCACTCCCTCTTGCAGCCCTGTTGGATCGCTTTTATGGGTACCTTTGCGGCATGGTGTCCGACTCTAGAGCTCGAGTGATCAAGTTTTCCGTTTCGGGCGTGTCGATATGGCTCGTCTGCACACCTTGATGGTTCCTGGCGCAGGGCAGACTCTTCTATTGGCTGGTGAGAGGTACCGACGAAGATCAGCCTCGCTAACAGGCTCAGTTGCTGTCGTCCGTGGTGACGCCAAGGTGTCCGGCACCGTCATCTTCGAGCAGGTGTCCGAGTCTTCGCCTACCCGCATCACCTACGAGATCACGGGCAACGACGCCAACGCTGAGCGTGGCTTCCACATCCACACCTTTGGCGACAACACCAACGGCTGCACCTCGGCTGGCCCTCACTGTAAGCTATCCTGTTCTGCTGCTTCTGTCGTTTCTATTCTCGCGGCCCTATTAACCGCGGCGCAGTCAACCCCTTCGCCAAGACCCACGGTGCGCCGACCGACGAGGTCCGCCACGTCGGCGACCTCGGCAACATCACCACGGACGCCCAGGGCATTGCCAAGGGCACCATCGAGGACAAGCTCGTTCAGCTGATCGGCCCCAACAGCGTCATCGGCCGCACCGTTGTCGTCCACGGCGGCACCGACGATCTCGGCAAGGGTGGCAACGAGGACAGCCTCAAGACCGGCAATGCCGGTGCCCGTCCGGCCTGCGGTGTCATTGGCATCTCGGCCTAAGCAGAACGTAATGTGCGAAGCAGCCGTCCGGTTAGAAAAAAGATCTCTTGATGCGGATTTATGACGGACAGACACATTGGAGGATATCTTAGCTTGCGATGCAATCTGACCGCATGTGTCTACAGGCTGCCCAAATACATGAAGCTTTTAACACCATCCGTATACATCGTTAACCCGTCTTGCGTGCATCCCGTCAACCCGAACTCGTATATCCAGAGCCCTTCTGCGGCCAATGGAAGCAATGGCTATATTTAGGGCAAGATGCAAGCAGCAGCCAGCAGCACGGAGGGGTAATTAGGCCCCACGCGTGCTGTTAATCATGCTCATGCCTGCTGGCCAAAAACCCCTGTGCCAGAGTGCATTGGGTCCAGCCGCTCCTTCCCCACATTGCGTCTCGGACCTTTTTTAGTAAAAGAAATGCCCCTTCCGAAAATAAAGTGTTGGAGCACAGCACACCGCTGAGCACACGACGCTTTTGAATTCTGTCCACAACTCTGGAAGCTTCGCCACAAGCTTCCCACCTCCATACTTTATACACCTCTACCAGCCCAGCCCGTGCTGCCCTTTTCCCGTCCCTCTCCCTTTTACAAGCTTCATTCTGCTTTATACTTTGTACCTTTTTGTTATATCTCTGGCATCAAATTGTCTGGTGTCTCTGTTACAAGGTAGGTCCAGCTGTCTTTCTCTTGTCTCCAGAGCTCGAATCGGCCTCTCCGTCCGCCTGCTTTTACCTTTTGCCTCCATGTCACCATCCGCCCTGCCAACCTGATCTCCCTCCTGCCCTTTGGCTCAGTCGTCGGGTACCCTGCAGATCGACTGCTACATTGGGACTCCAGCGCTGCATCTCGCTCCGGCTTTGCTTTCGGCCGTGCCATGATGTCCGTCCAGTGTCGAAATCGTGCATGATCTTTGGCTGTGCTCCGCTCGGGAAGCCCCATATGGCGGTGAAGCATGGTGGTGCAGGGTTGTTCATGGGGCCTAGGCCATCGAGCAGCCGTCTGGACTGATGCAGGCACAAGCTTACTGAGCATGTCTTTATGGGGCTCCACCACTGACCGAATGTTGCAGCTGTCCCGTCTACCTGCCCGCCATGTCCAAGGTCTTTGTCGCCGTTGTCAAGTCTGTGCTGAGCGGTGACACCCTCGTCCTCACCAGCCCCAACAATCCGACTCTCGAGCGCACGTTTTCTCTGGCCTTTGTCAGTGCGCCCCGCCTGAGCAAAGACAACGAGGAGCCGTTTGCGTTTCAGTCTCGCGAGTACCTCCGCACGAACGTCCTCAACAAACAGGTCCAATGCACCGTTCTGTATACCGTGCCGTCGTCGCAGCGTGATTACGGCACAGTGCTCGTCAAGGACAGCCCCGAGCTGCCGGATGCGCCCGTCTCTGCCGGTTGGCTCAAGGTCCGCGAGGATGCTGGCAAGAAGGAGGAGAGTGAGGAGATCGTGCAGCGCCTCGAGACCCTGCGCAGCCTCGAGTCCCAGGCACGTACCGACGGTCGTGGCCTCTGGTCCGGCGCCGATGGCTCCATCCAGGTCCAGCACGACCTGGGCGGCCCCGGCTTCCTCACGGAGTGGAAGAGCAAGACGGTCGACGGCATCATCGAGCGCGTGTTTGCGGGCGACCGCCTGCTTGTACGCCTGCTGCTGTCCGACAAGAAGCACGCCCAAGTGATGACGCTGGTTGCCGGGATCCGCACTCCGGCCACCGAGCGCGTCAACCAGTCGACGGGCGAGACCCAGCCCGGCGAGGAGTTCGGCAAAGAGGCACAGCGCTTTGTCGAGACACGACTACTGCAGCGCCTGGTCAAGATCCAGATCGCCGGCGCAAGTCCACAGGGCCAGCTGGTCGCGACCGTCCTGCACCCGCGCGGCAATATCGCCGTCTTCCTCTTGGAGGAAGGCCTGGCGCGCTGCAACGACTTCCACTCCACCATGCTTGGCGACCGCATGCCGTCGTTGCGGGCTGCGGAGAAGGTGGCACAGGATGCGAAGAAGCGCCTGCATAAGAACCACGTTGCCAAGGTGTCGGAGGGCAACCTTGATGCCACCGTCATCAAGATCATCAGTGCCGACACTATCATTGTGCGGAATAAGTCGGGGGCCGAGAAGCGGTAGGCATTGTTCCCAAGCGTGTTGGAGGTATCTAAAATCGACAGATGTCTAACATGCAGCAGACTCCAGCTTAGCAGCGTCCGTGGACCTCGTCGCAACGAGGCCACCGAGGCTCCGTTCCAGGACGAAGCAAAGGAGTTCCTTCGCAAGAGGCTCATTGGGAAACACGTCCGCGTCAGCGTTGACGGAACTCGCCCGGCTACAGAGGACTTCGAGGCCCGAGATGTGGCCACGATTACGCACAACGACAAGAACTTCAACCTGGCATTGGTGCAGGAGGGCTATGCCACGGTCATCCGTCACCGGAAGGACGACACGGACCGCGCGCCCAACTACGACGAGCTGCTAGCGGCACAAGAAACAGCCAAGGAAGCAAAGAAGGGCATGTGGTCAGGGAAGTCGCCAAAGGTAGGTTCAAAGGATGTGCGGATCGGGGGGTTTTATTTTCCCATTTCTACGTCTCGTCATACTGACACGCGAATCAGATCAAGCAATACGTTGATGCATCAGAGACAGTGCAGCGGGCAAAGATCCAGGCGTCGACTTTGCAACGGCAAAAGAAGGTTCCCGGCATCGTGGACTTTTGCAAATCTGGATCTCGCTTCACGATCCTGATCCCGCGCGAGGGAGTCAAGCTCACACTTGTGCTGGCAGGCATTCGGGCGCCCCGTGCGCCTGGGCGGAATACACAGGACAAGGGTGAGCCGTTTGGCGAGGAGGCTCTGGAGCTGGCCAACCGGCGGTGTAACCAGCGCGACTGCGAAATCGACGTGCACGACGTGGACAAGACAGGCGGCTTTATCGGCGAGTTGTTTGTGAACCGCGAGAGCTTCGCCAAGGCGCTCGTGGAGGAGGGTCTGGCGACGGTGCACCAGTACTCGGCGGAGAAGTCGGGCAACGCGGCAGAGCTCAACGCAGCAGAGCAGCGGGCAAAGGAGGCACGGAAGGGCCTATGGCACGACTGGGACCCGTCGCAGGATGAGGTGGCAGAAGAGACCAACGAAGCGAGCGGCGGGACGGCAGCGACTGCAGAAGGCGTGACGCTGGAGAAGCGGCCACAGGACTATCGGGACATTGTGGTAACCAACATCGACGCAAACGGGCGGTTGAAGATCCAGGTGATTGGCCAGGGGACGGCGGCGTTGGAGACGCTGATGAGCGACTTCAAGCGGTTCCACCTAGACAGCAAGAACAAGGTAGCGATCCGGGAGAACCCCAAGGCGGGCGATTATGTATCGGCGCAGTTCTCGCTGGACAACCAGTGGTACCGGGCCAAGATTCGGTCCAACGACCGGACGGCCAAGGTGGCCGAAGTGGTGTACGTGGACTACGGCAACAGCGAGAAGATTCCGTGGTCGAAGCTGCGGCCGCTGGACGCAAGCAAGTTCGGGACGCAGCGGCTCAAGCCACAGGCTGTGGACGCGGTGCTGTCGTTTGTGCAGCTGCCGACAGCCGTGGACTACTTCCAGGACGCGATGAACTTCATTGCCGAGTGCACAGAAGGACGACAGCTGGTGGGCAGCTTTGACTTTGTGGATGCCAAGGAGGGCCTCAGCTACATCACGGTCTTCGACCCGAAGACGGGCGGCGACGGGCCGGAGCGCAACGAGTCGCTCAACCGCGAGGTTCTTCGAAACGGACACGGACTGGTGCCCAAGAAGCTCAAGGTGTGGGAGCGCAGCGCAGTGTTTGAGCCGACGCTCAAGGTGCTGCGGGCGGCGGAGAAGGAGGCCAAGGAGGGCAAGTACGGCATGTGGGAGTACGGCGACATTACAGAGGACTAGAGCAAAGGCTACCTCTTGTATTTCTTTCCTTTTCCTCCCATCTTCTCTCTTCTACCTCACGACATCGACTCGGAAAGCATTGGGTAAGGAGGGAACAAAAAAGCAGCAGAAACGAGCATTGGTATGATTCGGCAGCGTGAAAATCACGGATTAGACGGCGGCGTGTTATGGAGCATGGATAGCTGCATGATTGTCTTTGGACCGGTTCTCAACATGTCGAAAAATAGAATTGGAAAGAAGAAACTGCTGAAGATAGAATGCCTTGGTTTTGCGTAGGATAAGTGTGAAGATGGAGGACTGTCCTGGAGGTCATGTGACGTGGTTAGTCAGCGGATGTTTAAGTCGGGGGTATATTGGCCTAGTCGAAAACGGAGTCAAGCCAGTCACGGCTCCCGTGTTTCTTTTTCGGTCTCTCGTCAATGACGGGGAGCCGGTGCTTGCGCGAGGAGTAGGCCGACGATGCGGAAGAGGATGAAGAAGAGCTGGACGTCGAGCTGTGAGAAGTGCGGCTGCTACTGCGGCTGCTAGCACTATCGACACTGCCAGCATAGCTGCTGCTGGTGAGGGAGCTCGAGGACGAGGCGATACTGTCGGCCTCTGCGTTCAACTTCGACAGCAAAGAAGACAAGCCGACGGCATCTGCAGGCACGACGACGGGCGAGACAGCAGACAAGGCAGCCATAGAAGCCATGGAGGCCATGGCTGCCATGGACGCAGCCGATCCCGGCAAGAGGACGGGCAGCGGGCAGATGATGATGGGAGGGATGTCTGTGTAGGTGCCGTGTCCTTGGTGGAGGTCGAGAAGCCGACGGAGAAGCCGGTTAGTGTCGCTGGCTCGGCGGCTGTTCAGCGGTCCGACAGAAGAGGAGGATCCGACGTCCTGATGATTCGGCTGCTGAAGCTGGCGCAAAAAGTGGGCGGTGGCCTCTCGGACACGTCTGATGGCGACGGGCGACATGAGCTCCTGGGCATTGTGGACATTGTCGTCGTCGTCGATCGGCAGCTCGACAGCATCCACAAACAAGTGTTCGTCCACGTCGATCACATCAGCATCGTCAGCATCACCGGCGCCATCGTCGGCCTCTCGAGACGCCGCGGACATCTGCCAGGTGGTCGGCTCGTCGGGAAAGAAGGCGTCCTCGATGCGGCCGGCGCTGGCGAGCGCCTTGAGCAGGGTGCTGGGGATCTCCAGGTTGCCGTTGACGAGCCGGAAGACGCGCATGTCTGTGGAGCTGGGCAGCAGGTGGGCGAAGCGCGTGGACGAGTCAGGGTCGTCGTCGTCGTCAGGGTTGTCGTCGTCGGCATGCACGCAGCCGTCACCGTCGCCGTCGCCAAAGTCGGCCAGCATGCGCAGATACTCGGCCGCCCGATCGCGGGCCTGACGATAGGGCGCAGCACAGCCAAGCGTCTTGGCGGTACGATGACGCCGCCAGTAGTCACGCAGGGCATTGAGGGTCTGCTCAAAGGCGACGGGATAGCGCCAGGGCGGAATGAGGATGCCGAGGCGGCGGTACGTCTCGGTATCGGTGCTCAGACCCTTGCGGTGCAGACGGGCGGTGGCTGAGCGCAGCAGCTGACGCTGGGCGCGCAAAAGTCCGGCCTCGTCTGGACTGGCGTCGACGGCCAGCTGGCGCAGGTAGCTCAACGGCCGGTGAATGGACACCTCGATCGCCGGGCTGTACAGCAGTCGCTCGGCCATGACTCTTCGTTCGGTCAAGGGCAACGATCACTTGGTCTGTATTGTTTTTGTCTTGGATGCACTGCCGTCTGGTGAGTCTCAATCCGTGCACACCCTGCTCTCGGTTCTGTCTCAATGGCAAAGGTCGGTGGGTTGAAAAGATGTGATGTGAAGATGTGATTGAATCTGACGGCTGGCTCTTCTGAAAGTTTTTGAAACACGAATCTCCAAGCCCCTTCTCCCAAGCTCAACCTCGTCGTGCAAGCCAACAAAAACGGATGAAAATGACAGAAAAGACTCCCTTTCCTCTTGACGCCTTGCCTATTGGATAGATGGTATTATACGAGAGCTCCGTCCAGCTCGGATCCTTCTCTCGGCTCTCTCACCCCGGGCTCAGCAGTGGCCACGGCCCTTCCTCGGCCGGCCAGCCAGACATCCGCCATCCGATATCGATATCCGACAGTCAGTCGGCCGTGCTAGTCTTCCATCTTGGTGTCGCGTTCGTCGCCGCGGATCCACAGCACGTTGTTGCATCTGGCCGGGTTAGTAAGGGTGCAGCAGCGTCGCACAGCGTCCAGCCTACCGGATCAGCACCTGGCCCAGCTGGCCGGTGGACTCGCCGTCGATAAACTCCTCCGTGTCCGACAGCTGCAGGTTCATGTAGCTGTCAATCGACACGAGCGCGCCTTTGTATTCGGTCTCGCCCCACTTGAGCCGCACGGAGACAGGCTTGCCCACGAGGTCCTGGAGCATCGGACGGGGGTTCACGGGCATGAAACTCATGGCTGCGGCGGAGACGGGCGTGTGTAATGCGAGGTCGGCGGCGGAGGCGGTGTCGGTGTCGATGGACGACGTTGCAAGTTGTTGATATTTTTCATTTTCCATGCGGGTCTGCTGGTTTCCCCTGCCAGTCCTGCCGGCTGCCAGACAGCACCTGCCAGCTGGCAGGAAGTTCTGCCAGAGCACGTGCGGGGTAGGTGGGGCCCGCCGAGAACGACATCATCGCAGCTGCCAAGCACGTCCTGCCCTCCCCACTAATCCCAACAGAATCGGCAGACGTCCGAGAGCTGCCAGAGCCAGCCTCGGGTGACGCTGGCGAGAAGCACGTCGATGGTGGCGGCTGCTGCTGGAATCTGGGAAGCCGGTACGGAGTACGGGCGGAGTCGTCGCAACGCGTTATTCAGCGTCTTGCAGGAAACGGAAAACGGAGCACAGTCGTCCGGACGCTTATGCCAAAAGTGGGTCGGCGAGCAGTCGTAGCTGCCTCGACAGAGCTCTCTTTCCGGATGCCGGAGCGAACAGCAGCAACCTAAAACGAGGAGGGGCAAATTCATGACGCCCCCCTCGACCGTGAAAACGGCGTTTATCTGCGCGACTTCCACACCTGTTCCCAACTCTCCTTCTCCCATCTTCCCATCTCTATCCTCTTCTGTACTCTGCAGAATTTGCAGTTTTCGAGCTTCCCATCTTCCATCACCAATTCCTTCACCCACACTTACACAATGGCTTCTTCTCTGGAACAGCTGAAGGCCTCTGGCACGGTATGTCATGGCGCACTCGGCGTGCATTAGCATAATCACCGCTTCTCCCACAGCTATCTAGCAGTTTTCCCTCTCTGTCCTTCTACCTGTCTTTTGCTGACTGGCTACTTTTGCTTCTCACAGGTCGTTGTCAGTGACTCTGGTAAGTCTTCTGTGCCTTCCGGCCGCTCCGGCCTTTTGCATAGCTGAATACTAACACGTTTGGCCAGGTGACTTTGCTTGTTAGTTTGGCCTTGCCCTTCCGAAATTATCCTTCTTGTTCCTTTCCTTCTGCTCACAACCACAGCCATCGCCAAGTACAAGCCCCAGGATGCCACCACCAACCCATCCTTGATCCTGGCCGCGGCCAAGAAGGCCGAGTACGCCCCGTTGATCGATGCCGCCGTCGCCTACGGCAAGAAGCACAGCGGCTCTGTCGACGAGCAGGTCGATGCTGCCCTGGACGCCCTTCTGGTCGAGTTCGGCCGCGAGATCCTCAAGATCGTCCCCGGCCGCGTGTCCACCGAGGTCGACGCCCGCTTTTCTTTCGACACCAAGGCGTCAGTCGACAAGGCCCTGCACATCATTGACGTACGTTTTGACTTTAGCATCTTTCTGTCCTACGGCCGCTAACCCTCCCCAGCTGTACAAGGAGCAGGGCATCTCCAAGGACCGCATCCTGATCAAGATCGCCTCCACTTGGGAGGGCATCAAGGCATCCGAGATCCTGCAGCGCGACCACGGCATCAACACAAACCTCACCCTGCTCTTTTCGCAGACACAGGCTATTGCCGCCGCCGAGGCCGGTGCCTTTTTGATCTCCCCCTTTGTCGGCCGCATCCTGGACTGGTTCAAGGCCAGCACCAAGAAGGCTTACACCAAGGACGACGACCCGGGCGTTTCTTCCGTCAAGGCCATCTACAACTACTACAAGAAGCACGGCTACAAGACCATCGTCATGGGCGCGTCGTTCCGCAACACCGGCGAGATCACCGAGCTGGCCGGCTGCGACTACCTGACCATCTCGCCCTCTCTGCTGGAGGAGCTGCTCAACTCGACCGAGGCCGTGCCCAAGAAGCTGGACGCTGCTGTCGCTGCCACTCTCGACATCCCCAAGAAGTCCTACATCAACGACGAGGCCTTGTTCCGCTTCGACTTCAACGAGGACCAGATGGCCGTCGAGAAGCTGCGCGAGGGCATCAGCAAGTTTGCTGCCGACGCTATCACCCTCAAGGACATCCTCAAGGCCAAGATTGCCGCATAAGCAAATACGACAGCAACGGCATGACGGCACGGACGCCGGGAGGCAGAATAATAATCTGGTTACTAGGTTTCGCGTGCACAGAATGCAAGATACTGAATAGATCTCGGATCTCTGCCATACTGTTTTAGTTTCAGCAAAACAAAACAAAAATAAAAAAAAATAAAAAAAATTCGCTTTGAATGTACTTTAAACGCCGCTGATCGAGTGACATGAGATAAAACAGTGAAACAAACCCAAACGTCTCCCCGCTTTGCATGTCTCCCAGGTTTACTATGACGCCTTCGGGCAGTCCACCTGCTCAATGTAGTGCTGCACGCTACCGTCTGAGCCAGCTTCGACGATCAGGGCCGTCAGTTGGTTGCCGTAGACACAGCCCGAGTCAAGCCCAAAGGTGTAGCCGGAATCTCGGCCGCCGTTTCTCCGACCATGGCCGAAAATGCCGAAAATGCTGAACACACTGGCTAGCCAACCTGGTGACGATGTCGATGTTGATGCCGATGTCGATGCCGATGCCGATTGCGTGGAATGTAATTGCTGCCTCAGTGTCTGTGGCGGCACTGCCAAACCCGTCTTGGCGTCGTGTCCGTAGATGACAGTGGTGCGGAACTCTGACGCTGCCTTGGCATGCTGCACCTGGTTCCAGATAGCTGCCCAAGGCATCCGGCTGTCGTCCTCGGCCTCGCTAAAGTGAGCCTCAACAGGCAGCAGCACAAGGTCGGAGGGTGAAGTGGTGAGGAGAGCCGGTTGAGAAGATGAGGAGGAGCCGATCGAGGCCAGCGGGTGCTGCAGGTCGGGCCCATAGACGGCGTGCTGCAGCTTGTGGAAGACCCGGTCGACCTTTTGCTCGGACACGTAGACGTAATCGGTGGGCCGAATGTAGCCGCGTGACCGCAGCCGTGTGTCGTATTCGATCATGTCCCGAGCCCGTTCCCGACGCAACTCGTCGGCCGGATGCACGAGGCTGCGCATAGTCATGACGGCCATCGGGTCCTGGCTGGCGAGCGAGAGGCCTGGCACGAGACCGCCATGAACAACGACAACGTCTTCGAACTGGGCGGGAGACGAAGAAGACGACGATTCGGCTTCTGTTACTTTCGTGACTTTCGTGGCCACCGGCACGATGGAGCCAATGTGCAGGATTGCGGGCAGGCTAGACAGCCAGCGGTACTGCTCGGGCGACAGGCTGGCAGCAACAGCTCGCTCTTGGTCATCGTCATATGTGGACGAGTCGTGGCCGAGCTGTGCGTCCAAATCGGCGTTGATTCGGTCGAGGTCCAGCGTGTATTCCTCGCTCTGCTCCTCCTCGCTCTGGCTGTCTTTGTCGAAGCCTAGGAAGGAAAAGATGCCCCAGAGAGGCCCGGCTTCTTCTTCTTCTTCGGCTTCTTCCCGCTGATAGAGTCTCTCTTCTTCTTCTCGTCGCAACCGCGCCCGAGCTCGCTCCCGTCTGCCCTCCACCTCGATGCTAAGCTGCTTTCGCTTCCGGGCGGCCTCGTCTCGACTTAGGTCAGCCGGCCTGGACATCATGTTCAGCAAGCCGCGGGCCCGACTGATGCTCTTGGTGGCCTGCACGGCCTCATATGCAAGCAGTACTCGGTCGTCGTTGCTTCCGCGCACAGCGCTGGCGTCAACTTCCATGGCAAGCTTCACGACGCCGGCACTGTCGGGTCCCTTGTTGACGAGATCGCCCGTCAGCACCAGATGGTCGTGGGTGGGGCTGAAGCCGACCTTTTCGAGCAGCGCGTCGAGAGAGCTGCGCTGGCCGTGCACGTCGCCGATGAAGATGAGTCGTCGACGACGCAGCGGCTGGGCTGTCGCCGGCAATGCACTGGTCTTGTCATCGTCCACCATGAGCTCTACCGGAAGCTCAACGATTGCGGTGGCGAAGCCCTTGATAGGTGGCCGTGCACTGGTACCGTATGCCATGTTGTCCATGGGTTGCAGCCGGGGATCCGGCATGACCCTGAAGACCAAGTTTTGGCTGTTTGCATCCTCGCTGTTGTTGTCGTCAGCCGTTTCGGGCTCTGTCGAGGGTTCTCCTGCTTTCGCGGCAGACGGATTCTCAGAATGCTTCCCAATATCCTCCGGAGCAGGAGCTGGGACAAAGTGTGATAGGTCATGACTAGCTGCCAGCGTGTGGCCAAGGTACAGCGTCATGAGCACGACGAATGCCAGGAAAAGTACCAGGCGACGACGCCATCGCCGGAGACGTACTATTCTCATCGGGACAGACGGAGAACGAATAACGATGCCGGAAATCCGTCCAGTTTAGAGCCGCCGCAGTCGGTCAATATATAGCACCACTTACACCAAAACTGCCTGCCAGGGCGGAGAGAAAGCAAGGTTCACGCAGCACTAGGAGATCGACGCAGCAACATGAGGAGCAGCATGTAATTTCCGAGATCCGGGCGACGTAGAGGGGGGCTGACAAGACGGTAACGATGGAAAGAAGAAGACGAGAAGCAGGCGAGATGCGGTTGATGGAAGCTCGGTCGACAGGCTCCCAGATAATCGACAGCCTGCAGGGCAGCACATATGACGAAAGTGGCGATGCCTTGCGGCAGAAAGGCAGAGTTTGAGAAACGGGACAATGCGCAAGTATCTATCCGTCAGATGGCCAGGAGGATGAGGCGCCAAGACGCCAAGCTCTCAGTCCGTTGGCCGGGACAATATTGAGCTTATCCAGACCCCTGTCTCCAATCTTCTTGCATGTTGTGGTATGTGTGACTTTTGGGGGCACACTGCCTTTCTCACGAGGCAGCCAAAATGCGGCTGTCAAGGAAGTTGCTCCATCACCAGAAGAAGACATCTACTCGCGAGGGAAGGAGCGCTGGACGGATTGGGGTGCTTCGTGGAACCTTCCCGATCGCCGGCCGTGCTTGCCCATCTGCATGCCTAAGACGCAGGCTGCTTCTTTCCTTGTTCTTCCCATTACGACAGCTGTTCCGGGGCGCAATATTGGTCGATCGCTGGCGCTAATGCTCTCCGCCGCCAGGACGTGTGGGCCAGTCCGAGAACGGCAAGTGGGCGCATGATAGGCATTTTCGACAACCAGCCTTTGCCCCATGTTACGACTGCGTATCTTTGTGTCGGTTTGGAGGCCAGAAGTACGCCCGAGGTACAACCCGTTTCGTCGTGCAAAGCCGGACTATCCGCAGACTCGCAAGTGTGCCTTTTTGTCTTGGGTCGCTGCGAACTGCCCCACGTTTGCATCAGAAAGCAGTAGACTATCGTATGTATTCTTCCGCCTGTTGTCCCATCCCATACTTTTTTTCAGTCGGCCGGAATGCCGACACAACCACTGGAATCCTCTCGTACGATGCGCATCCCCAATCCCGGTCTATCACGCGAGCACAGGACCGTGAGAAGGCCCAGGTACCCGTGTCTGAGTGGAGAGAGAGTTTAAAGACAAACTTTGGAGCTGCCTCCCAAACGCCCGTTTTCTCTATATCCCGTAGTACTATGAACGATATGGCCACACCTTGTGTCGTGAATTCGTGACGAGCCGATTCGCTGCCTCTGCTTGTTCTCGCCTCCTCATAGCTTCTTCTTGGCGGCCTGATCGCGGCGGTACTGTTCGTTTTCCAGCTCGCGCCAGTCGGGCGGCTCCTTCTCGTTGCCGGACGTGACCTTGACGGCGCCCGCAAAGGCCGACCGGCCGGCGTACAGCTGATATCCGGCGACGGACGCCGTCTCGGTCGACTCGGTCGTGCCGCTAATGGTGCCCGGTGCCGGCGTGGCGTTGGCCTGCAGGGCCTTGGCGCCGGCCGGCTGGTTCCCGCGGAAGCGCTTGCGCATGTCGATCATGCCGCGGCGGCACTCGCCAAAGCCCTTCTTGAGCTGCTGGCAGTGCGGCGACAGCGTGCTGGACAGCGGCTCGCGCAGACACTCGGCGGCCGTGTGGCGCTGCACCATGATGCAGTCGGATTCCTGGAGGCACTGCGCAAGCGCGGCGCCTGGGACAGTCAGAGCGAGGACGAAACGAAAGGGCAAGCAGCGTACGGATTTCTTTGCAGGAGCTCGGCATGGTGGCGGCAGGTTGTCGGACAGCGCATCGGATGATTTGCAAATTCACATTCACATTCGCATTCGCAGTAATTCGCACCTCGACAGAGTCCTGATTGGACGCCACGTGTGGCGCACCACGGCCGCTAAGCCACTGCGAACGTGCCCCGTAGCTGCAGTTCGCGTAGTGTGCCCCATAGCGACTGCTGCGTGTATTACGGAGTCCTCTGTATCAGGCCGTCATTTGCATGTGACATCATCTACTCCGTAATCACAGTCGATATTTCCACACTCGTCAACGCCTCCTATCTTTTCTTGCCCCATCAACCATGATTGGCACCCGGCTTCTGTCTCCATCAACCGTTTAGTCTGAAGGCGACTCTTCCGCTTCTCTGCTCCTGCCGGTGCCGTGTTCGTCATGGCTGTGCCGTTTGTCGGGCGGCTTAATGTGTCAGTGTGCCCAACCGCTCTCAATAGCGGCCTATCTCTCTCTTCTCCCAATCTCGCACAAATGCTAACTGCCGGGACTGCCAGCCCCGAATACACGGCCCTCGTCAGCTCAATCTTTCTAGTTGCCCTCGAGGCTACCATCCGCATCCTCACCCTGTGTCTGCGTACGTCGGTCTGGCATCGCGTCGTCTGTTCCGTGCCCCCTGACTTGTTGATCCTAACGTGTCTGCAGCGAGTTGGCTCATCGATCTCTGCTATCGTGCCTCGCGAAGGATATTTAATCGGTTCACCAGCCCGGCCCAGAAGCGAGCCCAGGAGAAGAAGAAATGTAAGCGTTTCCTGTTTCCTGTTCTTTGTTCTTTGTTCTTTGTTCTTTGTTGTCTTTGTCTTTTAGTCCTTGTTTTCTTCTTTCTCGTCGCCTGTCTCAGATCGGTGTCTCGCCACCCGCACTAACGGGATCTAGCCATCTCGACCTCGATCAGCGATGCGTCCGACTTTGTCGAGCTCTGTCGCGTCTTCGGCTACACGGCCGAGGAATACGTCTTCTCGACCAAGGACGGCTACCTGCTCGGCCTTCACCGCCTGGCCTGGCGGCGGGGCGAGGAGGACGTCAAGGTCAATGATGGTCCACGCAGCGTGGCCAAGCGCGTGATCTACATGCACCACGGCCTGTTGATGAACAGCGAGGTGTGGGTGTGCGCGACCGATGCGCGGCGCTGTCTCCCCTTCATGCTGGTCGAACGCGGCTTCGACGTCTGGCTGGGAAACAATCGCGGCAACAAGTACTCGAAGAAATCGGTTAACTGCTCAGCCGACAGCTCCGTCTTCTGGAACTTCTCCATCGACGAGTTCGCCTTCCACGACATCCCCGACAGCATCGCTTACGTGCTCGACGTCACCGGCCAGCCGTCCCTTTCCTACATTGGCTTCTCACAAGGCACTGCTCAGGCCTTTGCCGCCTTGGCCATCCATCCCAAGCTCAACGACCAGGTCAATGTGTTCATCGCACTCGCACCCGCCATGTCGCCGGCCGGCCTGTCCAACGGCATCGTCGACGCACTCGTCAAGGCATCGCCGCAGGTGCTGTATCTGCTCTTTGGCCGTCATTCCATCCTCAGCTCGGCCACGCTCTGGCAGTCGCTCCTCTATCCGCCGTTGTTTGTGCGTGTCATCGACCTCGGCCTGAGCTTCCTGTTTGGCTGGCGCACCGCCAACATCTCCGCGTCCCAGAAGCTGGCCGCATACCCCCATCTCTACTCCTACACCAGCACCAAGTCGGTCGTGCACTGGTTCCAGATCATCCGCACAAAGTCGTTCCAGATGTACGACGACGACGTGCATCCGCCGCTGGCCCTGCACTCCAAGCACACCAAGGTGGCCAAGTATCCGACGCGCAATATCAAGACGCCTGTGGTCCTGGTGTACGGTGGCATCGATTCGCTGGTCGACATCCGCGCGATGCTGCGCGAGCTGCCGGCCCAAACTGTTGCCACCGAAATCCCGCACTACGAGCACCTTGACTTTCTGTGGGCCCGCGACGTCGACAGCCAGGTCTTCCGCCACGTCTTTGACGCTATCGACAGCTTCACCGGCGCCGAGCATACCAAGGAGGAGTATGCACGCTACCGAAACGCCCGTCACGCGAGCATGAATTCGCAAGTCGTCCACTATCTGCCTGAGAGCAGCGACGCCGTTGACAGCGACCAGAGCGCCCAGAGCGATCAGGACGGCCAGATTGCCGTCACCACGACCGTGTCTGACAAGGCGGTTGAACAAGACAGCCACGGTCATGAGCACACCACCACACCACCGCTGTCGGGCACGGCCGAGACGGTCTCGACGATGGAGACGGACGAGACGGCAGCATCGGCAGCGGTCGTCATGACACCCACGCTGCGCAAGACCTCGTCGCAAAAGTTCCGCAATGCCGGCAGCCTGCGAATTGGCTCGCTCAGAGGCAGCAAAGGCATCAGTGACGGCATCCGGCTCGGTAGCAGCAGAGCCGTGGGAGGTGTGACGACAGAGGCAGCGGTAGGCAGCGCAATCGGCGGGACTTCCAGCTCAGACGAGGGCCGAAAGCGGGCAGCCTCCAAGTAGACGGGACATCAAACATCAGTGCATATGCGGCGTCTGCTGGGTGTTTTGACGGAGTATTATAGTAGTGCTGAATTGGGCGGCAGTTTGCATTTACCCATAGCCTGTTCTCCTTTGACGTCTTTCATTTCGCCCTTTCTGGCACGAGCAGTGGATATCAAAAGATCACGGCATAGATAGGCACGCAGTATGAATCAATTTGCTGAACTTTGTAATTTAAGCTTGAATAGAGTGCAACCGGAACGAATCGGAACTCCAGAAGGCTATCCAGGTCAATCCATCTCGACCAGCACCTTGAGGGCGCTGTGCTTCGAGGCATTGCGGAAGGTATCGTAGGCCTTTTCCATCTCGGAGAATTTGAATTCTGCTGGTCAGTTTTCATTCTGTCTTTTCTGTCCGCTCTCGCCTCGTGCCGTCCAGACTTACTGTGCGTGATCAGCTGTGCCGGGTTGAGGCGCCGTGCCTGCACCAGCTTCAGCAGCATCGGCAGGGTGGCGGTGTCGACGAGCCGTGTCGTCACGCTGATATTGTGATCCCACAGCTTCTCCAAGTGCAGGGTGACGCCGGTGCCGTGGACGCCGACGTTGGCGAGCACGCCGCCGGGCGCGAGCAGCTGCTGGCAGAGCTCGAAGCTGGCCGGCAGGCCGACGGCCTCGAGGACGGAGTCGCAGCCGATGCCGCCGGTGAGGGCGCGGACCTGTTCGACGGCCCTGGCCGCACCCTCGGCACCGCCGCCGTTGTTGATCGTGTGGTGGGCGCCCATCTCGCGCGCAACCCGCAGCCGATTCTCGTCCATGTCGATCGCGATCAGCACCGCCGGCGAGTACAGCTGGGCCGTGATCAGAGCGGCTAGGCCGACCGGACCGGCACCCACCACAACCACGGTCGAGCCCGGCTGCACGCGCGCATTCTGCACGCCGCACTCGTGGCCCGTCGGGAAGATGTCGCTCAGCATCACCAGCGCGCCCGCGTCGTCGTCCGTCGTGTCCGCTGGCAGCACGTACAGGCTCGACTGTGCGTGAGGCACGCGCACGTGCTCGGCCATCGTGCCGTCAATGGAGTTGCCCAGAATCCAGCCGCCAGTCTCGCAGTGCGAGTACATGCCGCGACGGCAGTAGTGGCACGACGAGCACGACGACACGCACGAGATCAGCACCCGGTCGCCCACCGACACGCCCTTGACCGATGAGCCCACCTCCTCGACCACGCCCACACCCTCGTGGCCCAGCACCCGCCCCGGCGAGCACGTCGCCACGTCGCCCTTGCAGATGTGCAGGTCCGTGCCGCAGATGGTCGTCTTCTGCACTCGCACCACCGCGTCCGTAGGCTCCAGCAGCTGCGGCCGCGGGTGGTCCAGCAGTCGCGCCTTGTTGGCACTCTCGTAGATAAACGCCTTCATCGTGCCGGCAGCAGCCATGCGGGTCGAGGTTGAGAAGAAGACCGGCAGTCTGGTCTTGTTGGGAGCAGAAGCAGAAGCAGAAATGGAAGCAGCAGCACCTGGACGAGAAAGAGCTCTTGTGCTTGCAGAGAGAACCAGCGTAGGGACAAAGGCACGGTGAGCAAGACACCTGGACATGGTCCCAGGGGACACCCCTCCAACTTTAAGGGCATTCATGGCGGAAAGTCGGGGTTTGGTGCTGACAGGTCAAGATGTGCGAGTTGGACAGGCACTTGACACTTGCCTCTTTTTGGTAGGTAGACTTTGAACAAGCTGTCCGAGACCCCGTCTTTTGTACTATCTAAGGAAGGCCCGCCATCCGGAGAGAACTGACCCACCGGTGGCCGCATGAGTCGATCGGTGTAGACGGCCGGACTCCATTTCCTCCGCATACGTCGTAGTGGTGTGGTTCCGCGGTGGCCTGACGATCTGTCACATCGGCTTGGACCTGCGGGCCCACAAATTGTGTGTGCGCTGGCTGGGTCAAAGCTCCGGCTTGGGGTGCAGATTGCATCACGTGTTCAGAGCTGTCTCGCCCGATGTACAAGTTTCCGGTCGTCCGGATTTGTTCTATTTGGCTCTGACACTTGTTCTCTAGGTCTACTGCTCAGTGGGCGTACTGCTTGTTGAAGGCTCGGCCGATGACCATGCGACGGATTTCGCTGGTGCCGGCACCGATCTCGTAGAGTTTTGCACTAGAATGTCAGGAGAGAAGAGGAGAAAATGAGGAGGGGAAAAGAGGAAAAAGGCCAGTGGACCAGACGCACTCTCTCAGAATCCGACTTGCCGGCATCTCCTCCATGTAGCCCATGCCACCGAGCAGTTGGATGCAGTCGAGGGCGACCTCGGTGGCGCGCTCGGCGGCGTAGAGGATGGTGCCGGCGCAGTCCTCGGTGCGGATGTCGCTGCTGTCGTCGACACGGCGGGCAGTGGCGTAAGTGTAGGCGCGCGAGGCCTGCAGTTTGGTATGCATGTCGGCGAGACGGCCCTGGACGAGCTGGAAGGACGCAACCGGGACGCCGAACTGGTGGCGCTGGTGGGTGTACGGCAGCGCGAGGTCGAGGGCAGCCTGCATGAGTCCGAGCGGACCGGCGCTGAGGACGAGCCGTTCGAGATCGAGACCGGCCATGAGCACGCGCGCCCCTCCGTCGACGGTGCCGAGGACGTGCGAGCACGGCACGAAGACGTCGTCGAACACGAGCTCGCCCGTGTTGCTACCACGCATGCCCATCTTGTCGAGCTTGCGGGCACAGGCAAAACCAGGCGGCCGGGCAGCTGTGTCGACCAGAAAGGCCGTGATGCCCTTGGAGCCGGCATCCGGTCGCGTCTTGGCATACACCACGATCAGGCCAGCGTCCGGCCCGTTGGTGATCCACATCTTGCTGCCCCGGAGCACATAGCCGTTGCGGCCGTGCTGGACAGCCTCGCGCGCCGTCGTCCGCATGCTCACCACGTCGCTGCCGGCTCCCGTCTCCGACATAGCCAGGGCCCCGATCGTGGTGCCGGCAATCAGCCCCGGCATGTGAGCCGCCTTCTGGGCTGCCGTGCCGTGCAGCTGCAGCTGGTTCACGCACAGCTGCGAGTGGGCAGCGTAGCTGAGCGCTACCGACCCGCTCGCTCGCGATAGCTCCTCCATCACGACACAGTGGGCCTGATAGCCAAGGCCCAACCCGCCGACGTCCTCGTCTGCCGTGATGCCCAGGAAGCCGGCTGAGCCCAGCTTCTGCCACATGTCGGCCGGGAAGCTGTTGGTCTTGTCCGTGGCCGCCGCCACCTCCTCGGTCAGCTCGCGGCGTGTAAATTCCTGCACCCGCTCGCGGAGCTCGTCCAGGTCAGCCTGTGGAGGTGGCACAAAACCTTTGGGGTGCTTGGACGCGAGAGTGCGGTGGTGTGGAGGAGTGCGGGCAGATATGAACAAGGGGTGGAGGGGATGATGGAGAGAATGGAAGAGTGGTCGGAGCGGCTGAAATGGCCGGAGCACTCTAGCTGTGGCCATGGTGAGTTTTTGATGTTTGATGTTGAAGCCAGACAAGGACAGATTGCCAGAGCCGTCAGTTTCTATCCGTTGATAGTCCTTCCGTAAAGCAGGCACAGAACAAACGACACCGGGAAGGAGCGACGAAGCACAACACATGCCAGCCCGAAGCTCGGCTTAGTGTGCGGGGCCTAGCGGCTTGCTTCGGTTAGTGCTGGCGCCCCAGATTTCCCCACGAATCCGGGGATAGCTTCAACTGTGGTCTTGTGTTTTCCCTTTTCCCTGCTCGACTGCAAACACACCCATTCTGCACCCTCAAACATGTCTCTCTCGGCGGCGACAATGCGGTCGCTTGGCTGTCGACGTCCTGTCCGTCTGGCGCGCACGGTGGCCAGTTTTGCGGCTGGTGGTTTTACGGCCGAGGCGCTCTCGCGGCTGCCCACGACCGTCGACGTCTCGTCCGACGGCTTCCGCGAGAACGCGCGGCTGATGCGGGCGGCCGTCGATCGGGTCGAGCAGCTGACGCGACAGGCCCAGCGCGGTGGCCCCGATACGGCACGAGCAAAACATGTGGCCCGCAACAAGATGCTTCCGCGCGACCGCGTGGCCGCGCTGCTGGACGTGGGCTCGTCCTTTCTCGAGCTCTCACCACTCGCCGGCCATGGACTTTACGGCGTCGCCGGCACTGCCGCCGATGTTGCGGCTGGTGGGATCATCACAGGCATCGGCCGCGTCGCCGGAGTCACGTGCCTTGTGGTCGCCAACGACAGCACCGTCAAGGCCGGCTCCTACTATCCCATCACGGTCAAGAAGCACCTGCGCGCACAGGAGGTGGCGGCACAGAGCCGGCTGCCGTGCATCTATCTCGTCGATTCGGGCGGCGCCAACCTGCCGCTCCAGGCCGACGTCTTCCCGGATCGCGACCATTTTGGCCGCATCTTCTTCAACCAGGCCCGTCTCTCGGCCGCCGGCATCCCCCAATTGGCCGTCGTCATGGGTCCCTGCACTGCTGGCGGTGCCTATGTTCCTGCCATGAGCGATGAGAGCATCATTGTCGACCGACAGGGCCACATCTTCCTCGCCGGGCCGCCGCTGGTCAAGGCTGCCACCGGCGAAGATGTCAGCCCCGAAGATCTCGGTGGCGGCCGCATGCATTCGACCGTTTCCGGTGTCACAGACCATCTCGCCGTCGACGATGCCCATGCTCTCGCTCTCGCCCGCCGCTGCATCGCCGACCTCAACTACCCGCCTGCCGACAGCCCGTCCAAAGACGCTACTCCCCCTCTCTACGACCCCGACGAGCTGCTCGGCATCGCCTCCACAAATCTTCGCCAGCCTATCGACCCCCTCGAGATCATCGCCCGCATCGTCGATCACTCTGCCCTGGCCCAGTTCAAGCCAGACTACGGTACCACTCTCGTCACTGGCTTCGCCCGCATCCATGGCCATCGCGTCGGCATTCTCGCCAACAATGGCGTACTCCTCTCGGCTGCCGCTCTGAAAGGCGCTCACTTCATCGAGCTCTGCGCCCAACGTGGCATTCCCCTTGTCTTTCTCCAGAACATCGCCGGCTTCATGGTCGGCTCTGCTGCCGAGCGAGACGGCATCGCCAAGCACGGCGCAAAGCTCGTCGCCGCCGTCTCCTGTGCCGCCGTCCCCAAGTTCACCGTCGTCGTTGGCGGAAGCTATGGCGCCGGAAACTACGGCATGTGTGGCCGTGCCTACAGCCCCCATTTCCTCTGGATGTGGCCCAATGCTCGCATCGCCGTCATGGGCAGCGAGCAGCTGGCCACCGTCATGGAAACTGTCGGCACCCGCAATCCCGATCCACAACTGCGTACTCGCATCGATGCTGAGAGCGATGCCGTCTTTTCTACCGCCCGTCTTTGGGTGCGTTCGTTTCTGTCCCCTTTTTCTGCTCCAGTCTTTTTCCCCCTAATACACATTGCTGACTAATACTGCTCCAGGACGACGGCATCATTCCCCCTCAACACACCCGTCGCTACCTTGGCCTCGCCCTGAGTGCTGCCATGGGTGGACGCAATTGCGTCGCCCCCAATGAGACCAAGTTCGGTGTATTCCGCATGTAGATTTGTATACCGTGTACTCAATTACTGCTATGCTCGCTTGATGCTGTCAAAAACAAATCGCTAAATTAAAACGCATGATCCCGCCAATGCAACCACGCATCATGTCAAAGAATCCTATGCCACAGTCGCCTGAAGCATTGCCCGCTCAGCCACCCAGTCCTCTCGCTCCCGGGACGCCGTTTTACATCCCTTCTTTCATTAGTTATAACAAGAAAAGCCAAAAAGGCCAGATCCGCCTCACCGTCCAGATCGTTGATCATCCCCCTCGTGGTCTCGGTGCCGAGACTCCTGCCACGATGCAAAATTCCCCTGCCCAAGACGCTCCTTCTCGCGATCCAGTATGATGTTGAGCTGACTACGCGTTCGAGCAAAGGGGATGCGAGGCGTCTGTGACGGCCGTGTCGGCGTGAAGAGCTGCCGCTGCACCGGACTGTGCTCGTTGTAGGACGAGCTCTCCACCAGCGGCCGTTCTGCTTCTTCGTCGTCATCCAGTCCCGTCTGCGCATACAGCTCAAACGGGTCTGGCCCTTCTGTCTCGATCAGTACCCCGCTGGCTGCCACCATCGACGGCGCCGCGATCGCAGCCGATCCTATCCCGTGTGGCAATGCTGGCCGCTGGGCCCCGTCGCCGACATGATGCCGCGCGTAGCTGTCCTGTGAGAGCGACCGGCTGAGGCGAGGGGGGATCGCGCCCGGTGATATTGGCGCTGGCGCGCCCGTCACTCCGAATCCCTGTCCAGTTGCCAGTCGTTTCCGCTGGCTCGACACCTCCGGCATGGTATACTGGCGGCTCGGCGTGCCACCTGGTCCGCCCAGAACTTGGCTCACCGGGCGTCGATTTCGAGACGCCATGGAAATTTCCAGAATGCCCGATCCACCAGTCGACTCCAGACTGGCTGACGTTGCAGCTTGTCCCGACGCTGCAGACAGTCCAGGTCCTTGATGGACTACAACGGGCTGTGGACCTCTGGCAGCAGCTGCAGTTGCCAAACCCGTCACTGATCCTACCGAAGCTGTCGGTGACATCAATGTCGGTGACGACGTATACAGCTGCGGACGCACCGGCGGCAACGGAGGCGGCTGTGTTGGCTGCTTTCCAGCAGTCTCTGTGCCCTTCGGCCGTGCAGCTTGTCTCTCCAGGTTTGATGCAGAAGCATGCGCTCTAGGCGAGACGTCCGCGCCCCGATCAGACAATCCCAATGATGACGATACGATGCCCTCAATTTCTCCAATCTCGTCCATCTCATCCATCTCACCGACTCCCTCTTCTTCAACAGCTGTTTGCTCCGACTGGCGAGACGACACTAATTCACGCGCCTCAGTAGCAGCGGAGCCCGTGGAAGAGTGAGAATTGGAGCGCTTTGCAACGACAGCCTTCCGCTTGGACGAGGCCATGCCTGCCACAAACTTTTTTTTGGCGTGCTTTGGCTTTGCTTTGCGTCCATCTTGTTTGGCCGTTCCGGATTTGCTGCTGGGAGTAATAACCGAAGACTGTTCTTTGGGTTTGGGTGTGCTCTGTTCACTGCTAGTGCTGCCAACAGCTGCGCTTGCGCCGGCCTTTAAGACGTTATTACCTTCAACGGCATTGTCACCTGTAGCCGCTCCTTCCTTCGGCTTGTCGTCAGCCGGCTCGCCAGATGGCAATGCAAAGCGAGGTGTCGGGCGTGGACCAGCAAGGGAAGGCCTCGGCTTCTTGAGAATTGACTGCGAAGGTGGCGGCCTTGTGGATGATGACGAAATCTTCTTCGGCTGAACAACGTCATCTTTTTCTCCATGTCTGGTCTTCGTATTACCGATTTCCTGCTGTTTGACGGATTTTTCTGCTGTTTCTGCTGTTTCCGCCTGCTTGGAAGGCTTCGAAATTGATTCGGATGTGGCGGTGTCCGGCTTGTCTTGGCCTGGACTTTCTGCACGCCTTTTGTCCTGGCCAGTCTCGCTTGTTTGCGGTCTCTCCTGTTCCCTCTCTGGTATTCCTTGCTGCTCCATCATGAACTGTGCTGTCATTCTTGGCAGCAAGAAAGGAGGAGCCTTCGTGAAAATCGTGTCAACACACAAAGCGAAAAACACGCAAAACAAGAGATAACCATTCAAGGGCGCTCACCATCGGGCCTTCGTACCGATTTGAAGGACCACGCAGAGGAACAAACGTAGGACCATTCGAGATGTTCTCATACAGCTTTGCGAGCGTTTTTCCACTGAGAAAGCGGCGATCGCTGCCCCAGACATGCCACCAAAAACTCTCCAGACGGCTAGCGGTCGGGTCATACAACCTGCGATGCGTTGTAGTATATACTAAATCGGCATCAATTAGCCAACCGTCCGACAAGTTAGGATAGCCAAAAGAGGCAGAGGTGTAAATTATAACGAACCGCGCCAGTACTCCCTGAGCCGTTCTAGAGGGACGATTTTATAGCTTGCGACCTCGGCATAAATTTCCGATGTGTTCGCGACGATGCCCTTGGGCAGAATCTGGGGAACCCCATTTTCGATAGTGGTGTCATCTCCAACTTGGTTGCTCAATTCTGGGCCTGCCATTTTGTTGTCCTCTGCTGGACCGGGTTGGCACGAGGCAGTAGCAGAACCGCTGTCTTGCGTGCGTGGAGAGGCCATTGGCAGAGTGGTGAGTTGTCGCCCCTCGGCTTAGCAGAAGAGTATCGAGACGATACCGGAAATCAAACCCTACTGCGGCCTCGACGGTTCTGAAAACACGAATGACCTGGTGACAGCAGTTCTGAATAGAGCTTGGCCGACTCACAAGGAGCCAAAAGCCGGAATGGTACGAGCTTCCTTGGGGTACATATTCGTCTAATGGTTCAACAGTGTGAGCGATGAGCTGGCAATCGGGCAATCAGGAAAGAAAATGAAGAGACGAAGAGGAATGAGGCGCGGCGCATTAGCGAGCACAGCAGCAGCTCAAGAGAAAAATAAAGGGGGGGAGGGAGGGAGCGATATGGGGCGGTGTGAAGATGAAGGCCAACGACTAATTAACACGAAGTGAGGTAAGAATGGGGAGAGCCAGCAAACACCATTGGTCCTGACCAGGGCCGTCACAAGCCCGGATTGCCGGACACTGGGGAGGACATAAAATAGCTTTTTTTTCAGCTAGGGGCGAAGCTGTGCGACAAGCGGGCCAAATGGGATGCAGACAGTTGTATAGCAACAGTGGGCACGTTTTGTATACGCGAATTTTGAAAAGACCAGGAATGAGAGAGAAAGATGGTGCAGAAGGGCAAGTAGTTACGTCAAGAAGAAGCAAGCCCTCTCTGCTGAATAGAAGACAGTGTAAGACAAGCCGTGCAGTCACAGGTCACCGGTTCACAAGGCACGGAACACAAGAGAAGGGATCGTGGGCCAGATAGGTCTTAAACAGGGGACACGATATGCCGGGAACGGAGCGGTAAGCTGGTAAAGAGCGGAGTAGGTGAGGAAGAGAGTGGGGGGGAAGACAAGGCAGGGAGAGCAAGGAAGTGCTGTCGGGAGGAAATGGAGAGGGGGCGTGTTGGCGAGGCTCGACGGGCACGCGGACACGGGCAGAAAGTGTGGGGGGACAAGGGGTGAGAACAGACAGGCGCATATGGCTGAAGGTTGCCAAGAGCCTGTGTATATCCGTACGGAATAAGATAGGGTCGTTGGCGGGCGGGGGCGTTGTTGATTGGATTTGGAACATTCTCTGGATGTTCGGGGAAGAGGAGTGGATCAATGCGAAGGCAGGTGGCATGCAGCAGAGGTGCAGCAAGGTACAGCAGAATTGCAGAAAGAGTTGCAGAAAGAGTTGCAGCGAGTGTTGCAGGGAGCGTTGCGCTAAGACTGTGACACAGGCCGAGAAAGGGTAGGGTATTGGGAGAGGCGGTTCGTGGAGGAGAGCACACGGGACATATTTGAGAATGAGGCACAATACGTACTTGTGAACTTGTACAGGCTGAAAACGGAGCAAGATGCAGGTCTGGGTCAGGGTGATGCCTATTGACGATGAGCTCTGAGGGACGTTGAAAGAGCGGACGAAGTGGAGGCTTCTGGTATGTTTCTCGTCGATTTGTCTCAAACAGGCGCGAATCAGAATATCGTCGTGGGATAGGCGGAAAGACGAAAGACGCAGATCGGCTATACTGCGTGATAGCGAGAGGCTGAGACAGCAGGACGCCTGGCACGATGGGCGGGTGGAATAAAAGGATAGAAGCTGTATGATAAATGAAAACAGATATGGTCAGGTGGGAGGGTGGAGAGAAGAGGACGAGATGCTAGCGGCCAGCTAGATGGAGAAAAGAGGAACAAAGAAGGAAGGAAAGGGGATATTTACGGAGTAGGGAAGCCGAGCTCTTGTTGACTCAGATGGGAAGTGGGAGGAGAGCGAGTCTGGTTTGCAAGTCAAACATAGGAAGGCACAAGGGACAGTAAGTTCCGAAAGAGGAAAGAGGGAAAAATGCAAGCAGAACCCCCAATAGAATGGCGAGAATGCACACAGCGAATAGGACTATGTAAAATTTACAAGACTAAAATGCATATAGGCCAGCCAAAGGAAGGCAAAAAAGGTAAAAAGGTAAAAAAGGTATTAAAAAAAAAACAGACTAACAGGCCAGGGGAAGCATCACCGAGAATTGCTCTATCAATATTACGGTGTCTTCCTAATATAGCACATAGAGGCCGCGGCGGGCTGAACCGGGGCAGAACAGACAAGCGGTGGCCTGGCCCATAATAATGAGCTGGGGGCCGTTGGGCTCTGCCCCTATTTTTTTATATAATCTCTTGCGGCTTTTAGGTTGGTTTCCGTCTAGATGCAAGCGGGCTTGGACGAAGGCTCAAGGGGCGAAGTGCTAGCAAAACTAGCCGGGATGGCGCCCCTTGGAAGAGCAAGAAAAAGACGGGCAAAGGATGGCTGGTAAAGAGAGGACGGCGGGCGGCGACCGAGGGAAAAAGCAAGTCACAATGGTAAGATATCTTGCGTGCTTAAGCAGGCCATCTGGACAGGGTGGGTTTGGCTTGGGCCTGTCTGGCTTGGGCCTGTCTGGCCTGGGCTGTCTGGTCTTGGGCTGTCCGGTCTGGTCTGCCCTTCTCCATCCTGCGAGTAGTCGTAGATGATGCAACGCCGCCTTTCTTGTCTCACAGTTTTACGTACGAGAGGCGGCCGCGCGTGGGGAATATGTCGTCGGCGGCCGTCTTTTCTTTTTTGGGGGGGGGAGGGGGGGATTTCGGATTTTGCACTTTGCACTTTGCATTTTGCCCTCTTTGTCTCCTTTGCCGGCCGCGAGAAATCTCTTCTGAATCTCTGTCGTGAAGCGGTGAGGACCGGTCAAGCGGGAAAGAGGGGCAGCCAGTCGAGCACAGACACAGGCCCACGGCAGCAGCATTGCGATGTGGCTTCCCATCAGAAGGAGCCTGACCATATTACTACGTCGTACACAGTGAGATCCATGGTAAGATACCAGGGTCCTTTGGAAGGTCAATGGAAGGAATCAAGGGTGTTTCCGGGACCGAAACGACCGCACTGGCAGGGGGTCATTCGGCTGTTATAGCCTTGCCGGAAGCAACGGGCGGTACGAGGGCAGAAAAGAAAAAAAGAGGAGAAAAGAAGAAAACGAAAAAGGGGAGAAAACTGATGAAAAATCGATGAAAAAAATCGATGAAAAGACGACTACGGAGCATCGCGCGTGGGATGGCTGTGGGGGCGACGGCGACGGCCGGTGGCAAGCAGAAGAAAGAGAAGCAGAAGAAAGAACAAAAGCAGGGCCGCAGACGGTGCCACGCCTTTTGTTTTTGGTTCCTGACCTCTTCATGTCGCTGGACTGCTCACATGCACGCCGCGCGCTTCGTTCCTTGACAGGAAAGTGCCCAGCAAGAGTCTCGTGCCTGTGCTCGTGTGTACGGAGCCCTCGTGTCCCGTGTCCCGTGTCCCGTCTGTCTGCATTATTCGCGCAGTTGTGTCCACGTGGACGGGGCTGTCGAGCGAACGAGCCAGCGGCTTCGCCGAGCTGGCCGCGGCCGGGTTTCCCTTTTGGGCCACATATGTTGTTGGAACAGAGTTCAGCCGTGGCAATGAGCACCTAAGATACGGAGTACATCCCGTCGCATCCTGCCCTTAGCGTCCCGTGTTGGTCTCGCCGTTTTTCCCCGTCTGCCGCCGCCCTTCAGCCTTGCTGCCTTTTTGCGCAGAATCTTAACGTGTGCGAGCGGGGCTTTGGCGAGGCAGCTTCGCAAAATGGTGCGGGGAACTAGCGCCAGGGGCTTCGGACGGAATCATCGTCGCGGCTGGCCGTCGTATGGGATGCCTGCAAGACGGCGTCTCTTGGTACTTGGTGCTTGATGTGCGATGTGTTGCCCGATCTGGAAACCCCAGCGAGTGCACGTGAGCGGCCTTTGACGTCAGCGCGTGTCCTACGGTCAGCATCGTGAGAGTGGGAAGGCGCGACCAGGCGTTGGCGGCCGCCGTTGCCGAGGAAGTCCGTGGCAGTAAGATACGAATAAGGCAGCCGCGAAAAGCGGGGTCTAGAGTCTTTAGGCCTTTAGACGATGCTCCGTAACATTACTCGTAGGTCTAGGCCCAGATCGAGGAGGGCGACTCCGCCATGGTCATGGGGCACGCGCTGAGAGGGGGTGACATCCCACGATGTGCGGCGCCTGTCTGACGGGAGGTCAGCAGCAGAAGGACGGAAAAGATGTGGGAAATGTTGCGATCGCAGCCTGCGACGCGTTCGACCCATTCGGCCCGGCTCTTGCGTGCTCTCGGCCCTGTGTGTTTTGTGTGTTGTGTGTGGTCTATGTTATTTGTGTGATTTGTGCTCTGTGCTCTGTGCTCTCTGATCTCAGTTCTACCTTGCTTTGTCTTTCTCCATCGAATAACAGCACGGTTCCATCACCCATGTTTGCTTCTAGCAGTTTGCGGTTTGTCTGTGGCCGATCGGCCGTGCTCAGCCTCGTCCGAGCAAATGCCTCTGTCTCTGTTTGCCCGTTGCGACGAATGTCCACATCGGCCCTCTCAACCATCGGCCCGCCCAACTTTTCTCTCAGAGGCAAGCTCGTGCTCCTCACTGGCGGTGCCCAGGGCCTCGGCCTTGCTATGGGTCAGGCCATCGTTGCCAGTGGCGCAGATCTTGCCCTGGTTGACTTGAACAGTGAGGCTCTTTCTGATTTTACCTGTTGTGATCATCCAAACGGGCTGACGTCTACTAGAGCATGAGGCCCAAGTCCAGGCTGACCTCATGATGGACGCCTTCGAAGCCAAGCATCCCAACCAAAGGTTCTTTTTTGTTTTCTTTCCTCGCTTCGCTCGCTATTCTTCTTCTTCCTACCAACGCTCGTTTCCAGCTCGCTCGATATTCTCCTCTAATCTCTTCCTGCTTGCTCATTATTCTTCTCCTTCCTATTAGCTCACTTCTCGCTTGCTCGTTATTCACCTCCCTCTTGCTAACTCTTATTTTCCGCTCGCTCGCTCGCTATTCTCCTCCCTCCTAATTCTCCCCTCTCCTCCCAAATTCTCCCTGACTCTTACCAGACCTCCGATCGTCACTGGTCACTATGCCAACGTCGCCGACGAGACCAGCGTTGACGCATGTGTTGCCGAAGTGGTTGCCACCCACGCAGCCACCATCAGCGGCCTCGTCACCTCGGCCGGCTTCGTCGAGAACTTTCCGGCCGAGGACTACCCACCCGCCTGTATGCGTGCTCTCTGGGCCGTCAACGTTGACGGCACCTATCTGTTTGCCACCGCTGTCGCCCGCCACCTGCAAAATGCCCGAGCAGCAGCAACGGTCGAGACTGGCACCGGAAAGCAGGTCCCCGAGGCCAGCATGGTCCTCGTCGGCAGCATGAGCGGTGCCATTGTCAATGTGCCCCAGCCACAGGCGTAAGTTTTTTTTCTTTCCTCGCTTCGCTCGACTCTTTCTTTCTTTCCTTGCTTCGCTTGATTCTTTCTTCCTCGCTTCGCTTGATTCTTTCTTTCCTCGCTTCGCTTGATTCTTTCTTCCTCGCTTCGCTCGTTAACTCCTCTCCTGCTCACCCTCCACAGCCCCTACAACATCTCCAAAGCTGCTGTTCGCCACATGGCCGCCTCTCTTGCTGTTGAATGGGCCTCTGCCGGTATCCGCGTCAACTGTCTCTCGCCCGGCTACATGCAGACCCCTCTGACCGCCGCCCTCCTCAATGCCGACCCGGCTCTGCGCCGCCGCTGGATCACCGGCGTGCCCCAGGGCCGTCTCGGCCTGCCCGCTGACCTCGCCGGCCCGGTCGTCTTCCTGCTTTCTGATGCTGCCCGCTACGTCACCGGCGCCGACCTGCGCGTCGATGGCGGCTACACCCTCATCTAGCCTGGGCCTACTTTTAAAAAACGAGAGAAACACGGACTTGCGCAGAAATCACCAGAGCCACCTTCATTCTATTTGATTACTAAGCCAACCCCATGCCTTCCGGCCTCTAACCTCCGTGTGATATATGAGTCGAGCCGTGTCGCATAATCCTGCCAAAGAAAGACCAATCAAGACCAACAGAAACCAAAAATATACTTATAAGACCAACCAAGAGCAAAACGGTATAGTGAGTGAAAGTGACCCAAGGAAATAAGAGAGAGATTGCCTATAATATGCTCGGCCCTCCCGCTGTTGGATTAGTCATCCAGTCGGAACATTCTGCGCAGCGCCGGGAACATCTTCTTCCTCCGTTCCGGCAGCGAGCCATCCAAGGCAGCGCCGGCCGAGACGGACGCCTGGTAAGTCCCGGCTCCCGCATGCACTCCTCGCAGGGGCCAGCTTCTGTTGTTGTCGACGTTGCTGCCGCTGAGGACATAGTTCCCACTGCTGTCCTCATCGCGATCGCTGCTGTTCCGTACCGCCTGCAGCTCTCGAGCACTTCGCTCCAGCTCCGTGTCGCGTCGAGCCGCACTTTCTGTCATCCGGCCGTTGCTGGTGTAGCCGACGCCACCGTTCTTCTTGCGCCGTAACGCCGACATGAAACTGCTCGTGCTGCTCAACCGTCGATGCCGCAGCTGCTGCTGTTGATCTGGGCTATTTGCCATCCCGGTCAACGACACCCCCATCTCGCCACGGCCGGAACGAGACCGCCGAAGCGTCGATGTGGCCGACGAGGCAACACCCCGACGGCTTTCTGGTCCCGGCCGCCTTCCACCGGCCATTGCCGCCGCTTCTTCCTCCTCCAGTTCTTCTGGCAGCGGAGGGCTCAGGGACCTTCTGCCACGACCACCTGCGCTGCCTGGCCGCAGAGACATGGCCATTCGGTGGCTCGAGTTTCTCGAATTAAATTTGGTTGCTGCCAGGCCTTTGAAGGCATCGTCGTCGTCGTCTTCGTCGTCACTCGAATCGGCAAACCGGCTGCGAACCGCTGCACCACCACCACCACCACCGTTGCTCACTTTCCTGCCTGTCGCATTACTGCCAACCAGCGTGTCGTCATCCTCGTCGCTGGAATCGCCAAAGCGACTCGACGGCCCGTTCTTGCCGCGCTGTAGCAGCAGCTTACTGCCATTGGACCGGCTGACCGACGAGAAGACGCCGCCTCCACCAACTGGCTTGTTTGTCTTGCTGTCCCGAAGCGACTTGCGAAGCTGTGGCGGTTCCGAGCTCTGTGTGTGCGAGCCACGCAGCGTTGATCCTGCTGGCGACAGCGACCGCAGCGAAAAGCGGCTGCTGCGGTTTTGTTCTGACGACGCGTTGGAGTCTCGCCGCATCGTCTTGCGAAAACCACCACCTCCACCGCCTCCACTGCCACCGTCGTCGCCTCGTGACCGCTTGAAGCTGCTCTCGCTGGAATCTGAACCTCGGCGTCGCAGGCTTACAGTACTGGCTGCACTGCCGACTGACCCGTTCTTCTGTCCTGTCTGTCGAGGCTGCGCCTGTACCGACTCCTGTCTGTTGGCCTCGCGCATAGATCGTCGGATCCGCGGGAGTACTGCTTTCGATGGCCGCACCTCACCGTCCGCCCAGCCCTGCTTCTCGGCCGCCCGCGTCTCGGCTGCCTTCTTCTGTCTTGGCCGTTTCTCCAGCGTCGCCTCCTCAAGGTCGCCATCGGCCCCGGCCTCGTCCCTGGCGGCCAACTCCAGTTGCGCACGCTTCTCTTCCGAGAGGCTGCGCCAAAATGCCTTGACTTTTTCCCAGTCGTCCTCTTCACACCCCTGATCGGCCTCCTGCTTGGCCGGCTGGGCCGGCTTGTCCGCCGGAGACGGCAGCCCTCCGATGTCTGCTTCGGCCACCTGCGCTGCGCGGGCCACCAGGCCTGCTGAAAATGGGGGCGGTGGCGACTGCTTCTGCTGCTCCGCAGGCTTCTCGGACTTGGGCTGCAGCGGTGATAACGCCGCCCGGATCGGGCTCTCCACAACAGCATTGAGAGACAGGAACCCGTCGCCCTCCATGTCCGACAGATCCTCGTAGGCATCGCTATAGACGCTGGTGTCCGTGTCGTCTTCGTCCGCTTCGTTCGGTCCGGGCTCCTCTGGCACCGTCGGCATCGGAGCGGCGAGAACCGTCCCGGCTGACTGCATCGCCAGCGGGTCGTCTCCGTCTTCCGCACAAGATTCAGCCATGACAAACCCTGCTTTTGTCGGCGACGATCCGCTCCGCGACGTGCTGTCCGATTCCGAGTCCGGGAACATGCCGGGCACATCAAAGAAAGAGCCGGTAGGACTAGGCTTGGTTGCTTCGGTAGCCACATCAGCCTCAACCTCTGGCTTGGTCGCTTCAAGGCTCTCTTGACTTGCGCGGGTGACCGATATATCCGGAAGCAGAGGGGCGTTTCGTTTGCTTGCAATGGATGAGTGAACAGCTGGCGTTGCGATGGGAGTGATGTCGTCCTCGTCCTCGTCCTCGTCCTCATCTTCATCCACTATGTCTTCGTTGCTGACCGTGCTTGTGTCACTGTCCGAGTTGTATCCGCAGCCGTCGACAGACGTCACGACAGGCGGTAGGGGCTCCCGGTAGCGTGACGTGTTAGCCGTATTCCGGGGACTGGTTGCCTGCTCCTGCAATATCTCAGAGGCTGCCGGCGATGATGCGGGATGGGGCCGCATCAGTGCCCGCTCTTCCGGCTGCTTCGTCTGCACAGGTGCTCGCTCTCGGATGCTACCAAAAGACGGCAAGGCCGGACGTGGCTTCATGATCTGGTCATCTTCCAAACCTGCGGCCGCGTCGTTCTTCCTGCCCCGACCAAGACTGTTGAACCATCGGCGGTGTGCCGGCGGAACGGATGTGCTGGCCGGCGTTTCTGTTGCTACCGGCAGTGCAGATGGCAGTGACACCGACTCCTCCTCTTCCTCCTCCTCGTCCCGGTGCACTAGAATTGTGTTCTCGTCCGTGAAGCTGACCCGGTTCGACTTCTTCGCCAGCGTGTGCTCTTTCTGCGGCGGACACGCAGCTGCAGGCTCCTTGGACCCGTCCGCCGGAGACGGATCTCTCGGCGAGTTCGCGTGCTTCATGGCAGATTTCCGCGGCGAGATCGACCGTGGTGGCGGTGAGTATCGCTGCACGGTGAGTCCGCCCGAGACAGGCGCGAAATGGGCGGTGCGTCCAGCGTTGTTCGGCTGCTCTCCTTCACGCACATCGACCGTCGTAGGTTGCCCATGCTGCTCATGGCGCCTTTCCTCTTCCTCCTTCTCGCGCTCCGGCTCCTCTTTCACACGGGACGGCCGCTTCAGCAAGAGTGGTCGTGCTACTTCTTCTGTCTGCGAAGATTCGATGCGGCTGTCCTCCTTGTTTTCGGTCTGAACTCCCATCGGCACGGCTGCTGCTGTCTGGGGAATTGCAAGCGAAGACACCGACGAGGATGGCGTAGATATGGATGTTGACAGGGCTGGGGGTGGCTGCAAAAACTCGTCCAACTCCCTCTCGGCTGGGACCTCGGTCATCGGCTCAGTAGGGCGTGTCTGGACAGCAGGCGGCGACAAAGCTGGAACGCGCAGTAGATGCTGTGGTGGAGAATCATGTGTCCGTGTTGTGGCGGCCTTGGTCGTATGCACGCCGGTGTGTGATGGCGCGGCCTTCTTCTTGCGCGGTCTCGTCTGCTCTTCGATCTCCAGAACCTCCTGTTCCATGAACAAGAGCTCAGCCCGTGGCACCATTCGTCGCGAGTTTGGGTCGTACACCAGTGACTGGTCTGTCCGGCTCGATGCCGTTGTGGCCCGGCTCGTCGATGCTGATCTCCGGTGGCTCATCATACGGCCGAGCGAGCTCTTGGGCGTCCGCTCAGTCGAGGCTGCCCGCATTGGCGGTCTTGCGACAGGCACCGAGACGACGACAGCGACAGGTTCGGTCTGCGAAGCGTTGGCGTTGGTCGGCAGTGGCGAGCTAACTCGGGCGCGGCTGGGATACGAAAAGTTGATCGACGAGCTGCGACTGCTTGGGCGACCGTCCTGGGCCGATGTCTGCACAGGTGCATAATCACCCACGACGGCACCGCCAAACCACGAGCCTCGAGCCGTCTTTGGCTGCTGTGTCCTCTGTTTCGGTACAGTTGGGACAGTTGGGAGTGGAGGCACCGATCGGCTTCTGCTGTCGAGAGACCGTGAATGCGACTGCGCGTGTGTGGCTGCGACAGCCGCACTGGCAGCCACGCTCTGAGTCCTGTCGTGACCTGCAGGCAGCGAAGAGGCTGAGGCGGCGGCAATGGCAGCAGCCGCTCTTCGCGCATGGTGTGGACTGCCCGAACGGAAAGACCGCTCGCTCATCGACGACGCGCTTCCTTTGCGCCGCAGCGTCGGCGCTCCTCCAGCATTGCCCTTGGCACGTCGCAGGGTCGACACCGGACTGAAGGCACGACGCGAGCCCTGCGAGGAGACCGACGCACTACGTCGCAACGTGCGTGCCGTCTGCACCTCGGCAACATTGGTCGGTGAAAGCGGAATTGCGCGGATGGCGGCGGCGGCGGCGGCCGACGAGAGATGGAAGGCAGAAGCAGCAGCCGTGGCCGCATTCGGATCGACTGTCGCAGATGTAGCAGACTGTGCCATGTTAGCCGTCCGTTGAGGGTCCTCAGAAACGATGCATCGATGTTGTTGCTGGCAGGAAGCCCGAGAAGAGGATGTGTGAAGATCGGGGCGACGATGACGACAACGGCCGAATCGCCTGCAAAACTCGCAAAAAAAGCCAAGGGATAGACAGCTGCCCAGAACCCGGGCCATTGCCGGCGTTGGTGGCGCAGGGCTCGCTATTTTCCCCCCCTCGATGAGAGTAGCGCCTGTCCGTCGTGTCTCACGCTTCTTTCTTTCTGCTCACATACCGTGTACGGCCGGCGTTTTCTGCGGGAGCCAAACATGGCGCCGGCGATCTGCAGCTCTTTTATTACACTTCACACCGCTCTGCTCTGTGAAGTGTAATAGTTTTCGTTGCCTTTTCCGGGCCCGTCGCCTTGTCAGATGTGCTGGAATCGCTGGCAGCTTACTGTGGTCAGGCTGCTCTTTCACGCATTGTCGCCCGTGACGTGGACAGGGTTAAAGAAAGCTGGAAAGCACTGTCGTTGGATGGCGTCCGGCGAGTCGGCGGGTTTGCATGCAGCCCGCATGGACAGGATGCGCTGTCAGAACACCTTGTAATCTCGGCCGCGATGCTTTTCAGTGCAATCAGATGATGGCAATTGCCCGGACTGTCCACCCAGAAATTGAGAGCAGCCCAGATCTCGGCGAGTGGGTCGGTATGTTTGGGCAGGAAGTACCGGCCAATTTCATGGCTGTGCACCGTCCAGCTCCTGCTGTGGAAAAAATGGCAGCTCCTGCGCACTAGTTAAGCCGCTAGCCAGACCATCCCAGCTGAAAAATTGAAAAGTGCCTCGACAAACAGAATACCATCGGTTGACGTGTACCTGCCCAACGCAACCCTCCTGCCGAGGCCATGCTGTCCGACAGGCACGCCTCCACGCTCTAGGAACAGCTCACCAGACCGACTCTTCCACGACCCGTGAGGTGGCCTTGCTCGACCAGCTCCTCGGGTTGCATTCGTTATGTAAGCACTTCCGCTGTGGACCTTGCTGTCTTGGAGCCGGCATGGGAATAGTGTGGATACCGGAGTATAAGAACTCGTACTTACGTCATTGTCAGCTAGGTGCAAGATGGATGCCATGCATCGTTCTATGTACGGTCGGGGCTCTGAAGCTTGAGCCGGAACGTCTTCAGCCGGTGGCGACGAAGCTTCCATCAGATTCGCACTGCTGGCACCAGCCAGCTGTCTTGGTAAGAAATGGAGCTTGAGTACTCCGTAGAGTGTCTGATGTACTCCAAAAATGTAGCTAAAGACGAAGGAAAGCGGGCCAGCGGCCCTTCCCACATGGCCTTTTGGTGCGGTCATGCCCAACAACAACAATAAACCCCGGATCCCAAGGAAAAGCAGAAGAAGGTAAAGGCGCGGCGTCTTAAACTTCAATGACAAGAGGAGAGCTTGTGCCGGTTCGTGGTACAAGATACAAACGGCCTATATGACATGTGCTTCTTCGCAGACTAGCAACTTCTAAATCTGACCGGTCCTTCATCGACAACTCAACCGGAAGACGTCAACTTTAGTCCTGCTCATTCAATAAAACCCCGATCCTAGCTGACGAATGGTTTGCAGTAATGGTCCGGTATATGTATAGCCTGCAGCCGGAGCGTGCATCCTCCAGATAGTTTTTTCGAATTCGTCGTGCCACCCCCATCTAGCACTGGCAATAAGCTGTCGAGGACGCCACCGTATACATCTTCTTCGCCGCCATCGTCATCGATTTCATAGAAGCCTTCGCCATTGGGGACGTCGTCTGGCAGCTCGTCGCTGACTCGGCCCCCCTGCGCCTGGCTGTCTGTCGAACTCCCCGTTTTGGAAGATGTCGCTGCCCTTGCAGCTTTCTTGCCCTTGCGGCCGCGGGCCTTGGCCTTGTCCAGCAACCGCTGCCTCTCTTCAGCCTGCTCTCGCTTTTTTCGTTCCCTCAGCTCAAACGAGCGGATAAAGCTCTTTGGCTTCTTCTTGTAAAAGCTCTCATATTCGCAAAACGGGCAAATGTAGAACTCGCTTGACGGCGAAGTGACCGCGTTCTGCCGCTGCTGGATGCGCTTCCGCTCCCTGGCCTGCTTAGCAAGCTCTCTGTCGAGCTTCTTCAAGGCGGCCTTTTCCGATAGCTTCGCTTCGCTGCCATCCGATCCTCTCAGAGACCTGCCCGCCGCGTCCGGTTCGTCGGACCTATCCAAGCTTTTGTCGCGGCCGCCTTCACTCCCCGGCTGCCCATGGCCGCCACGAAGTCTTCCCTGTTGCCACTGTGATGATCCGGTTGGGATCTTAGGGTCGGATCCAGGCCACATGAGGTTGCCAGGTACTTGTGACGTGCATGTAAAGGTGAATTGAGCCGATGCCGGACTCGACATCACCGAAGGCTGTTCCCGAACATGAGTGGTATTCTCTTGTTCACGTGACGCTTGTTTTTCTGCGTTGGCAATGGCATTCGATATAATGCCTGTGCTTGTGCTATGGGTCGGCATTCGGTCGGCTTCTGTATTGATTAGCTGTTAGCATAGATGCCTTTGAGACGCGTTGTTTTGGGTCACAAATGCAGAGCATGCACCAGAAGCAGACCTACCCAACGGTGTTGGCCATGGGGGCTGTGATTTCCCATTTCTGCCCGACCAATTGCTCCCAGCCTCTGGCAACGGTCGGAGGGGTTTTCTTCCGTTCCGGTTCCGGCCATAGCGTCCCCTCCCCGGCCCAGATATACCGGGAGCTGCTGCTACGAAACTGGCGGAGCCCGAATAGGCACTGGACAGAGAGCCCCCACTCAAGGTATCATCGTTTGTGGTTGTAGATAAAGGCCCTGACGACACCGAGTGGATATCGGTTGACGTGTAACTCCCAGCATGCGAAGCATCGCCAGCAGTGGGAATCTTTCTCTTCTTCTTGTTGTTGGTGTTCTCGAACGAGTCGTAGCCGTCGACGGATGACGCAGCCGACGGCGCCGCCTGTTGGCTGTCCGGTGGGGAGGGTATGAGGGTGGGTTGGTGCCGCGATATGCGGTTCACGAGTCGAACAACGCGGGAGGAGTTCAGCGGCCCATCTCCGTCACTGTCTCGGCGTACTTGAAGGGAGTTTGATGCATCTGGGTATAGAGCAGTGCCGGGAGGTGTGGTGGCCGTTCTGCGATGATTGAGCACGTTTGCCCTCTCCAAGGCCGCAGGCACGTCGTCCTTCAAGCTGTATGGGTAGTAGAAGAACGGAGACCCCGAAACGTGAGCCGGCGGAAACTGAATAGAGTCGGCAACATTGGGAGACAGGCGTTCCCGAAGGCGACGCTTGGGTAGCGGGTAAATCAGTCGGTCGGGGAAGACTGACGAAACGGTTTCAGGCGACATAGTATGAGCGAGTCCTGGAAGAAGGGAAAGGTCGTTGCGGCGAATTAGCCAGAGGACCCAAACGCAGCTGCAAAGGACAAACAGGGTGAGAAGGGGTGAAGGGAGCAAGGTCCAAGTGTGCCACTGTTGCAGACGCTGGGCCGAAATAGAGATATCCATCTATGGGGGAGGGGGGAGGTGAAAGCCGCCTGCTCGGTTCTCATCTTTCTGAGTGGGCAAAAATTGTGCGGAAGCAGAAACAGGAAATTATTGAGAGGGCTGTGTAGAATTCAAGGTCGCACAATGTCGGTGTTGGCCACAACGGAGGAACAGTATAACGAGAGAGGGGGGGGGGTGAAGTGGATGGAATAGAAAGCCAAAAAAAGTGCAGAAGCGCTTGTAGGTGGAGGGGACTATGTCATGCATACCCATCGCACACGGCCTCAGCTCTCATCAAGGCTATGGTATATTGGGTACATGTGCCGAAAAGGGGATTATAACGCTCTGTTCCGGGCGGCGCTCTCAATCTCGAGTGTCAACTTTGAGGTATATCGATTTGTCGGAACGCAAAATTTATAGGCAGGGCTTTCGGGAAAAGACTGCGGAGAAGCCCTAGAATTCTGCCCTGTAAATCAAGCAACCGGTCAGCTCGAGCGTTTTCGGCGTGGGAAGCAAAAAGCGAAGCGGAACAGTCTAACTGGAAGCATCGCAGGGGAGGCAGCCTGGGTGTTGATGTGCCGAGAGGAAGGGAAGGGGCCAAATGGGTAGGGCTAATATGAGAGGGGGTTCTAGGGCTCTATCAGTCGGCCGTCTCCAGTTCGGCCGTATCCACGAGCAAGGGCAGACGGCTGGGTAGAGACGAATTGGGCGGGGAGAACAACGCAACAGATCTAGATCGTCGGCGGGCCAGTGGGACTCAGGACACAGAGGCTTGGTCTGGGGAAGTCGGGTGCAACGGCTTGAAGTCATCGGGTCGTGTTCGCCTACCTCTTCGAGGGGTGGTTGCCAGCCTGCAATGCAAGCAGAAAGATCCCGGCAGTCCTGTTTTTGAGTTGCGGGCCAAGAACAAGATTTATACAAGTATAGCAATGCGACGGGAAAATAGGCAGCAAAGAATGTCTGGAAAGCCAGCCAAGGATCCAAAGTTTGCAGAGGAGAAACCGTTGGATGTGGTAAAGGATTTGGCGGTGATTGCTAATGCCATATGAAGGTGATTTCGATAGTGCAGCGATTAGGAGAAAGTGGCAGGCAGTGTGCCCTGGTCCCGAATTTCTTACCTAAGCCGGGGCGTGAGCCACAAGACTTTTGGGCCGATACTCAGAATATGCAAGTGCGGCCGGCAAGTAGTGGCTTGAAGCGATAGACGTCAGATGATTGGTGCGATGCCGGGGGTTACAACAGCTGAGCACGCACGACGTTGTTTCAACAATACGACGTACTACGTACGAATTTGCAGGGCACGGCTACTACGCGTTGGACGGCAGGAGCAGCCGGTCGCATTGCGACCAAACAAGTTCGTTGGTCGTGCAAGCTATCTTTCCCCCCCAGTTCAGTGTTTCGGCAGCAGGAAGGCCTAGAGCTGCCGGCAAAGGCGCTGGCAGCATGGGATGAAACAATGGGATTGCGGCCTCTAGGCTGGACAGAACATGTAAGCCGGCTCTCCTCGCGGCTACAATGCAGACGATGTGATGGGCCCCGCACCAGAGGAGGCATAGAGTACATAGTTGGCGTGTTCCGTACGGGGAGGGCATCGTGCATGCAGAAGTATCCCTTACATATGTTGTGCATAGAAATGATACCTATGGGGCGCTGCGTGGGCGTATCTTACGTCCCAGGTGGGTCCCACAGTACGAACCTTTGTCGCTCCTTCCCCAAAGCGCCTCGGCCTGGTTGTGCTCTGCTGCTAGTAATAAATTTATTTGCTTGCCCGTTGCTAATAATGCTCGACTGCTGACGGCGCCGGAAAAGCAAGCTAATTTTTTCCCACTCTATTCTGCTCTGTCTCCTCCTCCTCCCTCTCCCTCTCTCCTCTTCTTTGCCCACACTCTCTCTTTCTCGCTCGTGCCGGCCTCTTCCCTCGTCCTCTCACCACACTGCCCCATCGACTGACTCTCTTTTACCCCCTCCAACTCCCCTGAGCTGTTTTCCAAGCCATGATTTGCGATCAATCTGCCTCGACTTGCTTCTCTCCTCTCGCACCTTGTCTGTCGCGATCGTGAATTCGGCTGCTCTCTTGGACTGCTCCTGCCCACAACAATTGCCTCTGCCCCATCATCCCCTTCACATCCTACAGCACAGGCTCCCCAACCATCTCGCTACGGGTCCCACTGCTCCAATACTAGCTAACGCGCTGTCGGTCGCTCCCGGCCTCCATTGACAAGCAGGCGGTTGCTGACAGGGTCGCCTTCTCCTGTCGACATCCTCTTCTTGCCGACCTGCTCAGATTCTATTGAGATTACTGCGGCAGGGATCGAGTGATGGCTGGCCCCGATCCTCGACGTTCTTCTCGCGCCAGAACCAGCCAGCCACAATCTCGGCCGTCCTCGACCACCTCGAGCACATCCGGTCGGCCAGACCGCAGCTCTAAGCCCTTTGTCAAGACCGGGTCTCCCCAGAAGTCGACATCTACCGCGTCACTCACATCCGAGACACCCGACGACTCGGCCGCCATTGCGGACGATTCTCCACCGCCACAGCCGCGAAGCCGACGCGCCACGCAGGCTCACAACGCCGTCAAGGACGACTCGCAGGAGCTCTCGTCGGTCGTCGTCAGCGAAATCGAGATGCTGAACGACGGCGACGGGATACAGGAGGACGATGAGGCTGTCCGCTGCATCTGCGGCTATGAGGAGTACCCCGGACCGCCTTCTCCGGAGAATCTTGGGCGGGCGGCCAAGGAAGGGTTCGCCGTTGATTCCATCTTTCCCACAGTCGTCACAGAGGACCTGGCCGGTTTCTTTGTCCAATGCGACATTTGCAAAGTCTGGCAGCACGGCGCCTGCGTCGGCCTTGTGAACGACGACACCCTCCCTGAAGACTACTACTGCGAGGAGTGCAGGAAAGATTTCCACAAAATATTACCGAGCACAAACGGGTAAGTCCCCTTAGCTCCTCTCCCCCTCTCTACGCCCCTCTGCATGTGTCTGTTTGCTAACGCCATGCGCTACTGCAGACCACGATGCTCGATCTACCAACCAAATAACAGGAGACGGTCGCGCACAAGCTCATTTGCTAAAGACCGTGATCGGTCGCCAAAAGACCGGGGCAGCAGCAAAGACAGCAAGAGCGAAACGAAAAAGGAGGTCGTGCGGGAGGTCAGCAAAGAGACTAAAGAAGGCATCAAAGAAGGTAGCAAAGACATCTTGAAAGACAGTGGCAAAGAAGAGATCAAAGATGGAGTGAAAGAGGACGGCAAAGAGGGAAAAAGTGGACGAGCGACATCTGTCAGCCAGTCATCGAAACGGCGGTCGACGATGAACAGCCGCGACGCCGCGTACGACGAAGAGCAGCTGCGGATAGCAATCGAAGCTAGCAAGGAGGATGTACACATGGAGTCGGTGGAACCGGGCGGAAGAAGGTCGAAGCGCAGCAGAAGCTTCAGCGACGAGTGAGTCTTTTTTCACCATTATTTGCGGGATATTTGGGCGTGTGCTGACAATTGTGGGAGTACAGGAATTCAGATGGCGTGAAGCGGCCACGGACGAGCTCGCGATCGGCATCTCCAGGTGGCGAGACGTTCAAGGCTGAAGACGAGTCAGACGACGGGGCAAACACACGGAACGGAACGTCGAAGAAGGCATCAAGAAGCGCGGCGGCCATACGGAGCCAGCAGCAGAGAGAAAAGAGCGAGCGGGAAGAAAAGGAGAGACAACGGGCCGAGGCGGCCAACAAGCGTAACGGCAGAGCAGAACGGCGGCGAGCTGACGGTATGGACGGACTGCAGCCGAGCTCTGTCGTGACGAAGGATGGGAAGACTGACTCGGGCGCAGATTCCGATCCGTCCGACGAAGTGCCCCTAGCAACGCGGACGGCGAGCAGCCGGCCAGCGGCAGCTCTGGCGACAGTGACGACGTCCGCAGTGACAAGCACGCCGCCAGCAGCAGCGCCGGTAGCGTCGTTGGGCGCCACAGCATCGTTGGTAGCGACGCCACGGGCGGCAGTAGCGCCGCGGCCAGTGCAGCCATCACCAGAAACGCCGCCACCCACATCTGCGCCACCGATGAGCTCTTCCAAGTCAAAAGGAGGGCGGCCGACTCATAAAAAAAAGGGCCGCAACCAGTACACGAAGGAGCGAGAGGCTCGTGAGGAGCAGTCGGCACGGTCGCGGTCTCGTGACGTGGGAGAAAATGGGCACGGCAAGTCCGGATCGGGCGGCGGGTCTGGCGGCGGGCACAACAGCAAGTCAGGGTCTCGCGGCAAAGGCGGGATGAGCAGCCGGGTGACGATGAGCGAGATGAAGCGGCGTGTGGCGGCGATGTTTGACTTTATCTCGAAGACGCAGGTGGAGCTCGCGGGCGAAGAAGTGACGGACTCGGCAGACGGGGTGAAGACGGCGGGACCGGTTGGCGAAGGACAGCAGCAGCTGGCGAAAGACGAAAGCCAGGCGGTATTAATGTCGGGCAGCCGGTCGCCGGTCAAGAGGACGACAGAGGGCGCAGAGGGCGAGACTGGCCATGGACGAAACGAATTTACGGAGCTGTCGTGTGTGGAGATGATGGATTGTCTCACGCGGGACATTGTGCACTGGCAGAGCCAGTTTGCCGCCTAGGATGAAACTGATTGATTCCTGATTCCTGTTTTTCTTGTTCTATGTATAGCGATATGGTGGGCGTTTCGGGAGTCAGGCTCTCTGGACAAGGCGTGGGATTCACGACAATACCCTTTCTTTTTGTTCCTTCCCTGAGAGAGGGGGATAGTATTCCATAAGCATGCTTACGCTTCTGTATGATAATGGGCGAGAATGAAGGTGGACCTGAGTGTGGAGCGTGTGAAGCGTAGAGGGAGATGGGATAGATGGGAGCGCTGACTAAGTATTTATGACTAAGCCGTTGAACCAGTCTCGGTGAAGACGATGCCGCTATGGCGGGCAGCCTGGCGAGCCTTGCGGCGCTCCTTCTCGCGGCGACGAGCCTGATTGAGGGAGAGTGGAGAGCCGCGGCGGGCAGCATCGCGGGCGGCAGCGAGAGAGTCAGGGTCGAGGTCGTCGAGGCAGAAGCGGCCAAGACGGCCGCGACGCCAGGCGTGGACGAGGTGAAGGGCGGCGGCATCGAGGGCGGGCTCGCCGTGGCGGGCCAGTTTTCCGGTGCGACGAGCGACAGCGTCGAGCAGGACGTGAACGTCGGTGGTGGGTTGCCGGAGGCCGAAGGCGTCGACGTAGCGAGCAGGATCGCGGCGGTTCAGCTGAAAGAGCAGGTAGTCGGCCAGGGCGACGGACGGGACGAGGCCTTCGCGGACGCAGCCGGCGAGGGCGAGCTTCAGCATGCTCTCGGGGTCCTGGACGTAGGGGACAAAGACGCCGGGGGTGTCCATGAGGAGGAGGGTATCGTCGGAGGAAGTCGGGGTCTTGAAGGAATTCGGAGAATTCGGAGAATTCGAAGAATTCAAAGATGGCCCCCCCAAGACTCTCACGGGCGTGCCCAGCTTCCGGGTGACGCCCGGCTGCGAGCCGGTCTTGGCAGCCCGGGCCCGTCGCGACGGATCCGCCATGCCATGAGCGCGCAGCCGGTTCAGCAGCGTCGACTTGCCAGCGTTGGGCATGCCGACGACCAGCGCGCGCAGACCCGTCAACGACTGCTGGCCGTGGCGCTGGGCGGCTGCCCGGACGGCCGCCACGAGCCGCGAGGCCTCGCGTCGGGCGACGGCGCCAGCGGCTGCCGTGCCCTGCTCGTCGCCGCCGCCCATGAAGAGAACCGCGTCGGCCTCGTTTCGGTGGAAGCCGGCCAGCCGACGAAGGTCGGCTGACGAGGGCGACAGCGAGGCCGCGGCCTGGGATCGTTGCGACCTTCTTCCGCCCGCTGACTCATCCACGACCAGATCCCGCTTCGTGTACACGATGATCCGCATGCGGTCAGTCTGGGCCGACGGCAGAAACGAGGCCAGGGGACCGGCCGAGGAAAGACTCGCCAGGCCGGCCACGCCGCCCGTCTTGCTTTGGCCCTCATCCCCTCGACCACTGCTGCTGCTTCTCTCCTCCTCCGTCGCCACGCCCGACGACAGCGACGTCTCCAGCAGCGGGTTCCACGCCGTCAGCGGCACCCGCAGATCCCGACACTCAATCACCAGCCCAACGGTCGCCAATACCCGCCGCATGTGGTCCAGCGCTGCCCGGTGGTGGCCTAGGAAATATGACCGCGGCACGCCTGTCGATGGCTCGTACGTCGTCCGCGCTTCAAAGTCGGGCCACCGCGTCGCCGTCGCCGTCGGCTTCCGCTCCCGCCTTCGCCGTCCTTCTGCTACGCTCAGAGCCGTCGCGGCTGCGGTCGTCGTCGTCTCGGTCGCCTCAGTCTCCATCCCTGGTGCTGCCTCTGTGCTCAGACAACGGCACACAACCGCCATCGCCACCCTGTGTGCCACCACGCCCTGCACTGCGGCTCTCACTCTCATAGGCCCCATCATCTCGCGTATGCAGTTCCTTGCAGTTGTCCTGTCCCTTCTTCAAGACATCCTGCTCTAGGCAGATCCCCTCTGCCGTTCCGTCCTCTGCACTGATGGAGAGAAAGAAAGTCGAGTCTTTCTTCTTGAATACGGCTCACTTGATCTGCTGCAATCTTTGGCGTCGATTGTGTTTGAAGTACACACACAAATCAGTACGAAACATCGAAGTGCAAAAACACTGCAAATAATCGCACTAGCAGTTGTGCGCACGGACCACCCATTTATATGTTACTTGCCAAAATGGCAAATAATCGAGCACATCTGAAAGAACTCTTATTCAAATCACTCAATGCTGCAAACTTGGGTCAAAAGTGGTCTTTGCCTAATTACTATTAAATCGGAAGCGAAGTCCGCCAGGGTATAGAGTATCTACATGCTATGAGATAAATGATTGTGTTGTAAGTAGTACAATCAGTTCAAGACCACCTGTTGTGTGTAACTGCCGTTCGTAAGGATCGTAAGAAAGGAAATTTTGCTTTTTGTGAAGCTTGATCGTTCAGGCAGCCGCCCTCGAGCGCACCACCCGTCCGACCACTGTGAGGGGCACAAGTGCCGCGGTGTAGGACAAAGCCAAAGACAAACATGAACAGCACAAGGAAATATTCAGACACGGTTATTGTTACAGACAGAACTCCAGCACACTCGCCTGCTCCCTTTACAGGAGAGCCAGGACTGCCATCACGGCAGCACCGGCCAGGCCGAAGACCTGGGTGCGGCCAGCACTGCTAACCGCCACAATCGAGCTGGACGGCTTGGGGACAATGTAGGCACCAGTGCCAGTGACAGCGCCCGAGGCCGACGCCGCACCAGTGCCCTTAGCCGCACCCGGGACCACGGCAGTCGTCGTGGCGTAGGTCGCACCAGTGGCAGCAGTCGCCGCAACTGGGGCTGTGCCGACGATAGCGTTGGTCGCTACCGAGGTAGCAACGCTGGTGACCGGGACAACGGCCACAGAGCCAGTCGCGCCCGTGGCGAAGCCAACCTGGGGCACCGTGGCCGCAGTGCTGACCACAGCCGTCGTGCTGGAGCCGGGGATCGTCGAGCCCGAAGCATCGGTGCACGGCACAACGGTCGTAGCAGTCGCGAACACGGTCGTGTACGTGGCACCAGTCACATAGGCGGTGGCAGTGGCAGTCAGAGTGCTTGTCACAGACGCGGCACCCGTAACAATGGCAGGGTTTCCGCCAGCGTAGCCGGCGCACACACCCTGGAAGAAGACAACAGCCTCGGAGATGACATCGTCAGTCGTACCGTGAGCAGACACGCAAGAGAAGATGTTCTTCACGAAGACCTCGTCAGGGCAGTAGCAGGCAGCATCGGTGTTGTCAGAGCAGCCGGTCGAGAACATCCATGTGTTCAGGCACTGGGGCACAACAGACGGCACAGACACAGTCGATGTGGCAACAGCAGCAGTCTTCGTCGTGGAGCCGACAACAGCCGGGGCCGTGGTGGCAGAGCCAGAGGCAGACACGGCACCGGTCTCAGTGGCAGTAACGGGGCAGACGGTCGTCGAAACGGCAACAGTGACCACGGTCGTCTTGTAGGACTCGGCCGGGCAGTTCGTGACAGTCGGGGCGCAGCTGGTGATCGTGGACGTCGAGGTGGTGAAGATGGTCGAGGTGGTGTATGACTGAACCGAAGACACAACCGCAGCGGTGCTAGACGTGCCCACAGCAGGGGAAGAGCCGGCAGGGGACGAGACGGCACCAGTCGACGATGCAACGGCCGGGGAAGAAACAGCAGGCGACGAAACGGCACCAGTCGACGAAGCAATAGCCGGGGAAGAGACAGCAGGCGACGAAACGGCACCAGTCGACGAAGCAACGGCCGGGGAAGAAACAGCAGGCGAAGAGATGGCACCAGTAGACGAAGCAACGGCCGGGGAAGAAACAGCAGGCGACGAAACGGCACCAGTCGACGATGCAACGGCCGGGGAAGACACGGCCGGCGACGAGATAGCACCAGTCGACGAAGCAACGGCCGGAGAAGAGACAGCAGGCGACGAAACGACACCAGTCGACGAAGCAACAGCCGGAGAAGAAACAGCCGGCGAAGAGACCGCCTCGGTGGCTGAAGTAGACACAACACCAGTCTCGGTAGCAGTAACGGGGCAGACAGTCGTCGACACAGCAACGGTCACCACGGTAGTCTTGTAGGACTCAGCCGGGCAGTTGGTAACGGTCGAGGCGCAGCTGATGATCGTCGACGTCGACGTCGTGAAAATGGTCGACGTGGTGTAAGACTGGACCGAAGACACGACCACGACGCTGCTGGGCGTGCCCACAGCAGGCGAGGACACGGCAGGCGTAGACACGACCGAGGTGTTGGTGAAGCCAGCAGGGACCGAGACGATCGAGGAGAAGCTAGCAGGCGACGAAATCACCGGGGAAGAGACAGCGGAAGTGGGGCCAGCAGGCGTTGAGACGACCGGAGAAGAAACAGCAGGCGAAGAGACAGCCGGGACCGAGACCGAAACCGAAGAAGACAAACCCGGGATAGAGACGCTCGAGGGGAAGGTCGGGACCGACACAGCCGGGGAAGAAACGGTCGGGACCGAAACAACCGACGTAGAGAAGCCAGGGAAGCCAGAGGTAGAGAAGCCGGTAGAAAAGCCCTGGGAGATGGTCGGGACCGAAAGAGCCGGCGTGGTCTTGATGGAAGTGCTGTGCTCCTTGGTGCTGTGGCCCTTGGAAGTGCTATGGCCAACGTTGGGGAAAGTGGTGGCCTTGGTGGACGGCGTGGTGGTGGAGCTGCAGGCAAAAGAGATGGTGGACACGCTGATGCTGCAGGTGGGCTTGGGCTTGCCGGTCTGCGACGGGTAGACGACGGTGACGGCCGTGGCACCACCGCACTGGCTGTTGGTGATGACGGAGCCGCCGCTGGAGCAGCTGCTGCGCTGCTTGCAGGTAGAGCCATCGGTCATGCCGTAGTGGAAGTCGAGGTCGCAGTCGAACTCAGTCGACATGTGGATCTCGCTCACGGAGAAGCTGCTGGACTCGGACTGGCCGGTGCTGCCAAACGACGGGCAGGAAGAGATCTCGGAGCTGCAAGAACCACCGGCATAGCGGCTGCCGCCACGACGATCGACGCGCGAACGCTTGCCCGCGTGGGACTCGCAGCTGAAGCCGGACCACGAAAAGTCGTTGAAGCTGGAGAAGCCACCCAGGTCAAGCTCGTCAAAAGTCCAGCCGCCGGACTGGCTGGGCGAGCACTTGTCCTTGGGGTTGCTGGGGCAGGTAAAGGAGCTGCCACTGCCGAAGCCCTGTGAATCCCATCGTCAGTACAGATCCATCAGGTGTGTGCGTGTGCATATGTGCATATGTGCATATACTCACAGTTGCAGTAGCACCCGCCGCGAGGGAGAGAACGGTGACAGCCTTCATGATGAAGATGTGCGTTGCTGGAAAGCGAAGGTGGTGATGACGGTGTTGTATGTTCTGTTTGGCTGAAGATAGCGCTGCTATACGAGCGAGTGAATGTATGAAGGGGAAAGCAGGTGAAATAGCTGGAGTGAGGGACCGAGAGCAAAGGAAGCGAATGACTTTGACACTCTGAGAAACGAAGGAAAATGAAAAAGAGAAACAAGTGATGTTGAAGAAACAAGACTGTTTGTCGAAGCTGGGATGAGGAGAGGGAAGAAAGCAGGAAACGAGGCCGGGCAAGCGTCGTTCTATATAGCCGTCTGTCGAACGCGGGCTGTGCGTCGACAAAGAAGAGGATGGTCGTGCCAGCACAACCAGAAGAACCCGATTCGGTTGTGAGGCCGATACTTTGGTGTAAGTGAAAGGGAGAGGGGGGTCTGGCTATCCATGCGACAACAGGGGGTAGAGCTTGGTCCACAGATGTGACCAGGGGTCAAAGGCTTTTTTTGGATGTTGGTTTTTTTGCTTTTGCGTCTTTGCTTTCTTCGGTCATTATCCCTGTCCAAGAGGACAAAGCTCACCCCCGAGGGGGTATGCTCGAGACGTAAATGAGCGCTCGTATGGAGTATGTTTGTACATAGTGTATCCCGGATATTCAGTGCTTTTTTCTCTTTTGAAGAGTGTCTGGCACAGATCTCATGGCCAACATCTTTGCAGTGACGTCCGTCCGAGACATGAAGATTCACGCCCATTCTGATTCAGACGGCCAACCAGACAGCAAGACAGCAAGACGGAACTGCTGCTACCGGCCTCGTCTTTCCTCTTTCGATATTCTCCTTGGCTAGCCTCGTGCATTGCAGGCAGAAGTCGTGCTGTAAGCGGGGAAGCGTCGTCAATTCTGTTCTTCGTATTGGAGATAAGGACAACACTATGTAAAAACATAAAACTAAAGTGCTCAGTAGTACGGAGTATGTACATTGTACAGTGGTGGACAGAGCGCGCGGTTCCCCTTTCGTTCCTTCACTGCCGTCTTGGCCGCCGAGCCAGTCATCGTGCCTGCCTGCACCCCACATGGGCGGGTCGTTCTTTCTCCGGCAAGGAATAAGGGTTCGCATGGGCCTCAGATGACGCCTGCCAGCCAATCAGTTCGCGCCCGCCAAGCCTTGCTCTTTCTTGCCCATTAAGCCTTCCCCGGTCTATTGAACGCCTACTGTGCACAAACGGCCTCTAGAAAAGCCTGGAAGGTGTTGGTTCAGTCGCCCCTTTCTCGCACGCGCTCTGCCTTCTGCGTCTGTGGGCAAAAGTACGATGCTGCCATGACGGGATGCGCGGCCGAAATCTCGTGTTCTCGCTGCCGTCTCGGCCGTGCGGACACATGGAGAAAAGGAGACGAGACAAGCACTGAGCAGCGTTGCAAAGCACAATGCTACCCCGAGTTTGGGCCTCTCTGGCCGGAAGGCCTCTCTGCCAGCCGGGCGAGGCGAAAAGCTGCTTCGATCTGGCGGAGAGTTTGGGGGAGGAAAAGCAACGGCCCTGAAACATGGCGCCAACTCTCAATCGCTGCTCAGCCACGCGTGTGGAGACTTGAGCCGGGACTAATGCAGGAACCATACTACATAGTGTGGACGGAGTATCTTACTCGTCCGTGGAGGCTCCTTGACGACATAAGATATCTTGCCACGAGAAAGGGGCGCGAAATGCAACTCCAGGCTGAGAACGGCCGAGCCGTGTTCTCTCCCGACTACGCCGTAGGAAGGAGGCATGCGGGCTGTGAGAATTATGCACATGCGCACTCCTACGAGAAGGATGCATGCCGTCCAATCCCTGTGGTGCCGCCTTCTCAGCTGGTCGCTATTGGCGCCTAGCAAAACAGTAAACCGCCCGGCCAGGAAAATCTTGTCGCAGCACACCGATCCGAAGAATCCAAACGCCCGGCTGAGAAACAAGACAGGCTCGAGAGAGAGAGCCCCGAAAATAAGACAGACCAGAGCCAGACTGGTCTAGGTGAAAATGTCACGCCGTTCCGTCATGCGGGCCTCAAAAGATAATCGCATTTCGTCAGTCTGCAAAAAAACGACTATCTTGCGCCAACCGATCGGGAGACAGGGCCCGGGAGAGAACGCGCAAAAGGCATTCCCAGAATAGCCACAGATCCCAGGGTGCGAAATTGCCCAGGACTGCGCTTCTCCCAGTGCTACGTCGCCATATCGAACCAGCCCGTCCTGTTTCATGGACGTCCGCCCGCACATCATAGTACGTCGTAGCAAGGGAAGAAAGAAAAAAAAAAAAAAAAAAACCCTAACCGCTAGGTGGAAGAGCCGGACGCCACAAAAGTAAGCTGTTTCATGTTTCGAGCTGTACCGACCAAGCAGAGAACAAAAATAGAAATGTGTAGTGTTTGGAACCCTCGGCGCCTTTTTCGCGCTCTTCTTCTTACATAGTATCCACTTCCAAGCACATGCTTCTTTTCGTCTCATTACCGACTTCTACGAAAAGGCTGTCGGACACAAGCATATCTCCAGCTCGTATGGAGTACATGCACTATTGTGTACATACTCCGTACAATCGCCCTGATCCACCGTGTATTCTGTCGACCCCTCTCTCGCCTTCATGCCCTCTCTGCTGCCCCTGTTTACTCGCGCCATCGTACATAGTAGCGGCTTTCGCCGGTCGCTTTGGCCCCTCTCTACATAACGCAACGCCCGGATCCACCAATAAATACATCAGGGCAAGCTTCTTCCTTTTAAGGCTTAGCGCACACCTCTTTTCGTCTCCATTTTCCTAATGCAGAAAAGGCCGGCCACATCTCTTTGGGTGGCCTGCCCTCCGGAAGACAACGGCCTTCCGCAACGGCACATCGGACGTGCAATTTCCAAATGCCCTTCCTATTCTACAGAGTAGCATTGTCATGGGCTGTTTGCCGTGCGGTCATGCAAGTAGACTTTGTCTCTCGTGCTCCATGCCTGCACAAGTTAGATGCCCGTATGAATGTCCGGATGTACACAGTATTCAGTCCGAAGAGCAGTCGGACGGGAAGAATGAAGCCCTCAGAGCCGCTGCTCGGCCATAATCAGGGGCCCAAGCACAGGTGTTTTTATCACGCGCGTGCTGAGCTTCCTGTTGGCCCGGCCTCTCTCTTCCTCGTATTACGAAACAGATTGGGGTGGCTTGACTGACGCACGGGGTAATAAAGCCAGCTCTGGGCAGAGCAAACTGGCTGCGTGAACAGGATTCTGGGACCAGATGGAAAACGTGACGCACAAACCGTGGGCCGAATCATGTATCGTACTTTTATGTGCGCCATGGCCCGAGAACCCCAAAGTTGCAGTAATTTGGATTTATCGCACGTATCGTACGTCGTATCGCACAAGTACGGAGTATTGCTCACTCCGTGCTCGCTAAGACGAGAGCGGACCTCCTCCAAAGGGCCTGTGCTGGAACTTTGTGATGTTACGCTGCTGAGAAAGCACGCCCCGTGTACGAGTACTCGTCCATCATAAAATATCACACTCGCTGGCCGGAAATATGCCATCAGCAAAAGAGTACTCCGCAGTGGAAAGCAGTCGGTAGTCTTGTAGCCTCAAAAACACCTGCCTCGTACTCCGTACCCCGTACAATAAATAAATAAAAACGAGGCGAGGCTACATACAAAGCTTTGAATGTTACAGCTTCCCGGTCAGGGGCTCTCCATTACCTGTTCACAAAACATGCTGAAAGAGTACGAGAAAAAAAACCATTGCACCTTGTTGGATACGAATCTTCCACTGATCGCGTGAAAGAGATTGCAAAAATGAATTGCAACTTACTCCGTAATCAGTAAGTATACACGTATCGGCCTTACAGCTCTAGAAGCCATGTGATTCCTCAACTTATGTAGTACTCCGTACCCAGGCCAACGACGAGCACGGAGTAGGCTAACTATAGCTAAATTAGACTATGCACTACTACCTAATCCGTAGGTACCAGAGCGCCGTTGTTGCTCAGGGGTTTTCTACAGGGGTGTGTTAGTCCTATGGAGTAAACCCGAACGAGCGAAGGTCGGGTGGCGAAGGTCGGGTGGCGAAGGTCATGTATGATAATTGACACCGAGTATGTACGACGTAATATCGCTCAGGCTTACTGCAAATCTTCCTGACAACCAGAAAACAAAACGTATACGAACGAGTATTCTTCCCGTCTTGGATTTTCTCGAGATCTTCCAGAACCAATGCCTTTGGATCACTGCTGATGATCGGTAGCTAGTTACGAGCTGGTGACCTGTGACCATTTACGCACCCCCTTCTTACCCTGAGTGCGAAACTTAAAGAAGAACACCGCGTGCTCCCTTCCGGCGCCGGGATTCAGTCCCGAACAGGAGGCGACAATAACACTTGTCGGATCGTCAAGCCTATATCTGCTAGCGTCATATAGACGGAACATCTTTGCTGCTTTCGAGCATGTTTTCCAGGTCTCGTAGTCTGTCACGTAGTTTAAGAATTTGCCGTACACTTCCAGTGGAAGTCTGCTACTGGATTCAAACAGCGGTTTTCTGCGACGTCAAAGCTGACGAGTGCCAAGAGGCCGGGGAGGTGGCAATATGGCTTTTCAAGCATCCGGTATGGTCTGGTTATTGTTGCTGCGCCATAGTATTTGGCTGACCATCCGGTCAACTGTACTGGTCGTCCCGTGTTCAAGCAGTGCTCCATACGAAGAGGGGAGAGGATCATCAGGGTGGCGTCCCTGACAAACGGGTTGCTATCATCACCGGGAAACACTTCCGTTAAATTACATGGGGAAATAATATGCCAACGGTCTGAAGTTGGCGTATCCCTGCGCTATACCCAAGGTAACGGCCTCGCCCACCAGTGTGATGCTGCCGATATTGTTACCGAGCCAGTACAATGTCTCTGCAGGAGACATCCGGACGGTGGGCCTCGGATAGGATTTCGACAAGGGAGCCTGACGGCCGACGGCCGACTCGTCAAATACTACCATTGGTTGCCTGGACTTGGGCCTCGTCCGGGAATGGACGCTGTCATGAGGTTGCATGCCAAGCCTGGGTGAATGAAAGCCGTTCTGGCCAGATGCAGTACGGAGTAAGTCCACTCCCTCCCATTCGAGAGATATGGCCGCGAAATTTAACGAGCACTGTAGCCAATACGTTTGTACGAAAAGCCTTCCATCCAATTATATACATTCGAGGATTGATTGGGCTGCAGGCACATCGCTGGACCTCGTTAGGCTCGCGATATTCTGGTGCCAGCGATGTACTCCTCAAAGCCGGGAACATTCGAATAGTTCGGCCCGTACTCCGTACCCTTCGCGAATAACCATGGCGGTCTGATGTGCAAGCAGCCGTGGATCTTACCGTTGATCTAGACAAGCCCCCGTCTTTGGTAAAAGGACCGAGCTATCGGCAACGAAGATCATGTGCTCAGTGCAACAATATCATCGCGTATGCTCGCGAGCACTTTGTTATTTCGCGTACCTTCCTATAACAGACGATTCCTCTGTAAGGGAGTTGCTGCCATATGGGCAGCAACATCGAATGGGCAAGAGGGCTCGTAATAACAGTGCATGATATGAAGTGGAGGCAGGACAGATTGTCCGAGAACAGTCTACGAGTAGTAAGTGCTTAAAAGACCACTTATAGCCAATATTGGCCCCACAAGTCGATGTGCTCGATGCAAGTTGTTATTGTCGTCTCGTAATTTCGGTAGTATGTACACATAGATTGGAAAAGAACGCCTGGGAGTGAGTTGGAGAAAAATTACTGCACAAGTAATCTGTGTCATCTAGGCTTGTCCACACGGCAAGTTCTCCGCAGAGTACTCGTAAGTACGAGTGTTTATGCGCCCGTAGCTCACCCCGCATCCCCAAAGGACTTGGCTGGTAAGAGGCTAATCACGGTCGGGCAAGAATCTGTAATCTTTGCAATACGAGCAGTTCGAAATCCAATTTTATTTCCATATTTTTATCACTGTGATCGTCCGACGGAGATTTCCTCTTCCAGCGGAAGAACCTGCGCGTGTTATAGCTTTCGGCAGAAGACGCGATGCGAACAAGGCCATCCTTGCAACCTATGTGCAAGGCGAAGCCTGGAACGGACCAGGCTAGCTGTTCCGTCTGCCGTGGCGACGGCTGTGGCGACCATTGCAGCTGTCATGATGTTTCCTGCCATCCTTCAGGTCGGACGCCGTGTCGGCGGCTTTCGTGCGCTGACCTCGGACTGACGGCGGGTTGGAGATGCTCCGGCGCATGGCCAGCCAGTCGAGGTAGTAGGAGTCGTCGAATTGAGCGGCCACGTCCTCTACCGTCGAACGGAGGACGGTCGGTGCGGCTGCAGCCGATCTGAGCTGGCTAGCATCAGATCCTGGCGCGGCTGCCCCTGACATCTGCACGTTAGCATGCATGCGGTCACGCCTGGCTGCCTCTGTCGGTGAGACGCGTTCCCACGAGCCCGACCGGAGGGTGCCTTTATCGTCTCGCCTTCGCCGATTGTCACTGGACTCGGACGGCTGAGATCTAGGCCTGCCTCTAGACACAGCCTTACCTTTGCTGGCTCCGGAACTGCTTCCCCCCACTGAGCCTTTCTCCCCGCCTCTACTGCTGCTGGCATTGTCCGGTATCCGGAAATGCTCGGCGATGCCTGCGGGTGGTACAATATCTACAATGTTTGCAACTGGGCCTCGTTCACCAGCGTAAACGCCATTGTAGTTGCCATAGTTGCCATAGTTTCCATAGTTGCCATTGTAGTTGCCGTGGTAGATATGGTTGTAGTCTCCGTTGTAGTCTCCGCTGTAGTCGCCGATGTGATCGCTGCTGTAGTCGCTATCACTGTAATCATATCGTATGCATCGCCATGGCGGCGGACACCTCTGATTACGGATTGCCTTCGTCTCCTCCCTCGTAAGCTTGGGGTCGAAGACCATGTCCCAGTGCCGGATGTCTTTCTGTGGCAAGAGTGGGCCATATTAGCGACAGTAAGAGAGTCGAGGAGACAGATAGGGCTCACATCACTTGGCTTGCGGGTCACTCCCCAGATCTTCCCACCCCAGCCCTTGCCGTCGCACCAATGTGGCCCTGGCTTGTGCCATCTGAGCGAGCGCCTCTTGCAATCGGCGCTGTTGCAGCCCTGGCAGCCGCGGCGGTCACACGTCTTCCTATTCTTTCGAAGGGGCTCTTCCATGCTAGGATCTGCCACGACCTCGTCGACGGCCGCCTGATCAAAACCTGCCCCTCCTTCGGCATATTGTCCCCCAGCATACTGCTGAGCATATTGCTGGTTGTTGTAGTACCAGTCAGCGTAGTTTTCGTATCCAAGCTGTTGGCCCCCTAGGTCTTCTTGTCCCAAAGATCGCACGGCTTCTTCCACTGCGCATAGTACGGCCCGCTGCACGGCTTCCTGCACTGCATGGTGGATGGCCTGCCGGATTCCTCCCTGCGGGCTGGGCTGCTGGACAGGCTGTCGGACGGGTTGCTCGTTGGCCTGTTGGCCGGCTTGTTGGTCGGGACCCTGAACGGGCTGTTGGTCGGGCTGTTCTGCCATAACGACGGCTTCAGAGCGATGAGTATGATGGGAATGGACAGACGATGGACAATGTATGGCATGGTCTGCTCTGCTGAAAAGCAGTCAGGAGGAGGGCAAACTTTAAACGGAAGACACTGTCTGATCTTTTTATATGCGTGAGACTGCGTATACCCATTCGCTCAAACTCACTTGCACGCCTTCCTGAGGCCCAGAATGTGGAGCGCTTCGTTCTTTGTGCTAAGTGATTGTCACAAACACCTACGGCACCGTTGCGAGAGCTCTGCCGACCTGCCGGCGGCGTTGCACCGGCACCAGTGACCAGGTGGCCGTCGAGACAGAATCATTGCAGTGTGTGTGTGTATGTGTTGATCTGTGGTCCTGCTGGCGGGGGACCCATGAGTCACGGCTTTTTGTGGACGGAAAAGCAACGTTTCGTCAAAAAGCCACAATACAGAGCACATTGAGGAAACCTGCGATGTGACGGGACGTCTTTCGATATAGCTGTGATACGGAGGCTGATGTCATCGAAGAGGATGGACAACAGAAACGGGAGGAAATGGTGGATTAAGAATGACGTTTATTGGCTTTTTGGAGAAAATCGATATAATGAGTCGGGGCACAGGTAGGTACAACAACTGAATGGATTCTGTGACGGGGAAAAATAGGCTTTGAGCTTCTAAGATAATTAGACCAAGTCTCTGAAGAGGCAAACATGACGCTTGAAAGTGGCATGTAACGAACATCACATTGGTCACACACGCGTTACACTGGACAGGCCAACGCCACGCGGCTTGCAATCGTCGTCGTCAAAGAAGGAGCAACTGGCTGGTGGGCCCGAAGCGGCAGGAGGTCTAGGCAGTAGCAAAGTAGATCAGACACGACAGTTGGACGCTTCCAGCTAGTATTCCCGACTCAATCAGGTCAATTCTTCATCGCTATTCAGACCCGAATAGTACACTCTGCCCAAACGCCTAAGCCAAGCATAAAACGACATGAGAACTAGACTGGTCATACAGTCCGTTCGTTCCGGTCCCGGTCATTACCCCTTCCTTCCGTTGCAGGCCTGCAATCACAAAAAACCCTTGGTCAAGCTCGGGGCTCGCGCAAGGCCGACGCTGCCCTTCCGCTTGGGCATGTCGACGCTGCCGGCCTCGGAGGCCTCATCGATGGACGAGGCCACGGTCGAGACGGTGGTGCGCATGGTGGCAGTGGAGGCCGTATGGCCGAGAACGGAGGCGCGGAAAGCACCCTGTGCACCGGTGCGCCGCATGCTGCCAGCACTGCTGCCAGCACTGCTGCTGCTGCTGCCCTTCCAATTCTCCAGCTCGCGCTCCATGCGCAAATTCTTCTCGCGCTCCTCGCGCAGCTCACGCTCGGCCCGCCGAGCAGCCAGCTGGATGTTGGACTCGGACGACTGCAGCTCGTCGATGGTCTTGAGCAGCTTGTCGGCCTTGTCGCGCATGCGCACCACGTCGTCCTGCAGCTGCTGGTTCTGCTTTTCCTTGCGGTCTAGCTGGCCCTGCAGATCCTTGACGGCCCGATCGACGTTGCGGACCGATCGCTGCGACTGTGCCTGTTCCTTCTCGTGGGTCTCCAGCTGGGCCTCGAGCTATGACGGTCAGCATGGACAGGCAACGGACAAGGAGCAGGACTGCTTACCTCTTGGATTCGCTTGTTCAGGAACTTGATGTCCTGGCTCGCGCTCGAGAAGCCCTTGGTCTCCAGGTCGACAATCTTGACCTGCACCTCGCTCAACGACTTCTCCAGCACGGCGTTGTCGGCCTGCAGCTTCTTGTTGGCCTCGCGCTCCGTGGCCATGTCCTTCTGAACCTCGGCCGCCAGCGCCTCGGCCCGCCGCATCTTCTCGACCGCGGCCGCGGCCACGTCCTCCTGCTGGGCCAGGCTCGACCGCAGATCCAGCATCTCTTTGTCGGCGTGGGCGGCGCTGCGCAGCGACGGATTGGCGCCGCGGGCGGCCAGCTCCTCCAGGCCCGACTTGGCCTCGTTCAGCCGCGCCTCGACACTGCGCTTCTCGCGCACCAGGGCATCGCGCTCCGACGTCGTCTCGTCGACGGCCGTGCGCAGCGTGTGCACCTGGGACAACAGACTGACGATGCGGCCCTGCGCCTCATTGTGGGCTTGCACAGCCTCATCACGTGACGCCACCACATCCGACAGCGTGCTCTCGAGCCGCGTCTTCTCCTTGGCCCAGGTCGAGCTGTTGAGCACCTCGTCGTCCCACTTGGACCGCAGCTCGTCCAGCTCCTCGCGCAGGCGTCCGATCTCGGCCTGCTTGAACAGCTTCTCCTCGCGCGCCAGGTCCAGCTCTTTGGTCAGCGTGGCAAACTCGGCCTGGTACTTGCGGCGTGTCTGTTCCAGGCTGGTCTCGGTGTCCTCAATGTCCATGGCCCGTTGGCTGCGGTAGTCTTCGAGCTCGTGCTGCAACCGCTTGCGGGCCTGGGTGGCGGCCTCCAGGTCGGTCGACACGTCTTCGAGCCGCTCCTCGAGCCGCTGGTTCTGACGCTGCAGGTCCTCCACCATGTTGTCCATCTGCTTGCGCTCGGCCATCACCTCGGCATACGTCTCCTCGGCCTCGCGTGCCTGCGTGCGTGCAAACTGTTCGGCTCGCGACGCCTTGATCACCGCCATCTCCGCCTGCTCTAGCTTGCTAAAGTACTCCTCGGCCCGGCTCTTGTACAGGCCCAGGCTCGACGTCACGTCCGTCAGCTTGGACGTCTCGGCGTCTAGCCGGATCTGCAGGTCCGAGAACTCCTGCAGCAGCTGGCTGCGGCTCTCGGCCTCCTGCTCGCGCGCCTGCTCCATCTCCTCCAGCTCCGACCGGGCGTCGCGCAGGTCGACCTCCATCTGCGCCCGGTCGTAGCGCAGCTTGTCATAGTGTTCCTTGGTGTCGGTCAGCTCGGCTACCACGTCGTTGTGGCTGTGCAGCAGCGACCGTCGCGACTCTTCCTGGCCATTCAACAGGTCGAGGATCTCTTCGTGCGACCGTGTCTGGATGTCGTGCAGCGACAGCTCGCCCGACCGCAGCGCCTTCTCCAGCGCCGACACCTTCTTGGACGAGTCGTCCAGCAGGTCGTGCAACCGGCTGTTAGCCTTCTCCAGCTTCTGCATCCGCCCGTTGCGCCCGCTGCCGCCGCTGCTGCTGCTGCTGTCGGCCTGGTCGTCCTTGGCCGCGTCGCCGCTGCCGCCGCTGGTGCGCTCGAGCTGGCTCTGGAGGTGGCGATTTTGCATCTGTGCTAGCTGTAGCTGGTTCTGCACCTCTTCCAGCTCGGCCTTGAGGTCCATCCGGCTGTTCATCGTCAGCATGTCGACCGTGCGGTCGGAGCGAGCCGAGTCCGGCATGACCGACATCTGCCGAGGCGGCGTCGCCATGCCGTTGCTGTTGTTGTTGCCGTTGTTGTTGCCGTTGCTCTTGTCGCCGTTGGAGAGGCGACGGGCGCCGCCTCGGCCTTTCTTCGTCCGGGTGGGCGAGCCGTCGGGCGCCGGATAGGCCATCTCGTTGGGGTCGATCTCTTCCAGCCGCGACCGCTGCAGCACGGGCGACTGCTGTTGGGCCCGCAGCTCGGCCAGCTGGGCTTCGGCATTGCTGCGACCGGCTTTTTGGACGCGCAGGTCCTGCTGCAGCTCCTCGATCTTGCGGCCGAGATCGAAAAAGTCCTTGCTCGTCAGCGAGCGGTCTTTGGCGCTGCCGCTGCTGCCATCGTTGGCGGCCGAGACGGCGGCCGAGGAGGCGGCTGCAGCGACCGGATCGACCGTCTTGAGGATGCTGAGAATCTGTGATCGCACGTCCGACAGCTCACGATCACGTGATTCGAGCGTGGCTTGCACAGTGCGCAGCGTGCTTTGGGCCTGGCCGCGCAGGTGGCGCTCCGACTCGACGGCCCGGTTGACCTCAGCCAGCTGTGAGGTCGCGTTGGCCGACACCTTTTCGGCCGTGCGGCTGGCCTTGACCTCGCGGGCCAGCTCGTGGTTCATGTCCTCCAGCGTCAGGTTCAGCTTCTCGACCTTCTTCTCGAGCGCGGCCGCGGTCATCTGGGCCTCGCCTAGCTGCTTGTTTAGCTTGGTGCCCTGCTCATCCAGCCGGGCCTTTTCGCGCTGCAGCACCTGGATCTGGCCACGGGATGCCTCGCTCGCCCGCGAACTCGACCGTGCAATGTCCAGGCTCTTCTGCTGCAGCTTGTTCAGCAGGGCCCGGTTGTCGTTCTCCGACGCGGTCAGCCGGCTCTTGATCGTGTTCAGCTCGCGCTCCATGCGCTCCTTGGCCTGGTCGTTCTTCAGGCCGAATTCGCCCGACGAGACGATCAGCTTGTTGAGCTCGTCGACCTCTTTGCCGAGCCGGTCGCGCTCTGTCTCGAACCACTGCAGCCGTTCCGACGCCGCGTCCAGGTCACGCACCAGGCTCTCCTCACGCTCGCGTGCCAGTCGCAATGCTGCTCGCTCGCCCGATGATTCCGCCTCGATCCGTGCCTCTTCCGCTTCGACCTTGGCCTCGCGCAGCCGCCGCACCTCTTGGCGTGCGTCGTCGCGCTCCTTCTCAATCACCTTGCGCGCCTCCATCGTCCGCCGCAGCGTGTCCTGCTGCGCATACAGCTCCTTCTCGATGATGATCTTGGACTCGTTCAGGTGGTCGTACTCCTCTTTGAGCGCCTGGTACTTGTGCTCGCCGATGAGCTGTACGTCGTCACGTGACTGCCGCTCACGGCTGAGCTCCTTCTGCGTCGCGAACAACGACTCCTTGAGGTCCTGGATCTGCGACTCGAGCAACCGCCGGTTCTGATCAGCCTGCGCATCCTCTGAGAGTCGTGCCTCGAGCAGCTCCTTAGCGTCCTTGGCCTCGCGCCGCAGCTGGTCCTCCTGCGACCGCATCGCCTCGATCTCGGCCTGCACCTCGCGCAGTCGGGCCGTGGCCTTGTCCTTTTCGCTGCCCAGCATCTGTCGCTGCTCCTCGAGTGAGCGCCGCTCGGCCTCGTACTTCTTGTTGTCGCTACGCAGCAGCGCCAGCTCGCTCTCCTTCTGCCGCATCAGATCCTCGTAGTCGGTCGACGTCTGCGACAGCTGGGCCAGCCGCTTCTGCGCGTCCTGGTGGTCGGCTGCGAGCCGCTGCTCCTTTGTCCGTGCCGTGTGCAGCTCCTTCTCCGCCGTCGCTACCTTGACGGCCGCGTCCTGGTCCACCTGCAGCATGCGCGTCTCCAGGTCGCGTGACTTGCGCTCCTTGATCGACAGCTGACTTTGCAGCATCTTGATCTCTTCGGCCAGCGCCACCTCTTGGGCACTGCGCTCCGACTGCCGGCGCGACACCTCCTCGAGGCTGCTGTTGAGCTCGGCCACCCGCTGCGCCAGCCGCGTCTTCTCCTCCTCTAGCCGGCCGATCAGGCCGGCCGCCTGCTCCAGCTGCGCCCGCAGCTTGTCAACGTCCTCTTCGGCCCGCTTCTTGACCTCGAGCAGGTCGTCCAGCTGGTCTTCCAGTCGCTCCTGGTCGTCGATAGCGCCCGCAAGCTTGTCTTCCAGCTCGGCCTCGCGCAGCTGTAGCCGCTTGAAGATCTCCTCCTTGTCCAGCGCCAGTGCCCGCTCGCTCTCGAGTGTCTGCTGGATCCGAGCCATCTCCGACATGGCGATGCGTCGGTCTTCTTCCAGCTTCTGCCGCCCGGCCTCGTGCTGCTGCACCTGGCCCTGCAGCTGCCGGATGGCGTCGTCCCGGCGTCGCACCTCGGTCGCCGTCCGCGAGTCGCCCAACAGCGGCCGCATCTTCACCAGCAGCTGCCACCATGGATTGCCCGACAGATCGAGATACGCGTGGAAGTTGCGTTGGATCACGTGCGTCGCCTCTGCCCGGTACAGCCGCTTGTAAGCGATGCGCCGCTGGCTAAAGCCGCGTGCGACCGCCTGGAACCGCGACATGATCTCGTTGATCAGAGCATCGCGCTGCTCTTCCAGCTCGGCCAGTACGCCGGCCCGGAAGAAGACCTTGGTCAGGCCGACGCGGAAGAGCGCCCGGTCGAGCCCGAGCTTGTCGAGGATCATGGCTGCTGCCGCCTGGCCTTCGAGGTAGCAGCCCTTGGGCATGTCGCGGCAGAGGACCTCGTAACGCTGGCGGAACTCGGCAAAGGACAGACGGTTGGGGAAGCCGGTACGCGCGATGCGGATGCCCTCGAGCACACCGTTGCACCGCAGCTGGTCCAGCACCAGCAGGCTGTTGAACTGCTTGGCCCGCTTCTTGTGGTTGGGCAGAATGCACCGCACAAAGTGCGGATGCGTCGAGTGCAACTGGGCCATCAGTTTTGCGAGCTGCTCCTTGTGGCGTTGGGCTACTGTGCGGAAGAGGCCCTTCTTGACCCGGCTGCTGCGCCCGGCCACCGAATGGTCGTCGTCCTGGTCGGCCGCGCAGTCGGCAAAGAGCCGAGCCACGTGTTTGTCCGTCGACGTCGCCAGTAGCCGCGTTACGTTGTCGTTGAGCGGGTCCTTGTTCTTCTCCAGCCAGTCGTCGGTCGAGTATTCCACCTCGGCTGCGTAGTGCGTCAGGATGAAGCCCGACCGCAGTCGTGCCGGCCGGTATTTGGGCGACTTCTTGTCCCAGAGCGAGTGCAACTTCTCGGTGAAGGACTTGTCCGACGCCTTGGGCATCACACAGTCCTCGTCCAGACACGAGAAGATGCCGATCGGGTTCGGCAGCTCGATCAGGTCAATCGTCGGCTGCAGGTCCCGCCCAAAGTCGATAAACTGCCACTCGATCTGCTCGCGCGCATATTCCTCCTGCTCGAGCACAAACATGTGGTGATTGAAGAACTGCTGCAGCTTCTCGTTGGTGTAGTTGATGCACAGCTGCTCGAAGCTGTTCTCCTCAAAGATCTCGAACCCGGCAATGTCCAGCACGCCGATAAAGTGCGCATCGTCCATGCCCATCAGCCCGGCCCGGTCGAGCTGCTGGTTGATGCGCGACACCAGGTCTCCGAACCCGCGCTCGTAGATGCCCTTGGCCAGCGCGTTGATGGCCAACCGCACCTGATCGGGCGTCTGCACCTTCTCAACCCATTCGCGGCCTGCCTTGACCCGTGGGTGCAGCAGGCCCTTGAGGAACGGTTCGACCGGCACGCCCAGCAGCCTGCAGAGACGTTCGGCCTGGGCGGTCGAGTCCGTGGCCAGCCGTGCCTGGTCGGCCGCCCGGCTCTCCTTGACGACCGAAATGTTGCCCAGGTGTAGTACGGCTGCCACTGTCCGCAGGATCGCCGTCTGGTCTTCTTCCGTGAAGCCCATGACGCCAAAGGCCTCCATCAGCGATTCCCACTCGTGCACGTCTGAGACTCCAGTGATGACGTCATTGCCGTCACGTGTGTAGGCAAAGTCCTCCACGCCCATGTCGTCCAGCAGGAGCTCACGGCGCAGCCGGCTGTCGGCTCCCTTGAGCAGCTGGTAGAAGATGTGGTAGTTGCGCTCGTGGGCGCTGATGCGCACCACACGCGACTTTTCCAGCAGATACCAGTCGATAAAGGCCCCGGCAATAGACCCGTTGGGCGTAAACTCAATGCGGATGAACTTGCCGAAGCGAGACGAGTTGTTGTTCCGCACCGTCTGCGCGTTACCAAACGCCTCGAGGATCGGGTTGGCACGCAGGATCTGGGCCGAGAGGTGCGCATGCTGCGGATTGCCGCGGTTCTTGGCGGCCGACTGGTCCGTGTGGGCCACTGCAGCCAGATACTGGATCACTTTTTTCGTGTTTTCCGTCTTTCCGGCTCCAGATTCGCCCGTCACCAGGATGCTTTGGTTCTCGCCCTCGTCGACGAGATTGCGGAACGCCTCGTCGGCCATGGCGAAGATGTGCGGCTTGGTGTCGTCCCGGTTACGGCCCTTGTACATGTTGACGTACTCGTTGGTGTATATCGGCAGTGGGCAGTACGGATTGACCGTCACGAGGAAGAGCCCCGAATATGTGTAGATGAGGTCGGCCTGGTACCGCATGTGCAGGTTGTGCACCACTGACGCCTCGTTGAGGTGTGTCAGCTCTGCCATGTCGTTCGCCTTATCGAATTTCGCCGGGTTGACCCGGTCGACGCTCTCGGCATCGACGTCTCGTTGCTGGGCAGTTTGTCAGTTTTGCTTGTCTTTTGCTCGGGGTTTTTTTTCCAGGGGTTTCGTCTTCTTGCGGGCAGCGATACATACGGTGCCGTCTTCGCACTGGACGAGGATCCGGTGGTCCTCGAGCTCCTCGACCACCCAGCCCTTGACAAAGGCCACCTGGGGGTCCTTCAGCCAGACATAGCGCTTGCCCGAAAAGTCGTTTTCGCCCTCGATGCCGCGAACCACGTCGATGCTCCGCTGCTTCATCTCCTCGGTCTTGATGAACGACGGCGCGAACGTGCTAGATGCGGGCGTGTTATCGCGAGACTGACTGTAGCCATGGCGTGACACGCTGCCGGCCCGCACGAGCCCGTTGAGCCCGCTGAGCCCTGGCAGGCCTGATAGCCCGGATAGTGAGGCGACGGACTGGGATCGGCTGTGTGGTGGAGCAGGCGGTGGAGTGTTGCCGTGGGCCGGTGTGGCCGGCAATGTGTTGAAGAGGACCGACTTGGGTCTGGCCGAGACGCCATTCTGGCCGGGTGAGCCGGCCTGGGTGTTCCTCGCGAAAGGATTCCCGCGCGTCTGCGCCGAGAAGCCGGGGGTGCCGGCCACCATTGCGTGTGTAGGGGTTGCCTTGTCAGGGCAGCGGTGACGTGACGTGGATGGTAGGGGGAGGAGTGCGTCTCAGCGTCTGCCCGCTCTAGTCTGCACGAGCCAACATCCGCCAGCAGAAGATTGAGAGAGGAAGAAAGGTGTGCCAAAACGTGGCCTGAAAAAGAAAACGAAGGAATTCGACGGTGCAGCAAGTGCTGTCGTGTCGTGATGGTGAGGGAGGAATTGGAATTGGAAGACGACAAGTTTTAGTCTGGCCATCAACGCCATCGGTCCTTCTCTTGACACCCCAGGGTTTATTGTCCTGCCGTGTCTTGTCATTGGCTCACTTGCAGGTGTGTGTTGGCTTGGAGCTGGCAACCGTGGCCGAAGTAGCCCGCATTATCGCTTCAGCCCGTTGCCACGACAACAATCACATGGTACGTGCACCTCGCCCTGTATCTTACGCAATAAACGTAGCCCGTGCGACGACTTCGGATTAACTCTGCGCCGTCCCGACGTCATGTTGCCCAAAAAGACTCTGGATAATAAATCGAGCGTCGAAATTCATCTGGACATGACTAGCCAAGATATCACCACCACAACCGACGAACGCAATCTGTTCGGTTTTAATCGCGAATCTCTCTTGACGACCAAAAATTCATCTTTGCGCTCTTTCGCAAATTCACAAACGCACACAGCACGCAGAAACCCGGCCTTGACGAAGTCTTGGACGCGTTCGGCTTTGTCAAACGAGTGTGATACATTGGTCACGCTACGTTTTCTTTGTGAGAAACTCTTTCGGCCTGTCCTGTCTCGCTGCCCAACTTGCCTTTCATCAAAAGCTTCATTCGGGCGCGCACACAGACGTCACTCCCCGGATTTCCGTCGAAGCCTGTCCTCATGCTTCGGTTCAGAAATCGGAATCACGTACTTGGACGCTGCATCATACAAAGGCCAACCGGATTACTGGCATAGCGTCTCTCCATATCCGCTTTGCTGATCGATTTGCAATGTCTGGTTACGCTTATACGTACGGCCAATGGCCGCCACCGCAGCCACAGCCTCAGCCGCCGCAACAGACCCAACAATACGCGCAGTTTGACTACCAGCCAGTGGGTAGCACGCCACCGATATACAGCAACAATCCGTACCAAGCAACTCCTCATTATCCTGCACAGATACCACCACCATCTGCGCCTGCGCAGCTTCATTCTCATGCTCCTCCCCACATTTCCCATACCCCTGACTTTTATGCCCAGTCGCAAACGGCATATGCCTACAATACGAACAAGACATCTGCTCTGGGGATAAGTGGAATACCGCACGGACAGTCGCGCGGAGAAGGGCCTCCTGGTGGTGCGGGCTGGATGCAGGGCAGCACATTCGATGCCACATCATCTTCGTTTCCTCCGCAGTTCCCTGCGAAGAATCAGGAAATCCCTGCTTCGGGCAGTTTCCAGGAGCTTTTTCAACCACACCGCGCACCCATGCAACACGAGCAGTCATACCCGATCACAACTGCCCCGCCCCTGCAGATTGTGTCGGCTCCGTCTCCTCTGGCCCCCAGCAAAGATACGCACAACATCCATGTCGAGGAAGGTGAGTTGGAGGAGGGCGAGTTGAGCGAGGGCACGGACATGTATGATCCGCAGACGGTCACTAGCTCTGCCGTGCTGAGAGAAGATTCGATCTCAAATACGGCACAGCAAAACGACGAGGCAGAAGAAGACTTGAAACGCCCATCTCTGGAGCCAGCTGTGGCAATCTACGCCGGTGTCACGGGACAGCCGCCGAGCCGTGATGCCAGCGTCATTGATCCTCAGGAAGACGCATTCTACGACGAAGATGAAGACGAGGAGCGTGGAGGGGCTGTTGTCATTGGCCACGGCCCGACCGGCTCAGATGCAGCAGACGCCGACGACGAATATATGGGATTTTCCGATTCAGACCAGAGATCGCCTGTCCAAGAGCAACACCGCGCTCAATCCTATTCTCCGCATCTCTCGCCTCAGGAAACACGATCAGGCCGACCGGCACCGCTGCAAGACGGCGAAGGGACGAAAATCAACCCGTTGAAGACGTTGGACGAGAAGACAATGGAAACCGTCCGCCTCGGAGCCTTAGGCTCAGAGGCGGACGGTTTGGCGAAAGAAGACAGCCAGAAGCTGGTCGCGGAACACGCGAGCCCTGTCAACACTGCCCCGTTTGCTTCCATTGATGACGCTAAGAAGGAGGCACAGAAGGCTATTCTGCGCCTGATTCCTTACGGCGTCAACTATCAGACGTTTATCGACGAGGGTTTCGACGAAAAGACAATCAAGTCACTGTTTGCAGAGCTGGGCCTGAAATCTGCGCAAATGCCCGAAGCAGAAACTTCACAGCCGTCGCCCAAGCCGGCATCGGTAGCAGAAAGCCAACGAAGCAACAGCGACACGAACGGCCCGAAACTGGAAGAGAGAAAGGACCGCATTGCCCGCCTTCTGGCTCTCAGAGCCTCAAAGCCTAGCGCAGGTACGCCACCAGCTGTCTCAACATCAAACGAGGCAGCGGCGCCACCTGTCGAGAAGGCGAAGTTGGAAAAGACGAGGTCGGACAAAGCACGGCTTTTGCAGCAAAAATTGGACGCTCTTAAGAGGGCACAAGCAGCATCTCACGCTCAGTCGTCTGGTGGGCCGCCGCAGATTCCGACATTGTCGGAGTTGCCACCGAATGGCAGCGTCCTGGTCACGCCCTCATCGTCGGCATTGCCACAACGACCGGGACCGAAAACGCAAGCATCTCCAGCAGTGCGCCAACAATCTGTGGTCCTGCCTGCGTCGACGATCCCTAGTGTTGTGGCCTCTGGTTCAGGAACGCCACAGGCTGCAGGCGGATCTCGCAAGCGGCCGGTTGCTGCGGACTTGAACGACTTTTCGACGTTGCCTTCAAATCCGCTGAAACGGCCATTCGGGCAGATGCGGCAGGATTCGTCGTTGATCATCGATGTCAGCGACGACTCCGACTCTAGTTCAGACGTCGAGATGGAGATGGATTCCCCGACGGACGAGCACCCGTCAAAGGCGCTCCAAGGGGGCCGAGCCCGTGCCGGAAACTCTGTCCGCGATTTCCCACCCCTCTCAGAAACGCCATTTCAGCCGCGGCCATTTGGACGACTGCCTACGTCCATGCGGACTCCACCGAGCGGACCTGCAGCAACGAGGGCCAAAGACGACGAGTACGCGCGGAAGATGAGGCAGATCGAGGAAATGAAGCGGAAGATTGCCGAGGCTGAGGCCAAGAAGGCCAGGGGCTCGCCGAGCGGATCGCAGACGCCGAGAACAGGCGACAGCACACCGCCAGAGGTTGACGCCTCAGCCGCTAAGACGCCCATTCGCCGGGCAGTGTCCTCCAGCGGGATCCCGCAGAGCGCAGCGCCAGGACTCGTCGAGGCCGTGTCTGCAAGGCTGCCGAAGCCATCGGACAACACGTTTGTGGCGGCAGACGCGGCCAGACGTGCACTGAGGACACGTATTGCCAGCCAGCAGCTGCCACGGGTGGAAGCCACGCTGAAGGAGAAGATGTTCAAGCTCAAGTTGCTGCAGGATAAGGTGGCAGCGCTGCAGAAGGAGATCGACGTAGGCATGGCCGAGAAGATGCGGTTGGCAGAGACCATGGTCGAACTTGACAAGGAGGAGGTTCCCGCTGTTTCTGACCAGCCACAGCCAACGGCCGTCGACGCAGAAGCTATTCGTGTGACCGAGTCCCCGACTGCAGATGTGCAGTTGCAGCTGCTAGTGGAAGAGAGCGCAGCCGCGGCTGTCGAGAGCATGTTGGTAGCAGCGGATGAGTTGACTGAGACGACGGCTGTCAAGGACAGAGCCGAACCGGAGGGCGAAAATCGTGCAAAGACAGAAAAGCCCGATGCCGGCGAGGAAGAGTCAGCAGCCGAGGACCCGCTGCAGTCAGACACAGCGTTGGAGCAGGACAATATGTCTGAAGGCCCATCGTATGAGCCGATGGCTGACGAGGCGGATGAGGTCGACGAGGATGGTGACATCGAAATGGAGGACGATGTGGACGAAGCAGCTACCGAGCCAACAGTCGAGGCAGCGCCCCTCGAAGTGCTTGCTTTGCCCATCTCACAACCTCTTGACGAAAACCCGGTTGGCGATCTGCTTCAGCCACAACAGCGTCAGAAGAGCAAACAGCTTCCCGACATCGGAAGCTCAAAGGCGCCGCCGCCAGCAATTCCGGCCCTTGAACCCTACGAGAGTCCGTTGAAGTGCTTCCGTTCCTACCGATTCCACCCGCAGTATAAATCCGACGTGAAGGGCGGCCTGAAATCATTAACCTACAGTGGTAGGATTGACCCCGACGTCGAGCTGTGTCCCTACGAGCTCAGCGGCCAGGCCTGCGCGGCGGCTCCAGACTGCCAGTACCAGCACCTGTCGTCCATCGTTCCCAAGGGTGAGTGTCCTTGCTTTCCGTCCCAGCATTGTCGTTTCTGCTGCCCGTCTGGTATCCTGACCTCCATCCCCCCCTGTGACCGCTGACGTACCTTGCTTTTCTTTCCTTGTCGCTTCTTGTTTGGAATATCTAGATGACCAAATCCTCGTTGAGCTCGGCCGGTCCGACGATTTCACCGGCGAACAGAAAGCCAAGTTTGTCACGGGCCTGAGAGACGTGTTGAAGCGATTCCGGGATGCCAAGGTGCGCGACTTTGACACAATTGCGTACGAGATTATTGGCTTCCGACGCCAGTTCCTGGGCGATGATTCCAAGGTCGTGTCCCACCTTGAGGACGTCACGGTCTGATGACAGCTGCGGTATGTGAATGTGCTTGAAGGATGCACGCTGAAGCAGGAGAGGGAGAGCCGAGAGGACCGAGAGGGTGGACATCTCCAGTAAAAGACGCTCGCCATGATCCCACGTTGCGCTGCACTGTCCTGGATCGCGGCGGTCCAAATGGCCGCCAGCATTTCTAACCGTGTTGGCATATTTAGTTTCCTGCTGTTTCCCTTTGTCTCGTTTTTCCATAGCTTCCCTTTGTCGTTTTGCATTGGCTCCCTGAGCGTTCCCCCATTCCGGCCTTTCTTTTTACCATTTCCCATTCTTGTCCTTATTGCGCCATTGGGGTTTCGTCTGAGGATCCATCCGAGGCACGAAGAAGCCGGAAGCTTGCCTGTCCTGCCGTGCCTCGTCTGGCCATGGCAAGGTTTAGCACCAACCGTGATGCGATGCTGCTATTGCTCAGAGACGGCGACAACGCCCTCTCTTATTTACTCGATACCCCGGCGCCGACTGCGAGCACAGCTAGCAGATTGGCCGTTTCAGCTCCTATTTCTGTAATCATTATACAACGTTCGTGGCATGGGGTCTGCGGATTGACAAGAGAAGGGTGCATGATATTAGCCATCAGCATGGGATAGATGAGAAGAAGAGGAAGAAAAAAGGTACAAAGGCAAGAGAAGATGAAGCCAGTCGGGTCCGAAGGAGTGGCCCCTGGTGTTGGCAAGAGGAGGACTTTTTACTATTGCGCAAAATAACAGGACTCAATTTCCAAGAGAAGAGAGACAAGTGTAGAGTGTGTGTGTAAATGAGACTAATGTCAAGATACGAAGAGCTTTTGCTTAGTCAGCGATCTGGCAGACAAGGCCAGCTCCTGATTGGCCGAGACGCAAGCCCACGCCAAAACAGTAAACTCCCCTCGAAATCGCAAGTCTGAAATGCATCTCGAGCGAGCAATTGCACCCAGAATCTGCTGTCTGCATCCACGCCGCCTTCTGTTGTCATCTCTCTCGGCCAGCTCCTGCCGTTTATTTTTTTGTCATGGCCACCGGACCGCCGCCGCCGCCGACGGCCGACCTCTTCCACACACGCTTCGAGATCGAGTGCGAGTTCGTGTCCTGTCTGGCGAACCCCTACTACCTGCAGTACCTGGCGGCGGAAAAGTACTTTGACGACCCACGCTTCGTGCGCTACCTGCGCTACCTGCTGTACTGGCGCGAGCCGCCGTACCTGCAGTACCTCAGCTGGCCAGGGCCGACGCTTCGCCACCTCGAGCTGCTGCAGACGGCCGCCTTCCGACAGGCCATCATCAGTCCCGAGGTCGTGGCCCGGATGGAGCGCGAGGATATCCAGGCAGCCTTCCGATGGCAGCAGCAGCCATAACGAGAACGAGTCGACGGGGGAGGGATATCTACGATACGAAGAATACAAGAATGCAAGACGTCACAGACGACAGACAACGAATACGAATAAGCCATTAATGAGTCGCAATGTCCATGGGTATCATGATCGCCCTGCTCTCTGCTTCCACGCAGCAGTCTGCCCTAGTTCTCCCGCCAGCCGTGGCCGCACGTCATGCACTACGAAGGAATTGGAAGTCAGCTACATGAAGACGGAAAATCCAACAAACACACAAACACACCGTCCCAAAACTAACCTTGAAGAAGCTCGTCATCGGCTCATCAGCCGACCGGATCTGCACCTGGAAAAAGGCCGCCTCGTCGCCGTCGCACCGGTCCGTCGGACATTGCACCTTTGTCTTCTGGGCGTTGTCCCACGCGCCCTCGCCGCCAAACACGTCCTCCTTCTCCTTACGCACAAAGTCGCGCCGGCTGAAGAGTGGCGTCGTGATGGCGTACTCGTACGGACATGTCCGGCACTCGAGCCGGTTGCGCCCCGTGTCTGGGTGTGCCGACACCGTCAGCACGTTCGCACAGCAGGGACAGACTGCGAGAGGAAGAGGTCCGTTAGCATCGGAGCGAGCGTGAGAAAGCAAATGTCCAGACGGCGGCGGTCAGCCTGCACTACGTACAGAGCAGCATCGTTGTCAACAGCAGTTGCATATGCGTATGTGTGCCGAACTCTGTTTTTTTTTTTTGCTTTTGTAGTCGGACTTTTTGCCTCCGCAAATTTTATGGATCACACACTGGCCGTGGTGTTAGTCGACTAGGTCACGTGTCTCGCGGCTGCAAGGTGAAGTAAAGATGTAAGGCTCTAGCTGAGATATATTTGGGGTATATACATAGTAACAAAGTGACGGCTTCCACTGTTCTGACATTTCTTCTAATTTCCCATGCGTGTGCGTTTCATAACCGGCTGTCGATCAGCAGTGCCTATTTCCATCGTAACCAAACCGAGGCGAATGGCTCGATTCCCAAAGAGCCCGCTAAGCAATGATAACCAAAATTTGAAAACCAAGAGATCCAATGCCGGGAGGCAATGTGTCTTAAGAAGCCGATTGATGTATTTTGTTGCGTTGTCCGAATAGATTGAAAAACAAAATGCCAAAAATGCCAAAAATGCCAAAAAAGTAAATAAAATGAAAGAAATTGCGAATCAAAATGACAAATGAGAAATTCGTGTAGGAAACGATCAGCCCCAGATGGGCGCGTTGCGATAGGCTGGCGAGTTGTAGCTGTGCAGGATGCGATATGGCGCCTGGGTGCCGCCGCGTGAGCCTGTGCTTTGGTTGCGATAGTGGTAGCCACGAGGTGAGGACGGAGGCAGCTGACTGCCGTGTTGCCGGTAGTAGTGGTCCCAGGCCTTTTGCTGGTGGTTCTGCTGCTGCTGGAAACGATTGTCGTCGGTACCGTCACTTCCGCTACGCCAGCGGCCATTGCTGGTCGGCACATTGCTGTAGTCGTCGCAGCTAGCTCGGTGTCGCAACTCGTACGGCGATGTAGCATTTAGGGAATATGGGGACAGCGGCTGTGCGGCCATCCGTGGGTGACTACTGGAAGAAGCTTTGTGATCCAGGCTGGTGAGGTTGTGAGCCGAGAACTTCGATTTGCAGCGCCCATGCACACGGGCCGACTGTCCTTCGCGTCTTGGCCCGTTGCTGTAGCCATGCTCGGCTTGCACGAGTCTTGCAGAGGCTCGTACGGAGGATTCGGGGGCCGACGATGACAAAATCGGGTTCGATATAGTCACCGGAAGCTTGGCGCTAGTCTGTTGTTTCTCTTCTTCTGCGTCTGCAGTAGTCGGCCTCGAAGATCGAGAAAAGGGCAGTTTCATGTTGAAATTGCGTTCAAGCTGGGCCGTCAGGCTCATCGTTCGGCTTCGAAGGCTAGATGGGGTAGCCAGAGGATCATGTTGCGCCTCGCTCATGGCTGTGGAAGTTGCGCTGGATCCATTCGCTCGTCTGTTGGGGGTATTTCGATCCGCCAGACTCGCTTCGGCTCCAAAGGCCTTTATCAGCGAGGGCATTTCGGTCGGCTTCTGGAATCCACGCGATGTCTTCTCCCTCAGCTTCTCTGTCTGCCTTGCTTTCGTACCTCTCCCATGTTCTCTGCTCTTTCTGCTCCTTTCAGCGCTTCCCGTATTCTCAATCGGCTCGAGCACTGTCCCTTCAAGTGCAGATTTCCTATGCGCGGCTTTCCGCGGGGACATCACAGACGCCGCCGCGTGAGCCAGTGATGATGGAACATTCTGAAACGTATGGCGCCGGCCCAAAGGCCGCCGTCTAGATTGATCTCTGTTCTCTCCGGTGACGCCTGGCAGTTTGGACGTGGTAGGCGGCATACTCCCCACCGGTCCGTTTGCCTGTACTTCGAGGGCGCTGCACGCTTCGAGACTGCCCACACTGAGAATTGTTTTCAGTGTATCTTTGCTCACTTTTCTCTTCATTGCCACCCGTCTCGCTGCCAACGGAGACAAGTCTGCGGGATCGGACAGCTTGGTCTGCATATCCTGGGAAACGGACGGAGCGTCGGCCCCAGTCTGTGCGCCCTTGTAAGCCGCTGCTCCGCGGTTGAATAGCCGGCGTAGTTTGCTGGACCGTTGAGTGCCACTCACACTACTCGAGGCCGATTTCGAGCCACCAGACTTGGCGCTGAGCGGTGTAATTGGAAAAGGACTGGTGCCTAGGGTCGGATAGCTGTTTGCGCGTACTGGAGACCGGAGTACCTCTAGAGAGGTTGGGGTATTGTGCCGTTTCTTGGAAAGGCCGAGCTGTGGGCCTGTGAGTCTGGTGTTATGAAAAACAGGACTACCTAGCTCAGCAGCCATGGTGCCAGTCGAGTGGGAAATGGCTGGAAGTGCAATCGTGGCTCCAGTGGAGGATGGGTTCGCATCTGCTGTGCTCGCCGGTGAGACCAGTGGCGTGTCGTTTGAAAGAACGGAGGGAAACGAGCGCGATGGCGATGGGGAGACAATAAAGTTCGGGACGGTGAGAGTAACATGGTTGGCATTGGGAGCTTGGGCATCCGATGGGCAGGCATCGGCGTTCAGATCTGGTAATTTTGGCTCGGCAATGTAGAAGGAATCACGACGAGGACTCATGAAGTTTGAGGCGGCTTGCTTGAAGGACCGCATGGACATGTTGGAGCTGTAGCCCGAATCGGCCTTGCAGAGCGGCTTATTTGCTGCTTTCTTTGCGGGACTCAAAACAAAGCCACTGTCTGACCGGGAGACGATATGAGCGCCTTGGGCAGTCTTGCCGTCAGCGAGGACGGCCGTGGCGTAGCCGCTGCTGCCAGCAGACTTCGCATTGAGGTCAAGACGAACGTCCAGGATTTCGTCGGGCAGATATTCAGGCGTATCGCTCTCGCTTTCAAAGAGATCATCCTCCATGGCTGTATTCTTCGATGTTGTCTGTAGTCTGAGAGGGGACGGATCATCGTCTAGCGGATACAAGTCGAACACGAACCCGGAAAAAACTTCGTCAGAAAGTGCGATTTGTGGCAAATCGCTACCAGGGATATTCTTGGAAATGGTATATCCGCTGAATGGACGGGTGTCTATTTCAGCCAGAGGTTCCGACGACTGCTCTGCGTACGGGGGAAATGGTTGAAGGTCGTTCTTTCCGTTGTCTGGGCGAATCTGGCTTTTGGAGGGCTTCTTATCGAATGTGAGAGCACGGCTGATAGGCTTTTCCTTGTTCGTGTCTACCTCACGCGTCCTCGGTCGCTCCAGTGAGGGCACGGGGCTAGCAGTGCCGTTGGTGATTCGCAAAGAGCCCAGTTTGAAGGCACCTATAGCCTGGTAGTCCTTGTCGCAAGGTGTCGTCACCCGAGGTGTAGGTTCAGTGTCGTCGTTTGAGCCAGGCAGACGGAACAGTATTGGAATTGCTGGTAGCGCCGACATTGGCGGCATAGACAATACGCGGTGGGCTGTAGACTCAAAAGAGGTCTGGTGGGAGAGACTGGGTGTGGTGGAAACACTGTGTCGAAATCTTTGTTGAGTCATTGTAACACCGCCGGCGAAAATGCTGCTGCTGCTGCTTCTGCGAGTAGCAACACCAGGAACCTGCACTATAGAGCGACGGCGAACTGGTGCATACATGGAGATATCGGAGTTGGCCCGGCTAAGACCTCGGCTTCCATCCTGGACGGGATGAGAGCTCTTCCAAGTCACCTCCGACACAACTGGCTCCCTGCTTTCAGAGGCAACTGTAGTCTGCTCGAGCCCGTGGTCGAAAGAAAGGTCGCCATCCACAATGTGGAGTAGCCGCTTGGCTTCATATGACGAGAGGTCGTAATTCCACGAGGCTCGTGGATTGACCGGGAGTGGCCAACTACAGGAAATAAAGTCAGTGCCAGGGACAGGGCAAGTAAAGGCGCGTGAAAGAACCACTAACCTATCGGGGATTCTTCCACCGTAATACTGGCTCAGGGCCTGTTCGTATGTCATAGGGCCACCATCCCATGTATGGTGCCAATCGCCAGTAGATGGGTTTTCCTGGCTAATGCTGTTCCGTCGGCGAAAATTTTGCTCGTCCTGCGGCTCAGCCGGTCGGCGTGAGGACCGTGATCGAAACAAGCTACTTCGCTTGCGTGACTTGGGTTTCAGTCTTGGATTCCGCGAAAACTGTTCCTCGTCGTCTGGGTAGGACTGCTCGCTGTGTTGGGGGTCGAAATGATGCTTCCACTGCTGCAGTTGGAGGTCCTGCTGTTGTTGTTGGTACTCCTGGAAAAATGCAACGTCAAGCTCTGCATCGGGAGTCGAATATACAGAGGGCATAGCCTGCCAATAGCCAGAGGCCCGTCGGCTAATTGCAGGTGCAACGGGTTGCTCGTAAGCAAACGCAGACGAGCCGATAGCCGGCGGTGAGGCCGGCAATACGAGGTGATGAGGCGGCCGAAAACCGTCCAGTTGCAAGGATGGCGGGGGTTGGGAAGTAGAGAAGGCAGAGACGAGGCCGGGCCCAGAGGTCGTAAAGCGTGCATGATTGGAGCCAACACTACTCGCAAGGTCATCGGAAGTTCGTGCCCGACTGATTGTTGACCGCCGACGTGTACGGGGCTTTGACAGCTTATTGGGGCAGGAAGGAGAGGCAGAAGTGATGGCGATAGGAAGTGGTGGCTGTGGCTGGAAGGTCGGACGAGAAGGAAGCGACTTCCGGGTTGCCTCGGTGGAAGGCGTGTTCCCCATGATTGAAGTTGTAGGTGATAAACAGAGTTGTAAAGAGCCAACAAGATGGATCGAGATCGGCTATGCAGACATTGACGATGCCATACCGTCAATTCGACCAGCTGGTCCGCGCACGTTGACACGGCAAAAAGAGCAGCACACGGTTGCCGCTCAATTGGTACGCGGCTTCATCTATATAGCCTGGGACGGAGCGAAGATGGAACCGCACGAGGTGAGACGCCGCGGCGGGACAGGTCGGGAACAAGCGGTAGAGGGGAGTGTATAAAGTGCCGGACCCAGTTCAAAGACGGGGTGCCACTTGGGTACAAATAGCAACGGTGAGGCAAAGCAGGGGGTGTGAGAGGAGACGCGAACATTCGTATACGAGAAAGAAATTTCGCTGGCAGCGCAGATCACGATTGCAACGGATGTCTTTCTCTCAGGGTCAGGATCATATGGTATGGGACGGCTTGCAGGAAATCACCAGCTGCAGAACAGGCAGCCTAATTAGAAAAAAAACGAAAAAATAAGAAGAATCAGCTGAGGCAAAAGGTGGGAGAAAGTATTAGGTAGGGGTGGCTAGTTGCTGGGGAAGTTTGAGGTTAATTGCACGGTGACAGCTTCGCGGTCTGGACACGACAATGGCTCACCGGTGGGCCGGCGGGAGAGATACGACGTGAAATAAGAGGGAGGAGACACGCAGGGAGAGGCGTGCAGGAGGGGGTGTATATGTGAGGATGAAGACGGTGAGGAGGAGAATGAGAGAAGGCGAGGCGCATTACTGGAGCAGGCGCAACGAGCATGCTTTCTGCAACCCCTGCCCCCACGAGATGTGTGTTTCCAGAATGTGGAGGGAATGACCATCGAATAATAAAGAAGAGGGGACAGAGTGCCGGAGATGCTGAGTCGGAGAGAATGAGAGTAAGATACGAGCGAGAGAAGAGGAAGAGATGAGGGGAGAAGGTTGTGATCTTGAAAGTGGAGATAAGCTGTTTGGCAGGGGATCCAGGGGCTGCTCAAGAAGTTGGCAAGACCCCCCCTCCAGACGACCCCGGTCACGGCTTCCCGATGTGCCAGTGCGGGCTCGCATCAGTAAGAATTTTCGCACTACGGCCATTGCTTGACGTAAAATGGCGGAATCGAAGGGGACACGAGCTGTGGACAGAAGGACGGGAGAGTAGCGGACGAAAGCGACAGAGCGGTGGGCTAGACAGAATGAGAAGCCGAGGCGGATCGCGAAGCCGTCGGGCGCGTTTCAGACGTGTGTGTTTTTGCGGATACAAAGAACTGCGTGGCGACCTACGAGATGGCTCAGCGATGTAAACAACAGGCTGTCGGAAGAGAGGAGAGAAGGAGGAAAAAAGAAAAGAGGGGGCAAGAGAAGGCGGAGAATGGACAAGAGGAACTAGACAGGCCATCTCGACGTGCAGATCGAACGTGTGGACTTTCCTGCCACCCATTCCGATTACACATAAGCCATCCACACATCCACACATCCACACATCCACATATCCACACATCCACAGGTCATCGTACGTAGACGCGATGCAAGGGCAGGTGTGTTGCTTACGGGACGAACACGGTAGGAAGACACGCGGACAAAAGGACGGTGCTTTGGAGTTGGGAGCCATCTGCGCGCTTCGGTGCCCGAGGATCGACGTGCAGAGCTGTCCGGGCAGAACAGAGCAAGCCATGTCGCATGATGACGCAAACGGGGGCAAGATCTCTGGAGGCTGTCGATGCACAGAGGCCGGCCCAGCCACCGACGACAGGGGGTGTAGCGGGCGGAGGGCAGTCCACAGCTGCTCGAGCGCCTCCGCAGCCTTAATCTCGAGGCCGCTCGGCCCTCGAGCATTCCCAGACAGCCGGCCGTGTCACGAGAGGCGACAGTTGGTCTCTTTGTTGGCAGGCCAGACGAAAAGCTGCACGCTAGACGCAGCGCTCAGCTAGTGTGGCCACTTGGCGAGAGCCAATCGATCTCGGGCTAGGCCAGGAGATCGAACTACTCCGAGGCGAGCAGATGGACGGTCCAAGGGTCCCACCAGGCGCAGCCTCGCCTAGGAGTGGGCGGAGAGGCGTTTCCGATCCTATCGTCTGGTTCAAGAGACGCTACGTGTTCTCGGCTCAGCCAGCTGGCGCCGGCCAGGAGGAGAGGCAGAGAGGATGTGAGGACGGCGGAGAGTGCCGGTCTGGCCAGCGTGCCGTGTGTCTCCGGACAGTATCAGCTAACAATGCCAGCCACTCTGATTCTGTTGGCCGATTCTTCTCTGTAGTGGGGTTTGTGTTGCGCTTATTATGTGTTGCGCTTTCTTTTTTTTCTTTTTTTTTTTCTTTTCTTTCGTTTTGCGTTTTTCTTTTTTTCTTTTTCTCTGCTGTTTAGACAATACTGGAGCGGTGGGAAGCTTCGTTACACCCGGGATTGAGGGTGTTTGCGACCGCGAGCCGGCAAATGGCATATATCTTGTGCTGTAGTGCTGCTTGTTGATGCCGTGGTGACGGAAAAGAAGCGTGAGCATTGTCTCGATGCGGCCATGGACCATACGCGCGTTCTTTGTCGACATCTGTGCACGTATCTGTAGACCTGCACATCTCGCGTCCGACTTCCTGTACAGAGTAGCATCGATACGTCCTTCTGTAGCAAATCCTCCGCTGTCGCAACGTCGTCAACGTCATGCGCTCTTCCCCAAGATACCCACACCAAGGGTGGGAGCGCTATGATAGCCTGTAAATTAGCAGGCCGGGCCGCCGTGTCGCGTTTAAACAGCCTCGCGGGACTTGCAGGCGGGCACGTCCAGTCGGTCGCCAGCGCGATAATACGTGTCGTCCAGATACGTCACGGCTGGCGGTCAGGACAGGAAGCGTTTGTCGGGCAATGTGCGGGGACAAAGGACAGACTTCTGGGCGATCTGCCCCATCGAAGACGTGATGGAAGCCCCAAGAACGCAAGGCGTGGCGGCAGAAAAAGCAGTTGGAGGCTCCAAAAAGCGTTGTCAACAGGAGGAGCGGTCCAGCTCGGTGGCGTAGCGGCGGCAGCAGTGTGGCAGTGTGGCGCAGCTCCAGTCTGTCTCGCATCTTATTTCTTATTTCCTTGCTCTGTCCAGGTCGAGATGCGCCCGACTAGTAGCGCCTGGACCGATCCGACCAAAGACTGGGCACTAGTGGACTCCATTGCTGACGGCGGCCGCGACGTAACGGTTTTTGATTCGTGCCTTGGCCTTGGCGACTGAGCAGCCATTGAGGCTGTATCGCCGTATGGAGCACGGCAGACCCGAGGCGGCCCTATTTTTCATCACGCTCTCATTTGGCTCTGGTTGGGAACTGCTTGGGTTCGGTTACTGCCAACCAGAAAAGCGCGGCTATCCCATCATCAGGTGAATGCTCTCCTTGTTGTCGCTTCTCTCTCTCGCTCTCTCTCTCTCTCTGTCCTCTGTCAGTTCATCTGCATCTGCAACAGCTTCTGCTTACTCTACCAGCCTAACGTATCTTACTGTCCATCTCGACCCAGTCTTAAAGGGCCACTACACCAAATCTGTGCTCCTGTCTCGGGGCCATGACCAGCTGATCCAGGCTGGCTCCCCTCTACAACACGATCTGCTCGACGGCCTCGATGGGTTTATTTGTCCGTGCTTCGGCCCGCTCGCCTGGCTCTCGACTTTTCACGCTGACCCTCTCGCGCACAGAACCGAAGATCTGGTCCTCGTCCGGCCCCGAGGCTGCCGGCAGACGAAAGTCTGCACGGGATCCGCAACGCCCTGCGCCGTTTAGTCGAGACCTCGACGCTCATCTCTCCACCGGCCGACCATGGCCCGCCGGAACGACTGCACGTCACGATAGCAGTGGACCGGCCGACGAAGCCGACGAACGCGACCGCGGCCATGCCTATCATCGTGCTCGGCCACAGCACGTTGGCCCGACTTCAGAGCGTGTTCCAGGACATGTGTCGACGCACGCTCTCAATCGCCCTGATGCCGCTGGCGCCCGCCATGATGACGCAGGGCCACACGCTGACGCAGGTCCGGCTGGCACGCTTCCTTCGCGACGTACAGGAGGAGCCACGACTGCCGGCGCTGACCAAAGACCGCTACACGTTTGAGGACTTTCTCGAACTGCTGGCCCTGTCGGCCGGCTGGGACGCCCAAAAGCTGCCGGACGCCAAGGACCTGGACACGTCGCACCCGATCTCGCACTATTTTGTCAGCAGTAGCCACAACACGTATCTGGTGGGCAACCAGCTGTCGTCGGACGCGTCGGTGGACGAGTACCGCAAGGTTCTGGAGCGTAACTGCCGCTGCATCGAGATCGACGTGTGGAATCCGCCGGCCAGAAGCGGCCGAACAGGCGGCCGAGGCAGTGGCCGGACAGCAGCCCATGACCGGTCCAAGTCGCCGGGCAAACAGCTGCACGGACGGCACACACCGTCGAACTCAGTGGCCACGTCGATTCAAGAAGGCATCGACGCGGTGGCGAGCCTGATCACAGGACGGACGACGCTCAGCCGCAGCCGAGCGTCCAGCACGAGCCAGGCACCGCCAGCCGGAGAGACCAGCACGCAGGAGACTCTGCTGCAGCGGTCGATGGCGACGACGGCAATCGAGGACGACGACGCAGCCGTGGCCGACGCAGGCACGACCATGTCGCGGACGGCCAGCACAGTTCTGACACAGGCGACGACAGACGCCGGCAACACGACGACGACCTCTATGAGCACAATGAGCTCCAGCAGCGCCGGCACACCAGAGCCAGATGAACCGGTGGTGATGCACGCACACACGCTGGCCAGAAGCGACTGGACGCTGGGAACACAGGTGCCGTTCCGTGACGTGTGTCGAGCAGTGCGCAGCGCCGCGTTTGCCGACAATGACCTGCCGCTGATCGTCAGCCTGGAGGTGCACACAAACGCAGCACAGCAGCGCCAGATGGTCAAGATCATGCGCGAGGAATGGGGCGATCTGCTGCTAGACCAACAGCTAGACGGCACCGATCCACGGTTGCGTCTGCCCACACTGGAAGAGCTGAAGCGTAAGATCCTGGTCAAGGTCAAGAAGCCGGCAGTGGCGACGAGTCTTGCTGGAGGAACAGGGGCAACTAGCGGGACAACAGCAACTACTGCCACCACTACTGCCACTATCACTACTACTACCACCGCCACCACAGAGGACTCCTTCACTCCTCGGCCAGCCCTACACCACGTCGTCGGCCTGGGCACGTCGCTCTTAGCAGTAGCCAACAACGCCGGCGCATTGTCGGGCTCCGAGGACGACGAGCCAAACGCGGCGCCAGTCTCGGCTTCCTTACCGCCGAGCTCCATCACACACGAGCTCGGCAGCCTGGCCGTCTACACAGAGAGCCGGCGGTTCACCAACTTTAGCGATCGGGCGGCCAAGCTGCCAGGCCACATCTTTAGCCTCGACGATACCGTCATCCAGACCCTGCACGGAAAGCAGCACGAAGAGCTCTTCCAGCACAACAAGAAGTACCTGATGCGCGCCTATCCCAACGCCACGAAACACGTCTCCAGCTCGAATCCGGACCCGGCTCCATGCTGGCGACGCGGCGTCCAGATGGTCGCCCTCAACTGGCAGACCCTCGACAAGGCCATGATGCTCAACCACGCCATGTTTGCGGGGTCGCCGGGCTGGGTCCTGAAGCCGCCGGGGTACCATTCCAGTGGTGGTGCTACTGTTACTGCTGCTACTGCTGCCACTTCTACGACGACCTGTCCTGTGGCTGTTGCTGCTCCCGTCTGCACCATCGACCTCTACATCACCATTTTGGCCGGCCAGCACCTGCCCCTGCCGCCGTCGCTGCTGAAACGCGGCGGACACCGGCTGGACGAGGTCACCGGCATCGTGAGCGGCCACGCCCGCAAGGACTTCCGGCCCTACGTCCGAGCTGAACTCAACGTCGAGCGCCCCGATGAGCGCTGTCCCGAGGTGGCCGATTGCGCCTCGTCGTCTGCTGCTGCTGCTGCCGCCACCACCACGGCCCCGGCTACGTCGACTTTCGCCTCGATTGCCTCTGTCTTTGGCTCTGCCGCCGTGCCCGAGTTGTCACTGAGGCAGAAGACCGTTCCCGCCCGGACAGACCAGCCCGACTGGGGCTCCCGCGGCTCCGTGATGCGCTTCAGAAACATCGCCGGCATTGTCGAGGCACTCAGCTTCATTGTGTATGTCTACCTCTCTCCTCGCTCTTCTGCCCTCCCAGGCGCCCTCGCTGACAAGACAGATTCTGTGTCGAGGACGACGGGACCCGGCCGACCGTCTCTCTGGGCCGCAACGACGCCCTCGCTGGCTGGGCCTCCTTCCGGCTGGATCAGCTGCGGACAGGCTATCGCTTCATCAGCCTGATGGATGGCCGCGGCAATCCTACCGATGGAAAGCTCCTCGTGCTTGTCGAAAAGGTCGTCAAGTAACGGCGGCATCCCTCTTCCGTCCACCAGCCTTCCTTCCACTTCCTACTTTTCCCTTTCTTTTTACTTCTTTCTTCTTTCCTTCCTTACTCACTTTTCTCCTTCGTTCCTTCTTCGTCCTTTCCTATGTTGCCTCACTCCTTATTCCCTCTTATTTCCTTTAGTTCTTTTTTCTTCTACGCGTCTGCCTTTCGCCTACCCGCAGTCCAACAGTCGCATGGCTCCGGACCAGGATGAAACAGGGAGGCACAGCATCATCTCTGTTCACACACGCGGAAATTGGCTGTTTTGGATCGTGCTTTCTGCTCATTTTGTTACTGTTCCTTCCCCTGTTATTTTCATCGTTGGGTATTATATTATTACAGCGCATTACCAGGGGCGGTTGTACACACTGGCACGGAGAGGAAAAAATCGTGAGCGTTTGGGCGGATCTATCTACAGCACAGCGGAGATATCACAGCGCGCCTTGGTACTGTTTTTTTTGTTCTTGTTCTATATAGAATTATAATACCTGCCAGCTGTCTGGCATTTTTGGAAGAGCGGGTAGAAGGACGCGAGAACCAGCGAGAATGATACCCGATACGGACGATATGGCCGAAAAAGGCACCGGAATCTGACAAGTGACAGCTGCGAACCCCAGCCCGGATACGCGTTGCATGATCCGGCTGTTTGCAGACAGCAGGCGACCCTGTCCGGGAGTGCATCCTACTGAATGGGCAAACAGCATGGAATGGGCAAAACAGCATCTCGCTCTGTTTCGCCGGTCGAGCAGACAGAAGACGAGAGGCCGGGAGCGGGAGAAGCGGCACGGCAAGATTGGAGGGTGATGACCATGGTATGGGGGTTTGCTGAAACGCCAGACGTAGCGTCGTATTCGTTCGTCTCTGTCGTCGCCCCCCCTATGCCGGCCTTGTTTCTACTCCGAGCATGCAGACGCGACGGCCGCTGACCAGTCAATTCTCACATCCAGGTCGCTGCTGACTAATGACACTCGCTGCTGACTTGTGCTCTGTGAGTCGGACGTCTGCGTCTGGCCAGCAGGCATGCGCCCCAGATCACGCCCCGTTTCGACTGCCGGTCAGAGGACGGACTCGTACGATCCAGCCGGCCTTCCCGGACGGGGGAGGCTGCATCACGAGCGTAAAAAAGCCCGCTTTAGGGTCGATGTCGGCCACCCAAAGGGGAAGTCCAGAAGGACCTGCCAGATTGGCAGGGCCCCAGGCCCTCGTACAGAATCATGCCCGATATGTGGGCTATAGCAGCCGGACTAATATGGCATGTGCATACGGAGAAACAATGCTCGCAGCAAAACGTGGCGAGCCTACTCCGTATAGCATTGGCAACCAAACTCTGCAATGGTACCGTGGCCTTGGGAACGAGCGGAGTGGTACGAGCGTCAATCGTGGTTGCATTAAAGGGGTTCAGTAGGGCGAAAGGATAAATTAACAAAAGAAACAAGGATGAAGCCAAGAGAGCGTGCGCGCACGAGCGGAAAAGTGAGAAAGCCTTCAGGGCCAGTCGTTCTTGGGGCTAGGCGCACAATCCATCGTCCGCTGGCCTGTTTTGCCGTCACCAGCGACGATCGGAGCATGCAGACATCCCACGCTCAACGCATCCGGGACTCGTAAGATGCTCTGCTTTACCCACCCGGTGCGAGGCGAAGCAGGGATCGACACTGCAGCTGACCTGCTGCTCTGTACGTAGCACGTACGTCGTATGCCAGATTGACGGCTTTGCCAAGTTCCGCATCAGACGCTGTGCAGGTGATGTGTCGACTAGCTATTCCGGGCATGTCCTCTGCGAAACGATGCGAAACCGCGCGAAACGATGCGGAAGTCTGCGAGCACTCCGTCCTCGTACTCCTTTTCCAGACGAAATGACCGACACCTTCACGGCCACGCCCTCGCGCCTCTCCTTCCTCTTGTCCGAGCAGGCAGGCAGGCAGAAATTGTGACCTGTCGATGTTGACCAGTCCGGCTGGCAGACGGCCAATGGCAACGGACGAGCAGCGACACGGCGTGCGGAAGCCGTCCCCCGACATCAGCAGGCACGAACATCTCACCGCATGCGTATGTACAGAGCACTAGGGGAATCCCATGGAGGTCGGCATCTGGAAACCGCAATCGAGACCGCGACACGAGCGGCAGTCCTTCCGGTTCTTGGCCACCCTTTCCTCGTTTCTGCAGCTCGCAGGACGGAATCGTGGTTCGGCTCCACTTGGCCACTACTATGTACGGAGTACTCGCACCTGTACTCCGTACATAGTACAGCCTGAGGACAGGGGGGCCAAGAAGGGCCCACGGGCAATCTAGCCATGCCTCGTCCTCTGGACATGTTGGCCCGGAGAAACCCACTCCTGCCCCCTCTCTTGCAGAAGGAAAAAAGGAAGCCAGGCATGGGCCTCGGACTGGACAGCTTCTAGTATCAGCCGCCCGTGGCCGGAAGATGAGCTGCTCCCGCCATTGTCGTTTATATAAGGTGTTGGGTGAGCCATGGCTCCACTTCTGCAGTTGCAGCCTGCGTGTGTTCGTTTATGAAGGAGGGAAGAAAAGAAAGAGCAAGAGCCAAAGCCACCAGATTTGCACCCCGCCCTGCATCTCACGGCAAGCCAGATGTACCATGGTATGCTCTCGTAGGAAGGGTATGATTGATCTTGTCGCATCAAGAGGGTGGCGCTGCGCGCTGCTATTCGCTCCCTCCGTGCTTCGGCGTAGTGGAGGGCGAGAGATTAGCGGATCGTACAGGCAGGCGGTAGCTGCTAGCTGGGGACCGTTCTGCAGCACGCGATTGGGTCCAGCTGAACGTCTCCTCCTCATCCTGGCCAGCCTCAGCAGGATCAGCAAACAGCAGCAGCCTATCGCAGCGACTGACCTAGCTTCTAGCTGGCCTACTATGTAACTCACCTAATTCACGTAGTCGTAAGTCCTCCAACAGACCCAACCGACCTGGGCTGCCAGGATCACAGCTGGTTGTGACAGCTCGCCATCTTACCAGACTCCGTACTCGTACAAAGTACGGGTTTCTCGTATCTTACGAGTAAGATACAATGCGGTAGGGACAGCCGCCCCTCGCGCTCTGACCGGTCTGCTTCGTGCACGCAGAGATAGCCACACCGGTCGCAGCGAAAACCTGGCGGCCGGACGGACGAGAGACGGATGAGCGACAGACAGGGGGTCCAGACACCAGGGCAGCGACACGAGGGAAAAGCGGAATAGGCGGAAAGGCGGAGCCACGGGAGGTTCCCGACGATTTGACGTTGTCCCGTAGTATGGTGTACGAGTATGCGCATGCATCGCCATCACGGACGAGCAGCAGGCAGAAACCGAAAATAGGTCACTTGGGTGGCTGCTTCCTTCCGGGGTCGATCGCACTTTCCTCCGACACCTGTCGCTCGCGGTCTTGCGGTTTCTTTGCAGATTGGCAGCTTCGCCCATGTTTCTTCTATTTTCATTCCTTCTTCTGCCTACTTCATCTGGTTCTCCTTTCTTTCACGGATTCCTCCGTACTTCTTTCTTCTTTTTCCTCGCCCTCTACGGAGTCTCTCTCCACACTACTCTCACACCACCCCTAGCTGACCCTTCCCCCCCAGTAAACCCCCCCAGCCAAGAAGTCCTCCCCTCCTCGGCCCCATCACCTTCGCGTCTGTCACCTTTCTCACAGCCCTTCTCTCGCCACTTGAGCCGTTTGCTCGTCCGTTTGCCACACCTAACCAGGAGCAAATGTAAAATAGGGGGACACACACACACACACACACACACACCATAAGGCTCCAGGCCGGCCAGCTCGTCACAACAGCCGTTGGTGGACGGACGGGCCATTGGGGATGCCTTCCGGTTCTGTCTCGGCCGGCCAGGACGGCAGCGCCGTTTGGCCCGGCAAGGAACATGTCCAAGGCACAGCTCTCGCCCACCAAAGCACTACATAGTACGGAGTATAGTCCACAGCACGCCTCGACCTGATATCGGTCCAGCCATTGGACGGCAAACGACATGCACAGAAGTGGATCTGCCAGGCCGATTCCATTGCTATGGATTCGGTGATGCAGTCCTTGTAGCGCATCATGTTAGCAGTACAGGGGTCTGCTAGGGCCCATACGCAATGTGGAACTGAGAGGTGGAAAAACGTGTCAGTGCCAGCAGCCCATGTGGACCCCCCTCCTTCTCTCTCCCCTCCCTGTTTGTACGAGTACGTACGTACTCTCTCTGTACATACGAGCACTCGTACTTAGCATGGAGTACTCCGTACACATACGATATTCCCACCTTGCTTTGCGCCTGTCCACTTTTTACTGCTCTCTATTGCGCTTGAAATCATACCCCCCCCCCCTCTCTCGTATCTCGTGCGGGACTCTTTTTACTCTTTTTACTCTTTTTCCTTATGTCGTCCACGCGGGACTTCAGCTGCCAATACCGGCCTGCCGGCAGTGTTGATATGGTGAGCTGACCGAGCTGGCTGGCTTCTTTAGCCTGGCCAGGCGCTCTTACAAGGAACATCCTCATTTATCTGAAATTCGCACCATCTCCCCCCCCCCCCCCCCTAGCGTCGACGGGAATGGGGAGAACAGCCGGACAGTCATGCAGCACAGCGTCGTCTTCAAACGCCGCAGCCGCTGCCGCTGCCAGATCCGCCCTCATCCTTGCGAGACGTGGACACCTGCCCGGGCTGCTGCTCTGGAAAAGTCTCGCGCAGCCCAGCTCTGCTGCCATGACGTGCTAACCGCGGCTATGGGTTCACCTGGTGGAGAGGCCACCTGGCCGCGGCGATGAACCCAATCACCGTAGCTTCTCTCACCATTTGTGCACCGGCAATCTCCTTTTCGTCGTCATGGTCTTTTCTGCTCGCCCCCTGTCATTCGCTTCGGCCCACTGCTCCAGCAAATGGCCTCACACTCTATCCGTCGTTCCCTTCACCTTCACCGTCACCGTCTCTCAGCTGCGAGGACGGACGGCTCGCAGTGGCGCTAGCTGTCCTCAACTCTGACTTGCATGCAGCTGCTGCATTCCAGTGGTCCCGAGCAGTCATGTCGCTTCCCAGCCCCCGGTCCCGGCTGGTCCCAGCAGGGTGTTCTGCATGTTCGTTCCCACCACACAACTCCCAGTCAGCCCCCGGCTCGCCTCCGCTTGCTCAACTAGTGGAATCTAGCGCCAGGGTGCTTAGCGGACTGCCGTCTCTTACTCGCTGCCTATTTCTATAGCTTGCCAACCCTCCCACTCCAGCTAAAAGTACGAGTACGGAGTACCTCGGACCACACTATGCCGCTTTCCGACTTTACGCCCTAGGCCGTCCAGTCTAGGGGAACCATGCCGTCCCCGCATGCTGCGAGCCATGAGAAGCCAGGGCACTGTCTACTATCTTACATAGCACGTATGGAGTGCCTCACCTCTCCGGGCTCCCATGGCGTTCGTTAGTGCCTGGTTTTGTCTCGGAACACTAGACCAGCCAGGAGCGATATCAGACACAGAGCGAAAAGAAAGCATCATGGACAAGGATGGGCGGGGCCGACGTTTTGCAGGCAAGAGGCTCCAACCTGCTGCTGCTAGAGTGTCCATTTTTTTCTCTTATTCCCTTTCTTATTTCTTATTCCGAGCAGACGTTTCCCACGCCCCCCCCCCCCCCTCCCCTTCTCTCCCCCTAACGCCCTCAAGCGTGGCTTCACGTCGGACCAGAGAGCACAGGGAACATGCCGTGTGCTCCGTACAAGCACGAGCAGAGTTGACGGGCGAACAAGTTGCGTGTACGCTGGGTTCGCGATATGCACGAATAGTTGTGGGGCCAGCTCTGAGCAACGCCGTGGCAAGTCGTCCGTTTCCCATCCATATGCGCAGCTTGTCTCTTGTCGTTTTTGTGTCTCGCCAACGTCTATAAACATCTCTCCTCACACAAACAAACTGCTCCCATCCCACACCCTTACACACACCTCCTGTCTCCCATCATTCCATATACCCCCAAATTACACGCTCGACATCCCCCACTGCTTGCAAACCGCCTCTGTCAGCACGAAGTACGGACCAGTCGACCTTGTAATAAAAACCTTGGATCTGGGAGCCAGATCATCGTTCCGCTCCGTCTGCGACTCTCCATTACGTCCCCTCTTCTCTTACCTTCCGTGCCTATCGTTTCCTTTTTCGGCCAGGGAGCTTTGTTCTTCTTGATCTCTGCGTTCTGTCTATAGTAGCCATTTCTCTGCACAATTTCCGTCTTGCTTGTTCGTCCTCCGCCTCTTCTCATATTCTGGGACCTCCCGTCTGGTTCACCTGTTTGTCTGCCTCGAGCTGTCATTTGTTTGGCTGGCTGTTCTTGCCGTCTCGGATCATTTGAACCCTTGTACACTCTCACCCATCGCTTTTTTATTACGTCCACATTCACGCACGCTCCCGTCCGTCTCTTGTCTCGCCGTCCTCGTCTGCTCCCACGCAATGGACACCCACTCGCTCCTTGTATTGGGTCATGGATTCCCGAGTATAAAGCCAGAAGCTGTCGCCTGCTGCTCTCCCATCTACGACATCAGATCACAGAGCCAGCTTTCGCACAAACTTCCTCTTGACCCATATGCTACTCCATACCGGCAACATCGGCAACACGAGCACTCTCACCAGCTATTAGCAATTTGTCTTGGAGATATATCCCCTTGCCTTCACAACACTCAGATCTCTCGCCTTAACCTCAAGTGCTTGCAGCAACAGAGACATCCTCGGCATCGCCAATCAAGACCAACAGCAACATCCGACTGCACTGGTATTTTGGCACTGCCCCCAACAAGCATCTCACTCCGAGCAACTCGCCTAGCAGAAGACCATTGCTGTCTCCCCCCTAGCATCATGGACCGCACACAGATCGCACACCTGGATGATGAGAGCTTTTATTCGGTTGAGGATACCTTGCCCGATCCATTCTCGGCCATGCATCCAAACCCTCGCTTCCACATCCCGGCGAACGGGGATGAAGGCATTCGCAGTGTACCTGTAAGTTCTTCTTGGGGGATGGGGCTCTACATTTGTTGAAAGAGCTCTCGAGACTGACACCTAATGCAGCTTCCCGGTGTGCGTTGTCCAAAGTGTGCCAAGGATGGCAAGGAGGTCTGGGTGATACCTGGCCGTGCCTGTGGCTACTGTGGCACAGCTTGTGTGTAACAGAGCGAACACAGCGCAGCCAGGCTCTATTTTTATTTGAACAACGGTTCTGCTTGCCCGTTTTCTGTTATTCTCTATTACAACAAAAAAGCGCTGGGTAAAAGACTGATGAGCGTGTAATCCGATTGGGCAGGACGCAAGTCCGATGGAAGAGAGAGAATCGACCGACGGCTTACTCAAGGGAACGACAGACTCTCTATGAAGTTTCGCTGTAATTTCTAATATTCTTCTTGTCTTTGTTTGCTCCCGTTGCCTTTTTTTCTCTCCTACTTTACAATAGGCATGTCAGTGTGGAATCGTGGATAAGGCGATCGGATGGGTGGACAAAAGGCACGTTTCGGCGCAACATCCATTTCTGTTTTCTTGTTTCCCTTGGCTCGACTCTTGTGTTATTGCAACGATATAATATGGCAAAGCCAACGGAGTGCTGGAACTAGAGGACACAGGGTGTTTGGAAGAATACATTTGCTGTATGGAAACGAGGCAAAATCCATGAAGAGTTAAGAGCAAGTGCACCCATCGAATTGTTTGCATGACTTTCACCCTCCCGCAAACGATAGTGGCGACGAAGCAGTACGACAACACTGGGCCGTGGAGTGAACCAGGCAATCCGTGCACCCTGGTGGCAAAGCGTAAGTCTCCAACCCTACACTTTTGGCGGTTAATTCCCAGCACTGATTGGACGTCGTCGCTGCAGGTTGTCGTACAAGATGGACAGAGTGTGACATAATTCAGCGGAGGAGAGGTCCCTCTGCCTACAGCGTGTGGCCTGCTGTATTTTGCAGGGCAAATTGGAAATGGATCGGTTTCCCATCTCAATATCGGACGGGCGATCTGCATCGTAAACGAGAATCGGGCGAGAAACAAGGACGAATGGAAGCGGTGCATTAGGCGAGAAGCCTGTATGTGGCGGGCGGATCGCTTTGAATCGCTCTGTCGGGTGCTATCAGGTCTGCTCTGACCTGGCGATCGGCTGTCTGTTGCTGCTCTTGGACGCCAGCTGCGAGAAGCCGGGATCCAGGCGCCGGGAGGCACAGCCGTCTGCTTCCGGAGCCAAGACGGCGAGAGATGTGGCAGCCAGAGAGGTGGGATCTTGTCTGGATGCATTGGGCCGTTATCCTCTTGTCCTACACGACACAATCCGTCAGGCTCGCACATGCTGACGACGACAAACGACGATGACGACGATGGTGCATTCGCACCTGTCGGAGCAGAAACGATGCGGTGCCTCTCAGACGGCCAAAGATCATGCAAGTCGCATTGTAGAGCTGACGTCTCAACGGTGTGAGGGTGCTACAGGCTGGGCCACGGCAAGATAAAAGCTCCGAACGAGGCGGCACGACATTGCATGTGGGCTAGGCACCTGAGCTGTGCGTAGCCGTCTGCTGTCACTCCTTTAGAGTTGTGCTTTGCCGCTCGCATGCGCCTAGTGCCCGCCATCTCCGTTGTCGGAGGCTCACGGGACGGCGGATGGGATGGCCGTCCGTCTCGCTGTGTCTGGAGTACAGGTGGGACGAGGCCGTGACAGGCCGGCTCAGACACCCTTGCAATGCTACGGCCGCTGTTGTGTCCTGGCTGATCCAAAGGACTTGTTACCGTTCCACGAGACAGGGCTTCGTGCATGTTGACTGTCTGCCAGAGTAAGCTGGCCCGTGAAAGGGTCCGACGATGATAATGCGGCTCAAAGTAAACATCACGTGCATCTTACAAATCATCACATCACATGACTTGGCAGACCATCTACGATGCACACGTGGTAGAAGAGATTTATACGCAAGTATATACAACAGGCGTGAGCGAGGCCAGCCGGACAGACCAAGAGCCGGCTACGACTCCGCTGGAGCCAGCTCACCGGTGATGCAGACACCGCTGTCGACATCAGCAGCACGGGAGCGCTCGTGTTCCTCGAGAGGCAGCGGGGGTACGTCGCTGCCGAGAAGGTAGCGGCGGTGCCAGGGGCCGACGAAAAGGCCATCGGGATCAGCCTGCTGGCGGACGGCGAGGAAGCGCTGCAGGTCGGAGCCGTAGGCGGCGGCGATATCGGCGTGTTTGGCACCAAAATTCTTTGCCCAATGGGGACGGCCGCCAAGATCGCGCATGAGCCACTCAAAGGCCTCGTAGTAACGGTCGGTGCCTGGAGGGTCGGCAAAGTAGGGGCGGTACATGATGGCGTTGAGGTAGAGGGTTGGGCCGTCACGGACAGTGGGATCGAGCAGGGGACGGCAGTCGAGCTGGTCGTCGGGCTGGTGGCGAGCTGCAAAAGAGCCAGGAGCAGTATCGGTGACGCGGACCTCGACGGGGGCGTGGACGTAGAGGCCGTCGGCCGAGAAAGGAATGCGGTGATCGACGTAGGCGGGATCTCCAGGCTGCAGACGGTTGAGCCAGGCGCCGAGACGGGCGAGAGCCTCGGGGCCACGAGCCAGCGGAATGGCCCATTCGTTGACGTACTGCGAGTAGAGGCAGTTCATCAGCAGGGCGTGGTCGCCGGGCTGCAAGCCGGAGGTGGTGGTGCCGGCGCGGAAGCCATATTGCATGCCGAAGACGAACCACTCGACCCATGGCAGAATGCGGGGGATGAAGCGGGCGAGGTAGAGCAGGTTGTGGTAGACGAGGTAGCCGAGCCGGCTGTCGTAGTAGCTGACGGCCGGCACGTGATCAGGCTCGGAGGAGGCGATGTTGGCGTCGTCGGCAGCCCACACGACCGCACGGCGGGTGTAGGGGAACCACCAGACGCGGACAAAGTGAGCCTGGGTCCAGAGGAGGGAGTTGCGGGAGGAGGACGTATTGATTGTGGTAGGGTCGGTAGATTCGGAGGATTCGGAGGAGTCGGAGGATTCGGAGGAGTCGGAGGATTCGGAAGATTGTGGCTCCGACTTTGACTTCCCAGCAACGGAACGCCAAGCCGCAAAGACAGCCTCGTCCGAGTCGACCGTCTGGGACCAGCGCAGCCGGAAGGCCGGTACGACGCGCAGGGTGATTTCGACGACGATACCGAGCGCGCCCAGCGAGATGAGCGCAGCCCGGAAGAGGTCACCGCCGGCCGGCCGCGTCAGGGCCACGGTGCGACCATCACCGAGCGTGATTCGCAGCGCCGCCACGTCGTCCGACAGCAGGCCGTGCTGCAGGCTGCTGCCATGGGTGCCCGTGGCCAGCGCGCCGGCCAGCGACTGCGCATTGATGCTGCCGAGGTTGGGCAGCGCGAGGCCGTGGCCGGCGAGAGCGGCGCTGAGGTCGCGCAGACGGATGCCGGCCTGAACGGTGACGAGAGGTCTGAAGGCAGAAGAGCCGGAAGAAGTCAAAGTCTCATCCGGTGCTTCAATCGACAAGACCCGGTTCAGGCGGTCCAGGTTGACCAGCCAGCTGCTCGTGCACGTCATGTCCGACGGCGAGTGTCCGCAGCCGGTCGTCGTCACGCGCCGACGCCGGTGTCGCGCCAGCCGCACCACCTGTTCCACCTCGGCCACCGTGGCCGGCTGCACGAACAGCTCCGGCCGTGATCCAAACGTCCGCGCCCACGTCGCGTGCACGTAGCCGCGCTGCGCATGGAACGGCCCCGTTCCGTCCGCCAAGTCCACCCCATCGTAGGCTGCCGGGTCAAACGCTGCCATGTCTGCCGCGGCCATGGCGGCTGTGGTGGTGGCGATGGTGGCAGTCGTGTTGACGATACTCTGCTTGTGCTGGGAAATGGTGAAAAACAGCTGCTGATGCACTGTCTGGCACGGCCACGGCTGCACACCCCGGAACACAAAAACAGTTGGCGAAGAACAACCACCGCACGAGATGCGCAAACTATGCAGGAGACCAAAACCGCGCAGAACGGCTAGGCCATATCGCATCGGCCTCGAAGCTTTCCTTCACGTCGTCCGCACGGAGGGGTCCTAATAATGGTGGGGCCAGATCCACCAAGCCGGCTTGACAGTCTGCTACGGCCCGGATAAATGTTTATACGACTGCCAATGTTTTTGTGGGGTCAGAAAAAAGGCCCTTAAAAAGATTAGCTTAGAGAGAGCTTCATCCTCTTCTTTTTTTTCTTCTTTCTTCTTATTGCAAGTACTGCTCTCTAGATGGGGGTACTCTCCGACTCCAAGTGGCGTCCGTAATACGGTCAGCTGGGCTGCTACAGGTAAGATAGATCGATTGCATCTATTTGCTTCCTCACCTCCCAAAGGACTTTTTGATGAGAAAAATTTGCGATTGATGGCAAGTTGGTGACCGCAACGCCTAGCTGGTTATACCGCTTGCTCACCTGAAATTTATTTCTTACATATTCTGAACATGTCCTTTGGGAGAATTCTGTGCAGAAAGTTTTCGCAATGCTGTCTCTTTGGCACAGAAGCTGACATCTCACAGGTCACAAAGATAGACGAGCCGCTATATCTGCATGAAAATAAAAACTTCCACTACATGATCAATTGTCCACCGTAATCTATGCTTCTGTGCTCGCTGCAAAAACGCTGTAAAGGCTGCCTGCCGTCTGCAGACTCGGTGACACGACCGCGAAAACCCACTAACGAGTCACGCGCCGATTCGGTCATATGTAGTCGCGTCTCCCACTGCTCAAAGGTTCTCAAGTGAGAAGGAGCTTCCTCTGCTAGACGGGTGTTTGACCCCTCGTGCGGTCGTCGCTTCTTCTTCTAGTCCGCACGCAGTCCTACGCGTTCTGCCATCCGATCGCGAGCTGTAAGCTCTTAAAAGTCGCGCCTCTCATGCATTTGTCCCAACTTTCCTCACTCCTGGCTTATATCGACAGTTCCATGAACGTAGGCCCTTTGCTTCACTGCCCAACATGTTTTACAGCACTGAAAGTATGTCGTGTCCACACAGGCCTGAATATTGGCTGCGATTACCTGCTGACAGCGATCTGCACAGTTCTCTCAAACAAGGGCTCTGCTTTGTCCACAGTTTGGTAAGCCTGAATTACGTCTGCTCCTGGCAACACCGTGTTACCGCTGCAAACTGACTCGGCCTAGGCGGGCTGGCAACACTGCTCCTGGCGCCTCAAACACCGGCATTCGGCGCAAGGCCGTTCTCGAAGTCGACATTGAGCAGGCCTGCGGCACCATCATAGAGCCACCGGGCGCCCCGATCGCCTTGCGTCTGCAGGGAACGCTCTTATACGGCACTGCTCGCATCTACCAGGAAAAGTGCCGCTATGTCCTCACTAACAGTGAGCGAATCCAGCGAGCCATGGTCAAGCTCTGCAACAGCTACCTCGATAGCAAAATCGACAAAAACGCAGGCAGAGCCAAGTGCGTACCTTTTCCCCATGCTCTCTTGTCTCTCTCTACCTCTCTCGGCTGACTGGTCACAAGGGGCGTTCAGATCGCTCTCCCGGATGATCCCAGCTTCGACTTGGATTTTCTGCAGCTGCCGTCGTTTGATTTCAACGCAGCCGAGGGCGTCTCCTTTGTCTCCCAGTCGCGCCAGGATTCCTGGACAAACATGTCGATCCTGTCTCGCCAGTCCAACCATTCTCTGCTGCCCCAGATTGTCCTCGACGCCGACTCATCTGGCCCTCACTCGTACGCCGGCGATTTTCAACACCCTGCCTCAGGAGCCTCTAACATGCAGGACTCCCCTACGCCTTTTGGCCGACAGCTTGGTGCTCCAGAGGAGGAGGACACTCTTCTGGCCGATGTAGGCCTGTTCATTGATGAAAATGGAAACATTGTCGAAGAAGAGCTGCGCTCTGAGCCCCAGCTGCCAGCCTTCCCACCGTCTATGTTTGACGCAGGCTCAGATGTCGCTGCCAAGGCGAATGCAGCTGATGAGCTGATGGTAATGGATGACGACGGACAGATTGTCCCTCCAACCCAGCTGCCTATCAATGGCCCAGCTGCCGCCGTCACGGCCCCGAAAGCCGTCTGGTCCTCACAGACATCCTCATCCTCTCAGACGTCCTCTCAGACGTCCTCCTCTCCAAGCACTGTGCAATCCAAGCAAGCACATGCCAGGATCCAGCGGGTGCCCAACTATGTCGATGAGATCACACAGATCCCACACGAAGAATATTACAGCTGCGTGAGAAACTATGCCGACAATATGCGGCGAGCGGCAGATCGTAGAGACCATGCCCGTGCCATTCGACGTGCCAACGATGTTGCCAAGAACAGAAAGACTGCGTACGACTACAGTCTCGGCCGCGGACTCTTCAGCATTGCGGGCGATGTCAATCGGTACTGCCCCGACCACCCCCTGGCACAGATGTTCTCAGGCGACGCTCTCGAGCAGGCACTTTACGGCGACGCACTGCACCAAGCCAAGCGGCGAATCGTTGCTACAGATGAGCCGAGCACACCCGCCAGACGTGGTGCCGGGGCTGGTTTTGCTGTTCCGGGCAGCGAGGACCAAGACATCGAACTTGGTCGACAGCCGGCTTCAGCACTGTCCGACAACCCTTCGCTGCAGCTGAACCGGCAATCGTCTCTTGTTCTAGGCTCGTCAGCTCAAGGAAGTGCGCAGCGCAGCGCAGGATTGAGCCGTCCACTTCCCAGCAGCGGGCAGCGCAGCGCAGAGCGCGCTCTCGACCCCAGCTTCATTGATCGGTACAGCGATGATGGCCTTGACTTGTCAGTGCAGCTGCATAGCAATTCCGTTGACGGCTTCCTGCCCCCGGGCAGCTCGCCGCCTCGACCCGACATCCAGGCAATCAGTGCAGCGATTGGAGAAGAGAAGCAGAGCACCTCTGAATTTCTTGGGCTTGTCCAGACGAAAGCCACTGCGGAGGGTGTTGTGAGACCCGGCCGCCCAACCCATCTCTGGGTGGCGTTTGACGATATCGTAGCGCCGTTCAAGGGAAGCACACCGGCTGTGGTTGGCGCCTTTATGAGCCTGTTGTCGTTGGCAAGCTCCCGGCAGCTGCGTATCCATCAGGACCGCGAGAACGACGATCGGATCGACAGAAGCATATTCATCGGCTTGAAAGCCTCAGAGAAGCAAAAGCCGAGGAAGCGGCGTTTCCAAGAGATGAGCGACGCTGGTGTGGCCAGCCAGGAAGACCTCATGAGTGGACATGTCTTCCCGAGCGCGGTCGAGGCGGAAAATCTAGACTACAGGGACGGAAGCGATATGCAGGATGCAGAGGCAGGGGCCGTCGAAGCCGCTTGATATCAGAGGGTGATCTGTCATGGGTTATGGGTTATGGGACATGGGGAACATGGAAAGGTTGCGAATCGAAGGCGATTGTTGACGTATCTGATGGGATATAATGGAGCATGAAGGGATGGGGTATCTGATATTTAAAAGGGACAAAAGCACAAGGAGTTGCAGACAGACAGTCAAGTCACACATGAGGAGATGAGGGAAAGAGGAATCGTATGAATAGAAGACTAAGGCATTAAGTTGGAGGGGCGAAACACGAGAGCCTGCAGTCGCCAGTTCTCAGTCGTTACTCAGCAGCCGTTCGACCGCCCACTTGACCGAGAAATTGCGTAGGTCCGAGTAGTGCTGGCCGACGCCGACAAAGAGGATGGGAACGTTGGTGGCGTGGACGAGGCTGACGAGAGTGCCGACCATGCCGCCGACGGTGTCGCACTTGGAGATGATGAAGCCGTCTAGCGAACGGTTGGAGCCAAAAGCCGAGTTAAAGCTGCGGGCCTGAGCAACGGAATCGGTTCCGACGAGAGCCTCGCCGACCATGAGGATCTTGTCGGGATGGGCGAACTTGGCAAACTTCTCGAGCGACGACATGAGGCGCTGGTCGTTGTGGCGACGGCCGGCCGTGTCGATCAGCACGACGTCGAAGCCCTTCTGGGCGGCAAAGGCGACGGCATCCTTAGCCACGGCTGCCGCGTCCTTACCGTAACCGCGCTGGTAGAGCTCGACGGCGGAGCCGTTTTGATCACGTGAGGTCAGCTCTTGGAGGTTGCGCACGTGCACAGCCAGTTGCTCGACAGCGCCGGACCGGAACGTGTCGCCGGCTGCGATCAGCACGCGGTAGCGGTTCTGCAGTAGGAAGAAGCAGATCTTGGATAGGTTCGTCGACTTGCCCACGCCGTTGACGCCCACGATCGAGATCACGTAAGGCCGTGGCTTGCGCAGCGAGGTGACTGGTGGTGCTGTCACGGCATCGATTTCGCGCAGCAGGTCCAGCGACGATGTCGGGGTCAGCATTTTTGTCAGGGCTGCTTCAAGGGCCGTCTTGACGCGGGCATTTGTACCTGTGATGTTAGCAGGGAAGGAAGGAGGAAGAAAGAAGCAAAAAAAGGGGGAAAAGAAGACGACATAAGAATTATGAAAGAAACGACAACAAACTCACTTTCGAAATTGCCCGTCTTCACGCCGACCAGATCGGCCTCGACGCTCTCGCACAGCCGCACAGCCGCCTCGCGCGCCACATTCTTCCGCAGCAGATGGTCCTCCATGCCCTTCATGGCCTTGTCGAGGTCCTCCCGCGTCAGCGTCTTGCCGCCGACCACGTTGCGGAACAGGCCGCCTATCGTACTCAGCCCCGACCCCAACAGACCGCCGGCACCCGAGGTCGAGGCCGCAGCCTCAGCTTTGGCCTGCGACGCCGCCTTCTTGCTGGCCGCCGCATCCGCCAGGATCGAGTGTACCTCGCTGTCCAGGTCCTTGAGCACGAACTGTCCTTTGGACGTCTTGGACCCCCATGTGGCTGCGTCCACCTGCTCGAGCGCGGACGACCGCACAGCTGTCGTCTTGTCTGCCGCATCCAGCGTCGAATAGTCCAGCTGAATGTCGTCCTCCTCGTCTGCCATGCCGTCGGCCCCCCACTTGCGTCCCTTCTTGGCCGTCTTGGCCGTCTTGTCTTTCTGCTGCTTGCGCACTGCCTCGTCGCTCGAGTAGGATGTACCGGCAGCGGCCACGTGATGCGCCTTGCGCGCCCGCCTGGACACCTTGGCCAGCGGGCTCGGCTGTGCTGATGTTGTCGTGCCGCTACTGCCGCCGGCAAAGCGAGGCGCTGCATCTGTGCTGCCGCTGCCGCTGCCGCCGGGCGTCGACGGCCTCGAGGTGACCGGCGTGTCGATGGGCGTGGACCCGGCCGAGTTATCGTCGGTCAGCACTCCCTTGGGTCGAGCTGCATCGGTCTTGAGCGGTCGTGTGTCCGTTGACGCAGGCCCGCCTTCGAGCTCGTTCATCTGCTGATCAAAGTAGTTATCGAAGCGCGCGCACTCGACGATGGTTGTGTGGGGCCGCGTGAGCTGTTCGCCGTACAGGCTGGCAAAGATGGTCTTGATGTTCTCGACCAGCTTGTCGATCCACGACAGGTGGAGGAGCGACTTGTAGACAGCCACAAAGATGATGCCCAGGTCCTTCACAAAGGCCCACTTGACCGCGTACTGGTCGGCCAGGTATGGTGCATGGCTGCTGCCCGAGGCGATCTCCTCTTTCGTGACAGCCCCAGAGGCATTCTCTTCGATGAACACGTCGGTGATAAACTTGTTGACTATCGCAGGACTGACAAAGGCGTAGTTGCGCGACCAGAGAACCACGCCCGAGGTGGTGACGATTTCAAAGCTGTCCAACATGGCTGTGGCGCATAACGAGGAACGAGATGAACGATTGGATATCAACGAAAAACTGGCCTTGTATGAACAGAAAGAAAGCAGGAGGTGGAACAGAAAGAACGAGGGGAAATTGGAAACCAAAAGCTGACGTGTCCGCGTGGGTGCAAGTCAGAAGCGAAGGTGCGATCGTGCACAGAGCGCCAATACAGAAAAATGGCCTCAAGAACGGCCGATAAGGACAGATAAGATCGCGAGATAAGATATGCCAGATGCGCGATAAGCCTTGGCCCTGGACCGGAAAAGCAATAGTGCGAGATGAGTAATCGCTCTCTGGAACCCGCTGGCGAAAGCTGGCGCTGTGGCAGAAGACGACAACAGCTCCCAAGCTAAAAACGACACCTTGCGACATCTGCTGCCTGCTCCGAGCGCCTCCTCGGCCGCCCCTCACGTCTGCCCGACACTCTGGGTCGTCTGCTCTGCTCTCACATATTGCTCTCTACACTCTGCACCTCGTCATCGACCGTCATCCCCCCCCCTTTTGCTACCATGCAGCGCTCCGTATACGGACAGTCGCCGCCGTTGCATCATCCGGTGCCGCAACATGTGTCGACGGTGCCGCAGCTGCGGTCGCCGCCTCTGCCGACCAGCTCCCAGCCTCAGCCTCAGACGTACGGCAGTCCATACCCACAACAGCAGCAGCAACAACAGCAAGGCGCAGGCGGACATATGGGTGGCAACATGTTTGGCCAATATGGACAGTTTATAAACGACCCGACAGCACAAGTGGCCGCACAGCTGTCACAGGCAGCCTTTCGCCAGAGCCAGGAATATATGGAGCAGAATGTGCGTCTCGGCCGCTCTCTCTCTCTCTCTCTCACTTCTTCCTCTGTTCCCTTTGAAGACTGACATGTATCCCCCCACCCTCAGATCAACCGCTACGTCAACGTCAACGTGCTCAAGCACTACTTCAACGTATCCAACTCGTACGTGATCAACAAGCTCTTCCTGGTGCTATTCCCGTGGCGTCACAAGCCGTGGTCGCGACGACAGACGGTCGGCCCGGCTGGCCAGGAGGGCTGGTACCTGCCGCCGCGTGACGACCTCAACAGCCCGGACATGTACATCCCCGTCATGTCGGTGGTGACGTACATCCTGCTGTCGACGCTGCTGGCCGGCCTGCGCGGTCAGTTCGAGCCCGAGCTGCTCGGCTACACCGCGTCCAAGGCCATGGCCGTCACCGGTGTCGAGATCCTCGGCCTCAAGCTGGGCTGCTACCTGCTCAGCATCTCCAATACGTCGCAGCTGCTGGACCTGGTCGCCTACTCGGGCTACAAGTTTGTCGGCGTCATCGCCACCATCGCCGTCGCCGAGATGGCCAACGGCGGCCGTGGCACCGGCGGATGGATAGGCTGGTCCGTCTTTTTCTACACCTTTCTCGCCAACTCGCTCTTCCTCATGCGCTCGCTCAAGTACGTTCTGCTGCCCGAGAGCGCCGCCGACGGCCGTGCCGCCATGCAGACCGACACCCGCGCCAAGCGCAACCAGCGCACCCAGTTCCTCTTCTTCTATTCGTACGGCGTCCAGCTCTTGTTGATGTGGATTCTCAGCCGCACATAAGGGTGGCTATCGAATACGTCACGTGAGCTGCGAGCTGTGTGAGCTTTGAGAGCCGTGCTCACACCTGTTCATGCTCACGCTCCTGGGATCGGATATCGGATAGAGCTTCGAATCGGGCATCCCACTGGGAATGCCAAGAAGGGGAAAGCAAACTATGCTGGCGCTTCTGTGAATTGCCGACGGCAGACCAAAAACGACCTTGTGCTTTCTTCTCGTGTACGATTTGTCTCCTTTGTTTTTCTTGTCGCGCCGCATGGCTGTTTTCCCCGTGTATGTCGTGTAATATAAGCATCTGGCGCATATGTCTGTTCGGGCAGAATACAACGAAAGAATTGACAGAATAGACCGACTGGAAGTCAGCTGGCTGGACCAGCAGAAAATCGTTTCGTATCGTGGTAGCAGCTTCTGACTTGTCCTATTCAGCAGGAGATTGCCAAATGGTCCCGCGTTCCCGGTCGACAAAGATCACGTTGCATGCAAGATACACCCGTTCCACGTTCTCTGGAGACGGCCGCGTTTCGGCTGCAACCCCACGCATTATGTAAGCACCGCTTTCTTTCGAACCCCCGACCTCGCCCGTGTCCCCGTCTTGTATATACTTATATAACGGCCTGCTGCCAGCTTCCCGTAGCTGCATTCCTCCTCCTCACTCTTCCCCTCCCCCAAACAGACCTGAGCAAGACTCGCACGCAGCCGAGCAAGCGGCACGTCCCGACTAGAAGAAGCAATCCACCCCCCACCACTTTGTCGGCCATGTCTTCTCCCATCGTCACCACCACCACACAGGCTGCCGTCTTCAGCATCGTGTCGAGCGTGTTGGCCCAAGGCATCACGGCCTACCAGTCCAATGTGGGTAGAGCAGGAAACAAGCAAGCGCACGGATGAGGGCAGCTACTTCACCACCTCTCAAGCCACTCTGCTCACCGTCAACACAGTCTTCCCTATCGCTCGATTGGCATCCCGTCTTCCAGTTTTTCATCTTTGCTATCATTTCCACCCCGCCAAACGTCCTGTGGTAAGTAGGCAGCCCCGTCGTCTGAGCCGCCGCCGCCCTAACGAGCAATAAGGCAAATCTTCCTCGAGTCTTCCTTTCCCGGATACTTTCAAAAAGAGACGCAGAAACAAAAAGAGGACACCGAAAGCACACAAAGCAAGGCGGCCCTGCCAGAGCGCCTCAACTGGCGCAATACCCTCACCAAGACACTGCTAGACCAGTCCGTCGGGGCCTGTGCCAACACCTTCTTGCTGTGCGCCTTTATCGCTACCTGGGAGCAGGGACTGCAGTCAGCTACCACATCCATTGCCGCCGTCGTCAGTCGAACACGTGCCGACTTTTGGCCCCTCGTCTTTGCCGGCTGGCGCTTTTGGCCGTGGGTCAGCATCAGCAGCTTCGCACTGGTCCCTGACGTCGCGACACGGAACCTCATCGGTGGCCTGGCTGGCATTGTCTGGGGTATTTACCTCAGCCTGGCAACCGGTCCCTCGGTCAAGGTGGCGACTGAGTAATTGGAGGAGACATTCACCTCCCAACGATAAGAGACGGGAGCACCAAGCAGTCCGGGGGTCACGTGATCGCAAAATCATAGAACGCATATATATGTACTCCTTCCCGTAGCATGGCTGCACGCCCAAATCCACCACCTGCTTTCGCCTGAGCTGCTAACAGCGTCGTGAATAATTAGCAGAACCCCCAAATACCTCCCAAAAATACCAGTTATACGACAGAATATGTGCCATGATGCATGTGCTCTGAGAAGCAAAAAATAACAGACGGAAGAAGACATGACCATGCTCAAGTCGCTTAAACATATTCTTTCCATACCCACAAGCAACGGCCTTGGTCAATGGCTCCCGTATCCTTGATGCCTTTACCCTCATTATGCAACATATAAAACGTGTTTCTGCGTTGTATGACGATGCCCTGCCCACCTCATTAGTACTGTCATTCATTCGTCAAGGAGCCCCGTCTCAGAGAGAGGAGAGCCGTCATATTTGGCGATGTCTTCTCCTGCCTCGTACGTGTCAAGTCTCCTGTATTCATTTCAAAGCTCCTGTTCTTGGAGAGAAGCTTCCGCGTCCACCCCGACTTCCGCCGCTGCCACCGCTGCCTCGCCTTCTCTCTGCGCAAGCATATGCCTGTCCTTCTCCCATAGCATCCGTATGATGAGCTGAATGTGCTCGTAGAGCTGCTGCATCTGAAACGGCTTTATCACCACATCGTCACAGCCAGCCGCCCGGGCATCGGCAATCTGTCCCGGCCGCGCGTTCCCCGTGATCATCACCACCGGAATTCTCCCACCGGAGAACATGCCTGTCGCTTCGAGTGCGCGAATGTTCTGCGTGCACTCTAACCCACCCTGCACCGGCATCTCCATGTCCATGAGAACAACCGAGATCGGGAAGCTTCCTGGCACGCAACGGTCCGACTGCTGTATCTTTTCCATTGCCTCGAGTCCGTTGCCAGCTACCTGCACCGAAAACCCCCCCTTTTCGAAATAGCGGCGCGTCACTTTCTGATTGACCATGTTGTCTTCCACCAGCAGCACGCCTCGAACCTCGGGTGGCGTTTCAGATATGACTGCCAGCTGAGCATCACCAGAAATAATGGACGTCGCCTTGGTAGTAAGGGGTTCGTGCTGACCGTTGTTGTCTAGTATCGCTTTGTCCGGGGCGGCCTCGGTTGCCTCTCTCTGAGTTTCTGACGTCTTGGTGATGCTGTTTCTCGCTGATCTGGTCGTCCCTTTGGTAGCAGCCTCCGGAGACGCCTGGGACAAGCCCGGTGACAAGACGGCCGTACTCTCATCCGCGTTTCTTTCCCGCGGGGCGCTGAGGCCGACAGCCAGCGCCTTCTTGGCTGCCTCGGCCGGGGTCAGGACCTCTGGGACAACACCACGGGGCGAAATATAGGCTTCGATGTAAAACGTAAAAGTTGAACCCACACCCAGCTGGGAGGCAACTCCGATAGCCCCGTTTTGGAGCTCGGCTAGCCGCTTGCTGATGAAGAGTCCCAATCCAGATCCTCCGTGCTTGACGTGTGTGGTTGAGTTTACCTGAACGAACTTCTGGAAGAGAGTGTCCCGGCCCTCCTTAGTCAGGCCCTCGCCAGTGTCCTTCACCTCGAAGATCAGGAAGACCGAAGACCCCATTGGTCCAATTGAGCCGTCGGCCATCTTTGCCGTCCTTGGTTCGGTCCGTGGCACAAAAGGGTCACAGAGCAGGTCTCGTCGGTCGGCCGTGTGCGCGATGCGCCGACTGTGACGGTCACCTCACGGACATCGCCAGAGCATGTAAACTTGAGGGCGTTGGTCAAGAGGTTGATGAGAATCTGCTTCAGCCTCGACGGGTCCAGATCGAAATAGTCCACGACGAGGTCCTTGAACGAGCGGGCCAAGACCATGTTGAGCGAGATGCTCTGCTGGCGTGCTTGCACCTCGAACATCCACAAGGTAGAGCGCACAATCTCGATCGGATCAACCGTGACCGCAGTCACTGTCAGCAGATCCGAATCCAGCTTGGACATGGTCAAGATGTCGTCGACAATGGACTTCTGGTGCAGAGCAGATCCGACAATGATCTCGGTATAGTCGATGGCGTCGTCCACGAGAGCTTTCTGGAGCGTGACCGATTCGCTTTCGGCGGCCACCACCCGGGATCCAGCCATCGGTTCTCGGTCTTGTGCAGCAAGGTCGCAAATTCGTTTCAGAGACTCGAGAACGGCGTCGGCGCAGTGCATGATTACAGTGAGCGGATTGCGAATCTCGTGCGACGTCACATCGACAAAGTTCTCCTGCTGACGTCGGGACTCGATGGCCTCTTCTTTGACCTGGCGTTCACGCTCCAGCTGCCACTTGCGCAGAGAGACGTCAGTCGCGCAGCCGGTGATGGAGATCACATTGCCCTTGGCGTCCTTGATCGGCAGCATCGTCGCGTCGATCCAGCGCGGTGCCTCAATCCGGTTTCCAGCGCCGTCGTCAATGGTCCACGGCTTGCTGAGACGCACCTCCATCGACTGGTACTCCCCGCCAGCAACGATGGTGTTTATCGAAGTGTTGACGAGTGAGCGGTCCTCGTCAATAACACACCACAGCCACGGCTTGACTATCCCCATGGCCAGGTTGTCCCCCTCTTCTATATCCATGCCACACATCTCGATAAAAACGCGGTTCGCGTCACGCAGGCGCCCCTCTATGTCCATGTCATACAAGCCCACCGTGGCATATTCGGTCATGCACCGGAGGTTGTTAGCTTGCTGGGCATAGAGGTCGGCGGCGGCGGTGATGCTTCGGTACTCCTCTATAATTTCGCGCAGGCAGATGATGACGCGAACCAGGTTTCCTTCGGTATCCCTCTCTACGGTTGATGTGGCAAGGACCTGAGTACTTCCAGATGATTGGTCCGCCGATGTGATCGTTTCGTTGCCGTGTCTCTTCACGCGGAAGCCAAAGCTGATGCTTGGCACCCTAACAATCTGTTCGAAGGAGTGAAGGAGAGCCGGCTGGTACTCTTCTTCAATAAATTGGAAAAAGTGATCCCATTGGACGACCGTCCCTTCTGGCGTAGGCGGAGCACCCATAATCCGGTACCAAGATTGGTTCGCAAAGCACACGTTCTCTTCGGGGTCCAGGGCTAACAAGCCGATGGGCACGAGATCAGCGACCGCCTCCAAATGGTGGCTGTACTGGCGGTTTTTGCCTCTAGGCGGGCTTTCGTAACTGCCATCCTCCCGTCTACCGGTGCCTCCTGCTGCTGGTGCCATATTTGCCGAACCCGGAAACGGAGCTGCCGTCCAGTTTGGAGAGACCGTTGGCAAAGTTCCATACGTTAGGTGCGGGCTAGACTTGTAAGGGGAGAGATACGCAAGCGTGGGAGGCGCTGGTATGTATGGATGTAGATGTTTCCAATTCACATGTGGCGTTGCGGCTTGTGAGGCTGGTATGGCTGTAGCTTTTGTCGTCGTCGTTGTTGTCGTCGCACTCGTGGCAGCTGTTTCCGGTGGCACATACCGTACTGGAGATAAAGTTGGCAACCTTATGGCTGGCACTGGGGGATGCGCTGGCGGTTCTGTCCGCACTGCCGCCTCCACGGGCATAGGCACGTTTGCACTGAAAACAATGAAGAGACCTCCGCCTAGGACCAAGCGCGTCCAAAAAACACCAAGATGGTGAACGGCTGGCAGAGCACCACTGTGACCGTTGGCAGCATCTGCCGTGATGACAATCCAGTTACCGACACGGTGGCTTTCTCCAGGAGCTACAATCTCCCGCAGCAAAGGCGAGCTGTTCAACGCCGGGTTGCCGTAAACAATGTACGGCGCGAGAACGCCACTTGCGTTAGAGCTGCCGTCCGCTTCGGAAGGCGGATGTGCTGCATCGGTGGTATACGTGTCGGTCGCGGGTGATGCCAGAGATACGACGAATGAAGGGCGCGGATCGGCATCGAGCAGGTCGATAACGCTCGTGCCCATGAGTGAAAGCAGTGGCGAGCACAACGAACTGCCGGGTGTTGATAAAGAGTCGGAGAGAGCCGAGACGGCGGCTCTGTCGGGAGGGGCGGCCGAGCCAACATCTGCAGGTGGCGGCGTCTGGGGGTTTCGGCATATTGTCGGTGCTGTTGACTTTGGGGGTGTTTCCGGCACCGTTCGTGTCAATGTTATCGGCGAGCCGGTGCTGTCATCAAGACACGTGTCAAAGGGAGGAGAATCATTGGCGGGTGGTTCATCCACGGCCCGGTAAGGCTCGTAGAGCAGAGGCGGTGGTAGCGAGGACATGATGGCATTCCCGGATGGAGTATGGTAGCGAAGGAATTGTTCGTGAAGCTGGTTCAGGGCACTAGTCAGGTAAGAGATATCGGATCAAAGAAGAAAGCCAGATGAAAAGGCAGCAAGAACCAATGTCGCTAGCCACCGTCTGGCAGGTGGCGAGGCGCCTTGGCCTCTCGGACTGGAGAGGATTGAAGTAGGTCAAGATGAGTCAAGAGCCTGGCCGAATGCCAGGCCACCAGATAGGATTAGACGTGTCTGCACACGCGTGACGGCAGAACCTAGACCCATTCAAGGAGCTGCTCGAAGAGCCTTTTAGGCCGGGCTAACTGTCCCTGAACCCTCATGAGGGGGGGGGATGAACAAGAGCTTCCCCAAAGAGACAGCACGGCCTAGGCGTGATATGCGTGCTGATCGAGAAAAAACCTAGACCGAGCGGAAAGTCGAGGTGTCGATATCAATAAGCGGGCAGGATCATTGGCTGGACAAGAACAAGCACAAGGCGGACGAAGAAGGCAAGAACGAAGGGGGTATAGGGATGGGTGAACTGAGACTGCGGGCAAGAGCGACCGAAACGTCCGAAAGAAGATTGGGTGAAAGAGCGACCGAAGAAATGGTGGGGAGTGTATTAGAGAAAGTCCGAAGGCCAAAAGAGAGCGTGTGCGAAGAGCAGTGAGGAAAGGGAAAAATCAAGAAAATCAAGACTGGCGTATAAAAGATTGCAACCGCCGACGAGAGAGACAATGCGGCTACGGAGCGTACACCGGTCCCATCTCCGTCGCCTCTGGAAACAAGTGTGGGGGAAGGGGGAGAGGGGAGGGGGGGTCGTTCTCGTCGCTATTATTGATGAAATAAGAGAGTGACGAGCGGCGGTGGCCAGTAGAACGCTTCAAGGCGGGCAGTAATATCAATCTGGCACAGCAGAGATCGTCATGTACGGAAGACACGTGAAGGCTAATCCAGAGGCGTACCGCTGTAGTGGTAGCGCTTGCCGGTTGTTGGGCAGGTGGGTTGAAGCTGAGCTACCGAGATGGCAAAGCAAATGGTTCAGAGAGAGAAGCGAAATGGTGGGAAAAAACCCATTAATTAATTTTAAGAATAAAAATAGAAAATAGGAAAAGGAGAGGACGACGCTTATGGAGCCGGTGCAGTAATAACCAAACAGACGTGACGTACAGTGGGGACGGGTGTGGGGAGGAAGAAGGGAGTCCTAAATGACTTGCAATTAGAGTAGGCAGATTGAAGGCGGCTGCTGTGCAGGATAAGAGACGAAGGGAGAAGAGAATGATGCGATAGCGTCCCGAGGGTACGAGCACGCGGCACAGATAGGCCGCAAGGGGATCAAGGCAGCACACCGCAGATCGGCAGGTCAAGTCGGTGAAGACGAGGGTATCAGGATAGAAGCAGCAGAAAGCCAGGCTTTTAATTGCCCCTCACGCATTTGGTACATGTAGCCTGGCGACAGCAGGGCGATGGTTCCGGCCGGAGCCAGGAAGCTTCCGGCGGGAGGATACGAAGGCCGACTGGGCTGATGCAGAGACCCATTTGATCACAGGATCTGAAGATACAACGCTTACGGAGTACATACGTGCGGATAGCAAGCGACTATAAGAATAAGAATGAACGGGGCGGGATCCTGCATGGGGTCAAGTCTTCCCGTCGAAAAAGCGAGGCCAAGAGGCACAGTGTCACAAGCAAAAACAGCGTCTTCCCGTATCGCCTGTTGCTGCCATACGAGAGAGGCAGGCACCATAAATCACGCATGCCACAACGTCATTGCCTATCGAACCGGTGTGTACGGAGCATTATCCCACGCCAATTTGGGGGCTAAGAGGCAGCCGCAATTTCTTCGTCCTGTTTCGGCCACCACCCCACTGCAGAGGTCTCTCCTAAGCATGCTGCGACATTGGAAATCGCAATTTTGCCTGCTGGCCGACGGACGGAGCAGCAGGGAGGCCGTGGGCGGACACACACACTCTTTATAAGGATTGGGCCCGGCAATCTCCGTCTGCGGTGGGACACAATAGGCCTTTTTTTCTGTCTGCGGCGCCGGCAGAACGACGGACATTACGTCAGTGGCAGCGTCCCGTCTGCACCCTTCCCGCGAATCATTGACACGTCGGAATCGCTCTGCGGAATGATGGATACATCTGCGACGATTTCTATGGCAGCCAGCCTGTCGGCCACCCCCGCCATTGCTGTGGCTGTTTGCGCCAGCCCATGTTCCTACCAATATTCCACATCAGGTTTTCTGGCGCAGGAAAGGGATGGGCTTATGACGAAATATTACCTATCTTATCCGTCCTATCTTATCAGCAAAGTCCGCCTTTGGTCTAGTGCCCCCTCCCCAAAACGCGTCACAACCATATCTAGCCCCTTGCCCCACTCCCCGTGCTTCCTTTGTCGTCATCATCTCCGGACTCACAGCTGTCTGTCCATAAATATTGTTCATTTCCCACTTCGACTCGTAGTAGTTCATAACAACCTCGGCTTTTTCTTCTCTCCCCGCGCTTGATCTTTCGTTTCTCCATACCCTTTTCTCAAACTTTCCCATCTTTTGCCAATTTCCCATGTCTCCCGATCCAGCAGGGTATTGAGCCCCGAATATATACTAAACATAGAGCTTAATATTGATCTTTTATATTAGACAAGGGTGCAACCCCTGTGACACGCGGTTTTGCTGCTCGTATCTTACAAATCATTACGGCCTTGTTTTGCTAGAGCCAATATTTGACCACATGAATGCCTCGTGGTGGATACGTATCCACTCGCTTTTTTTTGGCTTTCTGCTTTCAATAAACCATCTCGCCAAACTCCGTACGCGCAAAATCTTGTGTCATTATGTCAGAACTACACAGTAGCTTACTTGTGCCTCCGAATTCTGAACTTCGCATATGTGGAGGCCAAAAACCGTTAATGACAGAAAAGGCTTCAAGTTAACCTCTGACGGCGTCCTGTTCAAGGGCTTCGAAACTTCGCTGAGCCACAGCTTGGCTGAGTTGGGTAATTGTCAAACCGTCCACTGTCTGCATTGTAACGCCGGTCTCACGAGAAATCCATCCTAGGATGAACAAAGAGTCGAGCGAGTCGATGCCATAGCTGTCCAGAGACTGGAGAGGATCAAAGTCGGAAGGAACCATACTTTTGCGCCGGGCCAGGCTTGCAATAAGAGCTGTGCATATTAGATATGCTGCGTCCTCCATTGAAGCCGTTCTTTGGATCGCCGTACGCAGATTCTCGCTGCCCCCGCTGTGACTGCTACCGCCCGTTATTTTATTGAATCCACGAGGCGGCGCGTCAACTTGATTGAGGTAGCGGAACAACGCGGCGCGCGTCCAAAACGGGTCAGATGGCTGGTTCTGGATAGTGAGACCCCCAGTGCCCACAGAAGTGACGATCTGTGGAGGGATATCAATATTCTCGGTTCCGGGTCTAGCCATTGCCCGGTCGAGTATGAAGAGAACGTCCTGCAGTCTGGTGCCTAGAAACCCTCGGGCTCGCATGGCATCGAGGAGGGACTCATCCTCAGCCACCATGCCAGCTCCCAAAACGAGACCAAGATCCAGGGATACGCTGTGCATTCCCTGAGAGCTGCGATGGCGGGCAAGAGCATCCTGAAAGCTATTTCCTGCCGCATAGTTCGCCTGTCCTCGGTTTCCAATAATGCCAGACAAGCTAGACAAGAAAACAAAGAAGTCCATGGCGCGAGGCAGCAGCTGATGCAGGTTGTAAGAGCCTATAGTCTTTGGGCCAAAACACTGCTTCCAGCATCCATAATCCATGTTGGGAAACGCCGCGTCCTTCAGGAGTATTAGTGGCACGTTTGTCTATCGATACAAAATGCAGAAGATATGTTTCGGCACTTACGGTCACAACAGCAGCACATTGAATTGCTCCTTGGATCGGCGGCATAGAGCCATACAGTTCTCTGATAGCCGTTCCCAGTTGCGCTTCATTGCATATGTCCACCGCAAAGGCACGAGCGTAGACCCCTTTCGCGTTCAGCTTGGCAATGAAAGCTTGTGCAGGCGGAGCACTGCCTCCTGATCTGGAAAAAAATGCAATGCACCTCGCGCCATTCGTGACCAGGTGTTCGGCGATGGCTCGGCCCAAACCACCGAGACCCCCAATGAGGAGGTAAGTCGAGGATTGAGACAGTCTTGGTGTTTGAGTCAATGGTACTGGTATGTTCACAGTATTGGGATGAATGCTGTCGGAGTGGGTGGTGACGACGTAGGAGCCTGCGAATGGGTCGGCCGTCGCTGCTTTCAAGGCGTCTTGGACTTGGCTCATTCTGTATTCCAAGGTTCCATTGATGGCACCCAACTTAGGGGCAAGCTGGAGGATCTGGTCAACTTCAAAGAAAAGTCTCTCTACTTCGAGGGGATTGCGAGCCTCAAGAAGTCCAAGATCAACAGTCTCGAGGCTCACGTTCTTGAGAGGAAGCCGCACTGCAGATCCGTCGCAACCTGCCCAAGCTACCCGTATGACACAGCCACCTGCAGTTGTACAAGGTATAGGTTAGTCAAAGAACCGCTCAAAAGCATATCGTCGAAACGTTCACAACACAGGCTTACCCTCGGAAGCGCAACAAAATGCCTGTTCGATAAACTTTGAGGTTGGGTCGAAGACGACGTCCACCCCTCGATTGAAAGTGGCCGACAGAATCCGTAATTCGAACTCGACATCCGAGCACTGCGCATCTATAACGTGGCTTGCTGGAAGCTTGAAGCTCTCTAGCATGAGTTTCCTTTCCATCGAGGACTTGCAGGCTACCAGAACTTTGTTTCCAAGTGCCAAAGCAATCCAAATCGCAGCCTGTCCATAAGCCGAAGAAGCGCCATAAACGAGGACTACTTCTCCTTCGAGTGACCGCCGGCGTGTCCTCAGTGCATATAAAGCTGTTGCGAATGCCGTTGGACAACTGCCTGGCCATTCACCTTGGTGCAGAATTCGACGAACTCGCGACTTGTGGGCGATGACGTGGGTTTTGATCGTGTCGCGCATCCTTGCAACAACTCGGCAGTATGGCCAAACGTCTTTCACGTTGATTCCAACCTCTACGACGTGGCCAAATGCATCTGTGCCAACCTTGGCGTTCGGGGCTCCCAACGAGGCGAGTGCGATGTCCTCCGGCAGCAAGTTCGTGCCCACAACAGCAATACGGACTTCATCCGGGTGCAGCGGCCGGTGCAGTCCCTCTTGGTCTTCGACAAATAGGAGGCCACTTGGTTTTTCAACTGAGGTATTGTCGAGCTTCAGGGCCTTGTCCTTAAGTGTGAGCGGGATTCGGGCAACCGATTGAGGCATGGTAGGGCCATGCTCGATGAGGCGATTTAAAGTTGGTAAAGGCATAAGCCGAGGAATCATGAGGTGACCTTCAGAGAAGACAAACTCAACATCCTCAACAAATGGTTCTGGAGGAAGGTCAGAACAAGCACGCTTGAGAAGGAGAACAGTTTTTTCCGCGAGCTGCTCCATATTGTGTATCCGATTCTCGGCGGGCTGAACGTCAATGTCAAGGGATATGATGTTCTTTTTCGCATCCTCGGACCGAATCGCTCTCGCCAGTCCAAGAAATGGAGATCGCGAAGGATCTTTGGCTCCCAGCTGAGCGCCGCGTGTGAGCCACAACAACCCCTTCGTCACCATCAATAAACGGCGAATCGATTCATACTCATCCTCCCTCATGCAAAATATGGTGGATGCGTCGAGCTCGACAAGGCACATGCAAGAAAAAGCCAGCTCCTCGTTCGAAAGGGAAGAGATCGTCGAAAAGGGCACCTCCAAGATCTCCAAGGACAAACTGTTTTTGATGATAGGACGTATCGTATCCCTCAGGGCCTTAGTGAGTTCTGACATCTGGTCAGGAAGGACAAGTAATATTGTATTCTCGCTCGTGGTTTGAGAGGCAGTCGTTGAATTTTTCTGAGCTGCAAAGAACCGGAAAGTGTCGTTTTGTGCTTTGCTGCCCTGGAACCCGGCTGCATGAACTGCGTTTGCGAGCTCAGTGCGTTGTTCGGTGGAAAAGATGCCAGTTTCTTCTGGGACAACGATTATCCAGCCATCTGGTGCAACACACCTGAAAAGCTGCGAGTCGATGTCGCGGGGACCTGCAACGCCAACAGAGACAACGACGACATCGAACTGGGAATTTGCGGATGGCATCTCGGATGAGTGAACGCGCTCAACTCCAGGGTAGGACCTCTTGCTCTCGCACAGCTGCCGCCAAAGCAGCTCGGAGCCCGATATCACCAATTGCGAGAAGCGAGGAGTCTCATGGCCAACAGTCAGGACGTCGAAGATCAAGCCGCTGAAGTAAGACGCTGCGACGTGCTGTTTTGCAAAGCTTGGCGGAGCTTCAACAGACTCATAGAGAGGATGCACATGGCATAATATAGACAAAGCTGGATTCTTGTGCGAAGCAGCATCGATCATGTCCTGAAAACTTTCGGGGAGATCAATTCCCAAAGAGCAGTTGGCGCCAATATCCATCTTCCACACAATCTCGGAGCACAGGTTTCTGTGAGATGGTAAGAATCCGTCGTTCCCGGAACTCGGCACAGACTTCAGCATGAGGTTTTCAATCGTTACAACGGGCGCACAAAGCTGGTAGTCGAACATGCTGATATCTGCACGGGCTGTGTGCATGTGAGTCTTGTGGGCAGTGGTATATCCTCTGAACTGAGAACCGGCTCCCTTGGGGAGGCTTGCAGAGACGTAAATGCGACCAATCGAGCAAGGAAGCATAGCCTCTCCAACACCATCACTGAGGACAAGGACGGTTTGAATCATGGTGTCCAGAGTAGTCGGATGAATGACATGATCGAACTCAAACTGAAATGGCATGCATGCTTTAGTATCGGGAATCTCAATCACCGTATACGCAGCAGTATTGTCTGTGCGGATCTCAGTGAGATTGCGAAACTGTGGGCCATATGTCATGCCAATAACGTCCAGGTCTTCGTAAAACTGTCGGGGACTGTGTTCGATATCGCAGGCTTCTCGAGCACGATAGAACGCTTGTCGCTGTACTTTGGTGGTCTGCCCTGGATCGATGTAGTCGTCTGGGTCGGGACACTCTTCACCGTACACGATCGAAACGCGGCCTTTGGCATGCACAATCCACAGACTGTCTTCTGGCTTTGACAGAATGCTGAATTCGTAGCATGTTAAATTCTTGCTAGAGAGCGCATCGTCTTTGTCGAGAAGTCTGGCGCTGAACATGTTCTCGAGACCTTGAGGCGATCTTGGAATGAGCATAGGCTTGATGATAGAGATCTCCTTGACTTCAAAGCCCTTCAGTGTGCGACTGGACTCAGATAGTTGTTTCGCTGCTTCGATAGCCATTGCCACCATGCCTCCAGCAGGATAGAAAATCGACTTCTGGATGACGTGGTCTTCCAACCAAGGGTTCTCCTGGACACGGAAAAAACCTCGCCAACTAGGAGCCTGGGGTGTTGAGTTTTCTAGCGGTGCTCCAATAATGTCTTCCCGGCCGTGCGAGCGAAAGCGGTTTGCTTTAGATAGGTGGGATTCATGCCAGTACCGCCTTGAGTGGTCCCATGGATACGATGGAGTATCAGCAAGATGCCGTGGCTTCTCCCCATAGCTGAGAAAAACAGATTAGCTCTCGTTCAAGTTATGTTTGGATCGAAGCGATCGGCTGGAGGAAGCCGATGCACTTAGACGAAATATCAAAGGGCTTCAGCAAACCTTGATGATGCCCATTCCAGTTTGAACGACAAGCCTTGAGCCCACAGCCCGCCTAATGCATCCAGGGCTGTATCACATGCATCGCTCTCTCTGCTTAAGAGGGATAGATACACGGGACTGGTTCCCGATGCAGTAGCCGAGCTGTGGATCTGCCGGAGCGTGGACTTCCATACCCTGTGAGGGCTAACCTCAAGGAATACAGCAGGACTCATTTGACTCATGACCTCAGTCACAGCTTTGAAAAACTGGACGGGAAGGACCATGTTTTTCACCCAGTACTCTGCCCCTAGGTCGCTGGCTAAGATTCTTCGGCCATAGACCGACGAAAAGAACACACCGTTAGACTTCTGTTGCAAAGGAGTGACGTCCTTAATAGCGTTGAGATAGATACTTTCAACGATATGCATGTGTGGAGAGTGGTAGGCGACATCCACATTGACCATGACGGTCCGTATTCCTTTTTTTTGGAAGCAGGTGTAGAGATGGGATATTTCCTCAGCATCACCTGAAAGCGTAGCAGACGCGGGACCGTTGATACAAGCAATACAAACCGATTGAGTGCCAGCGTCGGACACCATGCGACGTGCATCGTCCTCCGACAGTTCAGCAGCCAACATACGGCCATGTACATCCGGGGCCAGCGTGGAAATATTGCGGACACATTGGCCACGATAATAGGCGATTTTCCACGCATCTTCTCGGTGGATTGCACCGAGGGCGTATGCGGCAGCAATCTCACCCGAAGAGTGGCCAACTACAGCAGCTGGTTGTATGCCACTTGCAATGAGAAGATCAACCAGCGCAACTTGGATCGCTGTTGTTGCGGGTTGCGCGATTTGCGGCTCGTCGATACGAGATGTGTCTTTGTCGCGATGAAGCTCGTCCCAGAGCGAGAAGGGACTTTGAAGTGAAGTGCTCATGTACCAGCTCGCAGCGGACACGCTCGCATAAAAACGTTGATATCTGAGAAGCTCACGTCCCATGGCAAACCATTGAGCTCCCTGTCCGCTGAAGATGAAAGCCACAACTGGCGTGGATTGAGTCGGCACTCGAATGAATTGCATAGTGCTCCTTTCCTGAAGCCGCTCTAGGAGGTCGTTTCTGCCGATACCGCGGTGACATATGTTCGCCAGTTGAGAGAAGATCGACGGGAAAAGAGCGTGTATGCGTAGTTCATGTCAAAGTCATACTGAGAAGAATGGTTCCTGATATAATTGGCTTGCGTATCAAGAACTCGATTTAGTCCAGCCTCATCGTGTCCAGAGAAAACAAATAGATGGCTCTGTGGAAGGCGAGGAACATCTCTTGTCTGTGTTGACAACTTGTCGCTAGGGTAGATGAAGGTATTGTGCTGACCGCCAGCAATATCATTCTCAGCAAGGAAGTGCGGAACGTCATCCAGGACAACGTGAGCATTTGTACCGCCAAAGCCAAACGAGTTGACACTGACTCGGCGGAGTCCATCAACTGGCCAAGGACTGAGTTGCGAAGCAATCTATGTTTGCCATATTAGTAAAGACAGGCGTGAAGAAATGTCTGCCCCTGAGTAAGTAACGAACCTGAAGTTTCATGTTGTTGAAGTCGATGTTAGGATTGGGCGAGGTAAAGTTGAGGTGTTTAGGAATGTACCCTCGCTCAGCAACAAGGATTCCTTTGATTATTCCAGCCACACCGGCACTGCCCTCAAGGTGGCCGATATTGGGCTTGACAGATCCTATGATGAGAGGTCTGTCCGACGTACGTTGTTGACAAAACACCTCGGAAACGGCCTGGGCCTCTTTGATATCACCTGCTTGTGTACCAGTGCCATGACATTCCACATACGCTGTGCGGGAACTATTTAATCCCGCATTGCGATATATCTGTGTCATGTTACTGACCTGGCGCTCCTTGCTTGGAAGAGTTATGCCTTTTGAAGAGTTAGATTGAGATTACTACTTTGTCTTATGTCTTTCGGAGGGGAACAAACCTTGTGTGTGTCCATCCTGGTTGCTGGCAGTGGCACGAATGATAGCCCTGATAGTATCGTTGGCAGCAATGGCATCCTCGAGACGCTTCAATATAACGACACCCACTCCTTCGCCGCGGCCGTAGCCATTAGCCCTCTCATCGAACGTGAAGCATCGCCCATCAGGACTGAGGATATTGAGATTAGCCATGGGCACAAGAGTGTTTGGCGAGAAAATTAGTCCAACTCCAGCAGCAATGGCCTTGTATATGATTAGTAGATGACAGGGCAGATTGTTCGACTAGATCACTCACCAAAGAAGATTCTCCGCCAAGCAAGCTCTTGCAGGCCTGATGAACCGCAATCAGACTGGCAGAGCAGCCTGTATCGATGGTTTGGCTCGTGCCAGAGAAATCAAAAACGTGAGAGATCCTGTTGGCAAGTATGGCGACGCCATTGCCAGTGGCAGCGTATGGAGGGGTGGTGTCAGGGTCTCGCATACATGGCTGTTCATAATCTTTATTTAACAAGTTAGCTTGAGTCTTCAGCGATAGAATAGATCGGTTTGACTAGGCAGTCAAAGGGTGCTGAGGAAAATAACCCACCTCGTACAAAGGAGCCACAAAAAACGCTGGCGGTCGTGTTTGAGAGTGAGGCAGTAGGAACTCCGGCTACAGATGTCCAATTAATATAAAAATTCGATAACACGGTGAGAGCTGGCAACCAGGATCTACGGCTTACCGCTATCCAAAGCTTCGTAAACAACTTCGAGCAAGATTCGCTGCTGTGGGTCCATAGAAATTGCTTCAGCCGTCGAAATGGAGAAAAACTACATCATGGTTGTCAGTGTGGGCTTCAAATTATGCTATACGGGAATATTCCCGGTGGTGATGCCCCGAAAATGCAGAATTTTGAGTATTTTCAAGCTTACTGGAGCATCAAACGCTGCGATATCTTCTTTCAAGAAGTGGGCACCACGGATGTGAAACTAGACAGTGTAGAAAAAACAAGGTCAACTCATAACTTCCCCAAATGCTAATAAAACGAAGGGAACCTGCAGGTATGTAGTGAGAGACTAACACTGCCTGGACGGTTGGGGTCTGGATGATACCAGCCCTTTGTATTGAAACGATCCTCGGGTATCTCGGACCAGGCGTCTTTGCCGTTGCGAAGCATTTCCCAAAAGCTCTCAATATCAGTAGCAGCACCAGGAAAGCGACAGGCCATTCCAACTACCGCAATGGCATTACTCGTCCCATTATTGGGCGCCGCTTCCTGTACGTCCATCGTGGACAGATGGCTCTATTGTCTTAGCAATTGGCCAAACTGGGACCGATTGTAACAGTTTCTTTGGCCTGTGTAGAGACCAAACCAAGCCCAAGATCGACGTACGAGAATGCACCAAAAGCGCTACCAGAGTGAGAGACCAATGGATTCCCAATGGAAATAGAACGTGAACAAATGTTTGTGCTGATGTCGAGGTATGCACGAACAGAAGATGTGTGGTAGTATGTATGCTCTAAAAAAGGGCAGTATATTGGCAGAGATTGAGAGAGGAAGACACACGTAAAAGCAAGAGAGAAGTTGAAGGAAGGAGAAAAGCTGAAAGTGGGATTTAATGAGAAAGGAAGTTGGCCGAGTTTGTAGGATAACTGGGAAGGAACGACCCCATCGGTCCTTCCTTTTCGAAATGAAGTGGAAACTGTTTGCCTGTCATTCACTTCAGATGACATTTTTGAGGGCCAAGTCATTTCGATTTGATATATGGGGTAAGATGGCAAAGGCCTTTTTCTAGGGTTCTCGCAGACGACGAGCACAGAAGGCATACAATCTAGGTCGAACAGGCTCGTAGCCACAATGGGCAGAAATTTGTCTTGCTCTAGATAACCGGAGTGTGCTTTCTGTCATGTCTCGCTCCACAGGCCTTTGTCCGAGTCTTACTTGGGCCTAGGGTTTTTGTCCTTGGCCGGCAGATCTGATATCTGATGATGCAGAGGCAGTAAGAAACAAACGCGGTATCTTGGGGCTTGTTCTTCAGAGTTAGCTGCAACCAGCTGATGCTCGTATTTGGCAGCTCATCAAAGCCATTACAGAGACAGTGCTAACACGGCATTTTTGTAGAAGAATCCTCTAGGCTCTTGCTGAGTCAGAAGCACAAAGAGTCACACGAAGGATCTGACTGATATACTTTTAAGATACTTGAAAGGGGGATGAGTTCCTTGGGATTACAAAGGCACGTCTTGGCAAAAAGGCCACGCAAAAGGGTTGATGGAGGGGATGCCACCGCAGGACGTATAGCAGGGACAACGGGAAATTTTCGAAAAAGGCTAGACACTCTGGATAGAGACTAGGTGCTGGCCACAGTGACCGAAGAGGCAGGTGTAGCGGGGTGGGAAAGAGGATGCAGAAGACGTGTTTAGCTCCTTAAAGACAGGCGAGACGACAAGGGAACTCGGGGCTGTGTGCAGAGGAGCTAGTATGGGGTCATCTGGAGATGCTTACAGAATGTGCTCAGACAATTTTCACCGTCTTCTTGTTTGAGGTCACAATAGGCTCCCCTACTCTCCCTTCACTATCTCACTAAATTGTCTCGTTATAACGATTTGAGGAGGCTGCCACGAAGCTGATTAGAGGTAGAAAGGAACATATGGTGTAAGCCATCCCAGTCAGAAGGCAAAAGACGACGACAAGATGACGTAAAGCATAACGAAGAGAGGTTAATGATAATCAGTGTGTTACCGATTGCCAGTTCGCTCACTAGCCGCATGTTGCTCCTCGGATTTGAGATGGCCTGAGGCACTTCGTGTTCAGAGGGAAGAGTCCGAGAGCGCTAATTTGGACTTACAATTTAGGAATGAAACAGAATAAGACAGTATCTCTAAACTCGTGGAGTAGAGGGTGCGCTTTTTCTGATACCCTGAAGGCAGCATACCGGCGCGTTCGTTCGGGAGTAAAGAAGAGACACCAAGCCTAAACGTGAGGCGCTTTACAAGTCTCTGTAATCTGATCTCCCGTATTTCCGATGGCCCTGGTAGATGATGAGGGAACATATCGACGGATATTAAGTACACAATAAAGAATTAAAGACGAGCATGCAACAAAAGGGGAAAGGAGAACTCCCGCACGCAGCAAAGATACCAGCTTCATTATCAGGTACAAACTCACAAGAATCAACAGCTGCCCTTAAACCCGAGGCAACAGATTCCAAATAGGAGAGGAAAGCCACGACAAGAAACAAAACAGAAAGGGGTCTCAGAGACTCTTTCTCGCCTTCGTAGATATCACTTGAAACATCACCATCTGGCTTCTTACCGGTCAGCACGAATTTGTTTCAAGAGGCATTTATTTTTGTACTATGCGTCATTCCCGAATGCACGTTTTGCGCACTAGAGATGATATTTTCGATATTCCTCCTCTAAGCTCTGGTCACCTCTCCCGTCTTACGTGACGTAAATACAAGCGGACAAAGAGTGTGTGACAGTATGGTATCGTAAAAGCAGCAGAGACTAGGTTGTGCGATGCACTATGCTGGAACTCACCAAGAGAAGTACTGATGAGCAAAGCCGTGAGGAGATGACCAGCGGCTATAATACGGCACGGCATCAGTATAGCCAGTATTAGAAAAACTTCCTGGAGATAGCCGCTCAAATCCTGCGCGAAAACGTAACCCACATAGATGCTACTTGTACGGAGTACATGGGCGGTTACAAGGCAAAGAAGACGGGATGGTGGTTGCATTGGCGCACAGGCGCAAAGTGGCCAGAGCACAAGTAATGCTTACCGTAGTAGCAAAGCAGTCGATATTTAAGTCGTACGGAGTACTTGGAAGCAAAAAAAAACAAAAAACAGTAACTGGAGACGGTGCCATTGTGAGCTTATTTGACAGAGCTCTTGTCCAATAGGCCAAGCTACATTTCAAGCGCCTTAGAAGGGACGCCTTTGCTTGTTTCTTTATCGAATGACAGCCTGTTTCTATTTACATGTAGATGCATCCATGTGCCCAGCTGCTCCTGCGACTAGTGCAATCAATTCCACCGCCAGGTTTGGCCCCCATGCCGTTCGCATGTGGGACAGATAGACGAAGGCGGCTCAAGAAGGCAATGTAATGGAGCAAGCCGATTCGAGACTGTAAGGCAGAAAGTGACTGGCAGATACAGAGACGCGGCAACATGGATGAGGCGATGCGAACTGGCTGTTTCTCGCCCTTGCCTTCTGTGACTCGACTTGTTTCTGCCCGCCCTGATCCTCGGCACAATCTCTGAGCTATCCAGCGAGGTAAGGTGCCTCGCTTCCCCAAGCTCACACTCTTCACCACGGCCAGACACCTGAGCTTCTCATGCCACGTACGGAGTACTTCGCCCTAAAATGAGCGGCAATGTCTTGGTCACAGAATGAGCAGAGGGAAGAGAGTAGCAGACATGCCGAGCTGCTTCTGTCTAGTTTTGTGGGGCAAGTGTTGACCCTTTTTGCTCAGCCATGCCATGTTCCACGTATATTTCCTTCTTGCTATTCGATCTGAAGCATACGCATTATTATTACGACACCCCCAAAGCTCCAACTGGTGACGAATGCAGCGACTACTAACTGTTCGTCTTAAACTGGTCTAAGATTGCAAACACACGGACATATTTCTCTTTAGAGACAGCATATATTGGTTTGTTACGCAGAAGAGAGACATGCAGGAAACAGATTGCTCCGCCACTTTTCCTGTGCCTCTTAGCACCACGGTTCACGGCTGGAGCTTTCTTCTTTTAATTGCTTAATCATCTTGATCACTATAACGCTTCCTTCCATTTTTTTCATCATGTTGCCATTTCAACTCTCACATTTTATGCAACACGACACCTGTCGGATGTAGAGCTTCCTGTACGTTGTGGCACTGTAAGAGAGTATTTCACTTTCTTGCTGAGCCAGGCAGTGCTCAGAGACCAAGGCTGGGCGAGGATGTAGTAGCCGAAACACATCCAGTGGCTAGAGGACTCTCGTGGATATTTAGTCTAGCCTATACTCTACAATACTCACTCACATGGTATCGGTCTGGTGTTTCTGCGTCATTTCCACGTCGTGCCAGGTTTTCTAGAGGCAATTCTTCCGAAATTCGGTAGAATATCGCATCTGTGTGCGCTCCTTAATAACTCACTCATGCGTTTCACTCGCTTGACTGACTTTCTCGCCCTCTGGTCGCTTGTTAGACATTCCGTTTCTGGGCCTCGTCTTGCCACACATCGTACTTCAGCCTGTAGGTCCCATTTTTAGCTAAAGTCAGTCGTAACAGTGTTTCTTGCTTTTCACCGATTATATATTCTTGATGTATTAAAAAAAAACATGACGAGGCCCAGACACACAGGCTAGGACAGGCGCCACTAAGCAACCAACCGCATGCGAGAGTTAACGACGCTGGGCTTTTGTTTTAGCGAGGCATCTGGACAATGGAACGAAGGGAGACAAGAAGCAGAACAGGGAATCTTTCGCTCCAGGCCACTTGCCCATTTTCTGCCTTGCCAATTGTGCCAATTGTGCCGTTTTGGAGGATCGTTTCAGTACGCAGAGGCTCTACCTTCTATCCCCATGTGTCCCAAACTGAAATTCTGGCTCTCTTCTTGTGAATACAGTTTTCACCGCCACCCCGACTTTGCCCCCCCGGTTCCGAATTGCGCTTCATTCCCTTTGTCTCTATATGACGCTCTCCGTCCGCTGTGCAAATAGAAGACTTTGACAGCCAGTGCAAAGCCTTGTTTGCACAATCTCTTTAGTTCTGCTAATTGTTGTGGCGCGTGGATCGTTTGCTCCCTACCAGCCAGTTCTGTCCTCCTAATTCCTTCCTTTGCGCTTTTGTTATCGCCGGACACACCTGCATCGTTCCTTCCTAATCTAGGCACCGCGCTGTATTGTTTACTGCGGAGACCTTGGCGCGGCATTGGTGTCTTTTCTCCCAGGGAGACCCCAGAGGAACACGAAGATACCTTCACTATTGTTTACTGTGTCCTCCAGTCCTATAAGCGAGCGTCATCTACCGAGAGTAGAACATACAACAACCAAGTGTCTGAGGGAGGCATAAGACAGCAAGCCTAAGGACTGTTTTTTTTTTTGGCCCGCTTTGGACCTACGGCAACACCGAAGAATGCCAACAGTATAGAAAGAGAAGACAGGCATTGAAATGGAAAGAAAGCGAGTGGTTTAATTCCCTACCTTCCGAGGCAGCAACTCACCGTGATAAGATACAACACCATGATCGATCTATCATCCTTCGGGCCATGCCCACCGACAACCCGAGAGCTCACACCGCGCTTGCAGGCAGTAAAATACGGGAAGTCGGTCAGCTTCGATGACCTGAATCGCTACGAAAGTGCTGTCACCCGCTCGTCTGATGGCCTCAGAGAGCTGCGGCAGACAGAGGCTCAGGCCGCCCAGGCAAGGGCAGCAGCGAGTGTTCCGGCCACTCAAATGTGCAGCCAGAGATGGAGGCAGGCCCTACTGATGGCATGGTAGGCCTCACAATCCAACATTGACCAATGGCAGGTTTTGCTAAGCAGGAACAGCATCTTGATCGGCTTCTTCTTCTCTCTCCTAGATACCACTATTGTATCGACTTCGCTTCTTGCCGCATCGGAAGATCTCAGCGGTTTCCGCGACTCTTCTTGGGTGGTCTTGGCTTACCTGCTGACTTATATGGGTGTGTGCTGTCCCTTGTATGAGTTATGCATAGCCGTTGATCGTCTAGCTAATTCTACTTCTTCAATCCACGGCAGGCTTCTCGATATTCTTCGCTAAGCTTAGCGACATATACGGCCGCCGAAACATCCTAGTCGTATCGTGGATAATATTTGTGATCAGCTCTATCGCATGTGGATGCGCTTATAACATGTTACAACTGTGTGTATACTCAGCACTGACACCCGCTATCACCTATCTTAACAAGACTGTAGGATTGTTTTTCGTGCATTTCAAGGGATCGGCGGAGCGGGTCTCTACAGCCTGACCACGATTGCCCTGCCGGAAGTTGGCCCCGGTCATCGCCCAGAGATTATTGGCAAGATTATCGGCATCACACTCTCCGTGTCGTTCATCATTGGTCCGATCCTCGGCGGTATTATACCGCAGATCTCGACCTGGCGCGTGATATACTGGCTCAAGTAAGCTCATCTTCGGTTGTTAAGGTCGGATGATGAAGACTGACGCTCTCCTCATGCAGTGCTCCGTTTGCCATTGTCACCATCACAGGACTCGTCTTTCTGTTTCCCCCGGAAAACCGAAGCCGGCTTGGCCCACGCCGTTCTCTTGGCAGACTCGACATCATCGGAAGTTTTTTGCTGCTGGCAAGCACGGTGTTGCTTGTAATTGCGCTTCAAGAGGCTGGCTCGCTGGTGGTGGCATGGAACAGCCTGCTGGTTCTGGTGAGCCTGACGCTGGCGGCAGTCAGCCTTGCGCTGTTTATAGGCTGGGAGTCTCTGCTATGGTCTGGAAGCAATTGGGGGATCGAGCCTGTCTTCCCCCTCCGGCTCTTGCAGAACCGGGTATATTCTGCCTGTCTCATGTACGGCCCCCCGCTCCTCAAGTCGGCAAGCTTGACTGACATGCTTGATACAATAGTGACAAGTTCTTGATCGGCTGCGTGTATCTCTGCCTCGTTATCACCGTCCCGCAGAGATTTCAGATCGTCAATGGTGCGAGCGTGTTCAAGACGGGCGTGCATCTGTTGCCGATGCTTGGCGGCACAGCTGGCGGCTGTCTCGTCTCGGGCCCGATTAACGCGAAAAAGAATCGGACGGCGCCAGTGGTTGTTGTTTCGTGTGTTTTCATGGCCGTGAGCACCAGCCTCCTGGCCACGGTCAACAGAATCGACTACCCGGCAGGCCCAATGTACGGGTTCCTGACACTATTCGGGTTTGGGTTTGGGCTGTTCATGTCCGCCGGCACGATGCTGTCAACGGCGCAGGCTTCAACGGGAGACCATGCCGTAGCCCAAGGAGCGATTTCGCAACTCCGACTTCTAGGCGGCATCCTTGGGCTGACCTCCTTCACCATCATTTTTAACAGCTCCATACAGTCGGCCGACATGGCGGACGGGCTCAGTCCCGGACAGTTGGAGGTGCTGCGGCGCTCGCCGTCGGCTCTGGTCGAGATGTGGCCAGAGCTGCAGGACCTGATTCGGGGCACATACTGCGCTGCGTTCCACAAGATGGCATCGATCATGGCAGGGGTCACGGGACTGGCACTGCTGGTCAGCCTTGGGACGCTGGAGAAGAGTCCGCCTCCAATACACGGCAGTCTGGCGGACGAGAAGGCGCATTTTCCCGATCGGGGAACGAGCGACATGAAGCTGGATGACGAGGCTAGCGACCGATCCCTCGTGGCGTTTCATGTCCCGGTCGTTGCAGAGCCATTGCCAACACTGTCGACAAATCGGCGTTAGCCGGTGGAAATTCTTAACACTTCCGATTTAGACCGACAGTTATAACTTGCATGTTTTGTCCGAGATACAGGTTGTCGGGTTACGGGTTATATTTTTGCCATATCAGGATTGTGTAAGCATAGGAATTTGTGCAAAAGGGAGACGAATAGACGTGTGTAAGTGGACCAAAAGAATATTTTTCTTTTTTCTTTTCTTTCTTTCTTTTTCTTTCTTTCTTTCTTTCAGCGTATATTTTTCTGAGCCACGAGACCCGGACTACTGTTTATCTAGCTTCTCGAGAGCAGCCTCGACAGTGTTGCCGGTCAGCAGACGGAAGACCTCGGCGTAGCGATCGGCGGTGGCCTGAGCGATGTCGGGGGGCATGGCGACGCCGTCCTTGCCCTTGAGGCCGTGCTGGACGAGCCAGTCGCGCAGGAACTGCTTGTCGAGGCTGTCCTGCTCGCGGCCAGGCTGGTAGTTGTCGGCGAGCCAGAAGCGGGAGGAGTCGGGTGTGAGGACCTCGTCGGCGAGAACGACTTCGCCGGTGGCCTCGTCGAGGCCGAACTCGAACTTGGTGTCGGCGATGATGACGCCGCGGTCACGAGCATGCGCAGCAGCGGCGGTGTAGACAGCCAGGGCGAGCTCCTCGATGCGGGCCGCATGGACGGGGTTGCCGATGAGCTGAGCGGCGCGTTCGCGCGAGATGTTCTCGTCGTGTTGGCCGAGCTCGGCCTTGGTCGAGGGCGTGTAGACGGGTGCGGGCAGGCGCTGGCAGCGGGCCATGCCGGGAGGAAAGCGGACAGGATCAGACTCGCCGTGAACGGTGCCGTGCTGAACGTACTCGGCGTAGGCGCTGCCGGCGAGATAGCCGCGCACAATGGCCTCGACCGGGAACATGCGCAGGCGGCGGACGCGCATGCAGCGGCCGCGGAGGAGGGCCAGCTCAGTCGGGGCGAGGCTCGACGACGACGACGACGACGACGACGATGACGGTGACAGCGAGACCAGGTGGGTGCGCAGCGGCTTGCCCGGGATGGCGGCCTCGGCCAGCAGATGGAACCAGTAGGCCGACAGCTGAGTCAGCACGGTGCCCTTGCCGGGAATGCCGTTCTGCAGCACGACGTCGTAGGCCGAGATGCGGTCGGTCGCCACAAACAGCAGCGTCTGGTCGTCGCCCTCGGTCTCAAACACCTCGCGCACCTTGCCGGTGGCGATCTTGTGCAGGCCGGGCAGGTCGAGCGTGGTCACAGCGGTGGCCATTGTGGGGGTGAGAAGGTGTTTGTCGAGAAGAGCGGGGATCCCAAAAAGGTGGGAGGGTGTCGAGAGGAGCGAGGAAACGAAAGAGAACAGCGCAGCAGAGGGAAAGTGCCTTTAACTCGCGAAAGAGCAGAATGCAGCCAGACTCGGATGCCCGAGTTCATGAGTCGATGACGAGGTTTTCCATTTTTATTCATAAAAACCTTTGTCATTGCCGATTTTAGCGTGCCTTCCCGGCGAATCGGACCTCGCTTGACAGGCCGCCTGACCTTTGTAAGCGTACGATATAGGAGAGGAAGCCGGAACGATGCCAGAACGTGCAATGACCGTGCTGAAGTCGACTCGTTGCTGTGCAAGTGTGAGCCGAGCTCTGTGGCCAGGCGAGATGTCGCAGCTCAGCATAGAGCACAGTGCTAATAGCGTGATGAGCACAGTAACCCACTATCGATAAGCCTTGTGGGGCGAAGAGCATCCATTAATACAGCGCAGACGTATTGCTCCATCTCCAAGGCGATGCATAGAACACATGGACAGTGAGAAGTGTGCTTGATTGGCCAGGCAGCCTGTGAGGGTCCCCTTTCATGAATCCTGGCTGCCTGCTTTTGCCTCAAGCCATTTTTGCCTCTTGCTGCGGGAAACGGCTTTTGCCTCTCTCGCCTTTCCGCTTTCTTCGACAGGCGACCATGATTCCGAACACGCTCCCCTACTATGTCTTCATCCGCATATCGCTCTGGGCCGTTCTGTCGATCACTCCTGCTAGTGCCGCATATTGCCTGGCCCGCGCTCTAGGCTATGGCGCCACGCTGTTGCTGCCCTGGCCGCTGCAGGTCTTTGCTCTGTGCGAAGTCCTGTTTTACGTCGGCGTCAGCCTTCCGCGGCAGTGGATGCTGAACCGGTCGTCGCCGACGGTGGTGCAGCGAAGCCGCCAGGAGCGTGAGGCGCTGTTCGACAAGTCCCTGGCCAGCACGCCGGACCTCGACACCTTCCTGAGCGTCTGGTTCCGAGGCGCGCCGCCGGATAGCATCTGCCGTGACGACTACAAAGACTTCCTGGCCTGGGCCTTTTTCTACCAGACCAGCGCGGCGGCCTGCGACACCGACGAGCTCGATGCCTATGTCCACCGGATGGAGGAGGCCATGGGGAGGGTGTTTCCGGCCGGGAGAGGTCCCCGTCGCCCATCGCAGGTGTCCACAGACCCTCTGCGGCTGCAGCACAAACCCCTCGTGCTATATCTGGTACGGACGGTCGTCGTGTCTGGCGCTGGGTCCATGATTTGGCAAGACTGACACGTAGGAACAGCTTGCCATCGGCACGGACGACATCCTGACGTACGCAAAGGCCCGGCTGCTGGGCCTCCAGCACTACCGGCTGCCCCTGCGCGACTTCTTCACCGTCTTCCCGCTACGTCCACACACCCTCTTCACTCGACACACGTCGCCATCGAGTCACGTGTCATACTGGCACCGGCCGCACACGTCGCCCACACGGCTGCCGGTCCTGTTTATCCACGGGATCGGCGCGGGACTGCGGACCTACATCGGCTTCCTCGCAGACTTTATCGCGGCCGACGTGGCAGCCGACGGGCAGACGGGCGTGATCGCGCTCGAGCTCATGCCGATCAGCATGCGAGTGACACGGGAAATGCTGCCGCGGGAGGAGATGTTGGCCGAGATCCTGGCCATCCTGGACCACCACGGCTGGGACCGGTTTGCGGTCATGGGCCACTCCTACGGCACCATTCTGGCGACGCATCTGCTGCAGCACCTCGAGAGCGGCGGCAGAGTGGGCCCGCTGCTGCTGGTCGACCCGGTCACCTTCTCGATGCAGTGGGGCGACATCCCATACAACTTCATCTACCGCCAGCCGCACAAAGCGAGCGAGTGGCAGCTGCACTACTTTGCCTCGACCGACATGGGGGCTGCCCACAGCATCACGCGCCGCTTCGACTGGACCGTCAACGTGCTCTGGCGCGAAGAGCTCAAGGGCCGCACCGTCACCGTCGTGCTGGCCGGCCGCGACATCATCCTGGACACGCGGGCGCTGCAGTCCTATCTGGCCGCCGACGAAGAGCTCAGCCCGCACGTGTTTGACGCCAAGGACCTGCCGGCAAGCGGACGGCGCGATGCCCGAGAGGGCCTGGACATTGTCTGGTACGACGACCTGAACCACGCTGAGGTATTTGAGAGCGCTGCCGCCTGGCGGCCTCTGGTCCCGATTCTTCACAGCTATTGTGAGGTTGCGTACGAGTAATACGAAATCAGGTCTGATTGGTGCACCAAAAGCTCCGCCTCGTCCTTTGTGGGGATTTGCCAAGGCTCTGCTTCGAGCGGCAAGCTTGGCAATAGACGTGTTGGGGCTGCGCAGGCCTCCGGCGATGCTTTACATATGCAAGATACGGAGTACGTTGTAAGATACTAGGCCCAATACTTTGTTTTATAGGTGGATCTAGTGGGCCTGCGCCACACAGCGTCTCACGTAAGAAGCGTACGGAGACGGAGTACTCTGTACTTCACATCCTTTGAAGCGATTACGGCGTGGCGCTGGCTTTCAGGGTACCAGATCCCTGCTCACGCTTGAAGCTAGCCCAGAAGCGGCAGTTAAGCTTGTTCGAACAACCAGCAGCAACGGAAAGGAGTACGTCGTACGGACGTTCTCCTCCTGAGCTAAGGCGCTGCCTATTCGGGATTGCTTTCTGCTGCAGCGCAGTTGCCTCCTGATGCTTGGCGTACGCTGGTCCAATGTTGCATCCGCCCCGTAACTCTGCTTCCCCATCTCCAGGAAAGACTTTTATCGGACGTGTGTGTAATCGCCAAGACACGCTCGACCAGCACAATCGGCAAACCTTGTTTCCCTTGCGGTCTGGCCGGGAAGCCGAAACAGTGGGGTAGCGACGGGGCTCATTTCAATTAGTACTTGGCGGCTGCGCTCTCAAGTCGACTCGTTTTCTTATTTCGCGTTCACATCTTTTGCATCTCGACCAGAAGACCTTGCATCATGCCGACCACCACGACTCTGGCCCTACTGGTCCCGCTGGTCATCGCGGCGGCGGCGCAGAACGTGCTGGAATTCGGGCTGCAGCGAGGCCCGGTTCACCAAGCAGTCCAGCGGCGCTCGTTGCAGCGACGGGCTGCTGGCACCTATGTCGAGACTCTCGTCAACAACGTGACGGGCGGCAGCTACTATGCGTCGGTGTCGGTTGGCACGCCGGCCCAGGCACAGACGGTGGTTGTCGACACAGGCAGCAGCGATCTCTGGGTTGTTGCGTCCAATGCCGACCTCTGCACAAACCAGAAAATGCAGGCTGAATACGGGCAACACTGCGTAACAACTTGTGAGTTTGTGTGTGTGTGTGAGAGAGAGAGAGAGAGAGAGACTAACAAAGCTAGATGATCGATCTGACAGCTCAACCTACAAGCTCATCGAACAGGGTGGCTTCTCGATCACATACGTCGATGGCACGAGCTCGGATGGCGACTTTATCTCGGACACGTTTAGCATTGGTGGGGCGACGATCAAGGCGCTGCAGATGGGGTATGCGACGAAGATCGTGAGCGGTGTGGGCGTGATGGGGATTGCATTCAACTCGAGCGAATCGACGACGCAGACGTACCCGAACCTGCTGGACCAGTTTGTGGACCAGGGGCTGATCACGTCCAAGGCGTTCAGCCTGTACCTCAACGACTACCGGTCTGACGGCGGATCGCTTCTGTTTGGCGGTGTGGACACGGACAAGTTCATCGGCAGCCTGTCGGTGCTGCCGATCGTGCAGACGACCAACAGCAACAGCAGCTACACGATCCTGGCCGTGTCCCTTGGCGGCATGTCGGCAACGGGCAGCTCAAAGGGCAAGGCGACGACGATCCCGTTTGACAGCACGCTGCCGGCGATTCTAGACTCGGGCACGACGCTGTCGTATCTGCCCAACTCGCTGGCACAGGACGTATTTGACGCCGTGGGCGCGTACACGGACAATGAGACAACGGGCTACACGTTTGTCGACTGCGATGCGGGCGCGTCGATCTCGCTGACGTTTACGTTTGGCAGCAAGACGCAGGTGACGGTACCGGCGTCGCAGATTGTGCTGGACATATTTGCGGGCGAGGAGGACCAGCTGCCGCAGAACGTGCCGTTCAGCCGGGCATGTCTGTTTGGGATCCAGAGCATGGGGGAATCGACGGATGCGGGCTCGGGCTCGGAGTCGAAGTCGGCCTTTGCCTCGACGTCGTCGTACGCGCTGCTGGGCGACACGTTTCTGCGGTCGGCGTACGTGGTATACGATCTGACCAACGACGAGATTGCGATCGCGCCGGCCAACCTCAACAGCTCGACGTCGACGATTGTGCAGATGGGGACGGGGACGGGCATTCCGACGGTGACGGGCGTGAAGAGCCAGCAGACGACGTATACCGGCAGCGCGACGAAGACGGCCGACAGCAGTGGCGGGGCGGTGACGGTGACGGCGTCGCCGACGGGCACGACCCATTCCAAGAGCGCAGCAGTGCGGGCGAGGCAGGACGGCGGCCTGGGAGCTATTGCTGTGGCCGGGATGGCGTGCTTGGTGTCGCTGGTCGGGGGGGCATTTCTAGCTATTTGAGAGCATTCAGGAGTTTCGATTTATCAGATACAGATACGTGGGCAGTCCTCATGTCATAGTAGAGTAAGATACAATACTTAGTCCTGGGCTTCGTTTCCATTCCCGTTTCCCTCTGCTGACTCAGCAACCTGGCCAGCTGCCTCTGCTTCAGCGCGATCGAGGGCCAAATAGCGCTGGCGGGCGGTTTCCTGGGTCTGCTCGACAAAGTCGGCGTATCGGCTCTCGGTGCGGCGAGCGGCGACATCAGCGGCATCGCCCAACTTGCCGCCGTGGGCGCCGAGACCGACGCCGGGAAGATAGGCAGCAGCGGCGATGGCTTCGGTGAGGCCGGTGCCCTGAGCACCAAGGCCTTGGCCAGCAGTCCAGCCCATCTTTCCGAGCATGGCAGCACCCTTGGTGGCAGACGAGACGGCGGCAGCAGTAGCCGTAGTGACGGCCGCGGTATCTTTGGAGACGGCCGTGGCAGCCGTCTTGGCGATGCGTTTGCGGCTCGCCGGCACGCCTTTCTGGCCAAAAGCCAGTCTCCGCTCACGAGCACGGTCACGGTAGCGCGTAGAGGCCAAGTCAGGGGCCGGACGCATGCGCAATAGCGGTCTGTGTTGTTCGTCGTGTTCCTGGACGGCCTGGACGGCCTGAACGGCGGCAGCGACGGCGGCAGGATCGCGTGTGCGAGCGCGATGAAGGGCGCTTTCACGCTCGTGCAGCCGCAGAGAGGCGCGGCCGTGGAAACGACGACGACACAGAAGACAGCCGTGGTCGAGGCTGGTCGAAATCGCGTCTGCATCGGGGACGGCCGGACGGAGGGGGACGCCATAGGAGGTGTAGACAGGGGCGAGATCGCCTCGGCGACGTGGTAGACGCTTGATGTGGGTGGGAAGCTGAGGCGTGGAGCTGGTGGCCGTGGAGATCGGTCGACCGTCTGCTTCGGCCGCTTTCTTTCTCTCGACCTTGGCATAGCGCTGCAGGGCGGTGCGGCGGGCGGCTCGGTCACGCATCAGACGGCGGTGCAGCGTCGACAGCGCTTCGTGGTCGCGCAGCTGCTGGCGCGTGTCGAAGCGGACGAGGCAGAGCAGGCAGATGGGTGGTGAGGTTGCAGCTGTTGCAGGTGTTGATGAAGCCAGAGTCGACGAGGCCGGGTCCAAGGGAAAGCCGCCACCAACGGCCACAGACGGATAGCGGTCGCGACGATGGGGTGCGCGGAGAACAGACTGTGGCCGTGCGGCTGTGCTGGCAAGCTTGCCTGTCTTTTTCTGGTGGGGGATGGAGTTCGCTGTTGCTGCTGCTGCGGATGAGAATGATGATGCTTTTGCTGCGTCCAGGCTGCGGCCTGGATGGCCCAGGTCGGCCTTCATCTTGGCCCACTTCTGCACCTGCGTCTGCATGCGCGGGGCCATGCCCGCAGGCACGGGGGCGAGCTTGTCTTTTTTGCTCGGGAGCGGCATTGTTGATGGTCCCGATGGTCGGTCTTGACTCTGTAGAGCATTGGGATGAGCAGCAGAAAAAGAGAAGAGGCGCCCGATGAAAAAGTCACGTGACCTACAAGGATCTTGGAGCCACAAAACAGGAGGTCGATCCATCTCATCCGGGCGGGAGCACCCCAGCAGACACGACGACACGCACAAGACGAGCATCTGCAAATTTGATGATGCCTCTCCCGGAGACGAGGCCGTTCTCGATGGCGGTGCGGACGGGCAGTTCGAGCTCGCTGCTGGCGCCAGTGCGGGAATACGATGCAGACGCGGTATCGATCCGAAGTGAGCAAGACAGCGACAGCGAGGACGACGAGCTGCAGCTGCGGGCGCGCAACAGCCGGGAGCTGCGAGCGCACGACCGGCTAGTGTTTATGGAGGAAGACGAGACGGACCGGCTGGTGACGAACGCACGACGGCGAGAGCAGGACGGCGGTCGTCGGGGCAGCGGATTGGCAGCCGTAGCGGTTGCGGTCGCGAAGCCGCTGCGACTGCTGGGCGTGCGACGAACGAGCGACAGCAATGGTGGCAGCAGCCGGTCTCGCAGTCCGAGCAGCCGAACGAGCGGCCGGCCGGGCACGGCGACGAGCCTGCTGAGCGTGACGAGCGGCACGGCCGTAGGCTCGACCGACAGTCTCTTGGCCGATGACGAGGGCCAGGCAAGTCAGAAGAAACAGCAGCAGCAGCAGCAGCAGCAGCGACGACAGCAGAGGCGACAGCGACGACACAGCAAAAAGTCGCGGCTGCTGGCCAAGGCAGACCGGGGTGAGGACGGCGAGCTGCTGTACGAGATGGAGGAAGGCGGCATGAAAGAAGGCAGCTCGACGGGCGACAGCAGCAGCCGGAGCCGGAGCCGGAGCTACAGTCGAAGCAGCAGTCGGAGCAGCAGTCGGAGCAGCGACGACGACCACCACGACCAGCAGCACCTGCTGCCAGCAGTCAACGGAGGAGGCGATTTCGGCAGCAGCAGCAGCAGTCGACAGAAGCGCCAGCAGAAGCGACGACACTGTCGCGGCTGCACCTGCTGTCTGGGCTGTGGCGGCTGCTGTGGCCGCTGGGTGCTAGTGCACCTGCTAATCGTCGTGGCTTTTGCCCTGCTGGTGCTGGGGGCCTGGAAGCTGACGCTGGACCGACGACGTCGCACGGCCGCACAGCCCACACAGACACGACCGCTCGTCAGCAACGGCACGGCCCTCTTTGCGCCGACGACGCTGCTCATCAGCCTGGACGGCTTCCGAGCCGACTTTCTGCAGCGCGGCCTGACGCCACGGCTCAGCGCCCTCGTGCGCGAAGGCGTCTCGCCAGCCTACATGCTGCCGTCGTTTCCGAGCGTCACCTTTCCGAACCACTACACCCTCGCCACCGGCCTCTACCCGGAGAGTCACGGGGTCGTGGGCAACACGTTCTGGGACCCGGCCCTGCAGGCCGACTTTCACTACACCGACCCAGCTCGCAGCCTCGACCCCAAGTGGTGGGCCGGCGAGCCGGTTTGGGTCACGGCCGAGCTGGCCGGCGTCACCACGGCCGTCCACATGTGGCCCGGCAGCGAGGCCCATATCCTGGGCGTCGAGCCGACGTACGTCGACAAGTTCAACGGGGACGAGCCGCTGTCGAACAAGGTCGCCCGCATCCTCGACTTTCTCGACAAGCCGGGCGAAGAGGCCAAAGTCCATGCCAAAACAAAAGACAAAGACAAGGACAAGACCCGTCCGCAGCTCATCGCCGCCTACGTTCCCAACGTCGATGCCGACGGCCATCGCTTCGGCCCCAACAGCACCGAGATCCGCTCGACCATTGCCGCCGTCGACGCCATGCTGGACGACCTCTTCCGCGGCCTCGAAGCCCGCAATCTGACCGACATTGTCAACGTCGTCGTCGTCTCGGACCACGGCATGGCCACCACCGACGTCAGCCGCCTCATGCAGCTCGAGGATCTCGTCGGTCCGGCTGGCATGGACCGCATCGCCCACGTCGACGGCTGGCCTCTCGTCGGCCTTCGCCCCAAAACGGACGCCGACCTGCTCGCCCTCCACGCTGACGTCCTCGCTGCCACCGCCGACAACCCCAACGTCGACGTCTACCTCCGCGACGTCGACATGCCCGCCCGCTACCACTTTTCCCGCAACCCCCGCATCGCCCCGCTCTGGCTCGTCCCCAAGACCGGCTGGAACATCGTCCAGCGCGACGAGTTCGACGTCGCTGAAGCCCAGGCCGCCGGCCTCGTCTATCATCCCCGCGGCCTTCACGGCTACGACCACGAACACCCCCTCATGCGTGCCATCTTCGTCGCCCGCGGGCCCGCCTTTCCCCACGCCCCCAACAGCCGGCTGGACGTGTTTCGTGCGTGTCCCGTGTCCCGTGTCCCGTGTTTGTTGCTTATGTAATAACTGACTAATCTTCTCCCAGAAAATATCGACGTCTACAACATCATCTGCGATTCCGTCGGCCTCGAGCCCAAGCCCAACAATGGCACCCTGCGCCTGCCCCTGGTCCCTGTCGGCCTGCACTCTGACGATGCCACTATACCGCCCGCTGATCCCGTCACAGCCTACACTCTCACGACAACGGCCTCGTCTACGGCCTCCACGTCTACGCTTTCCACATCTACGGCTTCCACAATTATTGCCTCCTCTTTAACCACAACAGCCTCCACATTTACAACAGCCTCTACGTCCACCTCCGCAACAACCTCCACATCTACAACAGCTTCCTCGTCTTCAGCTGCTATAGCTGTAAAGCCCACCACCACCGTTGCAGAGACCACCACTGCCACTACTACAGTCTCCACACCTTCCTCCAACAGCACCACCGCCGCAGACGACGTCAAGGCTGCTGCAGACGACCTTTGGAACTGGTTCACCGACAAGATCGAAGACGCCTGGAACAAGATTTCTGGCAGCTCAAAGACACAATCTTCCGGCTAAGTACAGCTCTGCTATAGTACCCCCTTTTCCTACTTATATCTGTTCCTTTTGATTCCCCAGGCTCATTTCTTTTGTGCTTTCCACATCTTTTACGGCGTTTCAGCCCTGTGTCTTTGCAATGTTCACTCGTTCATTTACGTTCGCTCTCTGTTGAAACAGAGTAATATTGACCGCCGGCTTTTTGTGCGCGTCGTATCGTGTCGTCTGCTTTGTACTGGGTATAGAGATTAATAAATACATATTAAACAAGACCCGTCAGAAACACCACTGCTCCTTCTGCCATCTGTCATTACCAGAGAAATCATCATGCGTGCTGGCTGCATTCCTGCCAAGGTATTCCCATAAACTATCGCTTCTCTTTTCCTGATCACAGCTTGCTTCGTCTCCTCTTCTGGTTTCTCTTCTTTTTCGGCGTACTGCTGTAATCCACTCCAATGTCTAAATACTCCGACTATACGCGTCTCCGTTGCCTCGGTCAAACGGGACTGTCAGCTGTATCTGTCGTCTTAGTGAGCTAGTTTGCGAGGCGAGTGCGCCCGAAATTCGATCAGTCGGCGTGTTCTAGGCAACCTCGCGCTAATGGCTTTCAATACAGAGCCAATCCGCCAACACTCTTTGAATCAAGTCGGTGCTGCCCTCTATCGCATTGATCTGGTGTGCCTTTCTTTCTAGCAACTGATACACAAGAGTTACTCAGCCACCAGCTTGTCTCGAACTGTCGCCCATTTCGCCAAGTGCTTCCTTTAACCTGGTCGCTTCTACAAGTCTCCGCCCCTCAATGCCATACTTCACCGGCCTGACCTCGCCGAGGTTTTCGCTTCGGACGACTTTCGCTTCGGACGACAGCGTCGTCAGCGTCATTGAGCTAAAATTGGATCAACCTAGCATCGCCTTTTGGACATCCTCCCCTGTCTCATTTTCACTGTTGCCTGGGCTGAGAGGGCCAGCTGGCTTTTTTCGGTTGCATGTCCTTCTCGTGACTCAAGGGACTCATCCGGAACGTTGAGGAGCACTGTGGTAATGTTATCTGCTGCTGCGCCATCTTGTCCGTTCATGGCCTCCAACTGTCCGCTCTAAATTCCATAGTCTCTTGTGCGCTTCATAGCGCCTGGAAGACTAAGCGGCGTGACCGACTTTATTTTCAAACGACGTTTCTACGCCGAAGTATGGGGGTCAAGTACGTGATAGACTGTGTTCCTGTCAGATTGAAGAAAGTCTCTCCACTGTCCAAAATCTACATGCAGCTGTTGCTCGCTCTGTCGATCAGGACAGCGAGCCCATATATCTCCGCTGATGTATATGGACCTTTATTGATGAATAGACAAGCGTCGTTCCTGGGTCGCAAAATAGCCGAGAATGCAATACTTCTTTTTGAGTGGGGCAGCTTGACGTCAAAAGTCGAGGTCACGAGTGCTCAACACTGACCACGTCCCCGTCCGACTGGACGTCACCAAGAAGCGATATCATTTTGCAGTCTGGGGCGTGAAAGACAGCCTGCTTTACCTCGCTTTCTAACTACCGCCTCGTTCACGATACTGCTTCACCGTCGATGCAGTCGACGGTAAATGGGTTCGGCTGTGGTCTGGGTACTCGAAAAAAAAGTTGAGAAAGAAAGACAAGATGATGCAGATTGATTGAATGATGCAGGGACTGCCCCACTTGCGTCAGTCGTGCCTTCCCGTCTTCCAAGCTTTCAAACTCCCAGGCTTCCATGTCTTGGCGCTCTCCATGATCACCAAATTATTCCTGCAAGTCATCGCGTGAATCTTTCGTAGAAGATTCCAGGATCTCGTGGATGAACTGGCTCAATTGATGGGCCGCGCAAATGGTCGAGTCTCTGAATTTGCGGCCTGCCTTGCGCCCCCCCCCTCCTTTTTGCAATTGGTCTGACCTCACATGTCAGACGGCCTTTCATTGGCCCCGTGCCGTTTTCAATCAGCCCGGGATTCAACCTTACGCCTAGCGAGGTTTGGCGTGGCTGTGTCCCGGCTATTTTTTTTCTTTTTCGCAGTGCGGGAGCTTGAGAATATGCAAAGCATCGGGCCTGCGCCTCACACCTTTGCTATTGGTTGCATATCCGGAGGCACCATGGGGCCAGCCGAGTGCTGAGGCTGAAGATTTTCGCCGTTAAGCAGACGGCCAGAGCGATGGAGGATGACATCGGGGGGGAAGAGGCAACCAGCTAAGCCGGACACATGTGGTGTTGGGGGCCGTTCATGGGTAACATTCGCATCTTTCTTTGACCGCTTATAGCGGCACGACAAAGGGAAACACAGACTTTGAGGCTATGTGTGCATAAGTGACCTGAATTCGGACCCAAGGCTGGCAAAGGCGCAAAATCAGTTCCGAGAACAGCCGTTTGAGCATTGGGAGTTACGATTCTGTATAAATTCGGCTCTTTCCTCGATGCGTTGTCCTGTTCCTTTGCACTTCAACACATACTCTTCTACTCTCTACAAGGCTGTACCACACAAGACCATCATTGTCCCATTCATATCAAGAGCTGCGACTACAACACATCTCACTCATACACTCACTTGCTCACACAACCACAACCACAACCACACACTCGCACAAACACGCACACATACACCCCATCACACGTCATCCCAATGTGCTGCAGCGTCTACCACACGTACCGGTGCGGCCACAGAGCTGAATCCACATTTGCCTCCTGTGGCCACGAATCCTCCCGACACCACCGCGTGACCACGCTGAACCAGAGCCGGTCGCTGTGCCCACGATGCCAGGCAAACCATGACCGCGATCCGGTCTGGCAGAGCTGGCGGTATGATGCTGTCCGGGAGAGCGAGACGGAGCGGCAGAGGTACATCCGCCGGCACGAAGTGGAGGCCCGCCTGCGGGCAGCATACGACCGAGAGCAGGTCGAGCGGGATCTGGCACACGAGCGCCTGGCCAACCGCTTTCAGCGCCGGAATGACGACTGGGACGACGATCTTCAGGTGCGTGTGAAGATGGTTCGCTACCACGGCCATTGCCGATGAGCCCTTGCGGCTCTCGGTGTCTGAGACGGGGACACGAAAACGATGTACGCAAAGGAACAGAGAGGAAGGAGAGTGTTGCTCGTACCAGACTTGAGCCTTTCCTTCGGTTGTACTACTAAGCGGTGGCGGATGCTTGTGCCGTCCTTGATATCTCATGTTTTTCTCTCTCTCTTTTCCCCTTACCTTCTTTTATTTCCTATGCTCTTCTTCTTCTTCTCCTCCATTACCATACGTTTAACACACCCAAAACCTGTTACTTTGTTTGACTAGGAAAATCACATTTCATGAGGAACGATCAGTGGTTTTAGACGACACCAACTATTGGTCATCGCCTGTGTAGGTTGTATTTTGTCCTGATAGACTTAGGTAGTTAAACCAATAACATCCTGCTGTATTCTAATCTCCCCATTGAGATTGAAATGTAAACGCCTGTAGAGCCCTTCCGATCGCTGATTTTTGACAAAAGAAAATGTAAAATGTAGTAATGGGCTGCCAGCCCTAGTAACATCCGATAACCCCAAGAGACCAATTCCATCCCGATCGTGTATGCTGACCATCCAATTAAATATAGTAGTACAGAGGGTATCATAATATGACAAAGGAAAAGTAGTGTAGACATGGTGAGAGTGTGCTGTAGAGGGGAAAGAGGGAAGCATATATGGCTTATGCCTCTTGAATCCCGAAAACGATTCCTCTCCGCTTCCAGTCGCCGCGCTTCAGGAAGCGATCGACATCAGAAGTCTCGGCGAACGGAATGCGGAGGTGCACCGGAGAGGTAGGCGCACTGATAGTGGCGGCCTCTGTGATAGGCGTGGCCGGCCTAGATGGCTGATGCAGGTCGGCCTCGGAATGCGATGCACCTAAGCGGCGGTGGTGTGGTGGTGGCGAGAGCATGGTAGCAAATTGCATGTTGTCGTCGTCATCGTGGCTGGAGAACCGACTATAGTCGTACAGGTCATCGTCATCGTCATCGTCATCGTCGAGTACCAGGCGGATGGCATGACCAGCTGGGCGTGGCTTGGCCATGAAGCCAAAATCAAAGCCGCGGACGGACGAGTCAGAGGGCTGCGACAGGCCTTCGTCGTTGAAGAAGCTGGCCGGAACGGCAGGCGGGTGCATCCGCAGCGGATTCCACGCGTGGTGGTCGGAGATGCGAGAAAGTGACGAGGAGAGGGAGGAAGAGGAGGCGGTGGAGCTGGCAGACGACCAAGAGGACGAAGCCTGTGAAAAGTGACTGCATGTGCTGACATGGCGATTGAAATCCTGGCTGTGGTTGCCGTGGTGAATTGAGTTCGGCTGAGCCGTAGGTGGCATCGGCATTGGCATCGAGATAGTTACCGGATAGGAGACCGGCAGGTCGGTCGGCAAGGGAGGCACAGGCGGAATGTCGTCGTTGACGGAAGGAATGTGAGAGCGGCGAAGGCCGCGGGCCCGGCGAAGGAACTTGTCCTTGGAAGTGAACATGATGTTGATGATCTTGAGACTGGTGTGGTTGGATGACAAGACAAGATGCAGAGGTAGATTGTAGATGTGTTGCAGTGAGGCACAAGATGAAGCTGGTCAGAGATGGCGGGGGAAGTCAGTCATTAATAAAGAAGACGAGTGGCCAGGGTCAGGGAATGGAAAGAGGGACACAAGGCTAAGTGCGTAAGTGCCGGAGTAAGATGCTAGCAGCAGGATGGGTCTCGATCTGAATCGCCGTCTGACTGGGCAAAGGACGAGAAGACGCTTCCAGCGGATGTCGATCCATCCAGCATATTGCCAGCACAGCCTCTTGGGTGCGGCTGCCCCGGTTCTACGGAGTCGTAGGCGGCCAGGTATCTCGGTGGTGTGCCGAGCAGCACGTAGTTACAAACATGACGGGACAGCATGCACGAAAGAAAGCCTGCACGCACTTGCTGAACGAGCAGGGATCGTCGGGCTAGGAAGCGGGGCGGGAATCCAGTGGAGAACCACGCCGGCTTTGTTCGGTTTGGTGATTCAGCTGGGGGATGCAATCAGAGCCCTAGTTCGGAAATGGTTGCATCGATTAGCTGCGCCCACGAGTAGCTGCGTGGCCATAGTGCGTTCCATGTCCGGCGGTGAAAGCAAGCGACTGAGACATGTTTCTCACTCGATTGGCGGTTTCAAGCCAGAATCACGTTTTCGTCCTTTGTCTGCCAAGGGACCCAGGGATGAAAAAGAAATCACGTCTGCAGCGAGGAGAAAGAAGGGTGGTGTGAGAGCTGGTGCCATGACTGACCACACAAAGCCGCTGATGAGACTCTTGTGTTCAGAGATGCTCCCAGCAGCGTCCCACGTCGACCGCCATGAATGACGGCATCGATGGTATCGGAGGCAGCAGTGGTAGCACATGTTGTCATGGATTGCCCCTAGTGCATAGGTGTGGCACCCTATCTACTCGTAGGCTTGGGTTTTATTTCGCAATGGTCAAGACGGGGTCTGCAGGCTCGATACGAGCAGGTCAGATACCCACATGATGCGTGCATCTCACTCTGAATTTTCGCTTCGTTCCAAGATGAGGGGTGTGTGCAGAAACCCCTGTCCGATGACGAGGGGAGGGGAAGAAACGAGTAGACGTGGAGATGGGCCCTTTTCTCAATTAGGCGTCCATTTGGGCGGAATGCAGTCTGACACCTGTTGACAGGATTTGTCTGCAGGCGGACGAGGATGGCGTGTACTGTACTCAATCCGTGAACGAAATCACGGCTGCATTCGGTTTCGCATTCGGTTTTGCTATCGATCTGTCGTGCGGTACACCGACTTTGTCTTGGAAGCTGCGTCATGTCTCGTCGAGCTTGTAACGGTCTGGGAATAGATCATCGCGCTATCCAGGGCCACGAGGGCCAGCAGGGACCAGGCAGCACTGTACATAGTAAGATACGAGTGAGCAAACCCTACGAGATGCCGCTCCGTTCAGCAGTGCACGCACGCAGAGCGGCCCACATTGGCGGTGGGTCGCTAATTGAAAATTTGAGTGCAGATTTCGCTGTGGGTCCGCCGCTCGTTCACCAGCCAATCAAGGACCAACGCGATGGGGGCAGATCGAGGGCGAGCTGGAAAGGAAATGAAGACGCAGTGGAGTAACCCAAGGGAAAAAAAAGGCCCAAAGCAGTATCGCCGCAAGATGGGGGAGGGGCGGCCAGGACAGGCAATACAAAGCAGTTGAAAACGGAAGCCAGGAACAGGCAAGCACGGCCGACTGTATGTGTCACAGGACGCAGCGATCAGGCACAGACAATGGCGGGAATTAGCAGGAGCGAACAGACACCCGAGGCAGAGCGGGGATAGCGGGCCTGGTGGCTGTTCCCTCTACAGTCTACATCTGCTGACACATGTAAAAATCCGATACTATGTAAGATACATAGTACTCCGTAGTACGGAGTAAGTACGGAATCGTTTACAGTTGCTCGCAGTATGCAATACTCCGTAATAGAGAGCCCGTGCGCTGCAGCAGTACTGTGTATGCAGCTGCAGCTGCCAGCGAGGTTCTGCCAGCTCATGGACCCAATGCTCCATAATACGTCCGGGTGGACTAGCCAGCTGGCAAGCCATGCAGCTGCCCGGATTATTCCAAATGTGACAGGTTTGATGGGCATGCATCGGTCATTGTGGATGGAAAAAAGGCAAAGAAGAAAGGAAACCGCGAGAAAAACGAGGAAACCCCGAAACGAGCGAGGTGAAGCCGAATCCGCCGCAGCGGAAATAACTAGGGCAAGCCGAAAATAGGGAAGCCAAAAAGAGGAAAAAGAGAAAATAGAGGCGAGAGGGGACGTAAGAGGGACGTAAGAGATGGATTGGCCTATTCAGCTCCCTTGCATCCACAGCGCGTGGCCTCTCGGAGCAGCCAATAAGAGGACAGTACCAAGGCGGCTTCGCCGACACGGGCCAGCCTCCGTTACGGCGATCCCTCGACTCATTTAACTCTTTCCAGCTGCTCCCCGCAAAGACGATCCGGTGAGCTTGTGCGCAGGCAAGCGTCGATTTGGCATCGCGAGGGAGATGGCCAGGCGGGCGGGAAATTGAGGTTGGGGCAGGATGCCTCAGCAGAACAAAGTACGAGGTGAGGTACAGTACGTGCTAATGAGCGGCAGCGGCTGCTGCTTGCACCTTCCCGACGTGGCATGGCTCGTTCCTGCCGGCTCGGCTGCAAGGCGTTTCCACAAGCAGAGCACATGGTCCTGGTTTTGGTCTCGGAATTTTTTATATTTTAAAACACTCGACTCGTATAGCCCATGTGGAGGCGGCGAAAAAGCAAGCAGACGGGCCAGCCGCAACGTGGCTCACCAGTGCGGCGACCAGCCAATGTACATGGCCGACAGGTTCTGCGGGTCGGTGGCCTGCTTGATCAGCTCCCAGGCCTGGCCCTCGACGCCCAGCGGAATGGTCTCTTCCAACAGCAGGCCGTTCATGCGGCGCTTGATATTCTTCACCACGCTGGGCGGGTCGAGCCGGACGACCGGAGCAGGCTTGGGACGGCCAGCAGCAGCAGCGGTCTTGCCCTGCTGCTGGTGGTGACGCGGGTCGACCTGCAGGTCAAGGGTGGGATCGTGGATAAAGGCCTCGAGCACGGCCAGCAGAGTCTCCTCCTGTTCGCGCAAGAGGCGTAGGGTCAGCTCGCACGAGCGACGAAACGGGCCGCGATGGTCGCAGATGCCCATGACGGCGCGCATGTTCTGGGTCAGCCGGAAGGGCACGGTCTCGGGCTGGGTGAAGAGACGGCCCTTTTCGAACAGGCAGTTGAAGTCGACGTGCATGACGGCACCGGTGCCCTCTTCGACCAGCACGTTCTCGCAGTGACGGTCGCCGAGTCCGAGCACGGCCCCAACCATGGACATGACGGCAGCCGAGCGCGTGAAGCGCAGCCGGGCAGCAAACCAGGCGGCCGGATAGGGAAACCGCCGCATAAACCACTCGTGCAGAACGGGCGGGAAGGCCGGCAGGATCTGGGTTGTGAAGACGCGAGCACGCCGGCTGGCCGTCTCGGCCTCGTTGAGCAGCCGGACAATCTCGAGCGGATCGGGTGGCCGGGGTTGCACCTGGCCGCGACGCAGATCGTAGTACGGCCGAACAATCTCGCGCAACGTCTTGAGTCCCAACACCCACTCGATGATGCCACAGTCCTCGTTGAGCGGCGTGACGGCATACGTGCGGATCGACAGCTGCCGGCGCATGGCCTCGGTGTCCTTGCGCAGGGCCTGGTTGATGAGCGCGTTGACCTCCATGATCCGCTGGTCCGTCCGCATGTCGTCTTTGGGCTTGAGCAGCACGTCGTAGAGCCGGCCGTCAGAGCCGCGCATCGTCAATTTTCGTGGTTGGGCCAGCGATCCGAGAATCAGCACCTCGTCCTGGAACGACTGGATCGTGATCACGTCGGCCGCGAACGCATTGTGTGTCGAGAAGTTGGTTCCGGTGCTGCTGGTGCTGGTCATGCTGTCTGCTATACCCGGGCCTAGCCCTGTTCCCATACCACCTCTTCCTCCTCCCGCTGCCCTTCCTGGCAGTACTGCCGTCAGACATCGTGCAATCGGCACGACAAAGGGAAAGGAGTGGTTGGCCTGGCCAAAGTTCATGTCTCGCTTCAGACTGACGGCCTTGGCCGTGCTGTTGGCTCGGTAGCTGCCCTTGCGGCCGACCTGCACCAGCTCGTCAGCCAGCCCGACTCCTCGGCGCAACATGGACTGCAGCGAGGGCAGCCGGGCTCCCGATGCCGCGGCCGGCTGTCCTGGCGCCGCACATAGGGCCTTGAGCAGCCGCTCAGCCGCCCGCTTCGTCTGGTTCTGACCGCGGCCAGCTCGTGCCGTCAGCACGCCGAACACGCTCCAGAGCGCCTGTTGCGGATAGGCCAGGACGACCTTGACGATAAATTGGTCCAGCACGTGACACGCCTCTTTGTTGGGGTGGTTGATTCGGGCTACTAGCTGCGGTAGCGCTGTGTAGAAAATAAACGCCGGCAGTCGCTGCACGTGACGCAGCAGTCGTTTGTGCAGGCTGGTCAACACCTCGTTGCGTCGTCGTCGCAGTTCGTCCGACACGGCCGCCTTGCCGTCGGGTGCCCGGTCCACCTGTGATCCCAGGGCCAGCCAGGCCGTCAGGATCCGCGGCAATGTCGTGTGCAGGTATTTGGTCCCGTACTTGGCTGCCCGCAGGTAGTGCTCGATTTCCATCCGCGCCATGTCGCCCGTCAGGAAGAGATCGCTCTGTTCGTCCGGCTTCAGCGTCTGTTCCGACTCGAGCACCTTTTTGTAGTGCCGGCCCAGGAAGTAGTGACTCTTCTCCCACTCGCCGTACCGGCTGGCCAGCTCGCGATATTCGTCTCGCAATGCCGATCGCGATGTCTCGCCGCTGGCATCCAGCCATCGCGTCATCAGCAGCCCAGCCCGAGCTGCCAACGGTGCTCCATCCTGTGCCGACCACCTGTTGTCCTTGGTGTCCTTGTCTGTGCCTTCGTCGTCGCCCGCCAGCAAGCCCCGTCCGATGGCCGTGCGCAGATCCGCAATCGCCTGGTGTCGTCCTCCCCATGCCCACTGTCGCCGCGCATTTTCCACTTCGGCTGCCGGGTCGTTGAGCTGGCGCGCATGCGCAATCGCCTTGAGACACTCGCCATTCGATCCTGTCTTGCGTGCCAGTCGCGCGCTCAGCAGCCAGAGCGACGAAATCGCCCGGTCGCTGTATGTCGGCCGCATCGCCTCCATCGCTGCTCGTTGCAGTCCCAAAACATATCGCTTGTTGCTGACGTCTTCCAGCAGATCTAGCCGCTGCACCACCGTCGCCAGAGCTTTGCGTGCCGTCTCTGCTGTCCCGCCTGCCGCTGCCCCGATCATCCGCAGATCCGTCACCACATGGGCCTTGAGCATCGTCTCGTGACACGCCTGCAACGACGACGTTGTCGAGTACGACACCGCTGCTGCCACTCCGTCGACCATGCGGTCCAGCACCCGACCAAACTCATCCGTCTGCTGCTGTCGTAGGTGACACAACGCCCGCGCGATGCCCACGTTGAACACGTCCGCCACCTCGCCCTTGTGCAGTGCCGCCAGCGCCGACAGCCGCGGCCACTGAAACGTCGCCCATGCTGCTTCCAGCGCCAGCGGCAGCACCTTGTTGACCGTCGCCGGAACCGCTTCTGCCAGTCCCATCCCGTCCACCCGTGCCAGCAGCGCGTCGTGGTGGCCCGCCTCGAGGAAGCACGTCAGCACTCGTGCCTGGATCTCCATGTTGTCCGGCTCCGCGCTGAGGTCTGACAGATACCACGTCGTCGCCGATTCCCACCGTCCGGCCTTTTGCTCCAGCAGCGCTTTGCGATGTGTGTTCATTTCCATCAGACTGCCAGCTTTGCTCATGATCCCGCTCAAACAGTCGGGGTCGTCGATCTGCGCGTATATGTCGATCAGGTCTGCCTCCGCCCGCTCTCGCCGCCCGCTTCCATCCGTGTCTGTCTCCGCTACCGCTGCCATTGCGACCGGCTCCAGGAAGAACATCGCTCGCGCGTAGTCGCGGCAGTACATCGCCCGCTGCGACAGCACTTCTGCCGGAAACGCCTCCAGGAATCGTTCCAGTTGCCCCACGCCCTGTGGCTTCTCGTAATGCAGGCAGCTGCGCAGCCACACCATCGCGTACTCAATCACCCGGAACACTGCGTCGTAGAACAGCTTAGCCTGCTCGCGCTCCGCCGATGGCGCCGCATCTGCCGGCTGGTATTCCGAGATGTGCTTCAGCTCCGCTGCGATCTGCTCCCGCTCCTGCTCCGTGCTGTCTGATCCCGTCACCACGTACACTACCAGGTACGGCAGCAGGAACTCTGCCACCGCCAGGTCCAGCCCCTTGGCCGCCCGCGAGAGCGATTCGTAAAGAATCTTGCCAGCTGCGTTTTGTGGCTTCGCCAGCAAGTCCGTCACCAGCAGCCGCAGCCAGTCGCCGTACGTCCGTCCACCCCGGAAGATCGGATACCGCGTCTGCATCGGCCCCGGCGGCGCAATGTGGTACTTGGACACCAACAGCGGCGACAGCACCACCTGCACCAGCTCTGGCAGCGCCCGCCACTTGTCGTATGCCTCTGGCATCTGTGCCCCGCGGCTCTGCACCGCTGCGCTGATCCCGCTGCGCGACAGTAGTGTCTGCACCGCATGCGCGATCAGTCCCTGGCTCGTCGAGTTGGTCGCCGACAGAAACGCCCGCGTGAGCACGTGCTGCAACATGTACATCACAAAGTCGATAAACTCCTCCGCCACCCGGAAGTTCCAGATCACCACAAATGGCGCGTCCTTGCCAGCTGCTCCCAGCCGGTTGGCGTCCAGACAACCCACGAGTCCGATGCACGTCAGGCAGTTCGCCGCCAGTGCCGGCTCTGACGCGCTGTACTTGGCTGAGCACTCTAGAAGCGCCCGCACAAGCCCGGCCACCGCCGAGTCTGACTTCTCGCCCTGTGCCGGTGCCTGCAGTGCATCCTGGTTGCCCTCGAGGAACTCGCGCGCCTCCTCCAGCGCCACCCAGATCACGTCCAGGTTCTCGTGTCGGATCCGTTGCGCAAACAGGTCGATCGTCTGCATCACACCGAGCGTATGGTGAAGCCGGTCTAGCCGTCCGCCCACGCCGTTCTGCAGCTCCGGGATCTTCAGCCGCGGCAGCAGGTCGATCTTGTCCAGCAGACAGTCGCGGTGATTCCGTCCGTCCGGCTTTTCCAGCAACCATGCCAGCAGGCTTTTGCACGTCGCCTTTTCCGACTCGCCAAACTGCTCCCAGTTCTTCCGGATCACCGCAAACGTCGTCTCCATCAGCATCAGCACGTTCTCGTCGCCCACATGCTGCACCAGCGTCGCCCAGCACGAGATCGCTACACGGCGCACCCCGGTTCGCCAGCAGGCCGCATACTCCGCCCCGTCGTCGCAAAGCGCATCGAGAAGAAAAGAGGTCACCTGATATGATTATGTAAGCAATCATCCATACTCACATAGCCCTGGGGTTTACCTACCTGTGGACGTGCAGTCCGTATTGCAGACCGTAGATACTTGATCAGGATCTCCAAAGCCTCTATGCCGTCGATCCAATGGCACAGATGTTTCTTGCCGTTGTATACGTGGACGTCCGACAGCCTAGTCGTCAAGCCCAGCACATGTTGCGACAGGAAGCCCGTCACAACTTCTTCATCCGACTGTGTCTCGGCGTCCTTCTTCAAGAGCCGCGCAATGGTGAGGATTGGCGCGAAGCCAATGCCGTCCGAGATCTGCGAGCGACACGGTCAGGTCTGCTTGCTTGCGGTCCGCAGCAGAGCGGCCAACTTACCGTCTCAAACCGGTCTGGAATCCGTTCCACGCTGTATGTCAGCCGAATAAAGAGCTCTGAGAGCACCGGAATGGCGGCGGCACCCATCACTTCGCGGATGGAAGCAGGCCCCAGCCGCGCAGACAGGTCCTGCAGCGGCAGCATCAGATCGTCCAACGTCGCAACGTCGGACGGGAGCTGCACCCAAAAGGCCAGGATCGACGTCAGGTTTGCCTTGTCGATCAGCGTCGGCCACAGCTCATCGCCGTCTCCGCGCAGTTCGGCAATCTTGCTAATGGGCGCCAGGTTCTTCCGAAACAACAGATCAGGGATGGCGTGAGACTGCAGCCGCAACGCCAGCCTCGTGGCCGTCATGCCAAACAAATTGGCAATTGCCGTCGCCACGGCCGGCCGCTCAGCTATGTGTTTGACGATCTGATACGCTGTGGTTCGCCAGTATGGCTCGAACAGCTCGTTTGGTGTTCGTCCAAACCACGAAGCAAGATAGCGAAGCTGGCCAACACGTCAGCTCCTTCTTGATTTGCCTTTTCGCCTCGTCGTCGCCTCTCTCACCTCTGATATCGCTACATCGCGGACTGGCTTATGGCTGCTGTCCAGATGCAGAAGAAGGCCCTGGAGCATTGGCTCGAGCTCGTTCTCGGCGACAACCCTGCACAGCGTCAGAATAAGTGGCCATGTGAAAGAAGCCCGACCCGCTTGCGTACATTCCCAGCTGTGTCCAGACAAGCGCACTTGTCTCTTGCACCGCACAGTTTCCAGATTCGAACATGCGGTTCAGTCCATGGTGAAACCGCTGCCTATTCTTCAATACCGCCTTTTCCGTCTCTTCGCCGCGATTGCACGTGTATGCACTGAGCGATTTCCTAATCCATGTCAGCACCATCTATTATGAGGGATTCGCAACTACATACGCGGCCTGGACGCGCACGGCATTGTCAGGGCTGTAGAGCTGCGAAGAGCACCATTTACATAGATGCGAGCGGTCGTAGTCGAGCACATTGATGGTGGTGCTGTGGAGGACGATGCGACGGAGGAGTATCAATGCCCGGACCGTAAGCGGTCCTGCTCCCGGAGCAACGAGCGTCGTGACCACTCTCTCAAAAAGTTCGTATGCACACTTCGCATCCTCTCCACTATTGGGGCTTTGTATCTTGCCCTCCAGGTGCACAGAGCTGCAATACTCGCACATAAACGCCGAGTCGTTGTCCTCCGGGTCGGAAAGAGCACACGTCTGATGGAGCACGCATATTGTCTGGCTGAGAAACTGCATCGCCGCCAGTATGTCTGTCTCGTCTCTGCCGATGCCATTCTTGTCCAGCTCATCACTAGGTCCATGTTAGTCGATCCTCGGCCTACATACGTAATTGAACAAAAGCTCGTCTTACCACATGTGAACGAGTGTCTCCCTGATGCTCTCGCCCGCCACCAGGCCAAAGCGGGCACATATTCGGCCTTGCAGGTTCTCCCAGTTGGGCAGGCTGACGTCGGACTCTGTCTTTCTCCGCTTCGGATTTTTATCCCTGCTGAATGGGTCTTCGTCGGTGGGAGAGCGTGCCCGGTCGCCACCGCTGCCGGTCCGCCGGGAGGCATTCTGCGACGGCACGGTCATGCTGTGCCACCATCTGACCCAGTCCGTTCTCGTGTCAGAAAACGAAGTGCGCTTAGTTTGGGGATCGTCAGTTTGTCGGATATGCAAGCTTGGCGGAGAGAACGACGCGCCAACGCAGCCTGGCGGGGCGTCTTGGTTCGCGTGGCCACGTGACTTTGATTATTTCGCTCTCTCCGCTGCAGAGTTGGTGGTCCCATTTTGCAGCACGTCGACTTCACCGAAGCGCAGCAACAAGCCTGGCGCTTTACCGACGTGGAGGGCCAGCAAACGAACGAACCAGCCAGCCCGGTCTTGCAGGCGCCTTTCGACAACATGGGTGCCTTCCAGCGAAAAAAATTCCAGTCATCTGCGGATGCGAACAAATTTGCGTCACGGTATCGGGCGGCCATGGCCAAGCATCCGTTTCTGCTCTTCGGCCTGCCGTTCCTTGTGGTCATGGTCGGCGGGTCGTTTGTCCTGACGCCGGCGACAGCGATCCGGTACGAGCGACACGATCGCATGGTCCGGCAGCTGTCGCGTGAAGAGGAGCTGGGCATTGGCAAGGGCGGGCGCAGGGCGGACATGCGGGAGGAATACTACGTGAGTTCTATCTGCCTTCCTGGCTGGCCGATATAGATAAGATGTGGACCGACACTGACACCGACGCCGACAGAGACTCGCCCACAAGGACCTGGACAACTGGGAGCAGAAGCGGGTCAAGAGGCTCAAAGGCGAGAATGACGGAGTGTTGTAGGTCACCTAGCATGAGAAGCTGTTCTCGTCGGGATGCTTGCAGTTGCCAATCACGTCTAGGACAACAACTTCGGACTGGCAAGACAACGTGGGGGACGTATCTCTGCTGATGATGGGAATGGCCCACGAGATACAGAGCCGCGGGATGTGGCAAATGGCGGTGCGGCTGGTGCTATTTCAGAAGCCAATCCGTGTTAAGAGCTCGGTCAAGTCTCACCTGCGATATCTGCAGCAAAGGAAGCAAGGCGGCGGCGTCCGACAAAAAAACAGCGCATCGAGTGTGCAACATGGCTACAGTGAAGCCAAGGCAGCCAGTCAAGGCAGCTGGCACAATCAACCCCCCTGCCGCTTTGCGCCATTGGTCTGGTGATGTACAAGTATCTATAGGGCTAAATTTGCTGAGGCGGGTTGCATATGACGAGAATTGGATAAAAGCATACTACCTGTCATTTATGCATCAATGCGGGACACACGCCGAAGCTAAATCAAGCCAAACCGAGCAGCCAAATACGTAAGGGCGTTTTTAATCTACGGAGTACAACCTCGCAACCAGCACAGCTATCTTGCCGCGATAAGCCGTCAGACGATTGCCGGTGCTCTATATAAGCTGACAGCAGGCTGCGCCGCTCAGGCTGCGCAAAGAAGTGCATCTTGCGACACACGAATCATCTCACACAATTCGCAATCCACTGTTCAGCCGTCATCCGGTTGAGATCCACGTCTGATTTACCCCTCCGCAGCGGCTCACGAGAAAACTTTTTATTCAAACACTACACGAGTGCCAACGTACCATGTCTGTTCCAGGGTCGACGAACTCGCCGGGGCTTAAGGCTCTCCGGTCAGCCCTGCGAGACGACTCTGAAAAAATGCCGCCTTTGAGTGGTGTGCCAAAGGGTGACTACACCCGATTCAGACTGCCTGTTTGTGCTTACTGACATGTGCGCGACCCTGCTCTCAGCCGTGCAGATAGCCGAGCCCGATGTGTCGGCAACACTGGCGCCGTTGGCCATCGCCGAGGAGCCGCTGTCGAGGAAGCAGTTCACGGCCAACGTGGCACGACGGCTCAGCGGACGAGCAGCGGTGCCGTCGGGGACGCCGTCATCGCGCAACTCACTGATCAGCCAGCCGAGTACGGAAGCTGTGAGCCCGCACATGACGGGCTCGCCCATGCAGATGGCTGCCGACGAGGCCAAGCCGGCCCATCATCACGGGCGCCGCAGTGTTGACCAGGCCAGCGGACGGCTGCTGGCCCAGCTGGCCGAGTGGCTACAGTACGAGAAGGAGAAGAAGGAGAGCCGCAAGTCTCGCCGGGTGCCGCGTGTGCACAACAAGAAGACGAGGTCGCCTCCGTCGGACGACACGGGCGAGAAGGCCAAGGCGAGCAGCAAGGGCAAATTGTGGGAAGGAGCGGCCATTGATGAGTCAGCAGCGATAGTAGTGCCAGAGATCAAGCACACGCGGTCGCTATCGACAGGCTCAGCGTCGAGCGACATGTCGCTGGACCGGCTGCAGCGGATCATAGACGATGGGATGGCGGCCATGGGGATCGAGTCGCTGTCGGGGTTGGCAGCACGCGGACGAACATCGAGCAGTGGGCGGCGGCATCACTCGCGCAACCGGCGGCACCAGCCGAGCCAACCGAGCCAGCCGAACCGGACGGCGTCATCAGACACCGACTACGTGGACGGCGACGTGTTTGTGCCGGGCTGCGACGCGGTGTTGGACAACGCTAAGACGCTCAAGTACGCGGCGAGCAGTAGCAGCCAGGGCCAAGGTCAAGACGCGGGCAGCCGGCGGGAAGAGAAGGAGCGCGCGGCGTGGGTGAGCTTCAAGAACGAGATCATCCGGCTGGCCCACACGCTGCGGCTCAAGGGGTGGCGCAAGGTGCCGCTAGACGCGGGCGAGACGATCACGGTGGAGCGTCTGAGCGGTGCGCTGACGAATGCGGTGTACGTGGTGCTGCCGCCATCAGACGTGCTGCCGGCGAGCACAAGCAGCAAGACGAGTCCGGGAGCGGCGAGCGCGGTGGCCATTGCGGGCACGCCGGGGTCGTTGTCGTTCCAGGGGGCTTCCGGAACTTCTGGAACTTCCGGGACTTCCGGGACTTCCGGGACTTTCGGGGTTTCCGGGACGTCTGGCCGTCGCAACCAGCCGAACAAACTACTCCTCCGCATCTATGGCCCGCAGGTGGAGCACTTGATCGACCGCGAGAACGAGCTGAGCGTGCTACGACGGCTGGCGCGCAAGAAGATCGGCCCGCGGCTGCTGGGCACGTTTGCCAACGGGCGATTCGAGGAGTTCTTTGACGCGTCGACGCTGACGTGCGTCCAGATGCGCGAGCCCGACACCTCGCGGCAGATTGCCAAGCGCATGCGCGAGCTGCACGACGGCATCGAGCTGCTCGAGGACGAGCTCGCGGCCGGCCCCAACGTGTGGCGCAACTGGGACCGCTGGCTGGATGCGGTCGAGCGCATCGTCTCGTTTGTGGACCGCGAGGTGCTCGCGGCCCAGCAGCTCGTCGCCAGCGGCTGTACCCCAACACCAATGTCTCGCGGCATGGCCGATTCCTGGAAATACCGCGGCTTCGTCTGCGGCGTCGAGTGGCCGGTCTTCCGCGCGGCCGTGGACAAGTATCGACAGCACGTGGTGCAGCATTATGGCGGCGAGCGGAAGATGCGCGAGAAGCTGAGTTTTGCGCATAATGATGTAAGTTTTGGGTTTTTATTTATTTATTATTTGGTTTTTCCCTGTTTTACCTCCTTCTTTCTTCCTCTTCTTCCTCCTCCCTCCTTCTTCCCTCCTCCTCACTCACACTCCCAGACACAATATGGAAACATCCTGCGGATTCGCCCCAGCGACAAATCCCCCTTGCTGCAGCCCGGCAATGAACACAAACAGCTGGTGGTCATCGACTTCGAGTACGCAGCAGCCAACCCGCCCGGTGTCGAGTTTGCCAACCACTTCACCGAGTGGGCATACAACTACCACGACACCGTTGCGCCGCACGCCTGCGATGCCGCCAAGTATCCCACGCCCGAGCAGCAGCGCCACTTTCTGCGTGCCTACGTCGAACACCGCCCCCAGTTCCCCCACCAGTCGGGCGCCAATACGCCGCGCTTCGGCCCCGTGTCGCTGCCATCGCCACCGTCGCTGTCGGAGCAGCCGTCGGCCAGCTCGATCGCCGAGTTCATGCTAGACGCCCGCGCCCCTCCTGGCGGCTGGAAGGAGGAGGAGCGCCGCCACGACGAGCTCGCCGACAGCCAGGTGGAAGCCCTGATGGCCGAGACCCGTCTGTGGCGCATCGCCAACAGTGCCCAGTGGGTCGTCTGGGGCATCGTGCAGGCCAAGGTGCCCGGCCTCAGCCTGGATGACGCCGCCGACGGCAACGACAACACCAGTGTGGCCAGCAGCACCCACAGCAGCGACGATGTCGAGCCGACCGTCGACGAGGATGGCTTCGACTACCTGGCCTACGCCCAGGACCGCGCCCTCTTTTTCTGGGGCGACTGTGTCCAGATGGGCATTGTGCGCCTCGGCGACCTGCCCGCAGACCTGCAGTCCAAGATCAAGATTGTCGAGTACTGAAGACGGCAGCCGAAGAGCCGAGGCCATGGGCTGTCGTTTGCTGGCCTTCGCACGGCATACCGATACTGTCTTGGGCAGGCGACCAACCGGCGCTTAAGCGGAGCAAAGAAACAGCCGACTGCGATGAAGAAAAAGACAAACAGGGAAGGTCACAGGAGGGCAGGAAGACGGTGCATTTCGGCCCCTTTGAACAACAGAAGTAAATTGAACGCGCCGACGCGTAGAAACGATATGTCACTCTCTCCAGTGCAAACCCCCTCTTCCTTTCCGACACGAGATGTATGGATTCTGTAGGCAGCAGATGCGAGATGCTGAAAAAGCAAATGCCGGCGCTAAACAACAGGCGGACAGCCCATTTGAGCCGCCATGGTGGATGCATTCTGTATGCAGGTCGCCAAATCGGGCTAGGTCCAACAGGGGATGAGTCGGTGCAGATGCAGGTGCCAGAGAGCAGTCACGGCAGACGGCGGTTAAGTGCCAATCTCGTACTATGAGGATCGATGGGAGCAGCAGTCCAGCAGCAGAGGAGACGACCAGCCCTTCCGGGTCACTGCAGCTGTTGAACGTCACGGGATGCAAGAGGCCGGGGAGAGAAGGAATAGCTGTCGAAGAAGCGGATGAGAGGGCAGAGAAGAGAATCAGAAGAAAAGATGGAGCAAAGACAGATAGCCTGAACTCAACGTTGCTCGTCTGCCTGCATGCATTCGTCCATTCTGCGGCTGCATCCGACGACACTCGTTAAGCGCCTTGGTGGCACGCCGACCGATCGGCAGCACCCCTGCCGGCCAGTGAGAAGTCTGCCCGGCCTCCCTGCACAGGTACCTTGCAGCTCTGTTGTCTGCCTCGGTTGCAGAAGGACACGCGTCTGGGAGCCCGCCTGAGCCACAGACGGCTGTTTGCATCTCGTCTGCTCGGCCAGCCTGCTTCTTGTTTCCTGCTGGATGTGCCAGCAACTTTCGGGCTGGTCGGCCGGCCTTGTGCGCCTGTCGTGAAAGCCTCGTCCGCAGTCTGTGCATGCTGGCTGGATCCTGGCTCCGGCCTGAACTCTGGCCTCCCATCTCTGTCCACGGATCACAGCATCATCGTGTACTTCGTGCAGCCTTGCCATCGGCCGATGCCGTCACCATCAGTAATCACTTCTTGCTTCGTCCCCAAACCACTCTCCCTCAGCCGCCGGCGCGAATGGCATGCACACAAGGGTATGATCGCCGCTAGGCGCGCTCGATAGGTCCCTGCGCATCTCGGCTCCTTTCCTGCCTCTGTGCCAATGCCTCGCCGACCCGCCCCCCCCTCCCTCTGGCTAGCATCCGTCTGCAGGCCGGGGCCGTTCTTACCCGCGCTTCTATGCAAGAGTGTGTCCACGGCTGTGCTAGACGCCGCCAGAGTCAAGCCAGCGGATCCACTCCCTCTGCGATCTTGGATGGCATGAAGCCATCGTCGGCCGCCCCAAGATGTCTCGACAAGGGACGAACACGGCCCCGAGCCGCAGCGCGGCCAATGGGCGCCATTTCCGCCGTCGCAACGCCAGCACGTCTGCCCAGCGATGCAGACCACCTGTCCACTTACCCGCGCTTGTCTTCCGCAACTCCCTGTCCTTGACGCGCTTCTCGCTCGTCAGGGCTGATTACTTTCACTCGCATCGGCTGTCGATTGCCTGCTTGGGCTAGAGTGCTGCTCTGACCCTTCGTTCCTTCCGCTTTCTGGCATCAGTCCCTCGCATCCCGGCCCGGACTTGGAGACTACAGTCCGAAAAGGGCAGCTACGACGACAGGAAGTACACATATATATATATACTGCCGATTCTGTCCTTTTCTCTATCCTTGAGCGCACAACCTCGTTCTTGCGTGCCATATGCTGTTTTCCTTGGATTCCTTGTGTCGATACTCATCGTGATGGCGGGATCAGGGAAACACATCCATGAGCTGTTGGGAAGAGAGCCCTCCTTCGGACAAGATCAGTTCGACATGTCTCGACAACAAATCTTGGACCACCTGCAGACTCAAAATCAATTTCAGCCACAGAAACGAGGGACGAACCGATTCCTAGCCACTATCCCCCCCGTGTCTATCTCTGCGCACCCTGATCATCATTTATATCCATCCTATAAACTCCTTGGTCCCGGTCTCATTGCTAGCCGGTCTCTCGATCCTCGGCAGCAGCAAGACCTAGATACCCAGAGCGTCGCCCCTAAACGACCCCAGATGATGCACGCACAATTCAGCCCGGACAGAGTACCAAGCCTGGGCTCCTTGGAAAATCAAAGTGTGTCGCCTGGCTCCGGTCCTGCAATGCCCGATACCTTGCCCTCTCAATCCTCGCCTTTTCTATCTGATTCCGTTGCGCCCAATGTTCGCCTCATGGCAAGCTTTCCCATGCCGTTGCCGCCACATCCTGCCGCCAACTATCTTCCTTTTCTTGAACCGATGCTTTCGTCGAGAAAGGCAAAGCTAAAACAAAAAGCAAGTGTGTTCGAATACACAGCCACAGAGAGCTTGCCCAGGAGACGCTCAGGTGTAGCAGAGCCCACGCAAGTATGTTTCCAAGTGCTGTGAATCAGTCCCATAAAAACTTCAGCCCAACTTCACTTCACTTGTCCGATGCTTGTAAATGATTGCTAACATGCCCCTCCGACAGAAGCCCAGAGATGATCACGTCAAGAGCGCTCATGCCGGTTTCAAGCCGTGTACTCCGCATGAAGCCATGTTGAGGGCTTCCACAACATTTCTGGACTGGCCGTGCTCTGCATCAAGCCCGACTTTCACCGCGGGATCCATGCAGCCTCAGCACGCCGATGCAGGCGTGAGCCTGCACAACATGTCGCATAGCAATCGAACATACACTTACGATTATGGATCGCAGATCCCGGTTCAGACGTTCACAGAACGACACCCAGCGAGCATCTTGCCTTACGGACGTGGATCACCGGCGATAATGTTCCTCAAAAAAGCTCCGTTTGTCAGCTGTGTTCGCCAACTCTTAGCCGCGGCCCTCATCTATGACAGCAGTGACGGTGAGGAGCTTACCATCGACAACGAAGAACGACACGAACCTGCTTGGCAACAGGCCTACCTACGCATTGGCGGTATACGGTACGCCCAAGCCTTGTCCATAAGACCTCTGCAATACATGTCTATGGCGGAATCGGCATTTACGCATACAGCGTGGGCTCATGCACCTGACGAGTTTTTGCTGTCAAATTATGTTCAAACCTTTTCTGCACATATTCAAAGTATATGCCCAATCATCGCAATCGGAAATCTAGAAGGTGTCGTATCGGAATTTCTCCGACACTCCAACACTCTAGAGCATCAGGAAAGACAAAGAGCATCGGACTTGTTACATGTCCAAGTAGAGTATGCCATTGAAATGCTCGTCTTTGCCCTTGGCAGCGTCTGCTGGGCAAAATGTGGTGGACCAATAATCGAGCCTGGCCCCGAATTCTATGCTCGTGCCAAGGGCATCCTCGAGCTATTTGCAGACGAAAACCGAGTCAAAACGGCGGTTGGGAGCTTCGAAAACCTCAACAACAATGGAGAATACAATTTCGAACGATATTCAGCATACACAAACGAAACGACAATTGACTTGGCTCGTGCCCACCTTCTAGCCGCCCTCTTCTGTGGGCAGTTAGCTTGGGTTTTCGAGGCAGCCCAACACGTCCGCGATGCCAGTTCGGCCATTATGTATTTGATACATCAGCCCAGCAGCGGCTCTTTCAGTGACATGGCGCAGGACACTCGCGGGCCATCGCTCGTCGAGTATGCCTTTCATCCACATACGCTTTCGCACGAAGAACGCCAACTGGTGTTGCTGTATTGGATATGTGTTTTCCTGGAATTGTGAGTGCCATTCGCTTGCAGCAAGGATATGCCAGACTACTGACACGTGCTTGTGAACAAAAGCGAGATCAACGCTGAAGTCTGTACACAACCATCACCCTTGCTGCACTATCAATCAACAATTCCCCCACCGATTTTTGACGAGAGCCCGATCGAAACTGCCATGCGTAATGACGAGGACACGGCGATGACCGACGCCGATCCGAGCCGGAGTATCAACAGTGGCATTGCCGGCAGAGATATGAAACAAGAACGGGATGTGCGAACTAACTTTGAAGCACAGGTGTGTCTCCGCAGTCATCTCAACCGCATATACGTCGAAACATTTTGCGGGCAGACTGAAGCGAGATCCGCCGTCGAGGAGCTTCAGCTGCAGTTTCAAGGCCTCTCGATATCACAGCCTCAGCCGTCTTCCGTCTGGAAGAGCACACTCACAGCCCGAGCCCGTGCCGGCTATTGGGAGGGTGTCGCCTGGGGGTTTCTGCCTGTGCTCGAACAAGCCTACGAACAAGCCGACCCAGCCGATCTCACGGCCGGGGTGTGCAGTCTGGCAGAAGTCATCCGAGCATACCATGGCGTGGCAGAAGGCCGGCTCATCCTCCCCAATTCCTTTGGAGCAGCCATGATGTACGTCGGCCAGTATATCCTGCCCAGCACAGCTCGCAAGCTAATTGACAGGCAATGCCGATACCTGTTGCTGCTATTTGCCGCATCACGTGCCATGCCAACTGTGGCAGAAATCGCTACCGACGCTATGCTAGGAGAGCTCATTGAAGGCACCGCAATCTCGTTGCAAGAAATGGCTGGCCCGCCAGGTGTGTTGCAGTCGGCTAGGCGTGTGCTCAGAGTGATGCAGCAACAATTGCAGGCCGGTGCAAAGCCAGCTCCTATGATCGACGAGGCAGATTCGGTCGCGGTCGCGGTTGCAGACGTTCCAGAAGGGCAAGTCTATGTCCCGGGCCTGTCTCTGTTCTGCCCTCCGTTCTCGTTCTTCGCCGACTCAGGAGGTGCTTTAGCAACTGCTACAACCTCCGCGTCGTTCACCTCGCTTCCGACGCCCAACACAGCAAGTTGTTGGTCCTCCGGAACATCCCCAATCCCGCACACCCTCTCGTCGCCGCTTGGCTCCCCGAACTCTTCTCTGGCGTCACCGCTAGCTTCCTCCGTTCCAGCTGTCAGTTCTTATACCCTGGGAGCGAAAGGAAGTCTCGGACCGTCCCCTTGGCTTCCAACCTCCGCCGTCCATCCTTTGTGGCAGCTGCCAGGTGCCGTTCAGACTGTGTCTGAGCCGTCTTTCTGTTTTGCCGACATTCTTGCGTTTTCCTACCAGCTGGGCCTTTCTCACCCGTTCGATTCGCCAGGAGAACTGTGGTGAGGGGAAGTGTTGCACTTTTTTCTACCCTTTGATCATGCGATTGATAAGCCTATCTTTGATCGTTTTTAATGAAGCCATCTCGTGATGGATCCGGTTTTGCCTACTATTAATAGGTCTGCGCCTTGTTGCCGCTATCGCTACGACGTATCTTACATATGTACTAAGTATGTACGTCGTAGTACGCGTAAAAACCTGTGATGACGACTTTTTTAGGTAGTGGCTCCCAAACCTAGCTGCATCTTACGTCGCATTTGCGCAGAGGAGAGCGAAGCAAGTGAGCTCTCATATTACTCGTACATAAAAGCATGTGCGGAGCAATGTGTCCTCACATGGTTATGCCTTGCCTTTGACTAGCAGACGAGATCGGGCCTCGGCATCTGTTGTTTACCTTACGAGTAAGGCGCATCACGATGAGCAAGCATTGCTACTATGTATGGGGTAGTTTCCACTCTGCTCGCCAAAGCCGGCTATTCAGCATTGCATGCATCGTACGGAGTCCTCGTGTTCTGTCGTTCAAGCCGCTCATCGAAGCCGATGCCCATCCGGCCAATGAGCGGTCGCAGCCCCTGACACCATGTGAACTGGTCGACCGAAGCGTTCTAGCGCTCCGTGGCGTCGCGTCTTTCTGGCCGGTGTTGTCACAGCAACATGGGCTAGACACGGCTAGAAAAGCGACGGCGGCAGGCCCGAGCTCGAAATGAAGCAGCATTAATTTGCGGATGGCAGGATGGGCTTGGCAAGAGTGGGACGCAGCAGGGATCGCGGGATGGTGGTGGATAGAGGTGTCTGCAGCCACCAATGGCTGCTGTGAACCGGTTTTCAGCACATGCGACTTCTTACACTGTGCTCGTACTCCGTATGATGAGGGCAAAAAAGTGCGACAGTTAGCCTCTATCCAGATTTCCTTGGTTCGGTGTTGCCTATCAAAACCCCGTTTCAGGCCAATAGCAGGGCTCCACGACCTTTTCGGGGTGCATCTGTTATTTTACCTATTTTCTTCTTTTTATTTTTATTTTTATTTATTTTGTCATGTCTGGTTTTCTGCTATTTTCCTTTGTTTTTCCGGTGGCAAGTTCTTGCACTGCGCAGAGTTGTATCTTACCTGTCCTTTCTCACACCCTCCTGTGACTGACGTCTCAGAACGATAGCCCGAGCCGTCAAGCAGAGGCGAGATTAATGACAGCTTGTTTGTCATGGCAACACGCTCGTACTCCTATCTTGCTTACAAAGAAAAGACAGAAAACCGACAAGCTTCGGCTTTACGACGTAGAGTAAGATTAGCTGCATCGATATACAGTGCAGACGATCTGCGCACGGTGTGCATATCTTGCCGCGTCGCTGACTCTTGACTCCGTATGCACCTTTCAGCTGACCTGGCGCAATCACCAAATGAAAACGCGCGGTTGGGAGATCCAGGCTGCAGGACTAGCCAGGTTATGCATGCATCGTAAAAGGAGAGCTAGGCGGCCGAAGGGTCGCAAGCTCTTCGTACGCCCACACGTACTCGTACATTGAGGACTCCGTAACTTGGCCACAGCCCGGACTCTTGTTCCAGTTCGCGCAGCTCCAATGCAACCCAACCGAGGGCGGTGAGCTGCCAGGATCGATGCCGGGCGTCTCTCGACTCGTGCTGGACGGGGGGGGGGGGGGGGGCTGCAGCTTCCAGACGATGCCAAATGGCAATGGCTGGGAGGGGAAAGCCATTTTTTTCTGCTTTCTTTTCAGGTCTCATCAGGAGAGGAGGCTGGGAGCTGATGGTCCAGGGCGGGTCCACTAAGCAGTTTTCGGCGGACAATAATCAACAGAGCAGAACAAGACCGACACGGAGACGCACCACAACGGCACCACACGCCGTAGCCGTGGCTGGGGAGGGGGCAGGAAGCTCCACCCAGTCTGCATGGGATACGAGTAAACAGGACCTCCTCGTCCGTACGACGTAGACGAGACCGGGCCCAGACGATGATCGCGGTTCCGTAAGCTCCCATACGCCTGAGCGGAGGTACTCGTGCCGAAGTACTTCGTATCTCCCTCACAGTTGCTAGGGGGGGTGTGTGCAGTGTGGTCCTTTGTTTTGTTGTCCTGCAGGCTAGCGGGTAGTGTTTCTCTCGCCTTCTCTCTTTCTCGCTCGCAGAGTGTGTTGCCGTATCCTCGCTGCTCTCTGTGGCTGGCCAACCACGCGCAGGGTCCAGGTGGCCTCCCCCATCCTGCCCCCTATTTTATCCCGGCCGGTCCTTCTCTCTGGCTATTTCAATCCTTCCTTTCTTTCTCTTCTCTCCATACCACTCCATCAGATCACAGCTTTCCATTCCACAATTCATTTCCTCCAAGCCCACGGGTATCCTCTTCTCCTTTCTCCTTTGAAAGAGCGCCACACGGGAAAAAAGTCTCCGAGCTTTTTTTCCATCCGCGCTGCTAGAGGCCGTCACCCTGGATTTTGAAGCCAGAGTCCCGGTTCCCTTCAGCATCTTCCCGTCTTCCTACAAGGGAGACAAGACCAACCAGGCTTCTGCCACCACTGAGGTCCAGACCCACGAGGAAGTCAGCTTCCATCTCCCCACTACCGAACGGCCCGGACGGGAAGGTCAGCTCTCTTCTTTTGTCGACGAGTCCAGCAGCCGCTACACCGAGCGTGTTTCTGAGCCCAAGTACGAGGAAGAAGAGGTCCGCGTTACTCGTGAAGAGGAGCATTACCACCGTCCTGGTGTCCGCCGTCGTGAAGACCGGTAAGCCCTGACATGCCAGCAAAGCCCCATCTTCTCCTGCCTCGGGACGGTCCGTGCATTCCAATGCGGACCCACTGCCCACTGCATATATATATACCGGAGCTCAGCCCGCCTTCATTCCTGACTGGCTCGCTAACTCACTCTCAGCCATCGCAAGACTTTCTCCGACACTACAGTAGCCGTTCGTCGCGACCTGTACACGTCTCCCATCGACGCAGCTGAACGCCAATACCGTTCTCGCTACCAGCCCAACTACAACGAAGACGTTCGTTCGCACACCAACCCTGCTGCCGAGTTCGAACACTCCGGTCGCACCCACAGTCCTCGTCGCTCCCACGCCGTCGAGACCGTCACCACAGTAGACACTCCCATCCGGACGTCTGCTTCTCACACCGAGCTCGCTCTCACCAAGTTCGTCGATACCAAGGTCGTCAAACCGAAAACCGCCAAGATGGGCTACTACGATGAAGACAGTAAGTCGCGAAAACGCAGACCCACCACAACGCCACTCTGCTAACTTTGCCACCAGCTGAGCACCAGAAGCTCGAGGTTGCCGAGATGCGGTCGTCCTCTGTTGGCGCTCGCCGCAGTCCCTCCCCCGTTGAGGGTGGCGGTGCTCTGCCGCCCAACACGGTGACCATCCCGTGCCACCACATCCGCATTGGTGACATCCTGATGCTCCAGGGCCGCCCGTGTCAGGTGATCCGCATCTCCACCTCGGCTGCCACTGGCCAGCACCGTTACCTCGGTGTGGACCTGTTCACCAAGAAGCTGCACGAGGAGTCCTCGTTTGTCACGAGCCCGGCCCCGAGCGTCGTCGTTCAGACCATGCTCGGCCCTATCCTGAAGCAATACCGCGTCCTGGACCTGCAGGACGGCAACGTCGTCGCCATGACCGAGACCGGCGATGTCAAGCAGGACCTGCCCGTCATTGACCAGTCCAACCTCTGGACTCGCCTGACCCGCGCTTTCGAGTCTGGCCGCGGCTCTGTCCGCGTCCTGGTCGTCAGCGACCACGGCCGCGAGCTCTGCGTCGACCTCAAGGTTGTGCACGGTGTCAGCCTGTAAACGGCTCGCACACCTCTGGGCTGTTGTGTTTTGAGTAATTTTGTGGTGGATAATCTGGCAAGAATTGTGTATTTGGATGGTTTTCCCGCTCTGGGACGGAGAGTGCAAAGTAGGCAAATAGGATTGTAGTTTCACGTCAATTGAGAGTGGTTCCCATATCAATACGAACATCTATTACGATTTACTTGATCTGTCTTTTACTTCCCGTGATTGTTTACCTTTTCGTGTTCCTTACGCGTGTTGCAAGCGCTTTGACAGTGGAGTCGTGTTAGTGTCCTTAATCTTAGAGATGATGCGATGGCGTGTGACGAGGCGGTAGGATTTGACAGGTGATAACGCACTACTTGTGTTTACGGAGGTGTCCTATCACACGGAAGAAACCATCCCCTGTACTGTGTCAACCAGGGTTCTTGCCTGTACTCGTACGCGTAGTCATGTGTCCTGTAATAAGAGTACCTTTAGCGTACTGTGATGGCGGTTGCCAGGGCGCTAAGCCTGTGACGTACTAGATTGCGGGGTATATGAATAGGTCTATCAGCGTACCTCATAACCAGCAATTCCGATATGGTGTAGTGGACAACATCTGACGTTTTCACCGTCGAGCCCGGGGTTCGATTCCCCGTATCGGAGTTATTTTTTTTTTAATGCTTAAACATTAATTTTCCTTGTCGAATCTGCCGATCTGTAATGACGGTACTCTGTTTTTGATTGACGTGTGTTCGGGTCTTTCTTTTGTCTTTCTTTCCGGGGTTCAATTTCCTACTTTCTGTCAAGCATTGGAATCCGCCACACTGTGGCCCTTCCGCCCCACTTGGCCGTACTGGCCTGTAATTGGTCAGAAGGCACAAAAGAGGGGCCTGACACTAGTATTAATACGGATCCCCAGAAGGGTCGCGATGTATCTATTTCTTCCTAAGTACACAACACTCTTTCGCCCACACTAGACCCTATTCAGCCTCCTGCTCCTCACAGTGCATCACGTTATATGACCGCTACGTATAGCCTCCTTTAACCTTCACACTTTCCTCCTGTTGTGCTGGTGCTGGCAATTATGAAGACGTATGACACCAATACGTGTTGCAAAGTTTCGTCCAAAGTTCTACATTATAGCTAAAGATATTCAATATGCTGGCCAGCGCTTTTCATTTGCATTCACTGAAATTCGAGTTGATGTTCACTTTGTAGTCTTCATGTCGAGTACGAAACGATATATAATGCTACCAAGGCAACCATTCCAAAGGCACATTCGAAAGTTGGGATTTTGATCATACGGCGTACAGCAGAAACAGCTTTGGTTAAGACTTGAAACTATGTCAGCATCCACTTCGCATGTGGTGAGTTCGGACGTCCTGCTGTCCCAAACACACCCTGCCGTGCCTGCGTCCACGGATAAAAAGAAGCGGTACAAGTGGCGAAAGAGGAAGACCGCGCCGAAAACCTCGCTATCTGTATCAAATCGCGCCTCTACGAACAGACAACAAACAGCAGAGGGAGGCTCTGCTACGGTAATCTTTGAAGAGTTGAATTTATTGCCCCTACAACTGGAGACTGAAGGCCTTCCGTATCAACAGCACGAGGCCACGAGCAATGACTTGCCATCTCACGTCGACGGCATCACGATCGACCGAGTGGAACAGTGGGGAACAGAGGTAATACATGACAACATAGCCAGGTAGGCTTCCCAGTTCCGGATTCGAGAGCTTGCCGGTCTCTTTGTCCATGGCTGATGCATCCCAAAGACTTGCCATGCTTTCGGTCAGCCGCACCGACGTAAGAATGGCCCTTCTCAACACGCCGCACATGCTAGAGCATGTCAGCGAGAATTACTACTTTGGCCTGCCCCCTGCCATTGCAAATGCACCACTGCCGAACCACCAGTGGTGTGGCCGGCCATATCTGTTTGCAGGCACTAGCTTGGCACGCCTGGCCCTCATCCACAAGTACAACCTGCAGGCTGAAGGCAAGCATGTTGTCGGATGTCAGGACGGCAGACACTGCACATATGAGGCAGCCCCGTTCGAGCTGTCCCAGGCATACCTCTTTTTCTGGGACCGGCTGGAGAAGTGTGGGCATTTTCTCGACCGGGCAGCAACGTGTCCAGAGATGCTCCTTTGGACAGATCCTCTGCCGGAAGGCGGGAGCTGGACGCTTGTCCAGCGACTTGTAGAAAAGTACGGTCTGCTCCCTGCCGACGTGTATCCCGGCAGTGCCGCATTCGCAGCAGCACCTCACACGCTCGACCAGTTGCTGGCCACGACTTTGCGGGAGAATGCTGCGCACTTGATGGGCGTGGCCGAGGACGGCGTGGCTGCTGCGAAGGAGGCTGCCCTCGCTGCGGTCTTCCGCATTCTGGCCATCGTCATGGGCGGACCGCCACCGTCTCCGCGAAGAGAATTCACGTGGCACCTCGTCACTGCGGCTGAACAGGCGATGACGATCCGCTGCACGCCGCGCATGTTTGCACAGGACCTCACAAGTCTGCATTTCCCTCACGCCCAAGAAGGTTTGCTTTCACGGCTTGTCTGCATCGCACACGACCCGCGCAACAGCGAGGGCGCCCAGCTGATTGTTGGCCAGACGGGGGGACAGACGGATCCGCACTCGCTCTTCCGTCCACACTCCCTTCTCAACACTAGCATGGCCGACTTCAAGATGGCCTGCGAGTGCATGCTGAAGGCCGGCTATCCCGTCTTCATCGGCTGCGATGCCGGTCGGGCCAACAGCCACGCGGACGTGGGACTGCTAGACGTGCACGCCGCCAACTTTGAGCTTGCCTTTGGCAGGGCCGGATCTGGTTATGGCCAAGTCTCGATGCCGCCACTGCCACGGCTATCCAAAGCAGACCGGCTGCGTACTGGCGACAGCCGCATGACCCATGCGCTGGTAGTGACAGGTATCGACGTGGAGGCACAGGGCAGCCAGATGCAGCAGCACGTCAGATCGCGGCGATGGCGCGTTCAGAGGACGCTGCGAACATGTGCCAGCGGCCATGACAGCGTGCCTGCCGACAGCATGCTGATGACGGACGCCTGGATGGAGGAGTTTGTGTATCTGGCGGTGGTGGACCCGTATGTGCTGCCAGAACGGCCGATGGGAGCGACGATGGCATCTGCTTCGTCACCGAGCAGTCCGTTCCGTCCATATCGCGGGCTATCGTCCAGGGCGGCGACTCTGGTGCGCACGACAACGGGCACAGAAGAGGAGCGGGAGGCGTTTGCGGAGTCGACGGAGACCGTCGTGCTGACGGCATCCGATCCCATGGCTGCGTTGCTGATCTGAGAGACATGCAGGTAGATCTGCGGGGACAGAGAAAAGGCCGCTGGCCAAGAGCGAATGAAAGCGGTGCTTCCCAGTAAAACAAACACGCGCATCCGATGGCTGTGGTGCAAGCAATACTATGCAGGACCATCAGGGCCAACACATGGGCTGCATGCATGCAGAAACCGTCACGCTGGAGATTTCGTATATTGTATCTACCCCGGGACAATCTCACCGCAGATTTGTTCTGGTGGATAGAACCAGCCTATCGGGACGGCCTCAGGCGAGCTTGACAGTCGTCATCGAGCAATCGGGCGTCGACTACTGCACGATTGTGTAGTATCGGCCAGCTGTACTGCCAAGAGTGGCCGCCGCCTTTCCCTGTTCTTCCGATGCCAGCTGTCAAGTTTGTCGGGCAAGTCCTTCTTCTCGTTCTCACCGCTTCTCGAGCACGGCAGACAGACTGATGGCCAGGTCTTTTTCAGCCTGCGCGACATTCTCGATCTCGGACAGCTGTCTTTTGTGGGGCCTCATTTCCGTGTCTGATGGCGCAGATAAAAACGCGTGTGTCCGTAGTCTGAAGCTGGCCAGCCTTTTTCGATCCCCGAATCCCTGGATCCCTGGACCCCTGGCCAGAACCACCAAAAGCGGCCGCGAGTGCTGCGGGAGCGGGAACGCCAAGGCAAGCAAGAGCTCCCCAGCTGGCTATTTCCTCTCGCGCACACATCCTCTGTAGAAGCACAGGAAGTAAGATACCATCTTGTACGAGTTCGACAGCCCTGTCGTTCTTTCCCCGAGCTGAATTGGCACTTCCGGCCTTTTCACACCGTGTCCAAGGATAATCACACTGCAAGGGCGTGCTGAGAACCAAAGGAGCAACCCAAATTTGGCAGGATCGGGTAGTACGACCTGAGCTTCCTCTGCCGTCCTGCGCGACTTCCTTCGCGACCAAATCTGGGCCGAGACGCGTCTCCCCTGTCGTCCCTTTTTCGCGACTTTTTTTCGTCCTGCTTGAATCTCAGCTTCAGCTTCTCCTCTGCCCTTTTTCAATTGCAAAGCAGCATACGAGCCCGGTGCTCTCTAGCAGAGCTTGCCATTTCTTCTTCCTGTTGTGGAACAGGTCGCATTCCTGGCAAATGACAGAGACTTCTTGACAGGAAAGCGTTGCTATACAGCCTGCATCCCTCACAATTCGACCTCTGCCTTTACCAAGACCGATCGCCAGCAGCAAACCGTGGCTACTACATATCACCAACACGGTCGCACCGGTCCGCAATCCGCTCCCCGTGATTGTGTTGGACCTATGCGCCAGCAAATATAAAAAACGCAGGCAGGCCCCAACCAGCAGCACCATTGCGAGAAGCGATGAGTGTCCCCTCTCAAAGTCCACCATATTCAGCCAGTACTGCCTTTCTTCCACCGCGTTCACCTGCTGGTGGAGATCTGGACATCACCGTTGGGTGTCGGTGTGCCGACAGTGCGCGCCGAGAAACGGGCGACCAGAGGCGAAGAGAGATATCTTCATAAAACGGCCTACAGGGCTGTGGCACTGAAACTCGACCAGTCGATAGGGCTGCCTCAGCCAATCGTCATCGCCAGGACTAGTTCGCGCTCGCATCGACCGTTTCCGTCGCAGTTGTCGCTTTCGTTTGGCAGCTACTCCGTACTCGCCAGCCTTTTTGTTCCATGCGCCGATCTCTCATACATCTCCCCTTACCACCAGACAATACGACCAGTTCTTCGGACTTCCGCATTGTCTCTCCCTCTCCCTTCGTCTCTGCTAGTCTTGGCCTTTCGGCACACGGGATCCTTCTCGAGGCCTAGATACCGGCTAGCACACAGAATCCTCAGGCGAAACGCTCAGATAGCGAACAGAGCTGGCAAAATCGCTCCACACCCACTCTATTTCCTCCCACGTTGGCTGGCTTCACGCTGAATTGCACCCACTTTACCCCCTGTAAGCTGTGATGCTCTCCCCCGCCACCTCTTCCCAGCCTCCCCAATTCTTCAAGTTCTTTTTTTTGCTAATGACGCCAGGACGTTGCCATAACTCTCCTTTATTCTTGCTTGCAGCCTCCTCTCCAAAGTCGCCTGGCCTGCTTACCTCTCCAATTGACTATTTCATTACTCCGTACTATTCCTCTACTTTGCACGTTTTGTATCTCACCGTCCACGAATCTGGTGAGTGTTGCCCCGTTCATCCACCTACTCTTCCTATCCACACTTCTGTTATCTGCTCGTATCCACCGTGCCTCACCGTCTGCTGCCCGTCCCTCTCTGCTTCGTTTTGTGCAAGCTGCTCTGGCACGTCCAGCAGAGAGTGGAATGACTAGGAGACTAGCACCCAGCGCCGAGCTTCTTGACTAGCACATTCTTTGCGCGACCTCGACCCTTGAAGTCTCAGGATATTCTAACCAAGGTCCAGATTTAGTTCAGAGCCTGTTTTGCACCGTTTGACAACAACTTCGATACCTCTCTTTCGCGGGAGCTTCGCTCGCAACCCCTTTCTCTTCAGCTGCCGCAGCACGCTCTGCGGGTTTCCCGGCGCCTTGTCTGCTCAAGCACCAGCCTCGTCTGGTGTTGGGTACTCAATATCTGACACGTTGACTGACCCCATCCCCGTTTCTTCTCACGACCGTTACGACCATTACGAATCACCGCCCTTCTCCGGACGGCGTCCCAGCACCCCCCTACCTTCCGAATCAAGAAGCGCCAGTTCCAATCTCTCAACACGCTCTTCGCAGCGTGTTCTTCGCCGGACATCGCGCTTTAGCGCCAGTCCTTCCCCCAAGGCTGTCGATCAAGCCTCAACCTCCTCCTCGCAAAGGCGTGTTCATCTTGCCGCCGTCTCAACTGGTATAAGTCCACGATTTGCGCAAGCTACAGAGGAGGAGCCGGTGTTACAGACTCGAAATCGTTCTCCACCCCGCCCGCCTTCGCAGGTTCTTAGCGACGACCAGGACGAGGAGGCCCGAGAGGACGACCAGTCGTCTGTCGCTCATCATTCGTCCCCGCACGCATCCGCATTTGGACCTTCCATCTTACTACGCGATCAGTCGGCCATCCATCCAGCTGTCCGTATCTCAAAACGGACCCATAACGCAATTCTTTTTGCCGCCGAGGCCCTGACGCATCCCAATAAGCTTTCTCCTGACTACGAAGAAGAGCAAGCTATGATGGCGGATCTTCTTGTAGAGGGGGGGGCTGGAGACCCCGGCTCCATTGGCAACGGAATATCATCTGCTAGACCGCAAATACCCCCAGCACAGACGAATTCTCCGCGCAGCAATATCCGTGGCCCAAGAATGATCATGCAAGAGCGGCAGGAGCGTGAGGCACGACGTGCCGAGCAGGAGAGATTACAGAGGGCGCAAGCTGAACAAGATGCCCGTGTACTTGCCGAGCAGAGGCGACAGGTTTCGGAACGAGAGCGTGCGACGGCAGCGGCGGCTACTGCTGCTCCTGAGACCACGACGGCCGGCGCACCTCAGCCGGTCGATCTGGCCACTCAACGAAGACAAATGCGAGCACGCGCCGCTAGCGGACAAGGTGGTGCGGCCCAAGCGGTACCACCTCCATCACAGCCACCAACAGCACCTCAACAGACACAGCCACAACAAAGACCGATCCGTCTTCCACAGACATCTCAAGCTCCACCCCCAATAACGAATCCAACCATCCCCCCCGCTTCACAGGCGGTACCGAGTGGCGGACTGCCGCCAACTGCAGGACTGGCTGGGGGTGGCACAGGCGCGGGCGCTGCGCCCCAGGAAGGAGAAGCTACAGGCGGTGGTGCTGCTGGCGGAAGCCGTCCTAGAAACTCATTTCCGCACGCCTTTGAGCGATGGGAGGCTTTGTCTGCCCATTGGGAAGGCCTGACCAGTTTCTGGATCCGCCAGCTACAGCAGCGGTCCGAGGAAATTGACCAAGATCCATTGTCCCGGCAGCTTGCACGCCAGGTGACGGACCTGTCGGCGGCAGGTGCCAACCTCTTCCATGCAGTTGTCGAGCTGCAACGGCTGCGCGCTAGCTCAGAGCGCAAGTTTCAGCGCTGGTTCTTCGAAATGCGAGGAGAGATGGAACGGAACACCGAACGCCAAGGGATGCTGGAGGCTGCTCTCCAGGAAGAGCGGCGCGGCCGTGCCGAAGCTATCCGGGAAGCCGTCGAGAATGAACGTTCCAACTCCAAGATACAACGGCAGCTGGCTGAAATGCGCAAGGAGCTCACGATTTCCAAAGAAGAAGCCAGACGTGCGTGGGAAGAGCTTGGCCGCCAGGAGCAGGAAGAGCGCGACCGCGTGACAGCGTTGCAAGAAGGACTGCCCACGACTGTGGGTGGGGTGCAGGTCGTGCCCATGGCCCACGGCGTGCCGGGTCGGCGTCGTGCTAGTAGCAGCGCAACCAGTCACGAGCCTCAAGTAGCAGCCCAGCCTGCGCAGAGCACGCATCAATCACCACCACGGGCGCAACAGCAACAGCCGCAACAGCCACAACAGGCGCAGCAGCCGCAGCAGTCGCAACAGGTGCAGCAGGCACAGTTGGCACAGCAGGCACATCAAGCACAACAGACACAATTGGCACTCCAAGCCCAAGCGGCACACCAAGCACGACAGGCTGAGCAGGCACGGCAGGCTGAGCAGGCACGGCAGGCTGAACAGGCATCGCCAGCAACGTCGGCAGTGGAGCTGCTGCCCTCGCAGCAGCACCCAACGCATTATCCGGCGCATGCAGCAACCGGCGGTGATTATGCTGAACAGGGAGCAGAGGGTGTCGGTGCAAGTCCGAGATTTGAGGCGTCGTATAGCGAAGGAGGTGAGTCTGAATAGAAAGATCGCGCTTTGTGCTGGCCGGGCTTCTACGAGAGACTGACCTTGTGCTTGCAGAGGAAGAAGCTCAGTACGGAACTCCATCATCTCTGCCACCGTCAACTACCTATCCGCCGTCGAGCAAGCATTATTATGCGCCGCAGGCGCCACAGGTACCGGCAGACTACTCGGGGCAAGGACACGGTACTCCGACTTGGGATACGGTTCCACGCCATCACCACCCAACACGCCTGAGTGACGTGATCGAAGAAGACGACGAGCGCAGCCGCACATCGGCTAGCCAACTCAGCCGCGGCTGATACTTTTACCGTTTTTGGTATTCTTTCAGCGGTAGGCACATTGCCTGTTTTTTCGTTCGCATACTAGCTATTCGGCCGTTGGAGCGGCTTCGAGCTGTTGACAATCGCCGCGCATCGTTACCTGTACCTTCGTTTGTCTACATTGCATAGCATTGGCGCTCTCCAGGTCCCCAGGATTTGTTGCAGATGTCAGCCAGTGTGTCGATCCACGCTGTTCGTTTGTTGAAAGAAAAGCTTGTTCATGTATAGATGTGTGCTTTCGGGTACGTTCAGCTGTTTGTGTTTGTCTTCCTCTTGTCGTTTTATTTTTTTTCGTCCTCTTGGATGGGCTATCATGCTAGGCAGTAGGTGTATTAGCCGGATGGGTTGCAGGCTGGAGGGGCAACGAGTAAAGAATCATGATGTGGAGTTGGTACTTTGTGGAAGTTCTTTTGCCATGCTTTTAATCTGCAATCTGTTGCGTTTCTGGACCCTTCAGAGTCTGGAGTTTTCCACTAACAAGATGACTAACCAATGAGAAATATGCTTACAAACATGTTTGTCATTCCACTAATAAGTGACCTTCAATGGATGCCGTCAGCATCGGGGATTTTTAGCAATGATGACTGTGGCTGACAGACGGGACCTCCTTGCATGTGGATCTTCTCGATGGTTCACCCAGGTGTGCACGTGTATATTTAAGGACGACCTCACGGCGTTGTGGTTTGATTGTTGCAATTCAGCTGGCAGCATACGCTTGAAGCAGTATTCTTGAAATTCTCATACTCATTCTCATTCTCATTCTCAGCACAACCACAACACTACGCACAAGCATGAGCACAGACATGAGCGCAAAGAAGGCGCTCAGCGAAGCGGCCACGGCGGTGGCCAGCAGCTTCCAGCTGCCACATGCAACTATCCGGGCACATCGATCGGCGACTCGGGGCCACTCCAACCACGGATGGCTAAACACATACCACTCCTTCTCGTTTGCCGACTGGTACAACCCCGAGTTCATGGGGTTCGGGTCGCTGCGGGTGCTCAACGAGGACACGGTGCAGCCGCAGTCAGGCTTCCCGACACATCCTCACCGCGACTTTGAGATATTCTCGTACGTGCTGTCGGGCGAGCTGACGCACCGCGACTCGATGGTCAAGCGCGGCCAGGAAGCAGCAGCCGGCGGCGACCGGTTTTTCCGGGTGCGGCGCGGCGACGTGCAGTTCACGACGGGTGGCACAGGCATCGCGCACAGCGAGTTCAACGAGCACGCTGCCGACCCGGTGCACTTTCTCCAGATCTGGGCGGTGCCATGGAAACGCGGCCTGCAGCCGACATACCACAACCAGCATTTTCCCACCGAGGCCAAACAGGCCGGCGGCGGTACATTTGTGCCTATTCTAAGTCCGCTGGCCGCTGGCCCAGACGCTTCGGCAGCCGAGGAGGCTGCGGCCGTGCCAGTACTTCCTGGAACCATTCCGATCCACGCCGACTTTGCCATGGGTGCCGCTCTTGTGGCGCCGTCCAAGACGGCCACCTGGACCGTTGGCCTCGGCGCGGCCGGTGTTGTCACCAAGGCGGCCCGGCGCAAGGTTTTTGTGCATCTGCCCAAGACAACGACCAACACGGCGCTCGGGCATGCGGCCAAGAAGCCCGGCGAGGGTGCGCGCATCCGCATCGCAGATCGCGACGATGCTGGCGCCGTGTTGGACGAGGGCGATGGCGCATTTGTGGACCAGCTGGTCGCCGGCGACCAGTTGACGGTCGAGAACATCGGCACGGCCGAGGCCGAGGTAATCGTGCTGGACACGGCATGAAGGGATGACCAGACTGGTAACTAGATGTATTTAGCCTCATAGTCATCATTAGAATTATGTCACAAGCAGCTCTCGCAAAAGTATACGTACAGATCATGTCAAAGCGTTAGTGCTCTTTCAACTACCTGGTTCCCAGTAAGTCGAGCCAACCGATATGCGGCGATCTGAGTGAGCGGAGCGGCCGCGTTCGCGCTCGCTCTCACACTCATCCTCATCTTCGTCGCCAAGGACAGGGAAGGACTCTGTCTCGGAAGACGAGGGCGACCGGTCGCTCACCTCGTCGGCCTGCTGGTACATTTGAACCATGTCAAAGGTGGCATACGGGTCGACGTCGACCTCGCGCATCACATTGGCATGTGCCCAGTCGAGTGTCAGCGTCATGATCACCGACACACTCTCCATGTAAGCTGCGTATCGCGTATGGTCGATGCCCTCGTCGGGACCGCCGCCCTCCAGATCCGTCCGGCCCATCGCCACCCGCGTTGCCTCGCGCCCGTCGCCCGTGCGGCGCATCATGTTGCCGAGTGCAAACTTGAAGGCCTCACACGGCGCCACAGGCACCTGTCGGCTGGTGCCGTACTCGTCGCCGGCCAGCGTCTCCGGCGAAACGAAGCCGATGAACATAGGCGTGCGCACTTGAAGGCGCTCCAAGCATCGCCAGAAGCTGATGACAGAGCCGTCACGCCGGAGCAGATTGCTGCCGTAGTAGTCTTCGCATGCGGCACACCAGCCGATGTGCATGTCGAACTTGTGCGCGCGGGCGCAGTCGCGGTTGCCGGGCTGCCAGCACAACTCTGTCGTCACCTTTGTGTGGGCGCAAACGGTCCAGATCTCGCGCCGAGTCTCGCAGCTGCAACCGGCCATCGTGTTCGTCTGTGTATTGTATTCGGCGGAGTGTTTGCACTGCCGTTTGTGTAGTAACTGGATCTGTTTATTTGTTACTGTGTCTTGGAAGTCTAAGTGAGCAATTCCTACGAGATGCCATGGCAAGGCTGCTTTATACACGAGCGATGCCACCATCTTACCGATGGTCCTGTCCAAGGCAATGGCCGTTGTTCAGAACGTGTTCAAAATGGAAAGTCATTGTCCTCAGTTCGCGATGCCGAACTGCTGCCACAAAATAAAGGACAAATGCCAGCCGTGTTCTGTCGACGATGGCCACTTTGGAGAGCAAGGGTCTGCCGTGAGTGGGCCTGGGTCTGAAACGGCCGGCCGTGTATTCCTGCGCGAACAAAGACATACAACTGGCTGGCCTATGGACTGGCTGGCCCATGGAACTCGTTTCACAGAGGACGGCGAGAATCCGTCTGCCAGAGGTCGTCTTCTCGTCGCTCGTTCGTGTGTATGCAACCACTCATGCATCTGCCGCTGGCCAGTGGACCATCAGCCCTGATGGGCGGGGTCAGACGCATACGGGGTAATTGCGGCGTTGCTTCAGCGGTGGGATGTTAGAGACCGCCTCCAGGGGCTGTTTTGTTAAGCAAACGAGACGGGTCTGAGAATTGGGTTCTACGGAGTGCAAAGCAAGATAGGGGGCCCAGTACGGAGTAATTACACATCGCTCTCTCATACCACCGCGTACGTCGTAGATCGCAGTTCTGGGAGAGAAGGAGCAGCCTACCGTTCGCTGCCATATTAAGATTGCGATCTTGCTGAGGGTAATACCACAAAAGCGACCAAACAGGAAAGTAGAAAGCACGCTGCCCCACAAAAACGAACGATCTTGCGACAAACCGCACGCGGTCGAGCCTGCCACCTTGGGACTTCTACGACGTATTCGTATGTACGAGTAACAATACCTCGTATTGCATTTCGACCTTCTTTCGCTTTACGGGATAGAAAGCCACCAACGCCAACACCTGGTGGCGGAAAAGACTGCCTTGCATCATTGCGTCAGTCCAAAGGATTGTCCGTAGAAAATGTTGATACGGAGTACCCTATCAGGAGAGTTCTAGCCAGGCACCACCACCGCTCTGCTAGTCGCGGGAGCAGTCGTAATATGGCGGGTCTTTTCATCGCAGCGTTCACGCTAGAAAGCACTAGGAGCACAAGGTGCGTTAAATGTATCTTACTGTATCTCAAACTAGCAGGCGCGTGTGTCCAGACAAGTACTCTAGACAAGTACTCTCTAGCCAGAGGATACCTGGCGAGTCGCACGGCTGCCGCCACGGCCAATGTATCAGATAAGGAAGCGACGCTTCTGCTACGGAGTACTCCGTATTCGTATGCAACAAGCCCGCTAATAGCCCACGCTACCTCCACAAGTTGTGAAATCTGGGCCCTCTCCCAGTCTTCGTGGCCCCTTTCTCCTCTCTCTTGACGCCATCGCTGTGCGTCTGGCTTGGCTACACCCCCCTCAAAGACGTTGCTTTCGACCATTTCTCTCGTTGGTCTCGTCGCCAACTCGCCAACACGCATACATACCAGAGTAGGATAATTGTCCGGCCAGCGACAGGTCTTTCGCTCTCTCAGTCTGTGCTCTGCCTCTTTGTTGCTGGAGACTCCTCCTTTCAACGAATACGAAGCCTTGATCTTTCTCTTTTCCCGCTTTCGTCTTCGTCTGCTTTCTTCTTCTTCTCGTCTCTTGCGCTTGGTCGCCAACGTCTACTCGACCTCTAGCTTCTACCACGCCCGTCTCTGGTCACGGCGCATATTCGCACCACCTCTCACGCAGTCGTCCGTCTTCACACCCGATTCAACGGATACGTCCACTCCCACTCCCACACCCACCCTTTCTCGCTCGCCACCCTCCCGACGACCTGTATCACATCCGCAATCTGCAGCTGAATGTGGCTGTGGCTGTGACCCGACTTTCCTTTTTTCTCTTTTGGCGCTTGTCGCTCTTGGCTGTCCCTTCTTCAACTTCGATCGATTGTCGACTCTGCTTTAAGCTTGTTTCTGCCAGCCAGAACTCGCTTCGAATTTCCCGTCTTCTGCTCGTCGCCCATGCTGCTCCAGACTCGTTCCTCGCTCGCCAACACGTCTCTCTCGTTGAGAAACGGGCCTATCGTGTCCGCCGCCCATCGCGGGCTTCCATTTCGCTCGCTCTCTCTCTCACCATCGCCGGCTCGACTCCGTGACCCGCCATCATGCTTCGTCCGGCCACACCACTAGCCGTGGTGCTCTTTCTTGCCTTCGCCCTCCTCATCCTCTCCGTACTATCCACCCCGATCATCAAGGTCATCCCTCTCGGCTCCTATGAGGGTATCAATTTTGGAGTCTTCGGCTTCTGCCTGGCCGATGGCTCTTGTTCCGGCGTCGAGCTGGGCTACGATCCGGGTATGTGTTCTTGCTTTTCTTGCGTGCTTTGTGCATCGCATGGCTAACTCTCCCCAGCATCGCTCTACTCCTCCAGCGCCTCGGCAACCTTTGATCTGCCCGCCTCTACGCGCCACACCCTCTCTACCATCCTCATACTGCATCCTGTTGCCGCTTTCCTGTGCCTCGTCATGCTTGTTCTGGCCTTTGTCGCCCACTTCCATTCTCCTGCTCATTCTGTTCGCTATCTCCTCGGTGTCTTCATTGTCAGCATATTTGCCTTCCTGGCCGCCCTGCTCGCCTTCCTAATCGACATCCTCTTGTTCGTCCCCCACATGGCATGGGGCTCTTACATCACCCTCGCTGCCGCCTGTCTCATCGGCCTGGGCAGTATCGTTGCCTGTGCCATGCGCCGCACTCTCGTCAGCCGCAAGACCCGCAAGCACCGCATCGAGGCCAATGCCGAGATGAGTGGTGAGAACTTTTACAATCGCCAAGCCCAGGAAGTCGTCACCACCGTTGTCAGTGGCGGCGTCGCCGACGGCTCAGAGGCCGGCGTTGCGCGCCAGCCCACCGTCCCTCAGATCGACCAGAAGGAGGCCACGAGCAGCGAGGAACAGATACCCCTCACTGCACAGACATCTTTGCCTGGAGACTCCTACTCGCAGCCCCTCATTTCGCAAAACCAGTATCAGTATGGCGTCCGCAGCGGTTCGGTCGAGCCTGCTGCAATGTCAGGCGCTTCAACCGGGCCGCCTCGCCTTACCGACCGTTCTCAATCCACTCAGCGAGATGCGTATGGAAACGTCCCACCTTACGGTAATGCTCCCCCTCTAGACAGCTACGGCGCACGGAGAGGTCCTGTCCCAGATGCTATGGGCAACATGCCGCCCTCGCAGCGTGGACGGGGAGGCGGACCCGGTTATCGTGGCGGTCGTGGAGGCGGGCCAGGGCCGTATGCCCAACCCGGTCGTGGGGGCTATGGTCCGGCACCTGGTAGAGGCGCATATGGCCCGCCTCCGGGGAGAGGTGGCTATGGTTCGCCTCCAGGACGAGGCGGTTATGGACCACCAGGACGAGCTGGCTACGGGGGTCCCATGCCGCCGTATAACGGACGAGGCAGAGGTGGCTTTGGTGGCTATGGACCTCCACCTGGCCGAGGAGGCTATCCTGGCCCCGGTCCAGGCCGGGGAGGCAGATCGCCACCACCAGGCTACCAATACGAAAGCACCGGCTCCTATGGCAACAACGGACAATCTACTGGCCCACAAGTCGGCTACTATGCGAATGCGGCTGTGCCCAACGCGAGCAACGGTGCAGACGGCAACAGTGGTGCCGCTGCTGTCAACGGGCAGTACAGCCACGACCGATCACCATCTGCCGACCTGCCAAGAGCCGAGTCTCCTCCGCCCCTTCCGAACGACCCGGTCTTTGAAGCCCCTAGCCACGCAGTCGAGATGGATGCATCTGTTCTGCCCTCCCAGCCCCATCAACTGTCACAGCAACAGGCGGGCCGTTTTAGCGACGGTGATTCTGAGATTGCCGGCTTGGTTGGCCTGCAGGAAGGACGAACCTCGCGGGGCTTGCCGGAACAGCAGGCAGAAGCAGCCGAGTAAGTCGCCTTGCGCTTTTCCCTGCCAATTGGGCTCCCACTAACATCTGCAGTCAATATGTGCCTCCACGAGCACACTGGAACACAGAAGGAGCTGCACCCTCCGACTTGCAGGGAAGCCGCGGCCTTCCGCCGGCCACAGAGGCTACCGAGCAACGGCCCTCGACGTCCGAATCGTATGTGGAAGATATCGACCCGCGCTTTGCCGAACCGCAACGCAGCCGGCAGCAGCTGCACGAACCCGCAGCGCCACAGGTGATGGCGAACCACTCTTATGAGGATATCCCAGAGGGCGCGCGAAGCCCAGCCGAGTCTGAGCGGTCAACATTTACGTCCATCTCCCAGCGGGGCATCAATCCACGTTGGATCCCGCCACCGAGTATGATGCCTGCATATGGTGCTGGTCCCGGCGGTGTGCCTGGCCCATACGGTCCGCCTGGTCACATGATTTCTCGCCGTCCATTACGGGACCCCAACGAGATCCTTCTCAACACCAACCCTGACTTCTCCCTCCCAATAGCTGCTGGACGTCAGCTAACAGGCGGCCCTCGAGGCGGCCCCAGTAATGTGGGTGCTGCCCGTAGCGGCCCCGGTGGCAATAGCATGATTCCCGGCAGCGCCTATCCAGCCATGTGAACCAGGGAAAGCCACATAATTTATCCCCCCTTTTCTGTTGTATACCGTCTGGTATCTTACCATTTTTTCGATATGTCCCTCAAGAGAATAATGCATCGGTGACGGCTCTCTTCTTTTCTTGGCCCGATTGCCTGTTAACTGAGCTTCGGTCCGTTTTGACTGTTGGTGTTTTGGAGAGCCATTTTTGCTCTTTGTTAATATCCCTTGGCGGGTACCGTGTCCAACCATAGTCACGTGCCGTTTGTTAATCTGGCTTGTTTTCTTTTTTTTGGAAAGTCCGAGTTCTTTTCTCGTTCTTCGTTTCTTTCCTTTTTCTCATTTCCTCATACGCATGGCATAAGACGTCGTATGCATGCAACTATGCTGAAGAAAGGGGGGCCGGATGAGGGGGGCGGCATGGTAGAAGCATATATGATGGGAAAGGAAAAGGTTTAAATAATGGACTGGTTTTATAGACATAGCCAGAAACATTTCGGAGTTGGTTCAGTGTGCTGCTTCTGCTCAGGTGATCTTCAGAGAAATAGCTTGAGTTCCAATGCGACTTTGGTCTGCTCTACGTTTGTGAAGCAAGGCCCGGAGATTTTTGCAAAACTAACAGCATCCATTATGCTATCAAGATGTCCGTCAATGGCACACTTTACTAAGTGCCCGGACATGATATATGGAACGACGAAAACTAAACCGCGAAACTGAACAAGAAATACGACCGCCTCTGACTAGGCATGCGTAGCTCGCACTCCCTTGCCTCCTCGCCTTTCAATAACCTCCCCTTTTTTGTGTTGATTTTCCTGTCCATAGAACTGACCATGCCAACCTCAAACTACCCCAATCCCCCGTTCTTCTCTCTGTCCTGGCACCTGTTTTCCTTTCTCTTGTTTTCCTGCCCGCCACCTCCAGTCTCCTCTCGAATATTTTGCAAAACGTGTTTGCACTACCAGACAAAAAGCAAGTAAATCAAAGTCAAATCAAAGGGGGAGAAATGAAGAAAAAGGTGAAAAAAATGAAGACAAGATGGAGGAGACACCCATAAAAGGGCATCATGAACCCTCCACTGCCGGTTGTAGGCACATAGCCTGGCCAATTGTGTGTCTTGGCTTGCTTTTCAAACCCAGCCTCACTATTGTGCTCGCTCTATCCGCGGGCAATTATGTCGCCGCTTGGGCTTGTTTAGGGGTCGAACTTGAAAACCATGAACTCGCCGGAGCTGACGGATGACTGAGGTGAGACAGGTCGCGAATCTTGTCCCTCAGAAGATCGAGGCCGTGGTCTCCCGTGCCCGATCGGCCTCAGGGCGTCGCTAGCTAAGATGCCAGTCCGTTAGTCACAGAGACAATAAAAAAAATAGCGCAGCGATATGTTGTGACCATACAAGCTGTTACCTCGTGAAGCCCAGATTGTCCCTCCTCGTTTCCTGTAGGCAGCCAAGTATTGGTGCCGGAGTTCAAGGCTTGGGCCCTCATCTCGTTGCGTGCCCTGATGAACTCAGCGTATCGTCCAGGTATTCCCATGTATTGCCAGTTTTCCACATGCTGTCGGGGCGCATGGTCGACAACATGGCCCATACCGTGCGCACGAGGGTTAGGGACTGGGATGGGGATCGGCACCGCGGCAGTGGGTTCTTGTGCTTGAGCAGCAAAGGTCGCTACAGTCGAGAATGCTGTCTGACGCTCGCCGTTGCCACGCCCCGATGTCGCTGTAGGAATAGTACTGAACGGGGCGAGTCTTCCAGAGGTTGCGTTAGGACCCGAGATGTTCGGGCCCAAGTTGCTTCCCCCGTCAACCTCGTTCGGTGTATAGTACCGAGCTGCGGGGAATTCAGAGGCCGGAAGAGCCTGATCTTCAGGGTCAATCTCTGATTCCAGCTCGCGACCAGGAACAAGGTCGGGATTGTGAGTGCTCTGAACTTCGTCCGGCAGACGCATAGACATAGGAACCACTGATAGATCCTGGTGGTAGCTAGCATTGTTTTCATTGGAGTTAGTGCCTCTAGTGCGGTATGTTACCGTATGATCAAAACCGGAACTCATATTGGCATGACCGGTATCTTGCAGGCCCGTACCGACAGCAGTGGGCACATGAGAAGTAGAGCCTCCAGCATCGGCTTGATTCCCATAGCCGCCACTGGAATGGCTGGCCGTTCCATACTGTGTTGCGTTGCTGTTGAGTCCTCCGAATGTGTTAAATGCTCTATTCCTCGCATCTCTTGCTATACCGGCACGATAAGCAGTGTCATCCCGACTGTCCCAAATGGTTGGCAGTTCGGGGGTGAGGTCTTGATACACTCTGGCCACCTCGGGCGCTGCAGGAGTACTGGCCATAGTCAGAGCAACCCGAGGGTGCAGACCCAGACGCATCGAAGGTGGCAAAACCGAAAGTTTCGACAGGGAAAGAGAAACGTCCGCATCAGACATGGAAACATTCGGGCTGTCGTTGCAGTCTAGGATAGGACTCCCGGGAGGCAAGAAATACTGGCAGTCTTCTTGGTCGTCATCATCATGATCTTCTTCCTGGGAGCTTTCAGCAGAAAGACAGGTTCTAGCTTCGTTTGCACGAGAAGACTCAACGGGATCCGACCCAGAGCCGGCCATGTTGTAAGGAGTCTCCGAGTGGGCCTTGTAGACATCAAGAGTGGTTGTAGACGCAGCCGGGAAAAACGATGCATAACGACCTGCCTCGAAATTTTCAATGGAGCCACTGGCATTTTCCGAAATTATGCCATCCAGAGGAGCATCACTGAAGGACATGACATTTCGAAGAGGGCTAGGGGTCGCAAAGCGACGCGCATCGACCTCGCCTGAAATATGATTTTCGGCAGCATGAAGAACTCCGGCACTAGCCTTGGCTACCATATTGGCTTTACCCGGAGCCGTGTTTGTTGGTTTGAACGGTGACGACGATGGGTCAAGCACGCTTTTGTTCTTTCCCGAAAGCGGAGATGAGCGGCCACTTTGGTCAGGAGTTTCATTCTTCAAACCGACACGAATGCCGGCATTTCTAGCTGCGTCCCGCAAAGATCGAAGCTCTTTCGGAAGATGAGCCTCGTTCATATCATTCATGTCGAGGACTGTGCTATGTCTCGAGGAAGCTTCGGCCGGAGCCGACTTGGCAAGGCCCGATTTAGCAGGACAATAATCTATGTTGCCGCCTTCCGTCGAAAAAGAAGACAGTGCCTGTCTGCGTGTGTAAGTCTCAGGCAGCGTGCCAGAGAAAGCACCAGTCATGTCAAAGACAGGCAGCCTATCCGTAAAAACATTGGGCAACTGACTGGCAAAAGGGCCAATTGTGGGATAGATAGGAGGCGAGTCCTGTCGAGCTATGTTTGAGGATCTCAGAATCTCTGTCCAGTTTCTTGCAGATTCCTGTCTCATGAGAGACGGTGCCTGTCGATAGGCAGCCGGTTGTGGAGGAGGAGGTACACCATGCGGCAGAGTGTTCTCGGGCACTTCTAGTCCCCTAGGATTGCGATGCGTACGTGCACAGTAACGCAACGGGGCATTGAAAGGTCTCTGCGGGAGCCTGTACGGCGATCCGAAAGAGTTCAGGCCAGGTCTGGGCGACCGCGTGCGTTCCCTATAGTTTCTTTTTGTCAGACTCCATTCAGATAGAACAGCTAAACGTGACAAGACACGATAAGAAGTCGAGCGAGGACGTTCTTATAACAAGATGTTTGTGATATGAATTCTCTCCGTTTATAGAGCGTTTATCCAGAGACGACAGAAAGGGCAAAAAATCCAAACAAGGTGTCTTCTGTCTGGCTTTTCATATTGGGATATATCTCTGGAATCTCCATTTGCTATACGGAAGCCATGATCTGTCTGGAAGAACAAGCCAAGTCCAAGGATCACGGTAGACTTGAACGGGATAGAGCCAAACGAACAAAAGAAAGACAAAAGAAAGAAAGGGCTAAGTAGAGCGAGCAGCAAGCAATTCTTCGAGAACAAATATGGACTCACCAATCGGAGATCCAATCGGAGCTGCTAGAAGAAGATGTCTGCAAAGCGAGAAGGCTGCGCAAGAGGGCTATCTCTCCTTCCAGGGACTCTGCCGTCCTGGGATTATAGTCACCCCCCGACCCGTATGGACCGGGCGAAGGTCCCGAGCCGAATGGATACATCGTCGCTGATGTGTGTCGAGAATCAAGTGATGATATGATAGAAGTAGATGTAGTTCACAACTGAGATTGAATGGAACAAAGACGTGAGGTAGGAAAAAGAGAAAAGAAATACAAATCAAACGTACTTAGCCCACAAGATGGCCAAGACGTCTGATAAGTATTGAAATAGGAAAACTGTTCTCGTCTGCCAGACTGTATAGAGTGGCAGATGAGAAAAGTGGGAGAGGATGATGAAGAATTTATAGAGAGGAAGGAGAGGAGAAGAAGAGAGAAGAAGAGAGGAAAGAAAAGACAGGAGAGGGGGACGAGGGGGAGACAAGCGAAAACAGAAAGAGCACGGCACAGGAAAGAACAACCCTAAGGGTGTCATAAAACGGAAGGAACAGGATGTAGTCAGAGGCTACCGGTCCGAAGTAGGAAAGAGCATTAGGGGGGGGGGAGGGGGTGGATGTACTGCGTAGTGCTTGTATGACGCGGAACTCCCACACAAAAGCAGGCTGTCCTGACAGATCTGATGGCTAAAATAAGAGGAGGCCTACGATGATATTGTGCAGGTTGCCTATATGACGGAAACAAAACAAAAAAAGCTTTGCGCACAATGCGCACCATGGCCAGGGTGGTTGGGGGTGCTTCTCGGAGGTAGACATAGTGCCATGGGGGCACATTGGTGTTTTGTGATTTGTATTTTCAACATCGTGACGCCCTAATCCACAGCTTCGCAATGCCTCCACCTTGGTGAGATTTTTTCAACAGTAATAGTATGGAAGAAACAGAAAGGAGAGCGAGTTTGGGGGGATATAGTCTATGATTCTAGTCGAGACAAACAAATACCAAAGCCTCCTTTCTCAGGCCTCCTCGCATTTTTGTCAGCCCCACCTCCATGTCACTAAGAGAATGGTACGATATCACAATAGACGTCATGATGGGCTCTTGCTTGCAGTGGTGTGTCTTGTCTAGACCCCCATTCAGACAGGTGTTCGGACTAGGCCGCCGCCGCATTCAAGCGCAAGAGAGGGACCGCATTTCTGCGCACCAACTCGATGACACTGCCACTGCTTCCTCCATTCATAAGTAGGGGTTTCTACCAAAACAAATTACAAGCACAGCGGGCCTGATGTATTCATGATACGCTGCAGCTTCGTAGAAAGCCCTTGCTAGGCGAGAACTACGGGGAGGGAACAGGCGGTAGCGAGACCAGAGCGCGCCAATAGAATTTAATTATTATTATGCAATATGCCACCACCATATTCATGAGCTACATGAATATAGATCTATGAACAAAGGGTATACTGCTTGGTTTCGGACAATCGCGAGGCATCTTGCGATGCCGAGGGAGGACTGTCTGGACTATAACCAGCGATGTAAGACGAGGTCCCGTGACTGTTCAGCAAGCCCCACACGTGACATATTCCACGTGAGCTTCCACGTGATAGCCTCGCAAGCGGTGTGGGTTGTGTGGGGCAAGGGGGATCTGGCAACTTCGCGATGCCCCAATTTCAGCTTCTCCCGCACACAAAGGTGTCTTCAGCGTTAGAAGTTCTCGAGCGTTACGATCAGGCTATCGAGTCATTGCTGCTGCCCTGCTCTACCGAACACTATGGAATACGGCAAAAGGGATGAGGATGCCGATGGCAGCCTTGTCCGGGTCGACCGCACGCAGGTATTCCAAGAAGGTGTGTATCTCATTAATGGGCAGACGTTAGCCCCATCGACGACGTGCAGCATCCAGTGCTTCTGCGGCGCTTTCCTGCGTCGGTGATGAGCACAAGCTGACTGTGTGCAGCTCGATTGTTTAACAGCTCTCCCATCCAGCCGAGACAATGCCGCATTCTCCTCACCAAGATCGCGCTCCTCCTCTACACAGGGGAGAAGTTTCCGACCAACGAGGCCACGACACTCTTCTTCGGCATCTCCAAGCTCTTCCAGAATAAAGATGCCAGCCTGCGCCAGACGGTCCACCTGGTGATCAAGGAGCTGGCCCACTCTGCCGAGGATATCATCATGGTCACTAGCACAATCATGAAGGACACCGGTGGCAGCGGCGATTTCATCTACCGGCCCAATGCCATCCGAGCATTATGCCGGATCATCGATGTATGCCAGACCCTGCTGACCGGCAACGCGATTCTGGTAGACTCGAGGACCTTGCTGACGTGTGCTGCTTGTTTCGTTAGGCTACGACTGTGCAATCCATCGAGCGCGTGATGAAGACGGCCATTGTTGACAGAAACCCGTCCGTATCGTCGGCCTCTCTTGTTTCTTCCTACCACCTGCTTCCCATCGCGCGCGACGTCGTTCGGCGCTGGCAGAGTGAGACGCAGGAGGCTGCGGCGAACACCAAGTCCTCTGGCGGGTTCTCTCTCGGATTCTCGTCGAGCTCGGGCTCAGTGCCCGTCAACAGCTCGACCATGACCCAGTACCACGCCATCGGGCTGCTCTACCAGATGCGGATGCACGACAAGATGGCCCTGGTCAAGATGGTGAAGCAGTTTGGGACAGCAGGTGCGGTCAAGAGCCCTACGGCAGTCTTGCTGCTCGTACGTCTGGCGGCTCAGCTGGCCGAGGAGGACCCGACGCTGCGGCCGTCGATGGTGCAGCTGCTGGACGGCTGGCTGCGCCACAAGAGCGAGATGGTCAACTTCGAGGCGGCCAAGGCGATCTGCGATCTGCGCGACGTGACGGATGCAGAGGTGTCGCAGGCGGTGCATGTGCTGCAGCTCTTCCTGACGTCGCCTCGGTCGGTGACCAAGTTTGCGGCGCTGCGTATCCTGCACAACTTTGCGTCGTTCAAGCCGGAGGCCGTGCGGGTGTGCAATCCAGACATCGAGCTGCTGATCTCCAACAGCAACCGGTCGATTGCCACGTTCGCCATCACGACGCTGCTCAAGACGGGCAACGAGGCCAGCGTCGACCGCCTGATGAAGCAGATCAGCGGGTTCATGTCGGAGATCACAGACGAGTTCAAGATCACCATTGTCGAGGCCATCCGCACGCTCTGCCTCAAGTTCCCCAGCAAGCAGGCCGGCATGCTGGCCTTCCTCAGCGGCATCCTGCGGGACGAGGGCGGGTACGAGTTCAAGCGCACCGTCGTGGAGAGCATGTTCGACCTGATCAAGTTCGTGCCCGACTCGAAGGAGGATGCACTGGCCCACCTCTGCGAGTTCATCGAGGACTGCGAGTTCACCAAGCTAGCCGTGCGCATCCTGCACCTACTGGGCATCGAAGGCCCCAAGACGTCGCAGCCGACAAAGTACATCCGCTACATCTACAACCGCGTGGTGCTGGAGAACGCGATTGTGCGCGCGGCGGCGGTGACAGCCCTGGCCAAGTTTGGCGTGGGCCAGAAGGACCCGGAGGTCAAGAAGAGCGTGCAGGTGCTGCTGTCGCGTTGCCTGGACGATGTGGACGACGAGGTGCGCGACCGTGCGGCGCTGAACCTGCGGCTAATGAACGAGCCGGATGCCCTGGCAGAGCGCTTTGTCAAGAACGGTATGTCGGACAGTCTTTGGGACTTGGCTTTGCAAAAGACTAACAAAGTGGCGCAGAAAACATGTACTCGCTGTCATTCTTTGAACACCAGCTGGTGACATACGTGACGTCGGACGAGAAGGACACGTTCACGACATCGTTTGACATCTCCAAGATCCCGGTCGTTACGCGCGAGCAGGCGGACGCGGAGGACCGGACGAAGAAGCTGACTGCGACGGCGCCAACGCTCAAGGCGCCCAAGGTGGGAGGCGCAGCCAAGTCGGCGGCGTCGGTTGCAGAAGAGGCAGCGTCGGCGTCGGCGCAGGCGCAGAAGTACGCGCAGGAGCTGCTGCAGATCCCGGAGATCCAGGAGTTCGGGGCCGTTCTCAAATCGTCACCAGTGGTAGAGCTGACTGAGGCCGAGACGGAATATGTGGTGAGCGTGATCAAGCACATCTTCAAGGAGTACATTGTGCTGCAGTACGAGATCAAGAACACGTTGCCAGACACGGTGCTGGAGAACGTGTCGGTGGTGGCGACACCGTCGGAGGAGGACGAGCTGGAGGAAGCCTTCATCCTGCAGGCGGAACGTCTGGCCACCAACGAACCAGGCAAGGTGTATGTGGCCTTCAAGAAGGTGGCCGGGGCCGATGGACTGCCGACGAGCACCTTTTCCAACGTGCTCAAGTTCACGAGCAAGGAGATCGACCCGTCGACACGCGAGCCGGAGGAGTCGGGCTACGACGACGAGTACGAGGTGTCGGAGTTCGACCTATCAGGCAGCGACTACGTCATCCCGACTTTTGCCAGCAACTTCAGCCACCTTTGGGAGCAAGTGGGCGCATCGGGCGAGGAGTCGGAGGAGACGCTGCAGCTCAGCGGAGTGAAGAGCATAGCAGGTGTGTATTGGTTCTCGGGATGCTCTCATTTTTTCTTTTTCTTTTTCTTTTTCTTTTTCTTTTTCTTTTTCTTTTTCTTTTTCTTTTTCTTTTTCTTTCCTTCTTTCCTTTCTTCTCCTATCTTTCCCTTTCTTCTCCTTTCTTTTCCCTTTCTCTCTTCCTTCTTCCAATATACTCTCATACATCTACTAATTCTGTCACAGAGGCGACGGACCTGCTGGCCAAAACACTGTCGCTGCAGCCGTTGGAAGGCACAGACATCCCCCAGAGCCAGACGACCCACACGCTGAAGCTGTTGGGCAAGACGGTGGGCGGTGGTCGGGTGGTGGCCACGGTGCGGATGGCGTACTCGACCAAGACGGGCGTGACGACCAAGGTGACGGTTCGCAGCGAGGAGGAGGGCGTGTCGGCGCTCGTGGTGGCCGCTTTGGACGGCTGAACAGGCAGGAAAGGAACGGAGGTGTCTGCAGATGTTTGGCTGCTACCTGTGTTTCCTCTCTTTTGTCGTTGCGGACGGGCTCCTGCGCGGTGGCGGTGGTAATTGCTATTAATCGGCTTCTCATCATGTCATCTTGGGTATGCAGCTAGATCATCCCAGAGAACGAGCGGGAACAGAGCGCAAAGGAGGGCAAAAGGGTGTTGGGAGAGAGGGCGGGAAAACGTTACGTCAGCAAATGAAAAGCGCGGTTTTATCCTACAGGCCTGTCGGCGGTTCGAGAGCAGACGGCGATGCAGCGTGTCCTGCTGCGTCTATAGCGTCCCCAGGGCGTGCATTTGTATTGACATCGTTGCCAGAAAGCAACACAGACGCTGTCCGGCTATCTTTTTACTGTCTGTATTCTCACAGAGTTCTGTCAGTAAAAAAGTCGATGAGCTTCTGTGCCGCAATTTGGCGGGCAAGGCAGGAACGGTTTGCATCCTTCCTGTTCTGCTTTTTTCAGTCTCTGTTGTGTTACTTCGGACCTTTGCATCCAATATGTTCTTGTTCTTTACTCCTCGTTTTTTCATATACTATCCCTAGCTCTTTCTCTGTGCTCGCTTCATCTCCTCTCCATCTCCCTCATATCGTCGTCATGCACACCCAATCCATGTCTCGGGAGCGCAACGCCTCTTTCTGCCGTGTTCATGTACACATATGACGTCGGACACTGGATACAGACGCCCCTCTTTCACCATCTTCTAGTGGCTGCAGTGGCTAGGCGCCGCATGGGATCGCGAGATCCTAGCTGCCTGTGCAGCATCGCAGCCTTCGGTTGTCCTGGGTTCTCGAGGTGAGTTAGCGGCATCTTCTGTTTGGCTAGAATACGATGCCGGATCTCATATGCTGTCTTTGCTATGTACCTCTATCGTTCTGATTTGCTGTTCCATCTTCCGACCTGGGCCGCTGTCTCAGTGTGCCCGTCTCGTCTGCACGATCGCCTGAGGCCGCCAGGTCAGGCCAAAAGGGGCGGTGAGCAACAATCAAAAGAGTTCGAGTGAGTCGACATGTTCGTCTCGCCGTGTTGTGTCTCCCAGAAAGGCCAGAAGGGCAGCACGACGAAGAACCGTCCATCTGTTCTCCTTACGACCAGGACCGTCACAACCCCCAGCATTGTGCGTACCAATCCGGCAGCAGATTGCGAGATCGTTGATCCAGATGCCACGAGGCAGTCCGGAGTGCTTCGACCAGCTGCAGACTTTCTACGCTGGCTGCCAGGCACATCGAAACGACTCCTACGAGCTCCCCAGAACGTCACTGCTGCTACATTCCGGCTCGTCTCCCTGTGTATGGAGCTTGTACCATGTACGCGATACCACGGCCGTGTTCTACTCGTACACAGTACGCAAGATTACCGGTCGTATTCTGAGCTTCTCCCAGCGCATGAACCGGTTCTTGGGCCACTAGTGGAGGTGTGAGACAACTCGAACTTGAACTCATCCCCTTTCAGGTGCATCCCCACCTTGGGTCACTATCAGAACTCCTCGACATCAACTCTGCCGATCCTACTAATAAACGGGTATACGACGTACATACGGAGTACATAGCAGAGATTGAAGGCTGTGGTCCTGGCTCGCCCACGCTCTTATGAAACTCTGATTTATGGGGTGGAAGGATGTCCCGATCCCCACCCGACTGCTTCCGCTGACTGGCCTTTCATTCTTTACTGTCTACGACGTATTTTCCCATCTTTGGGGGGTTTTTTTTTTTTGGTCCGGTGGGTCTTTGAGGGAGCCGATGGAGAACAACCGCTCCAACCCTGTCCTGTCACGCGTTCTGAACGTGTCGTAATAATAAGATGCGTACTATGTTTGAGTACGAGTACATACGAGTACGAGTTGCATGGCACTCGCTGAGACCTCCCGTGTGGGAGACCAAAATAGAGCTTGCCAGCAAGTTGGTCGTAGCGGCTAGGCTGGCTTCAGTAGACAAACAACACGTCTCTCTCGGGGCGACTTGCCAGAGGCCTAGCGCTGAGGGAAGTAAGATACGAGTACGCGAGTACACGTATCGTGCTCTAGAGCTGGCCAGCGATTAGTCAGGCTCCACGGCCAATTTCGAGCGCCACAGAAATGCCTCTCTTCTGGTGGCCTAGTGTTTCGACCGGTTTCGACAGCCAACAAGTGCCTCTCTCAATGTCCTCACGCGTCGGATCTGATTGCACTCAAATCAGCCAGCTGCACAGCCCTCCGAATGAACCGTCGCGCCGACTCGTGAAACAGGGAGTGCGCGTTCTCGCTCCCAGATGCAGGTGATAGACCTATCTACTACATAGTACTCGTATGTACATAACTATCTTGCATCTACGAGTACGATTTTGATACACGTACTACGGGCACAATATGCGCCGCCGCCGCGTAATGACGGCCAATAGACAGGAAGCCAAGGTTGGTAGGTGGTGTGGTGTGGTGTTTTTCTGTCAACACCACGTCTCGCTTTGTCCTGGAAAGCCGAAATATCGCGCCACTGATGGCAAGGAGGATGTTCATCCCCCCTTCCCGCTCCTTCGGACGGCCCTTCCCTGCGTAGTATTGCTATCGTGGTTCCCTAAACGGATGTGCCTGGCCGAGCATCCTCCAGATCGGGACATATCTCCATCTGCTGCCGGCTCTTAGCGGCCAGGACGGCAACGAGAACTGCAAGAGGGTGTCGGAAGCGCTCTGCACAGCCCGTCCACGGAGACTGTCAGAAAGGAAAGCAGCCCGCCGTGCTCGTATCGCGTACAGCTGCCGTGTGAGATTCCCCTCCTCCCAGTGTGTTGCTCCATCGGGGTCGTTGTACGGAGTACGGAGCACGGAGCACGAGCACAGCATTCTCTTCTCGCATGGCACATGCTCCAGTTTTCTGTTCCTCCCACTCGGATTCGGACGAGACCCCGGGCAGAGGTAGCAGAGGCCCTGTAGAGCACGAGCACGGGAGCAGGAGAGAAACAGCCGGATGGAGGGCGGTGAGGGCAGCTGCTGGGGTTGTATCCTCCGACCTGAGCATGATGTTTGTCGTGGTTGTCGTGTGTGTCATCCGGCCGTCCTTGTTGGCTGCCCTGTCTGCTCTCCCATCCTCGTTTGCATGCCCCCCTATTTCGCATGCTACCCTTCCTCCTTTCTTTTTTAGCCCGCAGCCCCTTTCCTTGACAGATATGGCAGGCTACTCCGTAGGTCGAAAGATGGGGGTCACACTGCAGTCTTTGTCTGCCGGCTGAACGGTCGGATGTTTTCGTCTTCTTCTCGCGTCCTGATGTGTCTTGGCCTTCCCTCTTTTCGCCTCCCTCCTGTGGCGACGCCCAGGTGACGCCGCAGCTACGAGTAGCTCGTACTCGTACGTATCGTCGTCTTCAGGAACATCGTCCTCGCAGGTGGTATCGCCTGTGTAAGTTTTCTGTGCAACGGTCCTGGGTCCCGCACGGAGCATTAAGATGATGCCTCCTGCCTTTCTGTCATGCAGATGGACCACTGCAGAGCAACTTGAGCTTCTGGGGGCCTTTTTATCCACCAATGCGTGTCGTCATGAACGTCGTAGATTTCCACAGGTATTGTCTACTCGTACTACTCCGTACGCACGAATCCCACTTTGCAAGCCGGAGTATCTGGCCGAGCCTTTCTCTACTCACAGGCGTTGGCGTTGACACTGTTGGGCGTATGTCGTCATAGGGGTTCTTTTCCTTTTGCCTGGTCCTTGTCTAGCCTCTCTTTCTCTCGTCGTCCTCCCCCTTTCTCGCCCCTCTGCCCGTATCAATGCTTCATGCGCACCTTTCGTGCAGGGATGGGGGCCGATGGGACCGGTGGCAGGCGGCCGGTTTCATTCTTGCCCGCTCGCTGGCTGCTGTCGACCCAGCACCAGCCGACCTGTACGTGTACGGGTATGTGTGCAGTCGTAAGCGGTCGAGCAGTACTCCGTACGGAGTACACACGTATCTTTCCTGGCGCGTCTCGAGCATCTCCAACGACCCACGAGCAAGTCGTACACCGTACCACCTTGCCTGACCGACTTTCGTCCTTTCGCCATGCAGCAGCACGAGCAGGGGTGGCAATGGGAGTGCAGGGTCGTAGCGTGTGCGATGTGCGGGCGCGGAAGTGGAAGTGGATGCGAGCGTGGACATGGAGTGGACATGGATGTGGGCGTGGGAGTGGGCGTGTGCATGCCTGATGCTACATTGCTATTTTAGCGAACCATGAAAAAGCTGCATCTGAGGCAGAGCGAAAGACAAAAATACTCTCTCATACACACGAGTACCCGTAGTAGGTCCTGCCTACCACTATACATCGTAAGGGCGAGGCCGTTGAGACGCTCTTGGCGAGCAAAATGCTTGCTACCGCAGTGCGAAACAACAAAAACAAAGCTTGTTGGTGTCTGTCCTTGGTTTGTCGTCTGCGGCTCGCGGTTCATGATATGCCTCGACTAGAACGAGTACATGCTTGTCTGTGCTTGGTGGCTTCCATCGATCGAGAGAGGCTGAGGAAGAGGCGTTCTGGCTCACATCGGCATCCACTTCCACATCCCTCACCTCACTTCACCACACCCCTGTGTCCCACTCTCTCGCCCACACACCCTCGGCTGCATGGGCCCGTCTGCTCCGGGAAAAATGGGAAGGGGGTGTCATGGCCGACCTCTTGGAAGTCTTTCCGCCGCAAGAAGCTACTCGTAGGTTTGGAGACTGCATCCATCGTTCCTCTTCTCTCTGCACGCCATCTCGTCTTCGTTCTCGTGTTATTTATAACCGTATACTTATACTCGGATGTCTCTCAGGTCATATGCAGACCTCGCAGCCGCAACCGCAGCTGGACGTGCAAGGGTCTACCGTATTTTCGTCCCCTTACTCCGTACATAGTACTTATACTATATACGGAGTAAGATACGATACACAACTGCAGACAGGGGTTGCTAGTTGGCTCGGGCGTTAGCAAGGCACTTGGTCACAGCGACTGCCAACCGATGTTTCTCTCGCCGCGGCTACTTACCACACCACGGCTCCCTGGAAACCTTAATACCTTGGTGCACGAGAAGGAGCAAAGTACGGAGTACCCGTAGGCAGTCTCGCAGACGAGCCGGCACCCCTCCCCTCTCCCCCTGGCACTCAGCAAGCAGCGGGTCCAGATGAGCGATCGGGTAGTGGATTCCAGCCGCGCTTTTTGTTGCTTCTACTCCGTACTCCGTAGATGAGCTGTGGTGCTAAAGCGGGTGCCAGGGTCGAGGAGATATATACACGGTAAGATATCGTACATAGTACGTCGTGTGTCCTCGTAGGACGGCCAGATATAGCCGTTGTCGGACGGCGGCAGCTCTGTGACGAGGTCGATGTGATTGACCCGGGGCTTTTCTCTGGCTCTGGCATTGCCTCTAGCTCGGAGCGGCTGAGAAGGTGAGATTGCTCGCTAAGCGAACTCGTGCATATATTACTATAGTACGACAGTGCAGGACGCCTGACATTTTGATATTACCAGAGGTCCCGCCTCGACCGTCTGTGGATAGTGCTGTATCAAATATATGCAGAGCGGTGGGCAGTCCTGAATTCGTCACAGCGGCCGTGACGGGAAGACGGCGTCTCACAGCGCCTGGCTGTTGTGCGTGCCATCTTGTCCTTGTATGCACGAGTAGGGTGTGTGTAGTGCGGCTTGCGGCGCCGACGGAGAAATACATAACCAGATGTTCGCAAGATACGCCGAGCCGCTATACAGCTGGTGAAATAAAGCGGCCAACGGGCGAAAAAGAACACCAGGCCAAGTTGGGCAGCTGGCAGAAGATGGTTGACAACGCCAGACGGCTGTTAGCGCAGTCCTGCCTTTTTCCAGGGCGTGTGTGTGTGGTCGGGCGCTCTCGCGCTGGTGTGCGGGCCAGCCGTGTGGCTAGTCGTATCATCCGATCAGACGTTGCTGAAGAATGGCAAAGTGTTTGCGGCGAGCTTCGGGAATGGTGAGAGCAAGAGAATACGAGTTCGCCGTGCTCGCTTGCAAAGGAAGGAAAGAGAGATATAGGGGAAGGCACGACGGCCCACAGGTGTCTGTCCTGCTGCTCTCCATCCAGACGGCACTAGTCGCGGAGAGGAAAACGGACGAGTGTGAGGGAAAGGGGGGAAGGCGCGCTAGGCAGGCCACGATCGAAGCTGCCATCGAAACTGGACTTGCTCCGCGGACATGACGCATGACTGGCAGAAGCACGACTTTGCGACTCTGCCATGGCGACACATTCGCAGTAAGGGCACGGAGGAACGAAGCGTGGACAGCAAACAGGCAAGCAGAAGGGTACTTCGCGCCGTCCCTACGTCGTACGCTACTGCAATGCACACTCGATCGCTGTTCAGGCCAGTTGCAAGGTTTCCCCGCGGTTCATAAGCCCGAGCGTTTGAGATGTCGAGGAGCGAGAGTGTGTGTTTGGTCTGTGTTTGTTGTGTTGGTTCTTGCTGTTGTGGTGGTAATAGGTTTGCAGCGAGACCGAAAGCAAGATACTTGCAATTCAAGAAACGAGAGCAAGCGGATTCGGTGTAAATGCATCCGACCTTAAACGCGCAACATGATGTTTTTACATGCTTGCCACTACAGGAAGAACCCGCAGGCTTGTGGTTTACAGCGCAGACGCTGACGCTTAGCAGCCGTTTTAGCCGTCGGGTATTAAATACAGCCCGCCGACACCTGCGGTACTCGTACTTGCGTCGCGCACAGCTGCAGCAAGCAGGAATACGGAGTACCAATTTACATAGTACCCCCAAATTGGTGCTATCCCACAGGCCTCTAGCGTACACGCCGTTGGCGGTCGTGGCCGGTGATTATGTGATTACATACTCCGTAGTACGAGATGGGGATTGTTTCCAACCGGCGCAGATTATCCACTCGTATCTTACGAGTATTACCATACTTATCTTGCACGGCATTACGAGTATACTCGTACACTGAAATGAGAGGGCCACCGTAGGCATTTTTTTTTTTTGCGAGTATCTTTCTTGCAAGATACGAGGAGTCCACCTGGCAAGCCTCGTTCACCTCTTTTGACAAGCCCTGTCTCGTGTGCATAGTACGGCGTAGGGAGTACGAGTACTTCCCGTGTTTGTGGACATGCGACCCGCCAAATCCCACTAGACAGAAAAAATGGTCCTACGGATATCGGTCGCCCCACTTCGCTCACTCCTGTGCGACGCCCTCCGTCAGATGCAAAGCGTGTCCCCCCCTTTCATATCTCCAAGCACGCTACTCCACTGCTGCCCCTCTCATCTCTGTACAGGATAAACAGAATTCCTGTCCAGGACTTCCCTCCCCCTTGTCCCAGACCCTGCCATGAGCCCTGTCTTTGGGCCGTCTTTGGGCCTGGCCTGACTCCTCCCTTCCCTTCAACGGCTACCCGTCTGGGTGTGCTGGTGGTTGACTTCGCTACTTTTGCTCTCTTGGGAGTAGCGGTCTTCGTACCTTGCAGCCCCTGTCACGTACGGAGCAATCACGAGGCCCTGAAATGCAGCCCCCCCAGCCAGCCAGCCAGCCAGGTCGGCGACGGAACCGTCTTGTCGGGACCAGCTTCGAGAAGGCAGAGAAAGCCGAGCAAAAATGTGACAGAAACTGGAGTTGCGAAGATTCTTCCCGATGCTTTCAAAGAGCAATACTCTGTACATAATAGTGCAGCGATCTCGGCGTCGCCGAAATCCCAAACATCCATTTGCAGTTGGAGCGCTGTTTGCAGGACGTTACATTACTAACGTGTGTCCTCTGCCTCTCTTATTTCTTTTTGTCTTTTCTTTTTCCGTCTCCCACACGATCGCTCTCAACGCCAGCCGCCGCCTCTGCCAATGCCGTGCTTTGTGCGGGCACATACGCTGCCTGTAGTAGCGCGTCGTAGCGCCCCATAGCGCTGTATACTTTCGCCGTAGCGCGCCCATTCGCTCGTTGCCACTCTGCGCGGCGGCCTGTTTTGGGGCAAGGTCCACGGCGCCACGGCGCCACGGTGCCATGGCACTCGACGGACACTACGACGTATCCGTATTCAGAGCAAGATGAGATGGGATGGACAAGTGCTCCATACGCAGAGCAAGCGGCCCCGAGCCCGCCCCCTGCCAGGTGCATTTCCTTCACAGAGCGCGATACGGAGTGCGGATCCTGGCCAATCCGATTTTTGACAGCTTTCCCCCGACCCTGGAACATCCCACTCGCAGATCTTGTTCACCACCTCTCGCTCGAAATATTGTGATGCAATGCAAACGCGTCTGTGCCTCCGGTACCTGCAGATGCCGCCCGACATACCGAGTGCCAGAGGCCCAGCAGTTCCCAAAAAGCACCGTGAAAGAGCCGCATGGCCACCGCCTCTGCTGCCAGACGAGCCGACGCATCTTCTGTCTTGCCACCGATTTGTCTTTGCTGCTGTGCCACCGGCCCGGGACAGCCAGAGCGCTTGCACGGCCACTCCAGATGACAAGAGACAGTCCTCTCCTCTCTTCTAGCCGTGGCATCGTCACAAGACGTCTCCCACATCCCACTGCAGCCGGTCTTCCACACCCAATCGCCTCACCGCCACCACGGCCTATCCCTACCTCCCCTCCGAGACCATGCGTCCGATTCGTGACGTTCTCATGATTTCGCCCCCAATTCGCTGCACTCGACGGCGCTCACCGCACTTCTCCCAGCCACTCCTTGCAGAGCTGCACCCTGGCTGTCCTGGCCTCTTGCCCCTACCCTTTTGCCGTCTGTGCCAATCAACGGCCGTAGCCTTGTCACCCCCATTTGCACTCGCTCGTGCCTATCTCCTCGGCTCTGTTCGTATCGTAAGATACGTCGCCCTCCTTTCGAGCGTTCGTATCTCATGTGTACAAACACGCAGGCGTCCTCGGCTTCCTCGTCGGCCCCCTGGCCTCCGCGGGTATACTAACAGCCCCCCTCAGAAAATGCTGCCTCTGCTCCACTACGGGTATCTAGCCTGCAAACCCCTTACGCTCTTTCCCGCCAGCCTGCGGTTTGCGTACCGAGTGTTATCACGTCTTATTCGGCACTAGAAGTCGGGAGAAGAGGACTCTGCTGCTTGTACGCCAGGTTCCCCGGCCTAGTCGGTATTGCCTTCGGCCAGGCTGCCCATCCCTTGCACGTCCAACCCGGTCGACCAAAAGCATGTGCCGAGTCCCATTCGTTGCCGCATCTGACGCAAATCCATGCACGAGCGTGTGTTCGTATATATATGCCAATTGTGTACGTCTGCACACAAATATACGCACGCGGGCAAACTCAGCAAGTAGACCCGAGAAAATCCAATAATCTGGTGGCTGCGCTCCACGTACTCCGTACCTTCCGCTTTAATCTACCCACCGCCAAACGGTCGGTCGGTCGGTCGGTCGCCCTTGCCACGGACGCAACCTGTCACTTTCGCTTTTAGCTCTCTTCGCCTGGCGCACACGTGCATGTCGGCTTGGCTTCATCCTGGCCTCCGCCATCGCCTGTCCCATTCTTCTCTCACCAATTTCTATTTTCTTCAGCACCTCTATTAGCTGCATGGCCCCAGCGTACGGAGTATTGCATCATAAATCCGACTTGCCCCCACCGTTTCCTGTTGTTTGCTGCCGTTTCGTGTGATTGGCTATCCCCTATTCAAAAAAAAATCTTTTCTTTTTCCTCTCTTACGAATACGCGAATTTCTCCTAGGCTGTGTCTCTGGATAGTTTTTTTTCTCTCTTTTTCCCTGCCTCCTACTAATAGACAGAGGTCTGAGAGGTGTGAGTGTGTCCGGTGCAGTTCCCAGCACGCTCGTTCTGACTGCAAATTTGGGGGGTTTTGCCAGCAAGCACGGTTCGCCATACTTTTTATACACCCTCCATTCGTTTTGCTACTATAGCTCCGTTATTTTTCTTTTATTCTTTTCTTTTTGTCGCACCTGATCTTCCCTCTCATTTCCTCCTTGGCCTCCCCTCTGCTCATCTGGAAGAACACGCAACGACCAGTCGACCGCGGCCTGCAACGTCAAAGATCAACGGCGTCATATCTCGCGGCCAGACACCCTCGCCGCGTGCTGTCCAGGTCTTCCTGGCCAACCCTCGCCTTCCCCGGTCATCTCCCGCCTCCCCGGTTACCCCCGGTCTTCCTCTCCCTCCCTCTCTCCGGTCTACCACCAGACAACCTTGCTCGCTGGTCCCATCGCCTTAATAGCGTACCACTTTGCCACGGCTTACCACGCGTGTGGATCGGAAAAGGGTTTCGGTGCCATTGCACGCGAGCATTCCGGCCAGCTGGTTCCCCAAAAGGTGCCTGTCCGACCGCTACACCAGCTGAGTCTCTTCCGTGCAGTGCGTCTTCGCCTGCAACGCTGGTCCCAGCTAGCGGTACGTGTTCTCTTCCGTCTTATTCTCACCACGATATACCCCGATATACCCCGTCCGTCGGTTGTTTTTATGTTTATTTCCTGCACTTTTGTTTGTCGGGATCTGTTGCGCCATGCGTGTCGGCAGGGTTCTCGGCTGCAGCCTATGTACATGTACGAGTACGCGGTCTACGGAACCCCCCTGTCGCTTAGCCTGTTCCATTGGCGTATGGCTCCGTGCTCTATTCCCGTTTCTGCATCGAGGCCTGTTCTTTCTGTCAGCGTGGGTCCAGCTTCTGGCACTGGGGGTCCTGCCCCAATCTCGGCAGCGTTCCACCCTATGTCCCTTGTGGTATCGCATGTTATTTTGCAGAGCGAAAGGAAATGACCGGAAATGGAGCAGGCCAAGAGAGAGAGAGTTGCAGAGGCACAGGGCACAGAGGCACAGCGACGCAGAGACGCATGAACCCGAAAGCAAGAGCAGTCAAAGGGCCAGAAAAAAAAAGACCCAAAGCCAGAGGGAATGCTGCAGTTTTCGTCGCAGGCTCTGTTTCTCGTCCCTTTCGCCCCTGTTTCTCCTCCTGTTTTCTATTTTTATCCGGGGTCATTTCCAGGGAAGTCGCACATCGACAACACCCGCTATGCATTTGAGCAATAGGGGTGGGGGCGCGGTGGAGGTGCCCAGAATGAAGCACTGAAGAAGTATAACGGCTTGTATGTAAGATATGTGGCTGACATCTGGGCTCTCTGATTAGATCCAGCATTTTAGCTGTTTCAGAATCACATACACCAAGCCGGCATTATACATAATAGCAGCATCCTGCGCCCTGCTGCACCCCATAAGACCTCGAGGCTGTTTTGACTGTCTCTTTTCTATTTCCTTTTTCCCTCTCTCTTCCATATTTCTATTTTATTATTTTATTATTATTTCCGTACCTCTTGGAAAAAAAACTTCGAGGGTGAGTTTGGCAGACTAACAAAACCCGGAAGAGCCCCAGGGTCTTGCATGTTTGACTTTCCCAACGCTGGGTTTTGCCTGCTTGTCTGTTTACCTCCTCCCCCCTCCCCCCTCCCCCCTCCCCTACCCTTCCCTCTGCATCGACCACATATACGGCGTCTCCCATCTGCATCTGTCCCAGACTCCAGTGCACGGCCACCCTTGAGCACCAGGTTCGCCCTGAGGTGTATACATACCCACGAGACACGACACCCAAGGCACCCACGGCACCCACGACACAACACGCTCGCATCTCCACAGACTCACCCGGGTCCCGAGTTTACATCTTTCAAACACACGCCTGCTACTGTTTCTCCCGGGTATCCTGTCTGGCTCGTATCCGCACCTCGTTGGACCCCAAGGATATCCGCTCTCGGTTCCTTTGACGAACCCCGGCAGTGTGTTCCCCGGCCTCGGGACTTGCGGCTACCGACAGCAGCAGCAGCAGCAGCAGCATCACGCAGATCTAGACGACACTGTCGACGCGGCAGCGTTTGCGAATCGCGTGAAAGCCAGCGGCCAAAACAGCATAGACAGCAAGCAGGCGCCATCTTCACAGGCACGTCTTCCCTGGTCGGCCGCATCGCAGGACTCGCAGTGGCCTGGCACAATCACATTCCAGCCCCTCTCTATCTCTTTCCGCCTCGTCTTCTTCTCCCGCTGGTCCTCAGACAGGCAGCTGAACGTGTTGGAAAGCAGGACTGGTGACTAACGCGCAAGATTGCACTTCACAGTAGCAGCCTCGTTTATTGATACTGATGGGATTGACAATGGCACAACAACATCGCCAGGCGCCTAGCCATGTGAAAGAGGATCCGTACGAGGTGAGTTATGTACGTGTCTATTCGTTGAGTTTCTTTTGATTTTTCCCTCACCGTCTGCTTTTCGTCTTCTCCCAACGAGCAATGCCGCCCCCCTCCCCATCCCCCCACGCCAGTGCGCCATTTACATACAGCTGGAGAGCACCGCTGGGACGCGAAGAAATGGTTCCTGCAGCCTGCGGCCTTCTGGACGACAGCGAGGCGCGTGCTGAGGCGCGGTCGTGGCAGCACACTGTGGGACTGCTGTCCAGCGATCCCATCTTGGACTCGGCAATCTAGCGGCAGGGCCATTCCCGACGCTTGGCAGGCACCGGCGTCTCAGTGAGCGTTTGCAGAGAGGATTGCGTCTTGTTTCCAAACTGTCCTTTTGAGGTCTGTGGGATGAGGTGGGAATTACAGGGACCGTCTGTTTCAAGGTTCGTCCCATGCAACGCTTTTGCGCCAGGGATAGCCATTAGCGTCTATGGGTACCTGGTACTTCTGGTGATAGCCGCTCCAGCGGCTATCTTAGCACCCGTTGGTGTTTCTCCTGTTCAGTCGGCAGGCAGCAAACGGGAAAGTACCTGGAGGGTGGCAAAGGGCGCAAACCCGCCAACGCAAGTGCTTTTAGGGTTGCACCATCTCTCTGGGATGGTCCGATGCAGACGCAGGCGCGGCCGTGTGTCGTTGCATGTTGATCACCTGCTACGGACAGCTTTGCTGAGCGATGGACTTGAGCCGGCCGGCAGTACAGAGGCTACATCGACAGGGCCACAACTCGCCGTCTGGCCATCGTCGCCTCCCACACCGCCCTTGTCAACTTTGGGCCTGAGGGGGTGTGGGAGGAGGGGGTGAGCAGAAGGTCCCGAGTTCCAGTTTTCGACCCCGACTAGCCCCTCTTTCCCCCTGCAAATACCCCTGTCAACTCTGCGGCCTGTGATTGGGCAATGGCCTTTGCGTGTGTTCTCCAACATCGGCCAACCGCCAGTTTCCCACCCCTCCTCCCCCCTATTCCTCGACTGAGCAGCAACCTTGTTCCCTGCTCGTCCCCTTCATCTCCAAGATTTCATGCTGCCCTCACACCTCACACACCTCACACACCTCTTGCTGTCCTTCTTCACTACTGCCGCCACTATCCTGCACTGCCGTTATTATCCACCCGGAAAAAGCATCCAAGCAGCCGTACGCTGGAAAAGGAGCGCGGCCAGAGGACCAGCCCATATCGGACACCCACGTCGTTCACACTCTCCTTCAGGCCTGGTCTACTTAAGAACCCTGCCCTCCTCCTTCCGCCTTCCACCCCCACAAAACTGTTGTACAGTACCTCGAACTTCCTTTCCGTCTTATTTGCTCTTTTATCTTGCTCTTATATTGCCTCGCCGTATTTTGGCAACATACCGCCTACCTGTTTTGAACTGGCCGGGTTAGTGTTAGTGGTCTCGCACCTCCTCTATCTGTTCACCGCCGACGATTGAACCCTTGGCTCTGGGTCGTGATATCTCGCATGCCTTCCTCGCGTCTACCTTCAGTGAAGGCGACAATACTTGCCTGAGCAGGGCTTAATGCTGCTAGGCAGTGCCTTGTGCAGTCCGGCTCGGCGGAAGATGATCAAACCAGCCCCTACCCCCTAGGCCATCTCCTTGCTGCAACCAAGACCCTGGTGATGGCGATTTTAATCTCGAGCCGCCACATATCCCTGAACAGCTGGCTAGAACGGTTTCGTCGCCATGCTAGAACCCTCTGACCCACACTTGTCGCTTCGTCTCCTGCACTCTATTATAACGCACCTATACGCATCAGGACATTTTAGCTGACTCGGATGCTCTGTATATAGCAACATAACCGCCACGCACAACAACATCCGCCAGGCCACGCACAACACTTACAGCAACAACCCCAAGCGCGGCCTCCGAGCATAGTGCACCAGCAACACCACCCCCATCACTCGCAAACGCCACCGCAACAGCAGCAGCACCAGGCGCCATACGCCCCCGTGTATCAGCAGCAGCCACAGCCAAGCAGTGGCCAGCAGCACGCACAGGACATCTACAACTACCAATCCAGCCCGTACAACGCGCCCGCTCCGACAGGCGGGTATACCTCTGCAGGTGAGTGACGTGACCGGTGTGGGAGCGCAGAGCGGCCACGAGCAGATCGCTGACTGTTGCGCGCGCAGAGATGATGGCCGCCACGATGTCCAGGCCTACCTATCCGCCCATGTCGTCGTACCACACGCCGCAGTCGAACTCGCCCGCGTCGGTGGGATCGACCGGCGGCCACGACCAGCAGCGGAGCATGTACGGCCAGCCACCGCCGCAGCTTCACCAGCAGTCGATGTACTACGGACAGCAGCAGTACCAGCCGCTGCCGCCGGCGTCTGCTTCTCCGTACGGCCAGCACGGGCCGCCGCCACACCAGCCGATGGGCTCGCAGCCGAGTATGATGATGTCCCACGGCGCGCCGTCGCCAGTACAGCACCAGATGGCACAGCATGCGAGCCAGCACAGCCCGGCGTCGGCCATGGCCGGCAGTCCGCGTCACGCGAAGATGGAGGTGCAGAGCCTGACGCCGCAGCTCTCGCGCCAGGCACCGCCGGCAGCACCATCACCGCTATCGATGGGCCAGGTGCAGGCCGCCCAGAGCATGCAGGCCCAAGGGATGCAAGCACACCAGCAGCAAGGCATGCAAGCCCAGCAGAGCCTGCCGCAACACCCACAACACCCACAGCACCAGCAGCATCCTCAGCATCCCCAACACCCACAACATCCTCAGCATCCCCAGCACCAGCAGCACCCACAGCACCCGCAACATCCGCAACACGCCCAGCACCCACAGCATCCGCAACACCCGCAGTCCAACGGGGCCAGCCCGCTGCCCCAGGCCGGTGGTGCAGGCAGCTCGGTGGTCAACCCAAACGCAGCGCCGGGGCCGATTCCAGCAACGACGCCGTTGGTAGTGCGGCAAGACCAAAATGGAGTGCAGTGGATCGCGTTTGAGTACTCGCGCGACCGGGTCAAGATGGAGTACACGATTCGGTGTGACGTCGAGTCGGTGTCGACGGAGGAGCTGTCGTCCGAGTTCAAGCAGGAGAACTGTGTGTACCCGCGGGCATGCTGTCCGCGGGAGCAGTACCGGGGCAACCGGCTACAGTATGAGAGCGAGTGCAACACGGTAGGCTGGGCGCTGGCACAGCTGAATCCACCGCTGCGCGGCAAGCGAGGCCTGATCCAGCGGGCCGTCGACAGCTGGCGGAACAGCAACCAAGATCCGCGACTGCGCAGCCGTCGGGTGCGGCGGATGGCCAAGATGGGCACACGCAAGGCCGTCAGCGCCGGCACAACCGCCCCGGGACTTGCACAGTCGCCGGCGCATCTCGGTGGCGTGGCCACGCTGTCCGGGGCGGCCACGCCGCTCACGAAGCCTATGCCGGGCTTGCCTCCGCAGCTTCATCACCACGACGGAAGTGCCCATGCGGGCGGTGACGAAGTCGGTATGTTTCACCAGATGTGATTGCCTCTGTCCGTTGTCTGCGTCTGCACCTGTTCTGTTCTCTTCTGGAAACCCGTTTACCCCTTCTCGTTTATGACAACCTAGCACGACGCTTTTGATACCTGTTGCAAGACTGCCATATATATATGTGCGCATTTCTCAATATTTTGCTTTGGAACGCTCCCTTATTCTCTCTTCCTCTTTTCTTTCGGCAAGGTTCGGGTTGTCATTTTGGCTCTACTTGGTTCAGGCTTCACAAAAGGACGTTCTGCGTCCTTTTCTCTGCGTGTTTGATATATACTCTCCATAGGCGCTTGTCTCCTTCCCGGCCCCCCAAAAGTTGCTCAGGCATAGAGAGCTGGTACCCACGACGGATCGGAATTGTATACTACTTTTTTCAAATGCTTTTATATATCACCTGCTGTGCCGTTGGTTGCGTTTGCTGCTTTGCTTGCCTGGCTGATGTATCTGCTTCACCCGCTGCCTTTGCACTGCTTATTGCTGTACACTTGCACCTTTTGTTCTCCTTTTGATTCCGTCAGACAGCGTGCCTTGGGTGTGGGGTGACAGGGGTAGAAGAGGCCGGGAGATTGGGAGAGTGCTCCGTATTGGAAGGAATCCCTATTGGATGCTTTCTCAGGCTCACCCTTGTACAAGACGCATGAAAGAGAGGAAAAGACAGCAGACAGAATGCAAGTGTATAAGCTGGCGAGTGGCACCATGGCCCATTGGCCCATAGTGTGGCAACATCACCCCTGGTTCTACATATCTTTTATCCATCTCACTAGGTAGTCCCCCTTCCCGTTCCACCATCCGCCACCCATGCACAACTTTCATTATTCTTGGCCCCCACACACCCTCTTTCCGGGCGTCGCGGAACGCTGACATGCCTGATTGTTCCAGACGGTAGCGGGGAGTCGTTTGTCGACGACAGCCAGCACCAGCACCAGCACCGGCCGTCTTCACTTGGCAGCACCGGGCTGGCACCGATCGCAGCCACGGTCCCAGATGTCCGGCCGGCCCACGTCTTCAGCTCCTACGACGGATACCACAGCGGGACACCCAACGTGCTGCCGGCCATACCGGCGCCTGTGGCCATCTCTCATGGCTCCGTGGGCATCGGACAGGCTAGCACCAAGAAGAAGGTGCCATCACCAGACGGACTCTTCCCCGACCTGGCCGAGGCCAAGAAGCGCAAGTTTGTGTTGGTGGAGGATCGCGGCTCGCGGCTGCGCGTGCGCGTCACGCTCAACATAGTGGACACGAGCGAGATCCCGGACTCGTTCCGCCGGTCCAACGCGGTGTTTCCGGGGTCTTTCTTTCCGATCGAGATGGAGAGCCCGCCACCGAGTCCGACGGGCCGGTGCTTCTTTCCGGGTGACGTCGACGACTACGACGGCGATGAGGTCGAAGCCTATGACGGCAATGCGGCCGACCGCGGCCGACGACGGCCACAGCCCCGGCGCGTCGTGGCCAGCGCGACCACGATGGCCTCGGTGCCGGTTGAGGACGGCGTGGAGGCCGAGCTGGAGGTGCCGCGCATGCGCAAGGGCCTGCGGCGGAAACAAGTGCGGCTCAACGACCTGGGCTGCCGCATGGCCTGGCTGCAGAGCCGGGCTTTTGCGGGGCGGCGCATCTTTTTGCAAAAAGCCTGTAAGTCGTCCGGAAAGGCTGTCGAGAAGGCTGTCGACAATCCCTTGATGCTGACTAAGCAGTGGATACGTACCGCACCAAGACGTGCAACAGCATCGTGGCGGCCTCGCAGGTCGTCAGCGCCATTGCGCCGCACTACGAGATGCGGCTGGGCAAGAAGAAGTGGATGTCGTGCGAGCGGGACATGGAGCTGCGGCAGGCTGGCCGGATGTGAGGTGTCATCAAGCAACACTGTGCCTAATGATAGAATCGTAATAATATATGACTAACACGACAGCAGCTCTCCCGTAAGGCCTAACCCCGACAATGCTGACATAATGCGACACCCCTCCTCCTAGTGCCAGAATGCGAGCCTTTGGAGGCTGCCGTTCTGCAACCTCTTCACAAGGCCGAATGCAGCCGAGATGAAGCAGCGATTCTCTTCCCTCGACGTGCGGGTACGCTGCACACCTTATGCCCGTCTTTCTGGCGCCCGGTGTCTGGCCGTGCAGCCCTGCTAACGGCTTTTCCAGGCTATCAGCCACGAACTGCACCACAGTCTTGCAGGGACGCGCGTGACAAATGTCTACGACCTCGTGCCGCCGTCGTCATCGGCATCGTCGACCGCAGCCTCGACGTCCCGTGCCCTGCTTCTGCGCTTCTCACGCGGCCAGGACAAGTTCCAGCTGGTCGTCGACTCGGGCTTCCGCTGCCACCTGACAGCCTATGATGCGCGAGCTTCGGCAGCATCCAAGGGCAGCAGTGCAGGCAGCGCACCGCACGCGCCTTCCGCGTTTGTAGCCCGGCTGCGCACCTTCCTCAACGGCCGGCACGTGACCGCAGTCCAGCAGGTCGGCACCGATCGCATCGTCGAGCTGCGCTTTAGCGACGGCCAGCTGCGCCTCTACCTCGAGTTCTTTGCGGCCGGCAACGTCGTGCTGACCAATGCCGAAGCCAAGGTGCTCGCTCTCCAGCGCACCGTGGCCGCCTTCCGCAGTGCCAGCCTCGACGTCACCCTCAACGTCGGCAACCCCTATGCGCTGGCCGCCAAGCAGAACGTCGCCGGCATCACCCCGCTGACCGTTGAGGCTGTCAAAGCTGTGCTGCAGGCAGCCGTGGCCGCAGACGCTCCGGCGCCTCTGACGGCTGAGGCTGCCGCTTCCACTGCCACTGTCGTTTCGAAGAAGAAGAAGAAAAAGGAAAAGAGTGTCAGCCGCACGCTGGCGCTTGCCTTCACGGACTTGCCGCAGGTTCTGATCGATCATGTGCTGCTGACCAGCGGCTTCGAGACCACAGAGACGGCCGGCCTCACAAAGGCTGCCGCTATCCTGGCCGACGACGTCCGTCTCGACGCTCTCTTCCGCGCGCTGCAGGAGACCCGGACGCTTTCGGATGGACTGACAGCGACGGGACCAACCTGCCAGAGCTACATCGTTGCCACCAAGGAGTCGGCAGACACAGACGCCAGTGCAGCAACGACAGAAGAGGGCGGCAGTGCCATCCCAGTCCCCGCATCAACGAAGCTGGACTACGTCGACTTCCATCCGTTCAAGCCGCGCCAGTTCGAGGCCGATCCGAAGTGCGTGCTCCTGCCGTTCGACAGCTTCAACAAGGCCGCAGACGAATTCTACTCGCACCTGCAGGGCCTCAAGGCCGACCGCCAGCTCCACCAACAGGAGTCGGTTGCATTCAAGAAACTCGAGGCCACCAGGCGCGACCAGGCCATGCGCATCGAGAGCCTGCAGGAGACGCAGCAGCTCAACACGCGCAAGGCAGCTGCAATCGAGGCCAACCAGGAGTGGGTGCAGGCAGCGATCGACGCGGTCAACGACCAGCTGCATGTCGGCACGGACTGGGAGGACCTGGCGCACCTGATTGAGAACAGCGCCGACAGCAACCCGGTTGCGGCTCTGATCAAGCTGCCCATGAGGCTGGCCGACGGGATCATCACGCTGCAGCTCAGCGACGAGCCTGCGGCCGACTTTGACGAAGACTTTGACGAGGACGAAGAAGAAGCTGAGGAGGAGGAGCTGCTGGATGTGAACGTGAAGCTGGCCCTGTCGGCCTGGGGCAACGCGCGCGAATACTACGACCAGAAGCGAGTGGCAGCGTCCAAAGAGCAGAAGACTAAGGAAGTCACGTCAATGGCGCTGCGCAACGCCGAGAAGAAGGTGGCCGAAGAGTTGAAGCGGGTGCAGAAAGGCGGCAAGCCGGCGCCGCAGCTCATCCGCCGGCAACTGTGGTTCGAAAAGTTTCTCTGGTTTGTCTCGTCGGACGGCCACCTCGTCATCGCCGCCAAGGAGTCACAGCAGTGCGAGCTGATGTACCGGCGCCATCTCCGCCGCGGCGACATCTATGTGCACGCCGACATCCGCGGGTCCCCGGGAATTATTGTGGTGAAGAACCGGCCGGACGTCGGCGCTGATGCGCCCATTCCTCCCGGCACGCTCGCCCAGGCCGGCTGTCTGGCCGTGTGCGCCTCGGAGGCGTGGGACAACAAGGCAGGCTTTGGCGCGTACTGGGTTCACGCAAATCAGGTGTTTAAGACCACTGCGAGCGGCGACGTCCTTCCGCTCGGCTCGTTCGACATCCGCGGTGAGAAGAACCATCTGCCTCCGCCGCAGCGCGTCCTGGGCTTCGGCCTGCTCTTCCAGATCAGTAATGCAAGGACGGCAGACTATGCCGAGGTCGAAGTCGCAGGGGAGGATGTGGCTGACGACGTGGAGAGCGACGGGCCAGAAATTGACAGCTGCCCGGTAGAGGGGAATGCGCAGGAGTCGGAGGTGAAAGACCAAGAAGATCCAGTCAAAGATGAGTCAGCCGAGAAGGATGAGCAGACCGAGAAGGATGAGCAGGACAAAGAGATAGTCGAAGAGCCAGTCGACCTTGAACACGACGATACCCAGTCTGTCTGGAAGGGCAAGGGAAAGGAACGACTCCGGTCTAGCTCACCAGTGCCGTCCTACACGTCCACAGCCCGAACCGGAGCTGCCGGATCAGCCAAGCGCGGCCAGAAGGCCAAGGCCAAGAAGCTAGCCAAGTACAAGGACCAGGACGAAGAGGACAGAGCACAAGCAGAGCGGCTGATTGGCATTGCGGCTGGTCGCGAGAAGGCCGAGGCCAAGGCACGCGCCCAGGCCCAGCGAGCAGCCGAGCTGGCTGCATATGAGGAGCGCCGACGGGCGCAAAGAGAGCGACAGATCCAGGCGACACGGGCCTTTGAAGAAGCCCGACAGGCGAAGCTGCTGGCTCTTGCTGAGGCTGGCGGAGACGAAGACGACGACGGTGACGGTGACGGTGACGGTGACGGTGACGGTGACGGTGACGGCAGCCTGGACACGATCGACACGCTGGTTGGCCGGCCAGCTGTGGGCGACGAGATTGTCGAAGTAGTGCCAGTGTGTGCGCCCTGGTCAGCTTTGGCGCAGCTCAAGTACAAGGTGAAGATTCAGCCCGGCCAGACAAAGAAGGGCCGGGCCATGCGCGATGTTCTGGAGCGGTGGCGACAGGCCGGCGAGGCTGGACGCAACGGCAACAAGGGTATCTTGGACGAGTCGAGTCAGGATCCCGAGCGCATGTGGCCGCGAGAGGTCGAGCTGATCCGGGGGGTGAAGATGGAGGAGGCGGCCAATTGCGTGCCCGTCAGCAAGATGACGCTGATGCTGGCCGGTGGACTCGGAGCCGGAGGTGCCGGAGCAAAAAAGACCGGCAGCAATAAGGCCGGACAGACGTCTGGCAAGAAAGGCGGCAGTAGAGGTGGGGGGAAATCCAAGAAGTAGGCAAAGACGTATTCAAAAAAGGTCATAAATGGCTTCGTCTCCTCATAGCAAAAGTCTCAAGCGTCCTTTCCCAAGCCCAACCCCTCTCCCTGTTGGGTATCCTCACACATTGCCAGTAATGCAAAAACGTAAATCCAACATCCAAGAACCCAAGACACAAGCTACACAGTCCATACAACCTTATTCATCCAGGCCCTTCAACATGACATCGTCGCTCATAATATCTCGTGCAAATACAGAAGAAAACGTAAACGTAAGTGGTGGCAAAACCAGAAAAATGTAAACGTATCAAAAAAAAACCACCCTCATCCACGGTAGTATCGCCGGTGCGCACCGTGGCTGTTGTAGTACTCGATCTCCTCTCGGTCGCCATCGCCAGGGCCGTTGGCAGACGCATCCGACGCGTGTCGGGGATGATGACTTCGCGGGCGGTCCTTTTCGCCTGTCGCCGCCGCGCCGTAGCACTCGCTGCTGTCGGGCTCCCGCTCGCGGTCTCGCCGGCTTCGGTGGTGGTGGTGCTCCTCCTCTTGGTGCGGCTTGTCGTCGATGCGGAGCATCGGTCGTTCAAACTCCTTCCGGCGCTTGTCTGTCGTTTCATTAGGGACCTGTTGCACAAGAGAGAGAGAGAGAGAGAAAGAGTAAAAGAAAAAGAAAGACAAAGAAAAGAGAACAATACCTCTCAGCTGTGCCGTGGCCACGGTGTAGGCCTCAATGTCTTCACGGCTGAGAACACGCAGGACAATGACAAAATCGTCCCGGACCTCAAACCGCTCCTTTCCAATCGTGAGGGCCTCAGGGTTGACCAGCTTGCGGCTTATCTTGGTCCACCGTGCACCAGGGGGCACGTTCTGCTGCTTGACCTTGTCGTCCTTGTGGGGAGCAACACCCGGGCGGACCGGGTTGGGCTCTTCGGGAAACTTAGAGCTGGGCTGTTTGAGAATGCCCTTCAGCGGCCTCTTGTCATCCTTGTCGCGCGGCGGCGAGACCAGTCGTTCGGCAAGGACCTTTGCGTGCGACTGCGACGGGTCGCGTCCCCGAACGGAATCATCCTTCGCGTCTGTATCCGTCTTCCGGCCTCTGGTGTGAGGCGACGACGGCCGAGATGACGGAGTGGATGTTGGCGTCAGGACGCCCGGCGAGAGTGCATCGCCCTTGTCTGTCCTGTCTCTCTTGTCTCTCTTGTCTGCCTTTCTCTCTGTCGCGTCTCTGGAATCCTCCTTGCCGGATCGCCCATTCGCCTTTTTGGCTGGGCCCTGCGCCACCGCTTGCTGCCCTTCCTTGGCCTCCAGTGCAGCAAGTTCGGCCTTGAGCGTCCTCAGATCGCTGGCATCTGTGGGTTTAAAAGCAGGTGCGGTCCGGGGCTTCCGTTCTCGTTCCCGTTCCGACTGGCCGGAAGCTTTCTCGTCTGCCTCGCCATCGTCTGATGTTGGAGGTGTCTGAACAGCCGCAGCATCGTCCGATGACACCTGAGACGGCACCGGGCCAGCAGATGATTTCGGACCTGCGCTGTCTGACCTGGGTCGCGGCCGCTGCCGATCACGATCGCGGTCTTCTTCGTACTCGCTAGCATCAGAGTCGCGCCGCCGGCGAGACTGTGTCTCCTTCTCCGGAGAGGGGTCCTTGTGTCTGCTGCTAGAGGAAGCTGCTGCTGCTGCTGTTGCGATGGCAGCCGCCGTGGCGCCGACCCCAGTGGCAGTCGCCTTATCTCGGGACCTCCTCCCGTCAGTAGCCTCCTCCTCGTCGCTTCTTTGATTTCCCCGGAAGCGGCCTTGCTCGCGATCGTACGCACGTTCATGTTCACGACGACGCTCACGGTCCGAGTCCTCATCACGATCACGGTCACGATCACGGTCACGGTCACGGTCACGATCACGGTCACGATCACGGTCATGATCACGATCACGGTCCCGATCGTGAACACGGCCCGGGTTATCATGTTCGCGTTCCCGTTCTCGTTCACGTTCACATTCACGTTCCCGATCGCGGTTGCGGTCACGGCCTTCATCATCTTGTGCCGCATCCCGTTTGTGACGAACGTAGAGATCCTCGTCGGAGCGACGCCTGGCGGGGGCCTCGATTCGCAGACGGCCACCATCCCGGCCACGAGCGGCATCGTAGTTCGGGTCGTCGTATCTATCGTCGGGCTCATAGCGAGGATCCGGACGCTCACGGTGGCCCTCTCGGCGGGGATCGTCCCGATAGTCGTCGGCATAGGCATTGCGATAGTCATCGTAATAGGCACCATCAGACGGGGGTTGCTGCATCTTGTGGTCTCTGCTGTTGACGAGGATGCCATAGGCACGGCTTGCAGCCGTACCGTCTGCATAGTATTCGCGATCGCGGTCGCGATCGCGCTCGTATGGCCGGTCGTAGTCCCTGTCTCTGCCCCGTTCCAACGAGTATTCTCGGTCGTGCACATCCCAGGCAGGAAGAGCCGCGCCAGTTGGGGCAGCGCGTCCGTATGGCTGCACAGGCGACGAACGCATGTTTAACTTGGCATCGTATGGAGTGCCACTGGAGACGGGGACGGGGCCGGTGCCCGAGCCTGTGCCCGAGCCAGTGCCTGAGCCAGCACCGGACATCGGGGCGGACCACTTAAGCTTGTCCAAGGCCCATGTGGTAGGTGGCGGGCCATTGCCACCTCCAACACGGCGGGCGCCTGTTTCAAAGCCGTAGGGTCGGGCCAGATCGGTCGTCAGGCTGACGGTGGGGCGGTAGTAGTTGCGGTCGAAGCTGTCGCGACGGCTTCGCCGAGGGGCTTGTTCCAGGCTGAGGTCGTAGCGGGCCAGATCGCTAGGCGTAGTGTACTCGTATCCGGCGTCGCCTCCGACATCGATGGGAGGCAGGCCAGCAGCCGACGTGAGGGGCACAACTGAGGGAATGCTGCTAGCAGCAGAGCCGTTGCCGTTGTGAACGGAGACACCGGGGCGACTTGTCGTGCCGTAGACAGAAGTAGGGCGGGGACGGACATAGGGATCCAAGCGAGTGCCACGGGCGCGGGTCAGCTCGTGACGCTCACGCAGACGGCTGAGCTCCTCGTTGTCAACGGTGGCACTCATCGGGGCGCCGGCGTAGGAGTAGCGACTACCTCGAGAGTGCGAGCTGGTCGATGTGGCAGGCACGGCGTAGTAGTTGGGGTCTTCGCGAACGGGAGTGCTGCGCGGCGGAAAATCGTCGGCGACAGGGGGACGGAAGTGATCAGCACGAGTGGGCGAGGTAGGTCCATGGTGGGTGCCAGGATGGCCGGAAGCAGGACGTGTGGCAGTTGTGGTGGTGATGATGACAGGCCGTTTGTGAGCGACGTCGGCAGCAGGCGGACGGCTGCTCTCGCGGGCACTGGCGCTGCGCGTGATGGGTTCAGCTGTCACAGCATAGGCGCGGGTAGTGGTGGTGATGGGGGCGAGATGGTGTGTATGCGAGTGAGGGTCGTGGGATGAAGGATGCGGATGTGTCTGGTGATGGAGAGAAGGAGGCTGATGAGGCTGGTGAGGCTGGTGAGGCTGGTGAGCAGCCGGTTGGCCCTGCTGGAGCTGCGGCGGGGTGGGAACGGAGGGATTCGAGCGATAGTCGGCGGTGGCCTGGCTGCGAGGCGTAATGGGGTCTTCGTAGCGGAGGCCACGAGGCTCAGCAAAGGAGGCCGGATAGCCAGTGGCGGAAGTGCTGGTGCTGCCAATTCCGACAGGCATAGACGCCCGGCCAGGATTGTGCAGTGTTGGCGACCGTCTGCTGGGCGCTGCAGCGTAGCGGTACCGAGCATCCATTGGGATGGGTGTGGTTGGGCCGAGACGCAAGGTGATGTAGGACCGATGGGGATTGAGCAGATGAATGGGAAGAAGGGGCGGTCAAAAGAAGCCCAAAAGATGGGAAAGCAGCGAGAAAAATGGCGAGAAAAAAGCAAGCGAAAAAAGCAAAAAAAGCAAAAAAAGTTACAGGGGTTTAGTGGTATGGAAAAGAGAAACAGGCCGGGAAGGAGCAGTTTGACCAAGTTTTATGTGCAGCATGCGCCCACACGTGAGCATGCGGGCGGATATTTTGGTGATTTTTCTAAAGGGGGGGGGGGGCAAGTGGGGAAGGGAGGGGTCGGGCGTAACTGGGAAGGAACGCAGCCGGAAAGAGCGATTGGGAAGGCAGGGCGGGACGGAGAGAGAAAGAGCGAAGCTGAAAGATGGTAATACAAGGAAGGAACAGACAATTGGCCAAGCCGGAGTTGGCGAGGGTCTGTGGCTGGCAGCAGGCCGGCAGAGAGGGCGAGAAGCGCGATGCGATGCAATAAAGTTGAGAAGGCGGAGTCGACCATCGGCTGGCTAACGCTGGACAACCGCAGTGGAGACAAGCAGCAGATGAGTCAGCATCCAGAACGGGCAGATCGGGCTTTAGCGAGAGGCCGGAGCTGAAGTCGAGTAAGTACGGAGTACATTTTTCCGATCCGGTGCCGAGCCGATGACGTATTCTGGTTGTAGGCAGCTGCAGGCGTTTCGGTCTTTTTGGGTCTGGGTCTTGTGTCTTCATCTCGAGAGTGGTGAGCGTGCGATTTGTCGATTCGCCAATTCGCCGACAGTCTCGCTCAATGTACCGTTCTGCAGGGCCGCTGCTGCGGAAGGGCGTGGCCCCGAATGTCTGCAGACAACGTCGGCTGGTGCAGTCGGGTGGAGGCCCGTTCCAGCCGCTACGACCACCATCGCCAGATTCGCTGGGAGCGCCACGCAAGGCGCGCGAGTATGTGCGGACACGCCGTTGGGGCCGGCGGCTAGCAACAGCAGCAGCGGTAGGCGGCGTGGGCTATGCGGTGGACCGACAGGTGTACGGGTCAGGGATGGCACGATCGCTGCGGACATTTGGGACAGGACTCGTGGTGGCGCTGGACTACAAGATCAACTTCCGGGCAAAGCCGCTGCCACTGATCGGGACACCCGGGGAAGCATCAGACCTGCACCGGCGCAACGCAGAGCGGCTGTTTGAGCTGCTACGCCACAACGGCGGACTCTACCTGAAGATCGGACAGGCGATTGCGATGCAGAGCGCAGTGCTGCCGCCCGAGTTCCAGCGCATGTTTGCACGCATGTTTGACGACGCGCCGCAGGTCGGCTGGGCGGCAGTCGAGCAGGTTGTGCGCGCCGACTTTGGCGGACGCTCGGTTGAGGACGTCTTCGGCGTCAGCTTTTCCGGCGAGCCAGACAGAGGCGTGATGGAACGCACGGCACGGGCGAGCGCATCGGTGGCCCAGGTGCACTGGGCACGGCTGGCAGACGGCCGCGAGGTGGCGGTCAAGATCCAGAAGCCGGAGATTGCCAAGCAGATCGGCTGGGATCTCTGGGCGTTCCGCGTCGTGGCCACGCTGTACTCGAAGTGGTTCGACCTGCCGCTGGACACGCTGGTGCCCTTTGTGGCCGACCGGCTGCTGCTGGAGACGGACTTTGCCAACGAGGCCGACAATTCCGAGACCATGCGGGCGCTCGTGGCCGGCGAGCCAACCCTGCAGGCCCGCGTCTACGTCCCGCCCGTGTACCGAGAGCTGTCGTCCGGACGGGTGCTGACGACCGAGTGGATCGAGGGCGTCCGGCTGTGGGACCAGGACGCCATGACGCGGCCATGGCGCGGCCGTGCAGCGGCTGGCTCGATGGGCACGCACGGGGCCGCGCTCGAGCCGCCCGACATGGCCGCACTGCGACAGGCAGCCCGGACAGCTCCCGGCGACGTCGGGCTGCTGCTCAAGCCGGAACGCAGCAGCTGGCTTGGGCCACGTGGCAGCGGCGGGCTCGGTGTGTCGGCCGCCGACGTCATGACCACCATGGTCGACCTCTTCTCGGCGCAGATCTTCAAGTGGGGCATCGTACACTGCGATCCGCACCCGGGCAACCTGTTTGTGCGGCGACGTCCCGGCGGCCAGGCCGAGCTCGTGCTCATCGACCACGGCCTCTACGTGCACCTGTCGCCGCATTTCCGCCACCAGTACAGCGCCTTCTGGAAGAGCATGCTCGTCCAGGACCACGCCGCCATGGTCGAGATCTGCCGCGACTGGGGCATCCGGGCGCCCGAGCTCTTCGCCTCGTCCACGCTGATGCGGCCGTATGAAGGCGGCGACGACAAGACGCGTCGCGACATGCTTGCCGACCTCGACGGCAAGACCCCGGCCGAGCGCCACTATGCTATGCAGGCCCGCATCAAACAGGGCATCCGCGACATCCTCGCCGACGAGGAGCGCTGGCCCAAAGAGCTCATCTTTCTCGGCCGCAACATGCGCATCGTCCAGGCCAACAACCAGCGGCTCGGCAGCCCGGTCAACCGCGTCAAGCGCATGGGCCGCTGGGCCAGCGCCAGCCTGTACGAAGACCGCGACTTGCCGTGGCCCCAGCGCTTGGCCAGCGCCTGGCACCACGTCCTCTTTGGCGCCGTCCTCTCCCTGTCCGACGTCTTGTTCTACTTCTTCCGTCTGCGCCAGTGGCTGGGCCTCGGCGGCGGGCTCGAGGACGAGGTCGAGGCCCGCATGAAGAACGTGGCCAAGGAGTACGGCGTCGAGCTGCAGCACGACGTCTTTGAGGGCTGAAGCCCAGATAGACGAAACACTACTCATGTATTTGTGCATTGTACGCTGCTGTTGTGTGATTGGCTTGTCTGATTAGCGCCCGTCCCCCGCAAAAAATACGGGGCAGAAAGCTAGAAAATAAACTGAAAAATCCGTTCAACATCGAGACTCAAGAAGACAAAGCTCCACCACGCCCGTCGACATGTTGTCCTCGCTCATTGGAAAGGCCCTGGCACAGTCGCAGCCGGCAGCTGTGCCGCCGTCTGACCCTGGAAGCACGTCGGCTGCATCCCCAGAACTTTCAGCAACCCCAGCATCTTCTGCATCTTCGGCATCTCCTGCATCGGCACCTCTTACCGATCGCTCCATCTTCTCCCGCCGCTCCCTCGGCCAGCTCGGTCTCTTCTTTGCCGGCGCTACCTTTGTCGCCCTCTCCACTACCGTCACCCGCCGCGCCGTCGCCCGCCGCAAGCTCGAGGCCCAGCTCAAGTTCTTCCAGCAGAGCGGCGGCACCGTGTCGAAAGGCGGCGGCGCCGCTATTGACAGCAGTCTTGGTGACGGCGCCATTGCTGCTTCGGCCGCTGCCGACCCAAACCCTGCTCCCCAGGGCTCGCTCGTCGCCCTCGAGGCCCTCAACCTGGCCTCGCTCAACGTCGTCAGCTTCTTCATCATGCTGGCCGGCGGCCTCTCCTGGGCCCTCGACCTGTCCTCCGTCGACGACCTGCAGCATCTGTCGCAACGGAATCTGCGCGGCTCTCTGACCGGCAACTACGACGTCAAGGCCGAGGAGGAGGCCGAACGCGAACTGTCCGAGTTTATGACCCGCATCATGGGGCCCGACTACGGCAAGACTGTCGGCGGCCAGCCCGAAGAAAAGCCGGATGACAAGACGGCCTAGCCGGCCGGAAGGAGGACTGTTTTTGGATGCATCGCGGTGCATACACACGACAGGGAACGATGAATGAACTTGTACCTTTGCCTATTACTTCTGCTGCGTGGCACAATATTACGTAATCAACATGAAAAAGAAGGAAAGGCATAATTGCATACTTGCAGGCTAAGCACGATGCGGCAGATAAACAACACCCTTTTGTTCACAAACTGCAACTCTTCATGCATATCTGTTCCCCTTTAAGCCTCGTCCTTACCTTCAGCCAGCAGTTTGGCTAGAGCTGGGTTGCGCAGGCGAAGCTTGCACTGAAATGGGGACGGGTGCCTATCCAGCAGTTAGCATAAGCATAAACGCGAGCAGCCACCACCCAAAACTCACCCGCCCAAGCCGATGGTGACGCCCGGCACCGGCTCCACCGGCTTCCCGTCCGGGCCAACGGCCTTTTCGATCTCAAACACTGCCAACAGCGTCGCCAGAAACATGTACACCGTGGCCATGGCCAGGAAGTTCCCGGGACACTTGCGGCGACCGAAGCCAAAGTTGCCGTTGGGATACGGCTCTCCGCGCGTGTAGCGATCGGGGTCGAATCGTTCGGGGTCGTTGTAGACGCGAGGGTCAGAACCCATGGCCTTGGCGTTGGCAAACACGACAGAGCCAGCCGGGATGCGCATGCCGCGGAACTCGTCTTCACGCAGGCTCTTGTGCGGAATGACCAGCGGATTCAGCGGCAGCGCTCGCATCACCTCCTGCATGAAGCGGTCCAGACTTCCTAGAGAGGTCCGGTCGTCAAACTCGGGCAGCCGAGAGCCACCATCCAGAACGGTGTCCAGCTCGTCGCGGATGGCACGCTGTGCGTCGGGGTACTTCGTCAGGAAGAGCAGATTCGACAGCACCGTGCTCCAGGTCGAATTTCCGCCGGCGATGAAGATGGCGCCCGTGGCACCCTTGACGTCACGCTCGGTCATCTCGAGCGGCCGCCCGGCCCGGATGCTCTCCTGCAGCCGCTCGTAGTGTGTGCGCATAAACGACGGCGGCGCCTCGCCGGCCTCGATGTCCTTGAGCGAGGCTGCCCAGGGCACGTCGTGAATCGTCCGTATGGCAGCACGACTGTTGCGGGCGTGGCGCAGAGCTGCCGATGGGTTCAGCCAGTCGGGCAGAAAGCGGGCCGGCGGAAAGACGTCGACCAGTGAAGTGCCGGCAATGCCGCCGTTGGTCGTGGCCTCGTTGGCAGCTGCAGACATGGCGCAGTACGGTGACGAGACATCGACAATTTCCTGCCCAAAGGCGATGCGGAAGATGATGCTCGTCGTCATGAGCAGCGTGGCCTCCTCCCAAGCATCCGGTCGGACGAGCAGCGTGCGCACTGCCTTGCGGGCTTCGTGCAGCTGCACCGGTCGGAACACCTTCACGTTGGACTGCGTGAACGTCTTCTGGAACAGGCTTCGGTGTAGCTTGAATTGTGGGCCCCAGCGGAGGAAGGTGAGGGTCAGGCCCCAGCCCATCCTGAGACTGTCAGCAACAGAACATCAACCAAAATCCCGACAGCTTACACTTCAAATAGCGTGAACCGCGGCCTGTCACAGTAGTTGGATCCCCGTCGGTCCAGCAGCTCCGTGGCCGCCTCGACTGTGTTGAGGCAGATCGAGTGCTGGCCGAGGACCTTTAGGTGGATGATATCGGAATCTGGCACAAGAGCATGAGCAGACAGTCAGGCCGCCAAGGACAAGCCGACAGAACGACGAACCGAACTCCTTGCCCCATCGTATGTAGTCTCGCTCGGGATGGTCTGCGCTGACCTGGCCGAGGTTGCCAACGAGGAAACGGCCACGGGGGCCTGGCGGGAGAGGAAGCCCGGAACGGCGAGACCGCCGGACAAAGAGGCAGATCAGCGAGACTGCCGCAAGTGCCACAGCCCAGCCAATCGATGGCCGGACCGCAGGAAGAGCCGTGGGGGGCGAGAGGGTCATAGCGGCGGCCAAAGGAGTAAGCGGGACCCAAAATCGAGCTGAACAGACTAAGATACCGGAGGAGCGAGCAATTCTCCGCCAGACGGGGGCACGAGAACGCAATAAAGGGGGGCGGCTGAAAAAGAAGATTCCGAGGTCGACGAGAAGAGAGACGATATATCATCCAAGACGGTCCACTGCACCAGTCCTCGACGGGCTATTTCGCTCGTCCCTACTCGCCAGCCACATAACTGTGCAGCGCTTATCCGACTTGCCGGACGGTGTGATTTTAATGCAGCCAGCTGCGGACGCATGGCGGTGATAGCTGTCATCGGCTTTTATGGCCAGGTCCATGTACGAATCATGCCGTCAAGTGGGGACGACTACGAAGCAGCAATCTCCACGCTAGCCAGATTCAAGCCTCCAGGGAAACTGCGGATATGTCACTGCCAGATGCACCTGCCCCCCATGGCTTTGTTCCTACATAGTATCTCCACAAGCTGACTACGCATGCTACTCTGTAGTAGCCGCCCTCTGACTTGTTGGAGATACGCTCACTTCTTCGCTGCTCAGTACATAATACACTTGCCCGTAGTAGCATCCCCGATTTCCTCGCCTGCTTATCTCTCTTTCTTCGACCCTGACCGCCTTCACCACCCTTTTTGCCTGCAAATGCCGGCCGGAAAATGTCTCCTCCTCGTCCTCTCCATTAATTGACCTGCCAAGGGCCCCGCTGCTGCAAAACCCAGTTTTCTCACACACCCACTTCCTCTCTTCCGTCCAACCAGAGCCGATCCGTCTCAAGTCTGCAACTCTCTTGCCTGCCGCGAGAATCGTCTTCTCCGATCACGTACTTCGTATCACCACAGCACAAACACTCGTCTGCCACGATCCCTTCCGGCCGGCAAATGATCCCCCTGTCTACTGTCTCATCCTAGCCTCTTCGGCCATTGCACTGCAGCTGTCGACGACTGCATAGTACAGCGTCACTCTCTCCCCACATTTTCCCCATACTTGATCAACGGCCCATTTCTCTGTTGCTGCTGGCTAAGGATCGCCATACCCGCGGGCCATATGGCCGCCTCCGGATTGGCCGCCTCAGCCTCTCCTCCCGGTCCTGCCACTATGCCTTCGATGTCAGCCGCCTCTTCTGACACCCATAGCCCCACCGATGCTGCCAATAGGGTGATCAAGCGCCGTGCACCTGTTGCTTGCCGCAGGTAAGTGAGCGAGAGGGAGGAAAGAAGGGGGGGAGAGAAGAAAGGGGGAGAAAGGAAAGGAACAGAGCTCCCGCTGATATTTGCAGGTGCCGTCGCATGAGAAGCAAATGCATCCATAACGGTGCCCGTCCACCCTGCGAAGGCTGCCGTAACGCTGGCGTGAGCCTGGATGAATGGTAGCCTCCTCGAATCCGTCACTGTCCTCCCTCAGCCGCCCGCTCGCTGACACACCCCTTCCCATCAGTGTCTTTCCTTCTCGTGGCGCTCCCGACCTAGACCGCGAGTACCGGCACCCGCGCATGAAAGGCGACAAGGCCCGGAAAGAAGGTACTAGGCCTGTTCGGTCTGACAGCGTCGGCTTTCACCACATACCCCCTGATCCTAGCTTGCATGATATTACCAACGATGCAGATCCGTGGGATCTGCTTCCGCCACTGCATCTCATAGTAGATGCTGTCAACATGTTCACACACCAATACTTTCAACTGGGCTTCATTCCAAGAGACACCTTTGCGGAAATCGTGCGCAATGACACGCGTTCTGTTAGCCCATTCCTGCTGTTTAGCATTCTCAGCGTGTCGGGACGCTTGACAGACTCTCTTGTCACTACCTTTGGCGATACTGAGACTGCGTCCGAGCTGTTTATGAGTCGGGCCTCGGCCATGGCCCTCAGAGAGCTGTACGAAGAACCCACTCTGGCCCGGTGCCAGGCATTTTATCTGCTGAGCCTTGCCCAGCAGGGCAGTGGATACAAAAACAAGAGCTATGTACGAAGTCCCTCTACCGATCCGTCGTCATCGGCATCTCTCTCTGACAGGTCCGCCAGCTTAATTTGGGAATCGCTATTCGCATGGCCCTTCTCATGCAGCTTCATCGGGAGGAAACTTATGTGTTGGAAGATTCAACACCTAGCATGATCCAAGAAGCGGAGTCGGCTCGAAGAACTCTGGTATGTTCCCGTCTCTTCCATTCTGTGTCTTTAGTGGTTTCGCTGTTGGACTAACTTTTTATAGTGGATGCTTTACAGTAAGGCATACAGTCCTGCGTCTGTTACGCTTCTCATATAGCCTCCCCTACTTCCTTTGCGGCCTGTTGCTAATGCGCCATGCAGGCCAAGATAACCTGCACTCAGCACCGTCAGCACCAGTATCCCTCGCCGCCAGCGACATCACCACGCTGCTACCTTGCAACGAACGCGACTTTGCCGACGGCATCCTACCCAAGAGACGTGCTGCTTTGGAGGACACACAGCCAGCCATTGAAAACCCATCTCTCGTCAGGGTTCCTGAGCGGTCGCTATTTGGCACACTGATCCAGAGCCACCGACTATGGGGTATCGTCAGTCGGCGCGCCGTCCGCAACGCTAGATGCATGGACCCCTGGGCAGACACCAGCGATTACGCCCAGATTCAGAAACAGCTGAGTCAATGGGAGGACCAGCTACCTCCTGACCATCTCTGGAGTCCTGCACAGTTCAAGAAATCAAAATCCGAATCCTACGATTTGGTATGCTTTCCCTCGTCATATCCCGTTCTCCTTTTCGGGGAACCTATCTGCTGAACCTCTCATCCCAGGCGTACCTTATTGTGACCATGGTCACGCGCTTATGCAATATTATCATACGAAGAACATACCTCCCCAGGTAAGCAAACCACCACTACGTTGCCGTCCCCGATACGACTTTTCTGACCGGGCAACTGTCTATAGTATGCTCCAACAAGGGGGGAATAGCTTAACCGAGGGCTTTTGGGGCGATATGTCCTTGGAGCTATTTGCCAACGTCAAAGACCTCTTCACCCAGATTGACGTATGGTTCCTGGAGAGGCGGCCGGGTGACAGTACAGGCGCCCAGATGGCGGTAAGTTGACTGCAGGTAGTTATGCATATAGCTCGCAGAAGATTGCTGCACCCTTGCTAAAACACGGTACAACAGATTTTTTGTGTTTACAGCTGTGGCCTGATGGCAGCTTACCTCTGCAAGTACCCACACGGTGAGTAAAGAGCCGGAAGAAGAGAAGTGTGGCTTGTGCTGTTCTGTCGCCTCAACGTGACGCTAACGGGATACAGTTTGCCGCAAATATGCGCCTGAAGGAAAGCATATGTTTGATCGCACACGGGACATATTAGCACAGAGCAAGACGGTTTGGCCACTGGCCAAGCGCTGGCTTGGAAGTCTAGAGAGGTTTTTCACAGTCGATCAGAAGAACATCAGCAACATCGCGTCCGGCCATCTCGAGGGCAGCATGGCTGAGGGTGTCAGTTTCCGAGGCGAAGCTCTCGCCATCCCATCTGCATTCTGCCCATCGTCGCTAATGTCAAGCAGAAAGACCCGATCCCGTCGGCTCTGCACCCGCCGCTCACCAATTCGAGGCCATCGGGCCCGCCAAAGACACCTCTGGACGACAGACAGTACGTGGCCAAGCAGCTACGGCCGGACAGCCCGCATGTGCGGTCTGCTAGCCCTGGCAACATCTCCAATAGCGCCAGCGCGGCCCAGAGATTGCCTCCACAGCTCCGAACAAATGACTCACTCCTTAACGGACGGATGCGGCTGCCACCGCCCAACCCATCGCCAGTTCTGGTGACAACGACGATAACGTCTGCACCACACTATTCGACGGCACAACACCCACACTCACAGCCCGCGCAGTTCCTCCCACAGCAACTGCAATACCAGCTGCACCAGCCGCCACCTCAAGCGCTGTCTTTATCGACGTCCCAATCGATGGTTCCGATGCCCCTCCCGCAAATGCATACTCAACCGCTACCACAATCGGTGCCACATTCGCCGATGCACCACATACCTGATGACCCTGTAACTGCCAATGCTAGCACGGGTGTTCCCACCATCACGACTACGCCAACAAACATGACAACCGCCCTGAGCCCTTCCATGACGTCCGCTGTCACACACAGCAACATCGATTTGCTCGTGCGAGCCTTTGACCCGCCTTCATCTTCCCAGATATCTGTACCACACGCGGGCGTATCATACTCCCACTTGCCACAGCAGGTTCTTCTCTCAGACGGAACAACCGCAACTGCGCCCTTTTACGAGCCTTCGTACGCAGTGCCAGTCAATGACGGGTTCGAGAACGAGCTTGCTTTCATGATGGTAGGATCAGAGACTTCGGCAACGACACCTTGGGCGCCGAGCTTTTTCCGATACTAAATCGGGACGTACATTCCAAGCATTTTAAAATGTATAGTTGTTGTGACCAGCGCGCAGACACGATTCGGGATCCTTTTTTTTATAACATATAACGGTTTGGCCATGGAAAAGATACTAAACAAGCATTGGTGGTTGGCGGCACCATACATCTCGCGGAGTAAACATCAGAAGCTGATACAGATTGGGCAAAGCGGCCTACCAAGCGCCAAGTTCTGCAATTTTAAGTTCGTTTATTACAAGAGGCCTCTATTACAAAGCTTACTCATACACTTGGTCTTGTTCACAGCCAATTAGGGCTCAGACGGAAAAGAACGCACTTCAGAAAAATGGCAGTTGCACGATACGAGATTCTCGAGCCGTTGCCAGTGTCTTCCTCGTAAGATAAGATACACACGAGACGTGTGGTTTACTTGCAATAGACTGCACAAGACAGCACACGTCCGTATTTTGTGGGCCCTGGTCGGCCTGTTGGCGAACACGTGAAGATGTTAATATGTAGGAGTCCGCTAACACGTCTGGATTGGGCATAACTTCAATAAAGCATTGCTACCTGCATAGTCGACGTGGATTGAGATAGGAAGGTGTGAAGAGGAACCTATAATTATTCTGCAAGGCGGGCGGAGGGAGCGACTTGCACCTTTTCTGGGTCCAGTGGGGCCACTGGCAAATGAGCCAAAGTAGTGGTACTTTGCATACAGTGGGATAAAAGACACATGCGAGCGACACGTCAGGCAGTCATTTGACCTAAGAAGGTGCGATCCACAGCAATACGGCCGCAAAGACCAGGACAAGCACGACAGAAAGAAGACGAAAGAAGCGAGAAAGGAGGCATTGCGTGACAAAACATTCACCAGCAAACCGACAAGCAAGGAGCGTATTCGTACATGTGCACACAGTGCATGAGAGTGCGAGGACAGAGACGTTATATATCGGAACGGAAGGCCAACCAACTCCTGAACCTAGTGTCTTTAGCGTTCCCGCGATGGTGTTGTTTCCTCCTATCCTTTCACCTTGTTCCTTCCTCGCGTCCCCGTAAGATACCAGCGCCGTTGGCATCATCTGAATTGCTGCTGCCCCCTTTTGCTTGTCTCCTTGATCTTTCAGCGGTCTCGGTCTCGTAACCGGCCCAATTCCCCTCTCCCTTCTGGAATGCATGTGACAAGCCCGACAATTCGATTGCCTGCATCATCACTTGTGAGAGCTGGACTGCTGGCGGACTTTTCCTGGTACCGAGCTCGACCGCCGTATTGTCTTACAACCTGTTGTCTGGGCCCAAATAAACAAGATCCCCTGCGGGAGGCTGTTCTACAGTGATGTCGTCGGGCAAAAAATAAAAAAATAGAGCCCGAAAAAAACGCGTCTGGAAAGCAACCCCTGGCAGCGCGCCCTTGCCCACTCCCCTCTTTTTTTTCCTCGTTGGCTTCCCTGGAGCCCCAGTCTCTTGAAAGTCGGCCTGGCATACGAGTACCTGTTCGTCGACCTCCCTGTCTCCTCAGTCTTGTTTCTCCTTCCTGTGCTCCGTAATCGTTGCGTGTCGGTTTCTTTTGTGCGCTCATTCGCCTCTGTGCGATCCTGGTTCACTTCTCACATCTCTCTTCCTTTCCCACTCTGGGCCAGAGACCAAGAGAGCTGGAAAGAGCTGGTATTCTTTTCCCGATCTCAGATCATCTCAGATCGTCACCACCATTCTCTCTCCTTCTCTCCTGTCGAGAGATTCGGCTGTAGGCGAACTTCAACTTCGTCTGCCGCTGATTCTCGCCGTGGTAAGTGGACTCAAATTTCGGTCACCACACCGGTCTCCGACTGTTCGTTATCTCTTCTCTGTCTGCTACGTGGAACAAGCATTGCTGACTCGGGCCTGATGCGCTCGTCCTGCAGGTCTCTTACGACGTCTTCTCCACGTCCGGAAAGCCAACTCCCCCCCCGTGCATCCGCACAGGCGGACGGCACTTACCCAAGACTCCATACACCATCTTCGCCGAGGTCTCCTGCTCTGTCTACTGCGTCTACCGCTGACGCCGGGCCTTCTCCGCCTCTACCGGCGCTTCCTATTCCCCAGCTGCCCGAGCGCATCTTGGCATTGCTGAGGACACGAGCGGCGTCTTTTGAGCGTGTCGAGGACGACGGCGAGGACGACGAGTATAACGACGGGTACAGCTACGGGTACAACGACGACGACGACGACGACGACGACGACGAGGGCCGTTTTGTCACCACCAGCTGGGGCTCGCCGTACCCGCGGTCGGAAACGTCACAACTGCAGCAGTCAAGTCTCGGCAGCGAAACATCTGAAGACTCGCCCATCCATCATCTTGAGCTGAACACGCCATTCCTCCGGCCGGCCCCGTTTATTTCCATCCAGGCCCAGAACGACGAGCAGGACGGCACGCTGCAAGACCTGCAGCATACTCCGCTGTCACCCTTGCATTTGGGAAACGCACCCTCTTTGGTCAGTGCCGCCATACTCGCCAACCGTGCCCGGAGACCAGCACGCGGCATCACCGAGGATTGGATCCGCCAGCACACCACCGGCGATATTGGATCGGAAGCACGCCTCTGGCTAAGCGATAGTAGCGAGGGGGACAGCGAGAACTCTTCACTGAGTGGATCTGTCATCAGAGACCCGCGTCCGTGGTCTGGCGAGGACGAATACGCCCTTCGCACCCCAAGAGCCGTGCCGGCCAAACGCTCAGTTTCCGGGTCGTCGCAAGCCACTGCTCTATTTCAGCACGGCCAGGCCGTCCCCAGCCACAGGCACCAACTGAGAAGTCGTATTTCGAGCACTGAAACTCTGAAAGGGACGGATGCAAGATACCTGCAAAGACCTTCCACAGCGCGCAGAAACAGCGGCAACAGTAGTGATACCATGACAATTCTGGCCAGTCGCGAAGCTGAGAACGTGACTGTCGATGCGAGTGTCGTTGCGGCCACCACTGATGCAGATAGCGACGCTGCCCAGGCTACTCCTGCACAATCGGAACCTTTGCCAATAGCAACGCCAGCGGCGGTGCCCACCATGGAGTCGTCCAACGGTGATCAGGGCAATGGATATGGGCCCGAGCCCGAGGCTATCCCAAACAAGCCTCCACCGGCCCCTGCGGCACGCCCAGCGAAGGAAACGAAGGAACGCGCGACCATACGGCGGGCCAAAAAGAAGGTGCCCTGGAAGGGCAAGTCCATTGTGGTTCTGCTCCCAATAGATGAGGACAGAGGAAGGCCAGGGCACGCACCAGTACCGCTTACACAAGCTGCCGTTGATCATATGCGGCAATCATGGAAGGATCTGGGCTACGACATCGACGGGTTTGATCTTCACGACTCGGACTTGGCTGCTGGCGAGGTTGCCAGTTCTGTCGGCCAAACTATGAGTCGGCCCTCGTGGCCGTCAGAGAGCGATGTCGCACAGGAACGATCATCGCGAAAGTATCCAATCCTGCTGCCGGATCTGAATGCCTGGAAGAACTATGTGGCAGAGCTGAATGAGGCCAAGCTTAGGGCGCTTGGTGTTTCGTTTGGCGACGACGAGCCGCCAATGCCGCCTCCCTCGTCGTCAATGTCGGCCGGTATTGGTGCTTCTATCAGCCGCCAGTCTTCGGCCAACATGTACCCGCCTCTGCCCTTCTCGCCGCCTCTGCCGACCTCATCTGCGGCGAGCAGCCGTGGCGCATCGGGATTCAACTTCCCAACAAATTTCATCCCCGGGCACAGTCCTTCCATGTCTTCCGTCGCATCACCGGTACCCTTCGGCATGGGATCCAAATACAATTCTCGCCAGTCAATCTCCATCCCTGCTGGTGCTTACCAGCACCAGCAGCAGAACACGCCCGGGGGCTTCTCGCCGCAGATGTTTCTCCAGCACAATCTTGCGCGGGGCGGCTCCCCGTCTCTGGCTGCACTTATGTCGCCGGGATCGCCCTTCTCTGCAGACGGCTTTGCTGGAACGCCTCTGCACCAACGGCATCAGTCCCTGCAGTTTCCTCTCCTGCAGCACCACCTGCAACCTTCTGCCCGTGCTTCCCCGCGGCTTCAAAACCTGGCAGAAGTGGATGAGAGGCCAGTCAGTGAGAGTCCGACTAAGATGTCTGAGCTGCCATCGGCCAGAGGCACTACGGCCGCAGTCGCAGCCGCAGCCGCTTCGGCGGCATTCATCCAGCACAATGCAAGCTCGAGCCTGCAGAAGGAGATCGATGATGCGGAATACCATCTGGAAGAGCAGTTTCGCTCACAGTTCGAGCACGACCGAGCGTACAGTCCACATGGCGAGCGGCAGTTCACCGAAGACCTCAACGGGGATGGCGCAGACAACTCGGTTGCACCAGGTCATGCGCAAGATTTGTCTGTGCAGTTTGCATCGCCTCCGCCGATCCAGCGCTTCCGCGATGACGCCGAAAACGGCCCCCCGTTGCACCACCCGCGTCCCCACAGCCGTGGGCACTCTCTTGCGAATGCTTACTACGCGGATCCAGAGGATGCGACCTTTGCCCAGAGCACGGCCCTCGTCCCTGTGCAGAAAGCGACACAGGACGTTGCCCAGGCTCAAGCGGACGACTCGTACGAGATTGAAACAAACCCGAGCAATCTGGGCAGCCCGACGCAGGCGCAGACGTCCGAGTATGGTAGCGGACTACAGCAGCCACACCAGCACACGTTCTCGACTACCAGCAACCCGTGGCGGGACTCTGGCTCGTTCTCTGTCAAGCCGGATGGTGCAAAACGGCCCGGCCACGCAAGCAAAGGCTCGCTGTCTCGTTTCAATGTAGAGGCTCCCGAGTTCAAGTTTAACCCTGCAAGTGCAAGCACATTCAAGTCGAGCTTCGGCAGTCAGTTCTCTTTTGGGACGGGTGCGAGTGAGACGTTTCAGCCGTCTGTCTTCCACGCTGGCTCGGTCCCCAATGTGCCGCTTTCGGCCACCTCGAGCCAGTTCAGCTTCCCGATGTCCACCACGGCCGTGGCCCCGGTGCCGGCCTCGGTCCCGACGAAGATCAGCGCCGGCACGTCCACTTTTTCCCCTGGCCAGAGCGAGTTCAGCTTCTCGGCCGCTGGCCCCAAGTTCCGCCCAGATGCCCCTGCTTTCACACCTCTGCATTCGTTCTCCAACTCTCTCACGAGCCCGGTGCAGTCGGGCCCCGAGAGTGTTGCTGGTGGCAACGCGACAAGCTCCATCTTTGGCAACATCGACCTCAATATGCCTGATGTCGGCGCGTCCACGAAGCGGTCCAAGGCCGTGCCAATTATACGGCCGACCAGCCACCATTCTTCTGGCGCTGGCGAGAAAGAGCCGGAAACGCAGTATGACCAAGAAGGACGGGTGACGGACGATACTCGGATCAAGAGGGCCAGGGCTACTCCCAAGGCCGACGATGACGACGAGGTGTTGTTTGCTGAGCCAACCAATGGCGGGCAGACAACGGACGCGCAAGAAGCCAGCGCAACGGCATCATCGGAAGTTGACGAGGCTGAAGCGGCCAACGACGACGCGAGCAATCTGGCAGCGGAAGAGGCGACGCTGTCGTCGACAGCTGCATCCGAGACGACAGATACGAAAATGGCAGCGACAACGAGTCCGTCAGAAGTGTCTTCGGTGCAGGCTAGCAATCCGTGGGCTGCGTTTGAGTTCAATACAGAGGCGGATATGGCAGCGTTTAACAGCGCCCGGCCGATTGGAGAGACGCGATTCCGTCACGAGAAGTCTCTGTCGGCCACTGCCAAGCCGTTCACGCCTCGGGAGAGCTTGGGCTCGGAGCTAGAAGCCCAAAGGAGGCCGGCAGATGCGACAGAGCAGGCGGACGACGAGTCGCTGGCATCGTCCCTCCAGCAGCCGCCACCACCGCCACCGGCTACTGAGAAGCCAAAGGGCCTCTCCGCCTCCCGGTATGCTGTGTCGCCGCCGCCGCCGACACCACCACCAAAGATGCATGTCCTGTCGGACTCAAGATCGATGGCCTCGTCGCCGCCTCCGGTGCCTCGCAAAGACGACAACTACTTGGAAGGGGAGTTTGCGTCTGTGCGGCGGAGCATGGCCATGGTACCGTCGGCGGCAGGTCCTGTGCACGTGTTGGCCACTGGTCAACGTGAGCCTACATTTGAGGAGATTGACGATATCATGTGCCACCTCAGCAGCTTGGACCCGGCACAGGGCGTCAACAGGGCGACGGGCGTGCCATCTTGGCAACAGCTCCCGATGTCTGGTGCCGAGGCAACGCGGCGATCGTCTCTGTCCCCGGAGCTGGAAGTGGAACAGGCACCGAGCGTGGTGGCGTCTTTTGACACAGGTGGCCGTGCTGTGAGGCACCTGACGGGTGGTGGAAGCCTGCCTGTGAGCGAGTGGGAGAGAGACTTCACGGACGAGGAGCATGACAAGCTCGAGTCCCGGGTGAACTTCTTTGATGGGCGGGTCAACGATGTGATGGGCGGGCTGCTGTCGGCGCGGCTCGGCCCGCTGGAGGAGACGCTGGAGCAGATCCAGCATGCGGTGACATCGATGCTAGGGCGAAATGGGCTCAGCCAGCGGTCGCGGCGCAGCATGTCTGGGACGATCCGGGACAGCGATGCGGACGACGAGGACGAGGAGATGCCGTTGCCGGTGTCACGGGGGTCCCTCAGCCCGCGCAAAGACCGGCGGCTGGAGCAGATGCGCAACATGTTTCTCGATGCGCTGTCGTCGCACCAGCAGCACGAGCGGGTCCAGAGCATGTCTGTGGCGTCGCTTGCAGCACCGGCAGAAGAGGTTCTGGACGCGTCGGTGACGACGATCCTGAAGTCGCTGAGCGACATGAAGGAGCAGATTGGGCAGTCTCTGCGGGTGGACTTCCGCGGCGACGATCTGCGGCAAATCGTGGAGGAGGCAGTGGAGCGGCAGCTGCAAACGACGGCGGAAGCGGTGCCGGCAAGGAGGCAAGAGGCGGAAGAGGGCGGCAGTGCGGCGGAGATGCTGGAGGCACGGGTGATGGAGCTCGAGCTCCGGCTGCAGGCGGAGAGGGCGAACTTGGAGTCGGAGCTGCTGCTCCGGCGGACAGCCGAGGACAAGACGGCAGAGATGGGGCGAAAGCTGGAGCTGGCGGAAACGAAGATCGAGGTGGAGATCATGAACCGCAGCGCATACGACCAGCGAGTTGCCGACCTGGAGGACCGGCTGCGACACCAGGAGGAGAAGACGGAGGCGGAGATGGACGTGCGGCGCAGCGCGGAGGGGCGGCTCTCGGAGGTACAGGGGCAGCTCCGGATCTCGACAGAGGAGCGGACACGGCTGCGAGAGGAGCTGGAGGAGCGCGGGCAGCAGCTCAAGGCAGCGGAGGAGACGACAGGAACGACGTTGATGCGGCTAGCGGTGCTAGAAGCAGCACAGGCACGGGAGGAGACGGCACACAGCGACCTACAGAACCGGGCAAACACGACAGAGGCAGAGCTGCGGGAGAAGATGCAGGAAGCGCGACACTGGCGGGCAGAGGCAGAACGGGCGATGGACGTGTCGCAGCGACAAGGCGAGGACCTGCTGGAAACGTCGACAGAGCTACGACACGTCAAGCGAGTGGTGGACACGATGGGGACGCAGCTGGGAGAGAACGAGCGGCTGCGGGAAGCGTGGCGCAACAAGTTTGTGGCGCTACAGGAGGAGATGTCGCGGGCAGCACGCGAAGTGGCGGAAGAGAGCGCACGTCACATCAAGCGGGAGCAGACGCTGTTGGCACGGCAAGAGGTGCTGGAAGCGAAGCTGCAGGCGGAGGCGCGAACGAGGGAACGTCTGGAGAGCGAGCTGGAGCGACTGGAGAGCGGCGAGCGACAAGCGATGCGTGCGGTGGCGGAGTGCAAGCGACTGGAGGGCCGGCTGAACGAGCTGCAGATGGCGAACGAGGATCTGCAGCAGCAGGTACGACGACACCAGGCAGAGTCAGGGGAGGCGCGCGAGTCAGCGGCACGCGAGGTGCAGCGGACACGCGAGTCGCTGCAGGCGGAGGTAGAGACGGCGAATTACGAGGTCAACGCAGTGCGGCGCGAGCTGGAAGACCAGGTGGCGCAAGCACGGGGACAGGTGGACCAGGTGCGACTGGATGCAGACACGGCACGGGCACGGCTGGAAATGCTGCTGGAAGAGGCAGAGGCGACGAAGCGGACGGTGGTGGAGGAGGAGACGAGACGACACGAGAGCGCGGTAGAGGACCTGCAAGCACGATACGAGCGACAGGTGCAGAACGCGACGGAAGATGCGCAGCGGACAGAGCAGAATCTGTTGGAGCGGCTGAGCATCTCGACATCCAAGACAGAACTGCTGCAGGACCGGGTGGCGCATCTGGAAGAGAAGTTGGAGGTGGCGCAAGAGGCAGCGCAAGCAGCAGCCCGGATAGCAAAGGGAGCGAAGGGGATGCTGGCAGTGGCCAGAGCAGACACGACAAACGCGACAGACGCAGACGCAGACGCAGACGCAGACGCAGGCGCAGATGCAGGTGCAAAAGCCGATTTGCACCAGACACAAACACTGCCGGAGAAGATCTCGCCACAGGCACTGCGAGAATCGATCATGGTGCTGCAGGAACAGCTGCAACAGCGTGAGCAGCGGATCGAGACGCTGGAACAGCAGCTGGCTCAGACAGATCCCGACTCGGCCGCCAAGATGGCCAAGCGAGACGAAGAAATCGTGTGGCTGCGCGAGCTGTTGGCAGTGCGTCATGCCGATCTGCAGGACATTGTGACGGCACTGGGACGCGAAGACCACGACCCGGAGCGCGTGCGCGACGCTGCCATTCGGCTGCAGGCCAATCTGCAGATGGAGGAACAGGAGCGCGAGCGGGCTGTCAACGGCGGGTCGGCCATCTCGCTGCCAACGCTGGCGGCCAGCATTCGCGACGCTGCGACACCACGTGTGGCTCAGGCTGTGCTGCCGCTAGCAGCTGCCTGGGGAAACTGGCGTCGAGGTGCTGGTGCAGGCGGGAATGGGAACGGAAACGCCGTCTCGGCCTTCAGTGCCATCTCGAGCGTCCTGACATCGTCGCCCATGTCGTCGGCCTCGTCATCGCCCACTTCCCGGCCATCGGCACGCGGAGCATCTCGGACGACCAGAAGCTTTGCCAGACCGGCAGCCACGCCGTCACGTGTTGCTGTCAACATCAACGATGCCAACAACAGCAGCAACAGCAGCAACGGTGCCCACAGCGACTCCTCTACCACCACCAGCACCTTCCTCTCTGGGCTGCTGACCCCGCCGACATCGGGCGCCCGCCAGGCTCCCACCACCCGGCAACAGCTGCAACAGCTGCAACAGTCACACAAGTCACATGACCAACCTACTGCCTTTGCCAGCACTGGCCGTCGCTATCCGGCCGAGCAGCCAGCCAGCCGACGGCCGACATCCCGGTCCGACAGCAAGCAGCTGGCCGCTGTCCGACACCAGGACGTCTCGCCGTCGCCGCCGTCGCAGTCGCAGTCGCAGTCGCAGTCACCTGTCGGCTTCCGCCATGCCAGCCGCAGTCGCCCCGTCACGCCGCCCATGACCCATGCGGCCGTCTACGACTCTGATGCCCAGGCAGAGGACTTTGACGATGCTGCCTTCTTCGATGATTAGGGGCCTCGGGGCCAAACCATTCTTTCCTTTGTCTGCTGCATCCACCTTCACCAACACCCTAGAATCTACGGGTTGGATGGACAGTCCGGTCTGCCTGAAATGGTTTCTTTTTGTTTTTTATGCTGTTTTCCTTTCCCGTTTTCTTTGTTGATTTCTTTCCGTCGATAAAATGTCGCCTGGCTACGCAGAATGTAGGCTATATAGCTAATGAATCCATATGCAATCAAACCAATGAGAATGAAACGAATCAAATCCTTTGAGGTCCGGCCTGTCTGGAGACGACTCTGTCACTGGTCGCAGAAAAAGTCAAACTCGGTGTTTGAGGTCGTCAGCACCGGAAAGGCCGTCTGTGTTGCCGATGCGGCGACTGCCTTGCACTCGGCTGTGCCTCTGTCAGCAGGCTGCGCCCCCACGAGAAGGACAGCGTCCGCGACTTACTGTTCTGCGTGTCGCAGTCCGACACCGTCACGTTGACCGCAGTCTGGCGGTTGGCCGCGTCCGCACAGCTGTTGTGCTGGTTATCACAGGCCCGGGATGCTGCCGTCGCAAAATCCATCTGCCATGTCGAGAAGGTCCTCTGGTCAGTCGCAGTCTTGCCGTCTGGAAGGGGGAAAGGGGAGACGCACAAATGTGTCGCCGTTGACCTCGTACTGCCTGGACGAGTCCGACGACTGTGTGATCTGTGGCAGGCCGTCAGCACTGGTCTCTTGTGTCTGATCTCGGGACCGTTTCTCTCGCTTACCGCATCGGCAGCCACGCCGGCCAGGTCGCCCCGGAACGGCTGCAGACTGATGGCCGAGCGTGCCATCAGGTGGCCGTGCAGCAGCTCAGCCGTGTTGACGGACGGCGAGACCTCGACGGCGGATCCGACGGCAGCTCCGACGACCGCCATGATGGCCGCTACATAAACCAACCCCGCCGACGACGCCGTCATGTGTGTGAAAAGAGCCATGGTAGGATGACGAACAAAGTTGGACGGAAAAAGGCCGGCACAGCGAAAGACAACGAAAGAGGGTCTGGTCTGGTTACATAGTAGCATCTGGTCGGATCAGAAGACGACGCTGTTTGGCGCTTCTGCTGAAACACATCTGAGACAGGATCCCGACGCCAAACACGGCACTGAACACACGCTACAGAACACGGAATACATCGGCGCAATGTCAAAATCCAAAATCAATTTGGCCAAGACCTTGGCGGGCCAGGCCATCTCTCTAGAAGAATACAAAAGCCGAGAGCAACAGGGCTGCAATTAAGCAAAGTCTAAACTAAATGGTTCGGCGGCCTCCAGTCGTCTCCAAAGACAAATGCCGAGCGAGATGTGCCGTCAGCCCCCTCCAAGAAACTCCGGGGCGCGGTGCGGCGACGATGTGCAAAAACAGCAGGCGAAAACAGAGCAACGGACAGCCTAGAAGTTGGAGGCCGTGTTTACTTGAGCTGGCGCGTGGTAGCTCTCGAGCGTGCTCTGGAAGGGCGAGCGGGCAGCGGCAGCACCGGCTCCCGGGCCATCGATCTTCTCGCCCTGCGTGTTGATGTTGTTGTTGTAGGCGCCGTAGTCCATCAGCTCGTCGTTGTCCTCGGCCGACTTCTTGCGGCCCCAAACACGCCAGGCCAACAGTCCGATGACGGCCAGAACGATGGCACCGCCGACACCGACAACCACGCCAATAATGGTGTTGCGCGTCTGCTTCGACATGCCCGACGACTTGCTGCTCTTAGAGGTCGACGACGCGAGGCTGGCCGTGGGGGTCGTCGTAGCCGTCACAGCCGTCGTCACAGCCGTCTTGGAGCCGTCTGAGGCGGTGATTGTGGTGACAAACGTGCTCGTGTACGCAGATGGGGTCGCCGTCGTCGCTGTCGTCACGTGTGCCGTCGTGCCCGCTTCTTCTGTCGTCTTCTTGGCCGTCGTCTTGGCTGTCGTCTTGGCCGTTGTGGGACTGGTGGTCGCCGTGGTCACCACCACCACGTCCGATGTCGCGGCGGAGGCCGTCGTTGCCGCAACAGATGGTGTTGTCTGCTGTGCGGTTGTCTGGGCCACCGAGGTCTCGACTACGGCTGCCGAAGTCTCTTGTTGCTGCTGAGATGACGGTGTGGGTGTGGTCTGCGCAACCGCTGTTGTCGGGGCGGCCGAGCTGATGACAGCCGTAGGCGTCGTCGGGGAGCTGCTTGCGGCTGCTGGACTTGATGAGACCACCACGGCAGCCGGGCTTGACGAGATCGCAGCCGCCGTCGTCGGCGAAGAGGTCGCTGCCTCGGACGTTGCTGCTGCTGATGCTGGAGCGCTGCTTACCGCCAGAATTGCGACTGCTGATATGGCTCCGCTCACGTCTGCCTCGCCCTGCTGCTGGCTCTGGACGGTCGCCAGTAATGACAACGCTGCCAGAAACAGCTGTGGAACACGATGTGCGTACATGATGCAGACCGATGAAAGTTGTGTTGTGTATCAAAAGATACGGTGCGGACTCTGCGATCGAAACAGGGTCGACCGATTGTGTCCAAAAGATAATGCGGGATGAAATCGACAGAGATGGGATGCCCACGAGAAAGGGCAGAAACGAGTGTATGAAGAAGGATCAAGAGAATGACAGGCCGCTCGGAAGACGAGAGCAGGATGATGCAGATGATGCAGGTGATGCAGGTGATGTTTGGGAAATGAACGGTAAGGAAGGAGCGTTGCAGACTCTGTCCAGCCAAAGAGCGAATAGGTCACGCTGCAGGGGGTGATCGCCGCCGTTGGCCGTTGCCAGCGCTTTCCTCCCCCTAAAACTGCGGCCCACCTTTATTGCCGTTCCGCAATGCAGGGGACAGTGCGAGCGTCTCGCTCTCCTCGTGTTTTTGTCTTTTTTTGTTTCGGCTTCGTTCGTCTCTCTCGCCTCTCGTCTCCCTCGTCTCACCCACTCGCTCGCGTCTTCCGACGCCGTCGAGATCCAAACGGATGTCGCGGCTCTCATTGGACGTACAGGGGGCTTGGCATTTCCACTCTCACTGGCAAAGCAGGTCGTAGCACTAGAAAAGCAGGAAAATTACGCCCAATCTTTTCGGGCTTTTTCTTCGTATTCGGCAGGGTAGCAGCTGACTTGGGCGTCGTATTCCACCTGGGTTCGTCATGAATACGAACTGCCACCCCCCAGCATTTCCACCTTCACCGCACCGGTAATGCCGGTGGCCTCTTGATGCATAAATATCCATTTAGAAGAGCCTGCGCTTACGTGGCTTAGCCCATACTATGTATGTACAAAGTTACTCCGTAGATCCTTATCTAATCTCGCACGCGCTAAACCGCTGCGCCAATTGCTCTCGTAGTCGTCATTTTTTTCATGCTATGCAACAGCACTGCCTGCACAACATGGCTCCCGTAAAAAAGCCGGTCAACTGGAAGCTCTGGGGCAAGATGTCTCTCGGGTGAGCTTCGTCCCGCCTACTGCTCAGTCGCCACTCCCATGCTGACCCTTCACCCGCCAGCGGCGCCGCCATGATTATCGGTGGCCCCATGCTGACAATGTACGTCATGCCGACGGACGAAGAGCTGTTCAAAAAGTACAACCCAGAACTGCAGAAACGCAGTCTGGAGCGCCGGGAAGAGCGCCAGCAGGAGATCAACGACTGGGTGGCCAACCTCAAGCGCCAGTCCCGGAGCAAGAAGCCGAGTATGTCCTTCTTCCGCCGCCTTTGTCTGGCCCACAGGCTAACAGCCGTCCTTCAGTCTGGGTCGTCCAGGAAGAGGAGTCCCGTGCGGCCAAGGAGGCCATGCTGCGTGACACTGCCCGTCTTGCCCAGGAAGCCAAGGCCCAGCGCGAGGCCATGCGCAAGGAAGCCGGCCTGGCACCCGAGTCCGATCCAGGCCCGGGCTCCACGAGATGAGCATTGTTGTGTTTAGTCGCGTCAGACATCACCGCTCTCATGCTGCATGAACCGGTTGACGGTGCCTTGGAAAAGGAAACGGACCTGAGCTTTCGGCCTTTGGCTGGGCGTCCTCATTTTCTATCTATACACAATGACCAAAATACAGACACATGCCTCTCAATTATCCGAGCGTGGCAGCTCCTCTTCAGCTGCAAGCTCCGCTATCTCCGTGCTGGTGAAGCCGAAGAGGAACAAAAGGTCGAGGAGCGAAGGCCTGTTCAGCCGCGCATCGGCCGCCAGCTGCAGAACAGGCTTGGCGTGCCAGGCTACCCCCAGCCCTGCCGTCTCCAGCATGAGCAGGTCGTTGGCTCCGTCCCCCACAGCCACGACTTGGCGCAGGTCGATGTTCTCCTCGGCCGCGATCTGCTTCAGAAGCTCGCACTTCCGCTCACGGCCGACAATGGCGCCCGTCACTTCGCCCGTTAGCCGGCCGTCCGCACCGACCACCACGTGGTTGGCGTGCGCGTGGTCGATTTTCAACTGCCCGGCCAGCCAGCCGGTCAGCGGTTGGAAGCCACCACTCAGCACGGCCGTCCGCACGCCGAGTCGGCGCAGCGCGCGCAGCAATGCCGGTACGCCCTTGGTCACGTCCAGGCGCGGCCGGAGAGAGTCGAACAGTGTGGCGGGCAGGCCGGCCAGCATGTGCACCCGCTCGCGGAAGGCCTCTTCGAACTGCAGCTGGCCGGCCATGGCACGATGCGTGATGTCGGCCACGCGGGCAGCCACCTCGGGGGTGACGGCCTCGGCCAGGAGATCAATCACCTCTTGCGTGATCAGCGTGCTGTCCATGTCAAACACCACCAGCCGCGGATGGCGGCGCCACAGCGTGTCGTGCTGCAGCACCACCTCGACGTTCCACTCGCGCTCGAACCGGTACAGCTGCTCATGTCGACGCAAATCCGTGAGGGCCAGGACCGGTGCTGGGTGCAAGAGCACCTCCACCACGTGTGGCTGTGTGGCACTATCGAGGTAGCGATGGCTGGCCTTGAGGTCAGAGCCAGTCCTGTTGCCGCCATCGTCCTCCCCGTTCGCCACGGCGCGGCGTGGAAAGGTGGCCATCAGGTGCAGAAATGCTGCTATACAGATGGGACTGACGTAGGCGCCATACAGCCCGTCTCGTGGTGGCTCGGGATCTTCGGCCGGCAGCTCCATCGGAAACGATGTCGGCTCTATCGTGGGAGCCAGGTTTGGAGGCAGCTCTCGTTCGGCATCGTTGCTGTCGTTCGCATCCGATCGAGACAGATGTGCCTTGCCTCCCTCCTGCTCGCCGGCAGCTCGTGACGCTGTATTCGCAGGGGTGTGGTAGTGACCGTGACCCTTGTATAGGATAGTGGCCACCAGCCGGTCGCCGGCGGCAGCTACACCCGGTATTGGCGTGCAGTTGACATGGATCAAGTCGTGGGCCACGCCGCCTTCAATGACAGTCGGCGGAGAGCGTGCATCAGACACGCCACCAAATTGTCGACACAGCAGCGGCTTGGACGCAGACGGACGAGCAAGAGCCGTCTGCAACTCCGCGTCCAACACCTGCGGCGGCAGAACGTCATCGGCGCCGTCCTCAACCACCTCATCGATGCCGTAGTGGCTGGCTGGACGGATGTCGTGACCCTGCTGCTCATTTTGTCGCCGATTCAACGGCTGCTCGGGCGATAACGAGCCTGACGGTACTATGGCCGCCTTGGCCGGCATCGTGGGGGATGACATGCCGAGCAGATAGGTAGGGGTGTGGCGGTCGGACCTGAGGTTGGACTGCACGTTGAGGGCTGCAGTCACTTTCTGCCCCGCCAAAGTTGGCGAGCCTACTTTTCGCAAAGTACGGAGTACTCCGTAGACCAATAAATGATGACAAAAAAGTCCGCTCGCGCTATTAGCTGCTAACCACAGCCCGTCGCGTTAGGTAATCAGCGGGGTCAGATTCGATTTGAGGCCGGTGGGGCTTGAATGCATCCGGTGAAAAAAATGTGTGTGTAGACTCAAAAAAGGGAACCTACTCGACCTTTCCGCTGGTAATAACGCACAAACGCAAAAGTTTGTTCTGTCCAGCTCCAGTCCACCGGAACAACCAGTAATACGCAAAAACCTCTGCCGCCCGCCGAATTCTTTTCCATCTCGACATTCTTCCGGCACCTTGCCTTTTGTCTTGCACTTCATCCACTACGAACCTCAATTGTCTGTTTGCCGCTCTTCGCCGCGTGTCATTGCTTCTTCTGGTATGTCGAGAATCGAGTCTTGCCTCGCCTGCTTCCTGTCCAAAGCCCCCGTTTCCCCGTCCATCCAACCCGTCCTCCTCACCCTCGCCTCGCTCGCCGTTCCCCTCGACATCTGCACCTTGCTCTCGCCCAGCTTGTCATCTCTTGCACCCCACCCGTGGTCTTAGTCTGCTTCGTCTCGCTCAGCTCCGTCAGCCGATTGCCTGATGCCATGTTGCTGGTCACCTGTCTTCGCGTGCTTATTCAATATGTCTTTTGGATAGAATCTTCTGCCATCACCCACCGTGGCTCCGCCTTAACCGCAGCTTGTCACCCGAAATCCTCACCATGGCCGATATCCAGGAGCGCTTGAAGAAGCTTGGCGCTGTGTCGCGTACCGGTATGTTGAACATCTGCCTGGCTGCGCACTCGTAGCGCTACTTTCCACGCACTATGTTGCTAACCATTTGCAGGGTATGTTCCTTTCCCTTCAGCAAGCACAGCCAGCACAGCAGTGCCCAAGCTCCAATGTGTTCGTCACTAACCTGCCGCAGTGGCAAGGGCACGCCCCGGAGAAAGGTCAAGCGCACGCCTGGGCGGTCCGCTGCCGACGACAAGAAGCTGCAGCTGAGCTTGAAGAAGCTGAACGTGCAGCCGATCAACCAGATCGAGGAGGTCAACATGTTCAAGAGCGATGGCAATGTCATCCACTTTGCCGCCCCCAAGGGTGAGTCTCGACAACGCTCCAGGACACGAGGCCGGTGATTGTGCCCGCTAACTATTCGCCCAGTTCACGCTTCCGTCCCCTCCAACACCTTTGCCATCTACGGCAACGGCGAGGACAAGGAGCTCACAGACCTCGTCCCCGGCATCCTGAACCAGCTGGGCCCTGATTCGCTTGCCTCTCTCCGTAAGCTGGCTGAGAGCTACCAGAACATGCAAAAAGCTGGCGAGGACGCCGAGAAGGACGGTGCCGCGGACGCCGAGGATGACGATGCCATCCCAGACCTCGTTGACCGCACATTCGAGGACAAGGTGGAGTAGAATGGGAGGCAATCAAAGGACAGAAAAGATAAATGAAACCGCAGAAAAAAAGAAGCAAATCCCTTTTTTGAGACACCTTTTACTACCCATACGCTTCGACCATTTCTGCAGGCGTTCTTTCCTTGGGGCCCTTTCGTGTTTCTGTATTTGCAGCAAGAGTCCCAGATCTCCCAGATGCTGGAAAGGAATATCGCGTGGGCTATTGTTTGGTGGGTTTTGGTGGGGTGGGGGGGGGGGGGGGGAGGTGGCGTCGGATCATCGACGTAGTGAGTTAAATGGCAAAGATGAAGCCACACTGGGTACATGAGGAACAAAATAGGTGTTGACAATTTCCACTGTTATGTTAAGGCGTGGGATAATTCGCTACAGCTGACGGAGAAAGGGCCCGATCGACCCCCTTTTTGCCCATGCTGCTCAAGTGTCCAACTTCCAATTGCCGTCTCCATTATTCGGCACCCATCCTCGCAAGGCAGCATATTTGACTTGCTGCTTTACACAACTTCTTGATGCGAGCAACTCACTGGCTTTCACGCCATCGTAAGTCGCATCGTGAGAAAGTTGCCGGTAACAGTGTGTCCGTTGCCGCATCACGGCCCGATCAGCAGACTCCTGGGACTCTTGTGATACGAAGGACTTTGTTATCGTACCCACAAGCTGCCACATCTGGCGACGCGATACAGAACTAGCTCCTGCTAGATCAAATGCTTTGCGACCGCGAAGAACTCCACCAACAAGACATTCGTTGACACCATGGCAAGTCCATACAACCGAGAGATTGCTTGACACCGATGATAGAGATCCGGTTTGTGCAAGCCCGGCCACCCTCCTCTTGGAGAATGCGAATTCCAAATCGGTAGTCTGAATATCAAAGGGGGTAAACCTGTAACCGCCAGGCCAGGAGAGGCCTGCAACTGGCCGCATGCGACCACTCGGATCTTGGGCCGAAAAGCATCGCTGACAGCCCGATTTCGAGTATTGCGAGGCTGGCAAAACTATCGAGCGCAGGTACAGCCCTGGGCTGGGGGCAACGAGAAGCGAAGAGAGTCCACTGAGAAGAGACGTGCATTGCCGTAATGCCAGTTTGTCCGAGCACGATTTGGAGAGCGTCTGTGGCGAATCACCGCGACCGGGCTTCCGGCGCACCATGCCGAGTTGTGAGAAGTAACCTCGGCCGCTCAACATCGGCTCTGACGACGACTCCTCGAACATTTGAGCGCTGGGCACTTTTGTAATGGTCGTTGGCACTGTCCACGGGGACGCATCATCTTGCGTGGCCATTGTCAGCTCCATGCTGGCATCACCACCTGAGAGACTCTGTCAGCATCAGTGCTGTTTGAAGGACGACGAAGATGAGGCGTATATACATACAAGGCGCTTCAGAGCAGTACATATGCAATTGCACGGTGTCATGCCATGCAAATGGTTGGCCATCCTCAGAGCAGCTTTTTCCTGTCTCCCAGCAGGCGGATATGAACTCGGATGGCTCTTTTCCCGTGAGAACATTATAACATTCTTGTAAGACAACCCGATTGAAAGCTCTCAAAGCGAGAATCTCGGCGTGCCAATCGTGGATGCCTACACCATTGGCCAGAAGTACTTTTGTCACAGGAAGGCATTTCATGCCGGTTCTGAAATGGAGGGCTTTCATTCAGATTTTGCATCGTTTCAATCCTGGAAAAGGCGTTGGTGTACTCACGCCAAGGCCAGGCATTTGAGCTTGCCATCACTAACTAAACCACGAGTACGTACAGGGTCAGCAGACAGACCACCAGTCACCAAGCATGCTCTCTTTCTACCCGCAAATAAAGACGTACATACACTCTGCTACGATGCCACTCAAAGGAACCCATTCACGAACACCGTTCGTACGGACGACTGGTTTCCGGTTTGCTGCAAGCCGTTCGAATTCGCCAAGTACCACAGAGGCAATGGCATCAGACTTGGCCATTGACATTTGCAGTGTTCATAAGAACCAGCAATCTCGAACGTGCCCTTCTGCTGCTGGCTACCAGTCAATATGCCGTTGTCACCAAGCGCGTCGTACATAGTTACAAAAGTGTGAGAGCGTGGGAAGTAAGCCGATGGATAGTCACATGATACTGTGTACAAGCTGTATCACGTGATCACTGCGGAAGCACACAATTCGACCAATCATGTGGGGCTCGGCGGGGTCTGACCACGCACAACAATTTCGCCGAATTTACAAACCTAGCAATTCCCAACTGGAACGAAATTTACCTTTCAATCCGGCAATCTCGAAAAAAAACCAACCACAAGAAAACAACAATCCGCCCCCCGTCCGTCAATATGCGTACCTACGACGACACGTTCTCGGGTCAGAAGATCTACCCTGGAAAGGTAAGATTCATGAACATCCGGCGAGCCACACGCGGATAGAATAGGAGATGCGCGCAAGTCACGCCGACACTCAGCGAGAAGAGAAGAATTGTGGTCTACTCCGGCTATGTTCAGAAGGCACCGACACGCATGGTCTACGTGCAAGCTGGAGTTTTCACGGCTAACCCTAGTTCTGTGCAGGGCAAGATCTTCGTCCGTGGTGACAGCAAGGTCTTCCGTTTCCAGAATGGCAAGTCCGAGTCGCTCTTCCTACAGCGCAAGAACCCCCGCCGCATTGCGTGGACCGTTCTTTTCCGCCGGCAGCACCGCAAGGGTATCTCTGAGGTACGAATCATCGAACAACACCTACCTAGTGGAATCAGCAAAGGGAAGAAACTAATTCATATCACAGGAGGTCGCCAAGAAGCGCACGCGCCGGACGGTGAAGTCGCAGCGCGCGATCGTGGGTGCTTCTCTGGACGTCATCCGAGAGCGGCGGTCTATGCGCCCAGAGGCTCGGGCAGCTGCACGGGCAGAGAACCTCAAGGACATCAAGGCAAAGAAGGCCGATGCTGAGAAGGCAAAGAAGGCCGAGAAGGCCAAGAATGCAGCCAACGCAGCCAAGGGCCAGGCCGGCCGTATTCAGAGCAAGCAGGGTGCCCGGGGTGCGCAGGTCAAGGTGGCTGCTAAGTCCCGTTAAGGACCTGTAGCGGATGAATAAGATGTGGTGCTATAGCAAGGAGTAGGATGACACTTCTCGCTGTCAGGGTACGCGGCGTCTCTGTGGTGTCATTATCATTTCCTTCGTTTCTCAAAGAAAAAAAAATCAAAATACAACCGAAAGGAAAACAACTACAAATTTCGGACAGGGCCATAGGCAAGCAGGAAAATGAAACGAGAGGACGACAGCGTCTGTGATTGGTTCTTCAGGAACACCATCTATCTCGGTCAAATGTCATCCAGTCCTTTGGAGATGGCTTCCAAACTCGCTCTTCTCTATATACCGATTCTATCACGTGTTCACCCTGTATTAGATAATCCCGCAAAACTTTGAAAAGGCGGGCAGAATGACGTGTCTGGCCAATCCTCAATCAAATGCAAAGCGAAGCCCTCGGTTAAAATCCAGCTCTGCACGGCCGGGTGATCAGAACACCCTAATGGAAGGGTACTGCCACCAACGTTTTCTTTTATCTTCTCCTAGTGACCTATCTTCAGTTTCCCAGCCGCCCGTCTAATCGCATTGTTTGGAGCTCCGCTTCTCTTTCCCCTCCAACACGGCAGCATTGGTTTTTTTATCGCGTGTTATTTTTTATCGAATTTTGTGGAAGCTGTTCAAACGTTTAGGCACACTGGAGTCGACTCGACCCAGAGACTACGAGCACACTTTAGGCCAATCATCCAGGAAGCAAACATGGTCTACCTACGACAAGATTCCCTTCGAGGGCTCGATCTGTACAAGTACTCGGGTGTTGACCACAGTCTAACATCCAAATACATCCTTAAGCCGTTCTACAACAATGTAGTGCTTCCTTGTTTCCCAATGAGCATGGCACCCAATCTCATCACGCTCTCTGGGTTTATGTTTATAGTCTTCAATCTGTTCACGCTACTGTGGTACAACCCATCACTCGCTCAAGACTGCCCGCCCTGGACCTACTATAGCTGGGCTATAGGTCTATTTTTGTACCAGACTTTCGATGCCGTCGATGGAGCACAAGCGTAAGTGTTTGAGCTGCAGCCGTCGAATCGGATAGCAGTACAGCTAGGGGCAAGGGAACTGACAGCTCTAGGCGGCGAACGCACCAAAGCAGTCCGCTGGGCGAACTCTTTGATCACGGCGTTGACGCACTAAATACGTCTCTTGAGGTCCTGCTTTTCGCTGGCTCGCAGAATTTGGGCCATGGCTGGAGGACAGTGGCAGTGTTGTTTGCATGTACGTGCGAGGGTTTCCAAATTCTCAGAGGCGGTCAATCATTGCCTTCCACTCTGGATTGGGTTGTTGTCCTTGCTAATTTAATTGCCAGCCCTCATGACGTTTTACGTGCAGACCTGGGAGGAGTACCATACCCACACACTGACGCTTGGCTTCGTTAACGGACCAGTTGAGGGCATTCTTATTCTTGTCTCGGTATATGCTCTCACGGGCTACCTCGGTGGCGCTTCCTTTTGGCAACAACCTATGCTTGCCACGTTGGCAGCTCCGGATAGCGTACTGGATCTTCTTCCGCCTGTGGTCCGCGACCTATCTTTTACCGACTGGTACTTGGTGCAGGGCAGCCTTGTTCTTGTGTACAACACGGCCGAGTCGGCACGAACGGCAATTGGCGTTTGGACCAAAGAAAACAGGGAAGCCAAGAACAAAAAGAGCTACCGTGAACATCCAATCCTCGGCCTCATACCCTTCTTTGTGACCTGGATCTTGGTCGTGGCATATCTGGCACTGCGGCCAGAAATTCTACATGCTCACCTGGTACCGTTTGTGCTCTTCGTGGGAATTGTCAATGCTTACTCTGTAGGCCAGATGATTACGGCCCATGTGACACACATGTCCTTTCCTTACCACAACGTGTTGCTTCTACCGCTAGCCTGGGGTGTTGTGGATTCACTCGGCCCGGTGCTCCAGCACCTAGAGCCAACCGTGGCGCTGATGCTTTTTGGGCCCGGCCAACCCCCAGCAGCCTTTATTCTGGGCTGGCCTAGTGTTCTTGGCGACGGTGTTTATCAGGTTGCATTTATGTTCTGCATGTTGGGAACAGCTATCGGCGTGTATGGCTCCTTTGTTGTCGACGTCATTGTCACCATCTGTGACTATTTGGATATCTGGTGTCTCACCATCAAGCATCCATATATCGAGGGAGCTGAGGCCGAGAAGAAGGCGGCAGGGAAAACCAACGGCAATGTGAGCAACGGGAACCTGGCAGCATGCACAACCGCCACAGCCGTTCCCGATGCGGCGACTCGGCGAACATAGAAAGCGAGCTAGGCAGCGTGTCTGCTTTGACAACTTGACCCCGCTTTCTTCGATATACTCGGCCCAAAGTCAAGCGGCCCTATTTACTGTTGTTCTCATGTCCCCTCGCTCTTGGATTGCACGTTTTCAGCCGATTATTCCCCGCAGAACAAAAACTACAGTCCATACGGATATGGAATGGGCCTCTTCAGCACACACAGATTGCATCACAGCCCTTGGATTTGGTGTCGTCTTGGTTCCTATATAGCACTAGAGGGCGTTCGGTGTAAATCGGGAGGCCTGAGAGTACGAGCTTCAAGAAACAATTATAGCCATCGGTTAGTGAACGGCACTTTAGGCACAACACATTTATACAAATAGAGCATAACATAATCAGTGTCCGGTTTTGCCTGGGTCCTCGCGCCCTTTTAACGGTCGGCTTGTTTCACCTATATATGCGATTATGCCTCTCAGTAAATGCATCTTGTATGCAATTGGTGTGCGTCTTTGCTAGACGTGATGAATATGTGTTACCTCGCCCAACCAGCCCCAACCAGCGATCCAGAACAGGTAAATGAGCTTCAAGTTGCAACCGAACAACCCGTATGATTAAGAGGCGCTAAAAAGAGCAAAAATACTAAATAAAGAGAAATCAACCCTCGCATTCCCTTTGGACTAAGAGCCATTCACCGAGCCAAACGCCTGAATTCTCCGGTATTCCTTCGTAACCAACTGGTTGAGCCGCTCAGAGCAGCGAATCACTGCCACTACCAACACTCTGCTCGATAGCAGCAATAATCGCGCGTTCTTCAAAAACTGGACCTTGACCATCGCACTTGGCCTGGTGTTTGAGCCGGTTGCTGATGTCGGCCACGTCGACAAGCCCGCGTTTATAAAGAGAGTGGCTTATGATGAGATCCCACGTTGCGCCAGCGGCAAGGAGACGCTCACCCGCGTCAGACGTAGCTATGCGATGGCTCGGTAGCTTGTTGTCGTGGTTGGCTAGTAAATCGGTGTAGAAATCGGTGGGATTGTAGGTCATCGGACCCGCGGTCAGAGGCGCATTGCGGGAAACAGCGTGGTCACTACCCGGGGAGCCTCCCGCTGTGATAGCGGCAGCCTGCAACGACGACGTTGCCCGCAGTATCTCGTTTTCCGTGCTGACCTTTTGCAAATCTTGCTTCAACCTCTCGTTTTCTGTGGCTGTTCGTTGCTGGGCTGCCTCGAGAGAAGCCAGCTTAGCCTCGAGGTCCTTGACATGGCGTTCTTTTCGTTCACGAAAAGCCCGTTGCCTATAAAACCAAAGTGGAATAGAGTCAGTAGGGTAACAGAGGTAAACAAGTAGCATATCTCTGATGACTCGAACAGCAGGGGTAAAGGAGACAATGAAGGGAGGTAAGACATACGCAGCCCGATTCTGTGCCTTGCGGCGGGATTGAGCAGGGGTCAACTCATCCTCGTCAGAGTTGGAGCCAGCTCTCCGGCTCTGCTCCTGCTGTTGAGCCTGTTGTGCAGCGACGTCATCGGCGGGCTCGGTCTTGGTAAAGGACAGGGCATCAACAGGGCGGTGTGGATCGAGCGTTATGGTAGGCAGGGCGGCCGCGGCCGCGGCAGGTGCATGCGGTGGTGGATGTCGGGACAAGAGGGACTGTGGCTGGAGCGAAGGCTGACTGTTTCGAATGGTGCCTGAAAGCTGATGTTGATCCGGCGGAGTTGGAGGACCGGGGAAAACGTCCGGTTGAGTGGCAAATTGAGCAGCGTAGCCGTCGAAGTGTTGGAATTGGTCGTTAGGGAAATCCGGAAATCCCTCCTATGTAATACCGTATGAGTAATGGATGCAATCAGCGGACGGCAACCGGAAACGGCGAGGTGTGCCAGGATGTATTCGCATTCTTGTTCATAGTCTCCCTCTCAACTGGCATCATCTCTTCATGCCACGTGTGGGTCGTCTGCCGTGCTGACAGCAATATTGTAGCCCGCACAACGCCTTGCAGCTGATCATGCTGCTTGCAAATTGCTTCCAAAGCAAGGCCTAATGCGCGGAGTGGGTACGGTGTAGGACGTAGGAAGCAGAAGCCAGCCGTAGTACAAAAAGAGGGAGACTTCTCACCTCAGGGCCATCTGCCGTTTCGGAAGGTTTCGGAAGGTTTCTTCAATAGTCGCACCGTCCGTCCAGAAGCAGAAGCAGCATGATAAAAATCGACTATTCGCACAAGGACAAGAAAAGTGCCACACTCACCGGCGGAGATGTCCTGTTGTAATCCTCAGAATTGGAGTGGGACGGCGTCAGCGGGGGGATTCCGATGAACTGCTGCTGAAAGGGCTGGCCGCCAGCGAAGAAGGCGTGGGTGAACTCCATGAGAGTAACGGTGGGCGCGGGTTAAAACGCGTATATGGGCAAAGTGATGGTGTCGCAAAGGCACGATTGCGATAAATCGAAACTCGACCAGCTAGGGAGAAAAGGAGGGGAGAAAAGGCAGAAAAAAAGCGAGCGGTAGCAACGGCTAAGAAAAAGCTTAGGGGCTTAGGGGAGGCTCGGCTACAGCTGGCTCGCTCATGCACAAACGTCAGGCGTAGAGCAATACAGGGCCGTTTGAGTGGGGGTGGGCTGTGCTAACTGAACAGCTCGTATCGTAAATACTAGAAGCCTCCGGATGCTAGAGCGCCGAACGCGCACTACTCGGACAAGGAGGAGAGATCTCGATTGGGTTTAGAAGAGTTGTCATGCAACGGAATCCAGTGCAGCACAAAAACGTGTCATTAGCATATACTAACTATCTCAGCCGCCGAGGCTGTCTTCCATCCGTCGCCGTCATAGCCGATATAGGAGCCACTTGTCCCGACTAGCCCCGGTGGGTTAGTTATTGCATCCTGGGATTACATAGCATGTTGAGAGCCGACGGCGCTAAAATGCGGAGGTGGCTTACCACACCAGACTACTCGAACTCTCGCCATGATAGGCTACAGCTATGCACAGAAAGATTGTGATATAAGCGGTTGCTCTGCAGACTGAGGCCTTCTGCGTCTTACTAACAGGCGAGGCTGGTATCTTACTTTAAACGGCGGCGCTCTACTCCGTATATCATGTTGTCTAAGCCGGACGAGGGTTTCAAACCAACTTTATTTAATGAACACGTTTCAATGCCCATTGGACGACGACAGACGCTCGGTTGGCCGCAATCATGTCCCGCCTCTGGATATCGTCCCGCTTTAGTAGCCCATGTGTGTCGGAACTGCACTTGGGTGCTTTTTGAGCACAGCTTCCGTCAACGGCATAATCCCGGAAAATGCTAGTGCCAGAAACGGCGACAACGAAATGCTTGATCTTAATAGATAGTATTTATCTTCGCCCTCCTGAAATGGCGAGTTCGATATTGGGGGATCGTGCCATCGGGGTCTGGCCTTTGCCTATTGCCCGAGAAGGGGGCTGGCACACTGGAGGCTTGGCTCGATGAGCTCCCTGTGGCCAGCTCTCTATTGGGAAGCCAACAATATAAGACATAACATGATGCACAATGAGTTGTCTATCTCACCACTAGGGTTTTCTCTGAGGCTTCTCGCGTCCCTTGTTCCAGTGCTATCGGGCCTTGGCCGAGAATGGTTTAAGTTGATAATTTGATTGCAGATTAGCGTCTGCGTTGGCGATGCGACTGTTCAGGCCGAGTCTACAGTACGTTTTACAGTACGGTCTCGACTGTATCCAGCTCACTCGTATCCTTCTTGTGCCCTTTCTTTTTTCGGGCCATATGTTTTAGCGGTCGGTGTCTGAAGCCCCCCGAATAGACCTGGGCAGAAGCAAATACGATATACGACATCTTACACTCAGCAGGCCGTCGGCTAGCCAATAAGCCAGGTCAGCGACTACATAGTAAAGCAACGGCATGTTGTGCCCGGCAACGACAAAGTATCGTCGATGTGTGGAGAGACACGGATGATTGGTACGAGTAGGGCCTCGTCGGTTACCGAAACTAGAATAAATGAATCTCATGAAAATTGACTTCGGCAGCACCGGGTGGGTCTACATCTCCGCCTCCATCGTCTTATGCAGGAGGCTGCATTTGCTTAAGAGAGCAAGCGGGGTTAGCGAGGCCAGAGTTTTGTCAATCCCAAGACAGTTGTGTTGTCATGTATTTTACATAAATGGTAAGATGCCGGCCGGCAAGAAAGACTCTTTTCTCTTGTTTCAAACCAGACTCTGCATCTAGAGCGGGAAACAAGGGAGCTAAGGAATGTGCAATGGCGTTATACGTTGTTAGTTAATACCGTCCAGCCGCCCTTGCGAGCTCATGCGCGGCCTGGATGGAAATGCGAGCAACAACAAACGTCGCTGTGCAACAAGCATGGGCTTCTTACATTTACGAGTTCTTTGCATTCCAGGGGTGCCACATGGCTTAAGATGAAGCTGAGAGAGCCGTGTACTCCGTAGACATGCGATAGGGCCTGCAGGAACTGGAACTCAGTACACAAAGGTTCTTCCCCGGCTCTGCTAACCCGTTTGTTTTTGTTCTGATTCGATCGCCACCTTTCAATGCAGGGATGCGGACAGACACTTGGCAGCCTGTACAAGTGCGGTGCAAGGAGCCCCTTCCCCCCAAAAACCAGCCTCACGGTAAATAGGGGCGCGCAGCAGTGGGCCAGCATGTGCTTGGAAGAGAGCCACAGCGCAGGCTTTGGTTTGTTTCAAAGTATCTTACAAGTATCAGACGTTGAGCTGGAAGCAGATAGCAACCAAGACTTTACGTTGTACTCCATACTCCGTATCTTGCAATCGGATGCACAGACCGCCATGTTGCTGTCTCGGCGGGTTGGGAGGGCCTCATTTTTCCAAGTTTTTCACAGCGTTGCTTGCTGATGTTGCATCGAACACTTGTCGTTGCCAGTTCTGCTTCTCATTGCCGCAACACGCCCGAAAGCCCGTACTCCGTACTATGTACACTGTGCAAGGTAGCGACACTCCAGGTCCCCCCACCCGTACGGGCTCATACCAACCTAGCACTGTACCCCACTAGTTTCACTGCCCCGCCACGTCTTCGCGTTTTACAGTGTTGAGATGCGCGATCCTCCATGAGCTCTACGAGTACGACGTACTCATACGAGTATTTCCGCCACGTCCCTTACATACGGGGTAGCACCTCGCACGGGTTAACGGAGTCTGACATCTACGAATACGCGCGACCGGATGCACGCTCGGCACTCGGTCAAGACGGAATCTTTGAACAGCCGATCACAGCCCGTTCTCCTAAGCATTAAAGGGGTGTTCTTCAACGATGCATGTGTTGTCCCACGACTGTGCGCAGCTCAGCCACAGCAGTCCCCACGGCTCCGTATAGCTCTGGCCGATATGTTTTTTTTTAGCCGCTCTCTCTGCTTGTTTTTCCTCTCTTACGAAATATTTTTGTCCTGGCTACGAGTACTCGCACGAGCAGCGCAAGGAGCAACGGCTCCCTCATATCTGAGAGTCACAATCCCCACCCAACTTCGCCTCTTGGCCTCCACCTTGTCTTGAAGGCCCACACGCACTGCCCTTACTATCCTTGGTTTGACCTTGCGCGTACCAGTCTCAGAAGAAGACCCGCCCGGACGGTGGGCCCGGCATTAAAGCCCAGATCGACCGGGTCGCCAGGGATGGCGAGAACCTCCAGTCCACAGAAGCTGGGACCACACAAGAATCCCTGCTGCAGCATGGACTCCTCGCTCGATAGCGGAGGGGCAGGCGGAGACAGGGAGACAGGGAAGTCAGAAGTCGGATTGCCACATGTCAGGCAAGGGAACATTGGCACTTATGGTTTCCCTCCCTGGGACACGGGTGCAGGAACCTGCATTCCTGCTGTCGTCTCTGTTTACATTGCCATATGTACAGTGTATGCGCCCTCCGTTCCTGCAGGCCAGATGCTGCAAGATTGATACATGTGTGGAGTGGAGGCTACGCATAGGAGGCAGGCTTGTTTGTTTTTCTGTCTGACCTGCCGCTTTTGCAACTTAAGACATTGGCTCCTCTCAGGAAGCCTTCCTAGACGATCTCGAATCTGGGCACCCTCCTCTCCTTCTCCATTTTAACCTTTTCAATCCCCTGTTTTAAGGTGGCCAGCATCTGCTCCCGCCCGCTCTCGAACTCTTTATTCTATGTTGCCCTTCTCCCAAATTGTATCGGCAGGTCCAGGTTCGGTGTGAGTCAAGCTGTCCTTGTCTCCACATCAGCTTCCTTTGCTTCGCTCTTCCATACGCCAACACTACTTCGCACCTCTAGTCAGCAAAGCTCAACATGCAGCATACCCAGACAGCCGACAAGGCACACCGTCGATACGCTGTATCTTCAGGTGCTGTCTCGGCATTGTGCATAGCTCAGCAGGATGGTCGCACGACCGATATCGCGGAGCGCAGTATCGTCCCTGGCAGCCTCAGCCGGCCACAATCGCGATCCATCCGTCCCCAAACTCCTGCCGAGCACACCTGCAACGGTTGGGATTCATGGTGGGAGGCGGGAACACTCAATGGCACGAAAGGGTACCCAAGCATGGCGAGGGAAGGCATCATGCCTCCGATGGTGAGGCGAGGCAGTGAAAGCAGTGTCAGCTCTGCCACATCGTCCAGCACCCCTCCGACCGATCGCGCGTATTCGTGGTCGACATCCACTACGCCTGGATCTGCATCGCCAACTTCGCCTCCTCATGATGAACTGCTTGTTAAGCTGCTCCAACCCGAACGAACGTCGTCGCTGACGGCATTTGACGCACATGCGGTAACATCCCCGACAAAGGCATCACAGGCCCCGGTTTCCTGTCGAGTGTCGAGATCGAGTCATATCCTGTCTCGGTCCATTTCCACTCGCTTTCACAACACCCCTATCAAGTCGCCGGTGCCCGAGGAAGAGGAGCACTCCGGACGTCATTATGTGCAGCCCTCCCAGGAGACAAAGCCGGAAACCGGGTGCGCTCCTTCTCTTTTTTGTGCAGCTTCTCAGATTGTCTCTATGGAGTCTCCTTTGCATCAGCGGAGGCAGCAAAGGCAGCAAAGACTGGCTACGTACTCGCCTTTCCCACAACCCCAGAAGGCAAAGCTCTCTCCATTACCTCCCCTACCGATCCAAGAGTGCCTGAGCCAGCAGCCCCAAATAGTGTCTCCGTCATCGACAACACCACGTCGGTCTTTGAATAAAGAAGCAACACGTTCGCTCCCCCAATTGCGAGATCTGGCCGCACCTCTTCCTGACTCCCTCCCTCCTCTGCCTCTCGTCCCAAACTTATCGCCCATGTTTCCCGCCAGCCCTGCAAACCTCGCTGCTTCGAGTCCAGCTGTATCGACAGGCCCGACCACCGGAACTGTCAAGGCGCCTCCCCCACATCCAACTATGCCGCCGCCTCCGCCTCCTCTACGAACAGAACGAGTGCCCGCAAAGGATGTGACCAGAGAAGGAATACACTCATCTTCGCGGGATAGCAAGTATACCTCACAACAGCCGCAGCAGCCACTGCCTGACAGATGGGAAGAGGAGCGTCGACGCCATAAACAGCTCCTGCGCCACTTCCCACAGCAACCGGAAAAGCAAGGCGAGCGGCTGAAAATGTCAAGGACGCACAAATCGCTGGGAAACCTACGTGCTCGGTCTCGCGCCCACTCAACGCCGTCTGCATGTGACACCGTAGTCACAACATCTTCTGGTATCATTTACGCGTCTAGTACTGGACGTAATGAACCGAGAGCTTCGAAGCACTCAAAATCGAAGTCCTTGTGGGAGAACACTGGGCGTCTAGACGAGCCGTTACCTCCTACTCCGCAGCCTGACGCCCCTCATGTGTCCATATTCGAGGACGACTCAGATGATGAAGGTGATACGGTGCGTCAGTTTGTTCGCAATCTGTTCACGCGACGTACCCGAAGCAGTGAGATACCAACCCTCGGGTATGGCACCCATGAAAGCATCGCAAATCCACACGCTGGCTTCAAAGATTCCGCCACTACTAAAGCCATAGACTATAATAACCACAACACGTGGAAGAAGAACCACAGCACGTCTTCGTCCTACTCTACGGCTGCTGCGGCTGCTGCAAATCTAGCCAGTCTTTCCGCAATCACTGCTGCATCTAGCGGTGGCGATATAGGCAGTGGCCTCGATGTCGAGTACCAGCCGGACTCGCCCCGAACATCTAGTGACCACACACGACAGCGTGGTCCGCTGTTGACCCGTATGTTTGTTCGGCGGAGCCATTGAGTGGCTACTGCCGTCCATCGCTTTCAGTTGTTTTATTCAACCCCTCGATTGGTCACGACAGCATATTACGGCGCCGGGACGGTTCATTGGTTTTTACGCAGGCAGCATGAACGATATGGGAACATGTGCTGCCCGTAATTTTTCAGATTCTACGATAACACGCTTGTGATTCTTTGGTCTCCGTTAACGAGGTTCTGTATTAATGATGACTATGAGATGAGTAGCGGAGGTGGCGGCTAAAACCAAACGTGTGTTTCTTTCGGAGCTCAGTGTCTACTTATAAAAAGATGCCCACATACGGAGTGCTGAGCTGAAAAAAGGACAGAGCGACGTATAAGTCGGGCCTGACTCACATCACTGATTCTTTTTTTTTTGTGAAGTACTCCGTACAGCGTCCTGGGAAAATACTCCTGAAATTTTTTTTTTTTTTTGACTGTATATGCGAGGGAGGCAGCGGCTGGAACATGACCACCGGTTTGGTGAGACAACGCTCGGACTTACTTCGTGTCTGTATTATGTCGTTTACTCCGTACGTCGACCGGCTGTCATGTATCTTACACAATAGAACACTCAACGTCATATGAGCAAATAGCAGTTTGTAAGCACGGGTAAAAACCCCTTCGTTATCTAGTTTCAAGATTATATGCGGGCTTTCGGTGAGATGTAGATTCGGCAAACTGAGAATCGCTGGATCAGTCGTTGACTAGACGCATTAGAGAATCTTAGCATTTTCCGTACGTTTTCTACTTGTCGCCATTCTCGCCTCTGCTCTCCCTTGGATCTCCCAAGGGAGCTCTCCCTTTGCATATAGGCAGTTTAAAGTCGAATAAAGCCTCAGATGAAGCATGTAGCCGAGCTAAATCTGGGCAGGTTTAGAGTCTGGTGACGCGACATCACGTGTCTGTCAATTCACCAGTCATGTGACATCAGTTTCGTGTTCCGATAAGCAGTTGTTCCTTTCGTATCTCGTTGACCTTTCCCTGTGCTGCAAGAGAGCTTGTAAGTCGAAAATATGCCGAAGGAGCGAAACTACAACCCCGTCGCGGCACAGCGAAAGGCTGATAAAGCCAAAGACATCAGAAAGGGTAAGTCTTCCAATTGTAGCACAAGAATCCATGCTCTGGACTGATGATAGGTCGGTCTTGTTCACAGGAAAGGCGGAAGCGACGGCAGCACGCAATGAGCGGTTGGCAAAGAAGAACCCCGAAAGAATTCGGAAGCAGATCGAAGACTATAATAAAATAACAGGCGGCGGTGGAAAGCTGACAAGTCACGATACACAAGTGCTGGAAGGCCTGGAAAAGGAACTGAAAGCGGTAACCAAAGCGCGGGAAGCGTTAGGAGAAAGGGCACCAACGTTTGGTCGGACTGGCGGGGGTCCAGATCGTGGACACGGCCATGGAGATGTGCTAGGGAAGAGGAGAAGATACGATGGCGAAGAGAGCAGTACCGACGACGATGTGCCAGAAGACGTGCGAAGCATCCCCCTGCCCCGCGACACACCGCCCCCGATTCCGAAGGAAATCCTCGACAAATGGTATGCCAAGCGGCGGGCAAAGCGGAATGCAAACAAGGAGCCTCTAGGCGAGAGCCGCGGAAAGGGTCGAGGCAATGGCCATGATGAGACAGGCCAGGAAGCGGCGTCGGCCAACCCCCGTACTACGCTTGCCAAACCGCAAGCGAAGCCAGTCGAGGTCAAGGCTGTGTATGAAGCAAAGCCGGTTCTCAGAGACCTGCACAAGGAAGCTGTGACTGCATTTGTGCCTGCGGTAGTGCAACGAAAGCTCGACAAGATACGCGGCAAAGGCGGAACTCTTCTAGAGCCGGAAGAAGCTGACCGGTTGGAAAAGGAGGGCTACTTACATCCCTCTGGATCTGCTGTACGTGATGCAAGCGTCAGTAGGATCGCAACTACGAACACAGAAAGGGTACAGGGGAAACATCCAGGTGAATCCCCGACCACGATGGTTTCAAGGCCTCGCGAGGTCACTATTGAAGATGTGGATGACGAGGAAGGGTGAAGGAATATGCCAATGTGATGTTTTATCAGTTTCGAGCAACAAGAGAGCCCTGCATATTGCAGAGACCGTCTTGGACATCAGCACCTATCATTCCTCAATGTGATATTACGGACCTTGGTGTCACACTGCAAAAAAAGACCAGGACGTATCGAGAACGTGCCAGCCAACGACGACTCTAACGGCCAGAAGTCACAGGAGCCGGTAGAGTTGTTGTGTCTGTATGCTACACAGGGGTGATAGACGGAATCGCCCAACTCCATCGTGTCTCTGTCGTTAGTCAGCGCGACACGAGGCCCAACGACGGCGGAGATCAAGGGTAAAGCCGCCGCACCGTTGACAGGTTCGTCGTCATGCACGATCGACCTTCTACTTGAAAGCATGCTAGTGCGGCTTTTGCCGGAGACAATGTGGCCTGGCAAGGTCGTGTCATTTGCGAGTACTCCGTACTCCGTAGCTTGCGCTGAGTTCTATTCTTAGTTCGTGCTTCTACGCGAATTGCCCCTCCTGCCTTCTGCAGCATAGCGGGACAGCAAAGTCGGGATTGTCTCGGCAGCCCGTGTCGATCTGGCAAGCAAAAGCAACCGTTGGATGTGCGAAGTGTATAGAACCGGTAGCTGACATTCTAGTAAGCATAAACGTAAATAGCGGCCTTCATGCCTTCGAACGAGTACAAAAATAGAGTTTTGATCAGCAGAAGTGCTCGTGTTCCCATAGGTCGTGCTGCTTCGGGAAGGTGTCCTTTACCACCATGACAATTGGTATTGAAACACGGTGGCCATAAGACCGTCGCATGGTATTAGTCAGTAACGGCAGACAAAGCGCGACACTAGACAGACTGCTGCAGCCAGATAGAACAAACAACCAAACAAGTATTCGAGCAATTGAACTTTGGGAATGCTGCTACCGGCCTCAGTTTAGGATTTCTCTCCGTTCAGCTTACCATTTCTGTTTCTGTTTTTCTCCATACCTGATCTGTCTGCGACGTTTCCTTGGCTGTTCTCAATCCTTCTCTGAAGCCTGCTCATCCATCGTAGGTACAAGCGTAAGTGATGGCAGGCCCGGTCGATGCGGCGACGCGAAAGAAGGTCTTGAAGGTTATCGTCGTTTCGCTTCTTCTTGATTTGGTATGTTGAACTTCTCATTTCTTTCTGACCACCCGACATCAGCTAACGGCCAGCCAGGTATCCTTCACTTTCATCCTTCCTCTGTTTCCCAGCCTGCTCGAGTTCTATCGCCAAAAGCCCACGCAGTTATCTACCGTTTTCGACTATCTAAATGCGTACAAGGCATCGTTTGCACGGCCTATCGACTCTCGTTATGATGTTGTGCTGCTGGGCGGCGCACTAGGGAGCCTGTTTTCGTATGGTTCCCAACCCATAGAGACATAAGCAGAATGCTTGCCCGCAGAGCTAACGCTTATCGGGGTGTTCAGAATTCTGCAGGCCATTGCCTCCCCTGTCATCGGGCATCTTTCCGACCGCCATGGCAGGCGCACGGCACTGCTAGCTAGCATGGCTGGCAACATCATGTCGGTCTTGTTGTGGGTTATGGCTGTCGACTTCCGCACGTTCGTACTGTCACGCGTTGTCGGTGGCTTATCCGAGGGCAACGTGCAGATGGCCATGGCTATCGCGACCGACATATCAGACGATGCCAGCCGCGGCTCGACCATGGCTCTCATCGGAGTATGCTTTTCCGTGGCTTTCACATTTGGGCCTGCACTCGGCGCTTGGCTGAGTTCTATCGATACATTCAAAGCAAACCCGTTCGCTATCGCCGCTGGCTTCTCCCTATGTCTGATCGTCACTGAGACCGTCTACCTTTACAACTATCTGCCGGAGACGCTGCCGGACAAGACCGAGAAAGCAGCAGACAAAAAGTTAGCGGGCAATGATGAGAGCGAAAAGGACGGCAAGTGGGCAGAGCAGAAGTCGCCGAGTCCGACTGTCACACGTACCAACTCCCATTTTGTGCTCAACCTGGTTCATTTTGCCTTTCTTCTTTTCTTTTCCGGCATGGAGTTCTCACTGCCATTCATGACGTTTGATCTGTTCGGCTACGGGTCAGCTAAGAACGGCCGCCTGCTCGGTTTTGTAGGGTTGGTGGCCTCGGTACTTCAGGGTGGCGTCACACGACGCCTACCTCCCCTGCTATCCATACGCATCGGAGTGCTTTCTTGTCTAGCCGCTTTCTTATTGCTGGGCAGTCTCACTACGACTGTGATCCTTTACCTGGCCGCTGCGTGTCTTGCTGCCACATCTGCCACCGTCGTCACTGGCCTCAATGCTCTCAGTAGCTTCGAGGCTCATTCTAGCGAACGAGGCAGCAAGCTCGGTGCCTTGCGTTCATGGGGCCAGGTAGGACGGGCTCTTGGACCAATCCTCTTTACTACTGTATACTGGTGGGCCGGTCGTACAGTTGCCTATGGTGCAGGCGCCATTGGAATTACTGCTGTCGGCGCTCTGGTCTTCTTTGCACTCAAGTCACCTACACAATCCCAGGACCCCAGGAAAAAGACGCAATAGATACGAAACGAGGGGGGACACGTTTTGTTCAAGCACAAGGTACGCTTAGCCCCATCTATATTGCTATTGCGCGACTGCGGTGCCCTTGAGCTGCACTTTATGGATGATGTGGCGTTGCGACATTGTGGCAGTTTGTACCAACATTGGGGAGGCGTTTGGCAAGAGAAGGCAGTTTCATGTAATGAGAAATATAGAATATCCGTGTCCAGGTGTCTTAATTGTCAGCAGAATCTGACCGCAGTCTTTGATGTGTTCAATTTTTGCGGATGGAAGTGCCGGTATGGTGGAATCACCATGTTGCAGAGTGTCCAGCAGCCTTTCCTATGACGTGCTTTATAGATGACCAAAATACTCGTATTGTTGTCGTGTCTGATTTAGCCTACGAAAAGTATGCAACAGCAGCCTTTGTAATGATTGCCGTCTTCGGCTTCTGCCGTTTATTTTCCTGGTCAAGATGTAGCGAGCACTTGGTGCAACGTCCCATTTCTTACCCCAAACACCTTGGTTACGTGGTGCATCCCGTATACACGGTGCCTGGTCAGGGATCTCTAAGTAGCTTTACACGACCCCCTCTGCTTTTGCCTTTTGCACGTGCTGGATGTGTTTGTCATGGAGAGAAACAACCTGAGGGACAATACGGCCCTCGATCTCGATGTTGGCAGCGAGATCCTTCTCGTTCAATCGGAGCCAATCGACGGCGTCAGGGGTCACGAACACCACCTCGTGCTTGCGCGTAGATAGTAGGTTGCCAATCACAAGGTTGTGCTGGTACCGGTCCAAAGCACCCTTTGCTTTGACAATAAGCAGTTGTGGGTCAGTCTCCAGCTTGAAAGAGATAACCATGCACTGCGGTGACCAATTGTCAACGAGGTTTTTAAGGAACTTGGGGACTGGGTCTAGATCAATGACGAGCCGCTTGCTTCTGGGGATGTTGGGAGACCTGTGCCGCAGTTAGATCGACTGCATCATACTACCGAGAGTACCACTGTGTTGGGGCTACATACGAATCAAAGTTGTCGAACGCCTCTTCCTCGTCTTCATTCCGGACCGCGGACTTTTCCGAATCCAATTGAATGTCGGTGCTCTGTATCTTATGTTCGGACATCCGCTCGGGCTGCAGAGCGTCAGTGTCCAGGAGGCAACCGAGAGCAGTTCGGAAAGACAAACAGGAAGGAAAAAGTCGGAGACGGCAGCGGCCAAGTAGAGCAGGCCGTTGGATCCGACACGGTGCATAGCGCGGCTGATAGCCCGCAATTCGAATAAGTAGTCGGTGATGGTAACGAAAGGCAGGGCCAACAAGCGATCACGAGCGGCACGGTAACGGCGCAAGACACACAGCAAGGCGGTAGCATCCTGGTCGCGAGCCCGGATGCCATGCTCATCTTCTGTCAAAAAATCCAAAAACCCGTCTGTTGCATGCGAATAATGCCGGCTGTACGGCTGAAGGCTAACAGCGGGAGGCCTGTCAGCCGGTACTGAAGCACTTGGGGAAGATCTGGCTGCGGACAGCCTACCTAAACTGCCGGTGCAGGAAAATCACAGCATAGTCGGCCTCGTCGTCCAAGAAGTACTCGGCGCTGGTGGCGCCACGCGTCCCGGCGGAAAAGTTATCGATAAAGCGTACTGTTTGCCTCTCAAGAGGCACCTAGAACGGGTCCCGTCAGTAGGGGTGCGAGGTGATCAAGATGCGATTGAGGGCCCGTGGTGTCGTACCGTGGTGCCTCCAGAAGTGACAAGAACCACGCGCCGGTTCGCCTTGGCATGCCTGTCAAGAAACTTGTTCACCAAGGTCATGTGCTCGTCTAGGCATTTCGGTGGTGGGTTGGAATTGAAATAGCGGTCCTCGTCCGAAAGGCTGACCGAAGCTGCCTCTTGTGAGCTAGACGGAGACATACTTGTAGGATATGTGGCGAAACAGATCGGAGACGGGGTGGGCCTGCAAGGTTAGCCAGATGGCCGAATGGAACTGCCGCGAGCTTGGCGATGCGATGCACATTACGAGCACCTACTGTCTAAGTGGCCTTGGCAGTATCCCGTGCCCGAGAAGCTTGGAGGCGACGGATATGGGTGTAGAGGTTCTGTGGAAGCGTCGACGATAGAAACCAGCTTTGCCCCGATAAGCGTGATAAGACAGAGTGACGCATCCGTTGTCTGCAACTGTTCTGTCCTGAAAAGAGGGGTATTACAGATACTAGTTCTAGGAAAATTTGGGGTGCTTTGGGGCAGAAGTCGCAGAATGCCCTTTTTCGTACGGCCGGGTCGCGATTTCAGCGTGCTGCCAGCTGCATGCCAATGTTCGGATACAAATGGACCATCCCTACGGTACAGAGGAAGTGCCTAGAAGCAGGAAGTCCTCTCTTGTTTGCGAGCTGACTCGTCACGTGCTCGCCGGCCCATGGGACAAGCATCTGCTTGGTCTCACGAGTTTACTGCCACGAACCGGTGGTCCCACTGTCCCATTCAGAGCCGTGGGACATATTCGAGTTCATGTGTCATCGATTGTGCGAGTCCACTCGTGTGTCCTCGTGAAATGCCTGTGAGTTCGAGTACTAGCTTCTCTAAAGCGTTGACTGAAATCGGCGATATATGCTCCTCTCCATTCCCTCGCTCGGGGTGCCCACCTACCAGTTGATAATGACGATCGCGACATCCCTGAGGTCGTTGCCGCAACGTACGACATACAGAAAGTTTGGATGGCACGGCTATTTATGGTCTCCTGCTTGACACGGCTTGGTTTAATGGCGACCAAAACCTGCGTGCATGAGCAGTATGTACTGACTTGCGATCGTGGATCACGTGAATTGACCCCTCGCGTAAAAGTATCTATGCTCTCCAAATCTATATTATCCATTTCCTTCTTTTCTCGTTTAAAGTCATCGCTTCCGATAAATACATCGCGTGCTCCATTTCCTAGGCAATATGATTCCTTGCATAAAACCTAGTCCGGCCTTTTCCAAAACGCCTAATGTTCAAAGGTGTGCAAGCTCTCTCGTTTCGTGCTGCTTCTGAGGTATCAAGCGCCAATAACAATTATGCAACCAGGTCTGCGGCGGGTTTAGCTGATAGCACCAAGCTGGCCTTCACAACAGGCTCTGCAAGAAACTTGTTGTATCTGGATTGCTTGTTGTGGATGCCGCATTCAGTCTTGTCGCGGCCCTTCCAGCGACCAGCACGCTCATCTTCACCCTCGCCTACGGGAACGGTTGAATGCCAGTCGCCGATGGATTTGTAGCCGCGGTCCAGCAATGCGTTGTAGGGAACATTGTGTTCTCGGACATACGCTTGGACCTGGCCGAAGGACCAGTTGGCCAATGGGTTGATCTTGAAGATGCCACGCTCGCCGTCCACCTCGATGATATCGAGCTGGCCACGCTGGCCGCCTTGCGAGCGACGACGGCCGGTCAGTACGGCCACAACGTCCAGGCGGTCGTACGCACGCTCTTGCGGTTCCACCTTGGCCAGGTAATCATACATCTCCTCCGACACCTCGTACAGGCGGCCGTACGTGGCCTCGAACTCGGCAGCCGTCTCGAAGCCATCCGGCTTGAAGGTGTGGATTGTCGAGCCTGGGTACCGGGCACGAACGCGGTCAACCAGGTCGTAGGTCTCTTGGAAATGGTATAGCGTGTCCAGGAATATAAGATCGATGCGTTGCGAGTTGTTGCTTTGGCCTTCCTGCTCCAGTTTGGACAGCATGTCAATTGTCACCAGGCCAGTCAAACCAAACGCTGTAGTCTGATACAGCCTGGGGAAGAAAATCTTGATGAAGCGAAGGACGTCCATCGGCTCCATGCTCTCCAGTTGCTTGTTCAGATGGCGCAAGTGTTCCGAGGTCAGGCTCACACGGGGGAGTCGTGCAGTGGACGAAGATGCGGACGAGGGACCTGAGCCATAACCAGACTCAACGGATGCAGCGTCGTCTGATTGCTTTGAGCTCTCGGCAGCCTCTAGGTGATTAGAGAGTGTGCTTAATGTCGGCACGAGCTGCGATGCCGACGGAAACTGGACGTGGGAGTCAACAGCCATAGTTGGTGTTGGTGTATGACTTGGTATGACTCGGTGGAAGAAAGATGACAAGAGACTTCAGGGTTAGGTAAGACTGGAAGCGTGGCCAGGCAGCGAGAGATGCCTGCGAGTATGTGACGAGATGGGCCGTTGTCACTAAAAAGAGGACGAAGAGCAGGTGAATATTGCAGACTGTCAACCGGGATAATTTTTTTCGAGAAAGAGTGCTTGAGACCTGGGATAGAGCCGAGAGAAAGGGACAGGGAAGAGAAAGTGGTTGGAGGGGGGGACAATGGGCTATATAAGGGTCGACTTGGCTGGAGACCAACGGCTACAGAGTATTATGGTATTGCCGGATGTCTGACGGCATTTGTATGGCATCGATTATAAAGCTGTCGTCCAGTCTAGAAGGCTTCAGTCGACAGTTTTCGCTGCTTTTTGTCATCCTCGATAGGTAACAAACACGCAGACCACTCCTGGACCGCAGCTCCCGTGAGTTCCGTCTATGCCGTTTACATATACGGCAAACAACGATACTCGTCCCTTCGAGACGGTTGCCATTATTAATGTGGAAGGGAGAACGAGACGCGATGGCGAGGCGGGCGGAGCAGCAAAAGACACTGTGCCCACACAGCTGTTTCAGTCACGGAAGACAGTGCGAATACGGAACAAGCCTCAAGCATCGTCGAACTGGGAGTCGATTGCGCCATCGCCCCGGCCGCAAATTTACTCGTCTATTGAACGGCATCGATCACGACATTTGCACTATGCCTGTTGTGGGAAAGACGACATGGTATGTGGGGCGTGCGAAAATATGAGCGCCGCCCTCTACGTAAATCTACGGAGTACGGAGTACAGTCGACTGGTTTTGGTCACGTGGTGTATCACGTGTATTCGACTGCCTGAAGTCCGTATGGAGTACGGAGTAATTACGTCGTATTCGCGATCCAATTTCACAGCGATTGACAACCCCTCACCGCTTCATGTCGTCTTCTAGTTTGCACACGGCCTCCTGCTCCGGGCGGAAGCGGAGGCGCTTGCCCGCCTCCCGGAAGTTCACCCACTCAGCTATCAGGTCTTCATGGTCCTCCCGCGCACCCGGCCCTAATGGTGCCGTCGAGTCAGCCACGGCCGCATAGAAGAACACCGTCTTGGTAGTGTCCACTGTTGCCGCCTGCAGGTCGGGATACTGTACGATGCCGATCAGTTCGCTGTTCAGAAGGTTGCGCGTCAACTTTAGGTCGATCGTAGTAGGCGATGTGTCATGGTCCAGTGTATCGTGCTCGATTATAGGTGTTGCGTTGTGACTTGAATTGGGTACATGTGGCCCATCAATATGTACATCTAGGTCTCTCGCTCTGCACGATGCCATTATGGCACCTGTGCCGCTGGCAAGGTACGCGTTTGCGGATGGCAAGATCGGTGTCGCAGATGACTGGGTGGAGCGGGTGCGGATCTTCAGCGGGAAAAGCGAGGCGTGCACGCCTGTTTCCTCATAAGTCTCACGCAGTGCGGCAGATTGCAGACACTCGCCAATGTTTTTGCGACCTTTGGGCAACTGCCAAATGCCGAGCCGTCTGTTAAATATAATCAGCACCTTATCGGCGCTTGGGTCGACACATATAGTGCCGCAAGATATGGTGCATCGCTCTGACGGGATGAAGACCATTGCTTGACTGATGAAGTCAATATCTAGCATCGGCTTCCGGGTACCGTCTTTGGTGGGTGTCGAGGCTGCCATTGAAGTTTGGTCACGTTATCCTGCGTTGAAGCAAGGAGAACAGATTGAAGCTATTGCTAGAAGCGGGAGGGGAATCTTCCACCGATCTTGCTGGTTAAGGTAGGCTAATAAGCTGCTGCTCTGCCTGTGGGCTTATTTGATATCGTTATAATTAGGCGACATGCAAGAAAGTGTGTCAGAGGGAGACTTCCTTGGCCTTGGGTTGTTGGGGCTCTATATATAAAGGGATGTCGCCTCGAACAAGATTATGCTGCCAGAAGACCATCTACCCACAGCGCGGTGCCATGTTTCTCTCTGCCTGTCCCCTCCGCCACTACCCGATTCGACAGACTCACTGAGCAGCGCCATGAGAGGCACAGGCGTGTTCGACATAGCCGGCCATTTCGTCTCGCGCGATATGCAGGGAGGCAGTGTATGACAGCAGAAGCCAGAACGAGCACACGGGCGAGAAAGAGAGAGCCGAGCCAGGAAGAAAGCTGATGAGAGTAGAAGTGGGCCGAGTTTAGTATACCAACTTTGATTAGGAGTCTCAGGGCTGGTGTTACTGTGTTGTACATCCGTCCTAGGTCTCTGTGGTGTTGGCTCGGGTGTCGTCGTTACTGGTGCTATTTTGTTTCTGTTATTGCCACACAACACGCAGTTCTCGCAGAGCGGCGAATACGCCGAGAATGCAATACAGGGATACTATCCCGTTGATAGAGTGCATGTCGATAGCTATACAGCTACGTCTTCGGTCCTTTATGTCGTAAGGGCACACCCAGCTCAGGAGAGCGACAAATCAAAATAGCACCCGTCATGGGATGGAATTGGTCTGGTGACTGGGACAGAAGGTGGTGAGCTCCGAGTCGCATAGCATGGGATGCACGAATGGAAATCAGTCATGTCGCCTCTTCACAGTCGTATGTTTCGGAGGTTCCGGGAAGGGGTTTTGGGAGAATCACAGGAAGTCCCTGCTACAGCAACTCACAGCACGAGGACATATTCGTTCCACATCGCACTATTTGAAGTTGTTGGGCAGAAAGCATGCATAAGTAGCGGCCATCGGAAAACTTGCTGCGATGACTGGTAGAGTGATACGACTCAACGATAAAGGGGAGGAAGGGAGGCACACTGCAGATCGAAGCAGAACTGTATTAATACTGCTCAGGCCCTGTTAGGATACACAATCGACGGTGCTCTACCCCTCAGCTTTGTCCTCGTCTGGCCATCTCGGGCAGCGGGAAGAAATATTACTCGTGGCACATGCATCGGCGTCCCGTGCGCGCAGTGTTGTGCCCGACAGGCCGCGATGGAGCTACACATGGCATGCTCGTAGGAGGCGCTTCGGTTCCGATCGGCCTCCTTGACCAAGAACGGAGGCATGGCAGAGCGGCAAATTCCGTCCTGATCCAGATAGAAGCACTCTTTGGCACACCAGACAGGTCAAGACTGTCCGTTGTACTGAAGTCAACAAATTATGCATTGCAAAAATAAGATAAAAATAGCGGTCGTAATCGTCTCTATCTAACCTGTCAAGTCGCGTAAACACGACATCAATATAGCCGTCTATGCTGTGCCATCACAAAGCGTTCCCCAACGCCGTACCATGCAGACAATGCGCCAGACAGAAACCGAAGGAAGACTGGAAACGACAGTAACGCGACCAGAAGCCTGCCGTAAGCTAGAAACAGAGCACAGAATCAGCCCCTCGTCTGCGGGGGCTGTCGGCTGTTCGGCCGGTTGGCCAGTTCTGTATACCGGCGGACGCGATGTATGCCGAGGCGTCGGCCACCATCTGTAGTGCCTGTAGCAAAAATCCAGCGAGAGCAAGCATTTGACCGGCTATCGATCCCAAGTCGAGACTGCAGAGATTCCCTGCTGTGCACCCATTTGAACGCCGGCTCACGTGCAAGGTCATCGTTGGCACAGAAGCTCAAAATTTCTGCAATACTAGTGACGCCGTGCGGCAGCCGGAAGTCGTGGTGGTATGGCAGCGCGGCCACAAGGCATGCAAAATACAGGACCAAGAGTGCGAGTACAACGCCATATAGCGCCATATATGAAACCATGCGCACCTTGCTACCCCCCAGAGGAGCTTCCGATGCCAGAAACAAGCCGCCGGCCAGGGCAGGAAGGAAGGCAAACAATACTGACAGCAGAGACAAGGCAGCAACATGCCAGTGACGATTGATAGCAGCATGCAAGGTGCTCTGCAAGGGTAAACAGGCCGGGTAGTCTGCCAGGATGGAGGCTTCAGGGGGGGCACCCCCGGGATGCCTAGCAATCTCTGCCCACGGCTGCAAGATCCGAAACGACAGCTCCAGGCTGGCAAATAACAGGAACATGATTTGGCCAAGAAGAGCAGGCAGAAAGCTATAGAGGAAGCTGGCAGGCGAAAATGCACCTAATGTCGAGGTCGTGGCCACCTCGGGTAGAAAGCCCGCCTCAAAGTGGGTAGAAGGCAGGAAGGAAACGATAAACAGTGCCAGAAGCAGAGAAAACGACGCTGCTATAAAGCACAGGAGCTGGATACTGCGCATGCACCACGGAAGATAGCTGTAGCGAGCCGACCCTGTTTGAGGCGAGGGTGCCGTATCTCTTAAGCTGTTGTCTCCAGACGTTCGGTGGACACCATTTCGTCCCAGTATTCCGCCGCCGTGTTCACGTCCAGCTTTATTGCCATTTTGGCTCTGTCCACGCCAGATGCTGTCCGCCTGGCCTGGTCCGATTCCGTGCCATATCTGTTTCCCACGGCCATCGTCCCAGGTCCAGTATCCAAGCCTGTCTGGGCCTCGCTGGCGGAGGGCAACGCGTATCTCATCGCGTGTGCCCATCACCTCCGTGCCGTAATAATCTGCAAGAGTACTGCTATCGGAAGAAAGAACAATAAAGTCTGCAATGGATCGCGGGTCGCAGAGAAGGCCGGTCATGTTGTATCGGAAGTAGATCAGCAGCATGAATGTCGCGGTGGCGACAGACGAGTAAAGTCCAACCAATGTCCAAGCAACACTCTGCACAGTCGCCCACCGCAATGTGCCATTGACGACGACTACAGAGAAAACGGAGCTCTGGAGCGGCACGGCAAAGTTCATTAGCCAGAAGCCCAACAGAGGCACCCAGACGTGCCAAGTCGCGGTGCCCAACAAGGGCGGCCAGAGGAAGGATATTGGATACAGGCGGTCGAACACAGCTCCATCACGGCTGCACTTTCCAGGACGCAGAGCAGCAGCCATGCAAACGAACGGGTGGATTCTGATAATGGCCAGGGATATGGAATATGCGTAGAGAAATGCGATGGCAGATATCAGCTGCGGGAAGATGCGGAAGACAAAATACTGACTCCCGTACGTGTTGCTGCTGCGGACGGTGAGTCCGTCAAATGCCCTCGAGTAGACGGCACTGAAGATGAGACCGACATCAAGAAGAAAGCACAATGCAGTGAAAACCGCCAACGACACCGGGCGCAGAATGGCGGGTTTGAAATCAGGTCGTGGGAGATTTTGCCCATCATGTCTAGGGAAAAGCCTAGGGGCGATGTAGGTTTGAACTGGGTCGAATTGACGAGGCGAGTGAGCGGCGTGAACGAGTGAGTGCTTTCCAATATCGGGTCCGCCGCGCACAGGCCGAGGGAACGACAGCAGCGGAAGAGAGGCAGGCAGTGGGCCGATGTCGGCTCCACGAGTATCTCTGGAAGGCGGCTGTGTTGTGAGACAGTCCTGATCGTTAGGCGCGCTTCTGCTGCCGTTGTTAGCTCCGCCCAATGACGGCGCAATGCATTCCGTGAGGGCATCAAGAGCATGGCGAAGGTAGGGAGTATCGTCGATCCCGGGAGTCACGTTGGCAGCGTCCCGAGCAAGCGGATCCTTTATGCGCTGTCCGAGATCTGGCAAAGCCTCGTTCAAGTCTTCGCCCATCCTATGCCCGACGACAGCAACAGAGGCTGGAAACAGTGTCGAGGAAGCCAGAAGCGACCCGAAGAGACGATCTGGACCGCACAGGTCCTCGCTGGTAGTGCTGGTGCTGTCAGAAGTCGACTCGACCGGCCGCAATGGCGGTGTTGGGAGACACGGAAAGTCAGTCGACGGCCAGACGAACAGTCCAGAAGCAGAGGATTCTTTGCCCTCGCAGTCAGCACTATGGGTGCCGCTTCCAAAGTGTTGGTAGCGGCTGTCGTCTGACGGTCGTGCAGTCCATCCTGCCGGTGAATTTGAACATGGAGGCCAATCGTGTGTGGCCAAGGCACCTGTACTTTGTACTGGACGGGTTGCCATTGGTGGGGAAGGCATGCATGTCCAGAGAGCAGACGTGCGTGAAGCAGGCAGATTGACACTGATGCGCTTCTGTGCCGTGCTGCACAGAGTATGAGGCTGTACACATGGCCAGTAACCGGAGCAAGGCCGGGTTTTAGAAGGCATTGCAGCGAAGGGGCTGGGCGACGACAGCAAAGCATTTCCGTCTTACGATTGAGTGGTTGGTTTCTTAGGTTCATCCTTTCCAGCCTCGCCTCCGCACTGAAGGCGCTGAAAAGATGTCCTACCAATGTAGCCTTGGCGTTACAGGGGTGGGAATGGCCAACCCCCAGCTGATACATGATACTTGTACGGAGCTTCGTCGATTCTCTGCGTCGCAGTCCAACCCAATATCAATATTTTCCACTAGGTGTTCCGTATCTTACTGCCCACCCTTTGTGTAGCTGATGTTCGGTGTGGCTGAACTGCATAGCTCGTCCGCTGGAAGTCTGGGCAGATGCAAGCGACCATATACTCCGTGCATCCCTTCGTCTCTCTGATCTGTTGTCTTGTTCGTATGCCCGCATACTTGCAATTCCTACTCCGTACGTCTCTCGATTTCTGCCTGACACTGCAAACCAGCGTATGGAGTACGGATTACTTACAAAGCCCCCTGAAGTGCGGGTCTGTTTGTTTACATAATGGACCTCGCCACTGCTCAACCAGCCAACAGCCTTGCAGGTGGTGTCGTAGCGGGGGATGCCCCAGATGACTGGGTGGCTAAATTTCTCGTTATTTATCCTCCCGTCCCGCTCAACGTTCTCCTTTTCTAGTGTACACGTTCGTTCCTGTCTTACCATTTGTGTCAAAAGTCAAAGCAGCATCCTCAACGACAGCACCATATTCCCAACCAACTACCATGGACAATGAAAACACCAACAAGCCTGTCGTAGACGAGGCACCAATCCACCCCGTGACCGGAGGGGATCCAGCCAGGCGCAACTCGCTGTTGCTTCATTTGCTGAACCGGCCTAATCGTGACGAGCTTGTGCAGAGTGGGCTCATCTCTACCCCAACCCCGGTCCTCTTGCAATAACAATGTGAGACTATGCTAAGACAGCCAGAGAACATTTTGTTGGCATCCAATGCCGCCCCTAGCCTGCAAGCACACCAGAAGGAGCTTGAGAAAAGCATGCGTGCCGACTCGCTGAACGAAAAAATGGCCAAGCGGCCGTCGCCTGAGGATCTGATCAAAAAGGGCGTGCTCGATGAAGACCCTCGCTCGCCAGAGGAGAGATATGAAGATGCCATTGAGGAGGAATACGCCAAGAGGGAAGGTGGGGCTTAGACTCCAGTCGACAAGCACACATATTCTGAACCGCTATCGAGCGAGGGCCAAATCACGACGAAATGGACGACAAGCTCGAGTTGTCTGCCAAAACTCCCTTCACACCTCCATCGTGTTTTGCAATTAACTACAATATCCTGCGAATAGTAATCAGCTCTGACTGTGCCCCGTCTATTGAATGAATGTGAGGTGCGCATGAGTGCTTGTTGGGGCTTCCACACCCCTCCCCAGTCCCATGCCCCAAGCTTGGATATGGATTCTTGTCCGTAAACATGAGCTTCCTGGAATTCCCCGCGAGTAGGTAGCTCGCTATGACGTCACGGCCAAGGCAAAAAAGCCGTGCAGTTGTTGCTGTCTGCCATCTGCTCGGGGGGCGCAAGGGCAGACCCACATAGATCGCCAACGTAGCACATTGGCCAATGAGATTTGCAATAGTATACCAAAGAAGAGCAGGGTTATTTTCTTCCAAACTCACCATCTTGTTGACAAAGCAAACACCCTTATCAAACGCGGCATTGCTACATACAATTTCGAAAGAACACATCAGAATGCAGCCCATTGCCCTGTCCCTGTCCCTCCTTGCTTCGGCAGTTGTTGGCGCCCTGGCTGCCGTTCTCAAAATTGATGTCACGTTGCCAGTTGAGTGTGACCGCCGCACTCAAAAAGGGGACAAGATCCAGGTTCACTACCGAGGAACTCTGCAGTCCAATGGCCAGAAGTTCGATGCCAGTATGTCCAGATATCGCGACCCGTAGTAGACCCCATTTTAACCCGTTGACCTCTTGGAGGATATTTGGAAACGATGCTAACGCTCGATATTACCCACGCCCAGGTTATGACAGAGGATCACCCTTCAGCTTCTCGCTCGGCAGGGGCCAGGTTATCAAGGGGTAAGGTAGCCGGGTACATCTTCGATCACCTTGCCTACATAGTAGCGAAAACTGCCCCGGTATGCCATCGAGTTTCAGTCATTGTGCTGACGCCATTTTCTAGCTGGGAGGAAGGCCTTCTGGATATGTGCATAGGCGAAAAAAGGTACCGCTTGAAAATACCGGAGTTTCATATCTACGATTGTGATACTAATGCTTGCCACTTAGAACGCTCACCGTGCCACCTGAATTTGGCTATGGCCAACGCGGCATGGGACCGATTCCTGCCGGCTCAACTCTGGGTAAGACACGTGTGCCTACGTCTTGTTCAACCCGTTATCAATCATAAGACCGCCAGTAGCGGCAGAAACAACACACTGACTTGATATATTTCCACGACAGTTTTTGAAACGGAGCTAGTTGCTATCGCCGGAGTTCCAACCCCCGAGACCATTGTTACGAAAAGAACTACAGACGACCTGAGCTCGACATCTAGCGTTTCTGCAGACCAGACGCCCAACATTGTGGATAAAATGGCCAGCAAGGTAGCGGAGGCCGCCGAAGTCGTGAAGACTATTGTTGTTGACACCGATGATGGTCAGGAGCATAATGAGCTGTAAATAGATCGTATATCAAGCGGTCTGGGAGTCTTGAGCCTCTCTCACAGACCTAAGTCTTTAAATCAAGGGCTTCGACGTGGAACCGTCATAGTAAACCCAGTCTGAAGGTTAATGCATCACCCCAGTCTGCATATTGTGGTAATTAAATACGTCGGGTTTCAATGTACTTTCGAGGATCCCCGAAATTCGCACCCTCTTACGAGACCAGTTGCACGGCGGCGGGGAGCATTGGCATATATACATAATCTGCCAATTGCAAGAGCTCCCAACGAGTGTTAGAAGCAACACAATTCTAAGACGCGTGGCTCTAGTCGAAATGAACGTCCTCGCGACTACGGAATACGGAGTACATTGGACCGGAAGACAGTGCGATTTAGCTTGTGAGCATTGTGCTTGTGATGATAGGCTTAGTTGGTCAACAAGCGTGGCAACACAACGAACTTCGCGAGAGCATTACTCGTACGTCTGCTTTGTCGTTTTGCGCGGAAGCAAATAGGCAGGACGCTTGCTAAGTTGAGTACCGTAAATCAATGACCCGCAAGTCTAGGCATCTATCCCCTAGGCACGTGGGCAAATTTACATAAACAAACGAGGGCACTGCACTAGCAATTAATTGTCAGCGCGCCACGGTCAGCAACTGTTCTTGGTACTGCGTACGGACACGCAGACTCTTGGTGGCGACGAGAATGCACTGTAGTGTATCTTCAGAAAATCGCCTCCTCGATGCCTAATGAGCACTGGCAATGGCGGACGCAGGTGATCAAGTTTCGCCAATCACGAAAGCCGACAAGCGGGATCAGGCAGACCACGAGACCCTGAAGTACTCTCTCCTAGGTCCGTCCTTACTGAAAGCAGGCCAGGACATGGTAGATCAGGCAAAGGTTCAACTATTCAACATGGATGAGAACAAGCGTTAGCAGGGAGGAGACGCTGACTGTTCAGGTGTCGGATATCATATACAATGCTTCCAAAGGCTCCAAGTACTTCAATCGTGAAGAGACGAGAGACAGAGTTCTCTCATCCAAGGTCGCCCGAATTTTAGCGAAGAAGGCACATCTTGAGCGTCTGGATCTTTCAAGAGACCTTCGTGCTGTCGACGGCCTCATCACCGAGCTCGATGCCTCTCGAGATCTTTCCCAGTATATTGTGCATGTGGATTGTGATGCCTTCTATGCTGCAGTCGAATTGCTTGGTCAACCCGAACTGGCAGGTGCGCCTTTCGCAGTTGGTGGTGGTGTTCTCTCCACCTGCAACTACTTGGCACGCAGTTTTGGATGTCGAAGCGGCATGGCTGGCTTTGTGGCCAAAAAGCTTTGTCCCAAGCTTATTATTTTGAAACCCGACCACGCCAAGTATGTGGCCAAGGCCCAGGAGGTGCGCAGGGTCCTGGCACGGTATGACCCGCGTTTCGAGAGCGCGAGTATCGATGAGGCTTACCTCAACGTGACCGAATACTGTGCTACCCACGGGGCGGATCCGGGCGAAGTAGTAGCGCAGCTGAGGAGGGAGGTTTTGGAAGAAACCAGAGTAACGGTATCGGCCGGAATTGCTGCCAACACTCGGCTCGCCAAAATATGTTCTAATATCAACAAGCCGAACGGACAATTCTTGCTGCAAAACGAGCGTTCTGCCATCCTCGACTTCACCAAGACCCTGGCCTGCCGGAAGGTCAACGGGATCGGTCGCGTATTTGAACGAGAGCTGGCATCTGTCGGTATACAAACATGTGGAGACATTTACGACCAGCGACAATATATCAGCCGACTCTTTGGAGAGAAAGCGTGCCACTTTTTGGTGCATAGCTATCTTGGCCTGGGGAGAACGAGTGTACAGCCAGCAGAGGAATATGAACGAAAAAGTGTTGGGACGGAGAGCACCTTTACGAGCATGTCCGATCCAGGAAAGCTGAGACAGCAACTGCAATGGACAGCACATGAGCTCGAGAAGGACTTGCGTCGAGTCGAGTGTAAGGGCCGCACTTTGGTTCTCAAGCTCAAGCTAAACACATTCGAAGTACATACGAGACAGGTTATCCTCTCCCGGGCGGTATACTTAGCCGACGACTTGTACAAGTACGCATCGCCTATGTTGTCCAAGATGGAACAGGAGTTACCTGGTATAAGCGTTCGACTTCTAGGCTTACGGTGCACAAATCTTACCAGCACCAGGAAACCCGATACGCTGGCCTTCTTCGGCATTCGACCACCGCAAGGAATCGGCCAACCTGATAGTGAGGCTACAGAAAGCGAGGTGCCTCCAGACACGACTCCGAGATACCGCGAGAGTCTAGAAATCGGGGCAATAGGACCTGCAGAGCCTTTGGAGGCGGAAGTAGCTGGAAGAACGAAGCGGGATGACAGTCTTGCTGTCGAAGAGACGCCTACTCTGTGTTACCGACAGGAGCGTACAGCCAACCCGAAGAGTGAGACGGGCCTACACCGAGAGCAAGAGAGATGGTGGAACTGTCCTGTGTGTTTTCGACCCCAGTCAGCAGACGAGAAAGAGTTCAACGATCACATGGACGCGTGCTTGTCTCGTCGAACCATCCTAGAAGCCGTTCAAGAACATGCAGGTGACGCCTGCAACTCAGGCCCGAGCTTGGGTAGAAATGGACGTGAGCAGAAAAGGGAGAAGAGAAGAGGTAGGCTATTGGCTATCACAAGTGACCCGCGGCAGAAAAGGATTCGGTTCGATACTATGTGAGTGGGCAACTTTATCAAAGGCCAGCACAGAGCAGACTCATCATACCGAAAGAGATTGTAGGATATCTCACTGTCTTCAGCGCTGTCGGCGGCTTCTGGACCCCTGGGGGTTGGGATATGTCCGGTTAGGTAGATGAGGGATGCGCCTGGTGCGAGACAGGGCAGCAGGTGCAGTTTGAACGTTTGCAAATAGCCATGGGGTGCTTTGTACATTGGCCAAAATATATTGTCATTCGTATTTGCGATTTCGACCTCGGCGTTTGTAAAGCCAAACCGTCTTTTTAAATAGCCCGTTATTAATGGGCTCTGACCTTGCCTCTTCATAGCCCTGGGTGACAGTAGCAGTAATTTCAGCTCACCTAGCTGCCTCTCTAAAAGGGGCTACAATGCTTAAGTAAATGGCATTGATAGCATTGGTAAGACGGACGATCCAAGTTGTAAGTATATAGCCTCTCGCCTCGACCTATGAATGCCAATACAACCCCAAAAAAACAAAAACCACAGATTCTGGGGCCACGCTATAGGTATAAGTAAAGCCGCAGAACAATCCTAGGCGCAGATGTAATCCGCCTAGCAGCAGGAAAGAACAGCACGCTCGCAAGGTCACGCCTGGTCTATGCCCTGTACCCAACGCACACCAAGCACTGCCGCTGCTCACCGAGATTGCTCACTGAGCACGAGGTACACACAACTTTGGCACAGAATATGCAGCGCCGTTCCTGGCTATGGCCATTGCCACACGTATCCATCCCGCATAAGTCACCCTCGCCGTCCACGGAAGATCTGCAATCCTTACAGACAGCGTCTTCTTGGCTTGCATAACAATGAGTTGCGACTGGAGAGTTCTGTTCTGTGGCTGGTGCGGATGCACAATTAGGTTGGGAAATGTCCCAAAAACTGTGCAGAGATGGCTGATTCGAGAGGATCTGGGTTGTATCACGGTATTGCTGGCACGGAGGTGCATCACTGACATGTACGCTGGGTACTGGATCAGCTTCCTGATGGCGCCGTACCGAGTAGAGCAAGCCTAGGGTACGCCCTGCACGCCGTCAGCATAAGACAAAAGACATATATACCGACATGGAAACTTACGATGTATCTCTGCGTCTGAAGGTCGGTTGTCACGGAATCGTTTCATAGTCCGACTCGGAAGATTTGATGATATGCAGCCAGTGTGAAATGTAGACGTCACACAGCCAGCTCCCCGCACCGGTGAACATATTGTCGTGTTGCTGGAGAAGGAGAGCTCCGAGTCGGAGCGCTTGCGCTTTACAAGGCTAGACATCGCGACACACCCCAATATATAAATGTCAAAAAATTAGGCAGCGCGAGTGTTGCAAGTGGTGGGCTTTACGTGAGAGCTGTTGAAATGGTGTGGTCTAGGATCGTATGTTTGATAGACAAAGGTAGCTTTTGTTAAAGCAACATATAAATAGATCATGTCTATTAGGGAGAAGTACTTCGTATGCGATGTCGACGCGACGCGTCTGCTGTGCGCTAAAATTAAAGTGGCATTAAGACGCGTTGCTAGCCAAGCGGTTACCCGTACGGAGTATTACTCCGTATTATCTTACATGATCAATCACAAAAGATCGCTACGGTACGGATCAGTTAAGGCTCCGATATACCTCACAAGCTATGTGACCTTCGCCTGCATAGCTACGGATTGAGCGTTTGTAGCCTAGAGCTAAGTACGTTGCCCCTTCTGATTGGCAATTGTCCATGTCGTCGATGCTAACGGTGGCACTATCGGGTTTTATCGGCTGGAATTTACATTTCTACTACGATCTGCGGGAATTGATAGAGCGACGAGTCCGAATTATAGAGCGACGGGTCCACGTAATTTATTTGGCGGTTGCTGGCGGCAGAATACTGAAATCGTCCCCGTGTACTCCGTAAGTCGTAATAGATTCGAAGTACTCTGTAAAATGACCAAAAACACTGAATAAAGAACAAAAAGACTAGTAAATACTATATAAAACTAGTTAAGCCGCCGTGTCTTCCTCTATAGAATTAGTAAGTTCTCTCCTACTAAGCATTATCGGCACTAGCCTGCCTGTACGGCGCGCTGCGGCCTGCGCCTCCTATGCGGCCGCTGCATCCTGTGCAACCTGCGCTATTGCCGCTGCCTCTACTTTTGCCTTTACCTTTACTTAGGCTAAGCATTTATTTATTCAAGTAATACTTTACAGAATACGTGTACGGTTTTAGGGGGGTGGGTAGAAGGGAGGAGGCCGTCGATAAAAGCCACTTTAAGCAGATTTGGTGATATTCGTAAAGCTTTCACTAAGCAGCGGTGTAGTCGAGGGGCGATGCGAATTCAGTAATATTCTGCCGCCTGCAACCGCCAAAAAAATCACGTGGACCCGTCGCTCTATCAATTCCCACGATCTGCTGCTTAATTACATACTCCACGCAAGTACTCCGTACGAAGTATCTTAACCTAAGCTGGTTAGTGTTGCACGGCAAAACTGGTGCGGTATACACGCTAACGAACTAACAAACACAACGCCGATGAGCGTAAACTGACAGACGCTATATATATATATATATATATGTATATTATGCGTGTATACGAATATGTACCAACGACTGGGTGCGATACGAGGTGAAGTGAGGGTAGGGTAAGTAAGCATCCTAGAGGTAACACGGTCGGGGTTGACAGCAATAAGGCGGAAAATAAACAGTCAGGACAAAGTATTGCACCAACACACCTGGACGGGTAAACATCGCCCACGTCATTCCTTGCTTCATTCGGTATCCACATCTTTCTGAATAAGGGCGTCAGAAGGACGAGCTCGCTGTGCCCATTCGCTGAGAATAAAAGTCAGTAAAGGAAACAACACGACCCAATATCGAAAAGTCCGGGACACAAGACAGAGATAAGAGCACATACGTCCAACTGCCATCGTAAACCCTCCTCGAGTCAGTGGATCTGTATCGCGCTTCGTCCAGTGCTGTTTCAATCACGCATGCCGTGACCCCAGTACCGCAACTTGAAATTATAGGCCGTTGCAGATCGACTCCTCTCTCTTGAAACAAATCCGTCAATCTGTCGGCTGGAAGGAAAGCCTTGGTAGCTGGATCCAGCACCGCATCAAAAGGTATATTGATAGCACCAGGCATATGCCCAGAAGAAAGACCCGGTCGGGGCTCTGAGGTAGTGCCGGTGAAACGCCCGCTCGACCTGGCATCGATAACTTGAACGCCCTCGGCGCCGTCTTTGGTGTGGTTTGTAACGACATCCCGTACCTCTTCAAAGCTTGCTACCTTCCTAGCGTCTAGTTCGGGAATGGGGTATGGACAGCATTCGACACTGTAGACTTCTCCTGTCTCGGTCGGAAATCCTTCCTCTAGCCACAAGCGGAAGTTGTTCAAGACGTGCACTTTTGGGTGCCCGAAAACCCTCAAGGTCCAGCCGACTCGTGGCGCAGAAAATATTCCGAGCTCCTTGGAGTCATAGACGACCACTGTATCCTCTCTTCGGATCCCCAACTCAGACATAGCGGCCGCAAAGTCTTTTGCGCTTGGAAGCATGTGCGGATACGAGGAATGCCGGTCGATAACCTTGTCAAGATCAAAAAAGCGCGCTTTGGGAATGCGCTGTTTTCGGAACACCTGTATACCAGTGCGGCCCTCAGCATCGTTCGGCATGAACCATGACGCACACAGCGGGATCACTCGAGGATCTGTGCTTGTAGGAGATATTGGGTTTTTCTTGAGGGCCGAGTTTAGGTCTTTTGGCGCGACCAAATATGAAGAGAAGGATCGCTTTGCCGGAACGGTCCTCGTCCTCAAGGCAGCGGCTGAGAAGCTGAGATCACAACTAGCTCGATAGAGCACTGCTCGCGCTGAGCGCAACATTCTGATGCTAGTTCTGGCAACCTTGCCAGACAGGGCACTGGACAGAGGCGGAAACGCGACCGCGAAAGACAGCAGATTGCCGATGAATAGGCGCCGTAGCTCGTGTTGTGCAGGACGTCTGCGAAGCCAACACTCGGGGTTTATCCTTTTGTCCTTTGAATACCGTGCATACGATCCTGGATGGAATGGCTATTTTCTCTTTTCACAAGTTCCCTAGGTCAGCAGAGGTGACAGCGATAAGTACAATGAACCCATAATATAATACATACTGCAATGAGACTGGCTGATTTGCATAACAAAAATGTGGCAGGTATAAGGAACGCCTATTTTGGGAAAATGGTTCTGGCCGTTAATGCGTCATGCTTTGTCGGTCGTGGAGCAAAAATTGAAAATCCGTGTTGTGGAATGGTCAATGGAGGGACCAAAGCTGCGGGGTTCTCTTAGCATGGCGCACAGGATACCCACCTCATTGGCGGACCCCAAAGAGCTGTGTGAAGCTAGGACCATAAGCAGTCATGAGATATTCCCCTTGAATACAGCAGCCTGTTTGTCGACCGCGTTCATCATAAGTATCTTACAATCGTACGCGCCTTTTCGCCCCAACTCTCAAGAACATGAAGGTGAAAATCCACGAGTGGCATGCTGTGGCCACATGGCGTTGGGATCTCCCGGAAGACGATGTCTGCGGCATCTGCCAAAACCAGTTTGACGGCACTTGCCCGTCTTGCAAATATCCTGGCGACGAATGCAGCCTTTGTGCGATTGCCTCTTCCCCTTGCGTATTTTTTAAAGATGGGCCACTCTGACCTAGGCTTACCGTACTGCCTTTGATAGTGTCGGGAAAATGTGGCCATAATTTTCACACCGTGGGTTGACAGCCAGAGTCTACATGAAAAGCCACAATATCTGACTAACCAACTCTGCAGCATTGCATATCGGAATGGATAAAGCAAGAGTCTGCAAAGGGCCAATGCCCGATGTGTCGACAGAGTATGTGAACTAAGGCGTACCCTTTTCCGACGTCACACTGATTGAATCTTTTTCTAGAGTTTGAATGGGACGGAGACGAACATACAATACAACCACTTGAAGAACACGCCTGAATCACAAATAGGCACCATGTTACATAACACCGCATGACGGATCGACCACTAAAGACCAAAGTAGTGCCTAGCTGTAATGATATGTCTCGGAATAATCGCAGCTACAAGGCTACAGCCTTAATAAGCTCCAGAATGCAGCTTGGAAGATTGTGAACATAATACCCATAATAGTGCGCGCTTAGTATTTGCCTTTTTCAGGCTGAACGCCATCATATGATCATACTCCGTACACGCGATGCCAGCCTTTAGTATTTGTTCACGTGTCTAAAGAGAGGCAACATTGTTTATACTCCGTACATTGTTGAGGCTCTCCAGGGCTGTAGCAATAAATTGCAGTTATTGCCATCGAGCTGTTCTCTTTTGCTACTGTACTCCGTATTTTACATCCTTTCGAGCGCTGTGTTTCTTGCAAACCGCGAGTCAGATGACCCCCAGTTGAGACCCACTCTATCCACATATTTAATCAGGCTATGGTAGGTTTCTTGGCAACCTCCCCATGCCGGGTGCCCAATGATTTGTCTAGGGCCGATTCTCTTCACGACCAGTTCATACCCAGCGACGAATCGTTAGAACGCAGGGATAACTACAGAATTTCATCACCGATGTCACAGTCTCCGATCTTCCCAACGCTTTTACATACCAAACACTTCTCCTTTCTGCTCAAATGAAGTCTTATTACACTGTGGTTTACGACAATTCTGCGCCAGGCTTCCCAGAGGTTTTCTATCCTCAAACGAGGTATGTCTTTGATGACGACGACCCCGAAGTGCTGTCCTGTGCTCTTTCGGCACAGCACCGGCTGCTTGGAGTAGAAAATACTGTCTCCAAGACGAGAGATCGAGCAATCCTGCTCGACTTCTCCAATACCGACGGCGGAAATTACGAAGTGGCCCGATCAAGTAGTTTGTCTGCTGATTGGATTGTGACGGGTACACGTTTGAGTCATATGGAGGCTACCCCGTCGGACACCGATATCAAAAGTCAAGGAGACGAACCTTGGATGCTGGTCATCGAAGGAATCGAAATGTTGGCCACAGTCGATTTGCCTACAAAACGTCTACCAGCAGTATCAAGCTCGAAACCAACACGGCACCACGGCGGTGGGACTCAGATTCTTGGTAAAGAAGAGAGTGATGTATCGGGCGAGGACTATAAAGAGCTCATACGAGACTTTAACATACGAATGGATGTGTTAAAACATTTGTTGCAGAATTCAGAACACACGCAACGACCTCTGTCTGTCAGCGAAGCCGAGAAGGATGCCTGCCATATACAGCCTTCAGAGAACGAAGTTTCTCACGGGTCCGGATAAACTTAGCCACTTGGCCATTGCGCTGTGCGTCACTGTACATAACCATGCCTTCATATGGCATACAACCACGACTAGGCTGGCAGCTGCACGAAACACAAAAAGCACATACACCACCGAACCAGTTACAACTTACAGGTCATTCTTAACCTGCAGCGCTACATAATCGGGTTCATCCCGTGCTGCTCTCTTTTTTGTGTCGACGCAATCATTTTGATTGGGAAAGAAGTAATAAATGTGTACGAACTGTAGCTAATAGCATATGACCCAGACCAACCAGACGCCAGTAATGCACAAAAGGGACAGCAATCAATAGCCACAACCGATAGCATCAAGCCAACAGCTAGACAAGCGCCCAAGCACCACAGAAAAACAAAAGAAACCCACCAAACAAAGTAAATGTACAAATGCGTCAGCGAGACAGAATAATGACAAAGCCAGACAGGCGAGCTTGTGTCCTTCTCAACTTTGGCTGCAGTGCCAGTATCTGATGATTCGATCTGTGATCGGTCCGGACAATTTTGATAGAATGATCAAAAAACTAAGGGATCGGGGACAACAAGGCGCTTGTCTTTAAGCCCAGAATTGCCTCCATCACCAGCGGCGAAGTCCGTATTGATAACATAGCGACTCGACAGCTGGGCTGTGTTTGAACGGCCGTTGTCTCTCACCGTCTTCGATTGCCCATAGACCATCGCCACAGGGGGGTGCCCTGTGAAATCCGTACCACGAGCAGCGATACTTCGTCTTTTGCTTCCGCTGTTTTGTCGGTTGACCAGAACATATACGACAACAATAATCACGATAACAACAATGACCCCGACTACCAAAAAAAATTCCCAGAATTAGTGACAAGTTTCGAGCCGAAGATATATAAACAAGGGTTTTCTCGATCGGCAAAAACGTACCAGAAATGCCCAAGCAGATCCACTTCTTCTTCCGTGTCTTTTTAGCTGTTACGACAGCGACCCCGATTTCCTCATTGCCTTTATCGAGGTTTTCTACTGCCTCTTCTGCTTTTTGTTCGATCTGCATTACCTGAGCGTCCTGTTGGATAATGAGTGTGTCCATGTCCTGGAATAGTTGTGCCAGTTCAACCATTTGCTCCTCGATCTTCTGTAAGGCTGCATGACGATCCTGAACAGCACTGAGGACTGCACGAGCTTGGCCACGGCGGTCGCTTTGCATCATGGCTTGTTGGAACACTTGGCCTCCGGCACTGGTGTCTTCAACAACAGCTCTGACTTCAGATTCCGTTGCGTCTGGCCGCACAATTCGGTACTGGCGTGCCATCTGGTCTTGCGTCTTTTTACGAAATGCCGATTCGACCTGTTGGTAAGACTGGATGGCCTGCTTGAGGCGTCGATCGACGCGACCAACCTGCGGGGAGTTTTTTGGCTGCTGCGCTTCCCGTTGACTCTTCACCTGGCGCACGCGCTCAGTAAGTTGTCGGTACAATGCCATTGTCTCCGATGCAAGCGAGTCCAGTTGTCTTGATGTTGAAGATCCAGACGCTTCCGCTTCGTTGAGTGACCGATCTTGCAGCATGCGCAGTTGGTTTAGATTTTGGTCAATCTGATCGATTCCTCGATCAATGCTTCGGCATTCGTTCAATATGGCGTTTGGATCGCCAGACGCAAAAGAACTGGCATTATGTGCGAGTGAAGCCATTTCAACATTGCCAGATGCTGCATAGCCGTCGACTTGCGAATCATCGCGGTGATCAAAGGGGTTCTGCGTGTCTCTGTACCTGATTGCCCGAGATAAATTAGTGAGCCAAATTGTATATTTCCAGCGACATCGGGCCTGGATAAGTGTCTACGAGAGGTAGCCGAGGGAAGTCGATGAAAAAGGTAACTAACCCGTACTGTGTCATGATTCCTCAGAGATACGTTAGCGGCAGTGATCTAAGTGCTTGCAGAAGGTGGGTGTCCTTGGGAAAACTGTGAGGAAACGGAAGAAGTGAAGGAAATAAGCAGAGAGGTGTGTGCAGATGGCGGAGGAAGACCTAAAAGGTCAAATTGAAGAGATAGGAGCAATTGCACAGCTCGTACGTCGAGGCTGAAACGCGGAAAGTGAGACGGATGAGACACGTACACTCATTTTGAGAGCCAACCACTCTGTGAAGAACCGCTAAAATTTTTGGAAACGGGGGAGGAATAGTGTCAACGTGTGTGTTGGCGCAGAAAACTGTTCGCATTCGAGCTTCGTGAGGGCGACGATCAGAGTAGTTGGTCTAGTAAACTGATGTGATAACGCCAGCGACAGGCATACAAAAGAAAAGGCACGGGAGAAAGAGTGGTGTTGCAAATAAATCAAGGAATGGGACGAAGAAAGAAAGGAGAGCCATTCAGGGGCTTGACCTGTTTTGTTTGATCAGGGGTATGCAAGATACGGGGCCACTCATAGGGTCTAACACGGCCGCAATCTGTCACACAGCTGAAGCAGGGCGCCGTTGCAACGGCATCTTGAAGAACATTGTTAGCGCAGACACTAAAATTTGAGCATATTAATAGCTCCTAGCAAACAGGAAGCCGCAGCCCCCGATTATGTATCTTATCTTACTTATACTATGGAGTATAATGTCTCTGTACTCCGTAGTACTCCGTATATAAGGCAATGTATGAATGTAAAGATACGAAGTATACTCCGCGTCTCATCTGACACTATATATCTCAATTTTTGGCAGGCTCGCAAGTATCTTATATTGCCTATTTAGGTCAGAAGAGCTTTGCACATACTATTTGACGTATCATAACGTCTATGTATGAAGGGTGGCATATGTTTGGTTCGTTCAGCATTGCCATGCAGTCGCGTGTCCACTTTAGACATGCCCGAAAATAGGAAAATACATCAAAATACGGCAAAAGCAGAGCCGTAGCTCACACTAGAATCAGATGTTGTCTCGGCAAGATCGCTGCGCTCATACCGTACAAATTCGAATTTCGGGTGGCCGATAGGGCTGTTAGTACTGGTGGATGTAGGGGCTCTGGTTCCCATTAGCTCCAGGGCGGCCATAGCGACACTGATGGGGTGCCGTCCACAAACAGTGTTTTCTGTTACGTGCAAGTAGTCGACAAATTTGGCCTGTGATCCTGTCTCAATAGCCCGGAAAGCTGCTTCGTCCAGGACTCGAATAAACTCGTGAACGGGCGGCTCCGTCGGGCTTGGTTTGGAGTCGCCGCGAGGCGAAAGTGAGCGGATCTTACTGAAGTCAGAACTGGGACAGTAGTGCCAGAACTCGAAGTTACGACCCCAATGACAAAAATCAGAACTGATCACAAACGCGTTTTCGGGATCTTCCAGGTATGGCACCAGAAGCTGCCCAAACTCTCTCTCGTCAGCACCGCTGCCGTCCCCCACTATGATCGGAACAAGTGAGGGCCACCGGGCACCGGTACCCAGTGTCCGCTCCAACATCTTCCAAATGTAAGGCAGTTGCATCTCAAGGCTGTGTTCCCCAACATCATTGTGACGTGGTATATCTTTGAAGAAACCTGACTCTCGAAGCCGGGCTGTCACATCAGCATCCACCTGAAAGTCCCCAAATGGGGTTGCATATTTCTCAAACGTCGTAAGAGCGCAGCCTCGGAGGTAGTAGGTGTGGCTTGGACCAAGGACAAATACGCGACGAGCCTTGTTGAGATCCAGACACTTGTACGCCCATGCTGCACAGGGGCCTGAGTATCGATATCCAGCATGACTAGTAGAAACCATTGGTATAGAGTTAGCTGGCAATGTTGGCACTGGGACAAGGTCGGGTCTTACGGGGCAATAACTGCTCTGGCATTGGTTACAGGTAGAAGAGATCCGTTTATGGCACACGATGCCTCTTCTAGCCAGCCATTCAATTCCTCTGAAAGGTTCCTGGGGTCGGCAGTATACCAACTCCCGGCGTGTTCAGCGGGACGTGTGCCTCTGAGGGCCATGACTCGTCAGATCGGTTTGGTTCGAACTTTATTAATGCATATACCGGATGGGTAGATGTGTAGAATGCAGGAAGATGGGGGGGTAGAACAACCGTTGACAGCGAGTCTCCCGATGCTGCTGATTCACGTGCGCGAGAGGGGCAATTGTGAGGCGACGAATTCCAGCCCCACCCGCGGTAATACTAAAAATAAACCCAGGTTGTTTCTGCTCCTCGGTGGACTGCGTCGGAACTGTGGTATCTTTGTCCACCACTAAAAATATTGCGCTCTAGCCATCTACCCTTGGTGGAAAGGAAAAAATAGCATGCTAATCGGTCTCACCATGTCGGTAGGATCTACGTCAAAAGGCCCTGCATTGTCAGCAGTGACTGTACTCCGTAAAGCTTATGGTCAGCTCTTCGTCATATAAGCGCTCCGATGGGACTCGATACCTTTTATTGGCGGTTGCGGATCTTCTAGAACTAAAACCCCCTGTACGGTGTTGGCAACTCTAACTCTCATGGTGGTGTCCTGGAACCGACATCTCGAGATACTATGACACGGATTGGCTTTTTTGGTGGGATCCTTACAAGCGGCTGGGTCCTTAGGAGCGAGAACGAGTGTAAGGGGAGACGTGTCCCTAAGAGCATTCGTAAGGTGAAACCTGTTGACAAGAAGTGCCCTATCTACATAATGAGAGACGATAGTTGAGATTTCTCAGCCACTTATAGTGCTCCGCCACTTGGTGGTATAAGCTGATTATGGTCAAGTCAGGGTACGGAATACATTTACCACTTTCAACTGTGGACATCACAATCGAAGAAACGGTTCCTTGGATGACACAATATGAAAACTGTATATTCTCCATCCCAGATCAGCAATTGGACTTTCTCTGGGAAGAATAGACTGGCTCCGCGAGAATCGACACCAAGCGGTTCAACGAGGCAGCTGACCACAACGGCACAGCGGGGAGCAACGAATAGACCACAGACAGCGCGGCGTCAAATATGCCGTATTTGCAGCTTTACCATTATCACCTGTCCCCTCACGGGCAACCGAAGCAAGAGAGCTCTCCCATTTTCGTCCAAAATAAACCTAAAAACGACCGAGAGAATCAATCCCCTGCAAATATCCTGTTCCTGTTACAGCCCAAGCGGGACATTGTATTCAGACCAATAATACCCAAAGCACCATTTTGGCCCCTTTTACATAATCGTAAATGAAGAAAGGGCATGGTCGTCTACACGCTCTCGTTTGCAGCCTTTCTGCGAGCCTCATAGCCTTTCTCGGACCAGGGAAAGTGAAAAACGGGAATGACGAAGAACGAATTGCTACACAAAGTTAGCGGCTGGTAGATATTGACCATATGATTGATAGGAACTGCAGTAGACACGAGCGGTCCAGAGTCGCTGGCGTCTGTTCAAAAGGCCTCGCTCGGAGTTTTTTCTCTCCCTTTTTCCTTTTCTTTTTTTTTCTTTTTTTTTTTTTTTTTTTTTTTTTTTGGGGGGGGGGGGGGGGGGGGAGGGAGATAATAACTCGATAAAAACTTACCTGCTGTCGATAATACCGGCAAATGCATTGTACCAGGCAAGGAAGGCCGAAAGCAGGCCGAAGACACCACCAGCCTTAGTAAGGTGGACAGAAGCAGACGCGGCGCCGTTGTCGGCGGCAAAATTGCCACAAGCCAGCATCAAGAAAGCAAGGTCAAGTGTGAAAAACAGCGCACAGAACATGACCGTAGAACGCAGAGTGCATAGTAGCATAATGGTGGTGAATATGAACCAGCCAATAAGGTAGAAGCCAAGAGCTGAGTCGGCCATCAGAGGGTCACCGCCCGTGTTGGCAGCAGCATACGCGCCATCGGAGCCGAGAATGCCCCAGGAAGGCTTGAGGAGGATCGCGTAGGATATCCAGAACCCGCCATATGACGACAATGCGGTGGCACCAAATGTATTTCCAACAGCCATTTCCCTGTAGGTGTGTCAGACTTTTCATTGTCACGATGCAAGGGGAGGTTATTAGGCACTCACCACATGCCAGCTAGGAGCTGGACGAGGCCACCATATCCAAGGGCAAGGGGAGCGACAATATTAGTCGCGGTAACGCCGCGTGTTTGAAGATTGATGAGCGATAGGACGAAGGTGGTCATGGCAAAAGCGCAGAGGCCAAGGGGAGCAGGGTTGGCGAATTTTCGATGGGCGACGGGCTTGTACAGACCGGGCTGAAACTCACCACCGAAGGCAGGCAGGCGGCCATCAGCAGCGGTCGCGGGATGATACAAAGGGTTGGCAACATAATCGAAACGATGCACAGTGTGCGCGCCACCGGGAGCGGTGCCAGTCGTGCTGGCGGTATCCTTCTCGACAGTAGGAGCGTGATGAGTTTCCGTGGCCATCGTGTCAAGAGGCGACGATAATCCAATTGAGTGTGTGATTTTGCTAATGTGGGCAATGTGTTTGTTGGATTGCGTAGGCAGAAGGGATCGGTCTAGGCGAACGTAGCTGCTGGGCCCTCTTTGTCTGTACGGCGTGCAGCACGGATTGCTCAATGGGCGAGATGTCGTCTTTTCTCAAGGTTCGCACAACCTCGCTGGTTTTTTCTCTATGACTATGGGGATGGGGGTGGCGGCTCTTTCATATGGAACAAGAAATGTAAAAACAAAGGCGAGGTGGAGGCTCGGGTATTTATAATTACTTCTGTCTGACTAGCTAATCCACCGCAGTCCGAGATGGATTCTCGCCCCATCCCATAGCTTCACGATGAAGAGGGGGTAGGGAGCGGGACGACTACTCGAAATGGACAGGACGGGCACGCAATGCACATACCAGCTTCCATGTAGACGCCATCCCTTGGCCAATATGGCTGCCGCTTCGGAGACAAGGATCATATACTCCGTAGCTCTTCTCCAGATATGGGTGTACCCTGGCTTTATATTGGCCACCTAGACTTTTCACGGAGATGGACAAAGACTTTACCACACGGACCTACACCTATTCAATGGGTGGGGATTGTGAGGGGGCCCCATAAGATTGGAGATAATGAGGGGACCGGGGGAAGGGGAACATGTATACTCCGTATTCCGTATCTGACGCTTTGACAGCTCCTGATACCTTGAAGCTACGGCGTACTCCGCACATCTATACCAAATTCCAACTACGCTATTATGTACCAGTTATACTTAAAAAGGCGCAACCTGACTAACCTATATAGTACTCTTTTTAATTCCCCATTTTACTTTTCACTTCCGCCGGACCGGTCTGTCATCTGTGTACAGAGGTCGCTACCAAAAGTCCTTTCTGACCGCCTTTGGTCCCACTATTTGCACTAAGCCTAATTAAGAAATCTATTTTCAAATTACATTCCGTCTCCTTTTTGGTGCATCCTTTCGTCCCTCCCTATATTCATTACTACCACCTAAAGCGATTACCTGCTGAATATGCCACGGTATCCTCTCAATCCACTCCCGAATACGGTCTTGTTTTAAGTCTGCCCACGCACGCTGCCAGTCTGCCTCTGCTTGTGCCTTTGATAAAGGCGCGCCAAACTTAGTAGTCTGCCTTTTTAAGTGCATCCAGCATGGCTCGATCATATTCAAATCTGGTGAATTCGGGCACCAAATCAGCCTTTGAACGTCTGCACGGTTGTATACAACTGCTTGCAAAGCATGTGCATAGGCTAGAGCTCGGTCTTCTTAAACTAAGAAGTCTGCACTGCACTTGCGGGCAAAAAGGTATTAGCTTTAGGATAATAATATGCTTTTAGTAGCGGTACCAGTCAATACCATTACCGCTCTCACAAGTAGCTTTGCCTGTTTGCTTTGTAAACTTCCATTGCGGCTTTCGTCCTGGTAGATTTCGTAGCCTAACACAACGAACACCAGTCTCAAGCTCCCATGCTTCACGAAGTTGTGGTTCCATTTGCTGATTCCATAACGCCAACTCTTTTTCTGACTCTGCACGCTCTTTTGCAGTCTTAGGATGCTAAATATGGAACGGTCCTTTGTTATCGTATGCAAAGCATTCCTAGAACATAAATTTAGAGTATCCCTTCCACCTTTCTCGGATACAAGATCGTAAGAACCTTTCGTCTAGAGCTCTCCAAACTTTGTAGCTCCCCCGTCGATGGCAAAGAAGAACAGACGTTTCATTAGACCAGATTACTTTTTTCCAATCATCCAATGTCCAGTGTTTATAGCGCAAGCACCAAGCTAACCGCTCTTGTTTCATTAACTCTGTTAATCCAGGCTTTCGTGTTGGTTTTGTCTTCTTCATCCCAGCGTTTTGGAGAGTGCGCCAAACTGTTATTGCTAAAACGCTACTAATTTCATGTGCTAAATAAGCAGTTGTTTTTTCTCGTCCGTAGCGGTCGGTGCGAACCTTTGTAAGAACCTCTTCTTTAACTAGTTCTTGCTTTCGAGGGCGGCCGGTTCGGTTACCGTCTGCAACGTGGATATCGAGTATAACCGGCGGGCGTGCATTAATATTAAAGCCACGGCTAATAGCTTTATCAAGTAGTAGATGTACCTGCCGTGCAGAAATACCAGTAAAGGCTTCGATTTGATTATTCGTAGCACCGAATAGCTTTAAGCTAAGGGCCTGCGCCCGGGTAGCAATATCGTATGAAGGCATAATGAATTAGATGTAAGAAAAAACAAAAGGCGCGACGGCAGCAGCGGCAGCAGCGGCACGGAAAAGTAAACAAATAATTCTGCCGGCATTATTTAGATTTGTGGGTCTAAGGCGGTCAGAAAGGACTTTTGGTAGCGACCTCTGTACTCCGTAAGGCTTTTCTCCACAGACTATCAGGCCACCAGAAAGTCCCCTGGATTGCATCTTGCGAGGAAGATACGGAATACTCTTACGAGCAACAGCTTTCCCATAGTTCAAGGTCGACCATAGTATCGCCTTTACACCTTTAGTCAACACGTCCATCTTAGGCAATACAAAATAAAAAGGACTTAAGGGTTCTCTGAGGCGTACAGGATATGTATCCTACATACTCCGTACGTTGTATCTTTCTACTCCTAGATTGGGGTGCGAGATAAGGAGGCTAAACAACTTCCCCGGATATCTCGGATTACGTGTGGGGCACGTTACGTAGTACGATGTGTTGTACGGAGTAAGCACTTGCTCCAGCTTGTATTCCGTGCCTCGGTTTGCAGGCTGTCGCCGTTTGCCTTCAGATCGGAGTGCGGCCCGCAAACCATGGGAGCCAAGCCCGGGGAGAGCACTCGCAAATCTCAGGCTTCTCCGTACTTTACAACGTTATATATTGTGTGGATTTGGTTACAATAGCTCCTTCCAATTATTTGTTAGCAAGTCCCCCCCCCACCTTTTTATCTATTTGTTTGGTATTTGTGTGTGACAGAGAAACAACATTTAAACCATCTTTTCCTAGCATCGATTTCGAAATAATCTAACGCATTGTGTTGATTATACGGAGTATTTCAGTTCTATATTAAGATAATCGCTCTCATAAACTGCAGATCGCGCATGGCGTGGCTTACAAATTCACAGGCTGTAGCACTGATCTGTCGTTCTACGGCATATAATCAGCATGGGTCCAGCGTTCCGCGATTAGTACGGAGTAGTTATCTTACAACGAGTCAATGCGTTCACTGTTGCCTAGACGGCTGAACATCAGGTCATGCATGGGTTTCAAGGCTATACATTCCCGAGCAAGCTCGTCGGCCACCGCTATATACACTATGTACTGTGGACGAGTCTATGGGCCACCAGCCACAAATTGTCTGACCATCCTCGCAACATCCTGCTAATATCACCTGATCCACTGCCAATCAGCCGACAGCCACGCAGGGGCTACGTGGCCGTGTAATCGTATTGCACCGTGGAGAAACTTACTATATGTACGGAGTACGCCGTACATATTGCTGGGTCTGCCGTACATGTAAAACGTCTGGCCTTTCATGGTGCTTGGATCTCGAGCGATCGCTGCTATAGTGGATGTTGACCTTGCAGAGACGCCGCAAGACTTAGAACTATGAGAACGTCACCCACTCTCTACTCACTCCTAAGCTTTACCCTTCTCATCGCCGTTTGCAGCTTTTTATACCGTGGCTACACCAGTCATAAGGCACCGTTTTCGATGGCAGCAACAACTCAACAACCTGTCGTTATCGTCGGTGCCGGCCTCGCCGGTCTCTGTGCCGCGTGGTCGGCGTTGTCGACCGGCGCATCCTCCGTTGTCGTTCTTGAACGCGCTATCAAGCCTGGCGGCAACAGCATGAAGGCTTCCTCTGGCATCAACGGTGCGCCGACTCGGTTTCAAACAAGTGCAGTTCCCGACACTGCCTTCTTCTCTGACACCATAATGAGCGCCGGTCGACGGCTATCTCACTCAGGACCTGAGAAGGAGTGGCGGCAAAGGCTCATCAGTCAGCTCACCAACAGTTCTGCAGCAGCTGTTGGCTTTCTGGCCGATGATATCGGCGTTGATTTGAGTGTTGTTGCACAGCTAGGCGGTCACAGCAGGGCACGAACCCATCGCGGCGCTGGGAAAACACCACCTGGTGCCGATATTGTGACAAGACTTCTGAATAAGCTCCGGGAGGATGGCCGGTTCGAGCTCAGAACGGGCTGCGAAGTCACGAGACTTCTAACGTCACCGTCCCAACCACAATCTGGCAGCATTGACGTCCTTGGCGTTGAATATCGCCATGACGCCCATGTCACTCCCATCGTAGGGCCGGTGGTCTTCGCTACGGGTGGCTTTGCTGGTGACGCTGAAGGTCTACTGGGCCGGTACCGACCGGACCTTACCGGTCTACCCTCGACCAACGACCCCAGACCAGGAGTGCACGATTTGCTTGCCAACGTGGGTGCCCGTCTGGTTGACATGGATAGCGTGCAGGTGCACCCAACGGGCTTTATTGACCCCGCCAACCCTCTCCTTCCTGTGAAATTCTTGGCTGCAGAGATGCTTCGTGGAGTTGGTGCCATCCTTCTCCGTGACGGCCACCGGTTCGTCAACGAGATGGAAACGCGTGAACACGTCAGTCATGTCATCATGGACCGTTTACCAACGAACGATACGCCTAGGCAGTGGAGCGTACAACTTTTGCTAGACCCTGGGACATGCAAGGCTGGAGCGTCACACGTTGCATTCTACCTATGGAAAGGCCTTCTTGTGAAGAAAAAGATTTCGGAGCTGGATGAGGCGACCAGAGATGCAGTACGAACATACTCTCTTGCTATCACGGGCCAACAACCGGACCAATTTGGACGGCAGACTTTTGGTCAGTGGGAGCTGAAAGGAAACGAAGACGACTTTGAGAGCCAAGAGGTCTGTGTGGGTGATGTTACACCAATAACACATTTCACCATGGGCGGCGTGGCCATCGACGAAATGGCCCGGGTCCTATCTGCACCGACTGGCTCCACGACGTGGAATGCTGTGAAAGGGTTGTGGGCAGCTGGCGAAGTTACTGGTGGTATTCATGGCGACAATCGGTTGGGCGGGTCTTCGTTGTTGGAATGCGTTGTCTTTGGGCGTCTTGCTGGGGAGCAAGCCACCTTGTCCTTTGCCAAAACATAGACATACAATTCATATGTATGTCACATTACATTCTCAGATCTCAGGACTGTGATTGAAATTTTTACCGTAGCATTACCCGGTTCTTTGGCATTTTAAACCTGCTCTACTTGAGGGATTTGTACGTGCGGAGGGTGTTATCAGCTGGACCCCCTGCCCTCCTCCTCTCTTCCATACTGGCACCAGTGTGATCAGTGCTTAGTAGCGCTTACCATCACGGAGCGTGTCCGCGAACTCCTCCAATGGGCTGCGAATCAGCTTGGTCTCCTTCCACAGGTTTGGCGTCAGGAAGCCGTAAGTGTTGGACACCGCGGCAAACGTCGCCTTGAGAGTGTTCTCCAGAGTCTTAGTTGAGCCAGAAGAGGAGGTGTATGCGTCTTCAATACCAGCCAGCTGAAGCAGCCGTTTGACGGCAGGGGATGCTACCAGGGACGTGCCACGAGGAGCGGGGATAAGCTGATTGAGCATGTAAGCGAAAATCCCAAATTAAACACACTTCTGGATCATGTGAACGTACCCGAACCGTGACGGAACCGCATTTGCCGCTCTCTTTGGTAGGCAGAGAGTGGGGAACACCTAGATTGGTACCCCAGTAACCTCTCCGGACCGGAATGACGCTCAGCTTGGCGATGATAATAGCCGCACGAATCGCCGTGGCCACCTCCTTCGAGGTCTTGATGCCAAGACCAACATGGCCCTCCGAGTCACCAATGATGACAATGGCCTTGAACCGAGTCCGCTGACCAGCACGAGTTTGCTTCTGGACGGGCTTGATCTGTTTTTTGCGGAGTATAGTCAGTATATACCGCACCTGTAATAACAGTTCGAAAGCTAAGGAGTCCACGAACCTTCATGACTTCATCCTTCAGCTTGGGCAGAAAGAAATCCACAATCTGATACTCCTTGATAGGAAGAGAGTGTAGGTAGATCTCCTCCATACTCTTGATCTTCCCGGCCTTGACAAGACGGCCAAGCTTGGTTACGGGCTGCCACTCCTTTTCGTCGCTCTTGCCTCCGCCGCGGCGTCCACCACGGCGTCCACCACGACCGCGACCGCGGTCACCACCACGGTCGCCACGAGAACCGAATCCGCCGCCGCGGGGGGCGCTTGCTCCTCTGTCGGCCATTATGAGTTTTCGGCTGTTTCGTGAGGAAGACGCGATTGGGAGCGATGTTGTTGGCAATTGGATGAGAGCTTTAGTTGTGGGTGAAGTCCTCCCAAATGCAAAACTAAAACTTCTTGTCTGATCGTGTAAAAAAAGTCAGGGCTATATTTGCCTTTGTGGGGAAAACCCTAACGAGAAGAGTTTTCTGATAAATCACTGGTTGTGGCCCTACGCCGCAGTTCTGTCATGGCTGCGCCACATTCTGCGCCAACTGCGCACTCCGTATTAGTAATCGTGCTACGGAGTACTCCGTGAAATACGGAAAATATGCGTGTCACGTAGCCTGTTAGCGGTCACAGGCGGCAGAATACTGCGAGATCACTGTGTAAGCCGTGTAATCAAGGAATAGGGTGCGTGGGTTAAAAATCTAATACGCAGGCCACGTAACTTATTAGGCGAGCATACCGGCCTAAAGGCCATCTAATTCTCTATAAGATAATATCTACAAGTGCCCACCAACCTTAGCCTAGTGTTAATGTCCGCTGCTTTGACCGCTACCTACGCTGCTATATCCTAAGTATCCGGCGCATCTTTGTAACGCCTGCCCAGGAAGAGGGCATAGGAGCAGGCCACGAAGCCATACGCTGTATGCGCATCGTGGCCTCGAACGGTGGTGCTTGAGATGCAGGCTACGTGGCGCAATTTGCGCACGGGCTACTCGTGCCCCGCCCCACCCAGGGCGCGCGTTGAAAAACGCGCACCACCATAGGTGGTGCTAGCTAGCCAAATAGTCACACCAGCCAAATGAGCACAATTCAACGCGATTTAACTTCAAAAAATCGCTGAAAAGCCAAAAAAAATAGCTATGGACCAAGACGAAATTGAAGATCGATTGGCTGCGGCTATTCATTTTAAGGAAGCAAATCCGGAGTCGCTAGTTTAAGCCGTTGCGCGTTAATTCGACGTACCGCGCATGCAGCTTACTAGGCGCCTTAATAGCGGTTCTGGCTATAGAGGACGCCCTGCCACTAATACGCGCCTCTCGTAGCCAGAAGAAACTGCTTTATGCAGGTATATCGATAGGCTAGAGATGGTAAACCTTGCGGTGCGGCGGGAGTTTATTACGGAGGCAGCGAATATAATTTTATATAAGCGGCTTAGTGATTCGGATTATAAGCCGGTTGGTCTTTACTAGACCTCTTGCTTTATTTAGCGCTATAAGTACGCTGTAATGCGCTAATAAACCCTTAAACTAAACTGTTAGACGGAAGAAAGTATACTTAAAGTAAAAGAGTACTTTAAAAAGCTGCAAAAGGTCTTAGTAGATAGAGGTATTAACCTATATAATATATAGAATATAAAGAAAACTAGGTTTTAAATTAAGAAGGGGAAGAACTAGCTAGTAGTTATAAAGTAGTAAAGAGCATAGTACTTAAGCATAGTCAAGAATAGAGAATTTGTGTAAGGGTTGGTGTGCAATGCGTGGTCACGAAGGCTTAACTGGTTTGTACTGTTGTATTAAGACTTCAACTTAACGAACTATAGGAGACTGGTAGGCGAAGGCCTGCCAGTTAATATATACGTGGCTGGAAGATGCGGTGTAGCGCAACCCTAGTGGGGCGTGGCATAGCTAAGTGGCTGTGCTAGTCCTGTGCAACGTGTTAAGATAGTTCGTTAAGTCCGTCGCTTGGTAAGCGACTAGTTGCCGAACCGGTGCGTAGGGACGCGTGTGTAGAATACCCTTACAACTAACTACTAGCTAAAATAGCTTTAATTATAATAGTAGATTCTTTATTCTTTACTATACTTAAGTACTATGCTCTTTACTACTTTATAACTACTAGCTAGTTCTTCCCCTTCTTAATTTAAAACCTAGTTTTATTCATATTCTATATATTATATAAGTTAATACCTCTATCTACTAAGACCTTTTATAGCTTTTTAAAATACTCTTTTACTTTAAGTATACTTTCTTCCGTCTAACAGTTTAGTTTAAGGGTTTATTAGCGCATTACAGCGTACTTATAGCGCTAAATAAAGCAAGAGGTCTAGTAAAGATGTAAGGGGGTAGTGTGCAATGCGTGGTCACGAAGGCTTAACCGGTTTGTACTGTTGTATTAAGACTTCAACTTAACGAACTATAGGAGACTGGTAGGCGAAGGCCTGCCAGCTAATATATACGTGGCTGGAAGATGCGGTGTAGCGCAAACCCAGTGGGGCGTGGCACAGCTAAGTGGCTGTGCTAGTCCCGTGCAACGTGTCAAGATAGTTCGTTAAGTCCGTCGCTTGGTAAGCGACTGGTTGCCGAACCGGTGCGTAGGGACGCGTGTGTGGAATACCCTTACAAAAGACCAACCTATAATCCGAATCACTAAGCCGCTTATATAAAATTATATTCGCTGCCTCTATAATAAACTCCCGCCGCACCGCAAGGTTTACCATCTCTAGCCTGTCGATATACCTTTATAAAGCAGCCTCTTCTAGCTGCGAGAGGCGCGTATTAGTGCTTTAAGCTTTTAATAATAGCTAAAAGCTTTTACTATTTTACTTTTTATAATATTTTATATTTTATTAGCTTATATAAGTAGTAAGTAACTAGTTACTACTTACTATTTATAAGCTAAAAGATAATGCTAAAACTAGTATAGCTTAACGCATTTGTTTTTACTTATATAAGCTTTATATTATTATAGTAGTAAAGAATTATTACTATTATAAATACTATCTTTTGTAATTTAAAAGCAACTTTTACCTTTTTAGTTAATATAAATAGTTATATAGCAATTACTTTACGCTTATATAGTAAGCTAAGGCTTATTTTTATTAACTTTATTAAAGCTTATATAATATAAAAGTAGTAAGAGATAAAGCGTTTGTAAACGTTTATAAATCTTAAGAAGAATTAAATGTTTTATATATACTTAAAAGCTTTATATTTAATAATAGCTTTAACTTACTTAAGATTTATAGCTAGCTTTTTTATAGTAATAATAAACCCTAAAAAGTTAATTCTTTCTTTGAAAACATTATACTTTTTAAAGTTTATATATAGCTATATAGCCTTTGGCTGCTTAAAACCCAATTAAAGGTACTTTTTATACTTCTTTTTAGTTTAAGAGTAGATTAAAATATTATTTGAATATACCTTACAATTTATACTTACTAGCCTTACTAATATATAGTAAATATATACTTAAAACGTAGCTAGCACGTTAGTTAGTTTAAAAAGTATAATATAAAACCTAAAAAGCCTATATTTTATTTAAAAAGTAGTCTTTTATTAATTAAAAGCTTTAACTTAAATTTTATAGTATACTTGCTTTTACTATAATTCTAGCATTTTTATATAACGTTAAAACTATTTAAATTACTAAGGTTAATAAGTTTAAAAGTAAACTAACCTTAACTAGCAACTAGTTATAAGGTTTAGTTACTTCTTATAAAAGTATAGTTCTTTATCTTATTATTATTATAGCGCTATTTCTTTATAAGCTTACTAGCTTATATACTATTAACTATAGTAATAAGGATAGCTTGTATACTAGCTAATTCTAGTAAAAACTAATGCATTTTAAACAGCTTAGCTAATAATATTAATAGCATACTACTTATAAATAAATAGTAGTATAGAAATCTTAAATTAAACTATAAAGTAATATTAATAAACGTTCTATAGTTACTTATAATATTAGTAAACTAAAGCATTAAGTATTATAGAATTTATATATAATAATACTTACTATACTATAATAAGCGCTTCTTTATTTTATACATTATATATATACTACCTTTATTTTATAAACAACTTTCTTTTTACTAAAGCTATAGTTAAAAAGCATATAAAAGTATATTAGCTAGCTATAAGTTATTAAATAAAACTTACAAGTATTATAGAAAAAAGTAACTTACTAATAAAAGAAAGGCTATAATAAGTAACGCTTATATAAAGAATTTACTAGAGGTAAATTTATAAGTTTATTAAAAAAGCACTTAAACTTACTAAGCTTAAAAAAGCTTTACCTACTTTTCCTTTACGTTTACATTATAAAGAAGCTAAGCCTAGTTATATACTAAGCTGCTTTACTTTTATAGTATACTTGCTAATATTATGTATTTTATATAACTAGAGCGCTAGAGGCGCTTACCGCGGGCATAGGAACGTTAGAATTTTTATTTCAAACTATAGACTACTATAGTAAAGAAAAAAAAACTACTATTTATAAATATAGTAAAAGACTAAGGAAAGTATAAGGTTAAAGATATTATTACTTACTTTAGTAAAGGACTATAAACTTAGTTCTTAGTAAAATAAAAAGGCAAGCTAGCTAAGTATAATACTGAAAAACTAAAAAGCACTTAATATATACTAGCTATAAAATATAAGCTTACTAAAAGGCTATAAAATATACTTATAAAAAAATAAAAATACTATAAAATAATAGCTAGCTATATATAAGCTAATTGTTAGTTAGCTACTTTTTTTATTTTATATAAGTTATATATTATAAAGCTACTTATTTTAACTTAGTAGGTATAGCATAGCAAAGTAGCTATACTCTGCCCTATTTACGTATTAAGATAGTTTGTTAAGTCTAACGCTTAGTAAGCAGTGGGTTGCTAAACTAGTGCGTAAGGCAAGTACGTAAAATACCCTTATACTATCCCTTTTTGTTTTAAGGTAACGCCTTATTTAGTATACGCGGTAGCCGCTTACTTGTTAAAAAACCTTCTTTAGTAAAGTTAGGAAAAAGAGTTAAGTGCTTTAGGCTATTAGCTATTGCCGAACGGTTATAGACTGCTTACTATATAACTATGTTCTTATATTGTAGAAGCGTATATATACTACTTAATTTATAGCGAAAGTAATTGCTAGATTTAGCTAAATATAAAGGCTGTCTTATAAAGACGCTTTTTAAAAGGCGTAACGCTTGGATCCTAGTTAAGGAATACTTAGGTTATTACTCAAAAAGATGTTATAAGAGGGCTAGCCTTAAGTAATAGCTATATAAAGGTGTAGTATA